CCTAGTTCATGTCGTCGTATCTCTTAAGGTTGACTGTTGCGAGTCATGATACCTATAAATCGAATAGATATGCCATTTGATCACGCTTTTGGATTGGTAGCGGGACTGTCTGCGAAGATTAGGTACCAAAACTTGATATTCCTCCAATAACCACTGTCACGTAACTAGGGATAAGGACAATCGGCTTCGGGTATTGCACATCATGGTCTGGGTTTGTCTATCGCTACTAGCTGGCGCCTACCTGCGGGGCTTGTTTAGTTCATTGAAGTCGTAAACCGTTGTTCCTGATTGCTGAACTCGCCCCCAGTGAGTCATGGGAATATGAGTTTGATAGGATCCCGTGATTGTACTAGGGATAGGAAGACTATCAAATTGCCTATACAATTGGGAGGAGTATCAGTAGGGATACTCGTCGCAGTGGCCCGAGGGGGTTCAGTGTCAGAATATCGTATTCGTAGTCCGAAGATAGATTCGTAAATCGACTAATCGTCGAATAACCCTTGCAATGGGCTTGTCCAGACCTTTTTTTGATCGGGTCATGACGTCGGAAGGGCTAGCTAGCCTACAAATGACCCTTTGACATTATTTGTCTTTCGAGGTTTACTTTCTAACTCGGCGATAGAAGTAAACCTGGGGTCGAGATGGACTAGATGAATCGTTCATGGGTCAATGAAGGGAAAGGCTGACACGAACTACGTGGAAACATCTTGTAGGGCTTAGTATCAGATGTTGGTTGCTGTAAGGGACTCAACTTATTAGCTGCTGCCACCGGGCCATGACAATGAGTGGCTGGAAGGGACCGGGAGATCATCTGAATTGAAACGGTGTCATGTTGGCAATGGTCTAGAATATATACTATTAATAGAACTTGACTTAGGAAGAATAGCAGTCTCGTCCCTAGTTTGTGAGAACCATTGTAGTGGGAGGAGCCCATGAACTTGGTGTCATTGAAGGGGCCGTGTGTTACGATTGGCGTGGTTAACTTCGTCTGTGGGGAAGGCCGCAAACTCGATAAAAACGGCGGAGGGAACGTCGAACGCGTAATTCGTCATTGTCAAGGTTGGGGAAACATACTATTGACAAAGCATCTCCAACACCTTAATGTGTCGGTTCTGGTTAGGCTTTGTCATATGAAAGAGTAAAAAGTAGACATTGCAATTAAATCAAAACGGTGAATTTATGAATTGGTGGTAGAAGTGGCCCTGAATAGAGGGTGGGAAACTACTTGGGTATGTTTGCTCGTAGCGAGAAAAAACTGCATATGTATAGGTGGTTTGTCATATTTGATGGAGAGAGGTAGATGTCGCAGGTTAATGATCTACGATGTCAATTCGGATCGGCCGAGCTGAAGAAAGCTCGCCTTGTTATGTAATCACGTGCTAGAGAAACTCCGAAGCTTCGTGTTGTCTGACTGGGTTCTGACTGGGTAAGCTGCCCACGAGCTCGGATCGTATACTAGCTCCAACTTTGGACTAGCATTAGGCGAATGTAACCGAGCGACCTCTTAAAGCGGTTAGGCCAGGGGTAAACCAAGATCTAAACCAGACTAGTATCTAAGTAGTGAGTACTTTCTAGTTCCTTGGCCTTTTTACAGCGGTCATGTCACCGTTCTGGCAAGCACTTCACCGAACTAGCACGCCTGACAGCTCCAGGCTTATATCTCACCCCAAGGCTATAGAATACTACACAACAATCAATTGATGATGAAATAGGTCAAGACAAGTAAATGAAAGTAGCTATAGTACCATATTGTAATATATAGTAATGTTGATAATTAAAAATGCAATATGCTTATGTAGTACCGACAAGTTGAACGTCGCAAATCACCGTGGGTTGAAACACGTGGGATCGACAATTCAATTTTATGCGGCGATTATGTTTTGGGACGTCCGGACGTCTCGCAAAAGTCTTGTCGCTTCAGAAGTTCATAATACCTATTGCAATTGCGCAGCTGAAAAAGTTTAGATGTGGATATCTTGTCATGTATAATTCATACCTAGGTGTTTGTTGATAGGTAAACATTGTTCAAAGCCCAACACGAAGGAATAGGCTAATGCATAGCGGGAGTTCCGACAACTGCATGCTGAGAGGTTCGGGTTGATTCCGTAGGATCGTAAGTGCTGTGATAAGAGAGGACCTGGATCATAATGATAGGATAACAAAATGTTATGTTATGAGGGGCAGGGTCGAGTCGCAAAACCGGGGAGGGCCTCTTCATAATAAACATTTTAAGGACCTTTTTCGATATCCCTTGCACACATTTTGTGCCGCAGATATGCTGGAGTTTGCGGGCGACCCGTCAGATACCAAGCTAGGTAGCTTCTGCGAATCGCAACTGAGCCGATTGGTAGAAGAATTCTTTACAATCACGGTGCATTGCGCATTGCAGCACATGCAGCTTGGCTTGATTGATTGATTGATTGAAGCCTGATATTATTGCATCTCGAAACATTGTACCCCCAAAAGAGAGGATATCATGATATGATGTGATAGATTGAATATGATATCGATATTTATTTCATATGTATCATATTCTCTTTTTCCCTATTAATTGTCGTATGTGACGGGTAATGGTACCTAATGTTTTGCTTCCCGCTCTGCATTGCATCTGTACCTCTCTGCAACTATCTCAATTCGGGAAGACAATTGACCTAAGCCAGGATTAGCGTTTCAGAGATTACCCGTCCGCCCATTCATAAACCACTAAAAGAAAAGAATAAAGAGCAAGGCCATAGTCTCGGGTCTATCATGATTCGTCTTCAAATACAATAGGCATAGTTAATATGTATGGTACTGAATACTTTCTTGGAAGTGGGATAAGTCAAAGAAACTATGTAGAATGCTGAAAGGATCTGGCCTGTTTATTTTCTAGGCTTGTTTGCACTAAATGGAGGGGCATGGAAGGGATGAACCACGACGGCGGGTCATAGCGTGCATAAGTCTTGCGTGTACGACATAAGAGAGGGGACATAAGAAAATGAATAATCTACTTTAGGAAGCTTCTTAATTGTAAGTAGACAGAATAGGTTAGATACTTTTTTTTCTTTTCTTTCTTCTCAAGCTAGTGATTAATAATAAATCATAATGAATAGTTACATGTATGTTTAAATGTTGAATGCGTAATTTTGAACGGTGAAGAAGGCTGGTTATCTAGGTATTAAATAACTCAGTCGTTCTAAGTCGTTGATAGGTGAGAAGACCTACATATAATATGCGGCTTGAAAGTCGGTGACGAGCTGAGATACCCGAGAGTCAATGGCTGGTGCCATTATATGCAAGAGGTGAATCACGGCCCGTGGAAGGCTTCCAAGTTACGAGATGGCAATATAGGTGTAACTGTTGTAGAACAAATAGTAGTCTCGCAGATTTTCCTTCGATCTGAGACGCCAGTCCAATAAGGCAAAATCATCTAATCCTGTAAAAACCCTGCTTACTGTCTCATATGTATAAAGACAAAGAGTAAGCATGTTTCCATTGTTGCATTTATATAGGCCGACATCTTGCATCTTTTCGATGATCGAAATTGAAAAGAATACTGACATCAAAGAAAATATCTTCAATTTCCTTTTTTACGTGAGGCGATTTCACCCATTCTGCTATGTACCTTGCTAAATGGTTTAAGCTAACCGTTATTTCAATTTAATCCTCACACTGTGTTGGCCCCAATGCGGATCTCTTAAAAGCCCCGTTTGTTTTCTTTTCATCTGCAAGCCCCAACACCGGATTGCTTATAATACCTAGGTATGTTTTATATTCATTCGTCATAGGATATTCTGTCCGTTGAAAGTTTTCATTAAGCCTTGAACCTTTCACTAGGTATGTACATATTACAGAAACCTAAAATCTGGTAGTATCTCGATGGGCATGAGCTTAACTCGTTCGTTGAGTCTTTTTTTAATGTTATGTTGCTTTTTGCTGGACGATGACCCGTTCTACGATAGCTTTTGGTGTAGCTTCCCACAATAACGGCCCCTTTTTTCAAGGCTAATCAGCTTTGTATGTCCCACGCCACCCCACTTCCGGTTAGTCAGCTACCGTTGTAATTGGTTAGATTGTGAAATGCAGTGGGCCTGCCGAAATTTCGAAGCTGCCAGGGATACCCCTAGTGCTATGTTGCGCCGGCTGGAAGGCTAGTCTGGGGGGCTAGCTCAATTGCCCCCTGTCTTCTTAGTGGAATTAGGTCTCGGGAGTACTGGGTACGAGACTAACGTCGTACTTCTGGGCTGGGATGATAGTTCCAATAGGTGCAACACGGGCAATAGGTACTAATTCCTAGGCTAGAATACGCCCTAGAAACGACCTACGCACTAATCGTATCAGACCTACAGAGGAGTATCAGTGACATGGTCCCCTTCTCACTCTCTGCAGTGCCGATCCCCTGGCACGCCAGTCATCCTGCAGTAGAAACCCACTTGTTATTTCCCCGTCCCTAGTAAAATTGTGTAAATTGTAACACGGGTGTTCTTGAAGCTTGCCTCGTCTGGCCGCTGTCACACTTTGGTCAGTGACGGAAAGCACCCCAAGTACCCCAGTACTCCGTATACCTAGGAAAGTACATTTATAATTCCCATCTGCCAGGGGTTTACAGGGTTCACAAGGTTTACAGGGTCTCCAGGCTTTGTTCTAGCTGTATAATTCCCGCTAAATGGGCAATTGGAGGCGCGCATTGACTTTGACTTGCTTCGGTCTCTCGGCGCAAATCTCCCTTCTCGCTCTCTGCCCGACACACACCCTTTTCTACCGCGCAACACCCTCCTGCTTCATATCTCGTTTCTCCTTTTCCCTTTTCTTGAGCGCCATTCCTCCACTCTCCCTCCCACCTCTTTTTTTCCTCTTCCCCCCCACCTAAGTAAGTAGTTGCAGCGAGACTGTACTCTATCCCCCTCCGCTTCTGACAGCAAGCTGCCAACTCGTTCGCTGGGTAGTAGCTCGGTGGCTCGAAATTGGTCACCCAGGTTAGAGAGCAACTCGCAACGGGAGGGCCTTCGAGTGAGGAGCAGCTTCGAAGTATAATTCCGTCCCATTCAATTGGATCCGGTGGTCCAGGCAGGAGCTTGGTTTTTGTCTAGTTAATCACTATTGTTGTGACTGTATTGGGATTCAAGATTACAACAAACGAAACAGCACGGGGAAACAAACACATAGCCCATCATGGCACCTTCACTTAACACACACTCTTCCTTTACGCGTCCGCGTACAAGCGAACGTGATGCTCGCCCGAGTACACGAGATCAGGGCGACACCAACCTAATTATTCCGAGCAGGACTTCCTCTCTTCACTCACGTATCACGCAACCAATTCCCTCTACGCTCAACATGAAGCCTCAGCAACGAACTCCCAAGACTCTAACGCACGCATACATGGTTTGTGGTGTCGGACGAGAGCCTTCGCAATGGGTGAAGGCTCCTGCTCCTAGCCAGGGAAAGATTGGACACATGAAGGGAGCTGTTGGCCAATTCTGGTTGCCCGAAATTTTAGGTAGCAGCCCCCGCCTCGAGCAGGACAATGAAGTTGCTCGATCTTTACACGCCGCTATGAGAGTACGTTGACCTCAATATTTAATCAATGACCACGCTGACTGTTTTAGGCTTGCTTCCCCCACGACGTCGAAATTTGCACTGGTCGTAGCCAGCCGCACTGCGTTCACCATGCGTTTGTTCTCCAACAGGATTCTTCGCACACGCTCTACGGTATCTGTCTTCGCGTTTGGTCAAGGGCAGATGAGAAGAGGGCGGAGACTATCAGGGATCTGAGGAAGCGAACCGAGACCGACTACTACGATAACCCCGATGAGACTTACTGGATTCCTTACTGCTTATCGTTCCTTTCCCGATATCCTCTATACAACCTGCTTGGAGATTACTTGCGAGGAATGTGGATTCACTGGAACAAAGCTACCAACCTCTTCCACGCGGAGGAGGTCTCGAGGATTCTCAGCTTCCCGGCTCCGCGACTAAACGACTTGGTTCGAATAGACATGAAGGACTACGCTCTTTGCTACCAATTCCCATCGTCTCCCACTGGATTCCAGAATTTCGCTATGTGGCCTCTGTGGACTTGTCTCTCGGTACCTAACATCGTGGGTGTTATCGAGGCTGCCATTTCTCCTACTAGGCGTATCATATTTGTCAGTCACTACCCCGCGATGTTAACCATGGCTGCCGAGACTATCCGATTCTGCGTTCGCGTGTATGAATGGAGTGGTCTGTACGTTCCAGTCGTTCACGCCCGCCATGCCAAGGAATTGGTAGAGGAACCAGGTCCATACATCCTTGGTATCACTGCTGAATGCCGTTCTCTTTTCACGGCCCCGAACGATGCCTTAGTAGTTGATTTAGACCGCAACTTTGTTCTCACTTCCAGCCCCCCGACGGCATTGAACGCGAACCAACGAAATAAGTTTGTCACCCGCTTGACACAGGCACTAAATGGCGATGTTACCCCGTCCGGTGTCCCGCAACATCTGCGCTCAGCTTACGGTGGTGGGAAGTTGGTTCCTGCAGGTCAAATCATTGTCATGCGTGGGGAGGTGGAGTCCATTCAAGAGCCCGAATGGTGGAACCAGGACGCCGTCATGGCCGTGATGGATCATGTCTGTGAGAAGATGGTAAGGGATTCTACTATCGAATTTGACTCGGAGTGCATGCTAACAGTTTTAATTAGGGTCGCAACACTGGCTTGAAGGCTGTCTTTGGTGGAGCAGTGAAGAAGCCGCTGATGACTAAGGTTTCCATGAGACATTTGAACGAGATCGTCAGGGAGCGTAACCAATACTCTCGTGATGCCTTGGAGGCATGGCAGGATTTCATCAACCTGAAGGGCCGCATGGACACTGAGCTGAACAAGGTTACGAAGCGAAACAACTACCTCGTTGAGGAGTTGGAGAGCTGGAAACAACAGTTCCTCAAATTCCAAGCATTCGCCGAGACCCTCACGAAGGAAACTCAAGATCTCAAGGTCAAGATCGAGACTCACAAGAGAGAAAACCGAAGACTCGCAGGTCTTATCGACCAACAGAAGGACGACAACTCGCGTTTGTCGGTTCGTCTTACTGGCACTGAGAAGCAGCGAGACGACGCTCTTGAAGCCTTGGTTCTCCAACAAGAGATCGCCGAGGAACTTGAGCGGGAACGCAAGCGCAATAAGAAGGAATTGGCCGCCCTTCAACACACCAATGTTACCATTATTCGACAACGTGATGAGGCACGCCGTGTTGTCTTACATCTGCGTAGCTTGATCGGTGGACAATCCCACCATATGGAGCATCTTGTCCAATCCCTAACTACGCGTGACGACCTAGCTAGTGAGATTGAGGAAGGCTTCGAAGAGGAAGAGGAGCAGCAGCAGAATGGTAAGTTGATGTCGATTGATGGGGGTACGTTTGACTAGGTTACTAACATTTTTTTTTTTTTTTTTCACAGATCGTCTATTGAAGAACCCTAGCCGTAACACTAAGCGTCATTCTACCGCCAGCTTTACCGATGTGGCTGATCGTCACCTCAAAGACAAGACCGATGCTATCTCCCACATTATTAGGAATATCGCGGAGCAGTGCCAGGCCGCTGTTGAGGGCCTCCAGCTCGCACAAGACGCCGAGATCGAGTCAACTAGATCTCCTCGCCGGGCAAGCAACCTTTCTAGTGCACCCAGCGATGATGGCCACGAGCACTCGGCCACCAACTCCGAGGTTGGCGATGACAGCCTCCTACACCCTTCGGGTCGCGCCTCCAGCATCCCTCCTACTCCGGATCTAATTCCGAACCGAAGCAGCACGTCGATGTCTATGGCTTCGACCATGACTACTCCTGAGCGAGCCAGTCAGCAGTACAGCATCCACAACGACATTCCTACCAAGATCGTCGAGGATGACGAAGATGACTTGGCCGAGCGCAGCGAGAGCGAGGCCATCTCACAAGAGCCCGGCATCGTTGGCAAGCACGCCGAAAGTCTTATCCACCGTCCATCAGGTGCTAGAATCAGCGCTCTAGGCGGTACCCGCTAAAAAAGTTTCGCGTATCGTTCTAGTCTGGTTGCATGTACGGAGTCGGAGGCGACATGTTTCAAGATTTTCTGACAGTTGAGAAGACTTGTTGGGGGTTAACAATCATCTCTTCATCTTTCCCCTTCCCCCAATTCCTGTGCATATGAACTTCACTTATACCTCTTGGTCTGTTTATTTGTGGATCTACGGCGTTTTACTCTGAAAGAGTTACTCGGATTTTTCGCTCTTTGCTTTTCCTACGACTTATTGCAGCTTATTGGCTCTACTCTAATTTTCCTTGCAACAAAAAACGACCAGACGCAATAGTCGGTCGGCCAGGCAATTAAGGCACCTGTTTGGTCCCGCTGTCAGGTACGGAAGGGAAAAGATATGATGGAGTAGTGATCCATCTCTTTTGTGTATATCGGTGGCTATGTGTTGTCCGCAGCTATGGGCGATAGATGTCTACCTTTAATTACTGCAGTTTACGTCCTTCATGTAGTGTTGGGCAAATATGAGATACCTTGTCAATGACATTTCAGTTCTCACGATCGTTTGTGATTTAGTTGAATGTGCAATGCTTATTTTTATATGGGTGCTTCGTGAGGCGTGTTACCCGTGATTAGCTAGTGTATTATCTTGATTCCTGTATTTGTGTGTTCTCATACCGTTTGAATAATCAGATTTGACGTCTCCTTGGGTACCTATATGAGAACTCTGAATTAAGTCTACTCCTATTCATTCGAGACAGTCCCGTAGGAAGTATTCGCTTCAACGTCAAGTTATGGAAATTCTTAGTGAGCACCTGTCGTCTTAAGCTGTATAGTAGTAGGTTGGGGGAGCTAGCTTTGTGATCTCCAACCACCAACCCACCAACATTGACCGCCTACCCTTCGTAGCTCTATGAGGATGGGTGTCTCAGTTTCAGCGCATATATCGTACCTACATTACAGGCGTCTCTCACTAAAATATTTGGAGGGTATTTGGCACACATTGAGCCACCTGCTTTTTACAAACCCACAATTCCAGTTCGCCCGATCCGTTAGGGCAAAATTGAAATATTTATTATATATTAAGGTAGTTTCGAATAGTCAGTGAGGCTCAATTATATCAAGAACTATTTATATAACTACGTCCTTTGTACGTAATAGATATAGAGTTTAGAGGCCGTGTTTAGGGTAGGTGGGGCGCCACGTTCATAGAGCTATACCATCCCGCCGGGCCCTGACGTAATGGCATTACACGGTACATCCATAGAATATGCTCTGGAATTTAAGGGTCGCGGGGTCCAGCTAAACTTGTCAACCTGCCAACTTCATATATTCACGAACAAAGGAGAATCTTTCACCGTGTAATGAATGCCTCACGAAGTCGATGTTATACCTTCCAAACCATCGCATATCCCTATCCCAGTGTTATCATAAAACTCTCAATGAATAGGGACGTTATCGCCGTTTCCGCTTCTAGCTGCTCGGGGCGTTGGGAGATCCTAGTTTGGGCGGGCTTGCGCCAACGTTTTCTTCATTCCAGCAACCGAAGCGCTAAAAATCCGAGTAAAGATGGAGGGACCAACAGCTCGCATTTACCGACCTTGGCCCCCAGTCATAGGGTATTTTTGAGATAACACATAGGTGTTTAAAAGCGAGAGCGTATTCGACAAACTTAAAGAATCGTATCGCATTGTTATATCTTCAAGAGGCGAACTAAACGTATTTCCCCTACGTAGGACCTCGAAATTGGCGAGGTTGGTAACGCGACGGGCCCACCATAACCCCGCTCAAAGACCAGCAAATCTCTACAGGGCTTTCCTAGGTATTCAGACTGATTCTTGAACAATATCTTCTATACTATGGCGGTAGTACAGAGTTCATTTAGACGATTAAAGGCAATAATAGGCCGAGAGCGCTGATGATTCCAATATGTGTCCACTGAAGCCTTCCGTCATTCAGTCAGCTTGCCCGCCTAAATGTAGCGAAGGCGCAGCTCAGCTTCCTAGTGATCATGATAAGGCTCACTACCCTCTCGACCCAACAACTTTTAGACGTCACGACTCTTTCCTCCCTCGGTATTAGTGATCATAAAGTTTCGAACATGCTATTATATTAACGATGCCGGGAGAATGCCAGTTAGTGCTAACCACTTAACAGCTTCGACACAACGCCGAAAAAAGCGTGCCGACACCAACTTGCTCGCCCATAATCAATCTACAAAGCGATAGCGATACTCTGCCATTCCATACAGACTTCCAAGATTCTCAGAAAGGTTTAAAGGCCGCAATATCATTTCCGTCTTCATATTACCAATGCTACCCCAGCATCAATTATATCCAAATATGAGATGTTCCCCTGCATTCACGTGGCACAGCCCAATGGGATTGCCTACAATGGGTTGTTGGTTGTATGAAGTTTCAAATTTGCATTAGGGATCTTACACGAAAATTAAGGCTGAAGATATACATAGATGATTCTGGTTGAGCGTTACCCACGTTTTAATACGAGCTATCTCGAGTAGCTTCACCAATTCTTCAAGGCCCTTTTCAATGGTCAATAATGGCTGCACTAAACCCCATGGATGAATACCCCATGGCGGTTTCTCCATTATCAGAACATTCAACATTATCGCCCGGACACTCGTCACACAGGACGACATTTGAACCATCATTTCGCAGTGAAGATGGTATAGCAGGTCCAGAACTCGGAACAGGGCCCGTCAACCTACGAGCGACCGCAGATCAATTAGGAAGCGATCGCGCTGCATATTTTCCATTAGCAACACATGATTACCACCAGGACAAAACCTTCGCCCAAGAAGGAAGCAGATCACCCTTTGGAGCGAAACTGTCTCGAGGTTCTACGGTATATTCAAATACCGAAAATGAGGAAAAATCGCCAAACGTTGTGGTGCCGGATCAGCATCCGCAAAGGCCTTCATTATTAAGACCTAGTTCCCCATGGTGGTGGTGGTGGGAAATATCATCAAGTATCGTCAGCATCATTGCCATGTGTCTAGTCATAGCCATACTATGCGTTATCTATGACAAGCCTGCATCTACTTGGACATGGCCAATCACACCAAACTCCCTGGTTGCTATGTGTACGACCGTTGGGAAGAGTGCGATGCTTGTCTCCGTCGCCTCTTGTATCAGCCAGCTCAAATGGCGACACTTCACATTAGGTCCACGTCCGCTCGACCACATTCAAGCCTTTGATGACGCTAGTAGAGGTCCTTGGGGCTCATTGTCACTACTAGTACGCGGTCGAGTTCGAGTTATTCCCGTCTGGAGCCTTGCTCTAATAACTTTAGTTGCCTTAGGGATTGAGCCTACTACGCAGCAGATTATAGGCTGGCAATTACGCGAAACTAGGGTGACGAATGCTACAGCTCAGATTGGTAGAGCACTGGTTTACAAGTCAAATGCATACCCATACCCCCCACCTAGCTTTTATTGGCCTACAGCAGGACTATTACCTTTCCAGTCTTCAATTATCAACGCGATGATCAACGGTCCCTCCATACCGAGATTCATTTGCCCCAGCCCTGCAGTACGGTGCGCATGGCCGGACTTCACGACGTTGGGCGTGTGCGGTACATTCGAAAATGTCACAACTTCCGAGCCACCCGTTTGTACCTATTTCAATTCTACTAGCAATATGACCTGTATGTATTCCGTTCCTACGGATGAGGCGGTCGACACCGGAACGACGGTGATTAATATACATCCGCCTCCCTTGGGGATGAATATGACCTTCATGTTCACTGGGACTTACGAGGCCCCAGGAAATCAAGAGATGGCAACTCATATGGAAGGGGATGGGTGGGGCTCGATTGGCAAACTCACCATTCTTCGCGTGACGGACAAGTATATACCCATAAGTAGGGAACTTCTTCCTACCGACGACAATGATCTAAATAAGTACAAGGATAACCGAACAACACCGCTACCTGTGGAGATGATCAGGATATCCTGGAAATGGTGTGTGAGAAGGTATCATGACGTGACATATGAATCCGGCGATATCGTCCCTCAAGGAAATCTCACCACGGAGAAAGTCATATCCACTGGTTACACGGAAATAACCGCAGAGCAGCCCGACGAATTCGAAAAGCTAACCACCCTTGACGCGAAAACCCAATTCCTGATATCCCCAGAAATCACCACGAACATTCAAGGCTTCTTAAAACGTCTCTTTTCCAATATCCAGTTATTCGACCGGTCGCGGTGGAATTTCGATGGCACGGGGGCTGGCGGGTCTAATACTACTATCGATATCACTTCATTCCTTTACGACGCCGATCTAAAAGCCGTTGGATACAATATCGCCGAGGAGATCACGAATCAGCTCCGCCAGAGTAATCCCGGCGATAATCCTAATGCGACGATGATCGAAGGTGATGCCTACATGCAGGAGACTTATATGGTGGTTCGATGGGGTTGGTTGGCGTTGCCTCTATTAGAGACACTTATTGCCGCGGGATTGCTGGTTTTGAGCATTTATCTCTCGTACGGCCAGCCTCTTTTGATGACTTCGAATATTGCGCTTTTATTACATCCGCTTAAGGGGTGGGGCGACGATGAGTTGAGAGTGACGCCTGAGACGATTAATAGTATAGATAGGTGGGCGGAAAAGGAAAATGCCCAGTTGATATCTGATGAGAAGGGAAATTCTCGCTTCGTAAGATTTAACTGAGGCTCTACCTAGGTGCCAAGGTAGACAGCTACCCAATCAGAAAGCGGTGGCATTTATACAAGGGTTTAAAGATGTTGGTTTCAACGATACAAAGATGCATCCGCACCCATGTATTCTACGGTTAGATCCATCCTGGTCGCATTTATGTTGTTTGATAAGCCGCTGGACATCCAATGTGGGCGGCAATTCTGTTCCTAAATTTGGTGAGCTGAAGCAAAGGCAATGCGACCGTGTGTCTGCCTTGAGCAGAGAAGCAGGTAAGACTACGTAACCTGCTAAAATAAACAGCAACCCCCTTCAAAATGGTCTTATTCATTTAACTCGAACAGCATCTTCTCTTTATGATTACGTTATGACGGTGGTCAAATCACAATGCACCTACCCATCAGAGACCGTGACTTTTGTTTCGTCGTCTGATACTCGAGGGACACTAGACATCGTTTGGAGTTGTCTCAGCATTTTATTAATTTGTACTTGGTCCGTCCTCCACCTAAATGTCCCCGTACAAACGACGCCTAGGAAGAAATCCGAGAAATATTTCCGAGCAATATACCGTACTTCCAACAAAATTTCTTGGATGCTTCTAAATGTAGTCGCTCCTGAATGGTCGCTGGGAAAAGCATGGGCCGATTACCAGGCAGTGTCCAGTGTCGAGGCCGATTTTGAGGCTTACGGGGATCGGGATGGCGTCCCGTGGACACGAACTCACACGTATCTTGCTAACATGGGTGGTTTTACTATCAAATTTGACGAGCGGACTGCCCCGGTGTTCGATCCAATAGAAGCTCCCAGTGATGGGGAATTAAAGGGTAATCCAACATCGGGTCGGGCGGTTGTATCTAAAATTGAGCTTGAAAGGCCAATTTCAGCACCGAATCCGTCCCACTCCTTAGAGCATTTGAGATGGGAAAGAGAAGACGTCAGGTCGAGTCAACGGCGGTATTCCTTACCAATTTCGAAAAAAAACGCTGCGACTGGTGTAGGTGCTATAGTGAATAACCAGGGCGATCGGTCCTCCGGTTTCATAAACGGGATCAACCAGCGAGGCCCGACACTGGATGAAAGTACTGGCTACCGCCAACCACCGCACCGGATAGGAGTGGTGCACAGGGAGAATAATGGGATCAATCGAACCGCTGTATCGGAAGCCAGAAGTAGTACTAAAACAAGCGACTTTGAAGACCCCTGGGAGAAACATCAGTTCTTAAAGCGGTCCGTAGTTTGGCGAAATAATGTCAAGGCGTTGAATGGGGATAGATGGGTTGTCGATGCGACGCAACTTCTCCTAGCCCGCGAACTCGGAATTATCGACAAGCTTCCTTCTATCCTTGAAGACGACATTTCCGACCGGAACAAGGGCGATCTTTTTGTGAAAGTCATTGCTATTGGTCAGGTATTCTGGTTCACACTTCAGCTTATTACTCGCCTTGCCTGGCGCATACCTACCACTCAGTTAGAGATCATGACCTTGGCGTTTGCCATTTGTACTGCGATCACCTACTTTTTACTACTGGACAAACCGAAAGACGTCCAACTTTCGACTGTCATCCACGCAGCTCGTTATGCTTCTCCCCAGGAATTGGCGCGTCTTGCTGTTATTGGTCCGTATCAATACTACTACAAGTGGGTTGACATCAGCATTCCAAATAACGCTGTCCATGCTATCCGCAACATAGACAACCCTTACCAAGGGTTACTCTTTGGGGGGACCTTTTGCATAGTGTTATTCGGTGCACTCCACTGCATAGCATGGAATTTCGCATTCCCGAATGACATAGAGAGGCAGCTATGGCACGCAAGCTCAATTATAACTATCGCGGCGATACCTGCGGGACGGGCTCTAATGGAGCTTTATTTGCTAATCAACAGTTGGTTAATGAAAACGTTCGCCGTGTCTATGGGCACCAAGACTACATTTGTGGTTGACCTTGTCCTCACCAATACTACCGGACTTCTGTTTTTCGTCGCTCGTATGTTTATTCTTGTCGAAGTCTTTCGGTCTCTGGCATTCCTACCTCCCCAAGCTTTCGAGACAACCTGGGCAAACGTGTTGCCACATATTGGTTAAAATACAAGCGATAGAAGACAAAATTATACGTTTTGGCCAATCTATTAGATATAACATTCTTACCTAGGAGGTAGCTACTAAATAGAATTCGGTCAAGCCATGTAAAGGCCCGCCGTGATCAACCAGACGATTGCCTCGCTGAAGTACCGCGACAACCCGCAAAATTCGATTCCCTTAGGTTAATTCGCCGCTAACAGCCTAGATTTGGGCTCGAGAAATCAGAATACCCTCTGATAATGATCCACATGTCATTTCTGAAATAGTAGTGTAAGGGTTTATGCAGTAGACGGGATTAAGATGTTGGATAGTCTCTTCGAGAGTAGAGCTTCTAAGGTCATACCACATGCCCCATCTCAAAGGATCCCGGATTTTAATCTTGCCTTTCATATTGAATAGGTCCGAGGCGTCTACTACCTTGTATGAGCTACCCGGGGTGAATGAGAGCCGCGTGTAATTGAATAAGTCCGGCGAGACTGCTATCTGTTCCTGCATGTCAACCGCACGCTTGATGATCTTGTCTAGTAACACCCCCGCCAGGTCATAGTCGTCCGGGCACAGGAACTAGAAAATTTCTGCTAATTCATTAGACAATTGAACCTCTGGGGAAGCACACGTATTTGCGTATCCTAGGCCAACAGTAATGAGATTCATGTACATCGTCGCACGATTCTTTCTGAGATATGGGATATCCCATTTATCAAACAATTTGACGCCACCAATCGTTCCGGATATCTCTGGGAGGATATCAAACAGAAGTTTATCAAAGATCTTGTCATGTAACCAGCGCATTATTACTGCTAACAGAAAGTCTGGCTCTGTGAGGCTATAACGCCCTAGCTCCTTAATATCCAGATAGAGATTCATCTAAGTAATTAGCGCGCGAGAGAGCTGTATACCGTCATCATGGGGGTTTATGGTAAGAGGCCGTCCCTCCCTACGCAAGGAGTCTATCCAGTTACACGCCAATTGTCGAGCAGTCAAAAATTAACTACCTCCATCATGAACAGCGTGAAACTTAGGCTTACTCTAACAAAATCCTCTTTGGACATAGGGACTACTTGACGCGAACTGTCTGGGAGGTTCGCCATATCGCTCCGGGGTTACTCGATAGCCTTCTGATATTCGGCTCGACTATTCTCTAATTCGTCTGTTTTGATAGCAAGGAAGTTTTGGTATTCGATGACCGAAACATAATTTATGGGCCTTCCAGCTATATTGGGAAATATATACCCACACCAGAATGAACAGCAATAGCTAGGAGGATCGAGGTTCTTCGCCATGCGCACAAGGCGCCTTTCCACGCAGCTAACAGCAGCTAACATCAAAGAATGAAAGGCATACACCTTTGTTCCTTCATGTTAACAGATCTGAGTGTAGTAATCGTAAAGCCATGCGATTCCATAATTAGCGCCATCTCAAGATGTTGGGATATGTAAAGAGTATAACCGCCTCAGGGCAATCTGTACTCCTCATACTAATATAAGTTCATAGATTACCAATAGGCGAGTTCCATACCCAATGTATTTCGCGGTTATGCAGTCCATCTCGCGATGAAACCCGAGATCCATTGCAGGGCAACATGGACCATACGGAGAGCAATTCTGCAATAAATTTGCCCCTAAACCTGTCCTAACCACTTGTAGAATATTGTCAGCAAGCGAATGCCGCAAAGCTCATTGGAAGCTCCGCGACCTATATGAACTTAGATGAATATACTCTGGTTCGTAAGCGATCTCGCCAAGGCGCCTAAGACGTAAACGGTCATGGCTCAATGGCGAGAACAATTTGAGCCGCTGAGCCCGCATATTCTATTTAAGTGAATTTACCCCGAATCCATTGGGTGCGTTGTCCCAATCGAATTCCCCTAAGGGGAAACCGGGCAAGTTCCTCAGATTACTGGCTGTTGCCATATCAGGCTATTTACCCTCCCCATCCTTCTACCAACATGCACCCCAGACTAATCCCGAATCGCCTCTCTCGGTATGGTACGATTCAAAAGTGCTATGCTTAGACGCGCGGACTCGCTAGCAGCGTCTGCTAACATGCTGCGCTTTCCCCGCGATAGCTATTTAAAGGAATATCGGGGAGAGAGGGGCTATACCGCAATATTGGGGTTGTGGTAGTAATAAGCCAAGTGTCTCTTCTTCCTCGAGGACCGTCCCGTGAGAGCGAGTGTGTGTGCTTACAATCTAGTTCCTTTCTATTGCTTCAAGACCGTATTGTGATACCTACCGATCAAGCTCGCTCGACAGGAACCAATTGAAGAGATGCGGTGCTCTATAGTAGCTCTCCCGGTCTTGGCGGCAGCGACATCTGTCGTTGCCCAAGCTCCAAAGCCCGGCGAAGATGGAAAATACACCATATCCTCCTCGGGAATAAGAGCACAGGTTCGGCGATCCAGACCCGAAAAAGGAATTGGTTGGCATGCTAACACTTACGAATATCAGTTCATCCCGTATGGAGCTACGCTTACCAACCTCTTTGTGGAGGACAAAAACGGAGAGGAAGTTGATGTGGTCCTTGGATACGACGACATAAACTACTATCGTAATAACGCTCTCATCCCCATTCTTGATATAACAAGGGACGACTAACCTTCATTATAGCTAAGGACCCTGGGCATCCCGTGTACAATAGTATCCCCGGTCGTTATGTCAATCGTATCGGCAAGGGTAAGTACACGCTTGATGGTACGACATACACCACTGAATTGAATGATGGGAGCAACACGCTCCACAGCGGGACGAACAATTGGTCGTATCGCGTGTGGAATGTGACCGACCACACTGAAGACTCCATCACATTCAGTGTCCGCGATGCGTCGAACTCGTCGCAAGGAATGCTGGGTTTGGTCGAGGGTCAGGTGACCTACAGCGTGAGCGACAGCACATGGAACATCAAGATGGAGGCGACATCGCCCGATGAAAAGACCCGTACGTTTCCCCACGAATATACTACTAGCAGTTGGGGTGCCTCGGTTCGCTAACTCGGAGGAAAAAGCGCTCATGCTGACGCACCACACCTACTTCAACCTGGACGCATTCAAGAACCCAGACACGCAGAAGATCTGGAACCACACGCTATACTTGCCGTACTCGAAGCGATACCTAGTCGCAGACGATGGCGCGCTGCCTACAGGTAAGATCGGCACAGCAGAGCCCGGTGGCATTGACGATTTTTTCAGCGAGCCCGACCTATTCCTAGGCCATGCGCGAAGCGATCCCAAATTCGCAGGAAACTGTGGCGGCGGCGGTGCCTGCGAAGGCTATAACGGGTACTTCCTCATCGATGACGCCCCCAAAGATGCCGTTGTGGTCAAGCTATCCAGTGGATTCTCCGGCATCACTGCTGACTTGCGTACTGATCAGCTCGGCGTCGTCGTCTACTCGTGCAACTGGATGGATGGGACAGCCGACCTGAAGAGCACGCAAGGCACAAAGGCTAACCGCAAGGTGGTGAGAAGTTCGTGCGTCGCTATCGAGGCGCAAGATTATGTCGACGGCATTAACCAGTAAGTCAGCTCGTCTCTCTCCCCCTTTCCGTGACACCTTCCCTTTTCCCAAGATCCCGAGGAGAAATGATAGATCGGCACTTGTAGGATATGAGGGCTAACGCTGGATGAATTAAGCCCTGAGTGGGGACGCGTCGAGAAACAGATTACTGGACCGGGTCAGAAGTACTCGTGGGAAAGCTCTTGGACTTTCGGAACACTTTGAGCCAACCTCGGTGAAGAATGACCAAGTCCCCTACTTCAAGCCTCCAAGGAAGAGGAAGGGGAAGGATTCATTAATGCGATACACCATTTTAGCGATACCCGCCAATAAGGGGGCATTGATGGGTGTGTCGAGTTGTACATAGCAATGTCATTCGACGAGTACAAATTTCTTGAATGCCGTGTCGTCTAGCTCGGCAGTTCAATTTCTTAGGGGTTACTTCGATCTTCGTGTGACGCAATGGCCCAAGGCTGGCTGGATTTATAACACTCTTACCTAAGCCTAACATTTATATCCTCCAGGCCCTCATCCAATACTTGATGCACATTGACATCAGAATGAGGCCATTTAGAATGTCATTGTCTTTCCAAGTGTGCTTTTGTTTGGTCGAGGCTAACACGTCTTGAATGAATATATCATGTAACGTAGCGAGCAAGAGTGATATCGTGACGACTTTTTGGAAAGAAGTGGAAGGAAAAGGGAATCGCGGTGTCCAATCCTAAAAAATGCAAAAAGATCTGGACTAGGCGGATCTGTGTAACGAAGGCGTACTTTCCTTGTTGACCATGTGCCCTCTCCCCTTAACTATACATGTATCTCGCTCTTTTCGGAGGTACGGCGAAGTTGTACATAACCCGGGTGTGTTTACCTGCCCAATCCGAATAGCGAGTGGGTGGACTAAATCCTTGGAGGCATCCAATGCCGTGGCTAGCGTAGTTCGCCTTGGCTGCCTGGAGTTTTACCCATCCATTCTTAGCTCATAGAGCAGCAATAGTCTGATTCGTCGCGAAGGATCAGCAATATGCATTTTTATTATTGATTGGCCGCAGAGGAACGCCATCGGAGGGGCAGCCGGAGGAATACGAGCGTGGGTCGAATGTTTTGCTTGCAGTGGTTTTGCGATTGCGGAGCATCGAGATTTCCGAGAAACCCATCCCTGGATATCCACTATGGCCTTTTTTCCCATAGCGAATTTAGGGGTCCATTCTGCCCTGCATACGGCTTGTCACCTAGGGGCCAGGGGGGCCGCGTGCCGCTTGCGCGCAGCCCATCGTCCACTATGAGCTGATGACGTAGTTCGGCCAAGACAAGAAAAAAAAAGTTTTCGTGATTGTAGTATCGTCATGAAACTTTGGAAGTCTAGACTTTGTAATTGTCTTGTCCATTGCTCTTTCCCCTGTTTCTCAGGGATGTTTTCGCGCAGTCTTGAAGTCCTAGATTAGAAAGCCGAAAATCACCAGTTGGAGCACAACTCAATGTCACCCAAGGGACGTCTTCAATCCTAGCTGGTCCATTAGCTTCATGGCCATGGCTTACGCATACGTCATTCCCTTTAGGATAGAGACTTGAAGTATCGCGACGACTCTAAGCAAACCAACGTCATTGTCGTTCGGTGAGCCTTTGACTACTCGAGGAGCGCTTTCTTCTTTCGTGGGGGTCTGATGAGAAGGCGACCAAATGATGATCGCGGTGAAGAGTGGTCGCCATTAGCTGTTGAGGAAAACGCTCATGGCTTATGGCACTATCTAGGCATAGTCTTGTCGGACCAATATTCTAGTTGACAAGAGGGAAGGATCGTCTTGGGCTTGGGATCACGAGGACCTAACCACTAGGCAATTGAGAAGGAAAGAATCCGGGTCGCGAAGTTGTTCATGGCAGTTGGGTTCCAAGCACGTAGTTTCTCCGATCGGCCTTTTCCCCATACGTAGCGACACGCTTCTACCTGTCAGATGAGATTTGAGCGAAGGGAAAAAATCAGCCCATAATTGTATGTTGTCCGGGTCGGGCTGCCGACTTGTTCCGCGAAATAGGAGGAGATCAGCATCGCTTGTGGGGGCCAGTTTATAGCGAGCCAAATCTGGACCCTGGGCAGAAGGCTCAAGAGTCTATCAGCCTCAAGCGTTCAGCCAGTAATATCTGCGTGGGACTAATTTCTATTTCGTGAGTTTAGTCTGTCTGTCTTCAATGCGAGTGATGACCCCGGAGATCACAATGACATCATGTTATCCCCGAGGGGATACGTCAGGGCATCATGTCTTGGCTTCTCGCGCACCAGCTCAACCTGAGGTTTGCCTAGCCTTGAGTCGTGGGGGGTAGGTTTGGCTGAGAGGAAGTCAGGTCCCAAGAATGTTGCGCGGTGAAGCTCGGCGGTAGGAAGAAGACTATGATCTTACTTCACGTCTTCGGGGTTCTCTACATAAACCGCGGGTTTAACCCTCAACCTTCTCAGCTTCTCTTGATCGACAAGCTCAACTTTTTTTCTGTGCCGATCAGTATCTGTTTAGGCCAAAGTTACCCATCTTCTTGCGTAACTTCTACTCTTTTCATCGTTCTGTTTCTTATTGTTGGTGTTGTATCCATTCAGATTTAAGGAAAAGTTTGAAAAATACGAGTTTCCCTTCAGCACTTTAATCTTTGTTATCTTGGCTCTATCTATCACCTAATCTTATCTCCATACGTACCCCACAGGTCTATTACGCGGGGTCTATTAGGTGCCTGTCTACAGCCTACCAATTCAGCTAGCGGATGCAGCCGAGCGCTAAACGAAGTCTAAACCGAATCACTGGAAAACCTAATTACCTTCTAACTCGCCCGATTGGACGCTAAAAATGGCTGGTAGAGGTCAAATCGACGGTTCAGCACGTGCAGTCCAGTATCTAAAGTGAGTTTACCTAATTTCTAAGGGTGAATTGAATTCGGATCCATTCCTTTCGAGTTAATAATTTCTTCCTTAACTCTTATCCACTACTATCAATAATACTCAATTATTCGCGTTATTTAGTCAAGAAGATGCTGCTCTCGAAGTTGTCCAGAGGCCTAAAATCGATGTTCCTGTCGATGTTGGATACAATTTACAGCGGTTCCTGAACCCTCACCTTCACGCCGAAGACCGACACTTGAGACCGCCCCAATCTCCAACTCCACTCACTGAGGACGAATCTCGTACCCGCATGGCGGCTATTCTTAGCTCCATGGTATTCGATGCGGAACCAAAGAAGACTTGATGGAAACGAACAGCATACGGCATTCGAATTGGTATTTACATCGAATAACTTTTTTCTTCCTTTCATGATTACGGATTCTTTTCATAGTTATTCTTGTTAGGTATTCTTTGGTTAGTTTGCATTAGGGCATTAGCATATGGATTTAGCGGGCATTTAGCGACTACTGGGCTGGCATTTATGGCATTTTTGGGCGCCGTACGTTTAATGAGGAGGGGTTATGATCAATAGGCGGAAACTGCATCAGCGACTGGTCTGGAAATTACTTTGCATTGGGAGGTCTTTTCTATTTTTACTACTTTATAATGAATTGGGAAATCATGTTCTTCATTTTTACATCATGTAATTGAGAAATTCAAGCATTCTCCTTTGAATGGGACTTGAGATCTTTGAGTAGTGGTATAGCTTGAGTGCTCGATTCTAGAACCTTTAAGCCCTAGAAGTGCATGGAAAGAGCCTTACCTCCTGCCAGATTAAGAGAAGTAGCAACTATCGCCTTCTCGTTCAGGCTAGGAACACGCTGAAGCTATGGATAACAATCGCTAAGAAACCAACCAAAAGGCACGTGTATTCTATACTGGTATCCCATTCATTCACGTGGGTCTTCTCAACGATTACATCAGTGACGTATGCATTTTTAGGCAGTGCTGCTGTAAAACATAGACCATCTTACTTCTGAACTCTGTCAAAATATTAACAGGGAAATCAACTACCAAAGCAAACACCATACCCTAAAGATGGCTGTTAGAATCGAATTGAAGCAAATAGACTTAAAGGGCAAGAAAATTGTCGACGAATCCGTCTTCAACATTCTCAACGACTACCTGCAACTAGGAAGTTCTACATCCACCTCTCAGGCAGCCATCGCCATATCAAAACTAGCCCCCGAGCCCAGTGGCGAAGAGAAAACCCTAAGCGACGAATTCTTTTTCGGGCTATGGAAAAGCATCATTGGGGTCGCAGAGCAGATCCCACCTGATCATTTCGCGCAGGACAAGTTAGTAGGCGTCTTAAGGGAACTTACACTGCTCCCAGATAGTGGGGTTACGGTATGGGGAGTAAGTGAAAGCTGACTTTCTGCACCTGCTGAACGCGGGGCTAACTGTGTTGAAAGGCCCGCCTTTGGACAGATTTACCAGTTCTTGGCGCTGTTTTCAGGGAACACTTGAATGGGCCTGGTCATTCGGCCGATGAAGAGGAGCAAGGGCAGATTGATCTGGCTTGGATACGATTCCATGCTTTCTCTGCTAAACTGATTGGGGCTGGAGTGGTGCATTTTGAGAACCAACCCATATGGATGTTGCGCGAGGCATTAGAGGAACAGAAGAACCCGGTAAAAAGCAGTGCGTTGGATAGAGACTTGATAACGGCGGCTATGTACATCGAGTTCTCAGGCCCAGTGCTAGTTGAAGCGTTGGCGGCCAACCCTGAGCCGGAACTCAGCGACGAACTTCGCCGTATACTTAAGGCTGGTACACTCTTCAGTGGGGGTTCGGGGCTGAGACTAGATAGGTGGTCGTACTGGACTAAGAGATTTAGAGAGGAGGCGGAGAAAACGAAGAGCGAGAAGGCGAAAGCAATTGCCTTGCGAACTGCTCGGTTGATGGAAGTTTGGACCAATGCAAGATTGAGTAACTGAAGCAGACTAATGATTAGAGATCGCCGGGGGGGGTTAAGGAATGATTATGTTTACCTAAGTAGGTACGAACCGTCCTAGTGGTTTTGACTCTTAGCTGCGTGACCTCAGTTAACTTGGAACGCGCCTTCCACGCCTCAAATACAATACTTTTCTCCTGTGCCGTTTTCCGAAACCGTCTGACGATCTGTATAGATCGTGCATGTTATACTTTTCAGATGACTCAGGTCGTTGCCGCTTGAGCCGAATTTTCTATTATATAAACCTGCCCTGATGTAATTGTCCTCGTATCCCTTTTGCTCCTCTCACCACATCCTCCTTTACCCAACTCCAAGGGCATTCCTCAAAGACCACACCAGGAACCAATTCATTCAATATTGAGACTGCACTTCCCAGGAATGGAATGCCAGAGGGGCTTATACCAAGAAGCGCCAAACATACAGATGGCGATGAGCTACAGGTACATCACATTGCGACATAAATTCGGCGCGGCGAATACCGCAGTAGGACACAGTATATTGATGGACCCTACCTGGTAAGTGATATCCCGATGCCTCCAGCTTGCTTAGGTACATCGATGTACCCTTCATTGGAGCCATCCTAATTCAAGTAGAAGAGACATTCCTCGGGAGCGATTGAATTGGTCAGCTCTTCTCGTACGGGGAGCCTCCGAACCAAAACGGATTCAATCGAATCACGACTCGGGCGCCACTAGGAGTCTGATTCCCCCAGCAGTCACAGGACAGCAGTAGCTCGAAGAGAATCTCCAGTCTCACGGTATTGTCGATAGGCGGAAGGGGTTGTCACCTAGACCACCTAGGTGGTGGACCCGAGGAAACGTACCTATTATTGGTTCTATTGGAAGAGGACTGAAGATGATGGCACTAGGAGGTTAATTATATTCCACTTGATGTATTGAGTAAAGGTGACACACCTACGAAGCATTAGGACTTGTAGTGATCTCATTATTAATGATAGTGAGCGCTGGACCTGTAGTTGCATTAGGATATTGGTGGGGAAATAATAGCAATCAAACTTCCGCGAATCAACATTAGCAATCCTAGAACATCAATTCTCAAGTGCAACCCACTGAGACTACTTCTGATGAACAATAGCCTTCTCGTCGATGCTAGATAAAGTGCTAGTCAGTATGAGGTCTATATTAGTCTGGCCTCGTGAGTAACCTCGACGGCTAAGTTACTGGCGACGGTAAGGACAAGCGAGGCGACGCATAGTCAGTTGGTAAACAGATGATTGAAATTGGGAACTCGGACTTGCTATTATTATTGATACGACGTGCTGTAGGCCGACGTCGCTCACTAGAACTATCTCATCTTAGAATGGTATAAACGCGAACCACACCATGAATGTGCAAAAGCCATACAATAGCTTCTTTCTTAGAGTCAATCCTCCAAGGAAGATACTCCGCGGATCATAGCCACAATTCAGCAATGTATAACCGACCATATCTAGACAGCGAAATATTCTAGTGGAGTAAATAATTTAGTATCTGGAGCACAATATCGTATTAGTTAGCAAACTTACAGGTTTATTAAAAAGACACCGAACCCGAATTTGGGTAGCGGTCCGCCTTGCGTGGTCTCGGAGATAACGGTTTCACGCGCGGTGTAAGTGACGGGAGGAATGCGGATAAACGTGATGACCAGCTCTGCAGCAAGTGCACGTGTATACGTGAGCTCATTGGTGGTGCCGACGCGGACCACAAAAATCATTAATGCCAATATCGCGAGACCGAAGTCGATCTAAAAAGAGAACCGAACCGTCAGAATCTCGGTGCGAAATTAAGCAAAGGAAATAAAGGAATTCGTACGCTTGCAGGTATCAAAACCGTCGACGTGTTGCGGAACATGGTCCAGGCTAGGACGGCGGCGAGCATCCCAAGCCCAAATTGTATGATGGCCATTATCAACCAGGATATTACGACGACTAGCCTTCTAACCCTACAAGGGGCATGCATCTGCTTAATCCTACTATTAGAGGCGCCGCTGTGAACCGGCCATGTGCAGAAATGACATATGTAGCCGTAGTCACCGTTGACCATCATTACAAGTGGCCAATGCTTGCGCGTGTGTTCGCGGCTTAGCCGATAACGCCAGCAGCGGAAACAAATTGACCGCCACGTGTGGCTCGGACGCGTCGTATCTATGATCAGGCGATCCCGCCCCGGCATGCAAAGACATTCAGTGCAGCAATCGTGCAGAACAGGATCAAGCCGGCCATCCTTCATGGTAAACTGCCTGCAGAGGAAATCGACTGTGATGACTTGGCGGTACGACGAATGAGTAGCGCGCAGCGTGGCGAGGCTGGCCAAATCCAAATGGGACATGATGAGGAATTGGAGCTCTAGAGGTAAGGAAGCCAGCCCTACGTCTCCAGCATTGGTAGACCGCGGCGGCGCATAGTTATTGTGAGTGCCCCTTTCCCCATCTCGGCCATGCCTCGTGCTTGAATTGCTTGTGTTTGTGGTGAGCTCGATGCTGTGAGACGAGCTCATCATCATGCGCGCGCGGTAAAGGATCAAATCAACTGGAAAGGCAGTTTAAAAAGGGAGTGCAATGCTCAATCATGGAATGAATGAAGGGCTCGTCATCTTCCGCCCGGCTTCTCCTTTGTTAATAAAAAAAGGTAGGATGTGAAGGGAAGTTGATCATCCAATGCGACCGTTTTCCTGGGGTGCCAAGTATGACGGCTGAAGAAATTCCCTGGGTCTGATCGGTTTTCCGGCACACAAGACAACACACTAACCCGGCTGTCCGGCACAGGCCGACCCGTGCGCTGGGTCCGTATAAATTGACAGTATATTTTATGGGCATACACGGTACTTAATCGATTATGTGTTACTTAAGTATAAGTAGCAGAAAGAGACAAATAAATAGTGTGCGATCAATGAATGAATGCTTTGATATTGGCTGGTGTTATACGAGAGCGGTGGAAACCCATAGAGATTGATTATCTGATAAAAAAAATGATTGTAAAGAAGAGAGAATGATCAAGTTGTAGATCTTAGAAGAAAACCCCCATGCACTTAGGATGTACCTACCTAATGTACCCGTCCATTTTAGTGTAGCGCAGGCAGACACTGTATGCACGCACGCACGGGCCAGAAACAAAAGCTTCGCAGGGCTATGACCATCACATGTAGGGTTAGGCGACAAACTTAAACTCTGACATTTTAATATGATCTTGCAGGCGAATCGGCAGGGTTAGTTCACAATAGGCAGTCCCTTGGACTCGCAACTACCAGAAGACTCAGGCTCGTACTTGACTTTGAATGAAGGAACTCAGTTTAAGAGAAGGAAAGAGGAAAGAAGAATGACAAGAGAGAGAAATACATCGAGTCAAACAGAAACTACATAAACCTTACCACTACCTACCCCATTCATCCCATTCATGTTTCTCATGCAGGTCAACAACGGAGCCTACCATTTTCGATGCTGTACACTAGACTTTTCAACCCATCTCATTGGATCATCTTACATAATACTGACCACGATCTCTGGTTCTATGCTACGCCGTCTAAGCCTGGTCCAAGCCTATCGGATCGGTTGGGTGGCACCACGGTCGCCGACATTCCATTTCGTTATTCGCGAAACGAGAGAATATGTACTCGCCCTTTTCAACCATTATTTCCGGTCAACCATCCCAACCTTGCCAACATCCGATATCACGTAGGATTTACCGGCTCTAGATATAGCCTCACACCGCGTCGATGCACATCTGCATCCTTGATGACGAATACCGAGCATGACAGGGTTTCCTCCACCGACCTTCACTATTTACCCCTGTTTATAGCTCCTCTCGTTCCGTGCCGAGTTGCGGCAGCCTGCAGAGACCCGAGACATATCGGATCATGATTCCACTAATTTTCCGGTTGAGTTGAGTTCAAATTTTCCACGGCTTACTGTATTTTATTGTCGTGATACCACCTACTTAGACGCCTAAGTGCCCTTCCTATAGGCCATGCCAGCTCTCTGTCTCCTATCCGATACAACATTTCAGTGCTCATATCTCCTTATAGCATTAATACCTCACACTGTTTCTATCCACCACCCACTAGCCACTTCTTACATAAGAGTAACCTATCAGTAACAAATTCGATGTGTCTATTGTCAATATCGACCTTATAATTGGACTTAGCGACGCTTACCACTTAAGTATAGAGGACAAAAATCTACCAATAATCAGTAGAACCGGAACCGTCTCCATTAGCGCTGGGCTTTAGTTAGTACATCCGTCTAAAACATCAAATCCGAATACCTACCTAGGTATCTACCTTATACATGCCCACAATCAAGCAAAAACGGAAGCGCGCTAATTTTCATGTTCTTGAAAACAATCTACCGTAAATATCTAAGCTAATGCCTCCGATAAGTTACTGGTTGAGGGCCATATAGTATCAGAGGAGATTATCAAGCAAAACCGAGTATCACCAACTTCTACCCATTCATTTCAGCAGCCAGCGGCTTCATACTTAATTTCGATTGAAACTGCCATCCAATACTAGATGCATTGTTCTTTTGTGCTCATATCATTGCGTGAAAAAGAGACGAAACGAATAACACAGCTCACTAGGAGATATATGTCCCAATCGATTACCTAAGGCTCTTCCCAGGTAACTGGAGTCAACTAACTTGGCGGCCCTTGGCGCCAATTACAGCGCTCAATCGCCTCTAATCCTACTGAAAAACAGTTGGAGACTCCACCGCCCAGCTTCAATGAAGTCATCGTGACGGTCTAAGCTAACATCAATCCCACCCCTACACTAAAGCTAGTGTACCTAGGTATGCATGCCGCTAAATTCTCCATGGTAAATGCAGTATTTCGTACCTGTCTAGCTGCTAATTGGCCTGGAGCGGGAGTATATCTGACGTCAACTCTAAAAGTTCTGCTTAACAGAGTAATCTAGCACGCGACCTTTTATATCGACAATGTTCCTTATAATTACTATATTCGGAGACGTGGTGGTGTTTGCTTCATTTTGTGTCATTATTTTAAAATGTTCTTGATTCAATTCGGTGTGTTTTAAGGATAAAAAACAGCGAGCGGTTGCTGTGTTCTTCATTTCGTATAAATCATGTGGTCCTATATCCAGTATCGTCGGATGGGGAGGGACCTCCAACAGGCATACGAGAGGGACTCCAAGATTGAAACATATCGACAAGCGCGAGAATCAAACTCCAGGAATGTCGAAGCGGCTAAACCAGATTCTCCTCTGGAAACATTAGGGAGTAAAGAACGTGATGATACCCCGACGAATAATCACAGCACAGACAAGATCATAGTCCGGACTGATGGTGATGATGACCCAATAGATCCGAAAAATTGGCCCTTGATGGCCCGATGCAAGAATATCGCCATACTCTCTTTCTTAATATTCTCCCAAGGATGGGCAGGGGCCGCGGAATCGATGGCGAATAAGACTGCCAGCGCAGAGTTCGGCGTTAGCCAGGTTGCCGAAAATTTATCAACTGCTATGTATCTCTTCGGTGTCGGTTCCGGCGCACTTTTCGCAGGTCCATTATCTGAGACCGTAGGTCGCAATCCAACGTACCTGGTCTCGACGTTTTGCTACTTATTCTTTGTCCTGGGGTCAGCATTGACGCCGACGTTTGGAGGTCAAGTCGTATGCCGCCTCTTCGTTGGCCTCTTCTCTAGCGCGACATTGAGTATCAATGGTTCGAGCGTGCGCGACCAATTCCGGCCTGTGAAGAGGGCCTTCGCGTTTCCTATCATTGCTTGGGCGAATGTAGCGGGTAAGCATCCCCTAACGAATTTCCTTTTACCGCGTAATGTAAGCCACTAACGCGCCCAATTCCGTTATGCAGCACCGGTAATAGCGCCTATAGCAGGCGGTTGGATTGTGTCAAACCCTAACTTATCATGGCGTTGGACAGAATGGGTGACGCTGATAATCTCTGGCCTCGCGTTTCTGGTCTCGTTATTTTTTCTGCCGGAGACGTATTTACCACTTCTTCTTGACTGGAAGGCGAAACATCTACGGCGTCTAACTGGTGACAATCGATATGTCTCTGAACACGCCGAGTCGGCGTCCTTTATTCGGAAGCTCAGGCAGGTGGGCCCTCTGCCAATGAAGTTCCTCACCCAGGAGCCCGTTATTGCTATACTGGGTGGATATTTAATTTTGCTATACGTATTGCTGTTTTCGTTCTTATCCGGTTTTGACTACATCTTTAAAGAAACGTATCAACTTTCTACCGCGCTCACCGGATCTTGCTTCGCGTCAATCGCGGCCGGCGCAACGTTTTTCACACTTCTAGCTCCTGGATTCTACAGCTGGGCGAGATGGAAGACAGAATATGTGCGGGGTGCGCCAATCGACCCCGAATTCAGGCTCTGGCCAGCCATAATTGCAGCGCCATTGCTCGCTATCAGCCTCTTTTGGCTGGGGTGGAGCGACCAACAAAATGTATCCATTTGGAGTAGCCTGGGCGCCTGTTTTGTCTTTGGTATGGTCATCATCGCCATCTACGTTGCTAGTTATGAGTATATCATTGATAGCTACGGAGACCACGCCGCCATAGGTTTAGCGAGTATTACCATAGTTCGCTATTTAGTCGCTGGAGGAATGGTCATGGCTGCGCGTCCTATGTATGAAGGAATTGGTACACATTGGACGATGACCCTCTTAGGGGGCGTCGCTGTGGTGTTGTTACCGGCGCCGCTTTTCTTTTGGCGTTATGGGCGGAAACTTAGGGCTAGGAGTCCTTACGCGAAAAGTCCATAATCTTAATTTTTATAGCGGAATGAATTTCGGTTGGAAATTAAGGTGTTCGCAGCTCCACGCCCAAGAACTTTCAGCTATCAGGGATCTAAGAGTTCAACCCTTCAGCCAGCTTTTCGCGTACCTAAACCCCCGCAAGTATGTGTCCCTTCGGTATTGGATTTATCCTACGCAACCATTGATTGCGGCCACCATAGGTGGGGAACTCCGAGGCCTCAGGGGATGTTTTGCTTTAGAATATAGGCCTAATAGGAGGCCTTAAAATAACCCTTAGGGTGCGAGCATGGCCATCTCTTCCGCCAACAACTACGCCACCATGTTTCTGTAGGCGCTTTCTCACCCTATGCCAAGCCCAACGCTCATCGTCTCGCAGCATTAGCTATACTAGACTTCGCCTAGCACCTAAGTAAATAAGTCAGTGACCACCCCGCCATTGACATTAACGGTTCCAGGCACTACTCCACGCTCGCCGCTCTGAACAGCGAACTCCTCAGGTAGCCTTTGGCAAGCGTCTTCACTTGGCCGAGGGAGATCATGCGGGTAGTGTACGCCGATTTCAACTTCAAGGTATTCAATCAGTATGGCTCAATACTAACTTAATATTCCGCGTTGGATGACAAAAATGTTTAAGAGGATTGTAGCACAGTATTGCTAAGTCATATAGGTCGGCTTGTAGGGCCCGTATGCGCCGTTACTTATCGATTTACTACTAAATAATCCTCAGGCATAGACAGAGCTCTTTGTATGCGGGGGGTTCAAATGAATGCGGCGATTGGGGCGTTAGCTACCTAGGTATCTACACCGTACCTAGTTCTAGGAGGTAGGGAGCAACTAACAGCGCCCACCCATACTTGTTGCGGCGAGGTTATACTGTCTGAATCCCCTAAGCCCTAGTGCATACAGCTAATTGGGTAGCATATATCGCAATCCACGCCGGTCGAGCCGTTCGTCTCTACATACAAGTATGTATTGAAGTCTCTGATACTAGGTAGGCAGGCTAACATCCTAACTACATGAATTCGGCAGAACAGTGTGTGCCTAGGCACCTAGATAGGAGATATAATCTCATCGCTTGATTAAGAAATCTTTGTTAATTTATGGAGTCACTTTATCTAGAGCGCGCACGTATTGCTGTAGAGTATTTAGACGGTAGGTAAGTATAGTGGGAGGTGTGCTAAAACTATGACTACATCGCACAGTTATAGTGGTTAAGCCTCTTGTCAGAGTACACAATTGAGACGGGCTATTTTCTAGGCCAAGGGGGGGCCTTATAATTCTCACAACTAAGCTACCTAGGTACAGAGAAAAATATAAGTAGGTGCCTAGAAGGCCTATAGGAATCAACTAGGTATAGACAACACTTATTTATTTTTTTGTTCATTCTACACATGTACTAGATGCATTTAATCATTATGTGTCCTCTCTATCAGATCTCCAAGTCTCCTTAGATCCAGCTCTAGCAATGAGCGCGCTTCGGTTAAGAGAAGGTTACCATTCGGCCAGAGTTCTTCGCCAATTGCAACTTGTTGGAATCTCAACTCCATAACTCGTTCCATGAGTTGTAAGCTGCGTTCTGCGTCCGTTTCTTCTTTAGCTTGCGATACGCTGAGCAAATAAAGGCTGAAATCATGGTACCTATACACACTGTAAGCCCCCGAAGAGAAGTTTTTGATTTAAGTCATAACTTACGCAAAAAATAGTTCTGGGCGCATATGCAGGGCTTCGAGAACCTGCATACGTCTAGTGAGACGGGCACCCTTTTGTACAGTTTCTTCCTCGTCTTCAATAGACAACGCTCCCCGTTCTTCACTTGCTGCGACGAGTCCTTGTATGTTAGCAGCCTCTTCGAGTCGAATATCGAAATCTTCGCTCGGACCCGTGCAATGAAAGCATTCACATTCGATTCCCCATTGGCCTAGTAGCCTTTGTCGTAAGGCCCTCGGGTAGCAGAATGGCACGTAGGTAATAGTCAACTCTTCGCCTGCCTTAATAGGCCGATTAGCGGCCGCGAGGAAATGCCCGACGAATGCGTCAAAAGTGTAGTATGTATTAGCATAGCAAGAGTGATTCAACCTGCTCGCCTTCAGGAAAACGGCGGATATAGAGGGCGCCCAAGTCCCATCACGTCTCCGTTTCCTCGGGATCGCCTCGAATCGATTTGAACCGAAAATCAATGCGAGTTTGAGGTATCTTTCAACTTGCTCGGGTTCGTAATTTCCCTCCTCAAGGTCTTTGCGTAACCAAGCCACCCGCTGGGCGGGGCCAGACCCGTATAACCCTAGAAATTCTTCTTGCTGGACCTTAGAGAGATCTTCCTCAAACCTTTCAACTAATGCATCCAGATTTTCACCGGCGGTGCTCCAATTGTGACGCCACAGATAGGGTTTCTCAAGCAGAATATGCTCGCCGGCTTGTATATCTCTTGTCGCGAAGCAACCAAATCCCTTGTCTTTTGTGTACTTTACTTCGAATGGGGGGCCTTTAAGTGTAGCCTCGGAAGATGTATCGGGCGGAGGAGCTAGCGGAAGTTGAGAACCCGGAGGCGCCTGAGATGGAGGGGAAGCAGGTCCAGAGGAAAAAGTTAGAACCTGAGGAGTGGCAGGCGAACGGACCGGGATTGTGTAAGATGGGGAAGTCGGAAAGAGAGGCGAATCGAGTAGCATCAGATCAGAAGTTGATGGGGTAGAAGTTATTAAGGCAGATTGAGGAAATGGGTGGAGAGGATGCGAAGGAAGCGAAATCGAAGCGGGGATAGGGCCCGGAGGCTGATTCGGATCCGATGTTTCGCTAGCCATTGTATAGGTATGTCTTGCAATTATACTCTCAGAAAGTGATTATAGGATATCAACGAAGGGCTCCTCTGCTACCGCTCGCAATATTACCCGAGAATTTCAAGGTAAATGTAGGTATTCAAAGTTAAGGTAGAACTTCATATTAAATTGGCAATTCGAAAGAGACTGTTAATGCCTGCAATCATAGTTGTTACTGTGAGTGGGAAGCCTGCTTGACCTCGTTTACAGACAAAGACAGACGCATTCGGGACTGCAAGAGAATACCACTAAGGAATGAACAATTGTATAGCTTATCTTGTTGTTGGCCTTTGTTAATTGAATGCTTTCAGTTTTACTATATTAACCTACTACCTAAGTAATTGGTGTAGTTAGGTTTAATATTCAACTCGACTCCCATATTTTAACGCATAGCCTAATAATACCTATACTTGATTATGCAAGGTTGCAAATCAACCTATATACGTGAGGATAAATTCTGATTGTTCCATTAAAGATTTCAAGAAAACCACGGTTCCAGCCATGTATGAATTTTGGGCCGAGCTAGCCGACCGAGTCGACCAGATCGAACAAGCGCTCTTGTATGGCTTTAGTGACCATCAGGCAGCTGGGTTTCAATATATGCCATCCTATTTCTTAAGTGTCTACGCGAGTTTGGTGGATGTATTGAACGGAATTTCCACGGAGCTTGCTAAGGGCAATGAAGAAGACAGAAAACTCCTTTTCAATCGGGCTGTCGGACTTCTCCAGAGGTTTTATGAGTACATACAAGAAAATACCAATGACTTAACGCCATATGGAGGATTTTACTACAAGCTATGGAAACGTATTGACAAACTCTCAAAGCAGCCATGCGTTTCTTTACACCCCAACATCCTAACCCACATTATAAGGATGACAAAGCTGGCAGAAGGGCTTATAGCTGCAACCGAACAACTCTGGACAGTCGAAGGGGATCTTTACGATCGCAAAGCTTTCCGAGCGGCCTACGAAAAATTCAGGAAGCTTGACCAGAACCATTCGAAAGACGACGTCAGCTTTCGCGATTTTGCCTTAGAATCACAACAGATCCTTCACGAAGCCTACTTGGGTCTTCGCATGCCCTTGGCCCAGAACGCTATACGCTTCAACCCTTTCGATGACAACAAACTCCCCATGTACATTGATGCATCATGCAAATCTGATGCTTATATCCGCGGATCGGGCGAGAGGCCTGGTGTGCTAAGTCTCAAGCAAAAACTTGGTGGCCCAGTTCCTACCAAGGAAGAGAAAGGTTCCAAGAAACGAGGTTTGTCGGACGATGAGGACGAAACGCCAGCGCCTAAAAGATCCCGCCAAGTTTATGGTTATACTATGACCATGGATAATGTCGACGCCGACATTGAGGATATCTACAGCAATGTGGGTTACAACCAGATAACGGAGCGGCCCCACCCATGCAGGCTCATCACACCAACTTTCAAGAATCGGGATGATACGATACAAAACTATGAAGCGGAATTTCTTAAGAGGTTAAGGCTATACCTGAGAAACTATTTCAAACCGGAAAGCCCTCCGACGACACAAGGTGCGCGGGACGCACTGCTCAAGAGACTAGAAAAAGAAATAGTTTTGTTGCGATTTACGGTAGGATCAAAGTCCGACCGTCACACTACTTCTACAAACCTCAAGGAAGCGAGAATTTCGTCTTACTCGTTGAAATTCCTTCGATCGCTTTACATGAAATTGCTACTTTCCTCTGAGCCGCCTGTGTCGGCCCAGCGACTAAACCAGGCCTTAATTGACCGTCTCGATGATTGGATATTACACGAACGGGCTTGGAACGCGGCCGATGAAAAGGCCAAGGACGGAAAACGTACAACAGCTATGAAGCAGACTTGGATCGACGGTTTCTTAGAAGGGCGGAACAAGAACATTGAATCATGGAAGGCATTGCAGAAGCAATTCGTTAGGAATCCGCTTGAACAACGCGAAATGGTTGAAGCAGAAAGACCTAAGTCTGAGGAGACTAAAAACCCCGCTGCATTTGAGGCACCTAGGCCTCGGTGGGCCGGGGGGCCGGCCGCCCCTGTGAGAGATAAGCACCAGAACCGTTCTGGAAACGACGGAATTTATCTCCTCCCGAGACGTGCTGATAGGACAATCTACGTAAATGAAGCAGCTGAACGTAGACGAGCGGAGCGAGCGACTGTACGCGATATGATTCGTAACTTTGGGCCAAGCGGTCGGGAGGCGGAGCGCGACTTGCTATCTAGATATAGCACGGAGGACAGAACAACGGCACAGGTAGCTGCCGCACTCGCCAAAGGAGGACCACCGGACTACGAGCAAATACCTACCGGAACTGTCTTCGAGAAATTGGTATATATGATCGTCTTGACGCAGTGGCGCCTTTACCAGATACGGGATATCCTATAAAGATAAAGCTCAAGCTTATGCAATTTGTTTTAGGGTAGAGCATCTTGTTTCACCCTGTTTAGGTATTTATGTAGTTTAGCTACTGTTTAAAAAGTATAATTTACCTAGGTACCTATCCGTCCTTTATACCCGACTTTTTATTCAAAGCATTACGTATGCTACACCTATATTCCTTGACTGGCAGGTGCATAGGCCCTGTTGAAGCCACCTAAACGCCCTATAGGCAAGGATATTTTGTGCAGAGTGCACTGCTAGGGAGGGATCTCCCTGCTATCTAGACAGCTAAGAATTGAGTTCCCTCCTTGCATTAACAAAGGCCAATGACCATCGTCGTTCGAGGTGCCCCACATTCCTAAAAAGGAAATCGGGAGAGAGCTTCGAACGTGATTTCTCAAGTAGAAGAGTACTTTTTCTGTCTATGAACATCGAGGAATAATTAATTTCGATGTAGGAATACCTCAAGGCCCATATTATTGAGGCACATAATCGAATAGGCCCAATGACATCATTCATCCCACTTGAAAATAGTCACAGCCCAGTGGCGCAGACATATTCTGTTGTCTTTCTAGAGACTTGCATAGCATGAAGAATTTTCCTCATTATTCGATTCAGCCTATACATATAACACATTTATTACGCCTAACCCAAAATACCGACCAAGAATTGCTTCTCCCAAAATTCTTACAGTGAAATATACAAGGGTATCAAAGAATCCAACAAAACCTCACCCGAAAATGTAACCTAAACCCCGCGCAAACTCCTCAGTAATCCTACACTAACGTAGCGCCGCTGAAGGGAAGGCAAGCTGCAGATTGCGAATTATTGCAGCGACGCGATTGTTGGTCGTCTTGCTCCCCATTCTTGTAAAACGGTAGGCTCCTGGGCTTCACATGGAACTAAACTCGTGAAAATGCCCCGACATGCTTCCAGCCGTGCGGTAAGCGCGCCATCCCTTTCGGTGTTAGCCCACAACTCGTCAATTGCGGCGAGGACACTCAAGCCACAGGCATCGCGAGCGTAGGGATTGGCACCCAATTGGAGGAGTTCCTTCAGAGCAACTTTCTTGCCCGAACGAGCGGCGACATGGAGAGCAGTTTCTCCTTCGCGATTGCGTTTCTCTAAGTTTGCACCGGCGTCGCGAAGCCTTCTGACAACTCTCTCCATGCTTTCTTTATCAAATTTGGAGTCTTCAGGCCTATACCTAATGAAAGCCATCAAGGGCGTTTGGCCTTGCATGTCGTAATGGTCGACATCAACCCCTGCGAAAAGGATACCTTCGAGATATTCCAGCCGCCTAACACTGCTGCTATTCATAGGGCTTAATTCGCCATCTTCCTCCTTATATTTCCTTTTCTTCTGTCGCTGATTGTCTTGAATTGGATCTTCTACGCGATGAACGTCCAGTTCGACTTCTGCGAGGCAATGCAGCGCGTTACGGCCCCGAGAATCCTCTGATCGGGGATTAGGTTGCGTAGAGTTAACACTATCAACTTTTATGGCATCGACAACGATCTGCAGAAGCTCAGCTTGGGGCCGGATCCGAGATTCGTCTCCATGACCAGAGGGTATCTCAAGTAATGCAGGTGAAAACCCTGGCTTGGTTGGGCTCCTTGCGCTCATCTGGCCGGTGCGACGTATAGCTTGCGTTGTGTGGGGCTCGAGGTGTCGCGCCCGGGACTCCATTGGTTTAACCCCAAAAGCATCTCGCCGTTTTAATAAATTCCAATCAAACAGGTGAGCCGGGATGCGAGCAAGGTCTTGCTTCTTATTCTGTAGCAAATGGAAAAAGCTTCGGCCGTAGACATCTGTTGCGAGGATATCGAATCTGGCGTCCTTGAGCAGGTTGAGAAGCTGGTCTAGAAGGAAGTCGTCATCAAACCATGACTGGTGGAGAACGTGAAGAAAGGTTTGCCCAGCGGTGTTCATATGGTGAACCGGTAGATTCGAAAATCTTAGTGCTTGCGAGATGAGGTTAACGAAAGACACACGATCTCTACTCGTCGCAGCGAGGTAATGAAATGCCGTATTCCCAAAGTCATCTATTCTTCGATATATTTCGCTTGAACCGATATTGTGGGTGGTGAAATGAGTAATGTCAATTGGCCATCTGGTCGGAGCCGGCATTAAGCTACCAGCAACACAACACCAGCAGGTCTCTGTGTTGTGGGGCGAATACTCGGCTTCACACGTGCCTCTCTTGGCAAATGAATCCGTATTCAAAAAGTCTCCGGGTAGAGTGTAATGCGCGCTAAATGAACCGTGGGTTGCTGATCCTTCAGCAATTTGGATGTCTTTGGGAGTAGTTTGAAGTTGTGCTCCAGGAGAAAACACCGGGGAAAAGGAAGTCCCTCGTTGTAAATCAGGATCTTTGGGGAAAGTGAATTGTTTTAAAACCCGCCAGGCCCCTTTCGCCTGGTCTCGAGACACGGTGGTAAGTTTCTCTCGAAAACTATTACTCATACTAGTGTCGGTAGAATTTGTTAGACCAGTTCCTTGACGAGAGGTATTCATATCATTGTCGATCCAAGAAGAAAAATGGTGAGCATCGTAATCACCAATGGGCGGGATGTCAGCTCGAATGTCAATACCGGAGTCAAGCGCTTCCTGCTTGGGGATAACAGCTGCGTAGGTCCCCTCAAAGGAATGCTGATTTGATTGAGCAAGGGTAAGACTGTCATCATCGGGGTACCTGGAGCCAAATATGTTACAACTGGCCCTAGAAGCAGATGCGTTTTGGTGGGGTTTTGTGCCACGCCGACTGTTCCTGAGAGCCGTAATGCGCCGTTTCTCGTCATCGTCATCCTTGGGTCTTATCCATCGAGGATCATTTCCGAGAAGTTGATTTTTGACCTTATTAGCGGCATCCTAAGCATATCTATTAGTACTTGAGCAAGAATTAAGCTTTTATTCTTTCGGGATCATATCGCTCTTGGCGATCCGCGTTATGATGTAGGTCGATGAGATGGGAATACTAGGCATATTGTAACGGGAAAAGTGTAACAGATTGTGAAATTCAGAATTGGGACACTATTCTTCGGGGTCGCGTGCGTTCATAACGTACCTTACTGCAAAATTAAAGAACAAAGTCAGCGATTTCTATATATCAGCAATAAAGAGGTTAAGCATACCCAGGTTTCCAAAGCTCATCTTCCAGAAGTTTTAATATGAGATCGAAAGGTAATTTTGTGTAGACATAAAGCCGTACTAGCCTTCTAGCGCGGGGTTCTGTCCATTCCTTCGGACGACCACCTCTATTCGTGGAGGCGGTAGTGGTAGGTGAAGCTGAGTTCATTTTGGGGGCTATAGCAATAGTATATGGAATAAGCAAGGAAAGGACCACAACGAAAGTTTGCCTTAAAAGCAGGTAAAGAGATATATGTAAGATAATCCCTCCCAGAAGGGAGATACACAGTAATAAGAGAAAAATCGGTTCATCATGGACAAGGCTCGCGGCTCATGGGATCGGCGGGGTTTTTGTAGAGACGGCCAACTCGGCGCATAAGATTCATACATGTGAGTTGTTCCAGGGTGTGCATACTGTCACCCTTGTCCGCGGATGAGAAAACTACGGGGGTTTGGGAAACTAAGCCAATTGGCGGGGTGGGCCTTTGCGTGACGACCTGGTAAGGCAGTCAGGTAGGCTGTTAGGCCAGCTAGGCAATCCGTCTCAGGCTAGGTTGAGGGAGGCAGGCAGGGAGCCGGCCATTTCTGCGGGCTATCGTCCAATTGTGGTTAACATCGATGCTAGAACGATCCCCGATCCATACCCATCTGGTAACTGGAGAGGCAACCTCGCGCATCTTATCCATCTCAATCTATCTCAATCCATCGCTCGAAGGATAGTTGACGGAATTCCTTGATGATTACCTTAGGTACCTAGGCATTTGGGTACTTAGACACACAAAAGAAAAAAACGTTTAGTCGATCGCGCCTCGTGTGGGAGAGATGTGCCATAGTAATAACTTTCTTCGGCACATAATATTATATTATATCATGCGGCAATGCAAACCGGCGAGTTCAAGCAGAGAATAATTGCAACTGTACTATGTTGTGTGATGAAGGCGACGAAGGCGATGAAGGGAGAGCGGGGAGAGAAAAGGCGGTGGGGAGAATCTAAAGCTGCTAAATGGCCAGAGTAGCTCGTAGCTTAGCCACTATTCTGTGGCTAGGTATCCCTAATCTTTATGATTAGAGCTGCGCCTCGCACCCAAGTAAGGTGATTTGTACCTAGATATGGGTACCATGGGTACTAAGTAGCGGGCTTAGCCGGAATTGCCTAGGTGCTCAATAGAAGTGTAGAAACAGCGGACAACGGCAACCGGCGGCCAGAACCCCTTATCCCCCGGCGATGCTTACACATTGGCATACATTGCTATAACCCATAACTATATCAATCTACATGGAGCGCGATCCAAGTCAGACATATAGGGGAAAATACTATACGAATCGCCTTAACAGCCCACACAACTCACCCTCTTTCATTAGATATAGGGTGGTGTACAGGTACCTAGTACTTCATGCATACGCATCACTATCCAACACCCTATGGACTCAAGATGCATTCATGAAATATTTGAAAGCCTCCTTCAAGCTTGCATGAAGTTTGCGCATCATCGGATCTTGACGACATCTCAATTTTAAGCTTAGCACCTTTTCCGCTGCACATCATCAGATCCTCGATCCGCTAATTGGCGGCGGAACAAGCTTCCCATCCCGTCTCATAGCCTCTCTTGGCAATCTTTAAGACATTTCGGGGGAAGCCAGGGTTATTAGTGGCAGGTTGCCTGCCAATTGAAAGTCCACCATCCCTCTGCGTAGGGTGCTATCACGAATATGTTCGTTACGTGCTTTGGGAGAGGTTATTTTTCTACTTGTCCTAGACAACTCAGATATTTATTTGCCACGTAATATTAAGAAGACTTCTAGAAGCTGACGTTACTAGTCCCGAAGCTTCGTCCTTCCCGAAGCTAGGTAACATCTTTAACACAATTATAGTAAAGGGTGGAAGTCACCCCACGTTATACGTAGGATATGGTATAATATATCGTGAGTGCGTGATACACTACGTACACTTACTCGCAGGTAATCCCTGTTCTATGTCAAATCTTACTCATTCATAACGTACTAGATGATGCAAGAAAGAATCGTACCCAAAAAGTAAGACATAACACTCAATGATAAAGTAGATGTCGGAAGCAAGCGGAATATCCTACCCGATGCTTTGACCTACCTACCTAGTACAGATGAATTCGACAATAAGGGCATACACTTCGAGTGTCAATTACCTAGTCCTATATTGTATATTGGTGACTACATACCTGGGTGCTTGTGTACGTAGCGCAAATGTACGAAAGTATTGAAATTTTCGCGATTTTCAAGTTATATCGATTTATTTGCCTTTTTAGAGAGATGTAAGCCCATGAAATTAGCGTGCTTACGTACCTGGATTAAGGTACCTAATTATGCGCGCGACGATCCTCCTATACTCGAATAAGAACTTGAAAGCTTCAGGGGACTGATATATCCGAACATTTTTAAGAATTCGCTCCTTTCAGAAACTAGAAAAACCATCCAATTCCATGCGACCAATACACTATACGTATGACTAGATTCATAAGTAATACCATGCAAACGAATTTCGGCCTAAAGACAAGGGGGTCCGCACTACCTAGGTAATGGGCGTCTTTTCAAGTGCTACGACAGGTCCCTGATTCCTTTCGTACTAGAGATTATAGCCAGCCACCCTACAACTAGCCAGCATTGTTTGTCAACTTCCGGCAACTTCGTAATTTCTCTATTCAACTTTCGCCACCCATCCGCGGCCGAACATCCGTGCCAAAACTCGATCGCGAATCCACCCAGTTCTCATCCCACCAGAGTTAGATCCGAATTCAATCGAACAATCCTTCGGTAGACGCATGTCTGACTCTAGCTTTTTCTACTTCGTCGGTTGACGTGTCTTACACCCTTTTTACCTTGTATCTTGCCTACGATTGATCATAGGTGTGATCATGGTTGCTCCTATATATAAAAATGCCGTCCCGCCCTGGCGGCAACGTGAATTGGAGGTGAATATTTAGATAGATAATACCAACAACGTCCTCTACGTTCCAATACTTATCCATTAAAAAGCTACTTACATTCAAGAGTCTATATTGACATTTTGCGCACACACGTACACACATACGCATACAATCACACAAACGCGCATATATTTTAGGTAACATATCAGTTACACATTGCACTCAGAAATATACGTGGAAACGTGCGCACACAACGTCGGTATACTATCCTTATTCAGTTACACCTGACGTTACAATTCTACATCATTACCTGGTTGGCATTGAAATATCCGTCATCTTCATCAATTGGCATCGCTATTATGCCCGAACATACTTCATCTCGCCCATACAAGCCAAGGTGATATTTCATGCCTAGCTCCTATATTATTTCACCTATTGACACGCGCTAGTTCTTCCCGCCAGTCACCTAATCGACTTGAGCACGGTCGGGACAGGTCGCCTTTTTCCGACAAAGACAAGGATCCGATAGAGAGATTTTTCGTGACTGGACAGCCAAGTGGGAAGTCAAAAGCGTCTATGACGCGGGAATTGGATGCGTGGAACAACCGCTGGAGTGATGCTTCAAAGCGTTGAGCGCACGTGTTAAGTCATCGGATGGGGAGGGAGAAAATAATAATGGCATTATTTGAATAGCGGGTGGTTATAGAATTCGGCCAGTAAAATCTTAGGGGTTTGGCTTTGTTTCGGCGTTAATTATCAGCGCATTACCCCGCTAGTTCCTTGGCTTACCTATCTGTATGTTTAATGGGAGGACCCGCTGAGCTACTGCAAGAGCGGATGAAAGTGGGTATTGCAGGAACTTAATATCTAGAGTTGTGTATTCCCCTAATTCAGGTACACTTGAGGTATGATACAGCATGGTTGTTGCTTGCTCCGGGCTGACAAATTCCGGCTCCCGAACCAAACTATCGCTTCTGACATATTAAAAGCTAGCCCGCTCTTAGAGACAGACGAGACGCCCCGATCTAGTTGCTACGTCCTTCTTGGCCCACATCACTAACTTCCGTCACGCGCCACTATCTCTCACTTTCTCACTCATACGCCTTAGATGTCAAAGAAACTCGGACAATACGCATCGAAATCTACGAAATTTTCTCGGATCTGATTATTTTAGTATATATGTGATTCATCTAAGTACTACCGGTTTGGGCCTACATGTACCTAGGTACTTAATTATGGCCGATACTGTCAACCAGACCAAGCATCTGGTAAAACACATATCGGATTAACTAAATAATGGAGGAGTCAGGGTACTTGAGCAATATGTTATTCCAGTGACTAACGATACTAATTAAATCACTTCTTATTACCTCTAGAATACTAGTATCATGTATCCATACAGCTCAGCCCTCGTCACTTTATCGACTCGCTGCTCAACACACGTGTGAGAGAATGAAACCAGACAACAGAGCAGCTAATGTATATATAGCTGCAAAGACTTAACATATCCCTCTGCGATTACCTATGAAGTGTTTTTGAAGCTCTCATATTACTATCCTAGATTCGCATCGTAAAGATGTCAAGCCGAAACGTCTTCAATATGCTAGAGGTAATACAGGGGATGCGGGGAGCTCAGGCGCAACTTTCACGGCAACCTCTCGATTATGGCTGCTCGCAGTGGATATTGTGTAGCCAACGCGCATCAAACCTGTACCGAGTAGGGGTTAAACTCTGGAAAAAGGAGGAACTTGAGAAAATCGAACGAGAACTTGCACAATCTTCTAAAGTAACTAGATTTACAGTTCACCTTATTGATGGTCGCATAGTTCATATAAGAAATCCGATGTATGGGGAACCGAGGCCAATCTGGTACGTATCACTTGACAGAAGTCTTATACGACCTCTAGATCTAACAATGATATCTTAGGCAACCGTATGTCGAGTTTCGTGATTATTGGCGGCTCGTCAAAGAGGAACCGAATAAATCGCCAGGAATATACCTTTGCTCGTACTTGGTTAACTGGAACAACTTGGTTGCGCGAGACTACGAGAAGCGGATTGAGTTTGCCGCATGGCTTTTCGATGACATGGGGCATACTTGGAATAATAGCGAGACCTGCAAGTTCTTCAAATCACTGGTTTGTAAGCTCTTGAAAACCATGAAAGTGACTAAAGTCATTTGTTTCGGCTTAGGCGATATAACTCGCAATCCTCCCGTGTGGTGGACAAAACAGAATTTCCAAGAAGTTCAAGAGGCAGATAGTGCCATTGTGGAAACCCGGGCGGTACAGCACTCCATGGCTTTGACATTAGCAGAAACTATCAGCCAAGAGACGGGACGGGACGTGCGATGTATGGCGCAAGATCCCGATTACACAGACGAAACGAAGAAAATATTGAGGGAGAATGGCTTCGAAATTGTGGGACAGTTTGGAGCTGGTGGCTTTGCAGAAGTTGATGATGAGTCTGCAGTGATCTCAATTTTCCCCAATGCACCCGTCAAGCAAATTATCGCTGACATTGCACAGCCTGTGCTGTTCATCAGAGCTGCTGGTGATGAAGCTTTTAATGAAAATGGGTAGGTGATATTTCCATTCCCTTACCCCTCCTCCGGATTCCAACTCTGACATATGCAACTCTTAGGAAGCCGTACATTGACGCAGAATCCCCGCGCACTGAACAGATGTGGCGGCAATATGAGTGTTTAGACATTCCTACCTTAACGGACGAAGCCAGACTAAAAGTTGAGTTGGACAAGTTGAAGGTATATACTAGAGTTTCGGAAGTTCATGGCAGTGCGGAAAGCCTCTACATGTAATAATAAAAAAGGAACAGAAAACCATCAATACTAAGTAACATAATATCTTCTACACATTATAAATTCATTCCACTACACCTCTTAATTCGTGTCTTGGAAGTTTAAGAATTCAAAGACCAGCTCCATACTTATGTTACTATGAAACATATTGAGGTTCTACTTGGGCGAGCCGTTTGGCATGTTAGAAACAGCCCCGGATCAATAAAAGTTCTTAACTAGAATTAAACTTAGAACGATCAAGTCCATCTAGAAGGGAGCTTTGGAGTGGTTTAAAGTATCTTGAGTTTTTAAGTTGTCATCAGGGCGGGAGACCACAAACCGCCCCTGAATTCTCATTTGGCACCAGACCAACTCAACCTTAACTCAGTCCAACAGCAGCTTTGACTATAGGCTATTTATAACTCTTCATTAGTATCTATGGGACTAAACACGTTCAGGAACTGATCTAATTCAATGTATTTTAACCGTTCTCCAATCACATTAGAGAGAAGCAGTCTCTGTCTAAGTGCGAGGGAGAGCTACAATCCCTATACAACTTAACTTCACCATACGGGCTTTTACATTGGCCGCTCGATGTGAACATTGATACCCTTGACTGCCGATGCTTGAACTTTATATCCGTCATTATTCTCTTTTTCTAATCGGTAAATACTACACCGCCTTGGGTTTCTAGTATAAAAACCCGCCCGCGTATTCCTAGAAGCGAGATCTCTTCCTCTTTTTCATACACATCTCAACTGGCAGTTACCAAATTACCAAGTCTACAACCACGCATACACACAAAAACTCTCTCAATACAATTTCATCCAATAGAACTCTTACTACTCTTCACTTCTATTGCCTATCACAACTGCCAGAACAGATAACCAAAAAAGCCACAAAAAAGCCACTACTACCGAAAAAACAACCACTGAAAAACAACCTAGCCACCATGAAGGTCATCACTATCCTCCACCTCCTCCTCGCCATGCTTGGTGCTACATTGGCAATTAGCGGAGTAGTACCCGGCAACAACACTTTCGAGATCCGGGTACGCAGGAACGAGACCAGTGGCCACCATAAAAACAACCATAAAAAAGACAACTCCACCCTCGACCCCCTCCATTCTATCGAAGACCCTAAGATACGAGGTTCTTCGCGACCGACGCAAATGTTCGACCTCGCCGCCGCCTCCACTAACAAACTCAACTGGCCGTACCCCCGCGTGATCCCAGTTTCTCACACTGGGTGCACCGATTGGCCGCTCCAAGTCGACAAGATGAAAGTCGCGGTCCAGAATATGATAGAATGGAACGACAACGGAGGAGAAGTCGAGCCCCGATGGCTGCACGCCGAGATCCACGGGCATGTCGGCGTGTACCAGTGCAACTGTAAATGGATGTACTACGACAAGGCGCCGGCAAGCGAGATGTGGGAATTCTTCGACCGTCTCGAGGACGAGTGCGGAGTCGGGCAGAGCGGCTGGATTTTCAGCGAGGAGTGGGAGAAGGGCTGGGCTATTGCTACTGCGAAGTATATACAGACTACTTCGCCGCCTGAGAGGTTATGCCCTGAATACTGCTGCGGGATTTGAGCTGGGACTTTGGGGATGGATTGGGACTTGGTTGAGGGGTGGAAAACATATTTATGACTCATGATAGCGACATGTTTTGGAGTTTGGGGAATGGCATTTGTTCGTGGGTTTTTTTTTTTTTTTATACCACGGAGTCATGGGGTGGACTTTCTTTGGTACTATACCAGACTTACGGATAGCAATCAAAGCACAGCGAAAACTACACACACATAACTGGTCTTCTCGTAAACTTTGAATGTGAATTCTGAATGTGATGTCAGTAAAATTGTGTAAAGTTATTCATTAAGCATAACGCATGAAACGTATAATATCATCGGAGAGGTATAGTGACAATGCCAATAGTACTAATAACAACAATCCGTCCATAACCCTATTGTCTACCATGCAAAATGCGCCCTATGGTATAGGTCCTTCCTCAAACTCCCTGTGTAAATGCAGATTGTACCTCCTGAGGGGGGAATAATGATATTCGGGTAACAAACCACGAAGCCCCGCGACTCCATCACCCATCGCAACTACCATCCATTCGTGTAAAACCCGTTCATTGGACAGTCTCGCCGATATCAACCCCAGTCTCTTCCTTGAGTAGCTCACTTAGCTTAGTGCCATCTCGAAGATATATCCAGTCGCCGCGTTCATTACCATCGCCATCGTTCGAGAGTACCCAATCGAATCGCTTAGGACCCGAGACCGGTGAGGAAAGCCATATCTGCTTGTTCGGCGGTTGCTTGTTCACGACGTAAGTACCTAACGCCGGTATCTTGATGTTCATGACACCAGACTAGTAGCAAACAATCGAATTAGCATCCGTACTAATTCCGCTCAGTAGCCATAACTCACACTATACTCAACATCAATGGAATCATCCTGATCTTGCATGTCTTCGTATTTTGCTTGGACCACATCGAGGTACTTATTCGCAAGTTCGTGATATTGCTCGGTCGAGATGGACGCTGCTTGGAGAGCGTTCGATACGGATGAGGCGCTGGAGGAGGCGCTGGAGAAGGAATGAGCTCGAACGGATAGACTGGAAGTACGGCTCGGGCAGCGTGTTTCGATAGGTCTAGTACCATTGGTAGGCCTAGTTCTGCTGGTTGGGCTGTCAGGTGGTGGAGTCGTAGACTCCGAACGGATGGATAGTTGGCGCAACGATCTAGCGCCTATTCTCAGAGCTGGTCTTGCAGTTTGCCTCATCCTGATCATATTGAATAGCAATTTATTATGGTTATGATGGTTTCGGGGAAGGAATAAAAATGTTGATGTTAATCGAGGAGATCGCTACAGGCTCGAGAAGACGATGAATCGTGGTAGTGTCGGTCGTGTCGATTATGAGAAGATATGTAAATGGCGGCGGAAAATGGATGTGAACCTTTTCGGCGCGTGGTGAACGGGAAGCTATTATATTGCGACTAGTTGCTTTAAAAGTAGACAGGGTTACTATATGGGCAATAATTATCTTTGATATCGCGAAGAATTGGAGTCGACATGAAAACCCCTAAAGAGAAGGCAAAGAAAAATGGTGATGGTGCCGATTGACGATGGAAGCTTCGGTTGGAGGATAGAAGCTACCAACTTATCACCCCGCCGAAAATAAAATAAATTGGGTGAGACCATTATCCAATTACAGAGCTGGGACAGGTCCCTGCAGCCCTATAATCGCGTGAGGCTTACAAAATAGCGACACCTAGCGGCTTACATTTGGCCCAAGCGCGCTATGAGCTCATTATCCCTGTTCATTCTTTGCTTTAGGTGCTCTCTTATTGGATTCCCTAAAATATCTGACCATACATGTTCACCTGAAGGAGAGTTAGAAATGTCATTGTAGCAAGGCTCAAAGCTTCCACTTTCTAGCAATATGAAACCTGGCGTTGATACTTCTCACGCCTAAAATTTGCAGGCTTCTTGATCTAAGGAATTTGATTTGCCTCACTCTAGACCCCAGAGTTCAGAATAAAGCAGTGCAACTTGAGTTTTTTTTTTTTTTTTCCTCTCTCTTTCCCTCGAGCAGCTGTTATCAATCACTTACATGTTAAGGCATATTGTCAACGCTTGCTTTGCTACAAGGACCTTTTGCTCAGACTGTAAGTGTCATACGTATCAGGTATTTACGTATGAGCTTTCCTCACATCTTGTCCATCAATCCTTTCTCATCAAGGATATCTTATATAAGTTGTCATGAGTCTTGGAAAGCTGGAACAAATGTTAAGTCCGTGGGGGACATCTTGGCTCTTACTAATAGAAGTGCAACCACCCGCGAATAGCTCCGGTCTTCAAAGAAAAAAAAAAATCATAGGTGTGGAACGAAGTGGAGTTCGCAGCTATTAGCCATAAAGACGGGACCGATCGGTGCGTATAGCGGAACAGCTCTTTGTTGGCGGGCCTATAATATTGCTCAGATTAGGGCTCCCAGAGCGCTGGGAATAAGCCACACCCCCAACTCCTCACTGGATATAAGAGCTCACCAATGGCACGTTAGAACTTACTACCAGCTTTATCTCAAGATAGATAATTCTCAAAGCCCTCGCCCCGACGCGCCAACATGATCTACATTTCTTTCATCACGATGAGAGAAATAGAATACCAATGTGATGTCTGATCAGCCCTATTAGAATGTAGAATCCAATCGGTAAGTTGTGCGAGATGGCGAGGATCCACTATAGTAACACTCTTCCAATATATTCTACCGCCGCGAACCGGCGATAATCGGCGATGGGATGCAGATAGACGAAGCTAATTATTCTGCGGATACTGTTGAACGTGTGGTTAATATGACGACACTAACCGAAGCTACCCCGCTTCACGATGGGTATAAAGCTGTTGTGTTGAGAGTTTTCGAAGTGAGTTCTTTTTTTGTTCTCTCCCACATCAACTCTCTCGATAGTAGTCAACTTTGCAAAAGTACTGCTTCAATAAGTAATCGTACGCATCGTACTCAAGACCAAATCCCTATTGCTTCTTAGCTAAGGGGGACTCATACTAATTGTTAACTGACTAGGACCGATAACCCGGTACGCGTCAAGATGGCGACCCCGCCAACGAAGGACATGACCTCAAATGGGTTATCCAGCAGGAGTCTAATTGACTGCACTTGATCAAAATGAACCCCTCATCATTAGGTAAAAAATCTGATGTGAGCCATGAGCCGGTGTTCGAGTCTCTGCGTCCTGTCTCTGAAGTGCATCCAACCATGTCCATTCGGAAACATGCCGCATGTTTCCAGATGAAAGGCGTGGAGATGCACGGAGGAGCGGGCAATTACGCGGAGCTCGTTCTGAGATTATACGGCCGAAAACTTGATCTGGATAATACCAGCGAAAGGATCATGCTCTCGATATCCCCTTTAACCCCTATGTGCAGCAACTAACACATACTAGAAATTTAATCTTATCAATATCCAACATGGCACCATCTGCAATCCTAGAAGTCGTTGAGCCCACTACCCTTCCCCACAAGGGTGGCATCCCTCTTGGCAATGGCAAGATCCACGCCAATGGGGACACTCTAGTTACTGAGGGCAAGTGGAAGGACTTTACTTTCGACCCCATCAGGGAGTCGCAGGTTGCGCGTGCCATGTCTCGCCGATACTTCAAGGACCTTGATACTTACGCCGAGTCCGACATTGTCATTGTTGGCGCGGGTTCGTGCGGTCTCAGCACTGCTTACACCCTAGCCAAGGCTCGTCCTGACTTGAAGATTGCCATCATCGAGGCTAGTGTCTCTCCCGGTGGCGGTGCCTGGCTCGGAGGTCAGCTCTTCAGCGCCATGGTGATGCGCAAGCCTGCCGACAAGTTCCTAACTGACCTTGGTGTACCCTTCGAGGATGAAGGTCCGTACGTCGTCGTTAAGCACGCCGCTCTTTTCACATCAACTCTATTGTCAAAGGTCTTGGCATTCCCCAATGTCAAGCTCTTCAACGCTACCTCAGTCGAGGATCTCATCACTCGCCGTGATGAGGCCGGCGCCCTCCGGATTGCTGGTGTTGTAACCAACTGGACTCTCGTCGCCATGCACCATGACGACCAGTCTTGCATGGACCCCAGCACCATCAATGCACCCGTCATTATCAGCACTACTGGTCACGATGGGCCGTTCGGTGCTTTTAGCGTGAAGCGACTTGTCAGCATGCAAGCGCTTGAGAAGCTTGGTGGTATGCGCGGTTTGGACATGAACACCGCCGAGGATGCCATCGTGAAGGGCACTCGCGAGATTGTCCCCGGCTTAATCGTCGGTGGTATGGAACTCAGCGAAGTCGATGGAGCTAACCGTATGGGTCCTACTTTCGGGTAAGTCAATTCGACATCTTCTAAGCATCCCTCAAAGCAACAAATACTAATTGGAGCCTAGTGCTATGGCCCTATCCGGTGTCAAGGCTGCCGAGGAAGCCCTAAAGGTCTTCGACCAGCGCCAGAAGGAGAACGCGTACTAAATTGCGGCCGGCATTGGCATTGTTAGCATGGAGGAGGCTCGTACACACTTGAATAATCGTGTTCACGAATGTCTATCGCTCTAGAGGCACAACGCCATTCATCCAAATAATAAATTGAGCGTAAAAGACCAAAAGAATTGTCCCATTTTGCGTGGTATTCGTGATATTTGTTTTAGTGACCTTCCAGAGGCTGTAGCAAAAGTGCATGAGACGGGAGGGAATTGAGAAGATTTGGCTTAGGTAAACGCCCGCCGGAGATAGGGCCATGCCACTTACATAAGCAGGCACAGTGGGCCGTTCTTATTGGACGAACTAAATCTACTCCACTTCGCTTTCTATTTGAAAAAGCATTTTCCGACTCGTAAATTCTTAAATTCTTAGCAAAACACAAATTTCTTTAGATTTTCCTCACTTAAGGTAATGAGCAATTATGATGTGTAGCAATGCGCATCTTGCTCATCCGACATGGCGAGTCGGTTGACAATGTGGCTGGTCTTTAGTAAGCAATTCCTGTTTTCATTTTCCGCGAAAATTAAGTATTTATCCCAGCAGATAACAAGAGCTGACCTCTTTAAAGTGCAGGTTCCCGCGACTCGCCCCTCACAAATCATGGTGTGCTTCAAATAAAGAAGTTGGGTGCCTATATAGAAAAACGTCGCGACGAGATTGGCTCAATTGAGTATATCTTCACCTCGACTCTTCAGAGAGCTTATCAGACAGCTGAAGCTATCGCCGATGCCCTCAGCGATACCAAAGATCCCCTCGGTAGCGATCCGTCGGAACCCCGAAAGCCTCCCGAGGTCACTAGGCTACCCGAATTGCGAGAGAAGGACTACGGATCGTCTGAGGGTAAAAAATACGGTGTGAAGGCTGCAAGAACTGCTGAAAACTCAGTGCAATCGGACTCGGAAACCCATGAGTCTATGGGGGCTAGAGTTGACAAGTTTCTTGCTTCCCATCTAGTCCCAATTGTCGATACCCATACATCCGATAATATTACTGTCGTTATAGTGGCACATGGTATTATTCTCGGCGTTCTCTTGAAAGCATTGCTAGAACGGTTCCCGAAGTTGTCCAAAGCTTGGGGTAAGGACCAGGACAACTCGCCAGAGTACACGGCCTGGAGTAATACTGGTGTTCTCCAGGCTAAGTTGGAAGTGGTCAATGACGACTCAACACCACACACCTCGAAAGAAGCCGTGGTTCTTACAAGCTCGGCGTCGTCGAAAGACGACGTTGATTCTAGTGTACCACCACCTAGGAGGGCAATGCAGCTAACTGTTGAATTTACTAACAATACTGAGCATCTCGAAGGTCTGAAAAAGACTAGAGGTGGTATTGGTAGTGCTAAATTTGACTCGCGACAGCGGACCATGGATTCGTTCTTTGGATCTGCCTTAAAAAAGCGAAAGCTTGATAAAGCAAACGGCAAATAACCTAATGCTGTCTAATGGTACGTTCCTCTTCATTTCACCCCTACACCTTACATGATGAAAGCACATAATTCACAGACCTGTTCTGAATTCTATGTGGAATCACTTATGTCCAACCGCTATCTGAAACTTATCAAATCCTATTTATTATTCTCATGCTCCTATGAGAGTTCTTGCTAACATTGGCGGCCTCTATCTAGGTATAATTTAAGTGGTGTGGGATTGCCAACCCTTTCGTATCATTTTGCTTCGTCTTTACGAGTCGACCGCTCATCAAAAATCGAATTGTGCAACGCGCCCAGCCAAATAAAGCTTCCGTGGTCCCACCATTACCTCGTAATTTTGATGCACAGTTAATCATTCTTCTACCTCCGAAGGCAGTACATCGGGAAACCACCCAAACTCGGAGAAGTCCACCATAAGCTCACCGAGCGCGTCGGTAGTTACCGTAACACCCTCCGCTTCTAGAGCAGCCGCCTGATTTCGCGCTCCTGAAGGCTGTGATCTTGGCTTTAGTTAGCATTCCTTGTATTTAGCCCCGTTGGATCAGAATTGTCATGTCACACCTGGGTGATATTATGCCCTTAGCGTTTATAACCCTTTGCCAGGGGACATTTTCGTGATTAAAGCGGGCATCCGTATCTTGAGGAAGATGTTTAAGGCATATGCCAACTTGGCGTGGCCGCTCAGCTACGGACTTGGTTATTAATCTTTCGGTCTAATATAAATCAATGATTCATTCTGCTCGCGTACGGGTTCCGATTAACTTAGCGATGTGCCCGTAACTTGTGACTTTGCCATGGGGGATTTCCTGTATGGCGGCGTATACAGCGGTGAAGAAAGCCGTGGCTTCATCCGACCTTGCCATCTTACAAAATCCCTCGTTAAGTTTATGATATTCAGCTCAGCGTCGGTCAGGGAGTTTAGAAGGTTGAATTATACATAAAGAAACAGAATAACGGAAGTTTTACGAGGCTGGAAAGTGCATGATGGAAGCATGGAATCAACACAAGGGCGCTACGCACGTGCCTAGTAGGCCACTTTAGGCTTAATTACAGTGCTCTGCCTACTGTATACTGCAAGTAAATAGGGTATCGAGTTGATCGATTAGAGCCTGAACTATTCCCATTCAACAACCCGAAGGACAGTCAAATTCAACCTTGTGTACCACTCAATGGTTTATAGTCCTCACTTTGACATTGGTGGTAGTCACGACGGCCTTCAAGACCGGTATCTCTTCGTAATCTATTTTACCATCGTTGTCGTCTCGCGCATTTTCACAAGCTCGACCACATTTCGATTGATCATCGTAGTGCACAGGGATGCCCCGTGGACAGACATAAGCCTGCCTAGAACTCCATGTAGTCGAAATGTCGAGCCGTCTATCTCCCTGGAACGGATGATTCAGGATACGATTCACTGACTCGGACTTTTGGACGTTTTCGATTATCTCCATTGTCTTTTCGAGAGTGACAACGTCTAAGTATTGTTGCTTGTCGATCCAAACGCATAGTTTCTCAATGCCAAAGTATCGAGCTTCGCTTAGCAGAGTTAGGTACTTGGCGTGATCCCAAGTCAGTGTGACACTGTCGAAAAATACCGGAAGGCTTCCGCTGCGTAGGTAACTCAGGATGTAACTGAAGAGCGTTGGGTCCGAGTCGATGAAGTAGGAACCATCTTCATCGCAGTCGCTCCATCGATCCGAAAGGCGGGCGGCGAAATACTCGCTTTCGCCGACGAGAGTATCGCGGAGCGTTGTGAATCGGCGCTCCCCAACTTGTAGGGTGACGCGGTCAGTTTTCTTTTGGGTAACGGTACCCAATCTCAACGGATTCGGGGGCTCAGGACTGCCCGCACTCGTGTAATCCATAGCGTTGGGTTTCAAAAAAAAGTATTATTAAGCAGGGCGACACAGCGAGCAAATTTCAAGGAAGACTTTTCAATTTTCATTCATGCGAATTCGATATTAGGTCTGAATCTCGTAATCTTTAGCCTGCGTATGAGCGCAGACGTTCTATTGAAATACCCACTACTGAAGAAGAAAGATCAAGCAGGCTGTGAAAGCCGTCGTTTGCAAGTACGCACCCAACCTCTTGGTTTGAAATGGCATCAAAGGAGGCAACCTACTGCCTTAACAGACTACAGGCATTAGGTATCTAATCAGAGATGCGACCATCATGCCTAACAAACCAAGGCAGAATATTTACTATCCAGCTAAGGTAGTAATGGATGTTGGGGGGCCTCCGCTGTGTCATAACTTTATTGGTTTTTCCTAGATTTGTGACACCATCCAAAGCGCGGGGAGCAGCAGCGTGTTGGTGGCTGGTAGTAATGATATATGATTGTTTCAGAAAAATTATTGAACAGCCCGAACTTACGAATCCAACGGTACTGTAAAACCTCGGGGAACAGGTAACAAGACAACCGGAGGAATAGCGATATGCACCTAATCCACTGTTACACTCGTTAACAAAGTAGGGTGCGACTACAAACGTAAAGCTGTTAGGACTTTGCCAAGTGCTGTTGTAACCAGATACCTGCGGGTTCTTACGTAGCGGACGAATTGGCAGGCCGGACCGAAACCGAGGCCGAGATCGAGCGGATTTAGACACGGGAAGATGCTTGAATGTTTGCGTTGTACTGAAGTATACATGGCGCTCGTAGCATAACGAGGAAATATGATTTGTCATATTCTCTTCATTCTAGCCGCCCTGATAGATCGAAAATTTCGGAATGCAAACCGAATTGCCCAAAAGTCTATCAGCACTTCTGCCACGGTAGACACAATTGCTTCTTAATCATAGGCTTTTACAAATGGCATTTGGATACATAATATTCACTTGGGTTTCGTATAAAGTCATACGATTTATTTACACGACAGACGACGATCGATCTTGATAGGATATAAATAAAAATGTACATAGGTACTTGCCTAAGTAGGTAGATCGGATTTGCGATCTCGTGCTCTCTAATGTGGAACACTGGTGAGTTGAGATTGAACGTCCCATCTTGCGTCGGGTAGTCCATAGAGCTGACGTCAAATAATGAGCGGAGATACGAAGTGTTAGGACTTTATACAGGTCTTGGCCGAGCATACTGCGTACGAAATATGTAGAACAGTCTGTCCGTCGGACCCCCGGATTTCGACGGCGCGTTACATAGGAGTGGCGCAAGCTGTCAGCTCAGCTGGAAGGATTGATGGGGCTGTTGGTGATGACGTCCTATCAATTACTATGTGTTTGGGTGAGCTCAACAACACTAAAATTGGTGCCGTGAACGAGGCGCAGCGGTCTTGTCGCGTTTGTGATCGACAAACAACTCACAAGATGATGAGAGTAATAAGAGTTCGCGATGTCTCCCAATATCAAATCTACTAAATCAAATCAAGTCAAGTCAATCAAGCTCAATTTAATCAAACACTACATCTCGACTCTAAACTAAAATTCATTACGAATTCACCTACAATTTTACCCATTCAACAAGATGGCTGTTACAGATATTCCCACGATATTCAACATGGTGAAGCGGGACGACGACGATAATGATAACGACCATGATCACGACCACCACGATGGCAACGGCGGCACAGTCGGGCTAGTTATCGGAATCATCCTCATCGTTTTAGCCGTCGTCGTCGTCGCAGGCCTAGGCTTCTATCTATACCGAAGAAGCAGCAGAAGAAAGAGCGAGAGAGAAGCCCAAGCCCAATACGCAAACTCGTACCCTCTCAACAACGGATACCAAGGAGGATGGCAACCTTCCGCCCCGCCCGTGGGCGCCGCTTACGGACAACCCAGAGAGCAAGCCCGAGAAGACGCACTGCCGATCTATGAAGGAGCTGGCCTCCACGACCCGGACCGCAAGGTCGAGCCTCCCGTCTAAGAATGAGGACGGATTAAACCCACTTGACGTGGTTAACGAACACGAATCGATACCTGTATACCAGTTAGCACGAGCCTTTTGATGTACTCTATATGTGTGTGTACCTGCATTCATTATTGTTATTATGGAGTTGGGGGTTTGGTTATATGTTCGGGTGTCATGCATTTACAGCAGATGGCTTATCTATACTCCAATGTGATGGCGATGCGACTCCGCATTCAATGTCACATTCCTCTCTAGATCAACGTTTTTCTTACTATCATTTCCAATACAATAAAATTGCCAGGAAATCATGACTGTGAGCCTCTTTTTAAATGTGCATGTTCAATTGGAAGTCATAGGTTAGATGGCTCGAATTATGTGGTTGATTCGCCTGGCCTTGGTGTTGGTGTGGTGCGGCCTATCTCAGGGCGTACTCGAAGTCTTTCAAGCCGCAACACCTCCTCGATTGACCTATGACAACCCGGCATGTCGCCAAGTATTATTCGAACATGATTTTGGAAGTAGTTACGGCGCACCATATGTCGGGGCCTACTCACCACCCAATGGCTGCAACTTCACGACTATCATCTTCAATATCAGTGTCGTCTCAAGTGGGCAACAATACGATAGATTGGCGACACTATGGCTCGGCGATATCGAAATATGGAGGACCTCGACTGCCATGCCAATTCAATCGGGTATCCATTGGTCTTTTCAGAAGGATATGACTATTTGGCACCCGTTATCGACGCAGGCTCAGAAGATCATCTTCGATCTCGGGAACACCATCGATGGGGACCGATACACTGGGTTCTTTAATGTCACCATGGAGGCACTGTACTACGATGATGAGTACACGGCTGGATTTCACCCCGCGGAACACATATATCCCATCTCCACGCAATTGTCGTCGAACGATACCACTTCCCTGTTCTCGCTGCCTGGCGATAGCGGGTCGGTCAATTTAACATTACCAAGAAATGTTAAGAATGCGGTGGTATCGGTCACAGCCTCTGGAAATGGCGCAGAAGAGTTTTGGTTTACGAACGTGCCGACGGAATACGTTAATACGTTTCCTGGTAACGACGGCTGGCTGTACGGATGTAGCCTGTTTCGAGAGGTACAAGTGATTATCGACGGTCAGCTTGCGGGTGTGTCATGGCCATTCCCGATACTCTTCACGGGCGGAGTAGACCCCGGGGCTTGGAGGCCAATCGTTGGTATCGATGCGTTCGAATTATCGGCGTTTGAGGTCGACATCACCCCATGGCTAGGTTTACTTACCGACGGGCAAGCACATACTTTCCAATTGCGCGTCGTAGGGTTCGATACTTCAACAGAAGATGGCTTGGGACCAATCGGTGAAAATTGGTGGGTGTCCGGGTCTGTTTTTGTGTGGCTTGAAAATGGGGTGAACCAGACAGTGAGCCGAGATTTCGAAAGCGAAGTGACGACACCATCCTTCGAGTTCCGCCCAATTGTTGGCACTGCGATATCTGAAAATGGTACGGCGACTAACACTTCTTTTTACTTCGCTTTGACTGCAAGTCGAAACATCACAATATCTTCAACAATCGTAGTGGGGAATAATACCCGTGAAGCAACTTGGACGCAAAACCTCTCGTTCTCCAACATACAAAACATGACGGATATGGCATTCAATCAATCGCTCGCAATGGTCACGTCGGGCAATTATTCGGATTCGAGCTCTGGTATTGTTTCGCAATATACCTATCCTCTGAATCTTTTCAGCGCATATAATGTTACCTCATCCGAGGCGACGTCGAACCCCGGGTCTGTCTTCTGTAGGGCTGATCGGAGTAAGCTGAGCGATGGTATCTCTGCGTTATCTTTTCTAACCGGTACATCCGTCGAGTCGGAGAGTCTGAAGACGAGGCAGAACGTCACCTCAAATTACCACTGGAATCGGACAATCGTGGCAGGCACTGACGGTTTAGATACAATGGATGGCGAAGTATGGTTCTCATACTCTAGCACTGCGACGAAAGAAATTGGCGTCGAAGCGTATCACCGATATGCCAGGGAAAAGAATGACAGTATTTTAATTGATGAGCAAGGTTGGGGAGAAATGTCAGTTCCTAGTACAGTGCCACTTCCACACGTGGACGGCGAGCCGATAGTTTAAAATGACATGTAGATCGTCTTATTAGCCATGGAAATTTCAGGGTTATTTTTAAGTCTATATTTACGCTTTAGACCAATGCATAAGCTTAAGGTTAAAATTGAATGTATTGTCGTGAGTAGAGAGAGAGAGAGGAAAGGTTGATATTTCGTAACCCACCCTACTACCCAAGTATTTATCATTTCTAGAGAAAAAAATGAAGCCATTTACTAACCCATCTAGGCAAAACAGTGCGATCGGCACTTCCAAGTTCTAGGACTATGGAAGGGGCGTAAATACCTTAGTACCCTAGTACATACATTCAGCTTCCTGCATGACGCCACATATGTAGACGTCGCCAATGAGAGTCTTCCATGAAGCGTTCGAGGCTTGGTCTAAAAATTTGGTGCTGAATTCTTATCACAGTCTAAACCTCGCCTTCGCTCCAGGTCTTTTCTGGGATGCTTCATAACTAGTCGATTCAATGAGAGTAGCTTTAGAAAGCTTGTCGACATGGTATCACCAATGTTGAGCTTTCTAGAGTTCTCGGTGTCTCAATTAGTTCTTCTCACGATCCTGTGCATTGGCGCCTATGCGTGGCTTTTCCAATATGTTACACGGCGTCGTGAAAAGCGAGAAAATCTTGATAAAATCACTGTTTTCGCAGATTACAACCAGGTATATCTAGAGTAAGTTCTGTAGTGCAACCCCAGCCATCAATTTATAAGGTCTCACAGTTGTTGAAGCATCGTTGCCGTTCACGGCTTAGGGGCGCACCCATATCACAGCTGGAAAACCAGTGGGGCACCTCCAGATTCTGACTCCGACCTGAATTCTAGTCGAGCGATCAAAAGGGGTGCGACGGCAATCAATTGGCTTGAACATGAAGACTTCTTAAAGAAGGATTTTAAAAATGCCAGAATTTTATCATTCGGCTATAATGCCGACTGGTTCATGGATGCTTCATTATCGACAGCCCCGCAAAAGGCTGTGATGCTCTTGAAGACACTCTCGGAGTTCAGACAAACAAGCGGGGTCCGATATTCCCCTTCCTTAACGCAGGGAACCTGTTGTTGACTATTTGCAGAAAACGCCCCCTATCCTTTTTATCGGACATAGCTTTGGTGGTATACTCGTTAAATATGTATGCGCTCTATTGGAATTTGGTTCATTGATCCTACCCTAACTCTTCCGAAGGCAATTCACGCAGCACATTCAGATCCGCGATTTGAAGAAATCAACCGTAATACTGCAGGTGTTATCTTTTTAGGGACACCCCATCAAGGCTCGACTGTATCTTTAATCGGCGAGATTCTTGCTCGACTTACCCCCTTTTTAGGATCTGATACGACATTGATAAAGTTTCTAAGCCATCGCAGCTCAGCATTATTGGATTTGAAGAGGGACTTCTCTGCTACCATGACTTCCATAATGACCCAAAGACCCCTGCCAGTATATTCATTCTACGAAACGTTGCCAACATTTCGTTATGGTGTCTCGCTCGGCGTGGTAAGGGCTTATAGCGACAGTATACTACTTAGGTACCAGTAGCTAATGCATTCGTATCAGATTGTAGGGCCCGAGTCAGCTACTCTCGATATTGGAGAGCATATTCCAATAAATACGGATCACTCCGGTCTGAATAAATGCAGAACGAGAGAGGACGAGCTCTATAGAAAGATCAGGGGCGCAATACAAGGTGTCCAGAACACCCTTCGAGAACAGTTAGGTAAGCTGAAAGTAGAACATCCTTTGGATATCTATTATTAAAGCATAATATCTTGTGCAGATCCAATAGCCAAATGGATTATGGCGTCTAACAATCCCGCACACGTATACAAATACCGATTAGACCATGAACGAGCAAGAGAGAAACTCAGTAGTTATCCAGAGTTAGGTAAATGGCTTATCGAGTCTCCTGCGTTCTCCAAATGGGGTGAATTTTCCCAAACTTCATTTCCGACATTTTGTTTGCGGGGTGCAGGTAAGTCTTATCGTATTCATTTTAGATCCCAGGATATTTACTTATTGATGATCGGGCGCTTCAGTCGGTACTGGTAAAACTTCAGTTAGGTTTGAGTCCTTTTTATATCGTCAGATTATATGCGTATGATAAAATTATCTAATATTGATACAGCTCAGAAGTCGTCGAATGGTTTTGCAAGCACGATCGTCTTAAAGAGTCTGACAAATTGGTTTATGTCTACTGCGCCCACGACGGTGATGTAGGGGGCTGCCTGGACTCGGTGTTGCGCTCCCTTATCCTCCAACTCGCCATATCAAATAACGGCATTTCGGTCCAACAGCCGGTGACTGACAAGTTCAATTCCAGAGGAAAATCTCAAAAACTGCTTTTAGATGGAAAAGAAGACGAATTGCTTACACAACTTTGCAGCCCTTACTCAAAGGTGGTGGCTATTATTGATGCGCTCGATGAATGCCCCACCCCGCGTCGTCTCCTCGACCTACTTAGAATAATACAGGAGAACTCCTCGGGCAAGCTCAAGCTATTTCTATCAAGTCGATTGCACATCAGGATCGAAGACGTGTTCACGGATTATCATGGTATAATAATCGGTAAAAACACTGCCTCGACAGATGTGGAACGTTACGTCAATATGGAGGTTGACATGCGCCGTAACATCCTCCCTGGTTCAGATCATACGGACTTTAAGAAGAGATTGAAGCGTGCTCTAAGCGTGCACGCACATGGGATGTAAGTCTTCTCTTCGACATTGACGAGCTGTCGGTATGAGTCCTACTAATGCGATCGCTAGGTTCCGCTGGGTCGAACTACAACTCGAGATATTCTTCGACGAGAGCTTTCCGTTTGAGCTGGAAGAGGATGTGGAGAGCGAGCTACGAGTCCTCGAGTCAGGGACATCTGTAACCGGACGCTCCGACCAGAAAGACAGGCTGAATGTAGCATATGATCGCATATTGAAGGGACGTCGTCACACCGCTTACAACATCGTCACCTACGCCTTCAAGTTTGCGCTGTATTCTATGAAAGCTCTGACATCAAAAGAGCTAGCGGAGGCCGTCATGATCTCTCGCAAGCGCGTCTCAGGCTTAACGGCGTCGAGTGAACGTGTAGGAGTAGTTGGTATAGATGAGATCGGCCGGCTTTGCAGCAACTTTCTTTTCCTTGGAAATGATAACACCCCTGTTAGGTTTTCTCATCATTCCGTCAAGGAGTACCTGTTGGACCCCAAATATCTCGGCGACGAGTTCACCCCCAAAACATGTCACGCCTTCATTGCGGAGACGTGTCTGTGGCATGCCTATCGAGACGCAACTTTTTCACAGATTATGCGCTTCTATATCCAACAGTATATAATTGTACACTGTTCCCGTGCCGACCCTGATAAAAGACGAAATAGGGAGTTTTGCGATTTACTTTCTTCTTTCTGTCAAGATCCTAAGAAGATCTTACATTTTGGGGAATCCGGGCTCATAAGTCCGTTTCTATTTTACAGGGATTATTCGGGGCCAAACAACGTCGCATATCTGTCGCAGGAACGTCAATTCTTTGACTTGACTTTCTTCTGCGCGTGCCTATTCAATTTCGCCGAAGTTTTGTGGCCAACCTTAGCCCAGTTGAGGCTCAATCCAATCCAACGAAGACGGCTTAAGAGGGAAGGTTTTAAAGTTGCATGCGACAACAACTGCTACGAAGTTGCGAAGGAATTGCTAGAGGACGATAGGGAACCAATAGAAGTTACTGTCATAGACGTCGAAGCGGTCGCAAGTTGCAGTAGCGGGCGACTTATGCAACTTGTCCTGGAGCATTCCCAGGACGTCGAATTCACACTAAACATAGCGAAGAACGCCGTTCAAAATACCCATTCCAGTATTGAAGTGATGGAGGCACTGATAAATCATTACCACCGGTTCCCGATGGATCTTTGGATTATCGACTATGTCTTTGAGGTTTCGACCGAATCAGTCAAAATGTTGGACGTGATACTTAGCGGAGTGGACAGTTCCATCCCTACCGATATACTACTTATTTACGCATCGCAACATGATCTCTACCCTGAGCAGTTATTATCCACAGTTTTTCGACATCGGTGGGATGTATTCGTTACGGATGGCATACTAGAAGCCGTAGCCCGAAACTACTTCCAGGGATATGAGGCCGTAAGAGCTATTGTTGAGTACTCCGGAGGATGTGTTCGGGTGTCTGAAGAAGTCGTCTTAGCTGCTGTATCAAACTACTTCGCCGGGGAGGATATCCTTAGATATCTCTGCCGTATCTTCGGCGATGATGTTATTATTACTGAAGCGGTGGTCGTCAATGCGGTAGCTAATGGGGATGCCGGCATCCTCCATGTTCTCCTTGAGCACAAACCGGATATCGACATTACGGAACCCATCGTTTCAGCTGCCGTGAGGAACCGGATCCATAGCACCGAAGTGATCAAATTACTGCTCAGTCATGACCCCAAAATTCCCGTTACTGAAGAGACCCTTGTAATTGCGGCGCAAAATTGGCAGTCTGGATTCACGACGATGGAATACCTTATGGAACATATACCTTGGATCCAAATCACACCAAAGATTATGGAGGCTACCGCCGCCAACAAATCTTTGGTGAATCAGCTTTCGAAGCTACTCATCGAACAAGTTCCTGGTTCCATTATTGAAGATAAGATTTTAGAGGTCGCAGCTAGCAATAAAAATATCGGGGAATCGACCTTCCAGATGCTCCTAGATCACAGCAACATCTCGGAAATTGGACATCGCATCATGGATGCCGCAGCTGGGAATATTGAAAGGGGAGAATGCATCCTAGCGCTTCTATTTAAACATGCACCAGGTTACGAAACGCCTATATCCTCAATAGAAATGGTGGCCGCCAGCAGAAACGTGAACTGTTTCGAAATATTGCTAAAGCACTTCGACAAAGATAAGATGACTGGCGACCTATTCAAGTCCCTATTAAAAGTTGCCATTCGCGATACCTCACGGCCTCGAGTTTTAGTGAAGACAGTCTTAGACCACAGTAATCATAACCTACATATCCCGGAAGAAGTTATGATTTATGCTGTCCAGAGAAATAGTCCTTATGAAATAGAGAGTTCGGTATCAGTGCTTCTCGAATCGGGGAGAACAGTCACGATCACGGAAAACGTACTAAAACTCGCTGCTACGAACGGCCCAGGCTTAAGCGATAGAGATCTGCTCTTAGCAGACGACAAAGATTTAAAGTCACCGAGGTTATAGTTATGGCCTCAATAGCAAATATAAAGACATCTAGTGATGATTTAGACCTATTGTTGGACGGAGCCGGAATCAGCATTACCGATAGTATGCTGAGGTTAGCGACAACAACAGATCAGATGTACTCAAAAAAACTCAGCAAATCTCTACATATGTTCCAAGGCCGGAGGAAATAGTATATATATACCTTTCGCGGGGCTGCGACCGAAATATAGGTGCTATGTCGGATAAACTTCAAAGATTTTGCCCTGCCAAGAATCCGTATCGTGTAATATCTAAGATAATACAGCTTACAGCACTAGTCATAGCGAGAAATACATACAAATCCTTGTCATCTCTGTTGGCGCCTTTATTGAAGCGGCCTTACAGAGGCACAGTAGGATCCATAACTCCAAGCTTAGCGCGTGATCTTGCGGGTTCTGATCCTAAGCGATTCTCTAACTTCGTTCTCTTAAGAAAAGGCCAACATCATAACGGGTCAAATTCTTACCTACCTAGGTAGACTGCGGCGGTGAAAGGCATCGGATTTATTCGACTAATTACGATTCGACGGAGAGCATATCGGCTTCTTGGCACGTATGGCTTTTGAAGATTATCGTCTAAGTGCCCCACGATGCTGATAGAGCGCAGATCTGAGAAATTAGTAGCAGGTACCTAGGTAGTTCGTAAAATACGTAGAAGATCGTTAAGGACGTAGATTTATTCGGTCACTGATTCCGCATCGTACGTTGTAGATCCCTCAGGCACCTAAAAATCTGCCGGAAGGACTTTGACAATCATGTAAGTGGAGCGTGAGGCTGACTTTATGATACTTCGACCTCTAAAACAACAACCCATCTGGATGGATTATCCTGGGACTAAACTTAGATATATTGGATTCTTAGCATCAATTTAGTTAGATATAACTTGTTTATGCGACGAGCATTGCCGTGTTTTATCAGATCCTCCTCTTCCCACCTTTCTCTATCGTCGGCAGTTTAGCGACGCCATAAAATGTCAACACAAGGGTACCTATCAAACAACACTCGGAGAATTTTAAAAATTCTAGAAAACTGTCAATTCTCATTCCATCCATTCGGTACCTAGCAGTTTCACGGTATAGAATAATTATTAAATATGAAATAAGTGGCTGAATTACTCGCCAAGAAATGTTAGATTACTACCAGATATCACCGAGTTGTTCTAGCGGGGGCGCAGCAGTGATAATTCCCACCTAGCGGATCCGGCGTATTTATTAGTGTAGTGTATTGTTAGGCTGTGTACCAACCCTGAGCCTGTCCAACGCCTTACACTATGCCAAAGTTCCTTCCCCTCTGAGATTGAAGGAGGCGGCGCTCACCGCACCATCTAATCTCTCTCTGGTTGGGTGAACTGCAAGGCTTAATGTCAGCTCCAATAGAACAGACCATGATATATCCCGCAGACACCCCTCTTTTGGTCAGGATGGCGTCGGAGATTGTCTTGTCATACCAATTCAACTCTCGAAAGCCATCTCTGGTATATCAATTGCCACACGATTATCGGTAATAAATTCTATAAATTGACATGGACAATATACTCGAAATACGCGCACCAAAAGGTGGCGGTGGTAAATTCGGAGGCGGCGGCGGCAAAGGCTTCAAAGGTAGCGGCAGCTACGGAGTCGGCTACGCGGGCGGCGGACATGGTGGCGGCTTCCTCCCGATTTGGGCATCGGTTCTTATCGCCTTTTGCGTTATATGGTTCTGCATCTTTATAATATTCTTCGTTCACTTTTTGCGAAATGGTAAGCACCCCTATTTACTCCCCTTACCTGTCTTCCGTTGTGTTAGGATGATTTGACTAACCCCCTAAAAGACTACATCCTCACAAAACCAAGCGAACGGCGACACTCCGGTGCATCGCTAATATTCCGCATCCTCTGGAAAGCCTTTAAATACGCGACGCTGATCCAAGCGGTAATATGGGCTGTTCGAAAAGTTCGCGCATCTTGTTGCACGAACCGAGGAACGAAGAAAGTCGGCAGTACCTTCTACCGAAAAGTCGACAAAGAAGAAAAGGGTGAAATAGATGGAAATAGCGACATTGGGGTACCACCACCCTCCCGAATCCGAGATGAATCTCCGGATTCATTTAGACACCATCCTAGCCTTGAAAGGCGGTAAAGGTGCTCGATGCTTGATGACGTCGTCCGAAGAAGTAACTCCGGGATATGTGGCTATAGATCTAGAAGGATATAAGGTCGGACCTTAGGATAAATTCGGCGTATTGTTTTCAGAGCAGATCATTTATGAGATACCCCATTTTGTTTTTTTTAGAAGGCAGCACGTTAGGTATTCACGACAAAATTACATACAGAACTATACATTAATCATCGGCCCTTTCAACCTGGTAGGCCCTGGTGATTCTCTGGTTTGAATCTCGCATCGCAATTCAACTTCATTTTGGCAAACTTCCAAACGTCCCACCCATTTCGGCGCCTATACAAAGTGAGGTATCTCCCGTTTCAAAAGACAAAACAAAGAATCATTCATCTCAAAGTCTCAATGTGTGTGTGTATATGTGTGCTGTTGCATCCTAAGCCTGAAGTTCATGACTGGTTAGCAAGGTAGTTTGCCGCCTGAATAATGAAAATTAGTACCCCGACAGTAAAGAAATATTGGTAAAAACTATCTTACTCGTTCGAGATTGTAATCGTACTTCTCTAGCGCGTTTACCGCATCTGTTCGCGAGTAACCCATACCAGTAAGGTTCACAATAGGATCATCATGTTTTCCCTCGTCACTTAACGCTCTTCCTGCGGTACCTGGTCGCCCCGAGTTTTGGCTTTGAACCGGGGACTTGTTGTCATCACTACCTGTTTTTGCAGATGTGTCGTTTGGAGAATCCAAACTAGCGAAAAGAGCCTCCCAGTCTTGGTTATTTGATGGAGCCGGGGCTTGGCTCGAGAATGACGAAGTATTCGCATTGTTATTTGTTGGAGCTTGACTAGCCGTCGCGGCTGAAGTAGACGAGACAGTGCCAAAGTCATAGCTGCTATCAATTCCAAATGCGTTCGAAACATTGGTTGATTCACTCTTGGGTTGACTCGGTGGTGGACTGCTATCGAATACAGGGTTGAAATCATCAAGGTTGGACCTCGATAGGTTGGCGAACTCATCATCCGCCGAACCTTCTTTAGCATCTTCAAGGTCTGCAAAATCGTCATCGTCATCGAAAGCACCTTTAGGTGCAACAGGAGCTGAGTTTGTCACTGTAGTTGGTGTGGGGGCGAAAGAACCGGCGGTTTTGGGTGAAGAGAAAGAGGGAGAAGCTTTCGGTGGTTCGGGGAAAACGGAAAGGTCACTTGTACTGGTATTAGTTACTGCTACGAGAGCATTTTGGGATAAACGCGCTGAAAATCAAAAGTCATACTTTGACGGGTGAGATGCGTGCGAAGAAGTCGTCGCAATCTCTGCGGCTGAGTTATCGTTCACAGCAGCGGCACTGGACTTGGAAGCTGTTGGAGAAGCTGGAGCCTGGTGTGCCTCCTTGGGCTCAGTCTTCCTGTCGCCCGGTGATGCTGGCGCGAAGTCATCATCGAAGCGGTTCCCCTCGCTGGCAGAATCGGACTCGTCGTCTCGCTCTAACTCAGAAATAGGAGGAAACTCCGAATTGAAGGTTGAGAAGGCGTTGGAGTTATCCTTTGTCGACTTATCCTGAGGCTTTCCGGTGTTGTTGATGCTCGCGAAGGCGGAATCAAAATCCACCTGAGCATTACCAGAATCTTTTAAATTGCCGAATAAGTCACTGTCCCTGTTGTTGGCGTACGGCGTGGTTGGTGCAGGAGCTGTAGGGGTCTCGTCGGGAAACGAGCCGGGGATAGATCCGTCGCCAGTGTTCCTCGGCTTATCTTCTCCCTGTGTGGAAGGTCGTTTCTGATTGGTGTCGGAGTTGGATGCTAGGCTCTGACCGGTGGAAGCTGAGTCTATAGGAACGGGAGTAGAAGCGGAAGCCGAGGGCGTAGCGGTGCTTTCACCAGCCCTGCTAACAGGAGGCGAAACCTGGCGCGAGGGTGCTAGCGTTTCGGACGCCTCACCAAATGGTGCAAAGCTCGGGCTCTGCTGATGAGACTCAGTTGAGGATTGGGGCTCGGCAAAAGTGGGTTGGCGACTCACGGTAGGGGTGGAGCTGCTCGGTGTAGCAAATGATCCAATACTGGCCGTTGATGTGCCAGTATCTTGGTGCTTGAACGAAGTAATCGGGGGCGATGAGGTGCTCTCCCCACCGAAGTCGCCAAAGATGTCATTAAATGACCTTTCGCCGTACGATTTAGCGGGAGGCGAAGTGAAGGTGCCCATTATATCGGTACTCCCCGTCCGTCTGAAAAACGGGTTGTTAGCGCTCGTTGTCGACGGCGCGGGGCTCGATACTTGGGCGGAGGTGGCAACCGGAGAGCCAGTGTTGATTTGGCGGGATAGCTCATCGTTGCTCTTGGTGAGGTCTTCAACCTCGGTCTTAAGCTTGTCCCGATCACCTTCGGTCGTTGAAAGCTGCTTCTTGTTAATGGCGACCATACCCTTTTGCTGCCGCGCCTCCGATTTCAATTTCTCGATCTGCGGCTTTAGCTGAGCAATCTCAGTGTTAACGGAGCTAATACGTTGCTTAAGGGATGTATTTTCTTGCTGATCAGCCTGAAGAGCCTGCGAGAGTTGCTGATGCTGGCTCTGGAGGTCCTTGTAGGTGCCATCAATAGTAATCAACTCATTTGTAAGTTTCTTGGTTTCTTCACGAACGTTCCTTAGTTGCTCTTCCAAAGAACGAACATCTTGGGCTTCCTTCTCATATAGAGCGCGCAGTTGTGACAAGCGCGCCTCGAAGTTCCTCTTCTGCTCGCTTGCTTGGTTGATTTCATTTTGCGTGGAGTTGCGTTGACCCTGGACCTGTTGCATCTGTTTCGACAAAGAACCGACTTGGTTGGACAAGTTGGCCAGCTCAGTTGTCTCATTTGTGAGTTTCTTGCTAACTTCTGGGTCATTATCGCCAAGGAGATCCTCCATGGCAGAAGCAGAAGGGGGAGGGGGTCCCCGTTGAGCAGAGCCGCTGGAACCTCCGGTATCATGGGAGGTCAAGGTTTTACCAAAGGAAGAAGATGGGACGAACGGCTTGAACGTGTTAGCGGTAGGCGAAGTTCGTACGGGCGAGGTGGGCGGTCCACTCGCAAAAGGGTCTCTCGTTGCCGAGCCTCCCGTCGATGCCGGAATTTGAGGCGGGGCTGGACTAGGTGCAGCATCAAGGCCAAACAGGTCATCGATCGCGGACTTCGGCTGAGGTGCTGGTTGAGGCACCGGTGGAGGTGAAGGGGCCGGGGCGTCGAATGGAGACGGGCTAACAGGAGGGCGCGCTTGGTTCCGTATAGACGGGGGAATAAGGTTTGGCGGAAGGGACACGGGTAGCGGGATGTCCCGTCGACTCCGCTGCTGTCGAATAAGGTACATAGCAACCGCAAAGGTGTCCCTGTTTAGTTTACCCTCCGAGTTGATATCCGCGAGGTCCCAGATCTGGGCTAAAGCATCCTCGGGCAAACCAGATTGACTCAGGAACGGAACTGCCTCTTCCCCAGTGATGAAACCCTTGTTTGTCTTATCCAAGTCTGCGTAGAATTGATCGAACCTTATCTTGTCGGCGGCAGTGACTAGCCAATCACCTCCTGTCACTTGAGGTGCTACGCCCGTAGCCTGAGGGCCTAGCGGAGGCCTTCCTAGAGGGCTAGTTGTTCGCGCTTGCGCCTGTCCACTCAGTTGTCGGGGTATAGCGGAAATAGTCGGACCGGTAGGTGCGGGACTTTGTCTTTGGGCCGAACCGGGGCGTCTCGTAGCAGCTTCGTAGAGCGGGGCAGGGAGGATATTCGGTAGACCCCTCAAAGCACCAGACTTCATGGAGGTGAGAAGGTGCATTGCAATAACGAATTCAGTCAATACAAGTGCTCCCCTCTGTTCCGTATCAGCCAGTTGCCAGATGCGTCCTAGTACTTCGTTGGGCAGCCCCGATTTCTCGAATATGTTCTTCGCCTGATCGCCAGGTAGGATACCACCGGGTTGGAGATTCTGCCTCTCAAATAATACGGTATATTGGGAAACCTTCTCGGGCGTCAGGGGCGGTATTCGGATAGGTCCACTACCGGATGATTGGGCCTGTATCGGTGGGTGAGCCGGCGGCGGTGCATTAGTGTTGATATTAATCCCATCGAACCGCGGTAGAGGACCTTGCTGGAGAGCTAATTCAGGGGTTGGGTCGCGTCCTGCTTGGGCATGGCCGATAAGTCGTAAGACGATTCCGAAGCCAGCTGGTGTTAAGAATCCGCGGTTCTCCTTGTCTGCTATTTGCCAGATCTGCCGGCGTAGAGGATTGGTCAGCATATTTTTCAAGTTATGTCGCATGTCATCCTTCGGGTTGGAATTGTAATAGAAGGAAGACCTACTTCACCGAGGACACGAGAATCTAGTCGAGTCTTTTCGAAAAACTTAACGGCGACCTCTCCCGTAACGACACCGACATTATCGGAGTCCGCTTGCCGGAATAGTTGTCCGTATGCTCGTTTCTCTTCGGGGGTGAGGTTAAGCGCCGGCGCAGCTGGAAAGGGATAGACGGTTAGCTATTATTTTTTAATGACATCTACATGAAGCTAAACAAGTGCTTAACGATCAAATAGATGATAGATAGTTATTGTAATGGTTGATTAAGAGTTATCAATAACTCACCGGCGTCAACACTAGATTCGGCAGACATTATTGCGCTGCCGAGCTCACCAGGCTTCGATTTAAGACAGAGCTCGGCGGCGAGGATATCAGGGTTTGTTTCGAATGCAAACGAAAATAGAGGGAAAAAGTCAATTGACAATGAATTAAAACGGATATAGAAACCGGGAATTGTCCGTGTAACTAAGTCGTTACAGTAACGCTTTGACAGACAAGAGGCCGTCCAAGGTTTTAGGCCGTTGTATGGCGAAAATGGTAGGATAGGCAGAAAGGTTGATGTTTTGATGTTGGCTGTCTCCAACTTTGGCCCTTTTTCGCAGGAGGCTGGAGTTCTGGGTTTCTAGAGTCTTACCTCTAACTTTCTTACTACCACTAAATTTTGCAGGGTAGCCCTTGACTGGGCCCCTACCTCTCCTACCTCTAGTACCTCTAGCTGCCCTCTGCCTCTAAAAGGTCTACGTAGGAGGTTCCACTTTTTACTTAGCTCCTCTAGCTCCGGGCTCCCGGGTACATCTACCTAGCATTGGGGTACATAACATATGCACGTACCTTTTGAGACTTCAATTAGGTACCAAGGTAGCTTTATGTACTCTTACATATGTATGTACGTACAGACTTTAAATCAATTTAATAATAGTAGCGCACGTTATATGACGATCCAGTATTTTAATCATCAGCATCATAATAATCGTCAACGCCAAGTATCTAGTAAGAAGGAACAATACCATTATTTGAATCCATCATGTTCCAAACCTTTCATGTCGAATTTCATTGTTCTAATCTAACCAAAAATATTGTCGTGATCTCCTTCCACCATATCCAACCAATCTAGGCTCCGACACGGAAAAGCAGACATATCCCAATGAGTCAATCCTCGTCAATCCATCATGTTCGAAAAAAGACCACAACGATTTCCCCCGTCACGAGTGCCGCAGTACCCAAGATGTAGGATCGTCGTTTTTAGGGGATAGGTAGATATGCATGCCGCTGCGAGCTGCAATCGAGCATACTGCCACAATTGGCTGACAGTTGGTTCAACCGCGCATAGCGTAAAAGGTAGACATCGAATAAAGTGGGATTGCTCGTCTGTATTTCAACCATTGGTTCGCCCGCTGTCACACTGCATACAATCTGTTAAGCGACACGAAAAGCCGAAAGTCGCAGAAATGACACAAAGTTACGTCTTCCTCTGTCAGACTATTATTATTGATTTTGTATTGTTTTCTTACTAGGAAGAATACTCGAGGGAATATCATGCTATTAAAAGTCGTAGGACGGATGTACAAAGTGTATACTAATTTCTTGCTACCAGGCTCAATCACTGTCGAATTAAAAACTCCCCTGCTGCCTCTCCACTAATCTCACGGACAGGTCCACGTTTCTCTGCTACCTAAGCACAACTAGCACATCTCTCATACGCCTTTTAGTATAAACAGAGAAGTCCTATCGCGGCAGGCCTGAATCGGAGGCGACAGTGGGAGCAGAATATTAAAAAATGCCTTTAGCCGTGACACGTAGCATGAGTAACCTCAATTTTAGTACTCGGCATCAACATCTCCCTCAGCCTCTAGGGAGTCGGTGGCGACCTCCTCGTAATCACGCTCTAGAGCAGCCAAATCCTCACGAGCCTCGGAGAACTCGCCTTCCTCCATACCCTCACCAACGTACCAGTGGACGAAAGCGCGCTTGGAGTACATCAGGTCGAACTTGTTGGACAGAGCTGACCAGGCCTCAGCGATAGCCGTTGTGTTGGAAAGCATGCAGACGGCACGGTTGACCTTGGCCAAATCGCCGTTAGGAACCAGCTGAGGAGGCTGGAAGCAGATACCGAGCTTGAATCCAGTTGGGCACCAGTCGACGAATTGGATCGTGCGCTTGGTCTTGAGCGTAGCCACAGCCGCGTGAGCGTCCTTGGGGACGACGTCACCTCGGTATAGCAAGCATGTAGCCATGTACTTGCCGTGGCGGGGGTCACACTTGACCATCTGGTTGTAGGGTTCGAAGCAAGACATGGTCATCTCTTGGACCGAGTTGGCCTCGTGAGCAGCCTTAGCGGCCGAGATAACCGGCGCGTAAGCAACTAGAGGGAAGTGAATACGAGGATACGGCACCAAGTTGGTCTGGAACTCGTTAAGATCGACGTTGAGAGAGCCATCGAATCGAAGAGAGGCCGTGATAGAAGACACAACTAAGAAATATTAGTACTAAAGCAAAATGATACCGTCCGAATTCCTCCGTACCTTGGGCGATCAAGCGGTTCAGGTTCTCGTAGTTAGGACGCTCCAGGCCGAGATTTCGGCGGCAGATGTCGTAAATAGCTTCGTTGTCGACCATGAAGGAGCAGTCAGAGTGCTCGAGCGTGGTGTGTGTGGTAAGGATAGAGTTGTACGGCTCGACGACCGAGGTAGCGGTTTGCGGAGCAGGGTAGACACAGAATTCCAACTTGCTCTTCTTGCCGTAGTCGACCGACAGACGCTCCATCAACAGAGCACCGAAACCAGAACCAGTACCACCACCGAAAGAGTGGAAGACCAAGAAACCTTGGAGACCAGCGCAGCTGTCGGCGACACGTCGTACTCGGTCCAAAACCTGGTCGATGAGCTCCTTGCCCACGGTGTAATGACCACGAGCATAGTTATTGGACGCATCCTCCTTGCCGGTGATCATCTGCTCGGGGTGGAATAGACTACGGTAGGTACCGGTGCGGACCTCATCGACGACGTTGGGCTCGAGATCGCAGTAAATAGTGCGAGGAACGTACTTGCCCTGGCCTGTCGAATTCGAGACGTTAGAACGGTTTATTAGCTTGACCAAATTTTATTTTACTCACCAGTCTCGGAGAAGAAAGTGCTGAATCCCTGATCGGGATCCGCAAGCTTGCGCTCTTCAGTCAAGTATCCATCAGGCTGATTGAATTGTTAGCGAAGCTCAACGGCATAAATAGGTTAATGTTACCTACCTGAATGCCATGCTCGAGGCAGTAAAGCTGTAAGGAACCAAAGTTAGTTTTAATCTCGAGTCATGGATGTACCGGGATCGTCAATGTTCGGATCGCCCGTATATGCGACAACCACATCCCACGTCCAAGCCGAATAGACTTACCTCCCAGCATGAATTGGCGATCTGGCAACCCGCCTGGCCGACTGTATAACAAAATAATAATTAGCATAGATGTTCTTGAGGTTGGTATACGGAAAGGGAAAGCGTTTGCGTTATGAGACACGGATATGCGGTGAAGGGGAACGCGTGCCTCGAAGGAAAATAGAAACATACCGTTGATGCTAATGATCTCACGCATCTTGAAGAATAGATACGGTGCAAAATCAGGAGTAAGAGTTGAGCGAGAGAACAAGAAACGGGAACAGGCAGGTCAAAAGTAGTCCCTTGCAGGAGAGATGTGGGTGAACGGAAATGTAGGAATTGAAATTGAGTCGAAAGGAGATTCTGTTGATGCTTTTTTGGACGGGTCGTTTTTACCCAAGCAACTAAAAGTTGCAAGTGGGGGGCGGATTAAAAATTCACCCCTGGTTCGCTGGGTCGCTGGTTGGGTAAGAGCTTTTGTTGATATGAGGTTGCCTAGATTGGGACTCGGGGCTGCGCGGGAAAGCACACAGACCACGTAAAAATCATTAAAAATGCAGGGGGGATTGAAATGTTCTCAGGGGGTACTGTCACCCTTTAGTTACTTAAAAAGTTCGTGTATGACAAACTAAGGCTAGGCTTTCCAGTCTTGGCGGCAGCAGCGACGCATGCGTTCTGGCGTTACAGCGTTGGTGACCAATTGCCCAATACCATTTTGGAAAATTCGATCTTCATTAATAATTCAAATTCAAATTCAAACAATACACTAAACCATCTATGTGTAGCATTGGATCATATTTGGGATAACCATCATGTTGACCAATCTAGCCCCTATACTTTTATTTGTTGCAACCGCCTATGCGAATACAGAAAAGGCCATTTTTCTCGGTCCAGCAACGGTCAACATCCCTTCTGCACATCCGACACTGACTGACTTACATATCGATACCCTTTCACCCAATAATAATTGGGCGATACGGACACATCTTAATGCTCAATTCCCAAACAGCTCATTACCACACGGCAAAGCGACATGGCTCATCCTTGACGAACTCACCGAAGGCCAACGTTACGAAGTGAGAGTATGTTGGGCCGCAACTGTAAGTAAAAGAATATTCTATAATGTTTCGCCTTAAAACGTTTCGGTTAACAAAGGCTCATTACTTTCTAGCAACCTACCGAATTCAAAATCAATACCTATGAATTGCAGACTGTTTTTGATACTGCGGAATTGATATCAGAGTTATCAGAATATTCTTGGTCTCGCCAGCCTGTTGAGACTGACAACACATCTCAATTTAAATCGGAGAAAAGTGTTCATGTCTCAGATACAGAGAGGGAGGCGTCAGTCCTCTTTCTCCAAATTCTAGCGGCGGCAGATTACTACACGACGAATAAGACGTTGATGAATCATGTGCCGCCTGTCTATGTAGACATCATTCTCGACCCCTTCCTCCTCGGCGTACTGCCTCGTTCACTATTGCCAACCGTGGGCTACATTATTGTGGTAGCTATCGCGTCATGGTTTATCGCGCGACAGATCTCAATATGGATTCGTAACTTAGGAGTGGAAGAAACCCCTGAGAAGAAGACACAGTGAGGTAATAGAGAAAGCTTTCATCACTGCTTCCTATATTTGCCTTCTAAATCCAAACAAGAGAGCACCATGCAATTCCCTGCTATCATAATTCGTGATCCACATTCGCCAACGCACTCCACCCAGGCCCGAACTAGCGTATGACCGCAGCATGGCCTTCATCTTATCCATAATTCACTTTATGCTTAAAAAAACTCATAGCGAATCAAATGCTAAAGTCGATTTCCTAGCAGAAAAGGATACGGTGGAAATGCTGCAAAGTGAGAAAATAAACTCCATGGTCTATTATATGCCTGAAAATTCACCAATACCAATGGCGATTCAGATGTTTCTCACCAATTTCCGGGATATCCCCCCGGTTGACCATGATGAGGGTGCGTTCCAGTAGGAACCGGGGGCCCAGCGTTCGCGTAGGAAGGTTGTCCCGGGTATCCGAGAGGGCCTGTTGATGGCGGTGGTGGCATACTGTATGATTGGTTGCTATATGTAGAAGGAGGTGGCGGATACTGTTGGTGGCCATTATACTGAGGTTGATTCGGTGGTGGCGGTGAAGTGTATTGTGGGTGTTGCGCTAGGCATCTAAGTTAGTTGAACGGAACGACTGATGGCTGACAAAAAATTGCTTACAATAGCCGTTCCCTTGGGGAACTGGACTGTGACCGTAGGTGGAATGCGGTCCCGAAGGTGGTCCACTTCCATAAGGGGGATTTTGGTGTTGCTGACCTGGAGGCGGGCTATGATAAGAAGAGTTCTGGTGGCCTCCTATTTGGCTAGGAGCCGGGGGGTATGATGTCGCGCTATGTTGCCCAGGTGGCGGTGGGTACTGTGGTGTCCCATGTTGAGTAGAGCCGGAGGAGGCATTGTATGAGGGCGAGCTTTGTGGGTGAGGCGGAGAACTGTAGGACGGTGTCGAAGCATTGGTCGGTTGGTAGGATGTCGGGGGAGCTTGACCGGTATATCCACTCCCTTGACCCGAATTCGAATAGCCGTAGCTTTGGCCCTTCACAATACGTCAGTCGGGGAGATTTCCTTTCGTCTTCATTCGAGTGCAACATAACATACCGGCTGATTTCCATGGGGCCCTCCAAACATGCCAGCGACACCACCCATCACCGAACCAGCTAAACCGCTGGAGTGTTGCGGTTGATGCGACTGACCACCATGGTAATTCTGCGGCTGCTGAGGCTTGTTACCAGATGAAAATAAATTCGACGCAAGTTGGCCAACAAGCTGGCTAGAAGCGCCCCCGCCGTGACCCCCAGACGAGCTTCCATGACTGTTACCGTGACTTCCACCAAGACCACCAATCAATTGTCCAGCAAGGCCTCCAATACCGCCCGAACCATGGCTGCTGCCACCCTGAGGTTTTCCGTGACCGCCGGAGAATTGGCTTAATAATGAGTTGGCCGCGAAGCTCTGCGGTTGAACATCGTATTAATATTTTCTACTTCAAAATACCAAATCGGCGGAGCGAGTTCGTAAACTTACGCCGAATCCTCTTTCGCCAGTCGGCCCATCAAGTCCTCTACTGGCTTCGGGTGGAAGGATGGGTTCCATCCGACCATCAGGGTGCTTGACAGTCTGTGTACCATCGGGGTGTGTGATAAGTTCTTGTTGGCCTGGAATTCCATATGGATGTTCATTTACCTGGGCAGGCGTGTTTCCTGGCGCAGCATGTGTTGGCGTTTCCCATTGAGAGACGCCTGTCGAAAGTTGGACATAATAATATTTCTTGCTTGCGCCATCCCATTGCGCTATCCATCCTGGTGGGAGTTGTGGTGGCTCGTACGTAGGGCCTTCGTTAGGAGAGGCGGGGCCAGCCATGGCGACTATGGGAGGGGTCTTATCGCGTTCCCCTATAGCAAAGGTACGTGGGTGGGTAGATTGGGAGAACAGCCGATTCGATTAAAGAGAGGAATTCGTAGGAAGGGAATGAAGCCAACTTTGGAAAAAGACGGAAGGTTCCCTGGTTAAAAAGAGGAGGGTGTTAGTCAAATGTTTGTATTTAAAAAAAGGGCGGGTTGAGGGCGGTATGGCATGGGCACGAGAATATGGTATGACTTGCCTCGGGGTGGTCGAATTTAAAGGATGTGAAAGAGAGGGCTGTCCAAGGTCGCAGAAAGAAAATGAGACTAAGCCATTTAGTTAGGACCCTGCAAAGACCACCGTAAGAAGTAAGGACGTGAAAAGCGTTGTAGGTAGTTCGTCAGTGCAGCTCGAGTTTTTAGTGAGATAGATATGCCGTGTGGCCGTCGCAGGTTTTCTGTTTCCTAATAAGTCTAATAAGTACTTAACGTGCCTAGGTGCGTACTTTCAGCGCCCAAGATACAAGGTTTATACATGCGGGTTAGGTACATGTGTACCCGACAATCGAAGTTTTGGAGGGGTGTTTAGGGGGGCCCACAGTGATGCTATGCCACAATTAGATGACGACGTTAGCCACAGGAGCTACAAAAATATTGAAAGAGAAAAGAAAGAGGCACCTGAAATGAAATTCTTGTGAGGTCGTAGTCCACCAACTTTTAGCACCAACTTCCAACTTTACTATCATTATTACTATATCTTTAGAAGTATTCCGAAATCTTCCCAAACCAAGACTATTATCGCATCATAAATAACATACATTTTACGGTAATTCTTTGTTTTCCATTTTAGATACGAACTCCAACATCAACACGGCTCAAAATGTACGCTACATGACACCGCTTTTTCATGTTAGGTGATAAAGGCCCTAGGCAGCAACCCGCTTGACACAATTTATTGTGGCTGAATTCCATCACGGAACAAGGTCTCGCCTCGTCGGCTACCTCCTGATTACGAGGCCAAACTTCCACAACAGGAGCAATTGTTGCGCTTTTACTTGGTACACATCATGCAAATGGCTAGAAATTGAAGGGACCCAGTCCTACTAGTAAATTCTTTTTCCAGTACCAGTCATTGGGTAGGTATTTTAGGTATCTACAGTAAGTAGGTGTTCGGGCTGTCCGCATCACCCCACAATCGATTTGGTTATTCCTATATCGAGTTCAGTATTTCTTTCGCGGGACATCCTAGTAAAAAGGTTATCTAATTAAGAGCAAAAATATTGGCCCCCACCTTAGGAAGGGGGTAGGTAGTTACTGTACCTACCCAATGCACCTAAGGTTAGCACCTCATGTATCATCTCTTTAGCATCTTCAAGCTTCATCACATCATGAATGCTTCTTCACATATCGAAATTACTAGTCCTCAAAATGGGATAGACATACGCCCTTAATATGTCATTCTTTTTCAAACTATCCAGATAGAGGAGTGATGACTCCTGAATGAATCTGGCTACTGATCCCCGCTTTGTTCCAACTCGAAGATACCTTGGCCTATGAAATATTACCCCGCCGCCGGCTCGCATAGGTGGATGAAAAGAAGAGGGTGAGCAAACAACACTCGAAACAGAACAGTAACGAACCCATCTATTTGAAACGAGCTCCCTGGAGGCTCGTCACGTTACCAATGCATCCAAAGGACTTCTCCCTTGGTAGGGCAGACAATGATGTCGACCGTCAATCACGTCTCGGGCAACTCCGTCAGTTCATCCTCAACGGCTCTCTTACCAGCGAGGAACATCGCTATGTGAAGATTCTTCTGTCTGCGAAACACATAGACATTATTAGCGAGCTTCCAGTGGAACTCATAAGTCAAATCGCCGAATTATTAGACTTACATCAATTTGTTGCTTGTCTTGCCGTGTCTAGGCGTTGGCGTGACAAATTCCTCTCGAGACCTGTCATAAGCCTCATAATCAACAAATTCTGCCCTTCGCTGGGGCGTAAGTATGGGGATCCTCAATTCGGTACGGAAGAATGCCTCAAAATCCTTCACAAAATAGGACGTTTACGCTGGTGGTGTTTTCGGTCGAGCATTGCGAAACAATTCACTTGGGATCATGAATCATATTTTAGACCTGACCCGGTGTGTCACGGCAATGTGGACGATTTGTCCCTTTTCTATTCACAATTCAATCGTCTTGGGGATGCCGAACCAAATACAACGGCATATTTGAGTGCTTTATACTCAAGTGGCAAGATAGCATGGCTTGCGAAAAGTCGCATAGTGGTAGTCGATAACCTATGGACTCGAATGCGGAAAGTTTTTACTGCGCCGTGGGGCCCGTTCGTCGCCCCAGCACTCGCACTACTTGCGCATGGCAATAGACTTGTCGTTGCTTCCATGGATCGCTTGTTGTAAGTACTTCTTCGCCCAGGTGGAATCGTAACATCGCACTCATTTACTCCAATAGGGTCGCGTGGGATCACGTCTTAAATGTCTGTTTGGAAAAGAAATTGCCCGGCTCTATCAAACATGCCACAACAGATGGATATAGAGTCGCTGTAATCCTTTTCAACGGAGATATCTTTTTATGGGAATTCGGCGGCAAACTCTCAGCACTTTCGACAACTTCTATGATGAAACATCATAATCGTCTAGATCCCAAACTACAACGATCATGGACGGCGAATCTACGTGTGATTCTTCATCCTGGATGCGACAAGACTTTGTTCCTAGCTTCTGGTTACACTGACTACATCGATTCCAAAGCCGTTCTCAAAAGAGTGGTGTACGAATTCCAGGATATTAATCATGTTAAGACTTTCGAATTCGAAATACCCGCAAAAGTCTATAATATGATGGACCTTGCCGATGTCGGGGTTCAAATACGCAAAGTCCTGCCTTACCGCCGCGACACCATCGGATTCTGTGAACCGTACGCACGTGCCGACCCGAGACCATTGACACCCTCTGAGACCTTCGTCGAATTCGACATATACGATCGGAAATTTTCCGCGAGGATCGATGAAGAAATTGACTATCAGAAATTTGGCTGGCCTACCATGCTAGAAGAAGCTGACTTAGATTTCCTAGTCAGATTCCATAATAACGGCTTCACCGCTTCCAGTATTCTAGACGAGGGTTGAATTCATATCCAGTAACTGGATTCCGAGCACGGGTAAGACGACGTATAAAGCAGCTTTTTACGCTACACGTACCTACCTAGGTACCAAGACAGTATTGCAGCTGACTCGACATTGGTTGCGCCAGTCTGAGTTAGCAGTCTTCATGCATGTTCACAACGCCTCTATCACTATCACGATTCAATAGCCTCGTGCTACCACCAGCCACTAATTTAAGCTGGGCAATAAGAAGCTACAAGCATCTCCTCATCGCCGTACTGTGCTAGCTTCTGTATGAACATGCCCAATTTCTTTTTCTTTCGGGGCGGCATGAAAAGTGGCGTTATCCCTTGCATAATAGACGGAGTTAACCCAGGTATATCCCAAAGAACACATCTCACACGCAGACGGCCAATTTGAAGTCGATCTGAAATAAACGGATGGTCGGTATTCATAGAGGTCCTTTCAGTAAACCCTTCTCCAGCTTCATTACGAGATTATTTGCATGTGAAGTCGGCCATTTCGGAGAGACTCTTCATAAAGAGATTTCATCGCAAACCCCGCATCATCAAACATCGGACTTTTCGGAGTAATTCTAAGTCCCCCATGAATCCATGTTCTTTATAATCAGGCACGTCTTCATCCGACCCGGTTGGGTCGCACATAGTCGAAATTTTTGTGCCCTAATGGCTTCGGTTGGTGATACACAACCCCTCCGAGCTACACGACCGGAACCTAAAAAGGTTGTATGACGTTGGGGGTATTACGAATGGTTACTATTCAACGATTATCTGTGCGGCCTACGATGATTTCTAATTTAAAGGGCTTTGAAAATTCAAGTTACCTCCTTGACGTCGGCGAACGACGTTACATGTTACCATCAAACCTCCGAGGAGCGGTACTGTAGACCTTGGTACACAACCCATCGCAATTATACGATTACGAACCCCAACAACGCGCGCCAAATTATTGGATAGATGTACTACAGCCAAAGAAACCATACAAAAGTTATTGAAGGTACTTAATTTCAGCGGAGGAAGGTTAGGCTGGAGTTAAACTCCTACCTATACTGATCCCCGTTAAGTTCCTTCTACCCCGCAAGCAGCCCGTTTGAATGGTCTAATCCTACAGGCTTGGACCTGTCACACTTGTCACACGCAGCCCCACCCCCACAACTCTCTATATGGCGGGTCTTTTCTGGGGTAATATGAAAACGTCATTGGGTCAGCTCAGTGTTGGAGCATGATGATCAGCTATGATTTTCTGTATTCCGACCACACACATCAAGCGCTACAAAATAGCTACCTGCCCAATTCTAACCGCTGGTGGATTCAACCATCTATTCACGTGTGGTACATCTCTAGAGGGATCGTCGACTATTGGTTCCACGGGTATGCTGCCTACCGTTCACCTAGCTAATACTCCAGCGAATCCGACTTGCCGATTTGGCACCATTCGCGCCGATATTCTGCATGTTTACCGTGCCTCGGCTGGTTCCAGCACCAGTAATAGAGAATCTTGGTGTAGATTTCACATGCAACCCCAAAATATCCTTCGAGACATGGCATTCCCGTCTTGTTTATGCAGGGCCAAGTTTCTATTAACCCGGGGAATAGACCCAAGATGGCATATTTACCCCGTGGGGAGGAGAATAAAGAAAGAGATTCTTTCCAGATTCGATCTCCGACTCCCCGGTTTTTCGAGAAATCCTCTGGAGAAACTGCGAAATTGGGTAAGTCGTGCGGCTAAGGGTCTGTCGCTCGGCGTAACATGCTGTCGTGTCCCTCAAGCTATGGCGGTCAGCTGGGCGGGAGAGAGTAAACATGGGCCATGTGCGCCATGTATTCCTGTTCAGCCTTAGATGTTATTGTCTTAGTTCAGGTTATCCCTTGGTGGTATGGCATGCGCGTCATCCATGCATCATCCAAAGAATGGAGTCTATATAAGATCGCTATGTCGCTTCATAAGACATAGTGAGACAACCTCCAACAAGGTCTCTCTGGGCCCTTGGTATCAACAAACAGAGGTAACATTTATTCGAGGACCCTTCCTCAAGTTACCCCCTACCTTAGCTGTCTTGGTCATACCCCAGGGACACCATGTATAACCTGTTTGTTACTTTAGTGTCAGCCGCTGTGTTCACCAGCGTTGCAGTCGCTCTTCCTGCACCAACTCAGACACAGCAGAAACGGGCTGATACGGCGTCGGTCGTCCTACCACAAGGCACCATTGTCGGTTCCGTTTCAAATGGAGTCGAGAATTATGGAGGCATCCCATTTGCCCAAGCTCCAGTAGGAAGCTTACGTCTGAAACCGCCACAAAAACTCAATACTTCCCTCAGCACTTTCGATGCCACTGGACTTGGTCCATCTTGCCCTCAAATGTTCTTTTCTACCGATGGGGATCTTCTCACCTCTGTTCTTGGTGACCTGATTGATCTTCCACTCTTCCAAGTCGCCACGGGGCAAACAGAGGATTGCTTGACTATGAGAGTGCAACGACCAGCAGGTACCGCAGCAGACGCCAAACTGCCTGTTCTCTTCTGGATATTCGGCGGAGGTTTCGAGCTTGGTAGCCCCTCAATGTACGACGCTTCGTCTTTGGTATCCAATGGTGTGGACCAAGACAAACCATTTGTGTTTGTCTCCGTGAATTACCGAGTGGCTGGCTTCGGGTTCCTAGGCGGAAAAGAAATTCTCGCAGATGGCGCTGCGAACTTGGGTCTCTTGGATCAGCGGATGGGTCTTGAATGGGTTCAAGATAATATTGAAGCCTTCGGAGGTGACCCGGAGAAGGTGACAATATGGGGAGAATCGGCTGGTGCTATCTCCGTGTTTGACCAAATGGCTCTTTACGACGGCGATAACAGCTACAATGGAAAAAAACTTTTCCGCGCAGCCATTATGAACAGTGGAAGCGTCGTGCCGGCCGACCCAGTCGACAGCGCTCGTCCTCAGGGTATCTATGATGCTGTGGTGAAAGAAGCGGGTTGCGACGGCGATTCCGATACGCTTGCGTGTCTTCGTAACGCCGATTACGATACGTTCCTCAACGCGGTAAACAGTGTCCCTGGCCTTTTGAGCTACACTTCTGTCTCGTTATCTTACCTTCCGCGACCTGATGGTAAAGTCCTGACAGATAGCCCTGATGTTCTTGCCCTCAATGGCCGATACGCAGCCGTGCCCATGATCATCGGTGACCAAGAAGACGAAGGGACTCTGTTCAGCTTATTCCAGTCCAACATCACAAATACGGATGAACTCGTCAATTATATCTGGAAGATTTTCTTCCCCGCTATTGACAGGCAATACGTGGAAGGTCTTGTCGACACCTACGATCCTTCGGTTGAAGCCGGAAGCCCTTTCAATACCGGCGCATTGAATAATCCGTATCCAGAATTCAAGCGTCTCGCGGCGATTCTTGGTGACATGGTATTCACCCTCACGCGCCGAGTCTTCCTCGATTCGGCTTCTTCCGTAAACCCCGACGTGCCCTCATGGTCGTACCTAGCGTCTTACGATCGTGGAACTCCAATATTAGGCACGTTCCACGGCTCCGACTTGCTCCAGGTGTTTTACGGGATTTTGCCCAATTACGCTAGTAACGCTATTCAAAGCTACTATATCTCGTTCCTATACACGACGGATCCGAATGATGGGACTAGCTCGAACTATCCGCAGTGGCCGCAATGGAAGGAGAATAATGAATTGATGCAATTTTGGAGTGATAAGAGTAATTTACTGGCGGATGATTTCAGGAATACATCGCAAGCGTATATTGCTGATAATGCGGCAATATTCTTAATATAATGGTAAATCTTGGAGGGGGTTGGTATGTGGCGTTCGGAGTTGGTTGGGGTTACGAGTGCGCTCATTAGGCGGCGTCTTGAGGGGGATTGGTACGATCAAGCAAAAGTTGATACGAAGCTATTGCATACGATGGTCGCATTATTGTTTTAAAATGAAATAAGCTGAGATGTGCGGGCTCGATAGGAAGGAGGAAAATCAAGACTTAATAAGGGCCGTATATAGTTGAGGTCCGAGAAAGATATACACATCCAAGATACCTCCTTCAAGGGCATGGCGAAGCGAGTGGGTCCATCTCTTGGACTTCGGCAAGATACAGTTGACCAAAAACGTTAGGTTAATAATTCCATGCATCATAACCAAGATATCCCGAGAAGAAGAGGAGAATGTAACATCATTAGCCGGCCCCATCATACATGTACTAGGATATATCCTTCAATTGGCGTCGTTGTTGACTACTCGATATTTTAGCATCATGAACACTATCGCTCTCGCCGGAGTTCGTTGCGACAATGCGATACTTTTTTATACTATTCTTATTAAGTGCCTTCGGCCGCCTCAAAACACTAGCAAATGGATTTGGTGCCGAAGGAGAGGAGTTGTTGGGGAAGGTTGATGGTCGTTCAATCGCTGCGGACAAGGAATCTTTCATAGATGCGTTGGTCTCAAACATGACGATCGAGGACCTTGGTTAGTTTCTCTAGAAATTTATCCGTCTTGAATCATGTTGCTAACTGGCCGATGAGTTCTACAATTACACCTCATGTTCGGAGGGGATATCGTAGGGGTCAAGTCGAAAAATGAACTCTATGGTATGTAGACTAACCATGCCAAAACTACCATATACTCATCGAGGTACTAGATTACACGATGCGCTTCAGTCCAGACTCGCCTATAGGCGTAATGCATGATTGGTTTGTCCCATGGGTTGTCACATAAGCTCCTGGCTTACCCTCATCCAGGTACCCGCTCAATACCTCTCACTACAACTCCCTCCAAGCATTGAATTTAGAGAAGTCGCGATTGAAAGTTCCACTCATGCATGTAGGAGAATGCCTTCATGGTGTGGGGTCGTTCAAGCAATCTATGTTCCCACAGAGCCTGGGTCTGTCCGCCAGCTTCGATACCGACCTCGTATATCGCGTCGGCCGCGCAATTGGAACCGAAGCGAGGTCGATAGGAATTCATGCTTGCTTATCCCCAGTTCTTGATATTGGCCAAGATCCAAGATGGGGACGTATGCAAGGTATGATTCCTGGATTTTTAAAAAAGATTCTTTTCATATTGATATCGAATAGAGGCGTGGGGTGAAGACAAGGTGTTGACTTCTCATATGGGGGTTGCCTACTCTAGCGGACTATCTAAAAACGGTTCCTGGTCTGAACCAGACGCCGCAGCGCCGGTGGTGAAGGTATGCACTTCTCGCACTTTTGCTATAACCTCGTTAATGATTGGTGTTTCCGGGTAGCATTTTGCCGCTCATGGATCCCCGCAGTCTGGCCATAATACAGCGCCTTTCATGGGCCATGGCAATCGACAAGTATTGCAGGACCTCCTAATGCCCTTTAAGGCTGCGATCGAACTCGGCGGGGTGAAGGGAGTCTTGATGTAAGATATAATCATTTGATCGTGTTTTCTAAACTAAAAGGGTTAAAGGGCGTATAATGAACTTGATGATATACCGGCTCATGTCCACCCAATGTTGTACCAAGCGCTCGAGGATTGGGGGTTTGATGGCTTCACAATTGCTGATGATACTGGTATCAATACCCCCAAGAAATATGCTGAAATTTGTATTAAACATGATAGGTATGGTTGAGCTTCAATCAGTACATCGGGTCGCAAGTTCCCCAGCGGACGCAATACGGCAATGGTTCAATGCTGGAGGAATGATCCAATTCTACGATTACCCGCTTGAAGTCTACCTCAATGTGAAACCCCACATCCGCTTAAAAATAACTGACATTAATACGATTTCAGGCAACAAGAGACCTAGTTAATAATGGTTCCGTAGAGTTGACCACGCTTCAATCTCACGTACGGAGGATATTGGGTGTTAAGTGGGATCTAGGTCTCTTCGATGACCCTTTCATACCAGCGGAAATCGACCCTCGAAAAATGGTATATGACCACCGGAACTTAGCCCTCAAAGCTGCGCAAAAAAGTATCGTACTTCTAGAAAACAAGAATTCCACTTTGCCATTAAAGCCACGAGATCGAAATATTACGAAGATCGCTCTCATCGGCCCCTTTTCCGATGTGCTCAATTATGGCGACTATTCCGGCCAATGGGGTCAGTATCCCGCGGACGCAGCGCAAACTATTCGCGAAGGAATGCTTAAATATGCAAGTGAGGGCGAATTCGAATTGGTCTCTAGCTGGGGTGCGGATACCTGGGAATACAATGCGCAATACGTGATCCCGCCGTATCTCTTGTCGTCAAACGGCACAATAGGAGGTCTTTCCGCAACGTACTTCGCCGATACGAATTTCAGTCAACCAGTAACACATAGAATAGAGACGCCAGCTCTCGACTGGGGTTTATATCCTCCAGATGGCCTGACCTCTAATAATTTTAGCGCTATTTGGGAGGGCGAGCTGAAATCTCCGGTCGATGCCGATGTGAATGGTTGGATTGGGGCAGCAGTAGGACCTAACACAACAGTTAAACTCTTCATCAATGGTAATCTGGTCACATCATATGGTGTAGATGGACTCCTCAAAACGAGCAATATTATGGGAAATATCATGGGGTACGATTTCACCACCACCAATGCAACCTTACCTCCTGATGGATCCGCCCCGTTCACGTTCAGAAAAGGGGCGACTTACCATATCCGCATTGAGTATCAGACATACAACCTCTATAAGAAAGTAGAGAATGTAAATTCTCTCAATTCGCAACTTATATTATTTTGGAACCTCGTCGACCGAAACGGAAATGCCGTCGACCAAGCCGTCCAACTTGCGAGCTCTTCGGATGTGGTAGTTCTAGCTGTTGGGGCAGCTTGGAATAGCGACGGAGAAAATGGCGATCGCGGTACTCTCGGCCTCGCCCCAAGCCAGGACCTACTTGCTAGGGAGATATATAAATTGGGAAAGCCGGTTGTGCTGGTCCTTCAGGGTGGACGGCCTTTCGCAATCGACTATTATAACCAGAGTGCCGCTGTGCTAAGTGCGTTCTTCCCTGGCCAATCTGGCGGACAGGCTATTGCGGATGTGCTCTTCGGCACTGTCAATCCCGGTGGCCGTATGCCCGTTACTGTTCCGAAGCATGTTGGTCAGCTTCCAGTGTATTACAATTATAAGCCAACAGCCCACTTGGTAAATTACCTAGATACCGAGTCATCACCAGCATACTGGTTTGGGTATGGGCTTTCATATACGACGTTTGAAGTGCTAAGATTCGGAGGTTCGGCGAGCGGTGCCGAGTCCACGGATTTCAAAACGGGAGATACGATTACGTTTACAGTCATTATTAAAAACAATGGCACTGTAGCTGGGAGTTATGTGGCGCAAATATACGTCCTCGGACGTGTCTCATCCGTTGTGCAGCCAGTTAAACAACTTGTTGCCTTCGAACGTGTCGACATACCAGCCGGGCAGGAAAGCACAATTTTGCTCAAGTTGGATGTGAATAGGTATCTGACTATTCTCAATAGGAATAATGAGTGGGAGTTAGAAAAAGGACCATATACTTTCGCCCTCTTAAACCACGGCGGAGATATCAATACATCAACGAATGTTACTTTGAATTGTGTTTAAGGAAGTGGTAGGTGCATGCGCTGTGAATGGCAGGGGCGGGGGACTTAGGAGAACTCATAGTCAACAACAAACAATTTCATCGCAAACATGGACGTGACTGGTTTAATTCGAACTTAGGAATTATCCTATGTGTTTTATTGCGACTAGTTTTTTTACTTGAATAATAAATGTGCGAGACAATTATTTTCGCACAAGATCGCACTCGAGAAAAGGACAAGCACCTGCCGGCCTGTACTCATTGCTGGTGGTTCCGAAGTTATCGCCACCACTTTAACAATTCCTCAAACCAACTAGTAAAAAAAATCGGTTCCTTATGTTTAATTGAACTATAGGAAATCTATAGATTGTTCAGCAGTCTCGGGCTGCTAGCAAGTTATCGGGGGCCACCGAGTCGCATCGCTTGATTAACCGCTTGCGACAATACCTACCATCATCTCGCCCTCTAGGAACCCCATTTGCGACAAAGGTATACGCACCAGTATCAAGTCAAAAGACGGTAAAATGTCGAGGCGCTTGAACTCCAACGCACCCTCTCATCTTTCCCGACGCACTAAGAGTGATCAGTCGGATGATGATGCCGCCGTGCCATCGCTACCACCTTCTTCGCCACCCTCTGACCAAGAGTCATCGCCAACACCCCCTCCGAGATCGAACCCTATCAATTTCAGGATTCAAGGCCTTGATGGAAGACCCTTATTCCCTGACTCAGCCTATCCGCTGCCCCTCAGAACGCCAGAACGTCCACAGACAGATACCGAGGTGCAGGCCGGCCCGAGCAATGCTTCGAATGAGAGTGATATGAAGGAGCAAAATTCAGCACCCAAGTTCAAGGATATGATCGAGATGATTCAGGCGCACATCGAGGAGTTGAAGCAGAGGCCGCCGCTTGACACGCCGGTAGCTGACAAGGAGGACAAGAATGGAAATGATGGGGGAAAAGCGTCGGACAGTGAACGAGAAGAGGGGGAGATATCGGAGTAAGAAGGTTTACGCTATTCGTAGTATGAGATATCTACCTCCTTAGAATGCCGTCGCGGGGGCATGGAAATCCGCCTCATAATTATTTTACGATGCCTGTTATTCTGTAGTTATTGAAATCGGAGTCTTCATGAAAATAAATCAGTCAAAAAAAATTTTTAAAAGGGGGATAATTCATCGATACATACATAAACCTGTCTGGCTTGAAAAGCTATTGCATGAAGCCAATAGTGCTCTAATGAGTCCTTGGCATGAGGCCCCCCACCACCGCCCCCCTTTGACCCGAGACATGTCGGAAGGAATGAGCGAGAACTGCCCCACCGAGTGGAACGTCACTTACCTACGGACAACCAACTTAGTTCACCTTAGAACTGATTCAGTTTCTACTTAAATTAATTTAATTAACTAACCCGTTTACTAATTCCTGCGCGTCTCGCGGAAACATCAATAAATCATGAATGAAGCAACTCGAGATTCATGTCCTCCCTTTCGCCTCGTCCCTCGCTTGAAGCACCCGATATAACATGTATCGCGCCGGAGCCTTTCGAACCTATACCCCTCATAGCCGACATCCTACGCACCGGATATTGTGTGCCCGGTTCTGTGTTCTTGGTTGAGGGAATTGACTCGGTTCATACGTCTAAATCCAAGAGATGGCGCGCCGTGCGCTTGCTACTAGGAGATGGTGAACTATGCATTCAAGCCCTGCTCTCTGCTGAGATGCACAGATACATAGATCAGGGAGACATCGCATTCGGGTCCTACGTGAAACTAGATCGATTCCGAGTCGAACGGAATGATGCGTCCAATAACCCCAAGAGAGCCCCTTCAGGCTCTAAGGGCAAGGAGAAGGAACGAGGTAGCCGTCACGCGGAAAATAGTATGGTTTACCTAGTTGTGGAGGATCTTTCACTGGTCGGGTGGAATAATGCGCTCGTTGATGTAATGGACGTTGAAGTGACTCAACCCAACACCGAGGTCCAGGAAGATCAGGCTGAAGCAAAACCCCCATCTCCTCCCAGAGTCGACACGGTCGTAGCAAACCACGGCACGCAGTCATTCGATAGCGGAATCGGTCTACCCAGAGAAATCGATGCCGACGATGATTTCGAAGTCATGCCGGATGCCGCCACGAAGGTAACACAAAATCGACTCGATCTCGCAACGAGGACCAAGGATAAAGCAAACAACCTCCCCTGGTCCAGCAATAACCCAGGCAAACCTTTAAAACTTACAAAGCTACGCTCAATCCCCAATTTACCGTATAAGCAAAATTGGAGTGTTAACGTACTAGCCGTCGTATCGGCATTATCGCCAATTGAACCGTCTGGCCTTCCGCCCTACACCCAGCGGCAGACGCGACTCGCGGATCCGTCCACCGATAAGCACGTGCTTCTTACCGTCTTCCTAGATCCGGACCGGTTTGCGCCTGCCGTCGGAAGCGTCGTGCTCCTGCTTGGTGTCAAGAACCACCGTTTTGACGGCGGGTCCTTGAAGAAATACGCTAGCGACCGACCGCCTATTGGTCAGGATTGGTGGTACGAGAATCCGGCGCAGTTTGACTGGTGCGATGTTGAAGGTCTGCGAACGTGGTGGACTGAGAATCAATTATACTAATTCCTCATCGAGGGATGATGCACCGAAGACATTAATAGTTCCTGGGTGGGTTGATATACAGTTCTTTCGCCTAACGAATAAAACAATATCAAAATTTGCAGGACATATATCAATTTGTGTGTGATAATCCTAATTACAGACATTCCAAACCCAAACTCCTGCCTATGATTGATTCTAAAGCCATTCCCCGCGACGCCGAATACTTCCCGCCTAATTTCTCATATCTCATCAACACGTTCAAATCCAAATTCATTCGTATAGCAAACCGAGCTTAATCCCTACCATCGTCGCTATATCGAGGGGGCTCATCATCAGGCGGAAGCTCATCGTCACTACCATAGCCAACGTGAGATTCAGCACGAGGGCTAGCAGGAGAAGCCGCGCGGGAGGAGCTAGAGGTGATAGCCCGAGAGCCAGCATGCCCGTTATTCCGTGCCCCATTTCCCGCACGCACCATCTCTTCCGCTCGATCCAATGCTGCCATATACTCAGTAGGCGAAAAGCCCTGGTAGTTATCCCCGAAATAATGGCGCATATGATGTTCACACATCAGGTAATGTGTTTCTGGCTGGAACTGACCGGTCCCCGAACGAGCGGCTCGCTCCCGCCCTTCTTGTAGCCAGCCTAGTAAGGCTTCGCCGGTGGTAGCTGGTTCACGGGCCGATCCGTGGCTATGTGAAGTGTGTTGGTGCGGCGGTTGATGGTAGGATTGGTGCTCGCCACAGTTACGGCAGTATCCGCGGGAATCGTAGTCGTGTATACGGCTTCTGAATCGAGTGATGGTGGGGTATTGTATATGGCCCGGACCAGTGCTACCGTTGAAGTTGCCTAGGTATGGGTCGGCCCAGGGGTTATATGTCCATTCCTGGCTAGGGAAACATGTACCGCTATTGCTAGTGCTGTGGTGGTTGCGATGGCGGTGGCGACGGTGGCCGTGATGGTGGTGATGGTGATGGTGCCCGTGCGCAAATGGACAGTCGCGACCATGACCACATGAACAATGGTCCGAACGGGGCATCGCGTCTATTGTATTTAAGGTATGTAATTAATAGGTGACAGAATTCTTAAGTCTTGAGAGAGGAGATGCTGCTTTCCAGGTTCTTATATTAGACATTATGTTGAAGGAAGGGAGAACTCTCGGGGGGGGGGATATTGAGTTATATGGGAAAGTAAACCAAAGCCTCTAATCTAACAACTAGCGTCCAATCAGGTCCGCGTTTGAAATGCCACCTACAATGTAGAACCCCGATGAAATGTTGCGTGCGAGATGGTTGTAACTGACGTAGAGTTAGGAACATGTTTAGGCACCTGGGTAAACAAGACCGCATCACAATCACCACCAAGGCAACTAAGCTTAGCATCAACCACACACTCAAAACCAAGACTACACGAGAACACATATATTCCATGTATCCGTATGACTCGAGTAACTGCTTTATATTTGGGTAATCAATAGAAACACTCTAATCCTTGGTATCAGGCCGCGGGGAAAGCTCCTACCACACTGTACATAGCTATAGGTAGCTTAGTGACATATTGGAAATACACCTTCCCCCACATCCGATTTCAATTCATTGTTTCGCATCCCAATATGTCTTCAAATCCTGTTGAAATTAAAGTTAGTAAGCGACCATCGCGAGAGTATAATAGCAATGTCTTACCTTCAGAGTCGTGGGAAATCCGCTGATAACGACCGGGGTCGCACGATCACGAAACTTCACATTGATATGAATAGGATCGGAGTCTCTTGACTCTTGTTCGTGGAAAGTAACCTCTATTTTGAAGTTTTTTCCGTTCTGAAGAGTAGGCAACTTATGTTCGGTATTTTTCACTTGAAAATGTGTAGTGTTACTGATAAGTTGCTGGTACGCTTCTTTGTGGGGCTGAAGGCGGCAACATATCCAACCTTTGACGATGGAGACGTCGTCCTGTTTCGTCACTGATTCGAGTTCGAAAAAATACAGTGAGGCCTTGAGACTATGGGCCAATTCTTCAAGTTCGTTAGTTTGAGCCTCACCGATAATATGCGACCTCTTCCTTGTCCCGAATTGGGAATAGAAAGGAGCTTCCTTTGCTAATCTCTCCATTCTGGGAATTTCCTTGATGTCATCCAACTCTGGCTCAATAGATCTCTCGAGGTCAACGTTTAGCCGGTAGCATCGATCTTGTATTGATTGATTGCTCTTGATGAAACTTCTCCAAGCCTCCTCACTATCCATAGTTGCAGCTAGCCTCTCTAAAACTTTAAATACCTGTTCTGGGAAAAACCGAAGCCAACCAAGATGGCGTTGTGACCTTTTTCCGTATCCGGAACCAATGGATAGGACGGCATCGAAACGGGCGTCACGGCCCCAGACGGACTTTGCTTCGGTTACTCCAAGCTGTACTGGATTATTCTCTGTTAATCCCCCATCCCAGCAATAGCAGCCATCGTGCAAAGCCGGTTCAAAGTACGTTGGAACAGCGAAAGCGCAGCGTGCGCTAATAATATGTTAGATTAATGGACATTGCAGACGAAAGCGAAAGGGCGGCGTAACATACGCATACCAAGTATTAATATCTGAATTGAGATATCGTCGTTCGTCTCCCCAATGGTAGTTAGCGAGTAAACGACTGTCAGAGTTCACAGTAGTGGTCACTGCGACTCGTGGTGTGTTACCGTAGTGCCCGAACAAACGTTGAGTACCAAATGTGTCCTTCATGGCCGCCTCCAGTGGTTCTGTCTTGTAGATTGAGCTGGTTATTAACCTTGCAATTGGCCCGAACAAGGATTTAGTTAAGAATTTACTTTCCAGGGCCATCTGGAAGAAGCGTTTAAATTGCAAAGTGCATTCTTGAACGCCGAAGTTATGCGCACCGAGGCCCAGCACGATACCTCCACCTAAAATTTCTTAGCAGTCAAGAATATCTAGACGATCAAGGGTGGATTCTACTAACCGGCGCTTGTCCCTATCATAAAATCAAACAATTCTCCGAGCGGTATATCGAGTCCAATAAACTCTTCAAGACGTTGAAGGATACGTAGTTGGATAATTCCCCTTACACCGCCGCCATCTAGGGAAAGCAAGCGTATGCCACTGAGTTCTGGACGATACTGGAACACACATGGCCATAAATTTTCCCCGCCCGTGGAGGCACAAAGCACACAATGTCTGTGAATAGACATGCCGGGATATTTTTCTAAAAGAGAAGACTCATCGAACTCACGAACACAATCCAAGCATAGAACATGTCCACAAGGCAACGTATACTCTGGGTGGCCGAACAGACAGGCGTAGCAAACACTAGCTCGAATACTGAGTTTAGTGCTAGATACGCCTTTATATTTCTCGTTGTACGAATCGATCCACTGAGAAGTGAAGGACTCCATCCAGAACGATTGGTCCGGTATGGACTCAAGGTAATACCTATGCTTCGTAGTAGCGTACTGTCGTTTGCCCTCAGTATCCAAATTCGTCTTGTCATCAATTTCTTTGAGAATCGCATGGATACTATCGTCGACGCACTCAAGGAATGCTTGATTACTGAAGAATCCGTCGACAAAACTACCCTCTTTAATAAATATCCCGCCTGCTGCTTGATGGCCTTTGGCATGCCCGGACTTGGTATTGATGCATTTTTCGCCAGTTTCCTCATTAGAATATGCACATAGCTGGCTATTTACCAGAAATTGGTCTAATGCTCGACCGCATATCTCTTTCATTTCCTGATCGAAAACAACCGAGGGACGAAGTAAATCTAGCCACGAAGTCGGGTTAGCAGAGTTATTTCCTTTGCATACTTAGGTAAGACTCATGTGGGCTTACCAGACCCCCCTGACTTAAGGGAGTTCCTAACAATGCATGAACCCATTACTTTTGCAATGGCATCAAAGTTCTTTCTTACACTATTATGCATGCAGCGACCCAAAAACTCAGCGAAGCGGCCCTCTGTGGAATCTGGGAGCGATACCTGTTGTCGGCATTGATTCAGGTCAAACGGTTCCTCGACACCTGATGCAAGATGCTTGAAAGCATAGTCGAAGACCATGCTCATTTGCTTCGCATCAAACAAGGTCCACGTGTCGATACGCTGATGGCGTACACGTTCAGTGTCTTCTCGGATTCTCTGGGAAAGTCGGTCAAACCGTGATATAACTATTTCAGAAGTCCCTAGGTCCCCAAAACGTTTCAATGGAATATAGTGTACATGTACGCTAGAGAAATTTCGTAGCAATAGGCTTCTCATGTTTTTGTCTCCGTGCTATAGCCATTTTGTTAGGCCAACTGCAAGTAAAGGAGGAAGAAACTGGGATCATCACTTGCCTTCTTTGCCATCTCGCTAAAGTCGATATTCTCATCGATCTCTGCGTCAATGGTCGAGAAGAAATCTCTTGTGACAGCGTCATAATCATTAGATATCCAGGACTCGTTTTCGATGGCCGGGCCGTTAAGAACGATAATTAGCGCTGGCAATGCACATTGGTTGACCGCGTTATGCGAGCCAACTTGGCTCCATTCAACCAATCTAAGTGCGGAGTGAGCCCACGCCTTCTGATTCCTAGTAACCATGCATATGACATCACTGAATAAGTAAAGAAATCGAGGATATATTTCCATTACCGCAGTTTTCCGGTCGACTGGCCTCCCATTTTTACTTTCTAGCAGGTATCTTCTGCCATGCTGTGGCCAAGACTTCTGGTACTGTGCTGCAGTGGGTTCACCACCGAGCATGCCTTCACAGTCTGCCAAGAACTGTGGATATACAGTACCAAAAGTTTCAGGGTCAGGATAGAGGTTGACCTCTCCAGTCGTGGGCAGACAAGCAGATAAGCCCGATCCAGCCCCCGGTACAGGCGCACTGAATAAGTTATCTAACCCTGACATATTCTCATTCTTTGTCAAATAGCGGACTATATTATAAGCGTCATTTATATCTAGTAGCTTGGAGAAGGGGACCACATACCTATGGTAGACTTTCCTGCACCCGTCTCGCCAATAAATGATGTAATACTTGGGAACTGTCGACGAAAGCTAGTCGAATGGTAATATGCTGATTCGTTGGTAAGATGTAAAAACCGTGATGTTTCTATGAGCCTTGTCACACGGTCGCCATTGCTCTTATCAATATGAAGTCCGAACCACTTCGTCGCTTCATCTCGTTCAAATCGCTTCGCTAGCGTGGTGACTGACAGGTTTGGGGTAAAACCTGACATCCAGGCCCAAGTCTTGTCACTTCTACTTATACCAGCACGCCTATGGTTTGGATGACGGGCGCGGTGCTTCGTCTCAAAACACGACTCACAGAATCTCGAATCACACGAACATTTGACGTTTCCCGGCAACACCTCACATTTCTCGCATGTGATCACCTCTCCTATCGTCATGGTAGGCTATATATGGTGATATGAGTAAGCCTACTTAAATGAGAAAAGAAATGAAGGTAAATAAGTAAAGAAGACAATGGTTGTGGTTGAAGACGGGTATATTAAGGCGGGGAAGGCTTCGACAACTCTAATCATCTGCTGAACGAACCCAACTACCTACCTAGGTATTTATACTTGGTAATCCAGCTCTCCAACGGCGGCTACATACCAAACATGCGAGTTACCGTACGATAAGGCAGCCGTTGGTTGGGTGTGGACGATTCGCGGGCCTGCGTTCGTGTAGGCTAATAAAGTCCCCTACAGTGACACCCATGGAAATCGCCAGTCAATCCTTAGCAGAGCAGTTCCGACAGTGTCGCAAAAAGCAGAATGCACAAGAATCCCCTATCGGAACGCGGGGAACCAGTGCGCGATCTTGCTGTGGCCATATGCGGCCTACCGAGTCAAAATATACTATCATATCTCCGAAATGCTTAGAGGCAGCCTGCTTAAGCGCTTGTGTACCCGGGCCACAAAATGCAGCCAACGCGTTCGATTTACTGGGAGCCTTGTTAACTGAGACAGCCAGCTGCCGCACTTCCCTTGCCAATGCAGCTGTCCAAAGCCAACCATACCTTCTTCCGCAGAGACCATTTCTGATATATGACACAATTATATCAGCCAGAATTTCGAGTATATGGTAGAAGCCTGTGGTTGGAAAGCGTCTGATTGTTGTTTCACTTTAGGCATCAATCCAAACGCTGATTTGGTTGATATGAAGTCGACGTTTGCTTTGAGAATGGAACACGTTAATGCAACTGACAATTCAGTCATCCGACGTTTGGAAAAAGGTGTCTACATAAGTATCTTGATTGATGGATCATATCTTGAATAGAGGAGTTGCTCCAGGCACTGTTATTGGGTAATGTGATGTTGTATTTCTTAGGAATTAAAGTTACAGTCGGGGACTGTAAAATCCACTTAAATAACCCTTAGTAATCAGCACCTTCTCAGATTGAGATTCCCGAGCGGTTAACGTACTGTCCTGCAAATGATGACGTAAGAGGTTCAGTTTTTCTTGATATACGCATGTATCTTTATCCTTGCATATACCCCGAAGTATATGCCAATATAAAAGTATCTCAATATCCTGTATTTGGTCCTTCCTTGGGTTAGGGTTGGAGGTCTACTCGAAGGAGGATATCTGGAGAATGGGGGCTTTCTGCCAGCTTAATCAGACTTGAGGAACGCAAGTGGTAACCAAGGGGTCAAAATAAAATTGCCGATATAAAAGAATGCAACATCAATGCAACCTAGTCCAATGCAAAATGAGGCCATTTGAATCTCTTAAGACGCTGACAAGAAGGTGCCTCTCTCGACAACGTGTACTAATGCTGCAAGATTCATTTCTATCTACTAATAAGCTGTATGCATGTTTCTATATGTTAATAATCGGAACTGTAAATCGTAACATCACGCTTTGAAAAGCGGTGGAATCACCAATCATCGTTTAGCTAGGGGTCGGTATAAACAAATTTGCTACTCTGAGAACTACATAGTTAACGGTTCAACCAACCAGAGTTGCTAGTCTCGCGGGATTGCCGTGTAGTATAGCTTCCTCATATTCAGATGGCAGTTTCATGCGATCCTCTAGGCTGAATTAAGCATTGCCGACTTTCTGATCGGTGGGTTAAGCTCCTGGTATGTATGATTGATTATGAAGATATTTGTGGATAGATCCAGAAAATAGACTATGCTTGCCCATTTCTATGGGGATCTTTTATGCTGGTTTAGTTTCGGTTTCGCAATACACTCTTTGAAATACTACAACCCCCGGTTATGGCCCCGCCCGTGGTTACCAATACTCTATACTCAAGAACGCTTCAATTCTTGAGAGAATCAGTGGTTATAGGCTAGTATAGAACCTTGTCACACTAAAAGGGAAATCCCGTCAAGCTATGGGTAGGTAGCGGAACATATCCATGACCTGTACAAGGGGCAACGCGTACGGAATCCACAGAGCTTTCATAGTTACATGGCGTGGCTAGTTACCTACCCAGGTGCGTTCAAACCCATGATATCAGCTAAGAGGTCCTACCCCTTTGAATTCTTTCGCTGGATACTTGTCCTCGTGCCGAAGACTACTTAAGATCCAGTCATCTTCCCTCGAAAACTCATAAATTCAACACCGAGCCCTGCAAGGATCACCACTCAAACGAAAACACCACAGCTATGACATCTACCAAACCGCTCATCGTGATCATCAGCGGCGGCTGGCACGTCCCCGCGAGCTACGACAAGCTCTCAAACGCGCTGCGAGCAGAAGGTTTCGAGGTGCAAGTCCCACGCCTCCCCTCAACCGGCCAAGAACGTCCACCCACCGCCGACTTAGCGGTCGATACATCGTTCATCCGGGGTTATTTCCAAGAGCTGGTAGACGCGGGGCGCACCGTGGTAGCTCTCATGCATTCCTACGGCGGACATCTCGGGACCAACGCGCTGTACGGGCTAGGTGTCGCCGCGCGTTCGGCCAAGGGTCTGCAAGGCGGCGTCTCGCATCTTATTTACATGGCCGCGCATGCAGTTGTCGAGGGGGAGGCAATGATGGATACTATAGAGCGCTTCGGACACGCGCACCTAGCGCCTCTAGCCATGGATTGGGACGACGATGGGTCATGCGTGCATCGCGATCCCAAGACGTATCTCGTGGGACCGGGCGATTACAGCGACGCGGAGGTTGAGGAGTACCTTGGTACTTTGGTGCGTTTCAACGGGAAGAACATATACGACAAGTCCGAGCACTGCGCGTGGCGCGAGGGGATACCCATTATCTATATCCACACCACCAATGACATGACGGTGGCTTATGACTACCAGAAGTACTTTGTGGAGGAGATGAAGAAGGCGGGTCAGACGGTGCAGACGTTTGTGCTAGAGACGGGGCATTGCCCAAACTTTACGGCCACGCAAGGGGTTGTGAACGCAGTTAAGCAAGTCCTCTCTTGATGAGGGTGGCGGAAACTCCTACACTTCTTCAAGAGAAGCTTCATAGACGATTCATGAGATAGATGATCATGAAAGCATTCCATTCCGAAGTCCCTATTTAATAATTGTTATATTAGTAAGGATCAACATCAATAGTGACATGGTTCTAGGATAAAGTGGTGGATCCGGAGATTCACGATTCGCCCAGCCCCCAAGTTTTGCTTTTGGACATCGGATAGGGGGCCATCCTTCGGCAACGTCATTCCGAAAATTCGGGAGCTGCACCGCCGCACTCGCAGTACCCTAAGTACCTGGGCATATGTACCTAAAATTATTAGTCATGGCATAGATCGTATACTTGGATACGTACATCGTTTCAATATTTACTACCTATACGGCCTAGGCACCTAGGTATTCACCAGCCAAGACGATTGGGCATCATGTTCCGACCCTCACGACTACAACGATGCCCCACCCACGAATACTCTCCCATATACCGAATTCATTCTCTCGTCGAAATGCGACTTCTTGGACTGTAACCGTCATTTCGGCTTCATCCGGCTTGTTTTTCGCAACATGAGTTATGGAAGGTCCTGATGTAGGCGGCTCCGGCGATTCTTTATCACTCGTACGCTTTCCTAAATTCCATCCTCTCTTCTTTTTCTGCGGTATTCGATGCTCAACTACAGCCTCGACTATTGAGTTGAGTTCGGCAGGTGGTTTCTTTTCTCTCTTTGGTTGTAGGTAGCTAGCCAAGCGGTGAGCCATTTCTTCATCCTGCCACCAGAGCGCCTTCTGCTTTTCGGTAGTCTCGTCTGTCGAGAAACTCGACTCGCCGAACCGTCCCCAGTCAGTAAACTCCTGGCCGGGTGCCCAATCTGGGTCTTCGCTGTTAAACCGAGGTTTCGAGATACCAGAGCTAGATTTCGAGTCTTTCCCGGGCGTGTATATAGAAACTCTTGAAATGCGACAGAGTTCTCCGCGACGCTTCATGTCTTCCAGGCCACTAAGCATAGCGTTTTTCGGAACAGCTGTATCTGGGACTAGAGTGAGCGAAGCTAACGGAACGCGCCCATGTCGATTTGCTAAGTCTGCTAAGAATTCTTCGACGATGGGGACGATGTGATCTAGCAAGGAGGCATCGCTAATCGTTTGCTCTGCTCTCCGTGCTTCCTGGGTTTCACGGATGCGACCCGGGAGAGTGGCCACATGTCTTTGTAGATGAGAGGTCAATGTGTTCAATTGGAACTCATCCAGAGCACCAACATTAGTTGGGACGGCGGTATAAGGAGGAGGTTCCTCCAGGGATTTTTTGAAGTCCATTTTTGTGATAAGTTCCCCGTCACTTCGGTAGATGGTAATGGTCCTTCTTATTGGATCCTATCGCGTTGAAAATAGAGAATTACAATGGTTACCCCTTGAGAAGTTCGGGCCAAGATGGTCTCTTGTTTCGTCTTGGAGGAAGTAAATGGGGATTAGGTTAGCCAAGATGTAGGTTGCCCGTGCTCTGAGTATTAGATAGTTTAACGCTATATGAAGCCGGTTACTCCCAAAGCGTAAGTGGAATGAATGAAATTCAACTTTAAAGTGACCCGGAAACTGAGTAGTAGCCAACCCCGAATGAAACCGACAATTAGTTAGATATGTGCAACAACAAAGGGGTAGGAAGATCCTGTAGTCAGATATTGCCTGAGGTGAATCAGGAGAGCCAACCTCAGAGCCCAATTCAACCTCGCTAAATTTGAAGATTAATCTGACATCACGAATAAACCCGTGACCATATTTTCCGCCTCAAAAGAACACAAGACGCTTTTAATCAGCCGCAAACACCGACGTCCGTATCTAGCTTCAAGTAGAATCAAGAATCAGCCTCGAGACCAAGTAATGAGTGGAGAATACGATCTAAGCCATAACGCAACGCTACAATATCGAAATTAGTCTTAAATGGCCGAGGGTCCTATTAGAGTATAGTTCTTTCTATAGTCAATCAGGTTATATTTCTCATCCCTTTGGGCGTGTCGCCCATAATTGGCGACTTGGAATTGCAGCTTCATGCGACAACACATTCTTGGCGAGAAGCTCCCTGCAAGAATCCTAATATGCTAAACGAATATGCGGGGAATCGAAGAGGCCCAGAATAATAGCGCATTTCAAGTTGAGAATCGGCGATCACCAAGATGTAGGAGTGTAGGATCAAGGTTAAACAGCCATTCGCTAAACAGCCCAGCCACAGGCCTTCGGATTTATACGGATCGAATGTTTTTGCTTAAATCTTCCACGAAGGACTCTGAAGCTTCATACGCCGCACCACGGTGAAGACAGAGTAAGAAGGGAGGCGAGTTTAACCAAGGGTCGAAACTAGCTAAATACCGCATAGGCTCATTGTCACACAGACTACACCAGATACTATACGCTACTATCGAACTAGCTTAGCTTGGGGGGCTTAGAGCACCCCCTACAGCCCTAGGAAATTTTAGGAATCCTTCTGGAACTATTCCGTCTTACCGAGTATGCGCTGTAGCTCCTAATTAGGTGATGCTTTTGACCCCGTGATAAAACACCAAGACCTTTTTGACGCCCGACTACAGCCTACCAAATACTTTTAATCTCGCATTGTTCACTTTGGTATTATATTCGCGAGTACGCCTCACAAGGCATCTCCGCAACCCCACACTCGGTCAGGGGTTAATCGTTCGTTTGGCATCAGATCGTCTAATCATCCCGGAATCCCGCGATAGAGGTCCGTTGAAGTTACCTGCCTAGGTGGGTACCTGGTAACATTGACTCAGCAATACCATCATATTCACTCCCTAGTTCAAAGGTAAACTCACTCGTCTTGAGAACATCGTAAAATTACTCTCCAATAAATAGACACTTTCCGATGCCCAAGAAATCTTTAGGTAATGCCCAATATACCTAATTTGTACAAGGTTACAGCCACTTCCTCTTGAAAATAGTCACCTGTCTAGGCATCTAGTCCTTTCTATCGAAGTGAATACCGAACTAGGAAGATATATCTAATATTCAAGGTTGATTTAGCTATTTACTAGCTCGTAAAGCTATGGCTCACCTGTAAAGCTAAAGTTCAGCCTCTCTCGGTGAGTACTCAGACCTCATATACCTGTCTGGAGAGGTATATATATTTAAGCCGAAGTTTCTTCTTTCTGTTCCCTTTTCTACCATTGGCCTATCCTGTAGGTATCACGCAATACTACTACATCCATATTATCTTTCTTGTCCACCGTCCACTTCTTTTGAGCCTCAAAAGACATACTCTAATCCATAACATACAACCGGATAAATCCGAGTCGATAAAAAAACCGCCATCATGTCGTACAAGATTGCCGCCCCGGACGAGTACCTCGCCGTCACGGGTATGGGCGTTAAGAGTGTACTCATCACTAAAGCAGCTTGGGTATGGCCACTCCAGAGATGCACAAGATTCTCGGTTCAGCCTCATGATTATGCCATGAACCTCCAAGGTAGGCAGTTTTAAATACCGAAAATCCCACTGGCCCATCTGCTAACTTGCGTCTATAGCGATGACGAAGGAGAAACTTCAATTTCTTCTTCCTGTCGTATTTACTATCGGACCGTATGTGTTCTTTCCTAGATGTTAGTTATGGCATAGAAAATACTAAATCAATAATAGGGATGTCAATAACCGAGGAGCCAACTCCAAGGCCCATAGGGCCAATGCGAGTCCACGGTCAGGGCAGGCTGCAGACAATCGTGCACTAGATGAAGACCGCGGCGACTCTCTGATGAAGTATGCCATGCTATTGGCCGAGTCGACCGCCCAAAAGCAGGGCTCTCAATATCTCGAGAATATCGTTAAAGGTATTATCGAGGGTGAGACCAGGGTATTAGTATCGTCCATGACCATGGAGGAGATTTTTACGGAACGTGAGGAATTCAAACGCCGTATCTTCCGTAATATCCAGGGCGAGCTCGACCAATTCGGCCTTAAGATCTACAACGCAAACGTTAAGGAATTGAAGGACGCGGAAAACTCCACCTATTTCCAATCACTCTCACAGAAAGCCCATGAAGGTGCTACCAATCAAGCCCGCATTGACGTCGCGGACGCGCAACTCCGCGGTAATGTCGGTGAGGCCGAGAGACGCGGCCAACAGGAGCGATCAATCGCGAAGATGTAAGTTTACTAAATGACGATGCTGCCTACTGATGCCTAGTGTATGAGAATTAACCCGGTTCTTACATAGCAACGCAGAAACGGCCGTTCAGAAAACGGACCGTGATGTTGAGCGTGCAGCTGCCGAGGCCAACCTTGCAACGCAAAAGACGATACTCAACCGAGATGTCGAAATCGCACGAATTCAAGCAACACGTGCTACTGAATCGCGAGACGAAGATTTGAAGAAAGAAGTCCAAGTCAAGCGTGCAGCAGCCGAACTCGAACGTCTGCGTGCCGTCGACGTCGTTAAGGCTTCGATTGCCCGTGAAAGCAAGCAACACGCTGCTGATGCCAAAGCGTACGAAATCGAAGCCGATGCACGGGCCAACTTCGAAAAGTCCACGAAGACAACAGATGCAAAAGCCTATCAGACCCGAATCGAAGCGGAGACGCAAGCGGCGGCTGATTATAACAGAACCACGAAGCATACCGACGCTGCGGCGTACAAAACGAAGATGGACGCTGACGCGCTGAACCACGCGGCGATTAAGAACGCCGATGCGGATTTGCAGAAGAGATTGAAGGAAGCAGAGGGATTGACGGCAATGGCTGGGGCTTACGCTAAGATGAGCGAGGCGTTCGGTGGCCCATCCGGTCTCTTACAATACAGTAAGTACCTCCTATTCTCACGGTGTCGGATAAGGGACAACAGCTAATTCTGACTTTTTGTAGTGATGATCGAGAAGGGCACATACGTCGAGCTCGCCAAGGCCAATGCTGCTGCAGTACACGGCATGCAACCCAAGATCAGCGTATGGAATACCGGTTCCGATGCTGGTTCGGCTGGTGGTCAGGGATCCGGTCAAGATTCTGCAGCGACTTTGCGAAATGTAAGTCCGCGCCTTCAAGCCACATATTGAGTAGCCATGATTCCCATTCGTCTCGGTATCTTTCGGACGTACTCTTAAAACGTGGCTTGCATCAATTTTATGCGGAAGCGTGCTAATATGAGAAATTAATCAGGTATATCAACTCCTCCCTCCACTTATGTCGACCATTCACGACCAAACAGGCATTACACTACCCGAATGGCAGTTTGGAAAATTGCCCCAAAACGAGGTAGCGAGGCGAGACCATGGCAAGGTGAATGGGGAGAAATAAAGAGAAATAAGGTAGGAAATCTCCCACGGAACAGCCCATCGTTTTCGCATTTTCTTTTCAGTTTGATTCCCTTTGCTTTTTGCAGATAGACCAGACATGTATTCTCTATGTATTCCTATGTAGCATTGCGTAGAGGTGTTAGCATGTGTGTTTGTTGATACCTCTTCGTATTTTAGATATTGAAATTGAATATACGTAGTTAATTAAATTGACTTTATAGACAATGGAATGACAAACGAATTAAAGAGTCTTCATACTTTTAGATCTGATATATGATTGATTTCCTTATCGGGAAATATAAAGCTACCTAGGTACACTAGGGTCCTAACTTCCCCACATAGTGTCCCACAGTGGGGTTATACTCCGAATCTGCAGCCCAAGTCCAACTTTATATTGCCTCCAATTTTTTTGCTATCCAAAATTTCTATTCGTGAAGCTGGCAACATCTCAAGACTCACAAGTTCTTCCAAGGACAATAGAGCCGAGATGCATGCCTTAGTACAGCCTAATGGATGGGTTGCTCTCAAGCTTCCTTCTGGAAACTTAAGAGTACTTCAAGTCACTCCAAATACGTACGCCGTGATTTCAATGCCTCCAGCTATTTCTAACCAGTTAGCCATACTAACAATGATGTATTTACAGAACTATATCGTTAGGGAAATACGGCTCATTCCCGAGCAATCTAATAATTGATCGACCATTTCACTTCACCTACGAATTGCAAGATAAACGGCCAGGAGAGGACTTCAATCGATTGCGCATCGTGCCCGCTTCCGAGCTTTACAGCGATATCCTCTCGTCCGATACATCTACCAGCCCACCTGAAGGGGAAACCCCCATAACAAATGACGGCGAAGATATCGAAAATGCGATCCCAGCTGGCATAGAGTACTCACTAGTCGACCCCGAATCCGGCGCCGTTGTTGCTCGGACCGATCGCGCAGAGCTCGATGCCTCTGCGCGCCAGACGCTAAGCATAGATGAAATCGAGGCTTTGAAAAAAGATGGAACAGACGCGGGCAGGGACCTCATCGCGAAACTAATGCTGTCCCACACTGCGATCGATCAGAAGACACAGTACTCCTTGGCCAAATACAAATTACTCAAGACGAAGAAATACATACGAAGGTTTAGCGTGTTACCTATGGATGTGCCCACGCTCGCCCACTATCAATTAGAAGTGAAGGATTCGAGCAAGATCCTAGATATGAGGGATGAGATGATAGCACTCCTGGGATGCTGGGCTAATATACATTTTGGGGGAGAGGATCAATGTGAAAATGAAGACGCGCAAGGAATTGACGATGAACATAAAGAGCCCGAATATTCACCTGGAAGATGGCTTGCGGTAGATGATACGGGCGGGCTTTTAGTGACAGCTATGGCGGAGCGGATGGGTATACTTTACCCTCCTGAGAAAGAAGCTAAAGATATAAAGGAGGCCATGCCAAGCACCAGTGACACTCTGCCGAATGCAGACGGCGGAAATGGCAGTTCTAATATGGAGGTAGTGGTTCAAAGTCAAAATGCCGCCGAATCTGAACCGCCGAGTAAGGCTACGAGAAGGAATTCGCATGGGGATTCGAAGGCGCGGTGGGACGACTTACATGTACCATTCGTACGCTCCAATACTCTTACCGTCATTCACGCTAACCAACAACCGAACCTTACCTTCCTACGCGATTACGGCTTCGACATAACGAACCCTAACCCAACATCCGATCACCCCCTGGCCGCCCACCTAATGACCATATCATGGTTGCAACTCGTCGAACCCGAGCTAGATCCTACATATACCTCGAATATGCCTAACGTCTCGCTTGAGGAGCTTCGCACGTGGAAAGCCAACCGTCGGGGTACATATCACCGCAAGCGTCGCCGTTGGGCTAGGGTTAGACATATCATCAATACCACACGGAAAGGCGAATTTTCCGGATTAGTTGTTGCGAGTACAATGGATCCAATATCCATTATGCGTTACGCAGTGCCGCTCCTCGCTGGTGGTGCACCGATTGCTATCTACTCGCAATCGATTGAGCCGTTGACCGCCCTAGTTGACTGTTACAGCATAGCACGCCGTGCAGCCTGGGTATCAAATCCTCCGGAAGAGGCAGTTGGTAAAACGCCGGAAGAATTGGAGCAGTGGCCTGGGAACGAAGATTTCCCACTTAACCCATCCCTTGTATTAGGAGCTTCCCTACAGACGAGTCGTGTGAAGAAGTGGCAGGTACTACCCGGACGAACACATCCTCTAATGACAGGTAGGGGTGGAGCTGAAGGATACGTATTCACAGCTTGGAGAGTTAAGCCTGCGGAGGGCAAGGTAGAGGCTAGAGGCAAAGCTCGTACGAGAAAGAGGAAACTCGAGGAGCCAACCAAAGAATAAAGGTGTTGTTTAGATGGTGATAAAAAATATGGCTTGCATTCATCGGCGTTAAAAAACCCCGGTTATATATGGAAAACGAGGTGTGGCTAGTCTTCCGCGTCGTATAGACTTGGGATAGATATCCCTTGCTATGGGCATTTATTCTCATGAACCATTTGGACTCCGTACAAGTTCAACACTTTTTGTTTTGATCCCGTGCTCTTATGTGTTTTTGAAGTGAGGATATCTCGTCTTCTTACAATTGCTTGCCCATGAACTTTCTCTTTGTGAAGCTTAACCACCACTTGCTCGGCTTTCCATCTCCTTCCTCGTCGTATACTCGCGCTAGCAACCGCGCGGCGAGCTCTTGTCGTACTTGGGATAGGTATTGTCGTAGTTGTTCGGCGTCTTGTCGGTCTCGTGGGGGTTCGTAAATCTGTAAATTGGGTCAGCCTCACATGCCTTACCTCTTAACAAGTAAGTACGAAGCCTAAACGTACCTGGTTCAAGGGAAACGCAGGGTCTCCCGGGATCGCAAAGTTAAGATCCAAAGCAGTATTCAACACATCCTTCGTAGCATCCCGAAGTGAGTGGTGCGGGCGGATCTTGCCGAGACACTCGCTCACGAATAGGATGCCGTAGATAAGTAGACGGTCGGCGGGCCCCTGGATCTCGAAGTTACGGAAGAAAGTGTTGGCACGGAAAAGCGAGAGCACTTCGTCGAGTATATCGTAGGACTCTGCGTCTGGGTCCGGACTCTCGTTGGCGGGTAAAGGGGGGTTGGGAGGTGGGAGGACGTATGCTGGACCACGGGTCTTGGTGCGTAGAGGAAGGAGAGGAAAGTTCCCAATCAGACGAGGTATGTTGGGATCATTGTTGAACATGGAATTGTAGGCCTATGTTAGGGTGGCGGTGTTGTTAGCTAGATGCATTGGCTGGGTATTAATGGTTTTGAGGGCAATGGGAGATGACTCACTGGCATCTTGTCGAAGGTACACCGAGGAGAGTCGGTGATGGCTCGACAATTCTGCAGCTGTTATGAGGAGTTTGATGTTTGAGAGGTAAGTCTTGCTTCTCCCCTATAGTGGTACCTAGGTAGAGGGGCTCACGAGGCTTAGTCGGGTTGCAGCTGAGGCTGACGTCTCCAAATTGTTAGTGAGGAACGTCACTATGCTCGGGTAAATGTCGGTGAGATATTTATGGATGTGTTGCTGTTAGTGTGGTAGATGCGATAGAAGCATAGGGGAAGTACCTCCGCACGGTGTGACTTCTGACGCTGTTATGCGCCCTTAACAACGCATGTACCTTCCCTACCGTGAATCCGCAGGCTTACACGCTAAAAATGGAGTGACGAAATGGCGCCAGCACGAATTAAGTTAGGTTAATGACTTGCATCCGTCAATGTTGGATCTTAGCCGTGGGTCTTAATCTGGATCTCATCTGCGGACTCTGATTGGATACAGCCCGGCTATGGCGTCGGTCTAATGAGCTGGAGCCTAGCCCTAACCGGATTCAGAAACCCACACGGTCACCTGAATTCGCGCCACGGCCGCATTCAAATTGGTAAGAACAACCCACCTTTGTTTGCGGCATAAGGCATAAGACCCCTCCCCGTCGCGTCTTCCGTCTGCCGGCTTTGTCAATTCTTCTCCATCCACTCTCGTCCTTCCCTTTGCCGCCCAGTCTCAGAACCGTCACATCTTCCACCTCACCATCCCTCAATACTATTAAAAACCGCTTCGCTAATTACGGCGACTTTCCTTACCGGTGTACTGGGACTTTATTATCGTTAAAGTACTTATGATCTAGTGGCGCACTGCTTGTACTCTGTCGCATACACACCATAACGGGTTTGTAAGTGCGCGCATCTGATCGCAACACTATACATTCAAGATAGGCAGCCTAGGACTTGCACCTAGTGGTTAGTAGGCCTTTTTAACTTTCTTTCCGTTGGTATTATCTATACAATATTCGCTAACATTTTATTTTACAGCTCACAATACATCATGTTCTCGAGAGAATTACGTGCGGCGGAGTATCAACCCGATAGATACTCGCCCGAGATCAAACCACCACGTCGCAAACTTCGGCATCGCAAGATCGTATCTCCACAAGTTGGGTCACTTTTCGACATCCTTCATGACTATGCGGCTACTTCCCTCTACGTCCCACCGCTCTGCTGGACTGAACTTCACATGCAAGCGCTCGGATGCCGATTTGTACAACAGCCCCCGCTGACCACACCATCACCTTGTGAATCATCCTCACCACCGAGATCCCCGCCAAATCAGATGCCATTTGAGGTCGTATCCCTTGCGGATGATCTTAGTACCCTAACAAATACAACCTTTGCCCTTGGCAAGCGAAGCCAAGCCATCGTGAACTTTATTCAGACGATGTTTCCCGGTCGATTCTGGGATCATTGGGGAGAGCTTGGCATGCGCTGTGGGAGACACTCTTGTGCCAATGGGGTGCGATGTCAAGTCCTGTGGTACACGCATCCAGATTCATTATCATCATTCTCCTCGATTGCTACTTGTGACCCAGATGCATCCAAAAGCATCGAAGTCAGCTCACCACAGCCGTCACCAGTAATGGCCTATCTTGATCTCACCCACATCAATTACGTCCGAAAGAACTGCTTCCGAGTACCGCCATTTCCGGATGGATCAATCAACATACCCATTCACCGTCTACAGCAAATCCGTTCCCGAAAGTTGATACCTGTGGACCCTAATGAAGACCAATACATATTTGCCACCATGATTGCGATGGCTCAGCAAAGCGTATATGACTCGGTACCCAAAGGAAGCGGCTTCAAGCCAAGAGATATTCCAGTCCGCATCATCACACTTTCTCAAAGCGGCCAATCATTCATCATTTATGCAAGTGTCATACCTGCAGCATTACTATCCATGTTTCACGAGCCCCACAAGGCACCACGAGGGGATGCGGGTGTCACCATCACATATCGCGAAATCAATTTCTGGCCGATTTTGGGTCTGAAGGAACGTCTAGGGCAAGCTCTAGGCAAGGACCTAGTCGGCGAGTTCGACGAAAAATCTATGGATGATTATGAGGGGAAGCTTTCTCCTAAGTCTCCAAAAGATGATGAACAATCTCAGGAAGAACTACTAGGAAGTGTCTCCCAGGCGTCTAGCAGTGCTGGGGAACGGACGCCTCCCACGATTCATCGAAAACTCTCTCCAAAGCGTAAGAGGGAGATCCTCTCAGAAGTTTTTAACGCAAGCTTCTCTGAGGATCGCGAAACTTCGGCCTATCCGAGCAAGTTGTTGAAGCGCAGGTGTGTAGCGGAAGGTAGGATTGGCGTCGTCCGATAAGGAAATGCCCGGGGCTTTTATTTGATGAAGTCGCGTGGATATATGAATGGGTTACTAAATTATATACAGGGTTTGAGGATGAGTCGGTAGCGCCGTCGCCGCAGAACGCATCGGAGAATTCAGAAAGCTCTGAAAGCTCCGACGAGAATATACAGGAAGATCAATAATCAACATAAGGGTAATTCGGTGGATTTAAGGGGTTATTAAATTAAACGATTAACAGATGGATGGACGGACTGGAGAGACTTTGACGAACATAACGCCACACTACTTCAATTCTTGATGGCTACCTATCTACCTTGACGTAACGAGGATCATGATGATACGAGACCGTTCGGGCGTACCAGGTTCGGCGTTGATATAGGGATGGTTATACCCCAGCATTTGCTTTTCTCTTCAACATTGTCATCCCGCCCCCTCTGGCTGGCGGGTTGCACACAGTATCACATGAAGACGGTGTTTTTTTACATGAAGGGGTCTTGCCTGGAAGACGAGGCATGATACGACTAGTCTCGCGACCGGAAATTCTACTTAGAACTTTGCAATAGGCAATGCAACGTGTAATTCACGAATACCTTGCGTCATTTCGTTATCAGATATTAATAGTTCGCTTACTCTACCGCGTTACCTTTCCTTCTAGTACTTTCGGCATGGGGTTATTTCATCTCTTCATGCGAGAGGTAGTTTCTACCACTAGAATCGGGTACCCAAGTCAGCGATGTGAGTCCATACAACATAATCACTCTTTTTCCTTATTATCTACTTATAACCAATCACATCTGACTCGAGGAGATGTTATAGGCTATGATTCTGATACTATAATAATAGGTAAGCTCAAATTCCCTAACATAAGATCATAACTCTAAGATAGATTCCACCTATCTATGTGAAACTGCACTGTTGAAATCCGGGACGCGGTAATTCATATTGGGTCATCTTTTACTAAAACACATTATATCGTGATCAACGAGTCTCGCTCGGAAGAGGTCCAGGACGCCAATATATAATTCATCAAAATTAATCCCCTTCCTTGGCCCTCCGACCATCAGAACCAACCACCACGAGCTCATCTCTCAAGTCATTCTTCTTTGGCGGCATGATCAAAATACTGCTATTCACAATGCCTAAAGACTACAAAAGCGACGTATCGGGTAAATACTACTTCAGGTATCCTGGCTCCACAGCTAATAGCGTCCGATGGGCCTTCTGGGAGCCGGAGAAGGCACCCCTCAAGGGAACCAGAATCCGGGATGCGATAGCCGGATTAGAGAATATCATACGGTGACCAAAGCAGAAACCCATCCAGGAACCCCCTCAAGCAGTCGAAAATCCATCATTCTATAGGTTGCCTTATGATGTGCAGGCTATTATTTTCGATATGGTTCACGAGTTACCTAGCTGGGTACATCTTAAATTTAAAAATTGGTCTCTGGAGAAGGTGGTCATCAGCAACCACGAACTATATGCCAACAAAGAATGGAACCAAGAGCCCAGACTACGACGAGATTTGAGCCGCAGTGACCCGTCTGATTCGTCCGGTATTGGTGCACTTGCAAGTAATGTCCTCCATACCCTTGTTGCGAATAGAGCCAACCTCGAAAACCTCCAAGATCAAAGCGGTTGGGGCGACTCTCCATTTTTCGTCAAAATACAGAATGAGGTCAAGACACCTCAAGTCAAGAGGCGAATAGATTGGTTCCTCATCGAAGGTGGTATGGAATTCTACCGAGATGACAGTATATACCGAAATTTGATTGATATCCGAACCATCGCCTTCACACTCGACGAAGCTTACGAATTTACACAACAATTAATACATACCCCCATTCCAGTTTTCGTACTCGACAGTGCTTCGCAAGTCGAAGAAGTCGTAATCATTGTCGGCGACCTCCAGAGCGATATTCCACCGTCTAAGATGCAAGAGATTGATTCCTATCAAGTCGATAAGATAGGCAATTTCAATCATCCCAACTTGCCGCATAATATTTCTAACGCTGAGAACTATATGATCAGGGCTATCACGAACAAGTGGGAAGAAGATATATCAGAGAGGCGCGGATATCTGCTTAATTGGTTAAGGGATGACATAGCACAAGACACGCAAGCGTACCCCATACACGACCATCTCAATCAGATGTCAAAATGGCTAGCCAGCCCCTGCGGAATCAAGTGGCTCGAGATGGACGGTTCGGCCTTCCTTAGGACACCATCCGGATAGTAGTAGTTAGCTTCCGAATATAGATATCCATAGCTTAAAACCAAAGCAGGAATGCAATGGCTTCAAGGGGCAGTTGGTACGGCATTCCTTAAGAGTCCGCAGGCACTACTCTGGGCGAATACCGGTACTAGAGACTCTAGGGGCTCTAATTCTAGAACACAGCTTCAGAAAGCTTGGTTCGGTTGTGCCGCAGGACGACAATGGATGTCCCTCCATTGTCCCAACGGAACACTACCACACTACCAACACCTCCTCAACCGCCATCGAGGACGGAGGACGCCCCCCAATCTACTAAAGTCTATGATACACTTTTCATGAACCTCAATTTTCGAGGTTGGCGTTTTGTGATGTGCCCCCGTGATGATACAAGTCGCCTAGCCCGAGGAGAAAGGGAGCTCGCTTTTTCATCGACACGAATGCTATCATGATGGGCTATAAGCAACGTCTATTCTGAGGCTTTAGTCCGTTCATTCCATTTTGGTTAGGCATTCAACGCAACTGTTTCCTTTACATATGCTTTGTTTTCATGCATCAGATCGTTGTCAATTCGGCTCGCCGTCCCTTCTACGCCAAAATACTTCGCATGAGATAGAGAAGGAAAGGTTCATAGAAAGTAGCATCGAATGCATAACTCCTTAGTGATTACCAAAAAATATATGTGCCCAGGCAGCTCTTCGTTGTGCATAATTTTATGTGCGTGGAACGCTCCCTTGAAAGCATCCTACGAGGTTCCTTAAAAATCACAAATCCTTCGATTAATGGACCTATCAACCTTCTCGTATCAACAGGGAGATAACGAGCGCTCGGTATGGCCGGCACTCTAAAGGGGAACAGTATTTGGCGGCTCATCTCGTATAAATTGCCAAATGCTTTCGAATACGTCATTGAAAAAGCATGAGGCTGTTTGAATATCGAGATAAGGGAGGTGGTATGCGGTAAAAAACGCAGCATGAAGCCCGAATAGGAATTCTTGATATTGTCCATGTGACCAATGGAACCAGCGCCCGCACGATATTTCAATGTGACATTGTGTTCTAGAACCTCGTATTCTAGTAATTTCATTGCTGCCAAGCTAGGCAAGAAATGTAGTGGTGACAGGAAACACACCATGGCGGGTTAGGAGAGATGGATCCAGTTTCAATATAAAAGCTAGACGGTCTACTACAAGATCCTCGCTATTCCAACTCCTTTCTTAGGTAGAGAGTAACGCATCGCCGACGTGGTAGGCTACCAAAATGACTCGCCCACTCCTCTTCTTAGCATCAGCTTTCGGCCTGACACTGGCGCAAAGTGGCAATGTGAACCAATCCGCACCCTTCAACCTTGTCCTATCGAGCGACAATAGTACACTTAACGGTCTCAAGCTCGCAGCTTGCCACGCGGGAGCCGCAGTCGAAGCTCTCTGCCTCGATGAATCTGTTCAAACGCCAGAATTCCAAACCTTTTTCTTCAACAGTTCGGCCGAAGCCCCTTCGGATCCAAACTACCTACAATCCGGTTATGTGACGTGGACATTCACGGGTGGTACGCCGCCCTTCACATCCAATACGGCTCTGGCATTCCTTTATAATGAGGGATCCAACCTCGCCTTCCCTCTTATTTGGCCTTCCGACACCATTGCTCAGTCCGTCTCGTTTACTGAGGATGACCTCCTTGCTGTGGGAACCAATGTCAATGATGCGATTTCGCCCCCTGGGCCGTTCCCGAACTCCGTCGAGTACTTAACCGACCGCTGGGCTATCTGCAAGACGTATTGGCAGAGTTATGGATACGTTGCGCTTCAATATGTCCTGGGCAACCAGAAGCCCCAGAACCCGAGTTGCCAACTGGTGACGGTCAAGAGGGTTTGGGTGTAGTCACAGGATTCGATGGGAGGACATAGATTTGAGAAAAAAGGAGGTTACTTCTGAAGTTTGGGCAATTTAATTCATAATGTATGCCGTAGGTAGTCTTAATGAGTGTGCTCGTTAGGTGTCTGAATACAACATTATTCCTGCGTCCAAACACCCTAACAACCTGTCCCGTAAAAAAGAGTCGTAAAAACAAGTAAAACAGATTGCCTAACCCATTCCCACCCCCTAATGATGGGTTAATGCACCAATCTAAGCCCTAATATATGCCGATGATAAAGATGCAACCAACCACCAAGACCCAAAATCACTAATGCTCCATTCGTATCAAAGCACACGTCCCGTTCTCCTCTCCAACGCCCAAACCCAGTCCAACATGCTTAAGGTTTCTGACATTGTTTATTCATTTTTAAGCATCCCTTACTCTCACCAAGCGAGTCTGGTGCGTCGGACAAGCCGTCGAACACATCATCCAAGCTAAAGTTGAAATCGGAAATGCCGCAAGATCCCCCGATCCAATCACCAAAAAAGGAGACGGCGTCGAGTCCGTTTTCGACGAAAGTCTTGGCGCCCTCGACAGCTTTCTTAACTGCTAGAATAGAGGTGCCAGCGGGCACAGAGTCGATACCCTCCTCAACGAGCGTCGTAACAGCCGTTAGGACAACAGCGCATATCACGTTATCAAGCTGAGCAAGAGCTTGGATAACAACGTCTAAAATAGCACCGGCAGCCGAAAGATCGCAAATGCATTCGCCTGATGTCCATGAGTTTCCGTCGTCGTCTTTTTCTATCGTACTCGGGTCGAGCTGATCTAAAGGAACATCGGGTCCCTTACACTAAGGAAATATCACTGTTAGTTTTGTCATTTTCAGTTGAGGGGATGGTGATAAATACATACACCAACGGCGTTCGGATCTGAATTTGGATCCTGTGTTGGGCACCATGTCATACACGGGGCGAGCTCCTTTTGCGTGTTGCCATTCCCCAGGTAAGACATGCAGATGCCTATCCGTCCGAAGTTGGCGATGGTATCGGCATCTGAGCGAGGTAGAACTGCAGCCGAACCCGGGCCGATCGTCCCAACGAGAACGACGGCGGCTAGGTATGAGAATATCGAGGTGACCTTCATTATGATAGATAGAAAATGGGATATTAATTATTGAAACGTTGGTGAGATTCAGTTGAAGGGACGGACTCGATATCGTCGATAGAATTTGATAAGTGATGTGTTTCATCTCAGAAATCAAATCTAGGGGTAGTATATTTTATATGAGCCCCGATGAGGCCCCCAACTTCAAACAAAACCATATTCAAAAGTCCGATGACAGCTATGTGCTGTCCTAGGTGGTCCGGAAAAATCCCACTCCTTACTGCGCCAACCATTGACGCATACGTCCACCTACTCCAGAGTCTTTGTATAATCTACGTGCGCCCATAGGGCTGTGCCAGCACGAGGAGTCTATTACGACTAAGAACAAAGCAAGACTTCGAGCTATACGAATAAGCAGTTAGTCAAGCAGACGTAAATATCAAGAAATCCTACCGGATAGCTTCTATCCGCGGCCTAGTATATGGATATGGGCTGAAGAGTAGAATCAAAGAAAGCGGGCGCTGTAATTGGCGGCGCATGTCTCGTAGGGCTATTCTCGTCATATGGGTTAGGTATCTTGATAAACTGGTATGCTGATAGCAAAAGATACGGCGCCACGGCGGTTGTTTCGAAACAAATACACGTCCGGACCCAATCTGTTCTGATATCGGGGCGCTTAGAAGATCGGATCGTGCAACCACCGGACGGTATATCCAGAAATAGAAATCGGGAGGGCGGGTGCGTCGTCTGATTCGTCGGTTTTCCTCCGCACCGCCCCCACGACCAACAAAGAGCACGCATCCCGTACATCTGCTCTAGCCCACCCCATACGGGTATTTTTATTTATATTCACTGCCCCCCGGAATATGAGAGTACCGTTCCTTGGCGTTGAGACAACACCAAAGATGACCTTAAATTTCTATCGTAGGCTGAGGCCGCTCATTGGAGGCGGCTCACCGACAAATCGTCAATCGATGTTTTTAAAAACAAAGGAGCCAGTAACATGACTGATTGGCTTCGCTTACTGCCACGATAGTTAGTAAATGATAGGTCGCATTTTTTTTGAGCGAAATATCTATTCCTATTAAGCCACACGGGTGAGGAGTGAAGATATACATACACCTAATCTGCTACCAACTACAAGTTTAGCTGGAGCAATTCAATCCGGCTTAATGAGATCCATCGACTAAGTTTTCGTTGTTTAATCGGTTCTAATAAAAATAGGCCTCTTCGTTGCGTCAAGGTAGATCGTCGGGTCTTCGGGCCTAAAGCCTTAAGAGTAAGGGGAGAAGGCTAGAGTCGCTATAATCGTCGCCATGTAGTGGGCGTCAGCAGACCCCGCGGATTCTTCGTAGCGTGAGCCATTTCCTCCTAGGATACCTGCCTTTGCAGATATTCTTCTCGCTTCCGTCATACAGTGCCCCTTGAAGCTTTAGGCACCATTCACAAAGCTCACGCCACCAACCTCCTTACCGAACTCCACGCATTTCGACAACCCACACAACTCGAACACATCCCTTACACCTCCATCAACCTTCCCGTTTTCAGTATACCTATCCTTAATCTCGCCTGTATTCTTCAACTCCTGGCAAGACTCGTGCATAGCCAAGTACACGCTCGTCAAGCCAGCCATAGGCGAAATAACGATTTTATACCCCATATCTTTGGCCTCCTGCGAGTTCACCAATGGCGTAACTCCACCGCCGACCATGTTCAAGAAACATGGCGTCGGCGCCATATCTCGAACTATCTGCCTCATCTGCTCCTTCGTCCGCATGCCCTCCAAAAACGCAACATCCGCACCGGCTTGAACAGCAATCTTCAACCTCGTGACAGCTTCCTCATAGCCGAGAGACTGTGGCGCATCCGTGCGCGCAATAATCACGATGTCTGACTCCATACGCGCTCGGGCAGCAGCAGCCGCCCGGATCCGAGCTACGAATGTGTTTGTGTCGACTAGCTCCTTGCCCGTGAGATGACCGCATCGTTTGGTTGTTACTTGATCCTCGATGTGGAAGGCAGCTACCCCCTGAAGTATGTACTTCTCGGTAGTACGCGCGATCATCAAAGGCCCGCCAAAACCGGTGTCAGCGTCGGCGATCACCGGGACGTCTCGATTGAGACCCGCTATCATACCCGCGTTCGTCACCATGTCGTCGACGGTGGTGAGGCCTAGGTCGGGTTGGCCTAGGCGCGATGCGGCTGTACCTGCGCCTGTCTGGGAGGGTATTAGTCTGCGGTCACTTGCTTGCATGGGTGTGGAATGTGAGCATACCATGTACAAGGCATCAAAGCCTATACTTAACGCTACGCGTGCCGTGAGTCCATCGTGTACGCCCGGACAAACTATGATCTTATCCGCATCGGCAAGCACTTGCCGGAGTTTAGTTGCGGACTTAGTCTGAGACATTGCGGTTGAAATTTTCAATGTCCCCTATCTTGGGTAATCAAGTATACACAGAAGGCACTCAAGTATTTCAGATGTTGTCCCTTGGGTTTTCTCTCCGTCTCCAGAACCAACTTTACCATCAAGTTGGACGCTTGATAGCTACTCAGATAATATCAGAGGAAGCCAATAGTACTTGAGTGGTGAAATCGGAACCACATGGGGCTATCATCCACAAAATTCCGTTCTGTGACTCCGAGAACTACCCGTGAAAGCTCTTGCTACGTCCCAAGTGGGGTAGAAATAAGACAAGCTACAGATGTAACTCGGCCGATTCGGCCGATTCTAGCTCTGATGTATGGGGCATCTCGGTACTAGTGGCGGCGGTCGCGGTAATGGGCGCAAGCTACCGCAGAGTGACCTCATCATGCGTGTTAGTCGGGATGTAGATAAATAAATATCAGTGTTGCCTTGTCAACCACTATAGAGAAAGTAAACTTACCTTCATCTAGTATAAACCGCTTTCCAATTTCGTCAGAGGAACGCTTGAGTATAAGGGTCCTTCCCCAGTTCATAACGCTATACCTCTCCCTTACATCATTGGTGTTACTAGCAGTCTTATATGAAGCCGCAGGCCAACCCCTAAGATTGTAGATCGTGGCTCTCGACTTTAATCTGAATCCAGTCATTTTCTCTGTGATCACTTTCGCCGATTACTGTAACTTCAAACCTATCGCCTGTCTTTGTAAAAGGTTGTCCATTTGAACCAGGATCCGTTACCCAATCAAAATGCCAAATGTGTGGAATTGGCTGTTCCTTTTCTAAAATGGGGAGCAATGCATGAAACTCTTCATCATCTGTACTTAAAACCCGATATTCTATGTATCCCTCCAGAAGAATAACAACGATGAAGGGTTCGCCGAGAAGCTTTGAGGTTTCTATTGCGGAACCAACCGTTAGATGTATAGCGAACCTCTCTTGGCTGGATCCAACTAAGAAAGCCTTTCTATGGGGGTCCCACAGATCACTCGGCCGAGCAATAATGTTCTTAATGGGCCCAGAGAACCCCACGAACAAAGCGTCGTTATATTGTGTCGCTATGTTAAATGCGTCTGCTTGAGGAAGGTCCTTTGGAATATAGATTCGGGGCTGGAACATCACTATCTCCTTCTCTGTTTGACTCGTATCATCAAATAACTTATATGGGTTATGCCTCACAAACCCTCTAGGGACCTTGGCAAGGCATATGTATTGTCTCATACCGGGGTAGTTAACGCCGTGCCTGTATTTCTTCCTGCAGCCAATTTCCATCAAGATACCGTGCTCTGGATTAACTCGTAGATTTAGCCCATCGAAACGTATACCTCTATTAGTGATCGTGATTTCTCCAGTGTAACCCATGTTATAGATTGACATGAAGTGGCCTTCGGAGAACTCGCAAGGATGGTTAGCGAAGAGTCCGCGAAACTCCTGCTCGGGTTCTCCAATTGATGGCGGGGGCGAGGCTTTCCATGCGAAAAGTGACATATCTGTAGTCTGTTTGCATATTTCCTCCTGCAATCGGATAAAGGCCTTTGCCCCCTCCCCATAAAGAAGGGGCATGTTAATGCCGAATATTCCTAGGAGACAATACGCCGTGTCTTCAATCCTCGTAGTTTCTCGCGATGAGGCCCATGACATCCGGCACGCGATTGGTTCGTGTTGCGGTTGATAGCGCAAGCCATTGGGATGCCGATATGGCTCTATAATACGCCGAGGGATCCTAGTGATCTCTTCAAGCAGCGCACTAGATTGCTTTTTGTCGCCAATGAGATTCCATTGCATATCATAGAACTCGACGTACATCGGCGCTATCAGCTCCTGCAACGTCCAACCCCGCGTAAGCCATTTACATGCTTTGAGCTTCGTTTTCCAGAGTTGCCATAGGTCATCAGGCTGTTGACTCAATATGTCTGGATGAGTCGGCATGTCTGACAGATATGCGAAACACACAGCCGAGTCCTCGTACCATTTATACATAGAATTGATCGCTTCGGACAGCTCTGCGCTGCTGGTTTTATCAATACAACAAGTATCGACCCAGGCCCAATTCAGCCCGCGTTCGCGGGCCATTAGAACAGTTTTCTCAATCTTAGCAAACCCTTTCTTCCTACGAGCCACGCTCGGATCCGGGTCCCTAAATTCTTGAAAACTCACTTCATCATCTTCCCAGGTATGCGATAAGATCGCATACGAGTTCTCCCGGTAATTGTCTTTACGCACGAGCTCAAAGTTGTGGGTGTTGATGAGCCACATATTGACAGCGACATCGCAAAATGCAGCACGAAAAGGGATGTCTGTGTGTCTCGGTCAGAGCACCGGGATCTTCGCTTCATATTGGTGATAAAGAAATCGAAAAAAGCAATTTTATCTGAAAACTGACAAGTCCATTTCATGTGGTTGGGGGCTGAGCCTGATCGTAGGACCTGTAAGCCTACGGAGTATGCATGTATGTAGGCACATGATTGGGCTGTCTTAACTGTATAGATACACTCGTCGCATCTATTGGTGTGCGAAAGCTAGGCGCAGAATACAGCCATCCCATTTCAAGCATGGCTTTGCAGAACGCCCTGTGATGAGTGACCAAGGTGTTATCTTCACTTTATCTTTCACAATACGGCCGCTTTAAGGATGATTCGCCAGTGATCAAATGAGGCGCCGGTAGCGGTTAGAATATAGGTATAACTACGTAACCGGCCTGTTAAATCAAGGAAATATTGGTATGGGACGGGAATAGTGATGGATCCTTTCCCTTGAATTGATAGACCCCGAGTGTATAAAGTTCTAATCCATTCTAGGGGTCTTCATAGAACGTGTATAGTTACCTAAGTAAGGGTTGCCCTACTCTATCTTTATTTGTTATAACCGACATAAAACTAGGCTCCTTAGTTAAGTATACTATTACTGGCTGGATATTGTTTACCAACGTATTTTTTATATTCTAGAAAAGTTATTTAATAGTCTTGCTGTATCTTTAATTAAAGAACTAAGGTGATGTAAGGGAAAGAACCTATATTTAACTGAATAATATTAGTAATTACTAAAATAATTCTGTTCTAAAAACAACCACATTAGAAAGAATCCCTAGAAGTAATATTTAGGGCATTTGGTAGACTAACTAGGAACAACCCCAGGATTACACAATTGAGCTTGGTACCTGCCTAGGGAGCCAGGATACCGAGAATGGAATGCCTACCTAGGTAATTCACTTGCAAATCTGAATGCGCGGTGATTATGTGAATTGCGAAATAAGCGGAATGGGAGTGGATGATATGAGAAATTGCAATGGATCCATGGAGATTGGTAGATTGGTAGATGTCCCCGGGCGCTATAGTCAAGACGCGGAAAATAAATCAAATCTCTGCCGTCCTTAGCAACATGTGTCTATTGTCCCGAGCACGTGGGACATGTCTAGCCTGGTTATTATTTCCGTTGCACTGTGAAATATCCGCGATGGAGGAAACCTAGGACGATGAGATACCAATTCCCAAGCTAGGTAATTCCGTATTCCCGTGTAGTGCTAGAAGTTGGACAGGTATATCAATCTTGAATCGTCAGAGGACAAGTACAGGTTACAATAATGACCAGGTATGTTGTAAGATCTGCGTGTTACCAACTGAATCGCAACAGGAAGTGGGACGACTGTTCTTGGCCATAAGAAACGCCAACTGAAAGTTTTAAAACGAAAAAAAAAAAAAAAAAAAAAGAGCTAATCAATGTGAACGGAGATCCTCATAATCGCAGATCGGGACCCGCAAAATTTGAAAAGTACAAAGCGGATGGAGCTCACACCTCCGCCGTACTGGGGTAATGTTGGATTGAGCCGCGCGATGGAAGAATATTTTCCTGAGGGGTTCTGTTCTCTTCGATCCTCTCGATTTAAAAGAGTGTAACTTGCGTGATGATCAACTGCGGAGAGAGGACACCTTTTTATCAATATTGTCCTAGCCTTCTTAATAGGGTCAAAAGGATCTATTCGATCGACGGCATTCCTTCTTCATTGCCTGGTCTTTGATCATTAGATCGACCCGTTCTCAGCCCATTGATTCGGTCCTCTAGGCTAGAATACCCCCTCCGTGTTTCATATTCAGGCTCTTGGGAGGTATCACTAACCAGTGAGACTCCGCCTCTACCGCCCGCGGCGGCATCGCTTACGGTGGGCTGCAGATCTTAGTGTTCAGCCGCCCACCTGAGTACACGGGTGCTGCTACTACTAGCAGGTAGCCCCTTACCTAAACCGCTATCGGCTGCCCCGGTCGGCGGTTGTCAACTCCAATAGCAGTGGTTTCCCCTGAAGGAAATGGTAGACCGATTTGGTGATCTTTCGCCTAATCGAGGTTCTGGTTTACTCTGACTAAAGAATGCTTCCGAACTTCCTATCTAACAATTAGGTATGGCAATTGTTTAGTTGATACGTAGCATATATGACTTGTTGCTGTCTTTCCTCTCGTTGATATACTCTGGCCAACTATTTCTGTATGTAGATTGCCGTCGGTGACAAGATCGGTAGTACGTAATCAGTCTCCTACCTACTATAGTACTCCCCTCGGTGCTATCGTGGGGCGCCATCCCACCATCATAAGTAATTGGAAAGCCCAAGTAGCACAATTTCTCACATGAACAGGCAAGCCAAGCCTAATAGGGCTTGCCACAAGCCGTCCAAAGTCGCACATCTGGGGGGCCAAGAGGCCGAGTAGCCGTTGGAAACTTACACTAGCTGCGTACAGTACTTGGTAAACTTGGCTTCGCAACACACAGCATCGTATGCATCGTGAGCAACATTGCACTTATACTGTGCACTGTCAGAAGCTTAATTGTAAACGCTGGATGGCGCTCTTTTTGGTAAGTAGGCACGGTTCTTCCAGGATCGAGGCGGGTCTAATGATCATAACTTCATAGCCGAGCTCAATGCATGCTTATGCTTATCTGGATCTTGTGGAATCGATATGCCGCGAATGGCATCTTTTAATCTTTGTCTTCAGTCTGGTTCTAGAGTGACTGACATTTGTTTGCGAAAATACGACGAGGCACATATCACAGCGGTTGTCTGCGTGCATAGCTGCAAATGTTGTCAATTGTAGCCAATCATGATCGCCGTTCGGCAATTAAGCCATCCTAGGTATTAGGCACATTGCGACGGGTTTAGGCGTAGAGGTTCCCGCTGTGGAAAATTAATGAGCTGCCGATGCCAAGGCCTTTTTAATCATCACCGGGATATATGCCCTGGGACAGCGGCAAATTCCAAATTACCTTCGTTTCCTTGGTACCGGTTGACATTCTCGATGCCGGCTCGAAGCGGTATGCACGTACAAATTAGAAGAAGCAAAAAAAAGCTTCACTTGATAGAACCGTGATATTGGTAGAAGTCGCGGCGCTTCTAGAAGCTCTAGAAGACTATAGAATACAAACTCGTTAGGGCACGGCCTGGCCTGGGTAGATACGTAGAAATGCCGTGTTGTTTGTGCGTTTTGTCATATCGCTGTCATTATCATGTTGGTTTTCGCGGGTGATGAGGTCCAAACCATCCCCCCCCCACGGAGATCTGCAGCCGTATCAATGAGTGCCGAAGAAAAGTAGAGCGAAAATGATGAGATTCCCTTTTTTTATCTATTGAACGGGTCTGTGGACGGTCCAGGTGGGATTCCGTAACTTCGGAGATAGGACCCAACTCAATCGAGAAGACTGTTACCCCAGCTGGGGTGTAACGCTCTGCCCACCTAGGTAAGCAAGAAGGTATCATGAACTTACCATTCACAACGCTGACGGAGATTGTTGATGATGATTCAATGTTAATTCGTACGCGGTGGTTTGACATGAGACATAAATAACCTAGGTAAACATTGGTAGCGGGAGGGACCATTGAAAAATGCTCACGCGGCAGACAAGAACTGACGTAACCAGTGCAATCTCGCCGAACTGGAGAAGGCCTCTCAAGAGAGCACTTCGAAACATAGGCCCCACAGCTTACGAATGCTGCCCCTAATGGAGGGGGTTAGGGGGTTTGGGGCGGGCTGCTGGGAGCGGCGTCGAGACAAACGACGTAATGATCTTCATCAGCACATTCGCGAACGGTAAAGCCGCTCAGGGATTTCCTAAATTGGTTAGTTTGCAAAATTGAAATTTGATTTTGATGCCGTTTTTCGACATCCCACACTTGATGTTGTAATTGGTAAGTTGTGTGTCTGGCGGGTCTATGAAGCAATCAAGATAGATTATGCGCAAGTCTAGATGGAAGAAATCTGAAATTCAGAGTTTATCAGGGATTAAGAAGAAGCTTTTTCGACCTCGTGTCTGGACCTTCCAATACATACAATACTTTAAGTGACTCGTCCCATGTTCTAATTTTAAAAGTCAACTAAAAGAAGGTACGCGTAACCTTCTTCTGAAATGGTTCTAGACTGGCTCATCGATGACAGCCCTAGCGCATTTTAAAGATGGTGTAAGGGGGGTGACAATGATGAGACGGAAGGTACAGATTAAACTCTAATTATCTACCTATCTTCTTACTCATCGATGTACCTTCATAACATAAACACCTTTTTCACCTACACATATACTTACATACAAGTTACTAAGGCAGCCAAGGTCGAAAGAGAACAATGAAAAAGATATCAAAGTATGCAGAACGCACATGGTGGCCATGGCAACATACCATCTTGACGTCGATTTTGTTACTCTTATTCATTGTTTCTCATCCAATCTAGACTAGCGACTCGTCAGCCTGTTCTGTTGTCTGCTGCTCGTTCTAAAACCGGACATAATTGACGGTTCTACTTTTCGTGTTGGAATTTAGGAGATGGGACAGGAGACGTATGGCGAAAAGATCGTCGCTAGCACTGCCAGCCACATCCACAATTATCGCACATTATTATCGGACAGCAATCCAACCAAGGCAAACCGGACGATGACGATATTTCTTTTTCAATCATTCTGGGTAACCCACCATCACAAGCGACACAATGCCTTGATTAAGGAATCAGTTACATGCCTGGCAATTCAAAATAAGATAACTGTTATTAATGGTATGTAGATAATAGGTAGCATTACGGTGTTATCCGTTACTGTTTCGCTGGAATAAATACATACAAGTATATGTGTGTAAGTATTTAAAATGGTATACAAATATTTCTTAGTATACTTGGAATTTAGCAAGGCTTAACCTTGTCTCCCATGTACACCTGCAGTAGGCGCATATGTAGCGTATTAGACTATCACAAGCCACCACCCGCCGTCGTCATTAGGAGCTTATTACAGTAATTGCAGCAATTACAGTACAGGGCCAGGTAGACAATGCCCCTGAACGAATTTATTAGTCCTATCCTACATTCACCACTAGTACATAATACGGCGCTTTGCGAAGCCGAAATATAAGTAATATTCTGTATTACTGATCTGCAATACTTTCAGAATCAATACATATTGCAATATGTACATACCTAATGTATGGATTAATGCGCAGTGTTACCGCTCCCTGAATAATCTACACCAACCAAGGCAATTTATCACATTGGTACGTCGGTCAGATAAAGAAAAAAAAAATTGCCCACCAACCAAAAAACCTGGAAGTTGCTGAAAATAATGATCCATGCCGCCATGAAAAGGTACCTGAAGTCGTCAATGGCGCTATAACTCTAGTGACCCTAGTATTAAAAACCCCCCTCTTGAGCCGCTAATTAAGCAAGCCACTGGAACGCATAAATCCAATTGGCTTTTTACTCTTGTTGGAAGTTGCCATCTTGATTGGTCTATAGCCGGTCCCGCTCCCCTTTTCCTTACTCCTCTGGGTTGATGGGTCCCCTGGTTGCCCTGGCTCCTTAGGCTCGTTCTCTCCTTGTTGTTGCAGTTTCCGGTTTGCCCATCTGCTCATCTGGGGCTAATAGATGCAGTACGTAGTATGTACATCCCATATCCACAATTAAGCCTACGCAGCATGTAATCCACCAGTACATCAATACTGCGTACCCAGTACCGTATCGAATGTACCGTTCGGCCACGGATCTAATACCAATCCCTGCACCCCCAATTTATGGCACCCCTATCGCCTTGTGCCTGTTACATTGTGGCCATTTAACGCTCATGTACCTGCTACCTACGCTACAGCACTACATCCACTAGCTTCCGCTTGTAGCACGGAAGTCTGCCCCCTGTCAAGCTTGTCTGGCCTGTCTGGCTTGTTTCTTCTCTCACCTTTAGAGTACCTTCCCTTCCCTTGAGCGATCTCTCCTTTTTTCTTTTTCTACTGTTGAATTCCTCTCTCCTGTCTCTCGCTTTGTTGTCCCCTTCTTCTTTTCTTTCCACATTGGAAACAATCGTTCTTCCTTTGCCTTGGCTCTATCAAGTTTTGATAAGGCGCCCCTCTACACGTCAGAAGGGTGCGAGCGTTTGCTTTCTTTCATCACCCTCGTCTCACTTTTCCTCCCCTTTTTTTGTGCGAGGTGTCATTCGTTACCAACTTTTACTACCATTACGAGGTTGTTTGAAAGTCAGCAAAACTTCCGAATCGTAACCCGATTCCTCTTGACATAGATTGTCAACCGTCGCGCCGCATGCCCACTCAACCGACACGAAATACCTTGATCACCGTCATAAAGTAAACTCCACGGTCGCCGCAGATTTTTTTGGATTACAATCACCTACCGCTTATATCGAGGCCGACTAAACATTATAGAAGGAAGCTTTGGTTTCCCTTATTGGCATACTATCGCCGAGGGAATGACGATGGGAGCAAAAATGCCCTCGCCGCATCAGAGGTTCTTCAGCATGCGGAACCCCTTCTCAAGATGTGTTCTCTTTGCTGTTGCATTGCTTCTGCTCCTTGCGATCACGTGGAAGTCCGACCGCATAGAAGATGTCGGTTCGCGAATCGTAAAGGCTGCTGCTAGCCACAACACAAAGGACAACACACATCAACAACCACTAGGCGACGCTCCTCAAGCGACAGATAAAGATGTTGCTCCGGTATCGAACCACGTTATGGATTGCAGTGTCAACTCTACCCATATGAGCGAACTGAAGGCTAAGTATGAACTTGGAGACACTTTCCAATACCTAAAGCGATATGTCAAGATCAACCGCCAGCCCGTTCCTCGAAAGTCGATTACCAAAGTCAACCAACAATTCCTCCCACATGCTTTCACTACCGTTGATTTGCAACACCCAAGCACTTACGGAGGTGAACAATGCATTGAACCTCTTCAAGTTCCCGTTTCCGAGTCCCCATTCCCTGCTACTGGCAATTTGTCCGATTTCATGTTTGGCGTTTCTACAACATTCAAGAGATTCAGCTCGGAGAAGACGAGCCCCGTGAATGAATGGACATACTGGTTGACCGATGGCAAAGGTAACTCTAATGGTGGCAAGTTGGTTCTCTTGCTATTAGATGCTACCGAGGACCAAATACTACACGCCAAGACGATACTGCACCATGCTGGAATTGACGTTGATGTTTTCCATTCGGATTCGTCAATGGAAATGGCCGTTCGCTACCTCACGCTTATTCCGACCTTGTACAACCATCCTGAGCGACCATCGAAAAAATGGCTAGTTTCATGCGATGACGACACTTTTTTCCCCAGCGTTCACGCACTGACGAAGAAGTTTGAGGTTTATGACCCTAATGACATGCTCTACATCGGTACTCTGTCCGAAGATGTCAACAATGTTGATCGTCACGGATCGCAGGCTTTCGGTGGCGCCGGTGTGTTTTTGTCGGTACCCTTAGCTGAGCAGATCACGAAGGACTACGAAACTTGTAAGACGGATGAGAAAATTCACGAGTCGAACTCTGGTTGGGGTCCTCAGGGCGATATCCTTCTCCGCAAGTGCATCTACGAAAACACAGACGTCCGTCTGTCCATTCTTCGTGGTCTTTACCAGCTTGACCTCTACGGAGACCCATCTGGTTTCTACGAGTCTGGCATTAAGCCTATCTCCCTTCACCACTTCAAGGGTGGCGGGTGGCACTCGGCTCTGCCTTGGGAGTACACCAAGATCGCTCACATCTGTGGTGAAGACTGCACTCTTCAGCGATTCCAGACTGCTGATAACTTCATCATTTCGACTGGTTTCAGTGTCGTCCAGTATCCCTTGGGTATCAATTTCAACCTTGCTCAGATGGAACGAACGTTCGCTGCCGCGCCGCAAGATAAGGGCTGGAACTTGGACTACGTATTCGACCCACAGCGACCAAGTCTATTGAAGACGGGCCGTAAGATCAGCTGGGACCTCCAGGAAGCCAGTGTGAACGAAGACAACACGGTTAGCCATGTCTACGTCCGAAAAGCCAATGATTGGAGATGGGTTGACCGAAACGGCGAACCGATGTCTCAGCTTGATGGTATAATAGAACTTGTCTGGGTCCCATAAAGGACTTCACGCAGTGCGTGGTAAACGACATAATGATATTACACGACGGTATAGGAAATGGCGGATGTAACATTCATCTACTCGACTTGGAAGAGAATGGATTGGAAACTTATGGGAGTTTGCTATGGATACGGCAAAATTGCTCCATTACATAGCTGCCGAGTCGCCATTTTGCTTGTTCGGTCCTCCCGAATCCGTTGAATACCGGCCACGACTAGGTTAGCTCACTGCTACGACTTTTATATTTCGTGTGACGATTACACCCGAGAGCATGTTAGTCGTCACGCATTAGCGTATTAGTATCGATCACCGAACATTTAATCCCATCCTGCACTGTTTCTGGGATTGGTTAGGCTTTATTGTGGTGGACAATTCATGTTCATCAGCCTTGTCTACACCTAGATTGTACATCTACCAGCGCTGGTTATCGCACACAACCTGTCTACAAAAGATCCGATAATGCATAATACTCAACGCAGTCGATCCTTCTTTCCTTGTCGTCACCTACACTTTCTTCAATACCCCCACGAGAAAAAACGAAAACGGTATACCTACAACATACATCACATATTACCTCCTACCTATGAGAATATCTTCAAGCCAGCGTCAGTAGCGGTTGTGATGGCCGCAACGCAGCATTTTAAGTAGGCATTTTATTTATTATTATACCGCACGGGGATATCCTATTTGCTTTTCACCGGGGAAGCCACATTTTATTCACCACGTCCGTTTGTATCATAGACTTGCTGCCTGGGAAGCGGAGTTACGAGCATTAGATGTCTAGCGGGGAATACGGTCTAGTGTCAATTGCGGAACAGCATAAGGCTGGGTGATTTTGGGTGGATCTTTTTCTTGGGGCCTCTTTACTCGTGGTTATTATGTGCTGTACTGGAGGGCATTGCCGACTCGGAATCGAAGTGCTCGAGACGAAGTAGGTAAATGGGCCGCTTACAGCTGTAAATATTTAGATAGGCGGAAAAAAACATGACCAATGATAATTCTATCTACTTGATTCTAGGAGTAATTTAATGTGATGTGTAAAGTGTACGACATCTCGCCGCACTTGTTTGCTAATAAGTATCGCGAGTTTCGGGTACAGTCGTTATAAAAACTCACAGGTTGCCACTAGGCAAATATTTCTTAGCTAAACACATATCAGTACCTAATTCCATGCGTAGATATGCAAACATTCTATAAGTATACTTAAGCTGAAAGATTACAATGAATTGGTACCCAAAGTTGGAAAGGATGGTGTGAATATGAGGATATAAAGGTACGAGCCTGAGATTAGGCACGTGGCCAATGAAAGAAAAGGTACAAGGTTGCTACTAAGAAAATGCCCCGCACCCCACTAAAGAAGCAGTAAGGCCAAAATGTTGTCGATAGTTGTCTTGATGGAACGACGGGATGAAGTCATTCATTCAACCTTAACTCAGTTCACTAGATTACATAGTACATAAGGTTCTCATCCGACATAAATAACCTTTGACTATTTTAGCCACTTGTGTCGACTTCCCGAGCTTTAGGGTGAATGATTATGTCATCTATTAAGCTCATATCAAAACTTTAGGTTGTTTGGATCTTTCGTATGAAGCTTTTCTCCCATTTCCGATCCGAATTGTTGCGTCCACGATATATCCGCACACGATGCAGAACAACATCCTCGCGGTCCCCTTTCGTAAGGGGACCCATCTTTCTCTATCATCATCTATCCGTCAATACATCTCTACCAAATATGACCAACATCCGGATATGTTCCGTCAGGATCTCGAGGTAATCGATGCGTTGAGGCGCGATGCTGTAAACGTGCGCGAACCACATCCTAGTGGTGTCGCGAGGCTCCAGGCCTATGCTGGGCAGTTAGTCTGGATTGGTGGAAAGTTCCCTATAGATGTATATTCCCTGAGTTGCATTCCTTAATGATGGAGCATGCTGGCATTCGTATGGACGCATACTTACAATACCTCTCTCTACATCTAGATTGGTGCAGACTTTACGTGGTATCCCGCCCTGGGTTACAATACCGAGCGACCTATAGTGCACAATAACCTCAAATTCGAGCTTGCCAACATCCTATACAACCTCGCCGCTTTATATTCGCAGCTAGCTATAACTAGCAACCGTTCGAGTACCGATGGCCTCAAAAATGCAGCAAGCTATTTCAGCTACTCGGCAGGCGTCTTGTCACACCTTAAGAAAGAGGTCATACCCGAATTACGAACCACGCCCCCGGAAGATATGGACGAGCACACATTGGATTCCTTAATACAACTGCAGCTGGCTCAGGCGCAAGAATGCTACTGGCAAAAGGCCGTTATGGACGGCTACAAGGATGCTTCAATCGCTAAGCTGGCTGCAAAGGTTTCAGATCTATATAACGAAGCGGGGGAAGCGGCTATGCGGTCGGAGGCTGTAAGCAGTTCATGGATACATCACATGAGCGCAAAACACCATCATTTCGCCGGAGCCGCCCAATACCGTGCCGCTTGTGACTGTTTAGAAAAGCGAAAATACGGCGAGGAGGTGGCAAGGTTACGCGACGCTGTTGCTTGTGTGACAGAGGGCCTTAGGGAAACCCGCGGAGGTTATTTGCATAAAACAGTCGCAGACGATTTAAATGGGTTAAAAAGGAGAGTTGAGGAAGACCTAAAGAGAGCCGAAAGGGATAACGATGTGATTTATCTAAGTAAGATTACCCCCACCGTAATCAATCAATTCAAAGAGACCCCAAAGCTGATATTTTCGGTGTAGACCCAGTACCACCAAAATCCGAACTCAAGATCCTCGACCGAGCCGCCTTGGCCACTGCACGAATACCACCACAAATTTCAGCACCTTTAGATTACCTCAGTGAGAAGGGTGAATTCGGGCCTCCACTCTTTACGAAACTCGTCCCATATTCCGTCCATATCGCTGTATCCATCTATGAGGAACGAAGAGATCGCTTAGTCAACCAAAATATTATAGGCGAGCTCGAAGTCCTCAACGAAAAGATCCACGAAATCCTTTCATCGCTAAACCTACCGGGCTCGCTTCAGGCTTTTGAAAAGCCACTTGGTCTACCCGGAACCTTGATTCAGCATGCCGAAGAAATTCGTCAGGCAGATGCTTTACATCGTTTGCAAAGAAGTTTTGCAGATATCGATAAGCTGCGCGCCGCTGATCTAGCTGTATTTGAAGAAGGGAAAACCCTTTTGGAAGCTGAAGAGGATGAAGATATTCAATTACGGAGGAAATATGGCACAGAACGATGGTTGCGACCAGAGAGTCGTTCTGAACCGGAACAGGGTGCAAAACTCTGGAAGCAGGTAATGGATGCAACGGGCTGGTTTACGAACAGTGCGAGCAGCGATGGACTTGTACGTGACAAGTTCCACAGCATAGAGCCGACATTGGCAGTTCTCGCCGGGCCAAACCATAGTTTGCTCGACTTCGTGCCTTCATCGCGCCGCACAGAAATACCAGAAGCGTTGAAACCTGCAATCGGTCGTTTACGCACTGCCTATAACAACATAACACGTCTCGAAGGGCGTCGACGTAGAAAGGCCGAGGCCCTTCGTGAAAAGGCTCGGAGCGACGACATTAAGTCAGATATTCTCGCCGAAGCAGCGCGCTTAGAGCGAGCCAATACAGTAGCAACTGCTATTGTGCCTGTGCACTTTGAAGACTTCTTTGAGAAGCGCTTAGACTCGCTTTACGAACCGGACCTCGAACTCGTACAAACAGAGGCAACCGAGCAGGAAAAGCTCGTCTCGGAAGTAATACGAGTGAACCGTGAATTCGAAAGCCAGAGAAAAATCGTGGACGATAAGGGCAACAAAGAAAGGGAACAGACCCTTCAAAAACTAGAAAACGCATATCACAAGTATAAGGAGTTGACCAATAACACGGAGGCCGGCCGCAAGTTCTACAACGATCTCAGTCGCATAGTAGGCGGTTTCCGAGACGGTGCACGGAGCTTTGTGGCTGAGAGGAGACGTGAGGCACATCTACTTGAGGAAGAGCTGAATATGCCTCCATTGGGCAACTTAAATCTAGGAGGGCAACCGAGCCATGGACAACCACCTATACAACAAAACATCCCTTCGAACGGGTGGGACAACGGCTCGGGATATCAAGGTCAGGTACACCAACCACCGCAGAACTCTTATATGATGCCACCCCCGCAATCTCAACAACAAATACATACTCCCGCCGAGGCTCATATTCAATCGTGGGCGCCAGCCGGAGAGACAGTGGCTCCGCAACCGCAACCTCCGAGGGCAAATCCTATGCAGGGCGTATGGAATCCCGGGGCGGGCATCAAATTTGCTAATTCGCCACCTGCAGCATCGCCAGCGACGGGTGCTGGGGGAAATAAATCTCAGGAACAGAGGCCGGTGAGTAGGACTTGGGACCGGAATAGCGCGATAAGGTTCGGTTAGCAAGCGAATACTTCGCGTCGACGTACCGGTGGATTCCGCCATTGAGAGTTGCTTCCTCGTTTTGGGATTTATCTTGGCCCGGAGCATTGAAGGGCAGCCGACATCGATATTTCGATGAGGACGATAAGGCAACATTAGAAGAGAAAGAGACAAGAAATAAGATACCCAGTTTAAAAAATTGCAGGCTGTAAATAGCGAATGAACACTTGTAAAAACCATAGGCGTGTCTAGATCAGCATATTTATGAGCTATGGAGTATGAAGTATGACTATTGCCATGGGATTACTCCCGACTAGTGGTGTTATGTGAGTTGCGAGGATATACAGGCTCCTTATATATAGTCGCGATTGACCCAAGTTTTAAGGTGTCTCCTCCAGCCAGGAAGACGTTTCCCAGAACCGTGAAGTAACACTCAAACGCCTCCATCCTAGGCTGGTGACAGGCGATCAAGCCCCGTATTTGCTGCTTGCATATAATCCTACAGAATCTTGTTAGCATCACATTCTCCTAATCATAAACTACAACCAGAAAATAGACTTACAATCAAACAAGCCGGAAACCAACTCGAAGCAATCCTCACCGCTGTCGATAGATTGCCTACATACACCCTTCCCGTAGCGCCGCGCAACACTTTACTCACCAAATCCCGCCCGAAGTCTTCTTTAGAACCAACCCGATCCGTGACATCGGCACCTGTGGCGCGTGCTGCGATTTCCTTGGCAGCGGGAGTGTATACGGAGTTTGGAGGGAGGATGTGTGGGGGTGAGTTGGCGGCGAGGTTTGTCCGGACGGCGCCGGTTATTATGGTTGCTACTTTGATGCCTAGGGGATGGAGTTCTAGGCGTAAGGCTTCGGAGATGGTGGTTAGGGCGGATTTGGTGCTACCGTAGAGGCCTGGGGGTTGTTAGTTGGGTACCTCCTAGACTATGGCAGCTGTGGCTGGTGGATGTGTGAATGGGGGATATCTTACCCATATACGGCGGATACAATAACCCCGTAATCGAACAGATATTCACAACCGTGCCCTTCGCCGCTAGAAGTAACGGCGCGAAAGCCTGGACCGTGGCTACTACGCCGAAAACATTGACGTCGTACATTGCTCTAGCTTCCCCTAGATCGGCATCTAGGATTGGTGCTACGACTTGTTGACCTGAGTTGTTGACGAGGTAGTCTAGTGTTCCGCCTGTTTCAGCGGATACAGATGCTACGGCGGCAGCGAGGGAGTCGGAGGATGTTACGTCGAGTGGAAGGAGGGTGGTGTGTGGAAGGGTGGAGAGGGAGGACATTTTAGGTGTCCGCGCTGTTGCGAAGACGTGGAGGCCGCGAGAGCGTGCCCGATCCCGCCTTCACTGCACCCGGTTATGAGGACCGTTTTGCGTTTCTGGTCTTGCGGTTTTGGGGAGCCCATGGTGGTTTGCGTATACTAAGGAGAAAATGTAGTAGTCAAATTGATTTATGTATACAAGAGGCCTTATGATGGTCGTTTAGAGGTCTATTTGCATAAATACCTAGGTAGTTGCTTCACAGAGAAGACTACGGGACTTCATATATGACTCCATGAAAGTGGCCAGCTTTCTCGTCTTGCTCACAATGACCCACATCCTCGACAAAATGGCTATACTAGGCAGTCGACCGACTCGTAATTCTGAATTGGCCATCGTTGGTTTCTACAATGCTAAAGATATTGAGGTTCTCCGAATCAGTAACTAACACCTCCTATTAGTAATCGGGTCTTCGAGGAGAATGAGTAAGAGGTATAATTACCATGTAAAGAAAACTATCCGTATTATCTGGGCGGTGCTATAAGCTCTTTGCATTATTTGTAGTTGTACAACCAACTAATGTTTCTGGTCGTCAGAAATTAGTAGGATTAAGTAATACCTTTGACGATTATGGTAGGATATACCTAAAAACTAGACGCCAAGTTTTAGGATATCGTATTTGAATGGGAATATGTTCATAGAATGTTTGGAGATATTTCCGCCGTAGAAGATATCAATATACACTTTTCCTTTTTAATTCCCAACATCGTTTCAAACCCCATGCTTACGAAGATGCAGCATCCGCAGTCTTACGGGCACCAAGAACAGCCTTACCAACAGCTGAATCATTTGGCTTGCCTAACTCCCCAGTAATCCATTGTCCGATGTCTGCCATAGCGTCCAGATCAATACCGGTCTCCATTCCTAGACTCTCTAGGAAGTATACCATATTCTCGGTAGCCACATTTCCAGTGGCACCGGGGCTATATGGGCAACCGCCTAGACCGCCAACAGCGCTGTCAAATGTTCTGATACCGCGCTCTAGCGAGATAGCAGTGTTGACGAGAGCCTGGCCATATGTATCGTGGAAATGCATAGCAATATCCTCATTACGTATTCCCGCAGCAGCCATACACTTCAGAAGCTCCTGAGTGCGGGGTGCGGTGCCCATTCCTGTTGTGTCACCAAGCGAGATCTCATCCGCACCCATTTCGAGTAGCGAAGTAGCTATCTCGGCTACCTTGTGAGGATCGACATCGTACCCTTCAAAAGGACAACCTAAGACAACCGAGATGTAGGCTCGTGCTCGGATGCCTAGTTGTTTTGCTCCTTGTATAACGTCCTTGAATCGCTCGAGGGATGTAGCAATGTCGCAATTGAGATTCTTTTTCGAGAAGCTCTCGGTTGCGGCGGCGAACACAGCAAGTTCTACCGCTGGTCTGTCTTTCGCGCCAGCGAATGATTCGGCTTGCGTTAGGTATGTACCGGGGTGCTTTTGTAGGAGGGTGATCGCGTTCTCGACGCCTTTGGCATTTGGGGCGAGGAAGGAGTATGTAATTGGAATCGGTGAGGGGATCTTGTTGGTTAAGATGTGCTCTAATATCTTGTTGGAGTTGTCCATCTATAGTAACCCATATTAGTATCTTCAGGCTTATTTATATGGTTTGACAAAGCTAACCTGTGGCACCCATTTTGGTGAGACGAAAGAACCAGCCTCTATAAAAGATACTCCCGTTTTGGACAACCTCCCAACCAATTCGATCTTGGTTGTCAGAGGAATTGACTTCTTCTCATTCTGTAGTCCATCTCTTGGCCCAACTTCAACTATCCTTACTCGATTATCAGAACGAGGTTGCTGTTGTGCTGCGGCAGCTGGATTTTGAATATCGGATGCTGTCGCATAGCCGCGTCGCAAGAGAGGAGCTACCGGAGTAATGATCGGTGTTCGCCGACAAGCAAGTCGAGTTATCGGGCGCAACGACGCCATCTTTTATTCATTTCGATGTTTCGAGCTATATTTATTTTATATTCATACCCCTTGATTTGCTTGTTTCTTTTGCTTTTCTAGCTCTAGAATTGCTTCTTAAAAGTGGCCGAGGGGTAAACGGATGAACCCTGTTAGCTAATAAGCTCTCGGGTACTAATGGCTCTAACTTAAATGCCATGATGATTACCTAATGAGAGCTATGAAGTCATCTTTGTAATCACGTGCTTCTTAAGATACCTAGGTACTTCATACCCTGTCATTGCTTTTTGGTGTGAATTTTCCTAGACCATCAATACGTTATAACCCTTTTTCCTTCACTTCCCCCTCCTCGTCTTCCTCGTGCAAGAACCCTCGGTTATGGTACACACGGGCCAGTTTTTCACAAATTATCCAGAGTCGCCGCCGGTTAGCAACAGGCATCAAAGACCCCAGATTCTTTGAGGCAACACGAATTGTCGAGTCCGCCCACAGGAAGATTGCCTTGTAGTATTCCGCTCGCTTTACTGCCCCCAGTTTCCAGAGCCATTCGATTTCGATAAACCAGGGCATATTGTATCTCAGTCTCATCTTCCAAAAGTTGACATTGTCGCGAGTCATTACGTGGATAGCCCAGGAGGATGATATGAAATTACTGATGTCGCTTGAGTCTAGTTCACGGCAGATACGCCAGACGGCATTATATGGTAAACTCGCAAATGGATCGTTTTTTACTTTAGGTCCGAGATCAACGTCCGACTTCGGCATTCGAAAGCGCACTCCTGCCATGACTTTTCCCACGTTGAACGTACACTCATCCCTAGGTAGCGGATTCGTCACGAAGACCTCGTCGCCTTCAAGGGATTTCTAGGGCTTGTTACGCCGAGTCTCTAAGCCAGTGCGGATGAGTAACGCATCTTTGCGATTAGACAGGTACCTCATTGTCGAATGGAGTCCCTCTAGATCTATACGAGTCATGGCTGTAAATAGTTCCTCGTCTGGGTAAAGTACTTTTGCGAGTATTTTGTAACATGTCTCGTGGAAGGGGAAGATTGTGATCGCACCAGCCTTATCCTCATAACACGAGTAATTGAGGTTGGGTAATTGTTCATTTGCCGGGTCTTTCTGGTCAAGATGAATGGAGCCGGGACCCGAGAAAACGTTGAAGAATTGTCCTCTGCCGGATATAAATCCCCTAAGACATTTAGTAACATGGAAGGCATGTTTGGTACATTAAAAGATACTGACTGCTTCAAAGCGTAGAAATAACCTAGAATGCGCAACTCTACAAGCCACTCAGTAGCTTTCTTGCTAATGATATCCGGGTTGTATCCATTGCCTCCCTTCTTTTTCGACGGACTAAATGGGTTTTCTTTTGGTCCGAAACGAGGTCGCTCGAAGGGACCGCCACATATAGCACAGTAGCATTGCTCTGCCGTTCTAATCAAGGGTACCATAATGTGACAGGTCTACCAGTATCCGGCTTGTGTAAGTTGACGTCTAAGGACCCTTGCGGCTCAGGATTACGTCGAAAATGCAATGGGTATAATTAGGACCGAGTATGTATTTATGTTTTTCGTTTTGGGCGCATGCTGCAGTTCAATAATCGGTGTTATATGAAGCCATACACATGTAATTTACAAGTTTCAACACACAGCTCTAATTACCTGTTTAAGTAGAGGAAACCCTAAGTTTTTTCTATATGCATCGTCCTTGACATAACAAACCACATATGATCAATGTCGCTTCCGCATAGACACTTTCCTCTTCAGAATTTAGAATTTAGAATTCAGGAAACAGCACTGTAATCTTATGTGACACATGTAACATTTGGTAGTGTTTGAAGTACAGAGGAAGGTCACAGTTACAGACTCAATCACGAGCCACTTAAAATAATGGACCCTTAAATTCTCCAATCATGTGATTTAAAGCTGCTGTGGCTGTCATTGCCCCCACCTGCTCAACTTGCTGCGCCAGCTTTCGGGGAGCTTTTCGGTTTTGGAGCTTAAGGTTCCATCTTCTGCAATCTAACGTCAACGGGTGGCTGGAGCTTCATCAACGTTGCTTCTTAGCAAATAATAAACTAAACTCAAGCTTCTTCATTTGGAGAAGTCAATCTTTTAATTATAATCCACAACTATCCCTTTGGAATCTCCATATACCACCTGTTTGTGCTGGAACACCATGGATCCCCGAGAATCTTCCTCGTACTCGATTGTACCTAGGATTCGGTACAACACCGTCGGCGGTGTCAACGGTCCTCTGGTCATTTTGGACAACGTTAAATTCCCTCGATACAATGAAATCGTTACCCTAACACTCCCCGATGGAACTGAAAGATCTGGTCAAGTCCTCGAAGCTCGAGGTGAGTAAAACGAGATGTCAGCTACTAAATTACCTTCAGCTCCTAACGAGTTACTTTCGCATTACAGGCAACCGCGCCGTCGTCCAAGTTTTCGAAGGCACATCAGGTATCGATGTTAAGAAGACCAAAGTCGAATTCACGGGGCAAAGCTTGAAGCTAGGTGTATCCGAAGACATGCTGGGTCGTATCTTCGATGGATCTGGGAGAGCCATCGACAAGGGCCCGAAGGTGCTGGCCGAGGACTACCTTGACATCAACGGTAGTCCTATTAACCCCTACTCACGAGTATGTGTGTTTGCGCAATGAAAGAAAACAAAATAATTTACCATAAGTTAGGTGTACCCCGAAGAAATGATTTCCACCGGTATCTCGACTATCGACACCATGAACTCGATTGCCCGAGGCCAAAAGATCCCTATCTTCTCCGCCGCCGGTTTACCACATAACGAAATCGCCGCCCAGATTTGCCGACAAGCTGGCTTGGTCAAGCAAAAGGGTGCTACAAACAAGGGTGTGCACGATGACCACGAAGAGAACTTCTCTATCGTCTTCGCTGCTATGGGTGTTAACTTGGAAACCGCCCGATTCTTCACTCGCGATTTCGAAGAGAACGGTAGTTTGGAGCGTGTCACACTCTTCCTTAACCTTGCGAACGATCCTACGTACGACATGACTATACTCTTCATTCAAAGGAAATGTTAATGCTAATAATATACAGAATCGAACGTATTATTACACCTCGTCTTGCTCTCACTACCGCCGAATACTATGCCTACCAACTTGAGAAACACGTTCTAGTTATTCTTACCGATTTGTCCGCATACTGTGACGCTCTCCGAGAAGTTTCCGCTGCCCGAGAAGAAGTGCCTGGTCGACGTGGTTTCCCCGGTTACATGTACACTGATTTGTCAACAATCTATGAACGAGCCGGTCGTGTCGAGGGACGAAACGGTTCCATTACACAGATTCCCATCTTGACTATGCCTAACGATGATATTACACATCCTATTCCCGATTTGACGGGTTATATTACTGAGGGCCAGATCTTTGTCGACCGTCAACTCGACAACCGTGGTATCTACCCACCAATTAACGTGTTACCGTCTCTTTCTCGTCTCATGAAATCTGCCATTGGTGAGGGAATGACCCGAAAGGACCACGGTGATGTGTCCAACCAACTGTACGCCAAATACGCCATCGGTCGTGATGCCGCGGCCATGAAGGCAGTCGTTGGTGAGGAAGCCTTGTCCACCGAAGACAAGCTATCCCTAGAATTCCTCGAGAAATTCGAGCGACAATTCGTCGCACAGGGCGCATACGAAGCACGAAGTATCTACGATTCCCTAGACATCGCATGGAGTCTACTACGTATCTTCCCCAAGGAATTGCTCAACCGTATCCCGGCCAAGATCATCCAAGAATTCTACCAACGATCGGCTGCGGACCGAAAGGGTAAGGGCAAGGAGAAGAACGATAAGGGTGTTAAGGACACAGATGGTCCAGCCCAGGAGGAGAACCTCGTCGACGTATAAATCTGTTTAGACAAGTGAGGACGCATGTGAGCGACGGTTGTGTGTATAGGTTAGTCGTACATGGCGGAGTACAGGTTACTTATTATTAGCATTCAATACAATACAATGATCGTCTTATTACATATTAAAATCGTGAGGCATGTATGTTTAAATGGCTCCGACGGCAATTTCATCGTTGGAATTTGAAGGTGACCTAGCACAAGTGCCCAATATAGCGCAATTCCCAAGTAATTGATTACCTCCACTGGCGTAAGCGGTCCCGAGCAAGTAATTATGATATAGTCTTGGGGGATTCGGTATTATGAACTCCAAGCTGACTTGCTCGGTACTCGGGGATTACTGGGTCATAAGGCTTTTGATCAGCTGCACATATGATGCCAGAGCTTGACTGGTAAAGCGCCGGCGAAATACAGGGTGAAGGGAGTTAGCTAGTTAAGTCTGTCTCCGCTCCTCCCGGATCTCCTTCCCGCTGCCAGCGGAGCCATCGTGACTTAGACTTGGCTTTAGAAACTCAACAAATAAATGATGGTATGACCGTGTTCATAATACTCCTTACATACTATGTAGTACAAACCCCTCAAAATACGTAGCTAAGTACCTATCCACCCAGCTGATCTCATTCCATCACTATGATCAGCTGAGCGCAGCCCGACGAAATGCGAGGTTTATGTCAACGAACAAAGAAAGTCGACAGGTCAAATAGCGAAAGAGCGGAGCGCGGGGAAGCTCAGAAGGATGGAAGTACGTACATGTATTTCTACTAAGCAATTTAAGGCTCGCGGGCTATGCCCAAAGTAGGTAAGTTATGGTGGTACTGACCCCGCATTGTGGAGCCGTAAAGGACCTTGGACATGGGGAATTCGGCCCTTGAAATAACCTTATCCTTGCCAAGACCAATTACGGAGTACAAAATCCACCATTCACGTGCCCTGAGGTTTGTATTGGTTTTTCCTGCGTAATTTTGTAGGCGACAGGGTCCTCTGCCCTTCCGCTATTTTCCTTCTATTTTCCAACTTTGTATACCCTTAAGAATTTACAGCATCAGTACGACTACAATAAACAAATCGAGGTCTAAGTATCAAAGAACCGTTTGAGCCCAATACAAGAATTCCCCAACTCTCGGATATTTTCTTTCATCTGACTATACCTTACCACTGGAATGCCCACAAGTTGGGGTTCACAGCGCGTCCAACTACAGCGTGTGCTAGTCAAAGGAATGTTATGCAAGGCACATGAGCATTCCTAGGGAGGCTGGGGTATCACAAAAGATCTCTCTTCAAAGCTTAGTATTACAGGCAGCACCAGCACCTAACGTCATCCAAGGAAAAGCATCTCCAAAATTCTCCTAGTGGGGAAACACAACTTCGATTCCAAGCGCTTCTTCAGCCGAACCCGAGTCTTACCCGTCTCGGTTTACGAAGCTTCTTTTTACCTAGGTAATACCTAGTACCTGGGTAATGCTTCTCTGTGGAGTCACAGCAAAAAGCCCAAACATTGCCTTAACACGATTTGGGTATTATGTTCGTACTAAACAAGAGAGAAGCTACGTTGCCTCTGATTTCGCTGGCTAGAAGGGTAGCGGAATCCTTCTCATTAAACCTTTCAGTACCTACGTCCTTCTATACCGCTTCTTCACTCTAGTGACGAGGGAGAAAATTAGGTACTTTTATCTCCGCACTATTCAGCCTTCCACGGTAGCTATCCGCTCCCGTGGGCTCAGGGCTATCGATGGCTTTTGCTTGTTTGCCCCGCTGTAACTATGACCCGCAAACATGCGATGAACAAAGGGTTACTTTCATCTACGAAGCAACTTACCATGACCTTGAACATTCTAACTAAACGGACGAATCATGAACTGTCCGAGTACCAACCAAGCGGCAAGATTACAAAATATTCTTGGCGACCTGCTGGATTCGTGCTGTTCCACCACATGGTTTTTATGAGGCCGATGCTACGCTGCCTGTCAGTTACGTCGTCTACCCCAACTTTTCCAAGAAAGCGGAGTAGCTTCACAGGCTAACCGAAGCCCGTAAGCTGGGTTAAGCTGGGGATCGACGGGGCTGCTGGGTTCTAATGTACCTAGGAGGAGGTAAGATTAATAAAATTCCCCAGCCCTACTCCCCTGTAAGAAGTCAACGTGATGAGTGCCTACGCGATCCCATTGTCCAACCAAATCAAGTTTCTCCGAACGGGGGTTCCTCCTTTGATGGCTGAATTCATATAAGTCGCGAATCCTTTCCCCAGGGTTTCGATCTTTCTCTTTTTGCTCTTCCTCTCCCACCGTCCATTACGACGAGCACACCGCACTAGTGTCAATAAACAAAGCGTGTCTCACCCCTCGAGTCAACATGCGTCTACACACTAGCATTGCTTCTTTAGGAGCACTCCTGCTCCCATTGACCTCGGCGCAGCCCACCGGGAGCTCCGGGAGTGGCAATGGATCAAGCAGTTTAGGACCTGATGAGAATGGTTTCTATTGGATCTACGGCGAGGGTATCACAGCCGCGTTCATTACCTATGGTGCTTCCGTCGCAAAGCTACTAGTTCACGACCAATACGGCATTGAACGAGATGTTGTAGCCGGTTTCGACAATGCTACCGCCTACACACTTGATGCGGCTCACCCTCATCTCGGTGGTGTACCGGGTCGATACGCAAACCGTATTCAGAACAGTACCTTCACAATTGATGGCGAAACTTATCACGTTGACCCCAACGAGAACCCCACCGCAGATGCTCCAGATGGCGCCGATACTCTACACGGTGGCCATGACGGTTGGGACTACCGGAATTTCACAGTTGCCTCTCACACAAATGATAGCATAACGTTCACCATTGTCGACCCCGATGGAAAGGAAGGTTTCCCTGGAGAGGTTATTTCTTACATCACCTACACTCTCGGCAAGCGCACATGGAACTTTAAGATGGTGGCTATTGCAACTACCAAGAAGACACCCATCATGCTTAGCAGCCACACGTACTGGAACTTGGATGGTTATGCCAACAATGAGACTAACACTGTCTTGAACCACACTTTCCACCTGCCGTACAGTGGACAACGTGTTGGCGTTGACAACATTTTGATCCCGACGGGTGATATCTTGGCCAACAAGGAGGGATCCGTCAACGATTTCTGGAGTGCGCCCAAGCAAATTGGAGCTGATCTTCAGAAGCCTGAGGCTGATGGCAACTGCGGTTTCAACTGCACTGGTTACGGTAATTATCCCCAGCACCACCATCAGGAATACTTTGTGACGAGGTGACTAATTTGGTTATTTAGATACTTGCTGGCTGATCAACCGAGGCCAGGAGGGCCCCTACGACTGGCGCGCTGAGGGTGGCTACGTCGCCCGTCTGCACTCACCGTGGTCGGGTATCCAACTCGACGTCTACACAGACCAAGAGGCGTACCAAATGTACTCCTGCAACGGCCAGAACGCCACCATGCCCCTCAAGACGACGCAAGGTCTCTTCGACAACGAGGACTTCCCCCGAACTATTCCTCAGCACGGCTGTCTCGTCATGGAGGTTGAGGACTGGATCGACGCTATCAACCACCCCGAATGGGGACGCGACAGCAAGCAGATCTATGGACCCGGTGGTGACCCTTACGTCCTCCAGGCTAGTTATGTCTTCAGCATTAATACTACATCGTCTTAGGTAGACGGTTGTGGGGATTAAAGTGCGGATAGTGCGAAGATTAATATTAATGCTCATCAAAGCGGTAATACTACAGTCCCGGTAGCCATTTCGAGTGCCGCGGTAAATAGATGCTATATAGCTAGGATATCTACGGTATTTAGCGCTGTTGTAATATTCATGCTGGCGGTATGGCGCCGTACTATTTATATATACTTAATTGATGAATTAACAAAGAACCAGCTCACGCCCTTGGTTTCGTGTGACTCTTGGTTGTATTTTGACATTTTCGTTAAGATTAGGGGTTACCTTCAAAAAAAGTTACCAACTATATTATCCACAGCCTGCACCAAAACCGCCATTATAGTAATTCATAACACTAGCCAAAAACACTTTTTTTCCTACAAAGATATGGAGTATCAGCAACTAAGCCGTCGCTCGTCGTTTTAGCATCATGTAAGAGCACGTTAACTAGTAGGCGCCACGCGAGCAGGCGTTACACTCGCCCCCGCAACAACCATCTACATTCGTCAACAATACTATACTATTCGTCGTTAAGTAACATGCGTGATGTTTTGGAAACGATCGCAACGTTCAGTAACGACAATGGTGTTATTTTAGTTCCATTTTGGGATGAGCTCTATATAAACCAGCTCAAAACCGACGATGACTTCAGATATCATATTATCATTATCAACAGTTAGGTATCATACTAGACCATCTTGAGTTATCCACATCGTTTGAATTCACTTCGTCTGAATTCACTTCGTTTTCGATTACCACAAGTCAAGGCACCACTAATCACGATGTCGTACGGCAGACCCTTTCAGTACCGCAATTCCACTACCTCCTCTGATTCTCACGATGACCCCAACTATCGTGAGTATCCACATAATCCCAATTATTTTGAGGAACCTCCAGATATACCATATGAATATCCCACGTATCACCAGAATCCTGAAGCCCCCGAGTCACGCGAGTATCCCGATATTCCCGAGCCCAGTGAGCAAACTCAAGCCCCTCCTACCCCTCAGGCCCCTCAGGCCCAGGCCGCTGAACCAGCACAAACCACACCCCACCCCGGCGACCCTCCCCCTAAGCCCATTCCCATGCGCTTCGGACAAGCTAACAACAGCGGCGGCGGCCACTACTCATCACGCGCAGCGCACGAGCACTGGGTCCTACTCACAGAAGAACTCACACGTCTCCGAGCCGCCACCATCTTCGGAAGGACATCACAGATTGAGAATTTAAGTCGCATCACGCGGATCCAAGCCGGTGTAGACTCTCTCCATATGGCCGGGACCATGGCGCAACAACAGCAACAACCAGGTCAACGACGTAGTCGACGTCTACGTTTCCCAACCCCACCTGAATCCTCCGCCTCGGACTCGGACTCGGACTCCGGCTCGCCCACCTACGACCGCATGCACACCAGAGAGCGAGGCTGGGAAGGCGCACGCCGGCGCAGCAATCGGGTCGAGAAAAATCGGTATCCCAAGGAACAAGAACAGTACGAAAGAGCCCAAGACAAGAAAGCGCGTGAGGAGGGGAAGAGCGCATCGGGCATGAAGGGTAGCAAGTGGCCTCGCGCGATCAGGATCGCAGCTTCGGGTGCTGTGTTCATTGGCTCGTTTTTCCTTGGTTTCTTTAGGAACGACTGTCTTGATGAGTACCTCGCGTGCATGATTAATAAGAACGTTTTACCACTAATTAAGACGAACGCGGGTGATGTAGATTAAGGCAGTTGTTCTTGTAGTTGTGCTAGTTGTGTTAGCCGTCTAGCTATTTGTTTGTTTCGTCATGTTTTTCGATGTTTAGTGTTTAGCTCGTTAGGAAATATAAGATAAAATACCAAAAAAAAAAAAAAAAAAAAATATCGAGAGGACTTGCTCTCATGTGATCGTATTGTGTTCTGGTGACATACTGCTTAAATAGCCCTATATATCAGCGGTTAGTTGCCTGGTATGATATGGGCAGCCCATTCCCGTTATATCAGGCGTAAATGGTCTACGAGTATATGTCGACTTCTTTTACATATATCAGTGGAAACGCCGTGTTGTGTTTTTCTTTTAGATCGTATTTGATCGACCTCGGATTCTAGAATAGGACTTTTGTCCACGCTGTGATTCGTAAAATAGTATAGAACAAGGGATATGTCTCTATCAACTCGACACCTGGATATCCTTTGTCCTACCCAGTCCCTCTCTTGCATAGTAATCCATAGGGTACACACCACTCTTGCTCCAATCTTGCCTCTCATTGAGCGCGACCAACGCTTCGTACGGCGTCAATAGCGGGCGCGGGAACGCATAGCCCCAGTCGATGCTTAGTCGTGGGCAGGCCACTTGGACCCAGCATTCAACGTCGCTCATCATCGCCAATTTGCCCGGGAAGATCTCACTTAGTAGTAAATTCACCCAAGGCATTCCCATCTCCTTGAGCTTGTTCTCGATAAGCGTCATCGTATGCGGATTACCCTGACGGCCAAGTGATCCTAGGATGAGCCCCCACTTCTTTGCCCTCTTCGCCGTTGAGATAGCATCTCTGCGTAAACTTTGCATTTCCTCGTGACCATATGTCTCGCGTGTGAGTTTCCTCGAGTACGGATCATAACGATAAGCCGGGATTTTAGGGTTATGGATCATGATACTCTCAAGATGGAAGCGACCGTCTCCAAGGTAAAGGATAAGGTCTACATTCTCCGAGTCGGATAAGCGCGGGGAGGTACATCCTAGAATCTCACCCTTGGATAAAGGTGCGATTTGAGGAATTAATACCTTGAATCCGGCCTTTTCCAGTGTTGACTTAACACCATGAATAGTGGCGTTGAATTGAATCGTTCCAACTATCGCGACCGTCTTCGGTGGTGCGAAATTCCGCTCCAAGGTATTTGATAGATGTGATGTATCTATGCTGATATCGACAAAGACATACAATACCCTTATCTTAGTAACATCAACCGGTATCAGACAGCTATGAGCATAATGAACGAGAAGGTCGCATCCTAGTGCTCGTGCTGTATAATCATCGATACAACAAGCACCGTAGGTAACATCTCCCATGATGAGGGTCTCAATCCCCGGACAGAATTGAGTGAGAATATCTGAAATGGTGGTGGCGAACATAAGTAAGCCTTCGGGCATTTGCAGTGCGACCCTTTTCGCACCCGAAGATCGGATGCGATGAATGGTCTTGTGTATCTCAAAGGAATAGTTGGCGGGCAACAAGGCGATCGCTTCCTTCAACTCCGGGTCATTCAAGATCTCCGGTGGTACTTGATTGAGAAGTCTCGGCGCCCGCCGGGGTTGCGATGCTAGTATTCATTTTTAGTCGCTCATTTTCATGTCAAATGTGATTTATGCCTCACCTTGAAGAGCCCCGCCATCTTCTATTGGGGCACCACTACCGCCATTTCTTGCAGAATTTGCAGCGGTTCTTCGGCCTACAAATCTCTTTTTGGGTTGCTTTTTGGTGGGTGGTGGCGCATGGGCCTCTTCAATATCTGCCGCAATACCTAGATCGGTTTGTGCCCGATCTTCCTCCATAATTTTGGTTGGTATGATATAAGTAATCAGAGCAGGCGGTATGGTACCGGAGTGGAAAATCGGATAGAAATATCTTAATTTTGGTAGTTGAGTAAAATAGTTGTAAAGTTGAGGTTTATTAAGACGGTCTCGTCTAGTGAAAAGTCAGATAGCGAAGTAGTCTTGATAAGTACCTAGGTACCGATATTGGAAAAGCGACTAAACAGAACCTTTCCAACCCGAACAATTCTATTTTCTACACTTGACTCCTTTATAAAATATTATATAATTTCTGTGCTCTACCAAATAAAGGACTTTATAGTGATGGTTTTGAAATCATTTCCCTTGATTTTATTTGTTTTGATATATTTGAATTTGTTAGATTTGTCCAAGAAGTTGCTTGACACTGAAAGTACTGATGTTCTTGGGTAGTGGATATATCCATATATGATAGTGAATATCTCCCTCTATTCTTATACGTTTGGTTTTATAATTCATTTCAAGGTAAATATCTATATCATTAATAAATCATAAAATATATATAAACCACCCATTTCATATACATCATAACATCTCATTCATACCCAAGCTATTCAAGCTCATACCCAAGTTACTCCGCCTTCCCCAACACAACCGAATTATCCGTAACAGTATCATTATACGCACTAACATCACGATAATACAATTCCGCACTACGCGGCGTACCATCCTCCTCCTCATCAAACACACCCCGGAACGAAAATTCCTGATGCGCCGACCCAACACCCGTACTATTACTATTATCAGCAGGCCTCTCATACGTCGCAGAACCATTCTTCCACGTGCTCAGCAACGAACCCACGAACGGCGGCGCGTCAGCGCTGGTCCCGTTTGCGGCGAGGAATGCTTCGAGACCGGTTGGAAACACGGAGTCACCGCGTACTTCGTGGACTAAGGTTTGGTTCAGGTCCGCTTGTAGGGTTAGATTACCCTCGGGTGAGTACGCGGAAGTGCTGTTGCAGAAGAGCGGGTAGCTATAACTAGACGAGTACGAAATATCCAACCCTGCGCCCGTGGCGGCGTCGGCGCCGGCGATGCCGAAGGTGTTTATGTTATCGTAACCTTGTGCAGATAGGCCGCCGTTGTTGGAGTATGAGAGTGATTGCGTCCATGTCGCTGTACCTTCGCCCTTTTGTGTTTTCACGTACGAGCTGATGGATAGCGTACGCGTTACTGCGATTGTGTAGTCGAGGGTTTCGTTGGCGCCTGATGCATTCTGCGTGAATCGTTGCGAGAATGAAATACTGGGTTCGCTGGCGTATGCGGAGCCTAGTACACCGGTTGTGATGGAGTCCTCGTCGTCGAGCCAGACGAAGATCTTGCCGGTTATGTACCATTCCTCGTCTACGGTAGAGGAGAGTTTAGCGCTTGACACTCCATCGTCCTCGAGACCGACAACTTGGATGGTGAATGTGTGCTCCTTGCCATCGGAGAGAAGCGGTAGCCAAGGCGTGATGTCGATTTCATGTTCCTTGATATCAAACGCTTGGAGTCCAACAATTGGTCGGTGCAATTGAGGAACAACACCTCCGGTGTAAACCACCGGAAAGGGCCAGTCAACTCCGGCGAGTTCACCATCAATTAAAACCTGCACTTCTCGGAAAGGCGAGTAACCGGGGTACGTGCCGTATTCAGCTTCAAAGGTATTGATGGCGCTTTGTGGCACATTACTCCACCAGAATTCCTCATCGCCCTGGGCCTTAACATCCACTGTAAATACAGCGCGATTAGCGTTCTGCGGGAAGCCGACAGTATTAGTGGCGTTCTGATCCGGGTACACGAATTGGCTTGGCTGCCCAGCCGACCCATTTCTTGTGGAAATGGGGATGATCAGATCGGCGGGCGCACGGGTACTAGCAGCGATAGCTGCAGGGCTTTTGAAGAATGTCGCCGTAAGCGTCGTATTTAGGATCCCCGTGTACGTAGCATCCACATTATTTTCCAGGTCGAAGATAAGAGTCTGCGGCTGCTTCCAGAGAGACGTAAAGGGAGTCAGGTCTTTCAACCATGACCAGCGGATGCCGTAGGATGTAGGCTCGGCAGTTGACGTTCTCCACACTTCGGTATCTCCGATGTAGAATACGCCCGTTCGATCATATTGTCGTCCTTTCACTAAAACGGTGAAGTTGATGACTACGTGATCGAATTCAAAATCCGGTGGTGTGTAATTGCCTTGATTTGAGTCAATAGGTGAATTTAATACAGGCATAAAGGTGGCATATGCATACCGACAAACGGACTACCATAGCTGCTGGCGAATGAATGCTCCATCAAAACCACCGTTTGTCCAGCGGATTCTTCAGCTGGGGCCAATACCGGTTCGGAAACTTGAAAACATTCCAGTGGCGTGCTCGTAGCAGCGGGCGCACTTTCGCTTGTCGTCGCCGCCAACACTGCATCTCCAGCTACAATATCATTGAATCGAGCAAGAGGACTGCGCGCTCTTCTCGAGCCCTTTCCAACGGCATTCCTCGGTGGGTACCTCGCATCGGGATGTGCTAAGCACAATCCCACGAGTACATTAACAAGAACAAACCATCTCGCCATATTGTTCAAGCCCAGGAGCGCCATTGTTCCTCAATTGGTCCAATTGCTCAAGACAATAAGTCAGTGGCTTGGCCGGTCAAGCTGAGAACAAAAAGAAAAAAAGAGGATGGATGTCGATCCGAACTTAAGCGCGCACCATTTTCCCTTGCCTTGCGTGCTACCGACCCATGCATTCCCGGAATCGCGGCGCAATTTGTAAAAACAAAGAGAGCGCTGATAACGATTGCACGGGCAAATCAGCCGAGAATAGAAGGTGATATGCCAAGCAATCTCCAGGGGTACCTAGAACGCTTCTCCATTTTCTTTACCAAGATTTTGGTCTATCAGTAAGCAGAGAATGGTAGACCGAGAAGAATAAACTGTAATGTTCGGACAATAGGTTGAGGCAGATGGAGTTTACGTAGTAAGAATATTCAAGATACTGCAAGATGACATCGTCAATGTTTTGTTGCCTTCTCTTTTTTGCTATTATATAATCGAAGGATATCATCGGAAATAACCCACGGTAAGCTACAGCACGCCACATACCTAGGTACCTACCGTGGTCTCACTGTTCTTATTGCCGAAGAGGTGGGTTGTCTCACTATTTGTGCCTGCTCGGCTACACCTTGGGCGAATCAATCCAAAACATCACGTTTGTTGCCGAGTTCTATTGTGAATCAATCATCGCACGCTCTGTTTCGTCACAGAGTATATTGTTTATGAACTCAACCGATGTTGTAAATATCCGACATGTTTGTTCTAGAATTTCCGGGTATATATATGTGGTGTCAGCACGTCATCTAGATTGTGCATTGAGCCATTCATTCAAAAAAAAAAAAATCCAGAAAAACTGATCACTTACCAATCACAGTCCATCATTAGTATTAACAATTGCCTTCAAGATCTCGATCGCGATCTCTGTTTTACTTTAACTCTTTCGCAAACAAACCACATTCATAATGGCGGGCGCCCGTTTTCCAGACACGACCTTTCTCGACCACCCTCCGCCCGAACACACCAAGACTTACGACCCCGCCGCATCACTCCTCACTTCGAAGATCGGCGGGACGGAGGTATGGAACATAGGCTTCATGCTCATCTTAAAATGTCGACCAGGATACCCCGGCTGCGATATCGAGCATGACAACACCTCCATGGCCCATGGGCTCGTGGACGATAAAGTAAAGCAGGAAGTAGGCAAGACTGTCGCTTCGTGGGAAGACGATGATGGTCGATTTCTCATCCTCCAAGAACGAGTTCGCGGCCAGCCATTAAATGACGTGATAGAGTACCTCAGCGAAGAAGATCTTGCGCGCATAGGCTGGCAACTAGGTGAGTTTCTCTCCCACCTTAAGGGATGTGTTTCGGAGGATATGAAGATGGGTGATGGGCGTCCCGTCATCGACCGTCGACTCTTCAAGCCCTCCCCTCCCGGGGAGGAAGCTCCTGACTACACTCTATGTTTCACCGAAGACGAGGTTCGGGAGAACCTAGCGCAGAGGCTCCGGGGCAGAATGAACGATAGGATACTTAACGAGTTCATGGCTAGGATGCCGGCCACTAAGCCGTTCACCTTCAGCCATTCGGATATACACGGGGCAAATATCATGGTTGAGGACGGGCAATTCACCGGTCTCATCGATTGGGAGCTTGCTGGATTCTATCCCGAGTGGTGGGATTTCGTCAATTGCTGTCAAACTATAAGCGACTACCTCCCGAAGAATATCCAACGCGAAGCTGCTCTGCGTTGGTTTCACGTTTACGCCGCGATTCGAGATAATGAGCACGATGCTTTGGTCACGAGAATGTTATTAAATTATATTTGCTTTCCGATGCCGTAGTAGGTAATGTAAAAAAGGGTTGGGCTCGGCGAGAGTAGGTAAACTCCTGTTTACTTAGGTGAGTGGGACAGGTACATAGGCCTGTGCGATATTTATATATAAATAAAGTAGGTTCCTTACTATGATAAAAACTGGTAGCAGTGATAAACCTCGTCGCGTACTTCAATTGGTAAGTAGAACGAGCCTCATCGTCGTGTTAATAATATGCCCCCACAAACGAGGGACCTCTACCCCGTTAGACAGCATCAGTCACTTGACTGGGTAAACAATTCCTTGTGCAATAAGAGACGTTGACTGGTGAATTGCGTGTGGTTGAAGACACGATTCATGGTTATGCATCTGGGGACTAAACGTTGTTGTTGACACATCGGTTCGCTCCATCAACTGTGGGGGATGAACCTGGATGGTCCTTAGTGGGTTAAATGTGACAGCTATGAGTAGTAAGATGATGGTCTGGGGATCATACGACAGCGATCGATCTTAACTTACAGGCTTAATTGACCTGGGCTCAGTTGAATTGAGAAGTTTGAAGACATCGTCCGACTAGAACATGGTTTTCTTAGGAGGGTTGCCACAATAATGTAGTACGTGTATAGCGATGTAAGAAAGAAAAGAGGGTGTAATAGGACTTGGCCCAGTTAGTGTAGGTGATGAAGAACAGAAATGCTAGACTAAACCTTAGATGGGCTCATTTGTAAGAAATTAACATACTTTGAATCCACAGCAAACTTACTACCCCAGGAACAGTGTTTGGACACCTCAGCGGTCAGTGGGCCTAGCCGCTTTTAGCAGCAAGAATGGGTCGATTTCATTGACTGTGATCCACTAACAGTCTGGGGAAGCGGGGTTAGCGTTCCGGGGCAAGTCCCCTGAGTCCACTCTGTCGTGGACACCGCACGTGAGAAGCTGCCTATTTATTATTTTATTCATCCCCAAAGAAAAAAGAATTATCAAAATTATCAACAATAAAAGTCGAAATTATCAGATGTCAATATTTACACATATCTAGGGCTGAAATCCAACTACTTATAGTTGAGTGACATCACACAGCCTACCTGAAGGCAAGGTACCTAACTGATCGACAAATTACGTGTTGGCCTGTTGCGTATGGTGTGGTAGATGTGGTAGGGAATAAGGGAATAATACCCCAACTCGTATTATATTGGTCTTGTATACATGTACATCCACACACTTCCCCGACCATTACAAGTCATGCAACCAGTACCATCTCCTGCAACAACAAAGGCAACTCAGCCCTCATGCGAACCTAGGACGTAATGGGATACTCACATGCGGCGCCATAGTAATAAGGGCAGCGTAAGCCTGTAAGATCCGGCCTGTGGTACAGCTCCCTGCTGGGCTAGTCCAGCATAATCAACCTAATCCTGGATTATACCCCGGATGATTGGCCCTTGAAGGGGTTGACGCAACATCATTGTCAGTTATTATTGGTCTACCCCGCTTCATCGCTTCCTCTCAGCGCCTTTCCCCAGACAAACAAACTGGGTTCAGGTCATTCCATTTCCTAAGGCGGCAGGCAATGGGTAGGTAAGGTAGGCCAGGTAGGTATCAAGACTGCCTGCCGCTCTCCTCTCGCCCCCTTTAAAAGCCAGCAGTTTCCCTCCTTCACCTCGAGACGTTACACTCTCCATTTGTTGTCTGTACCTTTCAACAAGTTTCATCATTATTACCGCTATATGATTGGTATCGACTCAAGTGTAGTGTCGAAGAAACCCTAACACCATCTACGAACTGCCGATCTAGATCGATCCGGTACGATTGCTCCTATTCTTATAGTCCTGTTCCTCTCCCCCTCCTTTTCATCTACTAACGAAGTCATATCAAGCGGACCTAGGACCATCTCCTTTCATTTATATCAAATTTTATTACATATTATCATCAATCATCCAACATGCCTGTCCGTCTCCCCCGAGCACGATCAACTGAGATCGCTACGTTCGGTCTCGCTGGCGTCGCTGGCTTCGCACCTTTCTACTTTATCCTCCCGGGCGCCGAAGAACGCCTAGCAACGCAGACCGCCCGGTGGGCGCCCCGATGGGAGCGTAACATCTCCTACTTCGCCCCTCCGGCCAGGATGATCGCCCAACGCGTAGAACCCCGCGTTGAGAGGACCGTCAAGAAGATCGACGACCGTCTACCCCTAGAGAAGATGACCAAGAACGTCGACAGGCGAATCAAGTACGGCATCGACAAGATGTCCAAGCAGTAAATTATTTACTTTGTCGGATGGGGATAAAGGTTAGGCTCATTGGGATTGTATATAACTTATACCATATATGACATGAGAGGATGGGATAAACATAAGAATTGTACTCTCTTTAAATTGCGAGTACGGGCGCGATGCGCTCTGGACAAGTTCATAGATGACATGTCCGATTATACAATAGCTACAATCAAAGCTGTGTAAAAGTTACCACATTACTTCGTTCTTCCTACTTGTGATGATACTATGTTTTTACTGTCTCCGCCCACTTCTAAGACCATTGAGGGCGGTAAGTCCTTACGAGTCCTACATCCTTTTCTATTCAATCCAATGGCACCTGTACCCCATTGACGCCCAATATCCAAGAATAGCATCCATGTCTCCTCAATGATGTTTCCACTGGTGGTACGATCCGCCCACATAATCTCCAACCACCCCACAACGAAACCAGTGTTGAATATTTACGTCCGCATTCCACAGAGCATCAGATGCGTGCATATCCAGCCAAGAGCCCACGTCCAGACTCAAGGGATAAATTCAATTTACTTACTTAGGTATTCATCTTGCGTTATAGTGGACATCTACATAAATATAGCTTTGGTTTCTCGTGTTGGGAGCATTGTTGTCGCCTATGTAACTTTCTGTTTAAAGTGTGCGCCGGCGTAATAGGTTGATACAAAACGTTGACGCTCAGGCGTGTCCGCTCAATCCTACTAGAGGAAAGGGTATTGGCTTTTTGGTAAGTCTATGTGCTAGGTAGGCAATCGTTCCGTGGCCTTGACTCGATTCCGACGCCATTGAAGAGAGGACTCAATCCAACCCCCCAAAACAGATGATGATCTTCTAATTTTGTTGCTGAGTTGCTGTTCTGCGGCATGTATCATAGGTGTACTAGGGTCGTTAGGCCTGTCTTTTTTTAAGACTTTGATGTTCTTTCCTAGGAGGCGTTGCCGTACTTCGGTCTTGCTGACCTTCACTACAATCCATACAATAAGAGAGAAGCCCACCAACACTCCAACTGAGTAAATACAATATTAGTACCTGGGTGGGATGTCATTCTCTCTGCCGGGGGTTGTTATAGGGCACTTACCTAAGATACCGAAGACCAATCCTGGTGGGAAAAGAACATTATCACCCGAATGTGGAAATACTGAAATATTCACTGCAAATAGGGAGGTTACAAATGATAATGGTGTCTTGATAGAGGCCGGTTAGCTAGGACATATCGTTCGATTGGGGGGTAGCAGTGGCGATAGGACTCACAAATATGATAGTTACAACCGTGAAAACCATTAAAGTCTCTCCTTGTTTTCTCGTATTTTCAGCTTCGTGTAGGTTGAGATGGTTCATACGTAATTCTAGAACGGACTCGACCTGTGTTCGTGTTAGATATAGTCATTTGTTAAGGCGGTTGAAGCAGGCTACATACATTTTTCTCCACCTCTTCCGCAAATTCAAGTAGTCCTTGGATTCGGTCTAAGACATAGCTCGGATCCGTACCCTTCCCAGAATTGTCATTCTGCTTACCATCAGAATCTTCACTATAACCGGTGGGCTGATTGGATAGTTGGTTCCACACTCGTTGCTGAGTCCGAACAACCGATCTTATCATCTTTAGTTCGCCTCGTATATCTTGAATTTCGGTGAGGAGTTCCGTCGCTTTTGAAACGTCTTTGTGAATCTCATCTTCCCCCTCAATAGGCACATCGCCTATTTGGTCTCGGAATTTTTTACGCAGATCACTTTCTTGTTTACTCTTCAATTGATGGCATATTAGATACTGAAGAGAATGGAATCCAGTTTGGAAAACTTACCACACGCTCAATAGAGCTCGCGAATATTTCGTCTACTAAGTAGCTCTCAGATTGCTCCTCGTCGGAGTCCGCGAAGTTTACGTCTAACGTCAAGTTATCAACGATATTAACGTAAAAGTTAAAAATGAATTTGACAAAGCTGTCGGTCGAAGCTAGTACAGCTTCTCTGTTGAAACTATTGTCGCTATCGCTCAGGCGGTCCAATATTCCCTCAAACATCGGGTCAGTGTCTGCTCTCGGGTAATGGGTCGTCCCGGTAATTATAGTTTCTGGGAATAGGTAAGCCACGTTAGTATTTCGACTGAAGAACTCTGATAATATGCATACTTTCATCAATAACCCACAACCAAAGTTGGCCAACATGTAGTATTTCCGAGGTCTGCTTCCCTTCCCTTTCTCTCTTCGTACTCTCTGGACCTGTGCTCCCTACCCCGTTCCTCAGGCCCATGAATCGTGATACGACTTGATCCTCATCCGTTACAGCTTCACTTCTTCCACGATAGTACATGTCTAGGGTCCGGGATCTATGGAAGGGTAATTTGAAGTCTTCGCTTTGTGTATGTTCATCATCATCTAGGATGTCTTCAACCTTATGAGGTTGAGGTGCACATTTGATGTAGGGAACCTTAAGAGGCTGTCAGTACATCGACCGGTAACGTGGGGTTTTTATACTCTTACATAGAGTGCCAATTGGTTTATCGCCTCCTCGGTTTTATTTGTCTCTTGGTTATTTCTCACCCTATGGAAGGCTTTTCTCTGTAAGCATAATTCAGTATTGGTGATCTAGTTAAGCATAGAGACGGAACGAACTTACGGAACAATTCGGATGCATGTACTTTCCTCCAGACCCGCTCTCGGGAAGTTCATGCCAACTATTCTCAAGGAACTGAAGCCTCTTCTTAATCTCATCTACCTTATGGTATTTTGCTTGGTATGTGACGGTGGCCGCATCCTGTGGCGCCATATTCAATTTAATCAGTCACCAATTTGCTCTTGATTTCAAGGTCGATACTAACCGTCGTCCATTGAATCTGAGACAAATATGATTAGTGGTCTCCTTTTCCCAGGGAAAGGGGCAGTTCATTGCTCACGGAGTTCGCATGTAAATGTATCCACCTGAATCTAAAGCTCGAAGGACCATATGTATTTTTGGCAAAGCCAGGCATTTTTTGGGCCAATAACTCGACCACGCTCTCGGCACCTGGCTTCAATCCCTTGCCTTCGCCGGAATACAGAAGCTCATGAACTTTGCGAGAATGACAGAGCATACCGAATTGATTCTTTTCGTTATAGAGGTCAACAATAGTCGATTGGAATTCTTTTGAAAGATCTTTATCTGTGTCACGGGAATCCGGCATGAAGCCGTCTCTGTTTCGCTCCGTCCCGTTGTATTTTACGAAAGGCTCATCCCAGATCGAGCCATCAGTTCCCAAACCGTGAGTACGACCACGGTCGCGTACAAGTGACTTCGCGTGTACTTTTTCTGAGATTTTCCAGCGTTTGCTGCGTAGAAGCCACCTTACTATCTGGGGTATACCAAGGTAGGCCGAAAGATCAAGGACGTTCCATGATCTAGGGGGCCCGCCCGCCTTACTTTTTACCTCCTCTTGTAGTTCCTTTTCTAGATCCCCAAGTCTATCCTCACTCATAGCCATCCATAGTCGGTATATCACAGTCCAACTATTCCCAGGTTGTAGTTTGTGGAAGGCAAATTTCACCATGTCTAGATCCGGCTCTCTATAGGCCACCTGTAGGAGCTGAAACAACCTGTCTTCGCCAGTAAGGATTTTGAGTATCGCATCCATCCTCTCCTTGTCATCAGTCTCATAGTCATCTTGATCGTCCTTGTTCTCGCGATTGACGATGGTACCCTGGGGACTTTTCTGATTCTGACCGATCATAGCCCCATAATCCTCACCATAATCCTCACTGCCGATAACAAGGTAATTGTTTATAGGGTCCCCATCATCAACGCCTAATCCATCATCCCCATCAATTAATTTCGCGGCCATTAGAGCCCAGTGAAGAACCGTCTCACCACTATGTGTGGTCAATTCACAGTTTGCCCCTTTAGCAATGAGTGATCTCGTTGTTCTGAGCATGTTCCTATCAACAGCCATATGAAGCGGCGTCGCTCCTTGAAAGTAAACTTGCTTATTGGCATCAATCCCGTCTATGGCTAGGAGTTTTTCGGTCATGAAAACGGATTCCGCGTGAAGGGCATCGTGCAGAGGCGTCCATCCGCTATCATCCGAAATATTGATATTAGCACCATTTTCAAGTAAAGCTTTGAGTATATCCTCAATTCTTTCCCTGCCACCATTCTGATTTTCGAAATTTGCACTATTCTGGCACAGTACATGAAGCGGAGTCTCGCCGATGTCATTCTTGGCGTTCACAAATTTCTTCCACTTCTCATTTTGCAATAAAAACGCAATCCCCTTTTCCAAGCCCTGCCTCACCGCGAAATGTAAAAGTGTTTCGTCATTGTCGCTTCGAAACTCTAAGAAATCTGTATTGAAGAGAATCTTTTCTGTCTCGAAGCCTGGTTGTGCAATAGACGCCAACCCGTCGAGGAAATGTTGGACCGTGTAATTCATGTGCATGGCCAGATTGACGAGTGTTGATTATCAGATTGGAAACGCAATAAAAGAGATCGCAAACAAAACGAAGGCTGATTCTATGATAGAGTGAATGCGATTCTTTACCATTGAATTGATGACAATTCGCATTGAATCATCTCATCACATAATTGCAGATCCGACTGTACACCTACCTAAGTCCTAGGTACTTAGAAATGTACATGCATACATCGTTTAGCTGAGATTTCTCTCGCGGGTTCTCACTGGCTAGGATTGCATGTGGGAGATGCGTGTCCCGCTCTTACATACCGCTTCGCAAATGATATCCATATTCGAGGTTGATCTCATGAGAAGTTGTAAATATACCTGTAGACTCTGCATTTCATGGGGATTGTCCTTCTAATATACCTTAAAGTAGTATCGGAAGTGTACCTACCTGAGTAAACACCGAAGTCCGGGAGTTTATAAGAAAAATGGTCCGGGGAGGATGGATTTATCGCGTAGAGGGGTAGCCGTCATATCCATTAATTAAATCTACCGCATGGCGTAGAAAAAAGCAATGCGCAAGTCCTTGGTCCTTGCTGGGAGGACTATAATGTAACACAATGCAGGCTGCCAAGTGCTAGCTGAAAGAGGCGAAGCGTACAGCAGTGCGACAACAGATTCATTTGGTGGCTGATATGGAACATAATTGTTTTCGGTCACTTCTTCAGCTCCTTACCCGACCCTCTTCCGAAACATCAATTGAAGAACGGTGAATTCTTGTGGACATTGAAGTGGTTCCAAGTGTTCCTCAAGATGCCATGTCTTTCTCTAAGCGGACTTTGCGGACACATCAAGTAAAATGAGAGCTAGGATAATTGAGCTGGGATCTCTCAACTTTCCAATTATCACTTAGGTATGGTACCATGATATTCAAAAGGTCACCCATTGGTTGGGGGCGTAATCATTTTACTTGATAATTATTTAGCACTGGTTCTATCGGTAAGAGCCTCATTTATAGCCCCCAATATTGTCTTTCTGCTTCAGCTGTACACACGGATAAGGAAATGTTGCCGACATCATAGTTCTAAATTTGTAGAATTTGCGCCTGGGGCATCTGATCGTTAGTGGCCCACGAAATGGGCTGAAAATCCTACTGTCGATCAAGGCGGGTTGGGAATTATGCAGTTGGCAACACACAATACAACGCATAGCCCAGTCCAGCGTGTTTCAAGTGGGGATATTGCGCCGCATCCTCGACAGAAAACAAAGTCCTATGCGCGAGGCTCTAGAAGGCGAAGTCATCAAATATGTTCGAGATATATTTCCTATTAATTAGGTCCCGTTGCGACCATGGTCTTGATATCTGCCTCATGCGGCTCGGCCCCCTAGTTGCGTTTCCTAGAAGAGGTCTAATATGTTAAGATAAAACCTCTTTATAATTACATAATATACCTAGCCAGCCAATTGAAAGGAAAATGCTCGGGCTGTTGTTGATTGTTCCTATTCTGGGAGCAGCGGTGGTCTCCTCTCAAGACTCGCCATCGTCATCGGCATGTGCTAAAGTATCTCAGTCACTCGCTTCTAACTCTTCAAGTGCGGCCACTTCTAATAAATATTAAGACTAAAGACATCATACTTATCATTTTTCTAGGTACACCATCTGTCCCTGGATCATTAGCCTACGATTGCCTTCGCTCAGTACCGAATCGACCTGGACCGGCTCAGAAGCTTATCCAAAGCCTTAAGTCCTTTGTACAATGGCAAACTACTCTGGCGTGGTTGAAGAATCCCCCGGACTCTTATACGCTTCCCGCGATCGATATTCAAGCGAGCTTAGACAACATCTCCTCAACAGCCTCAATAGGAGGCTTCACGAGTGAGTATGACTTCCAGCTCGCGATACTCGAGACAATAGCTGCGGCGCATGACGGACACTTTTCGTATTATGGGGATGTCTTCAAAGCGTTCTATTTCTCGAACGACTTAGCTGCAGATATTGTTTCGGTATCATCGAATGGTACTTCCCCTCCAAAATTATATCGATACTGTAAGTCTTGGCTATGAATCAAGTCTCGAAGCCTCTAAAGTATCTCTTTCTTACAAGCAATAAACAGCCGCCCTTAACTCTGGTTCGGAGACTGAACCCGCTGCAATCACCAAGATCAATGGTGAAGATGCCGCTGCATTTATAGAAAATGTAGGGCTCCGGCTCAGTTATCCGCAGGATATCGATGCACAGTGGAACTCATTGCTCGCGGTGTACGCCAACCCGTACCCAGGCAACTATTGGATCAGCGGTAGCATATTCTCTGGTTTAAATCTGACACTCACGTATGAGGATGGCACGACTGAATCCCAAGAGACATACGCTACATTGAAAAGGGGCGTGGACTTCTCCGAAATTGCGACGGGAGACGACTTCTACGAAGCATTCTGTAACCCCAATACAACTTTCAGCTCATCTAGTTCGTCGTCTGATACGCCTTCGCGAACTAAGAAGAGATTAGCTGCTCGCGCGTCTGGGTTATCCTATTACCCGTCCCCTATAGTCCAAAACGGTAACGACCCTACGGCGATGGGTTTCTTCCTCAACGATACTGGTTTTGAAGACGTGGCTGTGTTGGCTCTCACCTCCTTTGAGAGTTCAGACAGCAGCGACTCTCAATACATAAACAACTTCCAGGAAATGGTGGAGACATTCTTGAACAAGAGTCGAAGTGCTGGAAAGCAACGTCTTGTCATTGATCTTACTGAGAATCTCGGTGGAGAAATCCTTGCTGGATTCGAACTTTTCGCACAGGTTCGTAGATGAACATAGAAAACACCACTTTGATCGCAGTTTTGCTAACTCTCTACCAGCTCTTCCCTGGCGTGGATCCGGTCAATGCAAACAATATGCGCCTCTCGGAAAGTCTTACAAACATTTCCCACATATTCGCCAATATGTCTGAAGAGGAGCAAGAGCAAGCTGTGAATAGTTCACTAGCCATAGGCAGTTTATTGGCCGTAGATCTATATCGACCCCAGGGAAAGAAGTTCGACACAGTCGATGAGCTCCTCACGCCAGTCACCCTCCAAGGCGATGAGTTCACCGCATATTTCAGACAACCCACACGCCAGACTGGTTTCACTCTAACCGGTACGGGCGACCGATCGAACCCTCCACCAGCCGTCTTCAAGCCCGAGAATGTCGTGCTACTTACCGACGGTAACTGTGAATCGACCTGTACCATATTCTCATACCTCATGCTCTTCCACGAGAACATCAAGACCGTAACCGTAGGCGGACGACCCGAAACAGGAAAAATACAATCCATTGGTGGTACCGAGGTAAGCGAGAAGAAGCAGCAATCCATAAAACAGTCTTGTACTAACGTCAAACCAACAGGGATCGCAAGTATTGCAATTCTCATACATCACCACATTAGCTTCCCAAGCCCTCGACCTAGTAACCGACCAAACCCAATCCGAACAACTCCGAAACAGCGAACTCGGCGTTCTCGCCGAGGGATACGCCCCAAGCCGAGCTGTCAGCAAGTCTAATTCCGGCGCCATCAACTTCAAAAACGCATTCGCACCCAACGACGCAAATACACCCTTACAATTCCTATACGAACCTGCGAACTGCCATTTCTTCTATACATCTGATATGATATACGGGCCTGAGCTAGTATGGCAGTACGCCGTTAACGCTACGTGGACGGACCCCGATACATATTGTGTGAAGGGTAGCATCACGCCCGTGAACACTTCGCAGACCCTCGACCCGGTGTTTGATAACCCAAGTAACGGTAGTGATACCTCAAATGGGAGCAAGACGAGTCCTAATACCGACGGGACGAACAATCAGGCCGATAAGCCTAGTTCGGCTCCTGGGGTAGGTTTGAAGCAGGGTGCTATGTGGACGACGTCGCTACTAGCCGCCGTCGCGGCTGTCATGCTATATCTATAGTATGCTCTACAGTGCCCAGCGCTAATCGAGCAAGCTTACGAAGTTCAATTTTACGAATCTGAGGAAAAGGGACTATGTAACAGGAAGATATGGGGGGTATCATTTATATATTGCCATATATACCACCATTTATTAGGTAGAGTCAGTTATAGAGCCAGGAAACCTTCGATATATGGACAGGGCATGAGATAGAATACAGTATGAATAAAGCTTACGCAAATTGGCTTACTTGAGGACATACTCGCGGGTTTGTTTCTACTCACGAGATTACACAAAGGACGAAGACTAGGTAGGTATATATATCAGTTGTTATGACGAGTTCACTACATTTATCACTAAGACCTATATCCGAATTCACACAATACATACTGGCCCAATTAACGGCCGATAACATAACCATCGTGATGCCAATCATCTCACGCCCTTCCATAACGCCGAAGGGCCAACAAGTTTCGCACAATCGAAAAACAAGCGCCAGGATTAGAGTAAATAACGCCAAAACGGCCTTAAAGCCGGGGAAGGGAGGGAAACGGCGATTAAGGAAGTATATCATGAATCAAAGGTCCTATAGCCTTATATATCATCACCGTGATCCGTCACCTCGAGGCTTTCTTCTGTTTCTGTCTCCAGCCCCGTCTCTGTTTCCAGACTGGATCCCTCCTCTCCAATTGGGTCATCTGGTATTATACCGTTCATACGTTCCCAAACCTCCCGCCGTATTCGGTCATCCTTGGCCTTTCGGGCCCTCTCCACTTCCTCGAATCCACCACTCTTTTTGAGCTTTCCTTCTTCGACGAAGTTCGTTAGTTCCTTCTTAAGTGGGTTCTCTCGTCTGCTTTCCAGCTCCTTTTGTCGCAACTTCTCCGCGCGCTCGATGGCTTCTAATCGGTCTTCGTGGTTGGGCTGCAGGGCTCTGACTTCGCCTAGTACGCCCTCCTTCGCGGCGGACGGATCGGCGCTATTTCCGAGGTTATGCAAACCCTTCGATAGTGATCTTGAAGCGGGTGTTGTTTCCTTCATCTGCTCCTTAGTAGCTTGTTCAACCAGTGCAAAAGTCTCTGAGGCCTTCTCGATATCGTCTTGGAGATCCACCATAAGGTCCTCCATGACCTTGAGTTCGTCTCGGCCTTGGCAGACTTCCTCCAGTTCCGATTGCCAGATCTTGGTCCAGACGGGCTTCTCTCGCTTCAAGTATCCCTGCACCTTCTTAAGCTCCTTGGTTAAGACTTGAATATCCTTGGATACGCCCTCGAGTTGACGCGGCAAGGGTCTCACGCCGCGGTTGACGACATCCTTGCGCAAGTCTTCAACCAGGTCTTGCAGGTCGTCAACCTTGGTAACGAGGCGGTCAGAATCCGCATTAAGCTGCTTGCGACCTTTTGAGACGTAAGAAGTGCCACCTTCTTTGTCGGGTGTCGATGCTTTAGCGCTGACGACCTTAACGTTCGCTGCCTTGCTTCTAATAGAGGACATGGAATTCTGAACCTCGGTCTGGAAATTAGAATACGTCTGCCGTAAAACAGCGAGATCACGGCGTAGGGACTGTAACTCGCTAAGTTGATTAACATGGCGCTTCGCTCCGGTACCGACTGCGCCACTCTTAGGACTATCAATGATAGTTGGAGGGGCAACAGCCATACGAGCCATCTCCTTTGCCGTTTCTAGTTGTCTATCCGAAACTCTTTGTAAAGCCGATCCTTGATCAGTGACATTCTGCTTCATTTCATCTATCGTCTTCTTCAAAGCCCCGAGGCCATCGTCAAAATGTCTCTTGACCTCATCAAGAGGCTCGACGTTCAGAGCAAGCACTGTGCGATCCTTGATATCAGAAAGGTCCTCGAGTTCGTGTCGTACGCCTGATATAGGATCTTGGATATATATCTCTGGCAAATCACTTCCATTCAAAGCGGTATTCCATGAAAACTTCTCGATGAACGCCAGTTGTAGACGTCCAATTGTCAAGTCGGTGTAACCCTCAGGGAGAACAAATTTCTTGACCTTTGATTTGTATTGCAAAAATAGAGTGAGTTCTTTGTCCAAAGGAGGCGATTGATCTTGCATAGGCGGCTTTTGTTGCTTTTCGGGAGGGGTTTGAGGTCGCGGTTTGGATTCCACAGCCGTGTCCAATCTTGGTTTCGACTTCTCGGGAGATCCCGGAGGGCCTACGATTGGGAAAGCATCGTCTAGAGGGCCGGAAATAGTAGCGCTCGGTCTGTACTTATCTCCCGGTGACTGAGTCGGTGGACTATCCGATTGAGGTGGTAGATCAGGTTTAGAGTCTTCTTCATTCACCTTACTCGGTATGCGAACGGGCGAGGATGATTCGTATGCGTTCTTCGATTGATTAGAAGTATTGCGATTATGTCGAAGGGATTCTCGGACTTGGACTGCTCGCATCGATTCTCTAACTTCTCCACGGCCTCTGTTCGGTATTGGGGTATTTTGAGAAGGTAACATCGGCACGCCGTTGGTTGGAGCGCCCAGATGCTTGGATATTTGATAAGCGGAATATCTTCGTGATGCCCTCCGTTCTAGATCTCCTCCCCTCTGTAAAGCAGCGAAGGCACTTTGCTGCGATTTTGGCGGGGGAGGAGGTGGCGGAGGGAAAGAATCGATGTCCAGACTACCCGTCGAGGGTCCTGTAGGTATCGTCGCCTCGTCTCCAGGATAAGGCGGAAGTACTGGAATGTTTTGCATAGTATTGCTAGATAGCGAGGTTTGTTCGGAGTTTAAAGAGCTGTTCGACTGGTCTCGTGGGAGCATCCGTCGACCAGGCGATTGATTGGCTCCCGACGGTCCTTCGTTTTGTTGTGACATTCTTTCATTCTGAGGTGGTGCGCTGTATCCATTCTCGAGACCTTCATTTAAAAGGGTTGTAAGGCCAGTATTATTACTTCCAGTGGTGCTACTACTCATAGTACGGCTAGCAATCCCACTTGATTCGGGCGAACTAGCCCCGTCTTTATCTCGTGTCTGCTTCTGCCGTAATTTTTGCTGTTTCCTTTTTAAACCGTGTAGGAGGTGAATTATTATGTCTCGTATCCGTGGTAAATACTTTTCAAGACTTTCTGTGTTGGCTTCCTGACTTAACGTAGCTTCTAAGATGTGTCTTAAATTTTCGGGTACGTTTCCTAGGTCGGATGTGTCGACATTAATAGCAGTGAACGCGCGGCAAGCCATGTTAAATTCATAACCTAACCTGACATAGACATCTGACACCTGAGTGTCAGTGGCCTGGCCGCGCGACCACTGCGTTAGGGTTTCAAGGAGCTGTTTTGTAGCGACGAGTAGGTGCGTGACGCTTTTCTCTATTTGCGACAGAGGCATAGACGAACCATTGGATTGCTGCATGTACAAATATTTGTTAGCATTTGAACTAGCGGGCCATAGTGTGTTTTAAGGGAGAACGGCGAATCCATCACAGAAAAGGATACCAACAAAATCCCATAACAATCAAGATATTTTCCGATTGCTATTCTCCCCCTAGAGGACTACAGGTATAACCAAAAAAAAAAAAAAAAATCAACTTACATTACGCCTCGAACTACTCCCAGCCGATCTACTAGAGGCCGTGGAAGAACGTGGCTGCATCGTGCCGGGCGACATAGATCGTGTAGGAACGGTCGGCGGAGGACCACCGTCGGGTCCTGGAGACCGGCGCTGTATCGAGCGCTGAGACAAATTCGGGGCTTGCATCATGATGGTTCTTCTTCAATAATCTCTTCCGTTTGATTTCCTATATACGGATTCCACCCCTTCCTCCACTTTCTTCCCTATCAAGGCGAGATCCCTTCCTAAACTCCAATATTATTACGATAACTCGATGGGTGCGCGCGGATGGTTTCGTTCGTAACGAGCGTAATAGAAGCCGGATATAAGCAAAAAACGGCGGCGATGGTTATAGACGGCGAAAAGGGTGATCAAAAATTCATTAACGTAGAATAGCGGCGATAAAAGGACGGCGAGCAAATCGAGTTCCGAGGTTGAATTGTCGATAAGGTTGACGGCGAGGATTTGCCCGCGTGAGGCGCGACGTCGAAAAGGAACGAGTGAGCCCGACCAAGGCTAGACCAATCCTGGCCAAGTGCACACAGTTCGCAGGGATAAAACGACGGTGACGTTCGGAGGCGGGATAAAATTGAGCGTCCTCGGTTGCCTGGGGACCTTTTTTAGATGGATCCGTGGTCATAGCGTCCCGCCGTAGATTTGGAGTTAAGTAGGAACTATGTACCTAAGTATTTCGTGTTTGCATGTTCAATTGAGGGAACCCCTCGTTCCTACCAAACGAACGATAAGGCTCTAAGTATACAGTTACGAGAGTTCCACATGTTTTACTACATTTTTCGTTAGCATCGTACTTCATATTTTTACTGTGACCTCCATTGTGCATCTAATCGCTAAATCACTATCAATGTTTCAGACTGAACATCCAATCTTCTTCCCACACTCACTTAACCTAGGAAATGCTGTGATAATGACGAATTCGCTTCCTGGTAAAACCCGTACTTCATTGGTTAAAAAATACGCCCAGAAAGGGATTTGTTTCAAATCATTCGCTACACACGCAATATATTTAACGAAAATTTTGGGGATTTAAGTAGTATCTGTTCTACTACGATTCAGCACTGAAATAATTAAAGTGGTAGGTTAATGACGCACATTAACATCCGACAATGTTAAATAGAATTTCATCAGTCTTTGTGCGGCTGAACAATTCAGCTTCTCAGGGAAACCAAGGAAAGTACGAAGAAAGTTCCACTTAGGTAAGGTTTCTTACGAGCTGCGTGGCTGCGCACTTAAAATAAGTTGCAGCCTCAAGTCAATACGAGGAAGTAACCATAGTACAATACCTACCTAGGTACCTAATGCATATTGTGCTGGCGATTTCCCAGTTCTACGTTCACAGGGATTACCTATTAGGATAGGTGAAAGACGGGTGCCTATTTCCTGAATTACAAGAGCAACCTAGTTAAGTAGTCTATTATGCCACTCAGAAGCCATTTCTCATTTTCCATCGCAGAATATACCCTTTAATAGCTACATCTATGAATCGACACGTCAGCACTAATAGATCGCCGCCCGTTTTTTTGTCTCCATTGCCATAAGTTCAACTTGTATTCCCTGCACTATAATCTATTGGATTTCATTAACGATATACCGTTATGTATATATTGAGCGATTGTTCTTGATCTTGGCAAAGACCCATACTTTTGAAGATATTTCTTATATAACCAGAGACGACAGCTTCGTCTGGATTACGATATATATATATGTCATCATTTACGAAAAGTTAACATGCATACAGTGGGACAGTAGTGCCGCAGCATTTAAGTCAAATATACCACACTTTATCATTTTTGCAACAATGTCTCCTCCGAAAATCGCCATCATAGGAGGTGGTCCGGCTGGGTGTATGTTAGGACGATTCTTATCACTGTCCGATATTCCCTTCACAATATATGAAAGCGAAGCGGACCCCAATTATCGATCTCAAGGGGGCACATTAGACCTTCACCAAGGGACAGGCTTGACTGCCATGAAGGAAGCTCAACTTTGGGACAAGTTTCTGGAGCATGCCCGTTTCGATGGCGACTTTTTCATGATGGCGGACAAAGGCCTGAAGCCCTACATTGCTGTGGGTCCCAGCAACAAACTCAGCGAACGGCCTGAAATCGACCGGGCTCAGCTACGCAGAATTCTCATAGAATCACTTCCAAAAGGGGCTATCAAATGGGGACATCGACTAAAGCGTGTTGAGGATGGAAACGTCCTGATCTTTGATGACACGATAGAGTCTGGTTACGATCTTATCATTGGATGTGAGGGAGGCTGGAGTAAAGTTCGAAGTTATATAACTCCAGCGGTGAAGCCAGAGTATACGGGGGTTGGGTATCATCGTCTCCGCATACCGGATGCAGCGACTACCGCACCAGAACTCCACAAGATCGTCAATAAAGGAAGCGTATTCTCTATTGCGAACGGGCAAAGGTTGACTATGCAACAATTGGGCGATGGTAGCCTCCACGTTGCATGGGCTTCAACCCGCCCTGAGAATTGGACGCAAACCTGTAGCTATAACCCCCACAATATCGAGCAAGTGAAAAAGGCTATCCTAGAGGAGATAGAGGATTGGAGCCCACATCTCCGCGAAGCGATTGAGAAGACAGGAGATGACATCTGCGATCCAAAGAATCTTTATATGTTACCCGTTGGTTGGCGGTGGGAGCATCGTTGTGGTGCAACTATCATCGGCGATGCTGCGCATTTGATGGCACCATTTGCCGGTGAAGGCGTGAATGCCGCCTTCGATGACGCACGAAAACTAGCTACCGCGATTATTGGAGTAGTGAAATCGGGTGGTGGATTGGACCAACTCGATAAAGCAATACAGACATTTGAAGAGGAAATGTTTCCGCGCATGAGAGTGTATCAGCAACAAACGGAAGAGGTTACCAAGCTCTGGTTCTTTAGCACGGGTAATATGAGGGATGTCGTGCCGAAAGTAATGCTAACTCATGCCAAGGCAAAACTGCCGGCGATCTTACATCCCCTAGCCTGGACAGCTATGAATTCATATTGGTTCGTCAAGACTAGATTCTTGAGCTAGATACCGCGAACATGGTCATCCTGGGTTTTAGCATGGCGCTATTAATGACATAGAATGAACGAATGATACTTTACTTTTGCATGGGTGCTTAAATACCTATTTCGACGATGGAATGCGCGGATACTCTACTAATATACTCTTTTACCAATACACACAATACATGTATTAGTACAAAATAAGGATCGAAAAAGAAAAAGATTATATGATTTACTACAATCTTCTTGTGTATTCTTCTCAAGCTATACGAACGGGATTCGCGAGATTCATGAGACATCACCTGCTACGGATTTCACCCAATTGATCCAAACCCGATGCGACTTGGATCGGACGGGAACTCCCACAGCGGGGAGACAACGCCTAGGGTGCCGAACTGCGCAGAATGCAGCATGTACAGCTGCAGATCGTCTTTCTTTCCCATTCTCTACATTACTTGCAGCCGGACGCAAACGGGGGATCCGTTTCCATTATTACGAGTGATGAGGTGAGAACGCCTACCTACCTAGGTAATGTACCTGGATAGATGATGGAAGCCGGGTGGGCGGGCACCTCCAAAACACCCACATTGAGCAACCACCCATTCAATAGCCCGCTACGACGCAACCGTTGTGTAACCTACCTAGCAAGGCGCAGACTTTGCATGCCCTATTTGTCTCTCCCTATGATGTGTAGCCCTAATATGGCAACATGGGGTTACAACGAATTATCGTCAGAGTAGTAACGGTATCTGAGCCTCATCACCTCGAAAGTATTCTCACCAAGTTGATGTTCAGCATGGACCTATCTTGGTAGACGGTTCATCATGATTTAAAAAAGGTCTCCGTACTTGCTTGCATTCGTGCTTCCGTGGGGCGCAGTAAGATTCCCGCCCGCGGCAGACGAAGGGGGGTTCTAACGGGAGACGCTGCTTCCCGCGTAGAAGACCAATAATGGAATTAGGTTCATCGCGGGGCTAACGGAGGTAGGTACAGTTGGTGGGATGGGTTATGGGTTGTCCAGAATTTGGGGTCGCCTAGTGCTGCCGATCTGACTAGGGTTTCCTTGGGGGGCACTGCATTTCGCTTCCTAAACCAACTCAATTCTAATTGATAGTTCAAAGATAACCAAACAGGTCAGGTACAACATGGTATGGTCTTAGGGATGTACCTACCTGACGAGTTCCTGGCTAACGAGCAACTACCTAAATAGCTGAGAGAATAGCAGGGTATAATGTCCTAGGCAGCTGGGCGGCTACACACGTGTACCTGAACAACCTATACTGGAGCCAGTCGAGTGGTAATAGCCTCACCTTGCCTCATTCATCTTGTCCAAGTTTAGATCTGATCATCTACCTACATGATCATATTTTGAGGCTCACAAGCTCGTTATTCAGCCACTGCTGATTCGGCAAAGAATGATCATGTAGTAATACCTGATACCTTGTTAGGTTCCTCTTAGTTATGTCATAAACGGAAAGCCTTACGCACGCCTAATAGCCTCAAGTACTCCCGAGTGGTAGTTTTGACCGCCATTAAACCGAGAGAGGCTATGTGAAACACCCATGACTAAGCCTCACAGAGCAAGTTGGGCCTAAATGAGGTGATGAAATTCACCTCATGCGGCTGTATAGTTGCTTTACTTGCAAACAACACTCTGTGAAACGAACACATAGACAGGGGTCATGGATCGCACATACCCAACAGCAAATTCTCGACTTCGGACAGTTGGGGAATTCTATACGCCGTACGTGTTGCTGCATCGTACAATTCGAGAATAGACTCGGTGTATGATAGAACATGATAAGTACATTGGCAGATTAGAACAATACGTCTGCGTTCGATATAGAAACCCATGGATATCTACTTAGGTACCTAGGTAGTTTGGTATAACTGCACGGCTCTTTCAAAATATGACAATCCCACCCGTTCATAAAACTCGAAACTCCACGGAGCATGGTGATTGATAGGAGTTCTGGAGAAACTGCTTGACCGGCCTTGATAACAGGTCTTAAGTACAACGTTCAAACCAAAGTGACCCCCAAATTGAAAGTGCTAAGCATAAATTGTTAGCGATTGACAGGCGTAATCAACCTGTTCGATAGCGGTTGGCCGCTACTAGACCTGGCCAACTACATATATGTAGCTCCGTAACCTCCAACATGTCCATCCAATGTTCTTTTTTAGACAATACTATCACGTAGACGTTATATGTCTTTCGTGATCGCAGTTAACACAAAGCTCATCAAACGATGATTAAAATTAATTAATTACTTTGGAATCGACCCAAGTACTTCTCTATGCCAATACACGTGTGCAATCAATACAATTTTGTCTCTTTTACTTGCTACGTATACGGTTGGAGTACCAACTTGTGATTCTTAACTAACAAATCCCAATAATTTTTTAGTGTCCTGTCTTGTGCTTACCCACGTGTATGTACCTACAGTTCTCGGTAATCCCCATCCGGATATATGCTTATAATATTTCTATTTCCTGTCTATATTTACCAATTTACGTACCTACATTAGTATGCTTGTAATGATGTGTGTTGGTTGTACTTGATCTTGGCTTCGTGAACTTTTCATGTTTTAATGGGCAATGTGTGTTGGTATTTGTGGGAGGTACACGGTTCATGAATTTTGAGTATAATTTGATTGTCCTCAGGAATTAAGTAACTACCTAGGTACATGTAGGTGGTTAACTGGACGGCGATTGGCTCAATTTATGTGCTACTCACTACCGATAAGTACATGCGCTAAAGAAATGCCTATAATTGGATGCGACAAGCGGCGACCACTGTACAGTACCTACACTATTTCCCTACTTGTAGCAACAACATTTTGCAGGTGCCTTCTAAAGTTTTTTTTTTTTTTTTTTTTTCGATGCACCGGTTCAATCAATGTTATGTCTAGGTCTGATCTTAGTCAATTCTTTTTCTAGATACGTCTACCTGGTCTACAGAACAAAATTATTTATTCTTTCCTTCATTTCTAAACTTAGACTCGTCGCCGAATTCGAGAGCAAACGCCAAGCATTCAATCTGGAAAACACCATCATAAGAAGACAACTACCTACATATGTAAGGTATTTTGCAATTGACTTTTTAGCGATTGAGTTGCCCCTCAAGAACAGGCGAGAGCACCCAATTCTACACAGTGTTAAAAAAAAATCAATTCAGGTACCTACTTCCTTACCTTATGGCTAGGTAAGTTAATTGGAAGTACACCAGTCAGACCACCTTTCCCACACACACTATCCCCTCCAAACCCCAGGCCAATCAATTCGCTCCCGCTCGTAAGTCAAAAACGCTCGGACCATCTCTGCGCATCAAAAGGGAAGAGCTCTCTTCTCTCCCAGGTTTCTCTGTCAGGTCTTTCCCACCCTGGTCCCCACCTGACCGAAAAAACACCACTGCCAAAGCCAATCTGTTAGTATTTCGAAAAAGGTACCCACAACCCACCTGGGCACACACAGCACCATCACCCATCACCCATTACCCATTACAAGCACCGCACACAAGCAGCAGCAGGCGCTATGTAACTCGTTCGGCCTCGACCTTAAACCACCTTCAACCTCCACTTTCCCATCAACATATTCCACCCCCCAACTCCCTACTACTTAATCTGCTAACGTCGCTCCTCTACCTTTATAGTAGACAAGAGCAAGCAGAACCGTCCTCTGCGACGAGGTCATCTAATACCACCGACCTGGGGGTTGCCGAAGGGAGCCAGCAGTTATTGACCAGCAACCCGAGGTGAGACAACCCTTTTTTTTGCTCTTTGCTCTTTGCCCAGTACTGCCCAGTACCTGACCCGGCACCATCTACGCTCTTAATTCAAGGTAGCATGGGCATCCGTGGCCAGCTGCTGGCCCGCACTGCCCTGCCCTTTTTTTATCGAGGCCGTGTGTCGCCCAGAAGAGGAACACAAGACAGCATTAATTGAATTTGAGAGTGCGAACGAGCCAGCTACAACTTTTTGGCCTGTCATTTTTTCCCCGGCTACTTCTAGTCCTTCCCATCTCTCTGCGGTTGGCCTGATCAACAAAGCAAAGCACCTCGTCCTTTTTTTTTTCTGCTTCGAACAACTCTCCAAAAAATAACCACCATTTTTCCTTCTTTGTTTTATTCGCAATCACTCTCTTGTGAGCAGCAAGCTGCTAATAACTATTGTGCATTTCAATACACACAACCCCCCCTTGCGCTCTTTCTATTAACTTCATGCTTCTAATGCGCTGACGTCCAGCCTTCCCATTCACAGTCAAACTGCTACCCGGAAGAGTGTTGGAGCCAAGACGAGAAACAACAATATCTTCACGATCGGCTCGGAATCGAACCCACCTCAGCAAGGCTTGTCTTAGCAGGACCAGCAAGCTTCTTTAGTTTTTCTTCGAGAAGTGAGTTTGCCCGACCTTCCTACGATGCAGAGCTCCCTGTCATACATCGGACCCAGATTCGCGTCACCTCCACCTCCTTCCCTCAGATCCGCGCTAGCTGTTCCCGAACCGCAACCTTCCCATTGAAAATCCTATCAGCTCACACCTCCCCTTCTAAATCTGTCAATTGCACCTCCAACATTATATCGGTGATATTTGCAAATCTTGAATTCCGGCTTGAGCTCACAGGTCATTTTTCTCTAGGGTCAAAGGGTTCAACTTATTATCGCGAACGGTGCCGAATACGAGGGTATCTTCTCGCACCTGGACAATCTTATCTGTGACCTGAGAATGGTACAGCAGAAAAAGAGTTCGGGCGAGTCGACGAACGGAACCAACAAAAAGGAATATCCTAATATGTCGTTTCAGAGGAAGGATATTTCGGATGTTAGAGTCATGGGTAGCAACGCTGGGAAAGGTGACGTCAAGCAAAACGGTAAGCCTTGTTCGGCGGTCAGGGGGGGATTATTCCACAGGGTTTAGGACTAACTGTAATCAGGCTCGACAGTCAACTCCCAGAATAACTTTCGAACTGATAGTGCCATCTCCTCTGCTCGCCCGGGCCGCGAGAGAACTCTACAACCATGGGTTGGGCCAAGCACTACGGATGGGATCGACTTGAGCTTGGAGAAATCAAGCAGCGGTGGCGGTACATGGGACCAATTTGCCGCAAACGAGCGTCAGTTTGGCATCAAGAGTACATACGATGAGAATATTTATACCACGGCGATTGATAAGAGTCATCCTCAGTACAAGGAGAGAATGGCCGCCGCAGAGAGGAAGGCCAGGGAGATAGAGCGAAGCACGGCTACGACGGCCCACGTCGCTGAAGAGAGAGTCATGGATTATGTTGGCGGTGATGACGCGGGTGTTGACGAAGAGGACAAGTAAGTGTTTGCACATGCAACGTGTAACATCTCGGCTGACTCGGAAATAGATACAGTGGTGTCAAGCGACAGGATTTCCCCCCTTTACCTAATAGCAGAGAGAACAAGTATACTCCGCCGGCGAGACGTGCGCCTACTGCTTCGTCGACTGTGAAGGGCGCTCCCGTTGACCCTGCTATCATATCTTCGCAACTGAAGACACAAAAGAACCAAGCCGCCGCTCCTCCCAAACAAGATGATAACAAACCGCGTGTTGCTGCTCCGAGAACTGAGACGTCAGTGCCGTCTACAGTCAGACCTACCGAAACCAAAGTCGACGCCAAGGTCGATTCACAGCAAAAACCAACGGAGAGCAAAGGCGCAACTCCAGCATTAACCCAATCCGCAACACCATTCAGAGCTTCGGCTGCTACCAGCCGAACCATTTCACCAACATCTAAGGACGGTCAGGGTGTTGTTCCCAGTGCAACTTCTACTGTGGAACATGACGTTCTGAAGGAGTTCAAGACGTTTGCCAACCAGCAACGCACAAATGCCGAGAAAGTCCGAAGTACTAAGGCCAAGGCTGACAAGGAGGCTAAGCTGACTGAGCTGAAGAAGTTCGCGGATAGCTTCAAGTTGCCAACACAAGTCCCCACAGATTTGATTCCGATCATAGCAAAAGATCCAGCGAAACAGCGAGAGATACAAGAGAAGGCCAAGCGAGATGCTGCTGAGGTCGCTAAGAAGAAGGCCGAAGAGGCCGCGGCCAAGGAGAAGAAGGGAACTTCAACGAAAGAAGTTCAACCCGCACCAACTTCCCAAGCAGCTTCAGATACTAGGACAACCCGTCCAAATGCTAACCCCCCTAATGTGGCTCCCGCGGCAGCGCCTGCACGTCATCCCGGTAATCGTCAGAGCTTTGCTCCGAATTATTCTTACCAGGGAAATCGTCCGGGTCCACAACATATGCAACAGGGTGGTCGCCAGGGCAATCTATCTGGACGTCTTCGGCACATTGAGGCGCAAAAGGCGCAAGGCCAAGACGTTCGATTACCTCCTACCGGTCCTGCTAACACCACCGACCCCTCCTTCGGCCGTCGTATGGGTGGCGTGTCAGGCCACATGAGCGCAAAACTGAATCCTAATAGCCACGAATTCCGTCCTAGTCCGTTTGCGCAGACATTCAATCCGAATGGTCACCCTAGCGGAGGCTCAAGCCCGCGTTCGGCCATCAACCATTCTGCGACTGAGTTACAATCTGGATCTACGAATAGTCACACACCGCTTACCATTGTGACTAAGAAGAAGAAGGCAATCGATACTAAGAAATGCAACATTCTATATTTCATAAAGACTATCCAGCCTCCTGAGAACAAGAACTGGAACGATAATGGTGGCCTACGACCATCTTACGACACCCCACCTGCCTGGCGTGCCTTAGCCGATGATGAGAAGCCAGATTCTACTATGCGCTTGTCATTGATCGAGTATTTTGAACGACAGCCGTTCAATACACACCCAACACCCAACCCACCCCATCTCCTTCCACAGATGGCCCACCAGCATCAACTTCCCCTTCATATGCAGCATGGCGCGCACCCCGTCGCTCCACGACATTCGCCGCACGTGCCTCCTGTCCAGATCCACGGAGGACAGCATGGCCCCGTCCCTCATGCTCCGTTCAACGGAGCAGATGATCATAGGATGATGCATTCCAACTCGTCACAATCATACTCCTCCCCCCGGATGGGCCAGGTCCCAATGGTGTACCCGCCCAACATGAACCCAGCAGCGCAGATGCCATACAACCAGCACATGGTTCCCTTCATGGGCCCCGCAGCACCCCCCATGAACCAGTTCAATCGAAGTTTTTCTAACACACCTCAGTATGTCCCACAACAGCCAGGAGGGATGGGCACGCCAATGATGATGCAGCAGCAATTCATGGCGCCACAACCGATGGTTGCTGGTCCCCCACAGATGCAGCCATATCCTGCTGCCGGCCACATGCAGTTTATGCCACCAAATGCTACGCCACCACAGCCAATGCCCGGGGCTAACGGTTATCCAAGCCCGGGAAGACCAACCGCCCCTATGATGGTACACCAAGGGTCCCAGCAAGGACAACCATACATTGGCATGAGCCCCGGCATGCAGTACCAGCAGCCGACTTTCGTGCCACAACAACAAGGGCAGAGTAAGTTTGACAGACGTTACTCCAACCAGAACAAGTACAAGAAAACTAACAAGCGGGGTGAAGTGAACAACATGCGAGGATACAGTAATCCCAACCCCCAGCAGTTTGGCACCAGCCCGCAGCAGCCGCATCAGTACGGACCCCCCCACAGGAACGGAAGTAACAACTTCAACAAGAACTATCAGGGCCATAACCAACACCAAGGTCCCCAGGGTGGAGGACATGCAATTCCATCGGGACCTCAGGGCAGATCCTCGGACGGTCCTGACGAAGCCAAGTGACCGAGCCTTTCGAGACTGCCCGCGACGAACTTAACCAGCGCCGCGCTCCAGCGCATATTTAATTTCTTCATTCAACATAGCATAAGTAAGGGTCGACTTATGCTCGTCGATTTTATCGTCGCCTTTGCGTGGACATTTAACTTTATCGGCATCGCGACCTCGGTTGGGTCTTTTATCTCTTTGACAAAACCCCTACAGCTGGGAAGAGGACCTAGTAACAACATTTTTTTCGTTACAAGTACCGGTCGCCCGAAAGTCTGTCCTGCCTGAATCTTGAACCAATATGCACGTGACAACTATCATCATAATACGTGGCCCTTAAGTTACCTTGGCCTCGTAGGATATGTCTTTCGAAACGTTTATTCGGCCAAGCGCCGACTGGCTTGGGAAGACAAAGACCAGGATGAGGAAGTGTTGGAGCAGTCGGTCGGTGGTAGGGGATGAGGGTCAATTAGCTTACTTGAGCAGACATAGGCCGTGGAAGAGGACGAATCAAGTAGCTTTAGCAGGATGGTAGCTCCCGTCGAGAGACCAGTTGCATCTACAGCGGCGCGACGAATGACTTTAGTCACTAGCGATCCACAAACCGGACCTTCAAATGGCGACAAAGTTTTAATAGGATTGTTAGCCGGAGCTGTTAATCCATAGGTCCTCAAGCACGTGGATGAGGGACTACCTTATCCTAGTATTGACAGTGGGAGATAACAATAAAAATAGTGTTTTACACTAATATGGATTGACGATAAATATCGATTTGTGACGAGTACTCGACTCACTCGAGTATTCCGAGCGTGCTTCGACAACCTTAGCTAGAGGAAACATCCGACTCGAGCGATTTAGCGTCGAGTTACTATATAGTAGTAGCTCAATTAAAATACATCGGATAGCTCTTCGAATTATAGCAAGGGTTTATTAGCTTTGGTATGATTAATACTCTCTAGACATTAGCAAATGCCGACGTAGACGGCACAAGCTTAATGGAGCAACTACGCGAACTCCGCTTCATCGTAGGTAAAGGGTGATAAATGTGCGCTGGGTGTTTCGACTTAGTTTACTACCCCCCTTCGATTTCGCGGCCAACCTCGGCAACTACTTGACCAAAGTACGTAGAATATCATGGTCTATGGTAACCGCATAGGTAGGGATTGAAGAGAAGGGCATTGTGCGTTTTGGATGAGGCGATAAGGCAGAGTAGGAAGGCATATCAGTTCATAGAGAAAATGCTCCAGTGTTTTAGCTAGATGCTATGTATATACCTCTAATAGGAAGCCAAGGACTGCTATATGATGGGATTTTCTCCCAAGGTAAAAATAATGATGTTTTACCATTCTACGCTTTTAACATTTACATCCTTCCATAGCCACATAAACGTAATGATCAATTAAACGTTGAAACAGACAAGATCGGACGGCAAGGGTCGCGAGGCTGACTGGTCTTTCTACCTGCCTTATGTAGGTAATTCTGCCGGGCTCCTCCCCACAGCTCGGAGAACAGAAAGAAACCAGAGACGACAGACCATGATTAATAGTGTGGACTTACTATATATGAGGGAATGGTATGGAGATGACGCTTTATGCGAACTCGGCAGGGGTTGGTTGGTGGATGCCTATATGGATGTTTCACTGTTTCGATTTTTTAACCAATGAGAATTCCTCGTAGGCTCCCTCAGCTAGTTGGGTTTGAGATCTTGCACAGGGGTTAGGGGGAAAGGGGGGGGGCCCTGGTTTAGGACGTTTCAAGATCCGCCTACGCAAGTAGGTCTTGAAAGAAAGAAGACAAAAAAAATCACCGAAGAAGCACCCTATTTTTTCTTTGTATATTATTTTCTAAATTGTACAGTCTAGCCCTCGAAGTACTTACGTGGATACTGAGTACTATACCATACTATATCATGTCATGTTATCAGGCTATTCTTATACATGATGGCTTGACTGAGTACGTAAAAGAAACTCATACACTACATTTTTATTCCTAATACCACGAGGTGGCAGGTAATATTTTTTTATTTTTTCCTCTGCGGTGCGCGATGATGCGATCGCTGTAGATCTGCAGTGCATACCGCAGCCACCTCGACCAATGGGACGTTTCCCCCCTGAGTCTAACCAGCATTTCTCGGGAATTTTGGTCCGTGCCCACGTTGTCTATCAGCCGAACATGATGGAAAATCGGAAATGCTGGGAACGGAATCGAATCCCTGGGAGGGATCTTAAACGACAAGTCGGCTTTATTATGGGGTGCGATGATATTGGGTGACGACGATTTTTTAGACAGACGAATGAACCGACAATCTCACGGTTTGTCGAGCCCTCCCCGATGATGTGCCGCGATGCGGTTTGTATTTCTATACATACATACATGATCGGGATTCTGCAGCTGCGGCTTCTAGTTTGCGCAATGGAATAATTCCTTTGTTTTGAAATAAATTAAGTCCACATATTATTCATACATATACCTAAAATATTCCGCATTTCCGATCTACTTATTGTACACAGTAGTAAGCAGAGGGTGATAGTTTATCCACATTGGATTTATTTGATTTTTGTATATTTCTGATTGAATTTGTCGTTGAATATAGCTCATGGAGGGTTGATAGTCTATCTCGAAAAATTCAAGTCGGCACCAAAAGTAAAAGGGGGTTGCCTCCAGGGATGGAGGTGGTTAGAAGTTGAGCTAAACAAGTGTTCACTAACCGATGGAAAGGATGAAAAAAGGCTTTAAGCTTTCTCTAATGCATCTGGACCCTCTTAAGTCTTCTAACCCCTGAAGTAGAGTGCTGACGAGTGTGGCTAAGGAGGCTAATAGGCTAGTGATATACCTAGGTTTATGTGCTAAATGTGCTAAGGTTCTTAGTTGAACTGTCAGATAGCGCTGAAAGGTACCTGTAGACCTGAATTTCTGCATGTGGTAGGGGGAGAAGTGACTAAGTAACTGCTGGAAGAGACCCCTGAAACCCGCTTTTCGACTTCGGTCGATCGTCCCTCATTCTCCAACCAATCATCGGCTCGACTTGTTTGAATGTTTCACCAATTCAGGTACCCGATGTGGTTGATTGGCTCAGATTCACTCTCCCCACCACCCACACCAGCTTTACCGCCGCGCCGCACCGGCAACGAATGCGTATACTTCTTGATTTCTTGGCTATCCTCCCTCACCAATTCCCCCAATCGCCCCCTCTTAACTTCTTTTCCTCCTATCCCATCACTTTGTCGCATTATACCATGACTTATGCTTAACCCCGTACCATCTAATGCATGTCTGTCTATCCTATCTGTCTAGTGTTCGGACAGAAAAAGGAAATACAAAAAGAATCAAGGTTGTTTTGTGTTGTTTGAAGATCTTTTCCTTACTATTACCCCCGGTTCACAGGTCTGTACGTAGGCTACTTACTGTCCAGCCATTTCACGACCACCTACTTTATCTCTTTCAGGAATGTTATGGATCTGCTTCGTGAAGATCGATGCATGACCACTCCACTTCAGCGGCTGCTCTTGTCTTCCATACCACCGTTGGGTGATTTTCCCAGTCACTGGTTTTATCCTTGCTGTTAGGTGCCGTCTAATATGTGCATAGATTTTGCTCCATTATAAAGCGATTCCCGGCATTGCCTACCTAAAGTAGTAGGGTGGATTAGCTGGGTATGTGGATGTATGTGGACCTTGAGGTATGGGCGGGGCGCCACCCATGTATTTCATACCCGCATTCACGATTCAGGGGCTCCCGTCCAAGACAACCTAGATGTGTTCAGCCCGAACGAGGGCGTCCGGCTTAGGCGAAAAAACCAGCCAGCCATCACGGGGAGTGCGACTGCGTGCCCTACCCGACTAGGTCTTTCATGTCGATTCTTGGATGTGACGTTGCCGCTTGCGAGCAACCGCGGCTCCTATTCCCTACTCCCTAGTGAAGGTACTAGTATCAGGTAGGAGTTATTGTGTATAATATAAAGATGTAGCTTGACGCCCCGTCGACTGACACACATTTTTCTTCTATCTCACTCCATCACATCTGTCTCATCAGAGCAGCACAAGATCTCTTCTCGTCTCCCCCCCACACTCTCCTTATTACCCTTTTTTGAATTTCTTGCTGGTCACTCGATCAGGACCTCCCCGGCGGTGTCCTATTTTTTCCATTGTGCACTTGTGCATCACTTCATTGTCCCACGGTCATTTGGTACCTAACAAACTCTCACCCCGAAATAACAACTATTGTTGTATCTACTCGTGCCACCACTCCCCACAAACAAAGTACTTTGAGGTCAAACGTAACCTTGTTCGCCTTTGTTTTAACGACCTTCCTTTCGACGATTGAGAGCATTGTCTTTTATTAGATAACCGATATCCTCTTGGCACCTTTCTGTCAAGTATTCTCATCAACATCAACTGGATCTCGGAATCTAAGACGTGCCCGTCGGCAAGTACACTCCTTTTTCATATTCTCTTCGAGAGAGAAGCAGAAACTTCACATCAGTTTCGTCATCACAACGAATATCCAAAATGCAGATTCGATCATTTCTCATCTCCGCTCTGGCTGCCGGAACAGCCACCGCGCACATGAACATGAAGGACCCTCCCCCTCTAGCCTACAAGGGTAACCCTAACGCCAAGGAGCCGAATATCGATTACTCCATCACTTCGCCCATCACCCAGGCTCAGTACCCTTGCAAGAACTACCTCAAGCTCCTTGGTACTCCCGAGGGTGCTTCCGTCAAGACCTACGCTCCGGGTGAAGATTACACCATGAGCGTCGAAGGTGGCGCCTCCCACGACGGAGGTAGCTGCCAGCTCTCCCTGTCGTACGACAAGGGCAACACATTCACCGTCATCAAGTCATTCATTGGAAACTGCCCTACAAGTTCCGGTGGAACTTTCAACTTTAAGATGCCCGCCGACGCCCCCGAGGGCGATGACGTTGTTTTCGCTTGGACTTGGGTTAACCACACCGGAAACCGTGAATACTACATGTCTTGCGCTGTCGTCACTATCAAGGGCGGTGCCTCGAAGCGTGATGCCCCAGTTAAGCCTCGTGACTCCGTCGCATTCGCCAGCCGCCCCAAGGTTTTCCAAGCCAACCTCGGAGGTGAATACTGCACCAAGGAAGGCGTCGATACCGTATACCCCGAGCCTGGCCCAGATGTTGAAAACACGTCTACCAAGCCCGGCCCCGCCGTCCTCTGCTCTTCTGGTGCGGATGTTCCCGAGGGCTCGACCGGTGGATCTGACTCCGGTTCGGGTTCTGGATCCAGCGCCAGCGCAGGATCAAGCTCCGCCGCTGCTACTACCCCAGCCGCCACATCAGCTGCTCAGCAGACTTCCGCCGCCGCCTCTTCGACCTCAGTGTATGTAAACCCCTCTTCACCCTCCAGTCAGGTTTCAGATGTCTCATCTATTGCGGCTTCTAGCCCAAGCCATGCTTCTGGTGTTTTGACCGTCATTCCGATCACCGGACTAACATCTTCTAGCACTGGTGGTGTTTTCCTAACTGTACCCGCATCGTCCGGCGGCGCTGCCTCTACCCCCGCTCCCACAACCTTAGCCACCTCGACTAAGGCTGCGCAAACCTCATCGGCAGCTGCATCCTCTTCCGCTGCTGCTGGAGGTAACACCGGTTCAGCTACCTCAAGCGCCAATGCTCCCGCAGGTACTGGCGGTGCTGCTGGAACGCAGTCCGGCGCCTGCACTGACGAAGGCGCTTGGGCTTGCGCCGCTGATGGTTCATCCTTCCAACGATGCGCCTCAGGCCAATGGAGTGCTGCTATGCCGATGTCCCAGGGCACCAAGTGCAGCCCAGGCGTCAGCAACACTCTTAGCATGCGCCGACGAGGAGGTCGCGTTCTCCGATCAGCTCCCGGCCGTGACGGTTTGGCCTGGTAGAGCACCAAATCTATGGGTCTTTTACAATTCTGGTAGTACATATACCTTAACCATGAAAGGCTGAGGGGACAGGGTTTCCTGAAGCCAATTTCTGCTGTATATATTCGTTTTGCTTCTTTACACTTTCACTTCTTTCCCCTTCTCTTGAAGGCATTCTTGTTTTTTTATTTCTGTTCTTTGATAGGGTCAATGTACACTAGGTCCTGGCAACAGGGACGGTGCATAGCTACGGATGATGATGGACGAGCGTCGACATTTTGGTTGGCATTCATTGCAACCACACGGGGTGTTGAGTTAAACAGGGGAGACGAGATACCCACACAGCGAGATCTTGTGATAAAGAAACTAGATAGATCAATTTAAGGATCCTATACATATTCTATCGGGCTTGAATGATGTGATCGATTTGTTGAATTATTTATATGTTAAGATGAGTGGGTGTTGAACTAAAATTTCATGAATATGTAGTACGCACGTCTTCGAATACCCCTTTTCTACAAACGAACTACCAGCAACCCATAGTGAGCCTTCACATTTTCAAACCACTTAATGCTCAAGACAAGCTTCTATAATACCCATATTCGCATCCATGGATACATTCACCACATTATACCTCTTATCCGCCCTCTTCAACAACTCCGTAAACTCAGCAACCGACCGCTGTTTCGCGCCCAGACAAGTGAACATGAAGATATCCGCATTCCGCACCGCGCGTTCGACATGCATCGGTACCTCCCCGGGCTCAGGGACTACCAAATCATTAATCAAAAGGGGAGTTCCAGGGGCTGAGGATTCAAGGGTAGGCACGATGGAAGAGAATATGGAAATTACTTGTGCATCGGTCCAGTTGTGTGTTATCCAACGCAGGAACACGGCGGCTACGTCGCGGACGGGTTGTAGTTGGAAGAAATCGTGTTGTAGGAATTGGATGCGTGGTTCGAGCCACTTGCGTGTTGGTTGTGTGGTTAGTTGGTGCTGGCCTTCGGCGATCATGTGAGGCACGTCTTCGACTATGAAGTTTAGGTTGGGGAATTCCTGGATAGGGGGTGGAGTTAGAGTTAGATCGGGTTTGGTACTTGGGGAGGGAAAGGGGGGAGGGGAGGGGATAGGCTTACGGTGGCCAGATCCATAGAGACGTGCCCGCTACCTCCTCCTACGTCGAGAATTGTGCCTTGGAATTTGGCCCAGGGGTACTTCCGCCTGATGTCGAATTGCCCGTCCACTGACATGTCTTTAGCTAAAGTTGTACAAGAGTGTGGGTTGGGGGGTATTACACTCTATCCAGCCAGCCATGGCTTTGGCGAATCTCCCTGATAGTTCGGGGTTCTGGGCGTAGTATTCCCAGAACGTCATGCCGTGCCGGGTGTAGAAGGGGCAGTGTTTGGCGTCGGATGTATTTGGAGATGCTTTGATACATGTCGCTGCTGATGCGAATGCTTCGTAGAGTTCGGACGTACTAGAGGTATGAAAGTTTGAAGGGTTAGAGATGTTTTAGAGAGTATTGTGGGATCGTCATAAGCCAAGAGGCCGCAGCGTTAAAGGAGGGAGTACTGACTAGTATTCACCAGTCATTCTAATATTTTCATCCTGGTGGAAAACGATAGACGAAGGAGTATGCCCGAAGTGTCGCGGTTTCGTTTCGACGAAGATACGATATGTAGCTAGCAAACGGAGCATTCGGCAGGCTCGGTCTTCATCAATACCGGCTTTCTGAGCTAGGTCGGCAATATGGATTTCTCCTTTGGCCGGGATGATACGGAAGAAGTCAAATGTGAAGGCGATCTGGAGAGCAATTGCGCCTTGCTGTGTTCGCAGGAAGGATAGCATGGACCGTTTGGGCCCAATTGCTAGATAGCGCAGGTCGTCTAGGTTGGCTACTAGGCTATTCCGTACGTAAACGTACTCGCCTGTCCCTTCGAAGTCGATTGAGCCCAATGCGAATGTCCTTTCGGGTAGACCGCCTGCTAATTCTATGAATCTCTTTGTATCTGCCAAAATTCTATTGGCGATGCTGATCATATTGCTGTTAGAAGGATTCGTTGCCGCCATTGCGATTCAACAATATAGCACCAAGATGAGGATGAACGATAGAATGTGTAAACAATTTTCACAGTTAAACTACCCTATTGATTTCCTATAATGGGTATTAGAAGGATGGAAAGTATCTATATATGTTGCTTAGCCCTTAGTAACCGATCTTTCCAATAATCTTCTCCTTTTCTTTGCCTTGACGAGCATACAACAGTCGAATTATGCTATCATCGGACAATTGTAAACGAATTTAGGGCCTACAGTTACACCTACATCAAACTATGTGTCCCTTCATACGTCGAAAATGAACACTATTGTCAGCTAACTTCAGATTAATATTATAGGGGGGCATGTCCTAGGCCACGAATCCCGCTGCCAGTGATAATATAACGTTCCCAATACCATCTTATTCCTTCTTTTCTTCCTCGCCGGAGTTGATCATGAGCCGGCATAATAGTCCGGGCGATGCAATACGCAGCATGCCGGGTCCGAGTTATACTTGAGCCATTCAGAGCTGCTCGTTCGTATCTAGGTACATATAAGACATGCGCTACTTCGGCAGGCTCCCAAGCGATAGTGTAGAAAATTAGGCAACCATGGCTTTACATTGGTCATCAGGGGATGTTCGTGTTACCCCGTGGCTGTTGTGGCGTACTGTCGGCATCATAGTATCCGGTTATCATTCACACTCCTAGCTGAATTCTGAAAATTTCATGGCCCTCGGGCGTCGTAACGCAGCTACCCCAGCGGAAGCTTGCCGCGGGGCGGACGAGATCTTATAGATTTGCGTTCGATATGATAGGATAGAAATATCTACTGTCATGAAAATAACTCCGAAAGAACAGTACTTTACAGGTACACAATGGCTGCTTCGGTATCCGGGACGTTGATCGTTGCTTTTCCGTCCTGCACCTTGATAGTCTGCTCCTGCAATTTCCCGCCTACGAAATGCCCCTTTCCTTTGTCGATCTTATACGTCCACTGCTCGCCAGCCCATGTTACGTTCTCTTTTGCGCCACCAATATCAAAGCCGGTAGCCCAAACCCCGAAATCTGAATGAAGCCTCCTTACGCGGACTGAGTCAGTGCCTGCAGCCACGGGAATAACGAAGGCTTGGCTACCCCGGTCCTTGTTCGAGCCCTTATCCCAGGCCTTGAGATTCAGCAACGCAACTCTGTCCGGTCTCTTCGACGCGCGGTCGTACATCAAGTATGAGCTTATAAATTCTTGATTCGGCAAGAGTGAGAGTATGTTACGTGGCTTATCTTTGCCTATGAAGTCCGCCACGAACAGATTAGCCACGTAAGGCGGACGTACTACAGGCCTACCGTCTTCGCCTTTATTGTTGGGGCTCCAGGAAGCATGAGTAGCAGTTGGACGGCCAGAGTCGACTACGCGTTTGATTCCTCGGGTCATAGCCGCAAGTTGGAAGTCTACCGACCATAGGGTTGCGCCGAAGCCGGACCTGTAATTCGTTGCTGCGCCTGGTTTAATTGTGCTGCCAGTCTCGCTGAGAATGTATGAGACGCCATTGTCGGGTAGCACAGCGTTTATAGATTTCATGTAGCCTGCCCCGAATCTATCCTTAATGGCTTTGTGGTTCATGAGTTCAGCTAGACATATCGTTAGTCATTTGGACATCTACCACATTGTGTTTAAACAAACCTTGTAACGTGTCGATATTGAAAGTAGTCGCAGTGCCTTGGTACCAATGCTCCGCCGCATACTTCACCGTCTTATCCGAGTCGAAACCGGCTGCGAGTAACTCTTGTCTGTACGATAATCAGCAGATATCCAATAAATTACATAATGCCTAGCCGAAGCCAAGAGACTTACACGGCGTATGGTTTATGTGACTTCGCAGCGCCGTCGAGCGTGTCGGCAATCTCGAAGATCCGCTGATCTGCTTTCAAACCCAAAGCCTTTGTCAGAGTTGCCTGGACTTTCTTCGCGCCGTCGTAGTACGCCTTCGCTGTCTTCCAGTATACGCTCGGTTCGTTGCCTAGTGCTATCGCGTCGATCCTGTCCGCACCAGCGGCATTCCAGGCCCGCTGCACGTACGCGAGGAGTTGCGTCTCGTTATAAGTTCCGTCGCCGAGCGGGGCTTGGATTGTGAACTTCGCGTTCGGGAAAGTCTTGAAGCCCTCGAAGTAGCCCGGGCCTAAAGTGAAATATGCGTTCGATCCATTTGGACATTCGCCTTTAGTGCACACCTTATTGGCATTCTTGAGATTGGGATCGAATTGGACTCTGTCACCACTTGTACCACCGATTCTGATGACCGGGGGTACCGACATGCGGTCTGCGAGCGAGGTGACGAGGTTCTCGGAGAAGGCGTTGGCGTACTCATCTGCGAAGGCTGTCTCGAAGCCGACGCTGACAAAACCAGGCGGCGCTACCACAGCATTGGTGGGCTGGCTATTGGGAAATGAGAGCGTTTTGGTTGCGCTTGCTGCTGCTTCGGCGGCATAGCTTGGCGACAGGCTCAGAGAGAGCACCAGAACTCTACCGAGTAGAGTCGACGTAGTTGTCTTCATCTTTGAAACACTACTTACAATTGAGACTGGTGGTTCTCTGTACCACGGGGCGTTTCAATTGAGACTACCTCATCCTTCCCTTATATGTAGGATATCCAAGGTTCCCCTGGTTCCTCGCCCAATGTTTCTATTTACGTAAATCCAGCTAGCTGTATGGCTCGGGGGCCTCAGCTCATTGCCAGAGCCACGTTTATCGACCGATCGATACTCATTTGGGGAAGTTCGTCAGCCTTAAATAGCGGAATGTGACGTACGAGTTGAGCTTAAACCGTCATGCATGCAACGTACTATATACGCCGTATGAGCTCTCATATAGCCGGAATAGCTTCCCGAGGATAGCAACCAATACAAACAGGGCCCAAACGAGGGCCGACAGCCGAACGCAACGCCAAGTTTGAATTCAACTGATATATTCCGTGCCGCATCGTCTAGATCTTTATTAGTTATTTTATGATTGAAAGCATTGAGCCAAGGTATTGGGAGTGGGTGGATACGAAACGAGAGTGAAGATATAGCCAATCAGTGCAAGGGTACCAAACTATAGCAACTCTTCTCGGCTCGTCGTATTTTATCTTCAATCAGAGATCGAGGCCCAAGCTTTATGATATAATTAAGTTTATAATTGAATACAGAACTGTCGATCTGATGATGAAGGGGGCTATGCAGAGGATTGGTTGGATGAGGATAAAACCTGTTCTATAGCAAGCTGGGGTATTAGAATGCTTACAGAATCGGCATAAGTTCAACCCCAACGTTGAGATCGCCAGGATCGTCTTATTACCCTTTCATCCATTAGCAGTTTCGTTTGGGAGTCAACTCACTCTTCACCATCTTCAAACAAGGAAACCAAGTAGCGACCAGAACCTAGAATTCCCACGAAACAACAAATTGAGGTGGGAGATATTGATGCAGCATTCGCAGATCAATATCTTGTATAAAGAAAGACGATAAAATATCAGGAGCAAGGAAAAAGACTCTTCTCATGACTGCGCACACAAATACCTACCAGTCCGACGGACATGGGAGTCCACATTCCTTTCGATCGGGGATATGTGGTACTCCTGTTACGTCGTAAATATATATATAAATCCTCCTTTGTATGTGTTTGTGGCTCTCAAGACGGCATGTCTCCCTAGAACACAGCAGATCACCGATTGGCTCATCAATTCGGCAGAAATCACAAAAAGAATGAGGATATGGAAATATACTCGTGGTATCAGACGAAGGCGTTATATACCGGTATATGTATGTTACAAGGACTACTTGTAGTTGATATCGTAAAGGTGGGCAAGAATCAACATCATAACTCATAAGTTACCTAGGTATTTCAATCCTTATTGATAGTTGAATAGCTTATGACGTAAGTATTCAATCGTACATGGCGCGCGGAATGTGTTAGTATGGATGAGTTTAACACTGCGGAATTGAGCCGTTCAAATTTCTATGATGAAGGATTGAAGGAGAAATGCTCTTAGATTCAGTTCAGTGGGAATAACACTAACAATTAAAGAATGCGCTAAGCTCAATATGGATGTGACTAAGAGTTTTAGCCAAACAGCTTATCTCAATTTACCGACGTTTTCCCTTAATTGACAAGGACTAAGACCCCTGTCGAATTAGGTTCGAGGATTGAATTCAGGAGAGAGAGAGGGAGCCAAAGTAGCGCGGTCATTCCTTTTTACCACTATCATCATCATCATCCAAACCTCACTTTTTCCATCCTTTCAATCGTTTCCATTGAGAATTCGTAGTCATTCTTTACGCTGCGATCTCGTCACTCATTTTTCAAATCAGTCATTCTTTCGTCTATTAGACAATCCTCGCGATATCCATCCTACTTCGCGTATTCCCAATCGATTCCGTCTCCGACTTCAGCGCGTACCATTTCGAGCCCGTATTTCGTTTGCCTTTCTCGACATACCCCCAATCGATTTGTTTCAATTCTTCTCGACCGATATCGATACCATTTCCGTCACCATGCGTCCTTCATTCGCCCTTTTCACCGTTGGCCTGGCTGCCGTCCAGGTTTCCGCTGCTATGCCCCCTGCTTGCCTGTTGGCCGCTCTCGGGTAGGTCGATTTCTATACGAATTATGAGATTACGAAGAATACATCATCGTTATGTTATGGATGTTATGCTGATATAATACGTATATGTACAGTGTTCAGGACAACCCGTCCGACTTGAAGTCCGTCTGCGGTACCCTCCAGGATGCTATCCAGGGCAACTTGACCGATCACTGCCACACTGATACCCTCCCCAAGGCCTACCAGGTTTACTCCTCCAAGTGCTTGGATCAGGGTGTTACCGTTGCTGCCCTTCCCACCTCTACCTCTTCTGGCCACTCCAGCAGCGGTACTGCTTCTGCCTCTAGCCCTGCCTCTGCTTCCGCTACTCCTACTGACGGCGCCACTGGTACCACCGGCGATGCTAGCACTACTAGGTGGGTATCTGATATCGAATTCTTCTGGGTATGATTACTAACATTTACTCTTGCAGTGGATCTGGCAGCTCCGCGACCCCTACTGGTAACGCTGGTATGGCCACTGAGCCCCAGCCCTTCCTCTACGCCGCCGCGGCGCTCTTCGCTACTGGCTTGACCAGCGTTCTCTTCTTGTAAGCGGTATTGACGGGATCGACGGGAATCAGTGGATGAGTCGTACATAATATGGAGTGGCTGGTGTCGAGTTGTTCTGGGCCTGCTATACCCCAATTTTTACAGGCCCAGATAGAGTAGTTGGGAACGTGTGTTAGTTGATAGACGATAGATCTAGCGAGAACTAGGTCTGTTATCTATAAGGCCTTGATTTGGATATAGATGGATATTTGTACAATTGCAATTGAGCGCTTATTCTATACCTCGTCATCTACTATTGTATCAGTTTCCTGTTCGTCTAAGAGATTCGAGTCTAGCAGCTTCTCTATACCTTCAGCACTAAGTAGAAGCTTCTTGTTTTCCTCCCATTTTAACCAAGCTACACCTTGTAGCAAGCTATCAGTTAGATCGTCGAGTTTCCGAGACCCAGCATCCGTCACCAGGCCCTCATCCGCAGTCTTTGACTTACGACCACGGGTAGGGGTAAGTTTCGAGCGAAACTGCTTGACAGCATCCTCCGTCTCCTGATTCGCCGGTAGTATAACTTCACTTCCATCCTCCCGAGCCAACCAATTCTTCAAAACGCCAATCTTATGCTTTTTGCTATTCTGTCGACTCCCACCCCTACCCTTAGACTTCCCTTCCCCCACAACCACACCCTCCCCAGATCGTCTTCCTTCACTCCCCCCATGCTTCCCACGCAACACCGACGTCAGCGGCGCCGCGGGCCAGAACCGGGTAACCCGATCCGGCGCCACGCTCGCGATCACGCCGCCCCAGTACCCCAGCTCCTGTAATGTGCGCAGCGACGCGTGCAGCATGGCTTCCAGCGTGTTGACGCGGAGCGTCCATTCCTGGACTGCGGCGCCCCCGGCGCTACGCCAGCGCTGGCGTTCGATGAGTATATGTGTGGGTTTGAGGGGCAGCAGGTCTTGCCGCACTAGACGGTCCGCGGCGAGGGCTAGGGAGAAGGGTGTGAAGAGATCCGGATCTGGTTTTTGGCCGGATGCAGAAGAAGACAAGGATAAGGGGGCTGGCGGGATCAGGTCCCGTCGTTCCCAGACGTGCAGACGGATGGGCAGGGGCTCGCGCAGCGCATTGGGGAGGAGTGTTGGGATCACGGATGCTAGTGAGCGGGTTTTGCGTGGCGTTGCTGGTGATAGCAAACTAAACCCCAGATTGCGGATGCCTAAGTCGATACTCAGGATCAGTGGCTGGGTTTTGCTTTTTGTTGGCTTGGTCACGCGGGTATCAGCGCCGGCAGCGAGGGCGGTGAGACGCTCGATGAGATCGCTTTTTAGGCCTGAACTCTTGGCTCCGCATAAGAATGTGAGGTGTTTTAACTGCGGGCTCTTGAGTTTGTGAAGTAGCTTTTCGAGTTTGGAGGACATGGTGGCGTTGGTTTGATGTCCATGGTATGGAGAGGGTTGTGTAACCCGCCTACTTCACCAGTTGATTAACCCTACTGCCCTAAGTGAGCGAGAAAGTGCAGCATAGATGTAAGGGATATAGCAATTAATCCATAGGTTAATGCTTATAAATGCCTATAGCTTATTGCTTGTGTTTAGAGGAGCTAATCAGCTATACATGAGTTCTCTATAGTTAGCTCTATGCTAAACTCTTTAATAAGTTGTAGTTGTGAACTTCGGAAGTCTCGAGTTAGATTCTGATCGTTAATGTTATAAAAGTGATAAGACTGCATGTAACTACGTACTTAAGGTACTTAGGTACACACAGTTTCACCCCGGTATCCTTGTCACGATTTCCTAATTTGGACAGCAGCATCCGAAGGGAATGCTGGGGCATCACGTGATATGGATCTCGATACAACTCTCTGAAGGCGCGCCAATCAATATTGTTTGGGTTCCAACCGAATATTTTTGGGTGGCTATGGAAAAGAAAAATCAGGTAAGAAATATTTGCTATGATATAGGTTTCGTTCGTGTGGAATACATACGACAGTACTTTGGAATTGTGACACCTCAAAATCAGTAAGGCTTCACGAAATCAGGGAATACGTGCAGTTCGCATGGTAGTTAATAATAAGTAACTTGTAAGAACTCAATTTCGACATCTAGCCAATCATATTGCTCAGTTGTTGCACTTTTCTGGGGAGCTGAATGACTATCAGATCCGGTCTACTCAATCAGAACTCATCCATCACGTCGCAATTATGATAATTTCCCCTGAAAATCCGAATTTCCGGAACCTTTCATTATGCATTGACGATATTCTCCATCATGAAATGCAGGTTCGTTTTCCTTGCTCAGTTGCCATTATTTAGACGTCGGACACACTCCCACAATCATTGCACCGAAGATGAGTGCACTTGGGACATCTTTGGTAGTTAGCTGGAATCAGTCCGTGATTGCAGGCACACTTTGTAAGTTAGTTGGAGGTACGTAATATGTCCCTTCCAAGGGGCATTCCATTTACTCACACAAATCCAAAAATCTCCCGACTGGGCATCCACATTCTTTGCGTCTCTAGTGGCGCCCGAATAGACACTCATGGTCCTTGAGACTAGCGTGAAGAGTGATATAATATACAAGGTAGATGTTAATTTTTTTTTTTCAAAGTCGTTGTGAACTGATATCTGCTTCCGAATTTCTTTAGGCCATCTGTGAGTTGAACTAGTTGTCCTTTCCCGGGAATTCTTCCGATGACAGATGCGAGCTCCCTCGACATATATTCGACCATGGAGTTAAGGAAACACGACGGAGCAAGAGTACGATAATGTGAATCACATCATATCGTTACTTTCATCAATGGCGTCTGAGCTGGCCACGCAATTATTCCCAACTTTGTTGCTATCGTGTCACACACCATGAAATGCCCCAATAGCATGTGAGGTTTCCCCTCCTTTTCTTCGAACCAAATAGTAAACAGTTCCAATCAAACTGAAACTCCCACGGACTCCCACGGACAGGAAGGTTTCCATTTTGGGCAGGTCTTCTACTTTCCCGATAGTACCCTCCGTGACGTATGTCATAGTTGATGCCAGTTTGCCCGGTTGAGATTGTATATCACGCATGGGATGGGATTTCTGAACTGTAAATCTAAATTCATGCTGTCGATCTCCATCGGTTGTAATGTTGGTCGCCACGTGCTCATGCACCTTTGGTAAAGGTGAGTTAAATCGGACTTCGTGGGAATGAAGGTAGACACTTTGAGATTTGTAATAGGAATGACTTTTCTGAATATCCGGGATATCCGCCGCTCGTCTATAAGTCTTTGGCTATAGCTACTCACCGCAACTTTACAGAAAACAATACTCTGGTATATACCGATATTATGTCATTGGGTTGGCACTCACAGTCTCGTTGGGACTCAATATGGTATGAAAGGGGAAACTAGATTGACCTTCCAATCCGAGTTATCCAACGTTCGTTGACGATCAGGAGAGCTCACCACGTTAACCCCTCATCTTAGGCCTTCGGATAGAAACGACAGCCAGTCACAAGTTATTCACCAATATGTCAACTTGAAAGAACTAGTAATATCTGATCCTTCATAGCTGATTTGCTTATCAACCACGAATAATTGCCGGCAGTGTTGTACTTTGAGAATAGTTGGTCTCAACTCATGCCGGCATAGACTGAGACATTCGGTTAGGGGACCTTATTAATATAACATATATGAAACTTACGCGTACATGAGTAGGTGCCTACTTAGATAAGTGTGCGTAGCTTATCGTGGGATTCACTCATTTCTTAGAAGGTTTTTGATAATCTTGTATTTATGAGTGAATATCATAGAGCATGTAAATCTCTTATTGCGTTGTGAGAGTAAGGAGTTGAGTCTTAGTTAGACATGATATCTTCCTCAGTTGACCCTAGTATTACAACAATAACTGCAGAGCTTAATCCTTTAGTGCCTATGAGTGAAATGGGCCTCATCCGACCCAGCGGATATGTAAGACAGTGAGTGAAACCTCATATATCTAGTTGCTGGATTTATAGCATTTATATATAGTATCGCACTACCCAAGCCAACAACTCGGGCACAAAACCGAAACAAAAACTATACCATGTAATCTCCCGACTTCTTCGGGGTCATAATGGCGTTCGCACCTACGCTGAGTAGAAAGTCAGAGATGTAGCTTTGCTATTCCCTATGCGACACTTACACAACGCGATATCGTTGGTTGTAGTAACCTTGCATTAACTTTAAGTGGCCCAGCGTCTATGTCTCCTGTATTTTTGTGGGGGGCGTTAGTATCTGCCCCTTTTGGAGTTTCTAGGGGTGCCTTGGTATGTATGCCCCCTAGATCCCTCTGGGGGGTTCTGTCGTGTATCTCTCGTAAATTGACGCTTGGGACTTCAACATACCTCTCCTGCTGGTTCTCTAGGAGAGGTTCGACAGGAACTTCTTGTGGGGTAGCGGGGGGTGATTCAGCGCATGTCTCCCTCGGTGGTCTTTTTTTTACATTTATTGGCATCTTAGAGTACAACATTGTATATATAAAAGTATGACTCCATGGAAAACATCATTTGCGACTATAGGGTTGTGACTACTATGCAGTAGTGAAGTCATGCAAAGAATCAACTAGGTAAGAAACCATGCTGGGAATTTAGGTTGGGGATCAAGTCGGAAGTCGGGATGCTGATACTCTGGAAGGGTATCCATAAGGGGGTATAGGATGGTCTCATATCAGCTGAGTAGGTTGGTGGCAATGCAAAGCTACTTCTTACACTTACCTGGGTACGTGTACAAGTATGCTGTGGAACGTGGCATATATACAATCAGGCCAGCCCACGGTCAATAAGAAGCACTTGTTGCCCTAAGTTAGATTTTCTCACAATGTTGACATCCAATTACTAGCTAGTTACACATCTAGGAAATTAGCATCATGGACGGGTTTTGGCTCACCTCTTGGCAAAGCGAGTGAGTGCGACAGCGATTGTCAGTAACTATAACTGACATGTTGACTTAGAGGTTCGCAAAGCTCAACGAGCAAGACAGAAAAATTTCAAGTCGATGATGAGAGAGGCGCCGGCGAAGTTAGAAGAGAGGGAGAACCAGCCGAAAACGACATTTACAGGCAACCGTGGAAGTATGTCGGCTACAAAGGGTATTCACAATTCATCTCATCGGAAAACGACCTCCTCATATTTCGGCAATTCCGGGAGCTGAGCGTTCGAAATGCTTTGCGACTCCAAGATAAAATCTCAGTACTGGAAGCGAAGCTTATGGAACTGGATGACACTCATAGTAGAAGAGAATCATATCCTATCAATAACGGGACGTTCAGAAACAAGAAGGACGACCGCGAGGCAATCCTGGACCAAATCGAGGTTGCTTTGAATCGCTATTGTGAGTGTGACTAGACCATCGCTGACCTGAGCAGTTAGCTGTCTAACGGGCTGTGTGGCTGTAGACAAGTTCCTTATTCGTCAATCTGACATGCAACGACTTCAGGCGGCACCTCATCGGGATGTGAAAAATATCATGAGGTGGCATGATCAATATGACAATAGGGCAATCAATCAAGAGGAACAGAACTATCTGAGCCGTGATGATCTTATATGTCTAAATGCGCGAGATAAGCCTCCTCTCCGCCACTTGATCGACCACTCGCTTCGATTAAGGACTTTACCAATATGGCGAGATAATTCCCGAGCACCGACACAAGGCTCGGAGAACATAACCTACTTCTCAGAGAAGAAGATGAACGCATTCGTGTCTGGAATAATTACGGTTATGGGATCAGCTATGCTTATAATACCGATCTGGGTGTTGGTAAAACTGAAGGTCTTAGAGACGAAATTGGCTGCAATAACGGTTTTCGTCTTTGTATTCCTGTTGGTTCTATCGTTCGCTATGGTTACGAAACCGTTCGAAGCTCTAGCCGCAACAGCAGCGTAAGTCATGTTACACTTATTTCGGTGACCTATTAGTGCTGATTGGACCTTCAGATATGCGGCCGTCCTCATGGTTTTTATTATGTAGGGATGAGTTGAAGAAGGATAGAATAAGCACGAGAAGTTAGAAAGGGGATAAGAGTCGAAGAAATATATGCGGGGTTGGAGTAATCAACGTACATATGTACTTAACAACGGAGGCTAGTTACATGTATTAGGTAAGGTAACTTCCTGAAGATTTGTCAAAGACCCCTGCGCGGCCAGCTCGGGGCGGACGAGATATCTAAAATAGTGGAGGTTTAAGGTTACATTGGCCAGAACCGGAGCGCCGGTTGCTTATTGATCAACTGCTAAAAAAAAAAGGCTTCGAAGATTTTAGCTTCGTTTCCTTTTAACTTTTCTCCGTTCTATAGCTTAATTGGGGGAAACGACGATGATTCATCCGCCTTAGTAATTGACTTTCACACTGCATGCTACCTGCATGTTTCTTTAGCTGACGATACATCCTATACTGTTGTATCTTGTTGCCTTTCTAGGTATCGCAAATTAGAAATACGCCGTTGTCAAATCCCAGCTTTTAAGCCTTACGCACGCATATGTAGTGTGCATACTACGAAGCAACATCGAATTAGGTGCATTATCTGATTCTATCGCTCGTTTGTTTGGTCCCTTGTGAGACTTGCTTACAATTACAATTACGATTATAATTCCAATTATATTCTTTTTTTGCATTCCGCAAAGCTTCCCATATAAGACGTCATTCCCCCTCTACCCCACCATTCCTTTCGTTTATTTTCTAATTAATAAAACAAGTCAATGAGAGCGTTTGGGGTATTTGGTCGAATATCGGCTGCTACTACTGCGAATACGATTGTGACCTCTAAATTTTCCTATACTACGTCCAGAACGGCGGCGTCGCGAATAGCTTCACTTTCAAGACACTTCTCGTCTACCCCGCATATCATGGCTCCCATATCTAAGGAAACCGACTTGCTCGTCATTGGCGGCGGTAGCGGAGGTCTTGGAGCTGCGCGCATGGCCAGCGCTAAATTTGGTGCAAAAGCCATGATCGTTGAAGCTATGCGCCTTGGTGGTACTTGTGTCAATGTTGGGTATTTTAGCCCCTCTTCATACCATACCACCCCAGTATTGAAGCTTACCAGTATCTTGTCTTAAATTATAGCTGTGTACCGAAAAAAGTTACGTTTAACGCCGCCGCTCTAGCCGAAGCTATCCACGATTCCAAGGCCTACGGTTTCTCCGTCCAGGAGACGAAGCCTTTCGACTTCACCACCTTCAAACACAAGCGAGATGCATACATTAAGCGATTAAATGGCATCTACGAGCGAAACCTTGCCAATGACAAAGTCGAATATGTACATGGATGGGCAAAACTATTAAATAGAAATGAGGTCGAGATCACACTGGACGATGGCTCCAAAGCCACCGTACGCGCGAAGAAGATCCTCATCGCCGTCGGTGGCGAGCCTGTAAAGCCGTCAGGCATTCCCGGTGCCGAATACGGCACCGATAGCGACGGTTTCTTCGACATCGACACCCTACCCAAGAAGGTCGCCTTAGTCGGAGCCGGATACATCGCCGTGGAATTCGCCGGTATGTTCAACGCACTGGGCACCGAGACACACCTCTTCATCCGCCACAAGACCTTCCTCCGCGCCTTCGACCCCATGATCCAAGAAGGCATTACGAACGAGTACGAACGTCTAGGTGTGCACGTGCACAAGGAATCCTCCCAATCCAAAGTCGAAAAAGACGACAGCACGGGCAAACTCACAATCCACTATAAAGACTCAAACGGCGAGGGCAAGCTCGACGGCGTAGACCACCTAATCTGGGCCATCGGTCGATCCCCCATGACCAAGAACATCGGGTTAGAAGAAGCAGGCGTAAAGCTAGACTCCAAGGGCTACATCGTAACCGACGAGTACCAAAACTCATCCGTAGACAACATCTACGCCCTCGGCGACGTATCAGGCCGCGTGGAACTAACCCCCGTCGCCATCGCCGCCGGTAGGCGGTTAGCCGAGCGTCTCTACGGTGGTAAGCAATTCAGCACAACGCGCATCGACTATAGCAACGTCCCTTCCGTCGTATTCGCGCACCCCGAAGTCGGCAGTATCGGGTTAACCGAGCCGGAAGCCGTTGAAAAATACGGTGCCGAGAACCTAAAAATCTACAAGACCAGTTTCACGGCCATGTACTACGCGATGATGGAGCCCGAGGACAAGGCCCCGACCAAGTACAAGGTAATCTGCGCTGGTCCGGAAGAAAAGGTCGTTGGTCTGCACATCATGGGCTTGGGTTCCGGTGAGATGTTACAGGGTTTCGGTGTTGCGATTAAGATGGGTGCGACGAAGAAGGATTTAGACTCGTGTATTGCGATTCACCCCACGAGCGCGGAGGAATTGGTTACGTTGAAGTAGATATGTCGGAATAAGATAAATGTAAAAATGATAGAATAACAAGAACATTCAATTTATAGAAAATACCTATACACTCTCAATGCCATGGGTTCAAATGGCTGTAGGGAAGTGAGTTGGTTATGGTTATGAATGTCCGGGCGCCGCCTACCTTATCTCATTAGCGGGCGTCGGTACCTGGGTAGGTAGTACAAACATCTTCATCAGTGGTCTGGTTCATTAATATAATTTACACCCAAGGCTTAAGCCATGAGCATTTAAAATTCAATAGCTATTTTTTTCTCTATCTCATTAATCCCTAGATACACGTTCACAAATCAAGAGCGAACCGAAGAGGTATCTGTAAATTTTAGGTATTCAGACATTATAATTGACACATTGACTGACATTATATAGGTAGGGGTAACATCGATTCCATGAATAGTTCGAGAGCTTTTCCGATGTGAAGACAACCAAATCCATTTGCGAGTCGTTTAAACCCGCGTCTCCGAAACGCCAAAGTAAAGAATGACTCCCGCTTCGCTTGCTGTCTTTTATGTCCAGGGGTACGATACACCTATGTAACAAGATTGATGCCAAAAGAACAGAAATCTTCGCAAACCGGCGTAGAAAATAGAGGGCTCCCTATATCGATATTTTCTTCAAGATAAGGGCGTCGGGATTGAGATTCTTTGGCGTTTAATATGTACTGGATAGACCGTCGAGATATAGGCAACTCGAGCGGAACCTATGCTTATTTTGCTTAATATGGCGGCGCAGGAATGTTTAGTTTGAAACCTGCTTTAATCAACGAGGGAAAGTCATAGCCCGCCTCGACTAAATTGCGGACTTGCTTCCGCCGTTGAGCCGGTAAGCTGCAGGACCGATACTTCCGTTAGGGCTTAACGCCGATGACGGGCCTTGTCGGTCGTCCTGCGACATGGTAGAAGAGAATGAAGAGTTTAGGGACGTAGAAGTACTAGTCATCGTCCCAGTACGAGATATTGATAATCCTCCCATGTTTATCAATGTATCAGCACGCTGAAAAACATTCCCGTTGAAAACGTTGTCAAAATGAGCACTTTGTGGGGTCGAAGGTACGGTTGCTTGCACGGCCGGTCCGAGAGCGGCGCTCTGGGGAGTCATAGGTAAAGAAACCGCGGAATTAGATGAGTAATGATTAGGCGAATAGTGATTGGGCATCTCGCCGATATTGCCAGCATGCCGAAGGAGATATGCCCATGGAGAGGCCATGATAAGTTGATTGGTCTCCTTAACACCAATTTGGATAGGACGTAGCCTAGTTCTAATATCCAGTGCGAATGATACTTGGTCCATGGAAGATTTCAATCGACTACCAAACTCAGCCCAAGAGTCGATAAAACTCTTGCAGAGACTCCAAAAGAGAGGATCCGTCCTAACCCCAGGTTCCTTAAGCTTGATGAGGGATAATCGGTCTTTCAGGCGCTCTGTATCGGCAATGGCAATCGAACATCTGGCAACCAGACCCTTCCAACAGTGTATGATGCGGTCCGAAGCTCGTTGGTTTTCAGCATTGCGCTTGTAAACAACAAACTGCTGATTAATACTTGGGAGGATGCGCATAACCAAATCTGATGATTTTTGTAATGATAGGAAGATTTTCTCAAATAAACGTTCGTCCGCAGTAAAGTCTGCAGGAAATCTGGGATCTCCATTTGAAGATGCGAACGATTCGCCAGATCGAGGTGTTGCGGATGTGACTTGAGCCATTCGTCCCGTACCATTGATGTATGGAACGTTCATATCGGTCGCTACTCGAAGATTGCTGGGATTGTGGACAAAAGCTCCAGGCCGCGGCCGGCCATTCAAACCTGGTCGTTCTATTGTAGGAGTCATCGAACTCTCGCGTGAATGAGCCCGAATCGTATCTTCAATGGCAGGTCGGTGGTATCCGTTATTATACGCTGGCTGAGTAGTACCGCCAGATATCTCATTGGCAGTGATACGAAGCTCCATAATACTATGGTACAACAGCATCATCATTGTGCGAATATAACGAGGGTCCCCATTGTCTACAATGGTGTTCATGTTATTCATTAGGAGCGAACAGATATGGCTGTAAGCATTAATCAGAGTCAATACTGCTCTCTGAACATTCTCGTTTTCGCGAGGCGTATACGGGCCATTCTCCGTGGCGAATTCGTGCTTTTGAATTTCCTGCTCCAGTTGTTCGATGTGAAAATTAGTATTGTAAAAAACAATCTCGAGGCTTGAACGTTTTGTTGTGCCATCATTAGTTAGCCTTGTGAAGAGTTGTATCATGGGGTGAATCTGGAAGATCGCGTAAAGAATTCCCTTAGCAGATTCGATGATGGGGTCAAAAATCCTCGATTCTCGCCTTTGCTCTGGTAAGACGGAAAGACGTCGTACGTAATTTGGCCGATTGAGCAGAGGCTCAGCCGGACTATTCGGGCTGATAACGACAGCTCCATTTGGGTTCAAATTCCCTGTCATCGATGAACCGTGGCTCAATCCCCGGTAGTGACTAAACCTGTTATTAGTTTGTCCCTCTTCCAGAGTTCCAAGTTCAGTCGCCTTTTTCGATACTATCCCCATGCGCCTGTGTCGGTCTGATGATCGCTCTGCCCTTGACGCCTGTAACAAGGTTTCGCTATTCGATCGCACTCTCTCGTTGGGGTTACCGATAGTAAGAGGCATAACACCAGGTCTGCGAATGGCTGTACTCTGCTGAGAGAGGCCGCGAGCGTGTGATCTCGATGGTATAGGTGGTGGACGGAGCACAGCGGGAGATCGCATATCGGACACATCGCTGCCATTCACGCGGATGGGAAACCGACCGCTGACCACCCTCCTTATTGGCATTCGAGGCGTTTCTGTCCCATCGCTAAGTTCGTCTCCGCCATTTTCACCCTCCTTGTCTCTTCCATTCAAGCTTTGAGATTTTTGCTTCAGAAATTTCTTGATATGGGCCGTGGCAGCAAGCTCCGTTATTTCACTTTTCTCCAAAAAGCCCTCGTTAGGGGGGCTACCAGCTTGGACTTGCAGAACCTCTTTTGGAGGAAATCGTATATCGTTTCCATCCAGTCTCAGCATTTGTAACGAAACCATATCAGCTAGACAAAGCGGGAGTTCCTCTACTCGATTCTTTTGCAAGGCCAATACCTTCAGCGAGGTCAACTTCGCAATCTCGGGGGGAAGGACACGGATCTTATTCCTTCCCATATCCAATATTTCAAGTGACTTAATATCGCAGAGCTGAAACACGAATTAAAATAAGAAATACGGTAGCGGGGGGAGAAATGTGTAATTACCGATAGGGGAAACTCTTTAATCAAATTGGCTCTCAAATTAAGATAGCGCAAATGTGTACATTCGGAAAATCTGGCTGGTAAGGACGATAACTTGTTATGCGAGAGGGCTAGGCTGTGTAGAAATTCGGTGTATCAGTATACTATGGCGTCCCAAAATAGCAAACAGACTTACCGTTCGAGTTCATTTTTTATTATGTCTACCACCTCATCTGGCAATGCCTGTATGTTCTTCCTGCTAAGATCGATCGTGACACCGGGCTTGAGTTCGGTACTGACGCCACTAGCTTCAGCCGCCTGGGTCTCGTTCTCTTGCAGGGCACTGTCCATTGCTTCTCTAGCGAGAGCGATCACTTGCCCGGCGGATAGGGGAGCGGACGCGGATAACATCGAGCCGGAAATACTGCTGGTAGACATGCTAAATTGTTCAGGTATCGGGGGAGGCGGCGGTGGAGGCATCGTTGAGGTTGGAGGTATTCGTCTCATCCCTTGAGGTGCACTCGTAGGGAAATTCCTAGAGGCTGACGATTGGGGCGGTATGATAGTGGCTGCCATACCACCTAAGGCAACATTCATTGCAGACTCAAGTTATGGCAACGCGCAAAGAACTCTCGTAGGGCGTATAGGAGGTAGTAGCTTGTCGAATCGCTCGTATAGAATTGTCGTGTAACCCTAGAAATTATTCGAAGGAAGAAACCGATGAACTGGGCGAAGCAAAATTGATCATCGTAGAAGGATATGAAACGATTTTCGAGAAGGAGGATCGGACGGGAAGCGAAACTCGAAAATGGAATCAATCCAGGTTCTTGGATTTCAATCACGAACTTTTGAAGGCATGGGATCGAGTAGGAGGAGAAAAGTACAGTGAGAAGCGTTTCAACTGATACTCTTGGCGTAGATTTGTGGAAGAATCAAAAGTTGAAACACGTTCTAGCCGAAAGGGTGAGGCACTGATGTCGTTGAATCGTGCAGAAATTCGTATGCAACCCCTTGTTTCTTGGAGCTCTTTCAGGTTGGTCATTAGGGGGGCCAGGCGAGCTGTACTGTGCGGCGCAACCTAAAGGAAAGACACAAGGGGTCGAGATTTGGGCACCAGTTGGAGGGAAGGGGTTTCTTTGTCAGTCAATGATGGTAGGTGGTAGAGGCGCTACTTCAAAAGAAGGGGGCTCGATAGTGACACGATGGGTGTGTAGCACAAGAACAGTAGGAACAACGAATTCAATTGGGGGGAGTGTGTAGAGTGTGGTAGCACTAGAAAGGGGGAGATCCAGGCGTGAGCGAATCAGAAAAAGGTGGGGTTCGACGCTTGGAGCCTTCCCCCTTCCCCCTGTCCGTGTTCTTCAGTGCACCAGAGAGGCTCGAGAGGAAGGTTGCCAGCCGCCGGGGTTTCTCCTACCTGCACTTACGAATTGTGATGAGGGAGTGGATTTCCATAAGATTAATTCACTTATGAACATCTTTTTTCATTTCATCCAAAGAATTATTTGTTGACGTATACTTTGAAAGTATCATATTGTTTGTATATCACAAAAAATTCTATGTTTACTAGCATAAAGAAGAATAAATCTGGAAATCCTTATGACCCGACAGAAATTTGTGGTACTTGGTACCTTACAGCTGTGGCGCCAGCTGCCCAGCAGGCAGGAGCGCCAGGGTATGTTCCAACTAAACTAACTAAATCGTCGCCTGTGCACGGATCTCTACCTGGCTATTGCCCATATGACCCAATCAGTCTGTTGCCAAAGATGCAAGGCACGTTCCATGTTCCCACGCGACAGTGGAGATCCAACGCGATTAGGCAATTAGATGATAATGTAATTTACAAAGTCGCGACGGTGAAGGATGTGAAAGAGCCCCAAACAAAGTTTAGTAGCTTCAGCTGGAAGCGAAGTAGCTGCATCGATCCTTCTTACATATCTAGGCAACTCATAACTGCCTACTTGGGCAAGGTATGGGTCTAGTTTTCACTTTAGTCTGCTTCATCCTGTTGTGCAACCCCGGAATTGACTTTGAAATTGAGTTTAGCTAAAGCTGACCGAATCTAAGGTAGCTTCCCTTTATTTTGACATGCAATACTTTTGACGGTTTCCGTATGAATTAAGGAGATACGGGAAGGATCATCTCAGGAACAACCTTCTAGAAATCTTCAAACACTACATTCGATGGAGATGTTTGATTCATACACATACCCACACACACTCCAGCTATCTCCTCGGTGATTCAATTGTGGAGCGGGTAGGAGTTCATTCCGTCCGAAGAATTAGAAGGCTCGATATCGGTCCGTTGAGAACTAATACGGAAATTTATTACTCGACAGCACACGTGGAAGTCTTCTGGAAACTTATACTGCTGCTACCTTACTAGGTAGCTAGTTCAAGATGCCAGCCTTAGTCAGGTCCAATTCATTCATTTTCCCGGACCTCGACTTTACCCTACGCCGCCAGTTTAACAAACCTGGTTTTCGTCCGTACCAACGAGAAATTATACAAGCTGCACTAGACGGCAATGATGTTTTCGTTCAGGCAGCAACCTCGTTTGGAAAGAGTTTGTGCTTCCAACTTCCGGCCGTTGTAGATCAGGGCAGTGCGTTCCCCATATTCATCCCTTTTTCCTGATCCTTATTTCTTCAATCTTGTGTCTCCACACTTACGTTAGTGTACCATCTACTTACGTCGAATTATAGTCACTATCGTCGTCTCGCCATTATTGAGCCTTATGATAAATCAGGTAGAAGCTCTCCGGGCTGCCGATATCAACGCTAGCTCGCTCAATAGCAATACACCTCTAGCAGAAAAGGACCGCATTATGGGCGACCTCAAAACTGGCCACCCGCGGACTAGGCTACTCTATGTGACCCCGGAGCTTTGTGCCCAAGACCGCTTTCGGGATAGGTTGAGAGTAGTTTACGAACAGCGGGAACTTGCACGTATTGCTATTGATGAAGCCCATTGTATTTCAGAATGGGGCCACGACTTCCGTAAAGATTTCAAAAGACTAGCCTGGTTCCGCGAGTCCTTTCCGGATGTGCCTATCATGTGCTTGACAGCGACAGCAAACAGTCAAGTGCGCAATGACGTACTTACCACTCTTGGTTTAGATGCAAGCCCGGAAAGATTGAAATCCTTTACGATGACAGCTCACCGACCAAATCTCCATTTCGAGATTCGTTTTACACGTGATGAGGATGATCAACGATTGGAAGACTTTCTCGGGTGGATTCGTAGCGTATATGAACGCCGGGCAAAGGAATCGCGGAAAAGCGAGCTTACTGCATTAGGTGAGCGAGTTGAAAATATTCCAGGTATTATTTATACCATATCACGGGACGAATGCGAAAGCCTCGCGGCACAGCTCAGGCAAGAAGGAATTGGAGCACAGCCATTTCATGCCAAGCTATCCAAGGAGACCAAAGAGCGAACTCTTGCTAACTGGGTTTCGAATGAACCCGGATATGATATTATTGTAGCTACGACAGCGTTCGGTATGGGCATCGATAAGAACAACGTCCGCTTTGTCGTGCATTGGCGATTACCTAAATCCTTCGAGGGGTACTACCAGGAAGCTGGACGAGCCGGACGTGACGGGAATGCAGCATACTGTTTTCTCTATTACAGCCGAGAAGATAGAGACCGGGTTAGTAGTTTGATTGTACGAGATCGAATGAATGCGGGTTCGGGTTCTAGTTTCGAGGCGCGCGCTAGGAGCTTACAGGCACTGGCCGAATACTGCGAGAGCATAAATGCCTGTCGTCATAAGCTCATATGCAACTACTTTGGAGAGAATATCACGCCGGATTGCGACTATGCTTGTGATTGGCATAAAAATAGCGCAGATCTCCAGCGACGTTTCCTAAGAGGTCTAGCAAGCGAGGAATGGGTCAGCACTCAAAGAGAGGAAGGTCTGTATGAAGTCGATTGGGATGAATGAGTTATGAAGAATCGTGGTTGGTAGAACAGGACCGATTTATGTAGTATCTGTGTTGGTGTCTGACGGAATAGCGAACCGATATACGGATACTGATGGCACCTAAGGCAGGTCATCCTGCATCCGATGGCCATCCCTCCAATCGGCTGAGGCCAGACCCCGCATAACGTTTAACAACCCACCCGCAGCTCTTAAGCAAAGCTCCTCCTTATCCGAATATTTACATCCAGTTCTTTTCAAGAATTATCCTACAGCGTTACAATTCTGCGCTCAGCCGCTGCCAAGGCACAACTTAAGTCTCCGACGAGCGCTACCTCAGAATGTCGGCCCCGGCAACATCTTCTCCGAAAACATCGGTGCATGCTGCATCATCTAACTCGTCGGTCCCTGAAGTCCGGAACGCCGTCCCGTCAACTTCAGTTTCCGCTCCAGTCCCAGCTCCGAATAATGCAGCTGGCCCATCCAACAACGTGGGCTCACCGCACTTCTCGCCATCTTTTCAATCCACACGTCTACAACCATCCAGCTCCGCATCAGCATCCCGAAGCACCACGTCGCCTCCTACCACTACAACCGCAGCAGCGTCTGGCGCCGCCGGGGCCCAGCCTCACGTCACGATGGATCTAAATCCGACACTACCCTCCCGTGCGACGCAGCTGCATATTGATGAAGCACGAGCGGCCCTTGTAGCCTCCATGTCGAATATGCTAGACTCCGAACTACAATCGCGCGCCTCACTCCTCCACTCGAACGCTGCTGCACTAGCTAAGCAAGAGAAAGACGTAATAAAGGGGACCGAAGGGTTGCGCAAAGAAAACGATAAGCTCGAGAAACTCGCTCGCGATACAGAACGTAAGATCAAGGAGCTAGGCAACGTACAGAACTGGGCTGAGGTCTTGGAAAGGGACTTCTTAGTCCTGGAAGAAACGATGCGCTTAGTAAGGGAGGGCAGCGGGAGCGACGATGAGAGTTGTAGTGAGTGTAGTAGGAGCAGTTGGTCTGGGAGTTATAGCGCTGATGATAGCAGGGTGGGGAGTCGTCGAGGGAGCGTGACGGGCGACGATGATGCGAAGAGAACGAACCACTTAGGCACGAATGGAAACGCAACCGTTAATGACGGTGCGAAAAGCGCTGCCTATGCAGAAGAACGCACGAACGTTACCGTGGACAAAGAAGTCTCCGCCAGTATTAGCGAAGCTATGGCTACATCGCTACATGAACCCCTAGAGTCTTTGTCGCTAGGTGCGACTGCGACGGAGTCTCAGGGGAGCTCGGTCAAGGGCAAAGAGCCAGCAACTGAGGACAGCGGGATAGAGTTTGATACTACACCCGAGACCGTATCTTTTGGATCGACTCAACCGGCGGATATTCCCCTACCGGATGACTTCGACGATGATTTAATCTATGAGAGCCCCAGTCCTTTTCCAGCAGAAGAACAACAATGAAATTGATCCCTGGGAGGAATTATTGTTATGGTTCAAAGCTAAGGAGGCTTTTGGCTAATGGATTTTTGGCGGCTAGGGCGTCATGGTCGGGTGGGCGGACTTCTCCAGCAACGCATTTGATGATTGGCTTGCATGCCACTGTTCTAATAACATAATTAATTGTTCATGAGATCATGAAGAGTCGGGACACCTAGGAGAGGCACTAGGTTCCGAAGTAGATATTCGAGCATAGATGGACTTTAATGTGTTTATGATTAGCATTTGACAGTATACTAAGTACCTAGATTCTGACCGAATGTATCGGACACCATTATTCGTATACTGCCTTAAATCCTTCTAAGTCTTTTTTTCTTTCATGTCTCTAATCTCGTGTACTCGCTTTGTTTATATCTAGAAGCAATCATATAATGCCTAATGTATGGCAGAACATTATCCCCCATTCATTAAATGCACCGTCGTAAGCCTCAAGCCTGGATAACCTATAGCAGACCCGGAAGCATGACGTACCGCTTCCTCTTGTATTTGTCACCGAACTGCTCGCGGTAAGCCTTCTCTTTTCCTCGGCCCCAGGTGTACATATAGTATGAACCGATAATAATCGAGAGCAACATCGACGGGCTGCGGGTAACCATGATGATACCAACCCAAGCGATGATTTCAAACATGTAATTCGGGCACGTGACGATACTGAAACCGTGGCCTTTGGGAATCTTCCGCGCGGTCTCACCGGGCTTGCGCAGGCGCGTGAGGTAATAGTGTACATCGAAATTCGCCAACTCGCCGAACGCGAATAACGCCAGACCGATATAAGTCACCAACGTGGGTTCCTCAGCCCAAGCAGCAAGCGAGAAGGGAGCGTAGATCTCGAGACCGGCGAGGAAACCCGCGGTCGCCCAGTAGTAGAATGAGTTACGGAATATGTACGCGAAGGGCATCGTGTTCACGGAGAATTTGTGCAGGAACAAGACTTCGAGCTCGCGCTTGGCGAAGTGTGCCATGGTTATGGCGAAGGATACTTGCTGCGTGTAGGAGAGGGCGCCGTCGACGCGTGCATAGGGGAGGTGGTTTTTAAGGAGGGGGTATACGGCTGGGTAGATGTAGTTACGGAGGCCGAGGAAGAGGGGGTGGAAGAGGAGGGGTCCGATGTATTCGGTTGCGTATACGAGTTTCCAGCTAATTTGAGGGCCTTTGGTGGTTTGTTAGTCTGGTTTGTCTATCTATGTGGTTGGATATGGGAGAGGATGATATCGTACCGAGGTCCTTAACGAGTAGCTCTCCACGCTTGATAACCTCTGGCTGGTCCCGGACTAAGGACTTCTTGTCCTTGAAAGTCTTGTTGGAGACAGGGTCGAAGATACCGATACGATTGTAATCGGATACCTTGGCGGCGCGGGCAACGGCCTTCTTCGCATCTTCGATGGTGGCATCGTTGGGTAACTCAATGGTAGTCGGTAACGCCTTGAGGCCCTTTCGAGACCGATTGGTGACTTTTAGGGTCAAGCCAGCCATCTCGTCAAACAGATTGACTGTGGCCTATACCCAAGTTCGTCTCAATTGGGGGGATAGAAACAAGAATCAATATATCTTGTTAGAGACGAATGGTAGGGAAAGTAAAGAAAGTAAATAACTGTTTAGAAGATTTGTGGGAAATTTGTTGGGGGGCTCCAGCTGCATTGCTCCATTAGAGCTGAGCTACACACACTATTTGAAGGCTAATGGATTGGATGTCGTAGGTACTTTTTTTTATTTTATTTATTTTTCTTCCCCCATAGATAAGATTACAAATACAACGCTGAACGTTACAGTTAATTGATGTACCTTTGTATTTGCCGAAATTCGAACGTCATATACCTAGGTATCATACGAGAAGGGCAACAATATCTTTTTTAAAATAAAGTAGCTACCCCTGAAAATGACGAATAATTGATGTTGGCCATCCTTCTGGAAGGGCCATTCGATCCAGGTACCTACTACGCAATACCCCAAGCGTAGTACCGAGGCAGTGGACACAGCTTCCAATTGTCCGTTCGAAGCTTAGATAGCGCCTCGATTACGTGATTATACTAGCACTATTCTATTTATGATGTATGTATTTATGAGTTAGAGCCCCTCCAAGTAACACCAACCTCATCGTTCGACAGCTCCAACACCTTACCTTACTTCACCTTCCTTCACTTATAACAAGTTTAACCAACTTAAGTCTTTCCTCTTTTTTATATACTAGTATTTAAGAATAATTGACAATAAATACCTCCACGATCCCTATGAAAACGTACCGTGCTCCAATATGCCTCCGCCCAATACTCCGGAAGAAGGGCTAGTAGGAGCTACTACCGCCACCCTCGCTCTCCGGCCATTAATGGGCAACGAGTCTCCCGCCAACGCCCTAGATCTCCGAGCTCTCGAGTACGAAGGCAACGTTGACGAGAACCTCATATGTCCAATTTGTCGAGTGCCTTTCGTATCCCCCGTAATTACGACATGTGACCACGTCTTCTGCCATAAATGCATTGTCCAAGCTCACGCCCTAAATCCCGTTTGTCCGGTCGATCGACTTCCATTGCGGCTTGTTTCCGGAACACGACCAGCACCTAAGATTATCCACAACCAACTGGATAACTTAAACGTTAGATGTCCGAATAGCCCACGCGGATGCGATCTTATAGTCACCCGATCACTAGTCGAAAACCACGTCGCTCGATATTGTGATAAAACACTTGTACCTTGTCCTCGCCCTGCCTGCGATGAGACAGTAGTGAGGAAGGATGTCAATAAGGGATGTCTCCACTACGAAGTAAAATGTGAATATTGTGAGAAAGTGAAGCAAAAGGCGGATCTAGAAGAACACCAGAACACCGAATGCCCGAATCGAAAAACAGAATGTGCGCTATGCAAGGCTGAATACGTGCGGCATAAGAAAGATGAACACTTGAAGGAATGCCCCGAGGCACAGACTCCTTGCAAGTTTGCGCCCTTCGGCTGCATACAAGAAGTGAAGCGCAAGCAGCTAGATGAGCATACCTTGATATGCGCATACCGGGTTGTTGGGCCAGTAGGCGAGCAGCTTGCAGAATTGCGAGCTGAGCTTGCTGGTTTGCAGGAGAAAGACAGATTGAAAGATAGACGAATCAAATTCCTCGAGGCTCGCGGGTTTCCTATGCCTGCCGCGAGTTCGCCCGACCCTATATCGGATATTACCTTACCGGAAACAGCGCCAGCCCATGAAGAGAGAGCACCCTACGAGTCACGAGATCAATATTTCTTATCCCTATTCGAAACTATGGAATCCAAAGTTGAGCGACTATCTTCCGCGCTCAATGAAGTTGAAGGCCGACATTCAATGATGCTCTTCAACGAGAGCTCGTTAATCAAAGACCAGCTCACGGAAATCCGAAGCACTATGGGTGTTCTCGGAATGCACGTGAGATGGCTTATGAACTTCCGACTACAGGAACGGGGAAGGGTCGGGACTACCTCGCCTGGCATGTCGGGATCATTTTCTAATACCCAAGAAAATCATAGCGACTCAAATTTACCCCGGCGCCTTAGTGAGGGCATACGAGAACATCCACCACGACTATAATGTATCATGGCTACAATTACCTACCAGCCATCCATGAATGATGATTTTCCTTTTCGAGGTTCCCTGGTGCATTTATGAACACAGGAGCGGCTCGCCCATTTTTGTGGAACGATCACAGGTGATCTTTGGTTGGTCTAATGGACCTCCATTTAGAATTAGTACGACTCAGTAAAAAGGGCGTGTTACACAATTTTCTATCTTGGATGAGGATACTGTGCGAATACGAACTGTATTAATATGCATGTCTCGGCGTTTCGCACCCTAGGCTTTCCATCCCGTTCTCATATCCTGCGCCAAATTAGCCCCCGCGTCATCAAGACAATGCCCAAAAACGCCGCCGTTATACACAAACATCGGGGAACGGACTTTTACTTCCCGAGTATGTCCGCCTTAACATCCTCAACAGAAGGTCCGCTCTATTTCTCCGACTCCGAAACCTTTCCGGAAGTCCACAGACCCTTCAAGATATCCCAGTATCGCACAATGTCTCGGATGACGAAATAAGCGAGGACCCAAGGGAGGGTGGACCATGTAACAACGGCCAGCAAATCAGAAATTTCAATGGCGCATAATGTGACTAGATCGACGATGGCGAATAGGTGGGAAAGGAATGGTGGGATGCCGCCGAAGAAGTTGTTGAAGGAGGCGAAGACTATGTTGTTTGCCACTTCGAAGAGGAAGGCTAGGATGAGCTTGACGAGGCTGGTGAATACTATGATGATAATGGCGGTCGCTACGACTACGGGGGTAGATAGTGTGGGAGGCATTTTGGTAAAGTCTCGCTTGGTTTCTTGTCGGGCTACTGGTGAGTTTGGGTCGACGTGTTTTTAGGCTATGGCGTTGTACAATGGTATGGGTAAGGTATTTATGGAAAAGACTGAATGGGAACAGGACTCGGTAGCATGGATAGGTATTATATGATTACGAATGCGAATGATAGCATATTTTTGAACTTCTGCAATATTTTTAGTGATATTGTTTTTACTCTGAATCACATTCGGTCTAATAATGGGAGGTGAGTGACTTGTGTCGTTTTGCACAAGATGGGATGTAGGGTTCCCTTCCCTCTAGCAAACATGATGAAGGGTTCTCCAGAGTACCTAAAGCCTTAATAGGATTGATGTAACCTGCGAAAGGGCTATTTATTAATCCAATGGGTACCTAGGTAAGCAAGCGACCTAATATCATCGCTGCGTCTATGTTGGTAAAACACCAAACTACGCTTAATAGTGCCGCATCGATTCACGCACATATCTATCATGGCTGGTCGTGGAATATCTGGGGTCGTCCATATGGTTGTCGCAATCGTATAGCTCTATATTTCCGTGCTCTCTCGTCTCCCGTGAGTTCCCGTGGAGTCCTTACCACTTCCATCGTTGCTTCGGGTGGTCTATTGTACCTCTTCCACAGAATGACATTGGACCTATTTTCATGGCCTAAGCCCCAGCCAACGAAGTCCGGATGATATGGATCGAATAATGGCCGAAGATTCTCGAATTTATCTTGGAGTCGCGAACGATGACGCGGTTCGACGGGTGCAGCCAGCTTCATAATCCAGTTTATGACTGGTTTTAAGATATGGCTCTGATCTGAGAACCAGAATGAAGCCAAATCCACTAGGCCGATAGTATTGCTGCGACGATTAACACGGGAGATTTGCCCTCTAGCAGGCACAACGTATACATCGTTATCTAGTTTTCTGAAATGTATATCCTCCGCTACACGTCTTGACTCAGGCGCTAAAAATCCCGAATTGAAGTGAGACTTGTAAAAATTCCCACGTAGTGGGGACCCATTTTCCATCTCGCTCAACTCAACAGTGAATCTTGGATTTGCACCGTAAAATAGCAAGAATGCGATGACTGCCAATTGTGGTGGATTATGAATACACCATGATTGGAGCATAGCATGAAATGCAGGCCCCCAGTCAAGGGCTGTCCCGTAGTGAGACGAAGTGTCATGGCTGAAAAGAACTTCGAGGGTTTTGAACTCTCGTTTCCATACGTCTAGCGACCCTATTCCGGAATCTTGAATTGATATATCCTTTAGCCACGCAGAAATGTAGCAGCTTATTAACTCGGGCCCCACAGGTTGTCTTGGAAGTAAGGAAGATAGGTACTCGTAGAGGCCGAATTGGGCGCTCGCTAACACAACGATATTTTCTGGGTCACAATGTATCATGTCCGTATGAATAAATTTCAACGTGCATCTACCGACCAGACACCTTCTTAGGTTGATAGATGCCCGGTAAATAGCGTCAAGGAATCCATAAAAGCGCGAAGTAGCTCTACGCTGGGGTATTGCAACATACTGCAGAACTATCAACTCTATATCATCTTTCAATGATTGATTGTAGGAGTGGTGAAAAATCTGACGAAAGTTCTTGCGGATATTCATCGTATTGGGCTCCCAGAGAGTTAATTCATCATATGACTGGTTGTAAGTAGGCTGGAAATAGCATCTAGGTAGAGAGATGCTCTTTAGTCGAGCCAGGTATGTTTGGCAATATGCGTCAAAGGGATCGAGGCCGGCCAACACATGGCGATTCTCTGTTGGAAAAATTGGCTTTCTAGAAACTCTGCGACTGATCGATGTATAAGGTGAACTACATCTCCTAACACACCTCCTAGAACTTTGAACCGGTCGCGAGGTCGGCGTAATTCAATAAGCCCCTTGCATACACCATACACCCGTTTCGTAGCCCTTTCTAGTCTCTCGCTATTCTCTTTTGCTGTGAAAAATTTGACGGGTAGGTCCATGGCAAAATCCCTGTTCGCTGTGTATTCCTCGAGGAATGAATATTGTGTAAGAAAAACTTGAATATCATATAGGCTAGACCAACGAGCTAGAGAGAGCATGCTATAGGCCAATAGTTGGTTATGACGTGGAACAGGTTCTAGTATTTGTTGTAGCACTATAATAGAAAACGTTAATACTGTTTCTGGTCACTTTATAAAACTGGTAGGCAAGTCGCTGTGGATTTAGAGGGTTACTTACTAGGTTCAAGCTCAGTTGGAAGAGACGAGATAACTTTCATTATGTCGCTCATCCGATCGCCATTCGCCAACCCATTCTCGATGTAGCGAAGAATAGGCAATACCCATAAGAAGACACCATCTGATTCCTGAACAATTTCTTCTATTAGATGACTAACTATGTCTACGTTTAGATGCAGTTTTCTATAATCATCGTCGCTGGCTAAAGCGTCAAGACACATTTCGTGAAGTCGGTTCTCGCCGACTCGCCTGATGTCAGAAGTTGTGAGGTCCTGTAAGCGAAAAGTAGGACAGTCTTTCAGAGCATTCTGAAAGATAGGCCATTCGCGACTAGATACACAGAGCTTTACGTTCTGTGTTGCATTGGCCCACGCAAGGAGCTTCCGAAGAAAACTCGCGTGATCCCCCTCGAATTCATCAAGTCCATCTAAAAAGAACGCGAATTTATAGCCTTCATAAGTCTGTTTGGCATTCAGAAGCCTTTCGAATGCCGGCTGGCACTCATGATTCTCCACATAGATTTTTTCTCTGTGTATAGATGCTTCCCACTGTGCCGGAAATACGAGGGGGATCAAACTGGCACATTCTGAGAGGAGACAGTGTAATAATGCTCGGATGAGTCCGTTGATGCTTTTTTGAAGAGGAGAACCTGGCTTCCAGAAGAAGAATTTGCCCAAGGCGAGTGTCTTTCCGCCCGCCTAGGCATTCAAGTAGATTTTAGTTTGTATGTGCCTCACGATGTACTTCATTAAGGTTGACTTGCCCGACCCTGGCTTTCCCGAAATATAAAATATGCCAGACCCATGTTTCAACCAACCGATAAAGCTATCACGAGCTTCGGATAGTCTATCCCATAATTGATGGCGCGCTTCCACCTCATCATCGTTCCTACTGTGTTCATCCTCGGCCTCATCATAGCCAGTATCGTCATCAATCGCCGACGGTATGTGTGGTGGATCCTCAACTAATTCCGCAGATACATCTCCGGTTGGCGGTGAGGGCTTTAATTAATTGTCCGGTAGAGGATCGTTCGCGAATGACGCAAGGCTCACACCGTCGTCGGAGCCAACGTCTTCAATGGCACGCGTAAAACCTCTGGTCGTACAGGAGTACTCTGAGGTTGACATAGAGCACTCTGAATGGGCACAACCCGCGTACTCTGAATCGGCATAATACGAGCGCCCTGAATAGGTATAATCCGAGTGCTCTGAACCGGCATAAACCCACCCCGGCGTTGGGTAGTAGCTGCGAGGAGGCGTCCTGGTTATAACCCGTTGAGTTCTCCGAATCGGGATAGCCCGCCCGGTCTTTAGGTAGACGCTCTGGCTCGCACGGTGACTATTATGGACTACCACGACTCGGCTGGGTTTGCTTCTTCGCATCGGTTTCGGGTTATCGGTTCCTTTACCATTATCAATAGAGACGCTACGAGTATCTGTGTTTTCGAAAATCCAGTCGAATGTTTTTTTATGCGCTTCCTCGATATCTTCAAATCTCTCGTTCATCAACTCAAACCGTAGAGCATCTATGATACGAGCCTGTCGAACTTTGAGGACAGCGTCATCGGAAAGCCGAAGCAACGATCGTATCTGGTCCAACGCTTCTGGACTAAGGCACGTAACATTGCTACCGAGACGCAAAGATTCAAGGTTCCTGTTAAGTGACCGTAAGTCGTCTCCGCTGGCTTGACCGTGTACGATAAGCCTATCGAGCCGTTTTAGCGATTCGGATCTACGATAAATTCGAGTTAGAAATTTCTAAGACTCGACAGGATGCGTAGAGTAATGTGTCTTACTTGAATGAGTTTAGGAGCTCTAGGCTTAGCTGTTGCCTGTAATGGTCCAATTTCACCTCCAGCTCAGCCTTTTGACTCGTCTTCCACCGAGTACGTATGGTAGCCAGTAAGATGTCGCTTGGATTTCGAGTTTTTGGCTTTTAGTTCATCAAGCAGCTCAGTGAGTTCAGCCGATACGTCCTGACATCCGGCAGCGACTTCAAATAGGGAGTGCTCTTGTTTTGAGAGAAAAGCAACTGGCTTGGCTGCTAATAGGCTATCAGCAAGTTGTCGGAGTTGTTGTGTCATAAGAGCCAAATTGGCATTTGATGAAGTGGTCCCGGAAGCCGAGTCATATGTCCTTTGCCGTGGAAATTAACTTATAGCCAAAGTCTAGGAAAGTGATGGTGTTGCCCGCGAGCCCAATTGCCGCGAACGGATCCATATCGTCGACAGCTATGTCGTGCCCGCTTTGAGGAAGAGAATGGAAGGAGGGAAAAGAATCGGGCAAATGAATATTCTAGTATCTTTAGCACAGCCTTGTTTCTCCCCGCAGACGGTCAGAGCCTTCATATACGGACCCCATGCGCCCCAATCCTTACTATCCAATTACAGTCTGCCTTGGGTAGCCATCGTGCACGTACCTAGGCAGACGTATGAGAAATAATTATTGTGCTTTTGGTGTCGTATAGAGCTTAAAATCAGGAAGTCTACGCTTCCTTGGATACGTAGTACTTGAATAATCATTTTATTTTTTTCTATTGACTTCTGCCTGAGTATCCCTGCCCTAATCAGTTATATATCAAGAGCCGTAGTAATCCCAAAGATAATTGTACTCGTCGCATTTATCATAGTAAGGTTGAATTGCTTTCTATTCTACCTCTTGATGGATTTCAACAGCGATGTGATTCTCGTCCTTTTGCTTAGACCGACCCGGTAGGGCACTTTGGGTTGTGAAGACGTGGGCGTAGGTTTCGGCGTTGAGCTGCCCTTCTCCTGAGTTTTAGGTGGGAGCTTCTGATCGGTTGATGATTCAGCATTGGGTGTCGTAGACACACCCTTGGTTGATATAGATCCCCGCGACGGTGTTCTAGAATTATTACTAATTTCTTCCAACGGTGATGCATCTTCGGTCTCATCCTCATCTGCTATCTCGCTTATTTCCTCTTGCTTCCGGGCCTGCTTCTTAGGCTTTGGCTTCTCGGTTGCTTCGACTTGCTCCGGTGCGGCCTCTACGCGGGTCTTGGACGTAGAATGAGGCTCAGGCTCAGGCTCGGGTTGAGGTTCAGGAGCTGCAGCCGTTTCGGATTTCGCCTGGTCTGACTTTCGAGGCCGACCTCTTTTCTTCTTAGACTTCCCTGGCTCAACTTGCGCGTCCGAATCCTTAGTAGTAGAAACGCGCTCCTGAGTAGGAATTTGGTTTTCAATGGGCTGTTCGACTTCGGTAACTGGTTCGGCTGCGGGCTGCTTTTTCTTTCGTCCACGCTTCTTTGGTTGAGGAGTCGGCTGCGCCTCTTGCGGGGGTTCGGGCACACTAATGGGGGCGGGTGGCGGTTCCGTCGAGGGTATTTCAAGAGCCTGCTCTTCGGCTTGGTGCACCTCTTCTGTTGGGAGCTCCTCAACTGGATTAGGGATGAGTTCAATATTCTCACCGCCTTCAAGCGGATTAGGTGAATTAGGTATTTGATCATTGCGGCGCCTCCGTTTATGGCTATCCCGACGCCGATTAGAAGGTTTTGGGTCGCTAGAATTTATCCGCGCCAGCTCATCTTCTTCATCCTGCATGCTCTTCTGGCTCTGCTTCCGCTTTTTACCGGATGGGCTCATCGTTGTGTGGCCTTTGGTAAGATCTTGGTCCTCATATATCACTTCTTGGGTATCGATATATGTCGTCTCTGTTGTTCCTCCTTCAATGTATTCGTCCTCGGCCGCGATTGCAGCAGGAGAAGAATTAATCTAAAGTTCTATTAGTTTCCGGAACATTCAGCTATGCAGATATACTTACGCTAATAACACCAGGACTACCATTAGCCTGGAACTCAAGAGCAGATTCTCTTTCCCACGGAAGTGGCCCTCCTGATGAAGAAGCATATCTGCTCGGTGTTGAATAAGCAATAGTAGTCATCCCACTTGATTTCTGATTGGCAATAGACCCGTAGAGGTTAGAATACCCATTTTGCGGCGCGCTAGTCTGCTGATACTCGAGTCTTTGCATGGTAGTGAGGTTGCCTTGGGGGACGTAAAAGTTCGTCACAGCCTCGGTCTCCTGTATCGCGGGGCCAAGAATCGAGAGCCTCCTTCGTTTTGTCGCGGGCAGAGGGGACTGTTCAACCTCATCAATTGCAGCAGACATCCCATCACGCGCGGGTGACTCCTGGGTAGCCCCTTCCACTGCAAGGCCTTCTCGCATGAAGATCTCAGCCGTAGCAGAGCTTCCCAAAGTTTTGGAATTTCGCCTTTTCTTTCCGTACGACTTTTCCTTCTTCCCCTTCGAACTCTTCGCACTCCTCGGAGCAGACACACCCTCGGCACTACTAGGCACATCCCACTCCCCAGGCGCGCTTTTCCTCGGCGTCGTAATACTAGTCGCATCATCACTCAAAAGCGACATTCGATTCCCCAGTTTACTCATCCCATCCGGCGAAGTAACATTCGTGCCCGAAGAAGCACCAACCCTCTTCCGTTTCCCCTGAGCCGGAAGTGACACATCACCACTACTCCCACTCGCCTTCTGGCTCTGACGCACAATCTGCTCAATAAGCCTAGATTGGTCGACAGCCCTATTCTGCTGCTCATCATGCACACCAGCGAAGAACGATTGGTCCGTAGTACCAGACGTCCGATTATTCGCGTCGCTCGATGGCCTATGTTGCGGACTCAACGGCTCTACCTCCGGAACCCCCGTTTCTTCTCTGGCGGGACTCAACGCATTCAGATTATCGCCGTCATCTTCATCGTCGGAGTCGGCAATTACCCGGCGAGGCACCATGATCCACTAGACGCGTCGGAACGCGTCTTATCGTAGTATTATGGAGATATCGTAAAAAACCCCATCAAATATTTCTATAAAGTAAATATTTTAATTATGGGTCGTCTTATTAAAAGAGATGAAAACTTAAAGTGTATTTTCGCCGTAAAGTTTGAGTTTGAACCCAATGACGGCATACATGTACCTGGGTATGTACCCGGTGAGTTCGATGTGTGTCGTACAGCACATGCTTAGTAAGAATTTACGGATGTGGGGTCAACACCGCGTGCTAATAGCATTGGCAACACTGTGATCTCACTGTGTAACCACACCTACGGCATGTAAGGTTTTATTTATATTACTAAAGTACTTAAGTACTCATACAACAGATTGCGGCCCAGATACATCACTTCAATAAGATATCATAAAAAAGTATATACTGCTTAATTGACGACTAAGACCACAGTAGGATCTTAGGGTCATGTTTGGTATTTATTCTGCTTCGCAAAGAGTATACAATCGAATGGGGCCGATGCCCCAAAATGTAGGCCGTAGGACAGCCGAATTACTAACGCCATCTAAAGTGTGGCTTTCTTAAACTGCAATGTCGGGCTGCTAGCCCCTGATCCTTCTTCTCTTATTACCATCTCCTGCTAGCTCATCCACATCGTCATCAGCCGTGTTCGTCTCGCCACCTGCCACGCTCATGCTACGGCTGGCTGATGGTGGAACTCCTGTCGGCGGAGGTGCGTTTCGCTCTACTTCATTGCGTAAGTCACTCAGCAGCTTCTCAACCTCACTGAACATGCTACGAGTATCTTTGACAACCCCGTTCTCATCTACTTCGTAGCCTCGGTAGTCTTCTCCGTCGCCTTCCACACTAGAGAGTCTGTTTGCTCTTAAGAATGAAGGCCCAAAGCCACGGTAAGGATCCGGGTTGTACATGATAGCATTCGCAAACATATGAACCAACTCTCTTTCCAGCTGCGCGATGTTTATTATACCTCGCGGTGGCACGAGATCCACTGATATCGGTATCCAGACGTTCGTAGCGCTCGGATCAACATCAGCCATTGTTGCTACCGCTGCTGCCGCTGCTTTGGATCCTGCCGTAATAGCCTTCTGTATACCCTTGAGGTCTTGAGGCCGAAGCACGATTTCGAAGTAACCGGGAGCCGTCTTTGGCTTCACAGGATGCGCAAACATATTGGCGTGGCGGTGGCTGATAATTTGATCCAACGCGGATTGGCTAATTTTGTTGAACGAGCGTGTCCATAGAACGTGACTAGCTGGAGTCGGCGGTGCCCGATTTGGAGGGCTTTCTTGGCGCTTCCGCTTGTTAGACGGCTGGCTCGGCCCGGATGTGACCTGGCTAGGTACACTCTCGTCCGCTGTAGCCGCATCACCGATATCTTCAAGAGCCCGAGGAGTTGCCTCTTCATTCTTAATGTTGCTCCCCAAGAGATCCGGTTCCGCTGGTGTTTCTTCCGAGAGTGCTAAAGGACTTGTCTTCTGAGAAGCGCGAGGTGGCCGACCACGAGGCCGACTAGCTACTCCATCGGTCTTCTGTGCGGGTTTTCGTACATCCTTCTTGCCATTGCTTTCAGGCGAGGTTTTTGGTAATTGGGCTGTCTGGGGAGGTGGACTAATAGGTTCGAAAACCGGACTTTGGGTCTCAAAATAACTAGTTACATCCTCCATTCGCGGCGTCGCAGGTGTTGGTGTTGACGTCCACTTAGTACCATGACCCCTTATAATATGAGGCGAAACTGCCAGTGGTGTTTGTGGTTGAATCGCTGAAGATGGGCGCATAAGTTGAGGGGGCATAGAGGCCGGGGTCTGTAAGGGAGGCACCCGGGGGCGCTGAATGGGATCGCTAGCACCAGTTGGCTGGACTTGTTGATTGTATGGTGAATTATACAACCTCGAAGCTGGTTGCGCCTGGCTTTGCTGAGGCGCTGATGGGGCTGGAATAGGAGTCTCGGAGATGTGAGACCGACCAGAGCCAGGTGTCTGTCCCCATTGCGTTGACGGCAAAGGCGGCTTTGACGGGCTCGCGGCTGAGTGCGTAGTTGGTATTGTAATTGGCGGTCGGATGGGTGTTTGAGTCGGCGCATGTTGGCCTTGATGTTGAGGATAGGGACTAGGTCCTGCGCTGGGTCCTGCACTAGGTCCTGGAGAGCTGGCTATAGGAACAGAAGCTGGACGCCGCTGGTGTGCTTGCTGCCCTGTACCATCTGGAGCCGTATTTAATGGCAAAGATTGGAGGGACGGTGGTATTTGACCAGTACTCTGTGGTGGTAAAAGTACTGAAGGAGATGCTGGCGCGGAGGTTTGTACTGAAGGGCGATGTTGTGGAGGATGATATTGTCCGGGGGTTTGCCTTCCACTGGCGTAATTTTGGGGTAACTGAGGAGGTACGGTTTGAGGTTGAGAAGGATATGTTGGAGGCCTGGCCACCCCCGTGCCGTAAGGAGGGCGAGGTGATGGGATAGGTGTTTGATGAGGTGGTTGGTGTTGTATCGGTGGTTGCGGCGGAGGATGTTGTTGATGCGGAGACTGGTGAGGAGGTAGATGCGAGAGCTGCGGAGAAGGTTGAGGCGAGGGTTGATGGGGAGGTTGATATGGGGGTTCCCATTTCAAAGCAGGAGCTGGCGTAGGAGTAGCAGTGGGAGTATGGGGTTGGTTGGATTGTACCGGGGCAGGACTTCGGCCTTTCAGCGCAACATCAGGTCGTTGTAAGCCGTCCGTAACAGGCGGCTGTGGTGTAGTTGAGTGTTGACGCGCAGGGTATCCATGAGCGGTTTGTGGATGTTGAAGAACGGGAGTTGCGCCGCTTATCGGTCGAGCTGGTTCTTGTGGCCTATTATCGGGTGCGGTAATACGCGTTTCGCTCGGGGGTCGGGTAGATGGGGGTAAAGGCGAGGGAATCGGATGTGTAGGTTTCCTCTCTTGTAATGGCTGGGGTGTTTGAGGTGGTCCAACTCTTCTCTCGGCAGCAGGTGCTCTAGATGGTACTGGGACTGGAGTTGGTGTGGGTGTCGGTACTGGTGCTGGCGCTGACACAACCGCTGGTGTTGGTGCCGGTATTGGCGTTTGCGTTTGCGTTTGCGATGGCGCTATTCGGCCTGCCGGCTTCGGAGGTGCTGTCTCGTTGACAGCCGGTGCTCCGTTCTTGGTCGAGTCCGCACGCCGCTCTTGATTGAGTCTTTCATCCCATTCGCCCCGTTCGATTTCAGCAAGCTCACGTTGAAGCTCATCAAATCGCCTTTCGTCCTCCCTGATTTCTCTGATAAGACCATCGCGAAATCTTGTGTAGAGCTTGTCTACTAGAATTGAGAGTTTATCCGGTTCATCCTGATAACTGACCAGTGGGGGACTCTGAAGTTTCCTCTTCCTAGAATTCGGTGACAACGTGGCGGTGTTCTTTTCTACGGGAACTTCGACAGGCTTCTTCTCTTCCTTGCGCTCTTCCCGGAGCAGGTGTAGGGCAAAGCCCTGAAGAGATTCAGGACTCAATCGGTCGGCATCGTACTCGGCTTGTTCGTATATTAAAGGTGTTTTCTTGAGGGTGTCGGAGATGTGACCGAAGGTGCCTATGACAAGGCCTTTCGAGAAGTTCTTGTTGAGCTCTTGGAATAAAGCAAATGCTTCGAGAGGGGTGTATGTAGTCGGATTACGATTCATGCCCCAGAATCCACCTCGGCCGTGGTCGAGGGGACCGTCGCGTCGCTGTATGAGGTGAATCGGCGCCACGATCTAGTGTCACGGTCAGCATACCTGAAAGGACCCTCCTCGGGCCATTCCGGGCAGGAAAAAGCGAGTTTGACGCGTACTAAAATGGTTCAGGGTGATCGCAGAAGCCTATTAAGACTATTCCGACCACTTTAATGGCGGAATGGCGACGATTAAGGTCTATTTTCGATGAGGCTATTCGCGATGAATATTTTTCACGGGTTCCTTGTCGTTGCAATGAATCACGTGATTAGCACATAGATTCTGTAATCCGCGGACAGTAGGCTATGGTAGGTGTATGATTCGTTTGATGGATCGGCGAATGTTGCCAGATTGATGGTTGCAAGGTGGAAATGCGGGATCAAACAATTGTGTTAGCGTGTGTGGTCCGTGCCCTTCCGCGGTATCCTATTAAGATAACATATCTAGGTACTTAGATACATCCTAGCCTAACCTAAAAGCTGACATGAAAGCTCCTTCTTCCTATCACTATTATTCCTACGGGACAATGTATTCTCTAATTAAACTCAGAATAACCATGTTGACACCCACAACATAACGTTCGAACCAGCCTAACCTCCCACCTAACGGCGTAGATACATCATCTGCAGTCAACTCGTATTGTACGGAAGGGACAATCTAAGCAATAGCTATTGTCTATTCCACACTAGCACCGCAAGTACTCTCTTAGGCACATCCCAATATTCAGCTACAATTGACCTCTAATTTATACAAATGACATCGATACCCTGCTCTATCTCTCATGTGAACATTACACACGATCTAGATAGCGCACGTGCTTGGCCTCGAAGATAACTCATGATAGACTGTAGGTTGCGATAGTGATAAGCTAGTTGATGTCATAAGGATCGAGGCCGTCAACCGAAGGAATAATATAGATCGCATTTCTATAGGTGATAGGTATTATTTCTGGTGATGCAGCATACGTGATCTCTCTTGTATAAATTATAGCACATGTGAATGGAGCACGCTTTCTACCTAACGAAATATAATATCCGCAAATAAGAAGATTCCTAACCCAAATAAGTAAATACAATATGAAAATGTCGACTTGAGGGAAAGGAAAGGGGCGCTATGTGGCCCAGTCTAACTTCCCGCGCGTCTAAGCACTCATTATGCAAATGAGCTACTCCACCTAATTGCTCTGAGGTGCCTTAACCGATGGATAACATTTACGTAGTATGTTGAATAATACGACCCCCCTCGAACATTATTGATGTTCCTGCGAGAATAAGGGGCTTGTTACAAGCTCCAGCTGTCAATTACGAAAACTAAATGCATGAAAGCAAGGGAGATTAGGTCTGTTACTCGGAAAAGGTCAAAGTGCCCAGGTGGTATTAGCTAAATTGGATTGATGCCAGTGCTAATTCATGCAAGCGCTATGTAAGCCGTAACTTTATGCAAGTTATCATCACTCCATCGTCAACTAAAGGTAAGATACATCGTAACTGCCATATGTATCTTGATTATTAGCGGAAACTTTGCATGATGGGTTACCAATATTGAAGAAACAAGGATAGACCAAGTAGAATAATACGATGCTATAAGATAATGGCACCCGATTATTCCAATTCGGATCATCGCCGTCGAACTCAAATAAATGCATGGGACAATTTTATCTAGTGATGAGATCGTCTTGAGATCATCCCAAAAAGCAGTTAGATGCCAAGGCAATTATTACCCACCTAACTGGTAGGAAGTAACTACAACTTTCAGTGAGTTAAATCCATCAAAATTGTCAAGTTTCATCAGCTCAAGGTTGAAATAGAATTTATACCCAATTCAATCAATTTGTAAACCGAAGAAATATTCTCCCTCCCATCGATCTATTCCCACGGGAGATTACCAGCGTCCTTTTTTTCATGCAAGTGTGTTTCGGTTGTTGAGTGTCCAAGACGGTTAGGTTAGGTGTGTATTTATTTAAGTCAGGTACCGGGAAAGGCTCGAGTGTCCACTGGTTCGTTCGCCTGACCCTTACACCCCCTCTCCTTTTTTTCATTCGGTCCCTTTAAACTGCCTAGGTATTAACGTATTAACGGTCATCAGCTCACTGTACCTTGCCCAGGCCTGCTCAGTAGGACACAGGACACATCCCAATCCATCCCGATTTCTCCTAACGACCCGCCTTTCATTCCCTCCCCCCACCGCCAACTCCCAGTGCTCTACCAATAATAATAATACCACCAGCTCCCCCTCTAACTCCAGGTCGTTAGCACCTTTTCCAATATCCCCCCCAAACTAGACGATTTCTACAATTTCCCACTGCTTCTTCTACAGCTTCTGCATCAGTTTCCCTTAACGCCCATGTACGAGGACAGCACCAACTTTTTGCCCAAGATGAACCCGACCGACGAGGAACTCGACCGCGACTGGAAGCCCAATGGCCGCCGCCCGCAATCGTGAGTTTCTCACCGATGTCTAATTATCTTTCCACCCTTTTCTGCGTCGCAACAGAGTTGGGGTGAAGATAACAAGACAATGCATATCTTATTCATGAACAATGAGGAAAGAGTTAATATTTATTCCCTTTGCAGCACAATCGCCCGCTCCTTTAGCCAGGAGTTGATGGATATCTTCCGTATCGAAAACAGCCTAGCCGACCTAGACGAGCAGATTGACAAGCGGTATGGCTTACCCATATTGTCCTATTCCGTATGGCTTGGGGGTAGGCACTAATGCTGAGCTTTGCGCCGTTTAGGAAACAACAAGTTACGACCGGTCAATCTGAATTAGAAGCCCTCGAGGCCAGAATCAAGGAAATGGAGGAACGACTTAAGAAGCAGCAACCGGGAACGGGTGGTCTCAGCCCGCGGGCTCAACGGCAAGCCCTCAACGATGCCTTCGAGAAGAAGGCATCAGTAGAAAAAGACCTCGCACAGCAGCAACAGCAGCAGAGGTCACGACCAGGTACAGCGAAACAGGTCCAACAAGCACCTGCACATGGGGGAGCTATGCCTCCGACTCCTACAGCCAGTGAAGGTGAATACGTATTTGTCAAACATAGCTCCTCTGGTGACGGCGGTGCCGATTCTCGAATTATTACTGACTATGTCTTCGTTTCTAAAGATGGTGGCGACCGCGACAACTAAGTCGGCAGTTTACTTTGATTTTTAACGACACTTTCCCCGCCCACGCGCCCCCCTTAGCCGAGATAACGAAGTGGTTCTACGCTCTGAATTTTCAATCCAACCCGCCCCTCTTCGAGTCCGATAAAAGAGGAAACACGTAATGATCGACAACAATCAACCTAGCCCAGCCGAACTTGGACAACCATCGAGGGTTTCAGCTGATTTGTGTTTGGATACCCCGTCGGACGGTGTCAACTCTTTACCTCGGCTCTAGGATTCAACACGCGAGCCTTGTACCATTTCGATATTTTTCGTCGGAAACAGGGGGCTAATGTCCACAAGTCAAATTTCTTGGAATTATTTCACGAAACGGTTTTTTACAGCCTTAAGATATCCTCTCGTTTTGGAGAAAAGACGTGACTACTACATTTTCCCCTGTCCGTCCGGCGTTGAAGGCGTCCCATCTTCCTTTTCTCGAGTTCTCATCTTTAGGAACCCTTTTTACAAGTAACATCATGAATGAAGAGGAGGCGGTTTTGTAAGGCAATTACTACTTGGGGTTGATAGTAATGGACGAGGCGTGCGAGAAGAGCCGCTCGTCATCCCACACATTTTAGCATGGCATTGGGAGGGGAGTGTGAGGCCGCTGCCGGGAGTGGACGGCGTGAAGCAAAGGGGAGCCCCCTTCATAGATTATGGATGCATACGTATCTCATCGGTCGATGAGTTTATCATTGTACATACCTGACTCTTATCATTCGGGGAATCATTGCTAATGCATCCTGGATAAACATACCTATACCTTGCTCGCCTCCTACTTTTCGTCTAATGATTCTTATAATACTTTAGCTAGATAATGTCTATTTCATGTCGTAGCGGCGCATTGGCTGCGCCGTAGACATCTGGGTAGGTAGATAGGTAAGAGCAATCATCAAAACTACCTAGGTATTTAATATAGTAATGCCGTTGCGCAACGTTACACTAAGAGAACTCAATTAATATTAGTGTCTAGTATAAATTGCATCAAAACTTTAAACATCGCGACGCCTAAAAACGAGGCATGAACCTTTTTTTTTTTGTCCAAGGACGATTATACTTAAATTACTACGATAAGCAAACATCGCAAACACCACCCAAATTAAAGACGGAGCAGAAGAACAAATCACAATACCGAAACGATGTTCTTAAAATCAAACATAAAAAGCAATAATTTTGACTACCTTATAAACGAAACCGAAGTTACAGGCAGTATTTTGTGGGATCAAGTCCGTGATTATTACCACAATCCATCTCATCCACCTATGCTGACCAAAAAGAAGGCGCAGATACATACATGAATAAGTACGCGAGTAGACATTTTAATCTCGAGGTTTGGATTATGGCAGCAAAGATACCGACCGAACTGAAACACCTCTCATACCACGCGGCAGAATGCAGTATCGCAATAAAGGGACCCCTTACTCGTTAAACCTTCACCACCGGCAGACCCCACGGTTGGGTTTCCGGGTTTCTCTTCTTCAGATTGGTGTCCAAGTTGGGCTTAGAAGCAAAGCCAAAGCGTTCGTTTCCTATGTCGAAGACGGCGAATCCGCTCTTGAGAAACACATCGCCGAAAATACTAGGGGTCCCAGAGATGTAGCCAGAGGACTGTATACCAGCATAGCACATCCCTTCACTAGCGAGTGCATAGATGAAATACTTCCCAGGTATTGAGCCCATAATTTTGCCTCCCGCGTCGTCACTAATCTCGAAGATGAAATCCGGTGGGGTCGAATTGCAAGGTAAATGAAAGCCCAAATCCGCATACGAATAGTTGGCACCGGGAACGTTGTCGAAGTACGTCTTAACCGCTTCATCTGGTGCAAGCAGCAGCGTAGAACCAGTGTCGACAATGACCTCTCGTGCTTCATTGAATTCATACTTGGTACTAATCCCTTCGATGCCAAAGCCTGACTGTGTGACACCCCAGAATCCCTCCGAGTTATTGATATTGACGTATTGGATATCCGAATCGTGTAATTGGTCGTTGATATATCCAAAGTTGAAAGAGCCGTCACTGCTGTTGTGACGTAAGTCGACAGTGAACAGAGGCTGGCTCAATACCTGAGGTAGGAGGTCGAGGAGGGTTTTCTGTCTCGGTGTCGTCTCAGCGATAGATGGCCAAGCCAACCCCACAATACCTGAGTCGTACGAGGATTCTGTGAACATCTCCGATACCGACGTGGCTGATTCAATCGTCATATCGGGAATTGAAAGGTCGCCAAAGGCGAGTGTGTCCTTATAGCAGATGCCGCGCGAGGTGGAATAGTCACCGTAAAGCATAGACCAGGAGCAGTTCTTGATTGATTGGGATGTGGATGATTTGCTGGGATCCCAAAGAGTCTGACCATCCACCATTTTCTTATCTGTGTCGGTCGAGAAAACCCAGCTGCAACAGTTATCAGTCTACGGTGCTAAATAAAAACAAAACAGATATAGAGGGTTACCATACGTGTCAGACGATGCAGTATCAAGGTCCAAGGATAATTGTTGCGGAGGGGTGCCAATGCTAACGGGGGTCATGAAGACAAGATCACCGTCGTGCGAAGTGGCCGGAGCTGATGAACTTCCTAGTGTTATTGTCAGCAGGGAATCTACAAATCAAAAATAGCATCAGCATCGTTTTAATTACCACCATCAGCAACGGCGGCCTTCTCTTTGGTGGCAGTCTTGTGGGTATCGACAACATCCTGCAAACCGTCGGGGATATTGAGCTTGTGCTTCTTCAGAATCTTGAGGTAGTCGCTGGGACCGTGTCGAGGGGCGTCGGCGTCGTGGGACACGCCAACAGAGAAAGTGTTAGTCTTGCTACCTCGCGGGTGCAAGGCCGGCGACGAAGTGACGACGGCAAAGAGAGAGAAATAAAAGGCCAGTGCCGCTAGGGCACTGGAAAAGTATGCCATAATGACTGACTGACCGTTTTGGTGGACGAATGGCGGAACTTTGATGAAATTAGAAGAGATAGGGAAGAAGTTGAAAAGGGAGAAATTATCTCTTAAGAAAGAGAAAAGAGAGGCGGGGTTTATATCAAAAGGAGTGGATGCGGGAGTGAGTGACCTAAGAGTTACCTAGGTGGCAGTCGCGTTTGGTTTATCTAACTACAATAATAAGGTATGAACGTGTTCTGATGTGATGGTATAATTTTGTGGGAGATATTAAGTACCTGCTTCATGTAAGGAAGGGGTGCCTACCCGCTCTAGCATGTACGTATGTACCTCTCTCAACATACGCGACTTATGGTGTATCCAAGGTACAAATTCAGTGTACGAATCAAGCAGCGGTTACCTGAAGGCAGTTGCTTTCTAAGTGCTGTAGGGGCGGACGGGATATCCTTGTGAGCATGCGCAGGTTTGGGCGAGTGCTCCCAGCTACCGTCAACTTTAAATCTCAAGTGGAAAGCTACACGAAATCGGATTTGTCGACGATCTTGCCAAGCCGGGTATCCGCAGCTTCTCTTTGGATTGAAGGACCCGTTGGAGCCGTGTGATCTTGCGTAACTGCATGTATGCACATGTACGTACTTACGTGTACCGTCGGTAAAATATGGATGGAAGCAGATTCGCAAACAAATCAACAAACGGACCAATACTTACGTGGATTTGAGATCTCACTGTTTATTAATCTTCCGAAGCCTACTAGCAATTACACTTAATTTTTATATTTATATGAATCTATGTAATTTACCCTACCGCTCTAGTACGGGTCTACCCGGTTTCATCATGTCGGCTTTGAGTAGCTACACATGTAAGGAGGCATGGTTAGGGGCTGACGGGAATCAGCTCAGCTCTCCCTTGTTCTCCTTTTTCACTTTAAAATAAGGCCACCTAGCTTGGTTATGCCTCTCCAAACATTAAAGAGGAAAAAGTGTACCACGTAAGACATGACAAACGGTCTACCACATATTACACGGACTTTGGTGTTACTAAATAACAAACCCAGGTGGAGTTTCGTACGAGCTTTGGACCGCTCTGCGCCGATTATCCGCCGATGGGAAAGACAAACATATGGATATGGGGTGTACGTAGCTCAGAATACTACCCATAAGACGTGGTCAAGTGGAAGAGCATTTAGATCTAAATAGAATACTACCTAGGTACCTGGAGCTCTCTTGTAATCCTGTTACATATCTGGGTAGTTGGGTAGGGCATTGTAATCAAAATATCTAAGCTTTGGTAGATGTGTCATATCATTCGTCAATATCTATCTGCTGTTTATACTACAGCTCATCATGCTTTGTCTTTGTCTTCGCCTCCTTATCTTGTTGTTCCTTAGACATGCGCCTGATCATCTCCTCGATCTCTTCCGCTGACGGGCCCTTGCCATCTTCTCCGAACTTGATGTAGTTCTCCCCGTCCTTAGGCTCTACCGTCGGCTCGGAGCTGTCGCTTCCCGTCTTGGTAGATGCCTTCTTGGATTTAGGCTTGCTCGACTTCTTCGAGCCGCTCTTCTTCTTGCCTTTATCAAAGTTCCTGACACTCTTCATGGCTAGGTCCACGCCCGCCTTCTCAAGCTTCTTCGTCCTTTCCTCAATATCCTTAGCTAGTATCACGGGGTTGGCCGTCTCGGGGAGTTTTTCTTGTTCGGCAAGCTTCTCTTCTAGCCAATCAATAATACTCTTCGAAAGATCTGTAATCTCCTTAAGGTCGTCAATGGTGTAAAGAGGCGGCACTGGACCGCGATCCTCCGTTGCGGTGGCTGTTGTCGATAGTGTTGTTTCTTCATCCTCAAGGCCATCAAAATCACCAGCATCTTTCGAAGGGGCTGCAGTGATAGTAGAGCTTGTTTCGCTTGTCGAACTAGCACTACTACTGACAGATGCTCTGTATGAATCTGCCTCGGCAATCTTCTCCTTGATGGTATTAATAAATGTGGTTGTCTGGTCGAGCGCGCTTCTTAAACCCTTGATTAACTCCGGTCTCTTTCGCGCTTCTTCAATTCTTTTCTCAATAGGAGAAACAAGATCCTTTAGACCCTTAAGCTTAGACTTGAGTTCGTCGTGTGACGCATCAGCGCCATCATCGTAGAGCCATTCACTAGCTTCGCTAGCTTTCTTCTCTAGCTTAGCTCGTTCCTCTGCGGTAGAGGCAGCTACAAAAGATTCCGACTCTAGTAGATCCCTAACCTTGTACGTAAATCCTTCAAGCTGATTTAGAGCTTCCTCTCTTGCCCGTCGAGATCGATCAGACAACTCAAATGCCTTGATGCGATCCTTTGCTTTAGTAAGATCTGCCTTCGATAGACTCGGGATACCCGCCTTCTCTGTAATATAGTTGACTGGGATTACAACAAGCTCAGTTTTCTTCGGGGTAGAGCTGCTCTCAGGGGATTCAGCAGCTGCCGGCGTCGCGGTTGTAGAAGTGCTAGAATCTACAGAGGTTGCGGCTGTCTCAGTGGACTCAGTAGTCGAAGAGCTCTCGGAAGCTTCCGCATCAGTACTCTCTCCTTCTTCTTTCAGGGGTTGTTGATCCTTGTTCTTCCCAAAGCCGAAGAGATTTTTGACGCCATCAATGACGGAGCCCTCCTTCTCCTGTACTTCAGCTTCACACTCAACCGCAGCCTTCTCGATCTCAACCTCGCCATCTTCGGCGCTAAGTCGAAGCTTGACCTTGAAGTGAATATCGGGATGAGAGCAGCCCTTTTCAACTAGAGAAGCGACCGAAGCAGTCAAGTTCTTCATCACCAAAGTTTTTATTTCTCTTTCCGCCACGCCTCCAGCTGAAGGCCATTGTTGGTAGAAGATGACGGAGAAATCTTCGTGGTTTGTGAAAGTGACCTCCTTCGCCGCGGCGCCGAGAAGCGATCGTTCCGTCCAGAGTCGCTGCTGTTGGGGCTTGCCCTGGGGATTCGTCCACTTCATCCCCGCCGGGTAGAATGAGCCATCGGAGATCCTGATCTCTTTGACTCGGAAGCTGGGGCTAAGCTCCGCAGCTCGGAAGGCAGCGCCAAACACTGCTGCTTCATCGGAGTTGACATTGCTCCGGAGCTTGTCGTTCCCTGCAATGCTCTCAAGCTGCTTTTGGACGAAAGGCGTCCGGGAGGAACCGCCGTGAAGGATGATGGAGTCGAGCTGTTTGATATCAAGCTCGGCTACATCTAACGCCTTTTGGACTGTGGCACCGACTCTCTCAGCATGTGCCTCAGCTAGTTTCTCAAACTCCGCGCGAGTAATCTTATATCTGAAATCAATATCATCGTAGAGGCCCTCAAAACTAGTACCAGTCTCGACGTTGGCGCTGAGAATATGTCTGAGTCGTTCGGCGTCCTTGAAAAGTTTCGCCATAGCTCGACCGTGTCCTCGGACACTCTCCGCCGACACTGAGGTCTTCTTCGCAGCTGACGTCTCAATAAACTTGGCAATCATGTCGTCAACGATCAAGTAGTTAAGTGCGTCACCGCCCAGGGTCCTGTCCCAGCCACTTCCCACAACTTGTACTTCCTGAACTGTCTTGTTGAACTTGCCAATGTCCTTAACTGATCGGCCTTGGAACTTCAAGACAGTTGCCTTAGCGGAACCAGCACCCATATCGAAAACCATGTGGTACTCTGGCTTGCCTCCCTCGTTCACATTGGGGAATGTTCGGCTCGTAGCGTAGTTTAGCCCGACGGCAAGACCGTCACTGATTAATGACAGGACTTTAAGACCAACTAGCTCGGCAGCCAACTCTACAGCGCGCTTCTCTTCAATAGTGTAGAACGGTGGGACAGTAATGACCACAGACCGTACATTGCTATCAGAGCCAGCCATTGCCTCAGCGTTGCGCTGGATGCTCTGGAGCTCCATAGCCAATAATTCTTCAACCATCCATGCTTCTTCATTCGCGGTAGCCTTGCTCTTGAATGCAACCGTGCCACGTGTCTTGTGTGCTTCTAATTGTAGGGCTGGGTGCCTTGCGGCATACTCTTTCACGATCGAGTCGTCGCTGGGAAGGCCGAGGAGGGTTTTGAGGTTGGGGTATACATCGCCGGGGAATCGAGCTGCGAGAGCTACGGCATCTGAGCCATAAGCTCTCTCGGGATATGAGCCGCTCTTGGGGGCATTTTGTGAGGGTTTGAAAGCGACAGCGGAGGTTTCTTTTCTTCTCGAATCCTTCGTTAGGACGATCTCGAGGGGTATTCCGGGCTTGACGAGAGTGGCTTTTATGTATTCGGTACCCAGGTCAATACCAAGGACAGCGGATATAGCTAGGACATTTGTAGAGAAAAAGAAGATCATGCACAGTAATATAGATCGAGGGGAGTATATTTGCGCCATGATGGGCAAAATATTAGGAGGGGTGTTTTTTTGGCGAGAAGCTCGCCCGTCAAAAGATTGAGACCAGCTACTTGGGGAGAGAGATTGGGGAAATATAGTGGGTTGAATATAAAGATTGAATGCAGCTTTATTATTTATGAGACTCCAGTCCGGCTGCCTTGTATATAAGAATTCTTTAATTTATTAGAATCTGGCCTCAACTAGAAGAAACCTAACTGTTCCCTGTAGCCATGTGAGCTTTCTGACCTCACCGCACGAGTTTGGCCAAAAAATTATGTACTTTTCCATACAAAGAGGACAACTTGTTGACATTAAACCCTTGTATGTGGCTGGAGTTTTGTGCAAAAGCCACTGATAGAGATCTAATTGGTCCGATAACGGAATTAGTGCCTAGAATGAGACAAATGTGGAAATCCTTAGAACCCCACTTCTCCAACCTTAGTCAGCTATTCATTGTCGTATAATGTTCGTGGCTGACTTTCTGATTCCCCTGCCCCCCGCACAAGGGGTAGGAAGGTACCTCGGTACGGGGTACTTAAAGCCGAAGTACACTCATGTATAAAGAGCATCTCAAGTGTATTGTATACTTAATTTCGAAGTCCCCAATGTTTCTTTTCTCTTCATAATATCCCAAGTGTTGATAACCTTCACATCCGTATTTCCACAATGTCTAAGGTTGATAACGAGATCAAGGGGCGTCTCGCTCTTATCACAGGTGCCTCCGGAGGGTATGCTAGTACTATGTGTTTTGACATAAGTAATTGCATCCGAATACAGAGTTGACGGATATCATAGTATCGGCTCCGCATGCGCTCGAGATTTATGGGCTCACGGAGCTTCTCTTGCTCTGACATGTTTTCGGAACACACAACCTGTGGACGATCTAGCCGAAGAACTTCGGAAATTAGATGGCGAGGGCCGTAAAATCACCGTCCATCGTGTTGATACAGCATCAGCAGAAGAGATCGAGAACCTGTTTCGTGAGATTAAAGAGCAGCACGGCCAAGACGGTCCAGATATCCTAGTATCAAATGCAGGGTACGGAAAGAGACGAAATGGTATATTGGACGTGAGCTTAGAAGAGTTCGACTACACGATCAACGTCAACTTGCGAGCCTCGTTTCTTCTCTCTAAACTGAGTATTCCGCACATGGAGGCGCAAGGCTGGGGGCGGATTATCTTCATTTCGTCGATTGCAGCACAAGGAGGGGGTATTAACGCGTGTCACTATGCTGCTTCTAAAGCTGGGCTGACCGGTCTGATGAAGAACTTGGCAATGAAGCACGGAAAGGTAGGGATCACCGTCAATGATGTTGCTCCCGCTATGATTGGAGAGACCGGGATGATCCCAGACGAGAAATACGTCGAGGGTACGCCGGGTGACGTGAAGAACATTCCGGTTGGACGCCTAGGAACGCCACAAGAATGCGCAAATATTGTTACTATGATATGTAGGACTGGCTACTTAACAGGCCAAAGCATACTGCTCAGTGGTGGTCTTAAGTAGTTGGTTGGTTCCGAAACGTATCTTGGTTTTCGTATGCTTGTTTGAGCTGATGCGTATTTGATACGACCAATTAAAGGAGAAGCCAGCGAGTCTACTAATGTAAGCAATTATTGCTTGCATTATCTTTTCGGAGTATATGTTTTAAGGCGTTCCGCAATATGCCAAGGTTTCTAGGTAAACTTTCTTAATCCTGCCCTATGAACTATTGTTCTTATGAATTGGGGTATAAATGGTTTTATTTGATAACAGGAATCGATATTTCTCGGCAAACAGCGGCGTAAGTTCCGTTGTGTTTCCCGTGTCGGAGTGGCGAGATCCGACGCCGGATACAACGCTCGGCTCCGTGGCGATTGCCCACCTGGGGAATTCTCCAGTCGGGTGATTGTGTAACCTTCACTTTCTTACTTTCGCCCCGAGATGACAGAGATGACTCAACTTCATAAATCCTAATGAAGATCTCGTTTCATGTTTCATACGAAGTCGTTCATATTTTCTGGACCCCTCAAACTGCCCCCAAGTCTTATTGGCCACCCTATTCCTTTTACCCCTGATTCACCCCCTGTCTCTGCATCTACTCGTGGCGGTCTCAACGGCAGTGTAGTAGATCATTAGTCAACTACACCCAACGGTATACCATCCCGCATAGTGGCTTACCTACTTTACCTAACCCATTTACAAAACCTGGGGAAAGTAAATCAGACCTTTAGCTTCTTTCTACATTACTTCGAGCAAGTAGACAGGCAAGCTTACCAAATACATATAAGAGTCAAGAGACCGGAACGCTAACTCCGAACTTGACTTAACCCATCCCGGACCAAACTCCGACTCGCAAAACTTCCACCTACTCAATCACAAAGGAAGAACCAAAAATGGGAACACCATTCATCACTCTCCTCGAGCCCTCGCGCCTCGACGGTTACGACCGTTCGAAGCCTCATGATCAACAGCCGGCACATATACCCCAGGCATTCTGCGATGCCATGTAAGTACCTTTATCTTTCCCTAATACTACGCTACACTACAATATGGCTGTATCCATACATCCGACCTCACTACCCAAGCCATGACTCAAGCCCTCTCATACACCAACTAACCCACCTCCAGGGAAGTCCGCGAAGCAGTCTTCGTGCGTGAACAATCCGTACCCCTGCAAAACGAGCACGACGCCGACGACGCGCGCTCCTGCCACTGGGTGACCTACGCTAGCGTGCACCAAACCGTATCCCCGGAGCAGCGGGACCCAGCCACAGGTGAAATCCTGCGCCCGCGGCGGTCAGAGACTCGTTCCATGCCTATCGGCACCTTGCGCGTGGTACCGTTTCCGCACCCGCCGCACCCGCAGGCGGGAGGGCGGTATGTGGATAATGTTCTGCAGGAAGATGAGGGTGAGGATGGCCAGGTTGGTGGAAGTGGAGGGGGAAGTGGGAATGCTGCTTCACCAACGGGTGCTAGACCCCGTGCTCGCACATTGACGTCCGTCGATGAAGAGCGTCAAGCTTCCGCACTACCCTACGGCGCGGATCGTCCTACGACGTACCACGACGGCAAGGAACCCTACGTCAAACTAGGTCGCATGGCCGTAATCCCCGAATTCCGAGGCCACCACATCGCGGGCCAGCTCTGGCACGCAGCGAAGAAGTGGTTAGAAGAGAACCCTACGTTCTTCAACCCCAGCGTTACGGAGTTAGGTATGGATCAGTTGAAGGCGGGTGCTCCTAGCGATATCCCCAAGTGGAATGGTCTCATCTGCTGCCATGCGCAGAAGTCCGTCGTTGGACTTTACGAGAGATGGGGGTTTAAGGTTGATGAGGGTATGGGAACTTGGTACGAGGAGGGCATCCCGCACGTGGGTATGTTCCAACGACTCAAGATCAAGGAGGTGAACCCAAAGGTATGACATCTAAGATGGCCTGGAGAGGAGTTGTGGAATACCTACAGTACCTAGGGAGATATTGACCTAGGCATATGGTAACGGGGATGGCACGCAAATAGTAGTTTAGCTATGACTTCGCTGGCTACTACGATTCTTACGATGATACCAGGTCGATCGAGCACGGCCAATTTAGTCCTTTAGCTGCTACTGCATTTAAGAAGAGCCAAATATCAATGAATCAATCCTATTAACACCACTGACTGTCCTTTTCCGGGAACTTTATTTTTGCTTAATTCAGTTCATGATATTTTGCCCGCACGGGGGCAGAGCCTTTATTTGACGAGCCCTACGTGACTAGTATGCCATAGAACCGCATCCCGCCTGAGCCAGAAACGCACAAATGCAGAGTGTAAAATGCCCAGATCGTTCCACGCCGAAGAAAAACCCTGAAACAACACCCCTTTTATCGGTTGCTCTTGGCTACACGCTCCAACTCGTCCTTCTTCTTGATAGCGTACGAGTTGCTGCTTCCCTTGGCAGCGTTGATTAGTTCTTCGGCCAGGCACTCAGCAATCGACTTGACGTTGCGGAAAGAGGCCTCTCGGGCACCGGTGGTGAGGAGGGCGATGGCCTGGTTGACTCGTCGGAGGGGAGAGACATCGACGGCCTGTCGTCGGACGGTACCGGCGGAACCAATACGTGTGCTGTCTTCTCGGGGACCACAGTTGACAATGGCGTCAACGGCGATCTGGATAGGGTTCTGGTCGGTCATGAGGTGAATCTATTTAATGTTAGAATTTGTCGCGGATTGAAATTTCCGGATACAGAAAATCTTACGATCTCGAAAGAGTGCGCAACGATTCGGACAGCCATCAGCTTCTTTCCGTTGTTGCGGCCGTGCATCATGAGCGAGTTGGTCAATCGCTCAATGATGGGACAGTTGGCCTTGCGGAATCGCTTGGCGGCATAACGACCGGCAGAGTGAGGGATGTAGACGGGGGATCGGATTTGGATGTAGTCGCTGTAAAATTTCCTCCGTTAGCTTGATGTTCCATACGTTTCAATTCCCAAGATATGCTCGAATGCTGTCGGTTCGTTCAAGTCGGATAATTCGATTTGGAATGGAATAAAAATTGATTAAATTGACTTACGTCAAAGAGATGTCGCGAATCTCAACATCCTCGTAGCTCCCTATTCATTTAATTAGTTGCGACGTCCCAAGGTTTAATTAGGAAAACCAATCCAAAGGGAGAAGAACGTACATCGGTTGAACAGCTTGATGCTGCCAATCTCGGCGGTTACATCCTTAGGAAGGACCTGGTAGGTGGCGGATTCGACCTCGATCTCGCCGCTGTCAGACATGTTGATTGTTCTGGCGTTCCTGGCAAGAGATTAGGGATATGTTAAAGGTCGAATGTTGGTGGTGGGGAGGATCGCGAAATTCCACTGTTGAATGTTCAAGATAGAAATTTTGGCCGGGTACGGAATACATCCGATTCCAAAAATTCGTGGGTAGAATTGGTGCGCTAGGGCTCAAAGGTTAGTGCGAGAGAACCAATCAAAGCGAATACCCCACTTTCAGGCGGTAGCAGCTGGCACTGTTTAAAATTTGGTTAGATAAAGAAGGTACTTAGATACACAATGTGGGGTACTGGCCTGATGGAAACTCCGCTAAATATGCAGCTACCACCTCTGATCTCTGAAGAAAGAACAATTCAATCAACATCGAAGGTTCACCATTGGTCGACGATTCCATATATACAGAGATATGACTCGTTTATGAAACTTTGTTATTCTAGATACTCCGTAACATAAAAATATCCGTCAATTATAATTATAAATTCTTTCCTTGTCTATAAAGTTCAACCATCTTATCGTTGCCCGACAATTATGTATCCAACCTCCTGGACGCATACTATCCGCTTATGTTAATTCGATAAAGCTACATTCTGCTAAATACTACAACCCCAATGCTCACAATTAACAAAACGCCTCCTCTAAACCAGGCTCATCAACGCCAAGCGCCATCTTCCCAATAGCAGTCCCAGCATCCAGGATCCTATGCGCCTCTCTGATTCCCTCCGCCGTAGCCTTAAGCCGCTGCATCAAATGACATTTGATCGTACCATCACCAAGATACTGACCTAGCTGTTCATACCAATCGTGGTGCTTCTCTTCCTGGTCATTTACATAATGGTGGTAAGCACCTGAAGCCAACCAACACCATGAAAACGTCAGGGACTTGCCCATCATCTGCGACCCGTACATGTCAAACTTGGCCTGCACAATACTGCAGATTTTGCCAAATGGCGCGATAACTTCGGCGATGGGGAAGAGGTATTGCTCCGTTCGCGAAGTGATGTAAGCGTATTTCAAGGGTGTGTCAGCCGGAAGGTTGAGCGCTCGGATTTGTTTGACGATATCCTCGCGGTGGTTGACGACATGCGTTGCGCCCATCTTCTTGGTATACGCGATAGTTTCCGGCCTTGAAGCTGTCGTGATGACAACGGGCAACTTGCAGACATATCGAGCGATTTGTGAAGCAATGGATCCCATACCCCCACCACCGTTGATAATCAGGATTGCGGCTTTCTCGCCCTCTTTGATTTCCAGTCGGTTGACGAGAGATTCGTACGCGGTTGCATAGGTCAACGGCATCGCCGCAGCCTGAACGAAGTCCACGCAACCCGGTTTGTGGCCTGCATGGCGCTCGTCGACGAGTACTTGCTCGGCATATGTGCCTTGTTTGACGGGGTTTGCGAGATAGAAGATTTCGTTTCCGGGCTTGAAGTACTTCACATCCGGTCCCGTTTCGAGAACAATCCCTGCGCCATCATAGCCGATGATGTGGAAGTGAGGTGGCTCTTGCAAGAGCGACTTGACTCGTTCGTAGTAATCAGGGGGGTCGTCGTATGTGCCAGCTCGGACCTTCATATCAATAGGATTGACAGAGATGGCCTTGACCTGAACAAGCATTTCGCGACCAGTTGGTTTCGACGGCTTGGGAACTTCTCTCGATTGCAAGTTCGCGATAGCACCATACTGTGCTACACCAACTGCGTGCATTGTTGAAGAAGCCATTTCGTCTGAAGATAATTGTGTTCGATGTCTTGTTGATATCTGATATTTTGCTTTAACTCACTATGGTTCGATGTTCTTGGCTACCTATTCCTGGACTACCCTTCCCATATATATAGGCAGATATTCTGTACGACGTCTAGAGTTTCCATACTGACGCGCTGATTAAGTCACGATGAGGGGTATGGTATTCCTAAACTTCCTAAACCACTATGCCGTTACCGAAGAGCGAGTGAAAACCGACGATAAAATCCGCGAAGCGCTTACTGAAGTTCCATATGATTGTGGACAGGCTATTCAAGTGCAACTCTATTGTTAATTGTACAGACCAACACTTACAAATACAGGCTGTAAATTAAGAGGCGTATGCCCGATGAGGTAAGGACGACGAATCAGGAAATGGCTGATATAGATCGGTGCCGACCACGATGCGGCCTGATGATCACGGAGTTTTAAACAGCATGCATCCGGGTGGTTCCCGATGCGATGTCTTAATAATTCTCCCGACCATCCGCGGTTATGGTGTTGAAAAGCAAGTTCATAATGTTGCGATCGTCGAAATAATAATCCCTATTTCTAAGCTACCTAGGTACATCTCTCAAGCCACACTTGTGGCTAGTATTTTCTACTAATAGCCCCCCGGGTGTAACCGAATGATGTACATAAGAATGAACCTTAATCGGAGCTTGTAAGCTTATCACATCCATCTTTTTCTCGGCCAACCAAATTTCATCAATTCTTAATTCGCGGAGTCTCGAGCTTCCGCAATTCTACGGAGTACCGTAATTAGAATACACGAGCTTTGCACAAGGCCACATTGCTTCGCCTACTCCCTTGCCTAGCCTTGTCTTAATTAACTTAAGTATTCGTTCGTATAATAAAATAACACTTTTATAAAAACTGTTTGCTCTAAATACTATATCCTCGAGTGAAATTAGTCAATTGAAAGGGGAATCGAAGACCAATAGAAACCCAATCATGGCAGAAGTCCGCCAACGCAGGGGCAAAGGCCCCGTCAAGACCGCCGTCGTCGAAGACTTAGGAACAGCATCAGAATCCGAAGTACGCGAAGAACAAAAAAAAGCAAAGTCCAAGTCCAAATCCAGACCAAAGCGCAAGGGCGCCAGCGAGCTCATCGACGACGACGAGTCCTATAGCCCGTGGCTAGACATCCTACGAGTCCTCTCATTCCTAGTTGTCGCCTCATGCGGTCTCAGCTATCTCGTCTCGGGCGGCGAGTCCTTTACTTGGAATCTGCGTGCACCGCCTAAGTACTTGCAGGTGGATTGGTGGAAAGCTCAACTGGTACGTTCGACACATACCCAGCCCTATACGTAAATACAAAGGCAGAATAAAGAACTAACAGCCCTTCTAGAAAGGACCAATCTACCTAACCCCAACTGAACTATCCCAATACGACGGCACCGACGAGTCCAAACCCATCTACCTCGCCATAAACGGCAGCATCTACGACGTATCCAGCAACCGGCGGACCTACGGCCCCGGGGGTTCCTACCGCTTCTTCGCCGGCGCCGACGCAGCACGATCCTACGTATCCGGCTGCTTCGCCGAAGACCGAACGCCCGATCTCCGCGGTCTCGAAGATATGTTCCTACCCCTAGACGATCCCTCAATCGACTCTTTATACCCCGCAGCCGAGTTAGCTGCGTTGAAGAAGAAAGAATTAGAGGAGGCACAGGAGAAAGTACACGAGGCGTTATTACACTGGGTACGGTTCTTCGAGAACAGTCCCAAGTACCCGAAGATTGGGTATGTGAAGAGGGAGAAGAACTGGCTGGATAAGGAGCCGCGGAAGAAGCTTTGCGACACCGCGGCTAAGGGGAGGAAGCCCAGAAAAGCGCCTGGTGAGGAGGAGTCGTGAGTTTAAAAGGTGACGGGAACGTATATATACCTACCTAGAAGATTGTAAGATATCCTAGAAAAAAGAGGGAGAGAAAAGGAGCGATAAAATGCTACAATCGGTTATAGGGTTGTTCTAGCGTGATGCGAATTCAGGCATGGAAAAGCGATGCATTAGGCGCTGGTATCAAATGGCTTCACCAAAGGACGTTGAAAATCATACGAAGGATAGTTGATCCGAATAATACTATGCAAGCATCACTACCAAATACGTTACGCATCCTTCGAATATTACAATCGTGACTGTCACACATTCACGTCCATAGTAGATCTTAAGACTTTTATGTTCTCAAAGGGATCAACGGGTATATTAATCAAAAGCGAGGGCACTTCATCTAACTGCACAATAATGCAAAACCGAACCGCCTGCTTGCCCCCTGGGGCTAAGAATCCAAAATACATGTATACGTTTTTTTCTCTAGATCCGTAACGGCATGCCTCCCCCATCCAATGGGCTCGACATCCGTACCCCTTCTTGGGTTATAATTATAGGCCCGGATCTAAAGATGGATACCGTATGGCCCACTGCTTCCAGTCATTAAGTCATAGCTCTATGACATGAGCCTCATTTACTGCCTACTTCAACCCTAGTACAGTCCTATCATAGCATGAAAAGAGCAGCAACAATACCGACGAGACCCATAGAGGCGGAGACACCGGCGACGCTGGCACCGGCTGTCGGGACGTCGGAAGAGGCGCCCGGTGTAGAGCTGCTCTGGGAGGCATCGGCGCTGCCACTGCCGCTACCGGATGAGGAACCAGAGCCAGAGGTAGAGCCACCAGTGGAGCCAGTAGAACCACCGGATGTGCTGTTGCCAGAACCGCTGGTGGCAGTGGAGGGAGCAATGTTGGCGGTAGCGGCCTTAGCAAGGTCCTTGAAAGCAGTCAAGCTTCGGGAAGCGTTGGCAGCAGTGCTATTCATGGTTAGATACGAACTTGCAATGCATTGACGATTTTGAACTCACTTCTCGTTAACGACCATAACCATACCGTTTTGGCAGTGCTTGGCCTGAGAACAGTAGAACCACTGAGGCGTCTTGGCGGCGACCATCATAGTGTAGGTAGGGATCATGCCCATAGCGGCGCTGGCGGCTACGGGTTGGTAGCCGGAGAAAACACCAGTCATGTTGGTTGTCTGGGCGATGGGTGTGCACGGGTTGTCGAAGTTGGACTGAGCTACACTGTGGTTGCCACCTCGGAATTGGAACTGGATCATATCACCCACATCCGCCTTCACGTTGTCGGGGCTGAAAGCGAGAGTACCGTTCGGGGAACCGACCGAAACGACATGGACCTTCTGAGCGGAAGCAGCACCCAAGAGGGCGAGGAGAGTAGCGGTAGTGAACTGCATTCTGGCGGTTTTGATGAGTTTTCCTAACTTTATCTAATAAAAGAAAGTCGTTCGAAGAGAGCGAATATTCAATAAGCGACTCGCGCTGTGTAGGACTAGCCTGACGAAGATTATGGTATGAAGTGAAAGTGAGGAAAAACAAGAGAAAAATGAAGATCCCAATGAGAAACGTAGAGAAGCTGAATAGAGAAGAGAAAAAAACACAAAGCCAAGGAGGCAGCGGGAGCAGCATGAGTTTTAAAGACCTATTGAGGATAAGTCGGCAACATGATTGATCGCCATGCTGCGGGCCCAGCCCATGCCCCCCCGACATCTAAGGTCAAGGGTTGCTGAAAGTGAAGAAATCTATGAAACACGTTTGGACCATCGACAAGATGGCTAGTTTAGGAAATGCTACCATGTCGACCAGGGGTGTCCACTAAGACGGACGCTTGACAGCCGAGATATTGCTTCTAGGCCTGATTACTGCTGCTCATATCGGAATGAGTGTAGTAGTAATAGCAAAGCCACCCGGGTAGGTCTAGATTCCGGGGCACATATTGCAGTCCCTATCGTGGGGATACGATGAGGAGGCTCTTTCATGATGCATGTCGCGTCCACATCATCGAACCACTTGTCCCTATAGCGGTTATTGTTTCGCTCAACAATTGTAATTAGAAACAATTGTCTTCATAATAGTGGCGAATTACCTATACGCTGACATCGTTTCGTAGGTTGCCTCTAGGGTTGTGGTTACGAGATTCAGGGCGTAAACGTTTTGAATCTGGGGAATGAAGTTGTTGAAGATGTGAAGTTGGACCAGGGGGCACGTAACTCCGCAGATACAGCAGAGTGTTAAGCAGTGTTAAGCAGAATTAAGTTTGGAGGGTTAAGCGACAGGGGACTTACAGGGGATTTAGGGGCCTAATAAGGCGGCCTAGGTACCTAGCCGGCTGGGGTCAGGGGCTGGCTCGGAGCACGGATGTGCTTCAACATGGAACTATGTGACACCAGCCAAACTCTGCCAGTTTCATCCCATCTCCTTTTTTGGTTATTGCCGCCAGCATTCTTCCACCAAAAAAGGTTAAGCAAGCACTAAGGAGCCTCAATTCATTCAATTAATTGTAGGGAAGCGACGGCAAGATAACCGCTTTATTTTTGTGGGTAATTAATTGATAGATGTCTCTTTTAATTGAGGAGATCTATACTGCATCTGACTGTTTGAGCTGCTGCATGCCATAGTACATCCTAACCACTAATTCTTTTTAGGATCAGAAACATTCATAGGAATTCAGACGATACGAAATATGAATACATGTTAGTATCATAAAAGTATCGAGGCCATGAAATGTTTCTAAATTCCACGTAAGTAACTCGAAACTGGTTGACGTACTATACTCTTCTCCAGTGGCTTAAGTCCACAAAATATGGTGCGGCTCGAATAAGTTATCCACCTAGAAACTATCATGGAACTACTCTGATACTATGTTGAGAATTCAGAGTCCACTGTAAGACTATTCTAGAGGTTTTCCCCAAGTGCTGGCCCCGAGGCTGAGAGGTGGGGAACCATCGTAGATAAGCCAGTGCTCCCCGACGAGATAAGTCGAGATGAACATCCAAAGGGGTTCAGTTGATATCTTCCATTCCTGATTTATGCACCGGGATCCTTATCTTCTACGAAAGGGATAGACCCGGCTTGCTATTGATCCAACATTAAAGGTTGGAGACCAAGGTCTTCAGCCCAGCCTTAGGAAATTAGTATAGGTAGGCAGTGCAAGATGCCGAGATCTTCGCCAACGCGGCTCCGTAGATCGATTCCAAGGATGCGTTCATGCAATCAGGAGTAAAATGCCGGAGAAAAGATATACATCGCGGTCGATCATGATCCGAATTCGGGCTATCACTTCGTATACAGTAGCTGATAGTCGTAAGAGATAGAACATTAGAACATTTATATAGTTGAAACATACCTGTAGCGTAATTTCTTCAGGATTGGTTCCGCTAACGGCACATGGAGATGTCTTGTTACGCCTTCATAGATCAAGCAAAAGCTGCGGTGCGACCTTTTCTAGATCCTCGACCTCGAGAAATCCCTTCTCCTTCTCCACAACCGTCCGCGCAATCGCCTCGCGCACAAAAATATCCATATACTTCGCAATAGCCGCATTAGCATCCTTCGAGACTCTCGTACCATTCTTCTCAAAGAACTGGTGCAACACATGCGTTAACAATTCTGGCGGTATCGTCTTCCTCGCCTCTTCATCTTCCTCTTCCTCGTTATCATCATCAATCTCCATCGTAGTATCATGCCCTCTCCGCTGTTGCGATCGATCGTCCTCCGCAAACGGATCTGCGTCGCTTTCCGAGTGCACGGCACGAGAAGATTGGTTTTTGGACGTAGACGCTTTGGAGGGTTTGTTCGTAGTAGCAGAAGACGCGCCGCGGCCGCGAGCGCTGGTTGTGGATTGTTTGGGCGCCATTCTCCAATTCACTGTCTGAAATGGCGTGTACGCAGATGAGTGGAATATGGTAGGTAAAGTAGATTTACGAGGGAAGGAACTCTTATGTAGGCATGTAGTTAAAAGGTGTCGGAAGAATCGTATGTTTAATATGCAAGGTCAGAAGCAAGACACGGTTTTGGGTACAGGTACAGAACCTAATAGGGCGCGACTTACTCCAGCTGCTTGCCACCTGCCTTACCTATCACCAATCATAAACCCAACCCCAGCCGCAAGATCTACTTCACATGCAAAATACCAAATTTGGAGTAGGTAGGTATTTGATGAATTTAGGACAGGAAAGCACAAAAGACAATGCATTCACATTATGGCAGATGTAGTCATTAGGTCAAAATCACATACATTCTGAAATCTATGAGTCGTATGCCACCAAAGGGAATCAGGCCGTTTCATGCGTCGAGACAAGCGGAGATGTAGGATGCAAAGCAGAAAGAATACAGTCAAGGGAATTGCCTAGGATCTAAATTACAGCGGACAACTAGCTGACGAGACGTACGAGGCGTGGATATGCCTAGTCTGCTAGCCCCATCCGCAAAATCAAGCTATTCCAGAACGCCACGGCAATGGGTGATGCCCTGCAACAACTTTCCACCGGAGCATCCTTCACGCTCCTTTTTATCGACGGCCCTATCGCCCCTCCACTGAATTACACCTTCACGCCTCCCCCGTCTATCAAGGTATCATGAGGGTTATTTAACCGGAACCGCCCTTGAAGGCCTTTCCGAAGAGGATGACCTGGAGCTGGTCGTAGATCGAGAGCACACCAGCACCGGCAACACCACGGAGAATGTTGGCACCAGCACCCTTGAAGAGAGACTTGATACCCTCCTTGGCGACGATCTGGCGGGCAGCATCAAGAGTACCGTTGTACTTGACGGCCTCACCAGAAGTCATCATCATACGACGTCGGATAGTGTCGAGAGGGTAAGAGGCGATACCAGCAGCAGTGGTGACACACCAACCGAGAGCGAAAGAAGCCAAGAAGTTGTTTGCCAGGGGTCCGACGAGGACAACGGGCTTGATGGAGTCGTACAGACCGAAGTATAGACCACGGTAGACGACGATACCGGCGACGGAGGGCATGAAACCACGGTATAAACCGGGGATACCGTCACTGGCAAGGGTCTTGCGGTAGACGTCGATGAGACCGTTGAATTGACGGTCACCACCCTTCTTGGCGTTCTTCGCATCGTTGGCGAGACGCGTACGGGCGTAGTCGAGGGAGTAGACGAAGAGGAGGGAGGTGGCACCAGCAGCCTAGTTTTCCAATATTAGTACCAATTATACCTATTAACGACGACCAGAAGGAACAAAAACTTACACCACCAGAGGCCAAGTTACCGGCCATCCACCAGGCGTATCCATCACGCTCCTTCTTGAAACCGAACATCTTCTTGAACTTGTCACGGAAAGCGAAGTTCAGGGCCTGGGTAGGGAAGTATCGGATGACGTTGGCAGTGTTACCACGCCATAGCGATAGGAGACCCTCGTCGGCTGTGGTTCGCTTGAAGCAGTCACCGATGCCGGCATACTTGCGGTCGAGACGACCAGACTTCAACATCTCATCCTATTGAATTTGTTAGCATCATTTTTGGTTGATATTTGACTGCTCTTTAATCGCTCAAATGAGCATGTGAAGTCGGATATATAGAATGTGGGTCCCCGATTCAGTAGCCCCAATGGTGAATTTTTTTGCAGTCAGGGTTGATATTGAAGTCTTACGTACCTGGTTCTGGATAAGAAGCTTGACACGCTCAATGGGAGCGGCGGCGGTCTTCGAGACGGCGGCGGAGACACCACCCACTATAGAATTTGTTAGCAACAATTATCGCGCATTATCAATGCCATAAATCGCAATAGAAAATCTCGATATTGGCTATAATGCCGTCCGAATCGAACAACAAAAGCGGTGAGACGTACTCAAGAAGTCGGCCAAGAAGGGCTATAATAATTATTGTTAGTTTAAGCTCATAATTAAAGTAAAATGATGTGGGATAATAACGGAAAACGGTGGTGCAAGAATTTTTCCCGTTGTTCTTTTCTACCGCCAACTGTCCGTGCCAACGACATTCCTGATAAGCAGCGATAGATCATCACAAAGCAACTCGAAAACCCATTTCAATTGTCTCGTAGAAGCCAATTGAGGCTATTGATAATGTGCGCTAGGATTATCGCTGGCGGGACGATGGCGGGTAGAATGCTGATTTCCGCGCGAGGGAAATTCGATTGTAAGGGTCTTAAAAGGATCTGGGGAATTGCGACTTACCGGCATGCCCAAGACCTTCTGTTGTTCAGACATCTTGCCGACTTTTCAAAGATTGCTTGATCTTTGAAGATAGAAGGAAGTGAGTGAGTGGAGATAAGAAGTAAAGGAGAAGAGATGGAGAGGAGATGGGAAAGATGGGATAGTTTTGTGCAGGCCCTCGAGCGAAATATTTCTACTGCGACTGGGTCTGCAGGAAAATAAGTTTGGGGAGGGAAAAAAAAATTGCTGCGGGTAACTACCAAAGGGAAAGAGCTTTTTCTAGCGACTCTTCCCGGACCCGCCGCTAAGACTACACTGAGGCCCCTTCCCTCGCCTTCCAATCTGGCGGTTGCCCCGAAACCAATCAATGTCACGTGTATTTATGGAACTTTCCAGGTAGCGTCCCCGAAATTTACTGAAGTGAACCACTGACAGTAGACCGGGCTGTCATCAGCTATAAGCTGGGTGCAGGTAGGCCTACCTAGCTAAAGTTTTTGCCGGGCAATGCCGGAATCACCCATTCAGGGCAAAGGATTCCCCCATCAATTAGAACACCTATTCTGTAGAAATCAATAGGTGCGAGCTATTTTTCTACCTCTTCACTAGCAACCCCGGGACACTAAGTACCTAATTTCGGATTACTCTTTATTCCACCGAAAACTTACTACTACTATATAAGAACCCTTTTTTTATTTTCCGTTCTATTTAATGACGGCTATCTAATGTTCAAGATCTAGATTTATAGGAAAACTTTTGCTCTAGTGTGTGCAGATCGAATCCAGAACCCTGGCTAGCTACATGTCTAGATACATCGATACGTAAGTACATACATGTAGTGAATTTCATGTGTCGGTAAGAAGAGAGTCAGGATGTTCACCCACTCACCCACACACACCTACCTCACTATACCTCTAATGTTCAAGGGTCTCTTAGTCTTTTATCCCGTCCCCCGAGTCAAGTTTTCGGCTCAAGTGGCGGGACCAGCCTTGGCTTAGTCGGCTGTAACTTCGTATGCACTTGCGCACAAAGAATTTCTCTACATTTCTAACGTTACCTTCCATTGGGTGGGCAAGAATCGGGGGTTTATCTACGTGCTACCATTGCAGAAAACGCGATTACGTATAGATAATTGATCTTCAGAAGCAAAATGCTGTAATTCTAATTGGACAGTGACGTTTATTTTAGCCCATTCTAAATATATTTTATGATTAATTACTTTCTATATCATTGGGACTTATTCGCAGTATACAATAGACACAATACCTTATTAGGTATCGTCCTTGAAGGTAGAGTCGGAGTATATCTACACTCCGAGGCTGATCGGCGACTAAAGGAAAGATTATTCGTGTGGGATTTGTACGATCGAGTGTAATACGTCGTTCACGTTAAGAGTGATATACCAGCGGCATAAGAAAAGGTCAGAAATATCACTCAGAATGATCAAGGATTTTTCATTCGGTCCCTATCTGAATGCAACTGCAAGCGAAATTCTGAACCATAACCGTCCCAATGCTACGCCGAGGACCAAATGCCTGAATCCATCAAATCCCCATCCGCAATCCATCTGGTCCGTCAATCCCTATTGTCGACCATTGACCGAGCATCATCTTATTCATGGTATCGTGAGATTGATGGTTTAATCCGAGGCACCGACAGCTCGGGCTACATCAAATGTGTCAGCATCCTCCAATCCCAAAATATTTTCCAGGTCCAAGAGGAACATACTGTAGATCTTCATTTTGCTGTGTGTAACGACGGGCTTGATCTGCCCCTTCTCCTCAAGATCCTTTAGGCATTGTCGGGCCAGCGAGCCGTTGATCTTTAGTCTGTCGACGAGGGTAGCGACTGTGACGAGACGGTAGGACTGGACATCTTTGTAGAGCTTTTCGGAGGTGGTCTTGTCGAGCAGGACAGCGTGTTGCGCCTTGTCCTTGACTATAGGTATAACAGGTTAGTTCGGATGCTTCAGATGTATCGTGTGGGAGTTTCGGTGGTCTCTTCTTGAAAAGCGCCCATTGCGAAATTTCGAGGTACTTGCCTTTGCCCCTGTGATGCGAAAGTTAGTTAAATGCCTACGAAGAATTAATAAATCACATATGATACGTACTTTGACCACTTCTTCTTCTGCTTCTTCGCACCAGTCGCTGCGGGAGCCATTTTGTCTGATTTTTGATATTGGCGTTGCAGTTGTAAAGGATGTGTGAAGGTGGAGGGGCGACCAAATAATGAATTTTAGAATGTTCGCTTCAGCATTGTGGGCTCAAATTTATTCTCACGTGACTTCAAACTTATGATTAGGTAATTACCAGTTTGTGGACGCCCCACCCGTACGTAGTTACACAAAATCCTTATCTCTTATCACGTCTTGTCCAACTTCACCCCACTCTTGACATATTATTCCAGCAGACTAGTTTTAGTTGATGAACCTTCTATTTAATAATTGTAAACTGGCTGCAAAACTCGAGCATCAAAAACAAGCCATTACACCCCCCTTTCAAAATACAATCCACGTAGCAAAGGCCAACTTGTGAACTAGACTTGTGCAAGTTCATAGGGATTACGAAGGGTCAAGAGTCGATAAGGGCCTCACATCAAAATCAAAATAATAAGGCAAATCTTTGTAGATAATTCATCGCGGAGCTGGCACTATAAATCAGGAGATACATGTACCGAGAAGAGCATAAGATATCTGATAGTTAGTCTCCTCCCGCCCAGAGCAAGATGTTAGGTTCCTTGTTTGCCTTTCCTAGATGCTTTAGCAACTGCTAGGTGCATCTCGTTGAGCATTGTGACGAAAAACTCCACACGAAGAGCCTTGCATATGATTTTATCCAGTGGGCGAGTCTCCGGTTTCTGCGTTTTAGCCATGGCACATGCGTTGAGTACGACATGAATCCCAATATCAAGGTCGCAGGAGGCTTGGCTCTCAAGGACTTTAACTTCTCGTGCAGCAATGTCCTTTGGAATCCAATCTTCATCACTTGGAATCCATGTCGAGAGCAAGGCTACTGCCGCGCGTAATCTATGCTCGCTTCCCGTAGAGTCAACGAAAGTAATTGGATATGAGGCTTTAAAGCGTGTCGGGTTCACGTAGCAAAGAAGGCACCAGCCATCGTCGACGCACAGAGGTACGACAATACCCCCAAAATCATGCAGTAACATGCTTTCATTCGCGGGTTCAGAAAGTTCAGCTTCTCCTAGGATAAGCCAGTCGTCCGGTAGTCTCTGGAGTATTAGATGTTGAATGATATCCTCCTCTAACTTCCCAGCCACAAGCTGAAGCAATGAGCTCGGCGCGAGACGTGATCCCGGACTTAGTTGTCTTATTTGGTTGGGCTGTCCACAATAAGAGAGTGGTGTTGTTTCGGGCGTCAAATGATGCTTGACCATGACGAGCCTTCGGGAATATGAGGATATTCCGTCCAATGAATATTCTTTAAAGATCGGGGTTAGCTGTTTTATGATGGTTTCTTGCGAAACCCCAGATCCTCGAAGACTAGAGAGCAGTGAAGACCCAACCGCTTTTGACAATGAACAGAAGAATTCGCCTAAGTCAGTCTTCTCCAGGAGACTTCTTACGGCCGCCCAAACGCAGCTCATACCTTCGGGATCGTCAACTGATTTCCCCATACAGAGGTAGAGTTCGCGGAGTGGGAACAAGGCAAGAAATGGTTCTCCTCCAAAATCGTTGGTAAGGGAGGAGAGATACCAGCCATTCTCTATAATGTTATACCATTTGTCTCTCGTTGTGGTTCCCACATCCGAATCCACGAGCTCCTGGCATAGTTTAGTTTTGAGCTGTGTTGTGGATACCCGTTTCTTCTATGAGGCGGCCTCCACCTTCTCTTCATACTTCTTGTAGCATTGGACAGCCACGAAGGCCATAACTATGTAGAAAGCATGGTGTCCTGATCCGGCCTTCTTTGCAGCATTCCACGACTTCACCACTTCTTTTGTTGTATTTGTTTCTGGGAACGTGATCATTGGGCCACCTTCTAGTGTCTTTGCTAGCCGCTCGACGCGATGGCATAGAAATGGTGGATTCAGTAGCTTGATGAATTTGTAGAGAGTTTCTGCGTCTTGACCCCACTCTTTCATTGGTTTCATTTTTCTAACTTTTAGCTTGCTGCGAAAAAACTCGTCCTTGCTCATGAATGTCGGGGCCCATACACATGAATATGGTTTTGTGAATCTAATATCCACTGTGATGCATCCGGGGTTATGACGATCACCACTTTCGAATGTCGATGAGTGCTGTGCCGAAATAGTTGGCGTGGTCGTTTCCGAGGACTCTGAATTAACTGGACGTACTAATCTACTCATTCCTAGGGCTCGGGGTGTATGGTGGCGCATCAATGGGTCCTGTGGTGGCACTTGGGCGGTCACCATATGGGTTTGGGTAGGTGTCGGTATGTTGGCTGGGGTACTTGTGCTGGAACTTTCAGTGGTGCTTTCGGGTTGGCTTTGCTGTGTTTGGTCTATCATAGTGAGAAGTTCCTTGAACATGTCTACGTAGATTCCACGAGAATCGTCGTTCGCTTTAATAAAACTCAATATCATTGTCCTGTCTAGTTGGCTGAATAACTTTTCCTGAATAGATTGGGGATCTTCTCTTTGTAATATTGTATCTACCACCACGTCAGGGTCAAGACTCATAATTCTCGATGTTGCCTCCTTTTTAATGATATCCTCTAGAGCGGAGAGTGTTCCGTTGTTTAGAGAGCTCGCCATATTGAACCAATACGTGAGTCAAGACTAGAGTGACAGATTCTGGTCCCTACTTGACGAGGCGCAGGGGCACAAAATATGACTTTAAAATCTTCCCATCTGCTTTAGTAGCCTTGGCCTAAGCGTGGCTGGCAGCTAGCCTTCCCCTTGTGCATATAAGTTGGCTACAAGAAAGCCGATATGCTTTTCAATGAAGAGATACTGACTTATCTTCAAAGGTTGGAGTGCTGATGAACTGATAAGCCGTGAAATAGTAGCTGGAAGGAAGGGTGGATATGTAGGTCGCGTGCGACGGTTTGATGTTGATCTTCCAACCTAGGAATCTATGGTGAGCAATCAGAGGGGAAAATAATAACATTTGATAACTCATATTTCTTACCACGTATGATATCCCACGGCTACCGGTAGTGGTTAGAGAAGCCGCGCAGAGGATATAAGAAAATAGTGTCAGACGACTTGTGCAGTTTGGGTTTCGATGATGAATTAAAGGCACTTAATACGCGACGTGGAAGATACCTAGAGGGAAACTTCGAAAGCTAGCAGCCTCGAATTGCGTTATGATTTCGATGTGGATGATTTGTTCTAGTTATTTTTGTGGACGATGTAAAATTTGAAATATGAATAGGGCTTGCTTAGAGGATCTGAGAGATATTTACACACTCACATAATGTAGGAGCTGCTAGTGAGACAAAGTCGAAGAGGATGCGAGTGCTCTTGCCTCTAAAGGTGTAGCAAAACCGGCAGGCTGGGACCAACCACATGTGCACGGAAGGCGAATAGACCGGCATGGCCTACCCAGAGTATCTTGTTGAGGGAGGTACGTAATAGAGAAAACAACAACCGGAAGCAGCATATGGTATTGTTATCCGCACTAATGTTCGTATATCTATGTCAGTTCCTGAGTCTTGGAAAGGAATGGTTGTCGCTAGACAAGTTATCACAGATAAGTATTTCGTTCACGGCCATATTATTATTGCTGTTCTATTTCATCCTGTGCATCAACCGCACGACTCACGATGTCGCGAGATTAATTCCCGACGTCGCCTTTTATCATTTTATAATCGCACTTTCTAGATGGCAGGCGTATAGATATAGTATATTCTAGTCAATGGTAAGCAATGCATTGCTTATTGGTCTTTTTTTCAAGAAACCAAACTAATATTCTTCAAAAGTTATCATGACTTGCCTAGAGACATCGAGGCAAATCCCAACCCCAATGACTCTGAGGATATGTATCGTATTTTGTGCCCCAAGCCCTCATTGATTTCTGGAAGCCCGAGCGGGGATCGACTCGTTGCATATTGCCTGTGTAACCGCGTCTTTAAAGAAAGAGATGCTGGCCTAGCTCAACCGGTCTCTTGGTCAAGAATGATGATTATCTTCGTCGTAATCAACTTATTGAAGAGTCTGCGACAGCCTTAGAGTCTAATCGAACCACCGAGAATTTGAATGAGAAGGATCAATAAGAGGACATGATTGTTGGGAGGGTACTTGCGCTTGCGTGGTTTACGGAGTAACAAAACGGCTGGATTGATGTTATGAGTGAGACACGCAGCCACGATCCTCCAATCATCAGCCTCAATACCATGTACTCAGGTACCACAAACGGCAAGATGTGATTGGATACCGTCTTTAGCGTCTTGGCACCTGTACCCCACCACCTACCAAATAGGGAAATTTTAATAGGGATAATGGAGATTCTGTTGGAACTGCGCATCCAACAGCTTAAACTTCAAACTTTTTTATTTTATTTTATTTTATTTTCCCTTTTAAAAAGCATCCTGTCATCTTGTGGCCGTAGGGGGATGTCCGGACTTTGGCAAGATCGCATACTTTTGGGAAAAGGGTTCTCGATACAATGAGATAAACCTTAGTCTACCTATTTAATTAATTGCGTGGAATCCAACTTCTTAACTTCTTTCATTCCCTTGCTCGAGTTACCCTTTATCGAATCTCATGGTGGAACGCGTGGCCTTGGCGTACTGTATTCGGTCATCTTTAGGCAACCAACACGCGACCTTCTAACTGTTCAACTTTCTTTTAACAGATTGCCTTTTCTCACTTGTATACTGCCGAGTCCGCGCGCTCTTTTTCCGAGTCCAATATGCCGAAACACGGCCCAGCCTTAGGGTTGCGAGTAGGACCTCGAAGAATCACCTTTCTCCTCGTATTCGTCGGTCTTTTCGCCTTATTCACCCTCCTATTCACATTACCCAATGGCATACCGACAGGCCCCAGCCTCTCAAAATCGATCGCCGACCACAAATTCTCCTTGCCGAAGTACGGGGACAAATTCTCGTCGAGTATTCTAAACCCCTTCCGACCGGTTTCGCATAAGCCCCCGGAGCAGAAAAACTCGACATATGGTGGAAGCTCGTGGTACTCGAATTGGAATTGGAGAAGTCCTTTCTCTTCGTCTATCACATTAGACGAGAACCGATCCCTTCTTCCGCCCCTGAAGGATAGGGCTCCTATCTACTGCTATTATGATACTACGATCCCAAAGGAGGCGCCGACGAAAGAGGCAGAGAGTGCGATATTGCTGACATGGCGACGTGCTTGGTGGGCACAGGGGTTCAAGCCCATTATCCTGAGTACAGCGGAGGCTATGAACAACCCACTCTACGACGAGCTTCAGAGGTTGGACGTGGAGCCGAGCTTTAAGAAAGATATGATGCGTTGGCTTGCGTGGGAAAACATGGGTGGAGGTCTCTTATCGCACCACCTATTGTTCCCAATGGCTGCTCACGAGGATCCCTTACTCGCATTTCTGCGAAGAGGAGAATACCCCGGCTTGACGAGGTGGGAGGGGTTCGATAATGCTCTGTTCGCTGGTCCGAAGGGTCAGATCGCAGAAGCCATTACTCAAGCTCTCCGGAACCCCAAGAACAAGGCGGCTAAAGATTTTGTGGCTGCGGTCACTGGTGAAACTTTCCGAGTTGATCCGTCGCACGATTCACTCGCTTACTACGATGCTATCACCGTTGGAAAGAACTACCAAAAGGTTGCGGAAGAAACGACAGCGGATCATAATAAGGGCATTAAAAGCTTGAATCTGCTTATCAACTCTCATTTACATAATACCTGGCAAGATATTTTCAGCAGTGGTATTGCGGTTCTGAAACCTATGCCTGCTCATACCACGCACATGATTGAACCCGCCTTGGACTTGGCGGCCCGGCTCGCGGCCTGCAGCGATTCTCCAATGCCGTCATCATGCCCACCGAACCTCCCAAAGTGCACACCCTGTGTTTCGTCGCATCCCATGAAGGTTGGATCACCAGCTCGGTATCGCAACACGACTAGTCTATATACTATAGGCACTGTACCTCACCCATACACCCTACGAACAGTAGACAGTCTACGGGAAACAATGGATATATCGTTCATAAGGCGAGGCATCAAGAGGCGCGACGAATGGCTCTACTTAGTCTTCCAAGAACTTCTAGGTACCGGGATATCCAGTTCCGTACGCGTAGTCAAGTTCAAAGATGCCGTAGCTGGCGAATATGCGACTTCGCATTCTCTCTGGTTGACCGCTGAGAAGGGGTCTGTTCCAGAAGATTTGGACTGGTGGTTCGGTTTTGACATCCCACACACAACCGACGATGGGAAATCAGAGACGCCGGTCCCTGGTCCGGAGCGCAGGCCGAAACCTCCACACGATCCCACTGACGGGCCGCTTCCCACTGAGGACGACCTATCGCGTGAACCGCGACTTTTGGAACGAGCGCGGGAGGTTGTGAAGAGCAAGGCTCAGGAAGAAGTGCGTGTTCGCAGTGCTATGGAAGCGTGGAATTTAGCCGATACGGAAGCATGGCGATTTGCGAGGGCTTTCCTGGCACGTTCTAGGGTAGAGAGGATGAAGTGGGAAGAAGAAGAGAGCAAATATGCTGGAGGTGTAGGCAGCGAGTCAGGACAAGGAAGGGGAAGCAGCTGGTTACGATGGGGAGATGATGAGGAGAAAGATTGAAAATCAATCTGAAGGGATATATAGAAAGAAAAGAAAAGAAAAGATAGGAAGTCCACGACGTGTACGGATGACAATGGTAATGGAGGTGCATTCAAGCTCGAAATTCATTATCTGTCTTATTTGATGCTCCTGGTAGCATGGAGTTGGCGCGTTACGGATGGTTTGTTAGACTAGGTAGATTCTGGTAGATATCTGCTGGTTGTTGCAGCTGTATTTTAAATGAAAGCTATTCAATAATGAGCATCTCGTTCTGATCAAGTATATATGTGTACCTGAGTAATTAGGTGAGTGAGGAGCCAAGCTGTTGAGAGCTGGCTCGAATATAGGGATGTTGAATTCCGTGAAAAGAAACGATAAGGATAAAAAAGACGCAAAACGGCGAACGAAATATTTCATCTTTCAGAAGTCTTAGACCGCGATAGTGTCGCCGCCCATTTCGCCGCTGAGTTCTCGTGACGTGACACCACGTCTGGTCAAACCGACGGCTAAACTATCAGCACCTCCAGGACCATTCCCTTCATTAATAACTGAGTTGCCGCCGTTCGCGGGGATTTTCCCTCGGTTGTGGATCGATAGAGGAGTCGCCGATTCGAGATGTGATTGCAAAGCACGTTTAGCCGCTTCGACCACCTTTTCGGCATGCTTCAAGGCATCTCTCAGCGCTTGAGTAGTAACATCCTCACGAGGAGAATCTACTTTCGTCGATGGACCACCATTATGGGGTATAGTACTGCTACCATTTCCAGGATCAGCCTCCTCCCCGACATCGGTATTACGCCGTCGGCGGTTTTCTTGCTCCTCGAGCAGCTCGTGGATATGTCCGTTAAGCCATACGCCGTTAAGCTGTGCTTTGGTCATATCTTTGGCCCCACTAATACGACCACGACAGGTTGGTTTGCCGCACAGACAGTCGAAAGGTTGGGCCATGTCCCATTCTGTGGATGGGTAGAAGAACTATAGTAGAGGTAAGCTTTGGCGGGATGGAAGTAGCGGGCTTACCAGCGTTGGTGTTAGGCAACGGACGGTTAATTCTTCACCGGCTTGAAGGCCATTAGGCCCCGCGATGATGTTAAAGTTAGCCGTGTCGAAAATGAGCGATGGCTCGCACGAATGGTTGATGTATAGCAGGTCGCTATTCAGGTTCAGATGTTTGTTCCGGCCGCACTGTACCGTCGCGTACGTTGGAACTTCGGCGATGGTGCACGGAGGGAAGTCCATCTTCGCGTACAAGCCGAAAGGTGGTAGCGAGATTTTGGACAGGCTTTTAGATGTGAATTCATGCATGTTGACGATCACATCCTGGATGTCGGGGTGCGAAGGCTGGTTCCAGTGTGGAGTCAGAGGCGCCATGGTCGATGGATCTTTAACCCTCGGTTATTCTCGTATCTTTAATAAGTTAAGTGTGTTTGTATTGTATTGAACTCCTCCTCGAAATCACCGGAAGTGAAGAGTGAAGCAGTATCTGGTACGCAGTTTGTTATGTGTAAGTGTCTCAAGATGAAGATGATGAGATGGGATGAATCAGCGTTTAGCATAATCCCTCACCGTTATCTATGTAGATAGACTATGCGTGCGTCTTTGGAGAAGAGTCTAGAGCTCTTACAGTAACCCGGAAGAGGGGAGCGAAATCCGCAACGGGGACCCCATTTTCTCGTCGGCAATGGCGTCACTTCCCCAGAGAGACCTCGCTTCTAAAGTTATGCCAAGGGTTCTTTCGGAGTTCAATTCCAACCGCCAACCGGGGCACGCAAGCGAGCATCGAGGTTGTCTGCTTTCTGCTTTGACTGCCAGACCATTCTCAAAGTACTTGGCTACACCCTCGTAAGCTCTTCCCAAGTGCTTGGATTCTCGAGACGCAGCCCTACGCTTTCGGTTATGTACATTAGAACCCGGCGAATTTTAGCGGGGATATATGGAGATGGATGTAGATATAAAGCAGTGAGAAATCGACCGATCCATGACGATTGGCCAGGTCCGGGGGGGCAAGGGTGTTCACCCCTTAGAGCCTATCACAGGCTATTCATTGCCCAAAGTGGGCAACGACTCCTGCAAGAAACAGCCCTAGCTCGATACGGACACAGGTCTAAGTTAGCGTAGATACAGGGGTACGGGGTAGGGTGATAGGGCTCAGCAGGTACACCTACCGAGCATTTGCTACGGGCGGTACATCGCCTCTACCTTCGACTCTGCCTTAGTCTACATCCCGTTATCCAGTTTTTTGGGCAACTAAACCCCCCGCTCAGGTGATCCCAAAACAAACCTTATCCGAGCGTTGGCTAGGTTAAGGGGTGGTGGTACAATACCTACTTGCTCTTTCTTTCCTTACCTACCACCACTACCAGCCTCCCACCTGCCTGCCTACCTACCTGCTTACCTCTTTTTGCTTTACCTGCGTACGCGCTTTGCCTGCTTGCTTCCACCCTTCCTTCCTTCGCTATCGTTCGCATCATGTTGCATTGATGAGTTAGGTAGGAGCGAGTAGAAAAGGGTTAACCGAAATGTGACCCCCATCCATGCAAAGTAGAGATTGTACCAAATCTAATTACATACAGGTACGATACATGTACACTCATACTATGGGTACATACATAGCCGTATGTAGGTACTCTGGTACTTTGCAACGTGTAAATGCGAACACGGCTCAGGGGTTTTTCTTTTTCCCTGTACATCTCCACTTAACTTACATACCTACAGTACTTTCTACATGTACTCGTTCACCTTTTCGGACAATCACCGAGATATCTCTCATGCGACACTTTGCTTCGCTTTGAAAAAGGAATTATCCGTTTCGACTAGGCATAGACGCTTGACGAATTCGATGTTCTCAGACGTGTTTGTTGAGACCATGCTCCATGTCCAAGCTCAAATAATAAATAAAAAAGAGCTCCAAAGATGCCCAGCCAGGTGGTTGGGGCCCCAAACTAGGATAAGGGATAAGGTGAATTCTTCCTCGCGAAACGAGCGCACGCCATGCTGTGCTACATAGTACGCCCGGCTGAATTGGGTTAACCTATGGTTAAGTAGGCCCCCCGGAGAGGCTTGAGTGTATATCTAGAAAGAAGGCTTCCAGAAAAAAAAAAATGAAGATACATAACCAAAATACCAATGGCCGGCATGTCGTCTCCCAAAAGTGTGTCTGACAGCCCGTTCCCGGAATGCGGCTGACTCGATATTAGGCTACCCGTCTGTCGTGCAGAAAATCTAGCGAGAACCTCCCGCGATGCGGTGCTAGGATCTTCCTATGTATCGCCTAGTGTTATACAGTACGCGCGCATTGGTCCTGGCGATCGCGTGAAAGGTCCCACTGAACGGTTATTTCTGAAACATACGTATACCACTTGGCGCGGCACAGGCCAGCAACTCAGGTCCCAGCCAACGCCGGGCTAAAATGTCCATATCCATACCTTTACCTGCCTGTCTGGCAAGTGAGATCACCGTAGGCGGACGTACTATGGTAGTAGAGCTCGATATTGACCGTCCATCCAGGTTGTTGCTTGCGTCCAGACCCTGGAAAACCTGAGCCCTTTCGCTCAACTGATCTGGGGCACGGCTGCATCTCTCCGAAACTTACTAGATGGGCACTTCCGACCAATCCAAACTAGCCGCTGGCTGTATGGTTCAGTTGTCGCCAAAATCCTCCCATAGACACATTCGAATCAGGTGGAACTATACCTAGGTAAAGGCATTGATTCGTCCATATCAGGCTTTTGTTATACATATGTCGTAACCCTCCGAACGTCACCGGACCTACATTGGGATGGTTGCAGCGAGGTCAGCGGCGTGGGAGGAGCCCGTGTGCCGACATGATTTTCCCTAATACCCTATGGTCAGAATGACCTTGATTTAGAAGCTACAAGGTTGCACCAGGTCGGTTGGTATCCCTGCCATTAGCTATTCTCGCCAGGGAGAAGCACGCACACACAAGACGCTCCTCTGGCGGCTACGCTCGGGAGCCTGTGCGCTGAGGCGTCATCTGCCAGTTGTCTTCGAACGCTGTCTCGAGATGAAGACACCATCAACTAACCGAGTATCAAACTGTCATAAGGTTTCAATGCCGATCTATCACCACGTGTGTGGGTCAGCAAACACTCCTATAGGGAATTCGGTTTGCGTATGGCAACCATATGCCAGAAAAGAAGGCGTGACACTTGAACGGTGTGGCCGTGCCCAATAGTTATCAAGGACCTAGAACTGCGTCGGCCCGGAGCTTTGGGTGGGGGTTAGTCTGGAGAGGATGGATGGCCTGGTTCGTAGATAGGACGACGAAGTTCTTTAAAGGGTTGGCTTTCCCATGCCTTTCCCACAACCGTTTTTCTCGTGAGGAGAGTTGTCCCCGAATATCTTGTTCAGTGACCATTACCCTCATTATCGCTAACACCAACGCTCAAAATTTCACATCTCAAGTTCACATATTAAATATACAAAAATAAGATGGTTTCTAGTTCCATCCGCGAACAGCGAAACCCTGGAGAAAATCTCGTATTTATGGCCGGCGCAGAGGAGACCATCTGCTACCTAGCTCATAAGCCCGAACCACCACCCCGACCGGAACCTCCGACACCGAATCCACCCAGTCCCGATAACCGAAACAGCATAAACACGTGATGGGTAATTCGATATTCTCCCTCGAGGGCTAGTTCGTTATGAATCCCTTGAGGGTTAACTGTATTATGGGCGATGTAGGTAAGATATTTGATGCCTCCTAGCCGGCATCCTTAATTGATTGTATGCACATGACTCCTAATAATTCTTAGTTCCCCTTTACGAGACCTTGTACATATATGATATGGATACGAACTGCTAGCAGACCGGGCCGGACCCAAACTACATACCTCTACGACGTTCGTCACCCTACGGGTCTTCAACACTATTTTTCTCTTAAGCTGCGATTTTTGGGCATTTCTTCTTAAGCGATCCCCACTTCGGATTCTTTTTATCTGGCTGTCTGGAATACTGGCGTTATGAACAGCATTTTATTATATTTTTCCATGGGGATTTAGCATTTACACATTTTCACTCGCAAGGGAGATGCTGTTACGTTCTTTTCTTTTTTCTTTTTTTTTTCTTCTTTTCATACTCAGCAATTCATTGTTCATCAGCGCCCAGCATGCTTCGAAATTGGTATCTATGAGTCTCACAGGATCAGGCCAAGCTTTTCTTACCATGCATGCTTCTCAGCGCTATCATAGGCGTTACAAAGGCCATTACTCTTCTGCCATGATTTTCTTGTACTATTGATTTTATCATATCATTGGTGTCATAATGGAAATACGGTTGCTTCAATGCCTAACGTGGGTCCTGCCATCTTAAGAAGTGCATCTAGCCCACTTTGTCCTCGTTAGTCCAAACGAGTTCAGTGACAATCTCTCTAGCCGTATCTCGGAAATATATATAAGAAAAAGCGCTGTTATGTACATGTCAATACATGCCTACATCCCCGAGTACTTTTGTATGCATTTAAGAAAGGAATTCTTAAGTGGATTACAAAGTGATAGCATCTAGCCTTGATGCTCAATAAAGGGGCACACCAAATGTATATCACGTCCCATCATAAAGCTACTTACATCCTCTATAAGGGTGCTCACCATTCGGGGTGTAGAATCCGTGTGTAGGTGACTGCTGATATTTTTATTTGCGTGTTCATATGTGAAGTCTCAATGAACATAGACCTACAATAGAATGCACCTCTCATAGGACAGTAGCGCTTCCATCTCTGCGTTGACTACTATCTATTTCGTTAAGAGACGCTTAAATATGAATTGCGTGATGTCATACAGACAATAAATATTATGGACATGCTTCTTCGTGGTCGCAAGGGAAAGTCCATCTCATGGTCACCTACACCATAAAAGTACCTAGGTAAATACTTCTGTCCATATTAAATCAGTGCTGTGTTACATGAACCTAATGTACTTACCTAGGTACATAAGCGAGGTGACTACCATGATGATAGTAGGTAGAGGAAGGCGCATAGGCGTTAAAGTTATCATAGGGTTATTATTGAGGAAAGAGCTATGAAATGCATCAAATTGTCGTATGGTGATTGGATCAACGCCGTAGGGCCCCCTGAAGACTAACCTAGACACATACGTTCCTTCTTAATGAATGCTCTTGCTCTGGATGCACGCATACATCAATGTGTTATTGTTTATTGACTTGCCTTGCTGTTCCAAGTTCCTCCTCCAAGAAAGACTCATCACAATATTACTCTATGAAGAAAGGTGAGTGACTACCTGTTATTATTGTTGTTGTTTTCATTTCGCCCTCCCTTATCTATTGCCATCATTCATCTTCAGTCCCAATCATCGAGCTCAACTCCAATCCCCTCTGCTCGGTGTTCCAGAATACCCTTCACGAATTGGTCTTGAATGGTCTTGTCTTGTATGTCTACCTAATACTGACTGCTCATAGCACTCATTCGCTTGTCCAAGGCTCTTTTTGGCATGTAAGTACTACCTATTTCCCTTCCATATTGGCTGGCACCCTGGTGTTTCTTGTGGGTTTGGTCCTAGCAACCGACGACGTCGTCTCTCTTTTTGACTACCATCATTGGTCATCACTGGGGGGTATCAACTCAAACACGGTCAAGGTCGCTGCGGATACTTGACGTGACGTGACAAGACGTGTCGTTTATTATTTCTAGGCAGCGCTCATTTACACCTTGACACGCCCAAGTAGCTGAGCTTTCTCCCACAAAACAGCATTTCCTTCTTTTCTCCCATCCACCAAACCTCCCAACTTTATGCACTTCATCTTCATACCCCATCCCTCCGCACTCCAACCCATTGGCAAATACCCTGATATCTTGGCCTTCAGGGGGTTTATGTCCCCAAGGTGCTTCATTACTACACTCCATTTTTATGAACTGCACTCGTTAGCCTACAAGCATAGTCCCAAATCATATTAGTTTACATATTCCACCCATCAACACTGTACTATCCGGACTTGCCCAACTTCTATTCTACTTTGATGTCCTCTGTTGAATAATCAGGGGAGAAAAGACCGACACTGTTCGGTCGCTTTTCATGATGGCGAAGGGTAGTGGTTTTGGAAATCAGTTCAAATTCGCGCAAGAGCACGATGTCCCGATCACCGCCCGGATGCTGAAAACCGTTTGGTTCTGTTTGGGAGATGACAAGGAAATAATCCAAGTCACAATCGACCCTGGTGTCGAGGGAAACCCTTCTCAATTAGTTCCGCTACCCGAAAGAGTCCCTATCTTCTTATTCTCTCAGCTAGAATTACAGAAGCTTATTACTAACGACAAGATCCCGAAACAGTTATCCGCAGCTTTGCTCCTCATAGTCGAGACCCTATCTGCGGATTTCACCAAGGAGGGCGCATTTCAGACGCTGTTTCGCTACACCGCCATCGAATCGAAGCGAACATATTTCCTGTTCGCCACAATTAACTGCTGTATGGAGTCACGCACCTATACCATCAACGAGCTGCTCCAGCTCAGAGACACGGTTTCTCGTACGATTCCTCGTAAACTCCAGGATAACCTTGATGTTGGTAAGTATATGGAATCTTTGTTTTGTTCCATGCCATCACTCCTTTTCTATATCATCCTTCGCATCAATCTTGCACTTCTCTCTATTCACCCCGTTGGGAGACGGGACAATCGCTTTCTCGTGCCCACCATTATCTTCCCGTATTCTACCCCCCCTTTTAGGAGTTCCCATCTCACTGGAACCAAGATTTTATATTATTTTAGTACTAACAGGCGCAGTGGGTATTGTAAAGGCTTCGTGCGAGACAATGTCCACTCAGGCCCAACGCCTGAAAGGACACGAAGATGTTTCTTCATCTACGGAGAGCGACGAGATCCTTTTCCAAGGGAAGAAGTCGCGTCGTACTCAGTGGGACTATCGAGGTCGTGTCGCTTCCGAAAATGCCCCGAAGCAGCCGATTTGTGCGCCCGCGGAGCCTCTAGCTCAGCAGAGTGAAGGTTTCCAGAAGTTCTTCAAAGCGGTTACTTCGCCAACTCATATTCGAGTTACTGCTGGAGGTCGGATTGTACCTAACACTCGTGGCTCGGTATCCCCTACTGCAAAGTGGGACAAGGATCGCTCGGTCGCCGGCGCACATAACTCCACAGAGACGTCTAATAATGAGAAGCCCGAAGCAAGCAACGGCATCGGAGGCCACGGACCTCATCCACTGATCTCGCCATTGTTTCCTGGCCACCCTGGATTTTTCCAGCACATGGGCTTGCCTATGCCAATGTATCCATTCCCTCCCCCTGGTGTTCCTATGGGATATGGTACGCCGCCTCCCCATTTTGTTCATCCTGCAATGAGACTACCTCAGTTTACACCGAGCCAGCAGAGCAATGAGGAGGCAACGAAGGAAGTTAAGACCCAGGATGGCGCTGGCGATAAGAAACCGCGACCGTCGCCCATTAAGATTGCACCTCGAGATCAATTTGAGCCTAATCGGCCGTTTTACTCCAACGGCAACGTAATCTATCCTGCGCCGTATGGACCCGGCCAACCGATGCTGGTGCCGAATCCATACTTTCCGCATGGCATGATTAGTTCGCCGGCATTTGCTACCCCTAATGTAGGCTCCATGGGTTCTATGAACCAACCATCCCCGGCTGCACCAACTTTTGGTCCTCCTGTAATGGCTCCTCGATTTCCCGGCCCTCCTAGCACGGGTGGTAGCTCTCACCCAATGCAACCACCGCCCATTCCCAACCAAGGAATGTTGCATCATCCGCATATAACATCGATTCGGCCTAGCGAAATTACGAGACGCCAGATTGATACACTCCGAGAGTCGCTAAAATACCATGAGAACCAAAAGCATTTCAACAAGCACCAGATTGATGAAAAGTGGACCGATGAAGAGGCTGAGAAGTTGCGAAATGACTTGCAACGATTTGAAACTACCTACCAAAACCAGCTCATTTATGAGGCTACGTATTATCCCCCCAAGGATATAGCTGCTATGGAGTCAGTTCAGCAGGGACAGCATTGGAAAATTCCCTCGGGACAATCGAGTGTTAAGAGTTTCCGAGGAGCTAACGCTTCCGAAAATAGCTCGATCACTGCTAGCGATCGTGGCCGCGGCATCTCTCAACAACTCCATTGGTCTGAGAGATTCGCCTCGAAGTCTGAAAAGACATGGAAGCCTGCGGCAGTTGGCCTCAACTCTAACAATGGTGCCAATATTCCGTTTGCTTCGGACCCAGTTTTGGAATCGTGCATTCATGACAAGGGCAAAAGAGAGCCCGCCACATCTGACTCGTCTAAGAACGTCGAATCAACCTCTAACAGTAATGGAATCCGCTTCCCAACCTTTACATCTCAGTCTGAGGGTCCCGGCTCTGGAGCACGAATTGGTCTTCCTGGATCGTATGGTCTCAATCAGTGGCTGCCTGCGGGTTCGTTGCCGTCGAACCAGCAAGGTAATTGGAACGCTGGCAACATGTACGGCCGAGTACCGTACCTCATCGGGACACTTCCACAAGGTGTTGACCCGCGTGTTTCTCGTGATTACGTCTATGCGCGTGAGTTGACTCCGGAAGAGAAGCTTGCTCGGGTCAATTACTGGGGTCAGATTCCGAGCGGAGGATTGCGTTTGCCGAAGTTCGATGGTAAGGATTTCTATCCGCCCTCTCCTGTAAAATCTCAATCGCCTTTGCGAAGAGAGCTTCCAATCGGTCGACAGGGCGAGTTTGGTTTCCAGAAAACAAGCAAGGCAATCCCTATTGTCGCCCCGAGTGACGCCGGCCGAAATGGTGATGTGAAGGCAGTGAAGATTTCGGCGTCGCGAGTAGAGGACGGTGTACAGGATATAGGCAAACTGATGGAAGGTGTCGGTATTGCTTCATCGACAAAGTCATCCGAAGGCTCTGTCGCTCGAAAGATGGAGAACACGTCGACCAGGCGTGTCATTGAGAGATCTAGGTATGCAATGGAATAATCGAGGCAACGATTAAGCTGACTTCTTCTAGTAACAAATCTGGTAACGACCTCTGGCAAACTATGCTGAAGAAAGGCTCGACTAGTGGAATGGCCCTCCCTGGTGCGATCTCATCAACCACGGCTACAGGATATTTACCTCCCCTCAATGGTTACGCAGCTGCGTCGCTCAATCCGTCAATCTCCAACGCAGCGGCTCGTGCCTTAGGCGAGTCCGGAGACAAGGTGGCCGATTACAGTAGCCAGCCACCTGCGTCGAAAACAGGGGAGAACCGTCCCCCCAATGGCACACGCTCTGAAGATATCGACACCTTCAGAGATGGCCAGGAGCAAAAGCTCCGCCGCGTCGTCGGATCCGAGAATCTCCGCTAAACACCACCAGACAGATAATCATACTTGACGCCAGATAACACCATCAACTTTATGAACATCATTTGTTATCAACGCATGTCTGTATCATTAACTTCATTTCTTTACGGAATCGGCAAGGGCATTATTGATAAGTACTTTTTACTAGCCGAAGATTATTTAATACCTTTTCGGGGGGGTTTCTCTTCTTTCTCTTCACTTCTCGGTCGGAGTACATTTAGTTTTAGTTTTACGTTGAACATAACAAGTCGATAATTTTGACGGAAACGAAAAGGAGATCAGTCGGTAGCCGGAGGAGTGTACTGTATTCGGCAGATGTGTTATCGCTAGGTTTAAAACACCGCGACGATGATTTTACTGTGTATAACATTAGCTTCTTTGATGCGCTTATGGTTGTGATTTGTAAAATATTGATTGACTAATGCTGTTCAACGGAAAAATGAAATCGTGATATTGATCGGACACTCGGTATATTCATTATTGGCATTGGACGACAGAGGCAAGCAAGATTGGAGTAGTTTGATAACTTATGCTATATCTTTTTTCTTCCTTTTTTCTAAAATTGACCAATATGAGAAATGGGGATAGAGGATGTGCCTCACCATCAAACTCCCAACCTCATCAATGCGCTACTCGCACATCTACTGGTTGACAGTCTGCAGGCGAGGGGGCGAAATAGATGGGTGATTCATATACTCCCTTCGCTTGCTTTTCTTTTCGCCAGTCGTATACCTCGAAAACCAAAGGATTGAAGTTGACGCGGAGATATCCTGGCGGATGTATTCTTCTTACTTTGAAGGGGTGATATGATCATGATTACTAGAAAAGCTTACGAGATAGTACTTACGTGGCTAGGTATCATGTCCGTCTGAGAAAATTTCATGTGTAGGGAAGTCTTGACTGTCCCGGTATCCTAGAGGTGAGCCTGACGGTTGCGTACTACAGCATAGATGCATAGTATAGCATATCATCAATCGGAAATCAAGACTTCGGGAAGAACCTCCCATGGAACATTTCACAAGCGAGAACTGTGAAATGGCCATTGTATGCATGCAATTGTTTTTCATTCGGTACGTTGTGCCGCCGCATCTAGATGCTGATCGATCGAGTTTCCTCCCATGCAATCAAAAAGCCCCGATCCGATGTTATCCCTCGATGATGTCGGGGATAGCAGATGATATTGTACCCTCGTAAGACGCCATAATTTCCGTGATTCCTCCCGTAAATCATCAACGTTTCGCAGAAGGAATTTGTGATCCTACTGTTGCTGTTGCTCGTTAAGCTACCAATGGGTATTTTCCTTCCTTCCCCTTTCGCCAGGCTGATAGACCGAAGTAGAAAAGGTGGTGGATGGATTGTTAGGTATGTGAGAATGACATCGTTTATTTGGCAGCAGCCTTGCCCTTAGATCGAAGCTCGCGGCCAACCTTGATGCGCTCTAGGATGTTCTCACGGTCCTTGTCGAGCTTTAGCTTGGTGATGACGACCTTGCTGGGGTGGATGCCGAGGGGGACGCTCTGGCCGGAGGCCTTCTCGCGGGTGACACGCTCGATGTGGATTTGGTACTTGAGACGGTAGACAGAGGTGACCTTGCCCTCGCGGCCCTTGTTGGTGCCTCGGACGATGGTGACTTCGTCATCCTTTCGGACGGGGATGCTGCGGACCTGTACGGAAAATGTGTTAAAAAGGAAAAAAACGAAGTGTTGAAGGGTGATGGGAACTTACATTGTACTTCTCACGCAGCTCCTTGCTGAGGGGAGCGCTCATGATAACACGGCGCTCACCGGAGGAGGCGCTGAAGTGCGCCTTTCTCGACTTTCGTCGCGAGCTGGCGATACCTATTGAAAAAATCTGTCAGCATAACACGTTTCAATTAACAGCAAAAAGGTATTAAAATAAATAGGAATAGAAGATAGACATACCTGAGTTTACCTTCGTCATTTTGTCGGTTGGTGTTGGGTGATGAGGGAGTTGTCGAATTTCCGGAAAGACGAAGGGGAATTGAAAAAAATTGGCAGAGGTTCACGGTTTGTAAAAAGATGAAATTGAACGAGAGAATTGGTGGGCACGAAATTTTGAGAGTGCCCTAACCGGGGTGGGGGTCAAGCCTCGTTTAATCGAGTTTTCCGATTAGATACTCCGGTGGCTTGCAGCAGTGGCTTGATCATCTGAGCAAGTAGATCCACTTTAGCGGAACTCGAGAGGTACGTACCGACGTAGTATCATGCTAGTCCGCCTAGTATGATTTCAAGGTGGGATGGAACTCAAAGAATTATTTCCATGCCGACAGTGAAGATCTTGAAACAATTTCAAGATTTATCATCATAAAAGATGTGGTCAAGATTAATGCGCCGGAGGGAGCTTCCATCATTAAGAAATCAATCTACTGCGACAACAAGAAACCAATTCCAAAGGCGGACGTTAGTCGCAGCGCCCAAACCCGGTGATGGACCTCTCATGGAGAGACGTCCAGATCGGGAACTACCAAGTTCGTCCACCTCTCCATGCCTCTACACTTTTCTGATTTTATACACACACTAACATGTCATACTTAGATATATCTACTTTCCGCTGGTCCCGTACATTCCCCATCTTCCTCGCCCTAATCGCCGCCTCCAGCGTCGCCATCTTCAACTACCAAAAACTTTCCAGCCCCGTCGTAGCCTCGACGCTCTACGCCCTACGTACAAACAAAAAAGCGCGCGAGTACCTAGGTGACGAGATATACTTCAAGCACCAGATTCCATGGATCTCAGGCGAGATGAACCAACTACGGGGGCGCATCAATATCCAATTTTCCGTGCGCGGCACGCGGAATACTGCTGTTATGCGGTTTACTAGTATGCGACCTACTGCCCGAGGGCTGTTCGAGACGACAGAATGGAGTCTGGAGAGGCCGGATGGGACGAGGCTTGATTTATTGGATGGTGATGATTCGTTCAAGGCGATTCAGGCTTTCCCCATGGATGAGGATGAGAAGGAGGCAGCTACAAGGGGATTTAGACAGCAACTTAAGTGAAGAGATGTCGTTGTCTGTTTAGCTTCTGCTATAAGGCCGATATCCCCCTCAGGATGCCTTATAGAGACGTAAGGTCAGGCTATACCGTTGACCAAGATGAACATCCGGATATCACGTTTTTATTGCTTCAGAGAAGGAATTGAAGTAGGGATAAAACGAGGTTTATACCAAGCAGGATAAGTGTTCTGCAATATCATTCATCATTCAGAGGTGAATATCCATGTACAACATAGCATCCATATCATATGGTACAAAAATGCATGTATACTTTTTATATACAATACAATTCTACAATGAAGCCACCGTAGCTCCTATCCTGCTTTCCTTTCGCGCGTCTTTAAGCTCCAAATGTGCCTCCCTCGCAGCCAGCAACCTCTCCTCATGGCCTGTATTTCTTTCCAGCAACAGACGTCTCGTCTTCTCAATAAACGTCTCCGCAGGAGGCGGTCTCTTAATCGCATCAGCGATCTTCACAATGCAGCCCTTAGGGCCCGCAACATGGCCTTTGACAACCACAATACCCATGTCATTATCCACCTTCAACACCTTCAAATTCTGCACCGTAACCTGCTGTCCACCCATACGCCCCGGCATCTTCTTCCCGGGATGTACACGGGAACCACCACCCTGACTAGGCCCAGAAGTACCAATCGTACGATGATTCTTCGAATTACCGTGACTCGCCTCCTGACCCGCGAAACCGTGTCTTTTCATACCACCCGCGAAACCCATGCCCCGGCTGTTACTCCGCGCATCCACGTACTGGCCTAATTTGAACCAATCCGGTTGTAATTGGACTCCCACCGGTAATAAACCGTTCTCACTACGCACTTTAAACTCTGCGAGATGTCGTTTAGGTGCTACGCCTTTGGCTTCGTAGTACCCGAGTAAAGGTGAGGTTACGTTCGATGCTTCTCGTTGACCGAAGCCGACTTGTACGGCCCAGTACCCGTTCTTAGCGCGCGTTTTTGAGGCTACGACTTGGACTTGGTCCATTTGTAGGATTGTACATGGTAATCTTTGACCCTTGGAGTTGTACATAGCGGATACACCCTTCTTGATGGCTAGGACACCCGTTCGTAGGGGCGTCGATTGCTCCTTGCGCTTGAGAGCTGCCGCGGGGCCGGTTGTTAGGGCTGGGAGACCGGCGGATTGCTGGTTGAATCGTGTTGGACGCACGAGCGGATTTTGCGTCGACCAGCCGTATTTCACGCCCCGCCGAACGGTACGCGGGAGGAGGGTGTGTCGTTCGGTGATGAGGATTCGGGGGGTGCTGCTGCAGAGGAGGGATGAGGAGGGTTTAGAGAGGGTGGCTGCCCAGCGGGCTGGCATGCGGGATGCCATTGTCGCTGGGAGCTGGTGGGTATGTGCCCAATTCTATTATTTCCTCCCGATCCGACGTCTATTGTATTCGTTCTATCGGTTTCTTCAGTAAAGTTGGTCGTCTGATCGTTGGTGAATGAATAACGAATTGAATATCGATAAATTGAGTTGAAGCTTAAAAGACTCGGCGTTGAAAAATGTAAAGTGGGTCTCCGTCGCACGGGATTATCTGCGGAGTTGTGGGTATGTACCTAAGTACCTTTTCTTTGGTGGGTAAGCCTGGACCTGCTAAAGAAGTTCCTATCAAAAAAACTACCTAGGTACTCTATTCTTTGGATTATAAAAAAGTATCATATTATTCTTCTCATTTAATACTTGATATCCCTCGAATCGGTGTCGAAATGGTTTATTATTTCAAATCGACGGTCGTGGACCCCCCGGCGTTCGTCTACGTTGGCAAGGACAAATTTGAGAGTGGGTGACTTCTGAACCCGATCTTGGACGATCAAAGAGATCTATATACTGACGAAATCGAAAAGACGAGGAATTAATCAAGTATGGCTGGGAGGAGGATGTCTGGTGAGTTGCGATATCATCTGGGTTTGAAAAATACTTATCCGGGCCTGTTATACTCATTTTCCCCAGGGTATGAAAACTCCTCAATTTGTTGAATGATTATTTTCGGAAAGGGGCCTGGTCTCATACAATATGAGCAGTTTCACGTAGACAAACTCTCGAGTGCGCATATCTACCTAAGACTCAACGAGGGCGACACATGGGACAACATACCCGAGGATCTCTTAACGGACTTGGCGCAGTTGACTAAGGCCAACTCGATCGAAGGGAACAAGAAGGATAATATCACCATCATCTACACACCCTGGTCCAACCTTAAGAAAGATGGAAGCATGGCTGTTGGTCAAGTAAGCTTCAAGGACCAACGGCGAGTCAAAAAGATCCTAGTGTCCACACGAGAAAACATGATCATCAACCGCCTCAACAAGACCAAAGTCGAGAAGCAACCTGACCTCCAGCAAGAGAGAGAAGACCACAGAAGAGAATTAAGGAAGAGGGATCAAGCCGCGCAACAACAACGGGTACGTCCCAGTCTCCATCTCCACATTAAGGGGTAATCCGATTAACCATATGAATAGAAAAAGGAAGAAGCCAGAGTGCAGAAGGAGAGACAAGAGAAAAAATGGCAAAAGGATCACGCCTACGATGACCTATTCACAGAGGAAAACATGGAGTCCTCGAGTAATCAGAACCGGGCTGCAGATTGGGAGGAAGATTTTATGTGACTAAAGAAACTGCCTAATAAAACGCACACTACAACCAAATTTTGCAATGAACAATAACGCTTCGGCCCATCCATCCATCGAGGCTATTGACTTGATACCCCTTTGCTCAACACCGAATGGCTACGTAAAAGGCGCCTTTTAGTTTTGAATCACCAATCACTAATTCGCAGACTCATCGTAAACCACCATTATAATCCTACCTCCCTATTTCCGAGTTTCCCACCTCTTCTCCACACCCCATTAGACTCCCCGTCCAACCTTTCGCACACCGACACCCCGAACCTTATGATCATTCGGGTTCGGCGCCGCCTCGTATAAAATATTCACCGGCGCGCGACCAAGCTGCATCCACTCACCACGGAATCCGATATAACTCAATCTCGTGACATCATCCGCGTCATCACTGAAGTTATCCTCAAAGAACAGCGTCAAGCGTTGAACACTCCCGAATAACGCGCGCTTAACGGGGAGCTCTTGGATTTCGTCTGTCTGGGACAGTTCAAAGGTCTGGGTTGGGGGGAGATCCTCTGCTGTGTTAAAATCGAGGTCGTCGCGGTTGATGAATACTTTTAGCGTCTGTGGCGCTGAGGGGGAGGGGGAGGTGCGTAGCAGAATGGCGTGGAGTTTTACTTGGCCGGTGAACCTGGATGGGAGTTAGGGGAGATACTTACACTGAGTCGAGTCGAGTCGGATGGTGAGGGGATAGTAATATAATGATGATAAATGAAACGCGGGTAGGTGCATAGAGGCGTATGTATTGGGTGGGGTGTATATAGGGGATCAGGCAACAGCATCAATGATGTAAGATATAAAAAGGGGTGTTACTCACGGCACGTTCATGAGAATCTGTTCATCGGCATCACTGACGAGCTCAGGTAACGGGTTCATACATTCGGACCAGTCCTTCTCAATGACGGCTTTCCCAGAACCAGACCGGGCTTCGTTAAATGTAGTAATACCATCGAAATTAATAAAGTTGTATAAACTGTGCTGTAGAGCCGGTGTGATGTCATCTGAATGATCGTGAACATGATCATGGTGGTGGTCGTGGTTGTGGCCGCCATAACCCGAGTGTTCGTTATGACAGTGAGACATTTTTTAATTTGATGTTTATAGTAGATGATGCAATATATGATGATATTTTTATGAACTGGGTATCTATGCGTGGAAAGAGGAAAGATGAAATAGATGGATGGTATGGCCAAGTTGTTGAGATGCAGAGGAGAGAGCGAGTGATTACCTTATATAGATAGCGGGTAATTGCAGTAGAAATAGGCCTGTGTAGCGGGTAGCTACGGTGCAATCACCCACCAAAACTACGTTATACAAGCCTAAATTTTAGGCTTCAACCCACGGACTTCGTGACAAACGCCACGATCCCTCTTTGACCTTGAAAAATAAATAAAAATAAATCGAGGTCTGTGGACATATCATCTACAAGATGGTTATTGACACAGACTTGAAAATTTTCATTTCAAAAGATAGGACGAAGGTCTGTGAATACAACCTGGCCGTAGGTAGACACTATCAAGCTCTTTAGACGGCCTTACCCCTTTGTCCCCCATCACGAAGTAAGAGTAGAAACTCATTGCAATTAGCTATGGCCTAATATCGAGGCATCACATGGTCATTTTAGTGAGGTCCTATCTAGAAAATCTAAAAGTACCAAATTCTATACACAACCATAGAATGAACTCAGTCTAAATCTAATAGCCAAAAATGCATTTGGCTGACGAGGACGTAGTTGAAGGCATATTCATCCCAACTAGAAACCTCCTTTTCTCCTCTTTTGTTTTTTCTTCGGCCTCTCCTCTCTGCGACCGAAAGCACCAGTAACTGGTTGGGACATGGTCTGTATCGCGTCCGACATGATAGCCTGACTTTGCGAATACTGCTTGAGAGGTTGACTATGCTGGTTGTAGGAGTGGATATCAGGAACCGGCTGGGTTGCAGGCAGAGTTGGTTCCTGGGTCCCCTTAAAAAGCGTTTCAGCTCTTCGTCTTTTCCGGCTTTCGCGGGCCAGCTGCTTTGCTCTCTTTTGCATGGCCGGAGTAACTTCTCTGTTCCTATCCAGATCGAACACATAGTCCTCAGGATTGGCTCCGACTTTCCATTTGTCTAAAAGCGCCGTATTCTTTGCGGGTACAAAATTACCCGTGCCTGTATACGATCTTAGAAGAGTCATAGCGGGATCCTCTCCTTGGGGTTCTTCTGACTTTGACCTCTTGGAACTGGTAATAGATTCCCCCGACTGTGACATAGCGACACTCCCTGCCCGGCTTGCTTGTTGACTATCAATCGCCATATTATCTAAATCATGTAGAAGTAATTGTTGGCTTTCGTCTATATCCACTGGACGATGGACTAGTCCAAAGAGAGATAAATATGTATCGCAGGCCATTTGTCGAAATACTGTGTACCTTGCCTCTTGTATCCAATCCTGTGCCTCTCCGTTGATACTAGAACCGCTCGTCATTTCCAGGAGCATGGAATACATATCTTGTAATGAATTCGAGCATCTAGTGATCTGGCGCTGTGGTTGATCGAAACCTAATAACCGCACGTTTGGGTCGACATGTCTGAGTCGCTCTATTTGGATTCTCCATTCAGTGGAAAGATCTGTATCATTAGGCAGCCTTTCTTTCCCAATCATCTCAAAACTGCAATTCTGGTTAGCTTTTGATATTATGGAGAAAAAAAAAATAGAATTTCAGCTTACAGAGTCGTAGCAGGCATAATACCATTTTCAATAGCTTGTTGAACATTAACATGGACGTTGTCGAACGGATTGATTCCTGGCCTTCCCTCGTCTCGAAGCCCCATAGGCTCCTCTATCCGTCCACCGGTAATCGCGCAAAGGTGCTCGTAAAATATACCGATATCTCTCTGTATCGTCGGCCACTGTGGGAAAGCCCTAGGCCTCCTGGTGGTGGCTTGTAGGAGTCCATCATCATGACCGGTGATGTCATCTGGAATGACGAAGCGTGCAGACATGTGTTTTAAGAGCCTTCTCCTTTCCTTGGAGTAGTCCTTCGTCCGGGATGCTTTGCAACTGGGGCGACTTATTCGGTGTATAGGAAAAATAGAGGTAGACACACAGAGTGTAGAGAAGAGACACATATCTGTTGTGAGGGTAGCAAGCTGGTAAAATCGAACCTCTTGTTTGGCGAGGCTACGTGCAGATTGGGAGGGCGGGTTTGAAGGCCTCAAAGCAACCGGTGTAGGATGAAGACACATAGTCTGAACCCCTGAATCCACAGACGTATGTTGAAAAGCCTCTGTAGCAACACCCTCCCGGTGATAAGTGACCATGGAAGGATTGGTTTTTGACATGGCAACGAAGAAAAGGTCGATCTGTTTGTTACTGTTGGAATGTACGTGAACAAGAGATGTGGCTTGTGTGGGCGACCCAGGTCCCGGCGCGACGCTGAGTTTGAGGGCGTGGTCAAGACTATTCCTCAAATGAGATATCACCAGTACAATATTCCATTGCTTCTGTGGTTCTCCCCAATCTTCTACAGGTGCTGAATGTATCCTGACCACGAATAATTTCAACGCAGTTAGGACGAAGACGTATTGGCTGTTTTGTGGATTTCCATGCACGTCCAGAATACAATCTCGACCCCCTTCTCCTATAAAAGGCAAATTGGGTAGAAATGAGTCCTTAGTAAGATCGAGTAACTTTACTACTTTTGAATTGCACAAAAGCAATGTTGAGGATCGCACGAGCTGCGGGAAAGGGCCTTGTGATTCAAGGGTATCTGCATCTTCCTCAAATTCAGCTGTCTGCGATTCTTCTAATGAGCTTCTTGGACAGTCAACCCAGAGTAGTTTGTGCCATTGTGGCCCGCCCGTGCCTCTAGCGGGAAGATGGCGCAAGACACCTCTCTCAATTTGTCCACATTTGTCCAGTTTAGCCTTGGGTTTCCCTGATGACCTGGTTTTGAGATAGGCGATATCCCAAACACTCCAATATCCACATTCGTCGATGATTCCAAGTTGAGGCGGTCTTGATCTTACACCGGGGTTGAAAGATGCGTCTGAATGTGGATTTCCTCCAGTACGGTCAATTGGAATAGAGAGTAGCGGATTAGCTACAATACGAGTCGGTCTTCCTGCGCTATTACACTCCGAGAGGGTGGGGACTCTACGATATTCTGGCTTAAATATCCTAGTACCGGAGTCCCTCTGTACGACTACCCAGCGCGTTGGATCGTATCTTTTGAAATCGACCACGCATTTTAAACGGCGGATGGGCACTGCAACTTCCTCCTGGAAGAAAACTGATTCGTAGTCGTCCGCTACGCCTGAAACTTGGATGGACACGCTGTCATCGTCGTGCCATCGCCATTCTTCTGAACTTGGCTTCGTTAGGCAGAGGACATCATTCGCTTCACCAGTAGCAATTGCTAGTAAGGGGGCCCCAGACACTTTCTGCGTTTCACTCGTATCAGTTAGTTCGCCGATTGAGAAAAGAGATGAGTTCTGTGCTTCACCCTCTTGAAGCAGCATTGGTGAATGGGATGATCGTAGTTGGTCATGAAAACACTCATTTCCCAGGCGAGCTTCAGGATGAGCCTTTAGTAACCATTTTTGCTGATTCCGGTTCGTCTGGAATGAGCTGTGAACTGATGTACCTGGTGTTGGTACACTAGTAATACCAGTAGGTAGAAGCCATGTTTCGTAAGGGCCAAGCTCTTTAAGCACAGGAGCTTTGACGAAATGTTAGTGAATGAACGGGGAACCCTGTGAGGGAAATCGGATTTTTGAAGACGTACTACTCTGAGCGAAGTTTCTCGTGGATTTCCATCCGCGATCCTCCGCCTTGGTTACTCCATAAGATAAATGAGAAAGGCGTCCTGCGAGTCCGATGGAAGATTCAGTGATTTGACGGTCAGTCATTCGGAGAGCGAAGCTCGATAGATATTCTCTCAAATGTTAACCGTCCTTGATCGTACATAGCGAGGGCTTTAAAGAGCCAAAGAATGTGGACGAAGGACTAGAGAGTAGTACGACTACAATCCGTTTAAAAGAAGGTGTTCTTTGAGGTGATGTTCGAGGTCGATAATGCATCGAGGGATGAAGAGTCGAAAAAATGGTAGGAACCGATCTTACTGGGATAGGAAATTTAATTGGATCCCGAGAATTCGACAATGCATTATCTTATCGGATAATGCACCGTGTAACTTTCATCTTTACCAGTAGCAGCAGCTTCTTCTAACTGTGTTTCGCCTTCATAAGTTATATTAATTCTACTAATAATTTTATCAAATTTACACATTGGAAGGGCTATTTATACTGTTTGAAGAACTATAAGGAATATACATCCTAGTATTCCGTCGAAATTCACCGTTAATCGGATGATGGCTGTATAAGTACTTTAAATTGGATCATAGGTGGGGCCGTATCCGACAGGGCTAGTGGCGCTCGGCAACGAACATAAACATTTACCTACCAACACGCTGGTGTGACATGGGATTTTGTGCTCTTTCAACTAAATCCACAATTCAGTATCGAAGTTGTCGCATTACGATAGAACCTACGCATCATCGCGCCCTAACCAAAATAATCCGATACTCCAACCGAACTCGATTCGAAGGACCAAAATGGCTTCCGCATTTGAATCATCCCTATCGTCGAGCCTAAGCGGCCGACAAACGCTTTCCACGACAGCCCCCTCCATGGCTGATTCGCTCCCCAGCATCAACTTCGGCTTCGACGAACTGCGCGACCGTATGGCCAAATTCAGTGCGAGATTTGACGCTTTCATTGAGCAAGGGCGCAAACGTGTGCTAGAAGAGCGCAACCAATTTCGGATGAATATCGCTGAACTACAAGGTAAGAATACAGTTCCTCCTTCTATCTCCACAGACGGGGCATAGAGCTAATAGAAGTCGCGATAAAATAGAGGACCAGCGCATGAAGAAAAAGGACATGGAAATCCTACAACACAAAACAACCACCCACCAACAAATGATATCCAAAGAAGCCGCCGAGACCCGCGAAATGCAAGCAGCCATCGCCTCGCTAACCGAGCAACGAGACAAGAACAAAGCCACACGCGACACCCTCCAACAACAAATCGCCGAAACACAGAAAGAAATCGACGCGCGCTTAGCAGCTCAGAGAGCACACGCGCAGTACGTAGAATCGCAATCACGTTTCAACGTGCCAGAACTAGATTTCTGGATGCAGAACCTGTGTCTGAAGATTGAGGGCGCGGGACAGACGGATAGGCTAAGATTCGTGTACACGCATGTCGACGAACGTAATTGGGAGCGCGAGGCTTGGTTCGAGCTTAGCATGTCAGCGAAGGATTACGATGTGCGTCGGTGCAGGCCTAAGATTGAGAAGGAGAAGATTGATCGTGTGCTTGAGCGCGTTAATGAGACGAGGGATTTAGCGGTGTTGTTGAAGGGGATGAGGGAGCTTTTCGTAGAGGCTATGAAGTCTTAAGGAATTAAATTCCAGGCATTAATGCGATTTGGCCATGCTTATGACGAGATACGAATTTATAGGCGTTGGGAGTTTAATAACCGCGATGCCTTGATCGGTAGAATTAGGTTGAAGCATGGATGGTGGGGGTTAGATTTTTAATACTGGCCAATAAACAATTGGCTTCTCGCTTTTCTATATGAATACCTTACCCAGTAAACAATCTCTTTGATTCCCTTTAAAGTGACTAATGACTTATACGTGGATATAAAGTATCGCGGCTTCCCATCTTCATCTTGAGACAGTGGCAGGTGCGGTCAGCTGTGACCAATTATCGGCCTCAATTTTCGCCCCGCAACCCACGCGTCTCCTGCCAGTTACAACTTCTTTATCACACGAATTGACAACGGGGTCTTGATATAATTCTACGCAAAAAACATATATCTCGGCTTAATAGTCTCAGTGCATCATAATGCCGCCCGCCGGAACTCCGAGGGACGATACTGAAAAGCAGGCCGCGGCGCAGCAAGCCGTTGACATCCTGCATGAGATATCCACCATCCTCGTAAGTCTATCCAACAAACAAAACTAGTAAAACATCGAATCATCATCCGAATAATAAATTAATATAAACTCAATGGTGTATAGAACTGCCATCTCGACCGCCGCACACTATCAATCTGCATCTCCATGATCGAGAATGGCGTGAACCCAGAAGCTCTCGCGGTATGTTTGAAATTGCACCACACTTTCGAGGCGTCTCCGCATCCGTTATCCCCTGAGCTAAGGACTAACTTCAAATCTAGAACGTCGTCCAATTTCTGCGTAAGGAAGCACAAAAGGCGGAATTCGCACAAGAGACCGGTCGGTGAGAGATATAGCTCACTTGACCAGAGGAAGAAGCACGAGGCAATTCCAATGCATGTCGCATCTCCGTGGGCATAGGTCTAGGTACATGCAAGGTGTTTCGGAGTTTTTATATCAATTTATTCATTCTCACTACCAGCTACCTTTACACGAAGTGACCAAACAGATACCCCGAGCTAGCATATGAACATGCAATTATATATATAATAGTCCAAAATGATAATGCGTCACTTTTTTCTTTTCTTTTCAGTTACCCCAGTATGCCAAAGTATGTCTACGTAACCATAAAACATTCTTCCCGAACTTTTCGTCGGCGCCAGCTTGGTTAAGGATAAGAAACGCCCCGTCTTTATATCATGAGTATACCAATAGACCAATTTGCATGTTGAACCACCGTGTGACAGGTACCGCCATCCATTTACCTTTAATCCTCGCTGGTATTTCCCTTATGCTTTCGATGCTGTTCCTAAACGCCGTTTCATATATCATTCCTAAGCCAACCAACCAACCAATTTCTAATCCGTGTCATCTAACGGTGGCCAAGTAGTTCAAAATCATCCACATCATCCTCTCCTTCCTCTTCCTCTTCCTCGTCTTCAGAGGACGATACATATTCGCCATCAGAAGCATCCACCTCGTCGTCTTCGTCGTCATTGGATGCTATACTGCGAGGAATCCGGCTCCAAAATCCTAACATATCCTCCATCTCTTCCTCTTCAGCTTCCACAAGAGGATAACCCACCGGCGGATTCCAAGCCAGCGCCAAGTTCGCAGGCGGGGAAACCGAGCGGGCAAGTCTATCAGGGAAATCCGGTTCCATGATAGACTGGTTGTTTAGTGCCGACCGCGCGACGTTGGACGAATGTCGCCTTCTTATGTCACGGGGAGCTGTTCCGTCACTTGTCCCAGTACCTTCAGTAATTCCTGGGCCTCGCGAAGCCGATAACCCGGAATATTCCACTTCTCGTCCGATCAAGTCAGTCTCGATCGCTTCCTCGGACATGCCGAGTATCTGGAGTTGCGCAGTGTTATATGACGAACAAACACCACATTTCAGACCAAGCCAATGGTATTTGCATGAGCTCTTTGCTGAGCAATCATTACATAGGACTAATGCTCGTGTGTCTTGGAATTCGGGCGGCATTGGTTGGGTTTCGATGGCCATGTCTAGATTTCGAAATTGTAATTCCATATTCGCGAGACTCTTGTTGCATATCGGACATTTATATGCGACTTTCATATGCTCATCCAGACATTGTTGGTGGATACTGTGACCACATTTCATGAAGCATACAGGTTTGGGCGACGTGAACATATACTCGCCGCATATAGGGCAATCGCAATCCGTAGATCTCTCGATACATTTGTGGTCATTTTCTTGGCCTATGGCGATGCAGGCGCAACATGTCTGTTTCGTTTGGTTAATTAGGATAAATTGGATAAGCATGTTTGACCCTACCTTGCAATGGAAGAAGTCTTTGCCAATTCCTCTCCCTATTCTGCAAATACCACAGTCGTTACAATGGTAGACGGGCTTATCAGGGTCATCATTCCATAGTTTGCATATATTGCAGTAATATCGCGCAGCTGACGCACCGCAGGATACGCAAACATCACCAGCCTTCTGGGCAGTCCCACAGAACATGCATAACATGTTCCTCGTCTCTTTCCTGATCAAAATGTGGTCTTCTACCTTATCATGGCAGAACCGACAAGTATACCATTTATTGCATTGTGAGCATTGCAATTTGACGTTTCGCCTGTAATGTTCGCAGCCAAGAGGGCGGTATTCTGAATATTCACTGTATTCCACCTCTTCACCATTTTCTTTAAGCGGCGCAAACGTTGGCTGGATATCCTCGGCCGATAGATCGAATTCCTCGATGGGTCCGGTCTCGTCTAAGACATTCTGCCAAAATCTGAACGACTCCAATGGGCCTTGAGAGCGCCGTTGCTCCGTATTTGAAGGACTAGAAGGTGTAAGAGGTCGCTCAACCGGAACTACCCTTCTTGACTTGGTATATCCTTCTATTAACAGTTGGTGCATCTGTTGGGCCTTCTCGGGCGCGTCAAGATCCTGTGCTTGGATGGCGAATATCCGCTTCCTTAATACGCCCATTCCATCATCTTCAGGTAGGGATTTTCGTCGGTCTATCCTGGACGGAGAAAGGTTGGGCACGGATAATAGTCTTTCCGCCACTCCATTTAGGGTACTTGTAGACGTGGATCCATTGTGTTCATCGGGGTCTCGAGAGGTATTTTCGCGGATAGGCATGTCTAAAGATCGAGAGTTGGTATGATTCGTGGCATTAGATCGGTGGGCCATATCGCTAGGGGGTTGTGGATGTACAGAACTCCGTGACGAGGGAGACGATGGTATACTTCCATCTACTTCGTCATCCAGATACGAGTCTTCCTCCGTCTCCGAAATGGCATCCTCCTGACTTTCTTTAGACTCTTTGACAGGGGGTGATATAGGTTCGGATATTATAAAGTTAGCTGATGATCGCGAGAACCTCCGTGCCTGTCGTATGACCGGGTTCACTAGGAAGTCGGTGACCAGGGACGCCATGGGAAAGGGGACAGAGATTACGGTGAGATGTTAGGTGTGAAATCTGGTCATTGTTATTTCTCGTCGGGGGCAGTCGAGGATTTGAAAAAGAAAAAAAGGGAATAAGACTAATAATCCAAAGTCGAAGAAAAGGGTGAGAAAAGAAGATTCATTACTAAGAAATATCAAAAAGTCGGTCGTCAAGCCACAGCAACCACCGTCGCCTGTCGGTTGGATTACGCTAAATGATTTGGATTTGAATTGGGAAGGCAGTGACATCAGGTGGATCCTTGACCTTGATCGAAACATGGCATTAATAGTATTGAATCGATTTAAAGACTCCCTAATGCAGTAATAGTGGCATATGTACCCCGCTAACACCGGCCTAGTGTTATTCTGTGTGACCTGAGACAATTATTGATTTAGTATATTTTACGTATATGATGGCCTAAGTTAAGCCTGCATTTACATGTGAGATACAATTTGGGGTATAAAGATGCATAATTTAGTGTGTCTAGCCTAACCCCGGCAGCGGCTGATGGGATATCTTGGCATCTTGCACCCGAACCTTTTTTTCTCTCCCCTTTCAACGACTATGTACGGGATGTTACCTAAGAGAAGAAGATCATAGAGCTCAATCAACAATCTAGTCGTACGTATTAGTCAAACAAGTCACCAATATTTTACCTATTCGCGTTATACAAGGGAACTCATGACATCGAGCGCAACGTTAATTACGAGGAATTCAGAGATTATAACAAATTCATAGACTGTCGGAAGACACCACCATCTGAAACCACGGTACATACTCCGAGGGGCGCAACAATGTCCAAGTTGGAAATCATACACGCATACCGCCATTTATATCGCGGGCTACTTCATGCCGTCCAATTCTCTAAACCAGCTAGATATGTAGCACAAGACCGGTTAAGGACGGCATTTCGCGCGCAACAATTCGAGTTCGATCCTCGAAAAATAGCTAGGACGCTACGCTTTCTAGAGGCGGCTGCGAGAACTCGTGGCTTAGAACACAATATTCTCAAAAATCTTCTAATAACAGCCTCCCTCCGGCGCGGCCCCTCCAGGTCTTGGAAACCAATAAAAGAATCTGAGTAAGGGACTCCTTCTAACTAAATCTCTGGATTTGTTTCCCGCACAACTAACAAATTCCTAGCAAACCAACAAAACTCTTTGAGAAACACATTAAAAAATCGGCTTACGTACACTATGAGACAACCGTAGCTATGCTCAATGCATCTATGGGCTTATGCTTGCGATAAAATATGACCGACTACGGATGTAGAAATATCTAGGCAATGCATCAAGCGTGCAGATTCACGAACGCCTTGATTCCCCGGCTTCCCTACGCCAATCGGCAACAGGGTTCTATGTAGACTGTTCTGTTATGCTCGGTTCTATCACATTCTACTTAGACCCCTCTGCAACTTTCTGACGATCTCTTCGATTAATCCTATTGCCGGGGATTTACCACGTCGAACTTGTTATTTCACACCCATCTCTAAAATGGAGATGAGCTCTCCGCGCCAATCCCTATGTCACATTTATACGCACCCCTCACGAAATGCCCCCGGACTTGACGAAAACGTGGGTTGCGATCAATTTAGTACCATTTGTCGATGGGTTACATGCAGAAGCTTGAGTACTCCGAATTCAAGCAGGGGCATTACTCAGGTCCTCATCAAACAATTCAACGAAAAAGATACCATGAAGCCGTAAATGACCTCGACTCAAAGATTTTGGTTTTTTATGCTCTGTACGACCTACCTAGGTTGATCAAAAGAAGTTAGCCAGATAAGTCCGTCATAACACGGAGGAGATGTGTATCCGGATCTTTCGCGGATAGCAGCACATTCATCCAGGGGAGATCGACCCCAACTTGCCTGATACGTCAACCAACCATCTGCTAGATATTTTGAACCTGCAGATGGCACTCTACCAGGCGGAACAAAAAGGAAGCTTATCAGGGCGACAAAGTAATTAAGGTCACAATGGCTGGCCTAATACATATATAGGATAAAGAAAAATGCGTCGACGCTACGCATCATCGAAATTGATTTGCCTTACATTTTCAGTACGTATATTTTCGGTGAGGAGTTGTCTATTCTGCCACAAGTAGATGAATTTGTTCATCGTCTAATTGACTGCTGTATTTGAGGGGCAGTCTGCACTCGGCTGCGCAACTAGAAGATACCTAGGTATGATAAGCCTCGACTGCTGTAGATCTAGGCTCATCATAGGTATAGATGAAGACATTACTGATAAAGGTAGACAGGTCTAGACTGTAGCTATCTGTAACAAATCTTGGCCCCGAAAGAAAATGTCCATCCAATTGATGAACCAACGAACTCCATAGGAGATCGACATTCGCGCAATGGCTAGCCTATCGAATTACTTAGACGTACATACGTATCCATGTATATGTACGTAGGTAGGTACCTAGGTACGTATAGCGATTTAGCGATTGAGTTATTGGCAAAAGTTGGTGTTGGATTTTGAAGCAACCTTGGAACCTTACTGATTCAGGTAATAAGCGGGGCAACCAGATAGCTGTGCAACCTCCCAAATTCGAGACTGCTTGATCCACTAATTCCTGGTTGGTGACTTCAACAACGGTCCATTCTCAGTCGATTTCCCCTCCTCTAGCCGTCTCCAGGGCTTTTACCTGGGAAGAAACCAAGCTATGTACCCACATTATTGTTCCGTACATGTACGTAGTTGATGTTTCTTCTGTTTCTTCCCCCTCTAGCCCTTTAAATGCTCGCAACCTTCGAAACTTTCGCACCTTCGTCACAAGCCAGTTCAAGGATACCCCCCTAACGAAACCCCTGCTCGCCCCGACAAGCCTCCAATTCAAAGTTCTTGTTCTTCTTACCCAAGCCAAGCTTCCATCCATCCATCCATTCAAAATCAACCAACCTACAACCTCCTACAAACCCAAACCCCATCCACTTCCACACAAACTACTACTACTACTTCCTACTACCACCACGGCACTACCGCTTCTACCAAAGTTACCAAACCAACTACGTAACTTCCGGGGTCCAATGTCATTCTTTGTATGTACGCTCGAACAAACCCCGCAGAAAGGCAGACCTTGGACAAATCTTAGCATCCTTAAGGTCAATTGGCCCTGTTTGCAGTAGTAGAACAACCACTGTAAGCATATTATTGCTGTTGTGTGGATGAAATAATTCAACCCTCTTCTTTACATTTACATCAATTAATTAATTGACTACTACGACCTCTACCTACCTTCCACCTATCCGTCCATCCTCCTCCTCGCCTTCATCCTCATCTTCATCACTTGCCTCCTTGTAATTAATTCTTTCGAAACCCCGCATCGAATAAAAATTCCTTCCTCTCCCTCATCTCCCAAAATTCCGAAATCCATCGAGTCCTCTTAGTTCGGGATCTTGATGGCATATCTCTTGCTAGCAGGAGACGCTATTGTATCGCGACCACGCCGATGACTCTGGTCCTCATTACGAGGCCATTGTCTGAAGCTTCCCCCGCAATACAGCTTCTGCTGCTAGAAAACTGAGCCATGCCAGCTGAGTCCAATTATCAAGATGTCACCAGCTCCCAGATCCGGACTCGGACTCGGACCATGCCTCAGCTCAGCGGCGGAAGTGAGAAGCCACGAAGGTGGATAAAAAGATATCGGACAGAGACAGCCGCCAGTACCGCGAGTGTCTTGTCCACTGTCACTGCTTTTCCTCTCGACAGTGTGAAAACTCGTATGCAAACATACCCATATGCGGGTGCTCTAGATTGCGTACGAGTGACTTATAATTCGGAGGGTATTCGAGGCTTCTTTCGAGGTATGTAACTAAAGAGAAAAAGAAAAAGAAAAAAAGTACCGAGCGCACAAGTACATGCGGCAAGCTCGTGATCCTAGTCCAAATCCACAAACAAGCATCATAGCTAACGCCACCTTGCTTACATAGGTGTAACTGCTCCCTTAGCTAGTGTCACACTTGTACGAACGATTTCCTTCTCGATCTACCAACGCTCCAAATACGTTTATTCCGACTGGATGAAACAAAACCTCGGGTTCTGCCCCCTTGAACATGTTAATAAGAACGGCGCATATCCGAACCTTGGCACTATTGCTTGCTTCGGAGTTGCCGGGGCCACTGCCGGCTCCGGTATCACCTTCATTGCTTGTGAGGAACCTGAATACAATTAAAGTGCATTTTTGGTGAACGAATCGGAATTGACAAATGATACTAGGTCCATTCGAGTTAACAAAACTCAGCGCCCAAGTGTCGGTTCTTATGGCGAACCAGAAAAATGCGGATCCACAAAAACAAGCTATTGCTCTCAGTTACCACAATAAAGGAACTTTCAAAACCCTTGCCAACATCGTCAAGCATAGAGGCTTTTCCGGGATGTACACCGGACTAAATTTGCATCTATGTGAGATGACCCCCGACTTGTTTGGGATACCCCCACGCAATTGGCTAATACAGAATTATAGTGAGAGACACCCTTGGAACGGGAATTTACTTTGCTACGTATGAGAGCAGCAAACAGCTGTTGACGACCTTTAGCGGGAAGGATGCTCACAAGAACCCCATTGCCGTACTCGCCGCTGGAGCTCTCTGCGGTATAGTATCGTGGGCTTTAATATGTCTGTACCCTTCACGCCAGTTGTAGCAGTTGTGAGCTGACTCCCCTACCAGATCCGATTGATTCCGTGAAGAGTATCTATCAACGTAATGCGTTGATGTATTCCAAAGGTCAAAAGGTACCTGTTCCTAAAATCCAATTCTTCCGACGCGACATGTACCGCGGACTCGGTGTATCTATGGGGCGTTCTGCAGCTGTCAACGCTGTGTTTTTCTCGGCGTTTGAATTCCTGAAGAAACGGATCAACGCCATGAAAGAAATGGATTAGAACCCTAGGTCCTTACACGTATGGCGGTGGGTGAAGTAACAATTGTATACCATCATTTCGGTGCGCAAAGGAGCATTTGACGGAGGCGTTGGTAACGGGTCACGAACACCCTGGATTAGCATGGCACCCTGAAAAAAAGGCAGCCCGGTAACATTTTTGAGAAGGATAAATCTCAAGGCCCCGAGTCGGGAATTATAGCTGAAATAACAAGGTATATCGCTAGGGGAGCACACAAAATAGTTCTTTTACTAGGTGTAATCCAATAAATGCATTTTTACCCATACCACAGTAGAAATAGCTGCAATAATCTTCAAATCACATACTTTGCCAGAACATATAGCTTCAACGTCAGGCGGTTGAATACCTAGTATAAAAGTACAACGATGAACAACTATGGATGAAGTAGCATCATCGATTTCGTATTACCCTCGAAGTTTATCCTTCGTAAAACAACGCAGTCGATTCTCTCTAGTGTCCCGCACGAACGCCAAACTCCGAAAGATGCAACGTCCTTACCTTGACCTAGCGTGCCTAGGTGTGTATCATCATCAAAACCATCTACCCATCAATCATCAACCGTGCTCCCCCTTCAACTTAGTCACTCCGTAGCATGCTCTCAACGAGATCGCCAAGTGGACCCCAGAAATCTTTACCAGTAGCTAGGTTGTGCTCGTCGATGAATAGGACGTACTGCTTGAAGGATGTATTGAGGTGGGGTTCGAGACCCAATTCGCGGATTACGGGGTAATGGTGGCAGTATATATGAGCGTAGACACGATACATGCGCTTGAAAATCTGACGCACGAGCGCAGGGAAGGATTTCGGAAACGGAACACCGATGCGCGACGGGAGAATCGATTCATTGTCGATGCTAGATTGGACCCAGGACATCAATTGCTCGATATAAGCCGGGGCGGGCATTTTCGTTGGGCGGCGGTAGGTATCCCCGTCTTGCCATAGGTACTCGAATTCATCGGTGGCTTTCATCTCCGGACAGGATTGCGGGGAACAGAACTCGGTTATGGCGCCGTAGAGTAGGTTTACTTGGTTGTAGAAGTCGACCATGTTTACGGCGAGCCATTCGTTTTCGTCTTCGCCTTCGGGGAGCTTGACGACTTTTCGTAGGGACCCCCCGCCTAGTGTTGCTTCGGCGTATTGACGCAGTTGGTAGCTTGTGCTGCCGCCGTTTTTGCCGGGGCGCGAGCGGAATTGGTTGCGTGCGCGCTGGTTGCTAGGAGGAGGGGATGGGTTAGTGGGGGTGTTTGAAGGGGGTTGGAGAGGAGGGATGAGGGGAATAGCTTACACGGTGGTGACGAAGGAAGTCATTTTGTCCCCGATCTTTCGTAGGGGATTGGGACTGCTTGGGTGTTCTTGTTCTTCTGTTGACTGCGACATGATGCTTGTGTTAGCGGGGCAGATAACATGGTAAACGATTGACGTTGTTGTTCGGTGGTTAATATACCTATGCGAATTGACAATTACTAAATCTTAAATCTGATATGGAACGTGGCACAGTGTATCGTAACTGCGAGCAAAGATATTTGAGTGGGCTGAGTTACAAATAATAGTTTACACGGAGAGGTTTGATGATTGGGATTGATATAGAAGAATGATGGAATTGGGATGTTTTCCTTGGTTGCTATGTCGCGCACGGACCAATTTCCCATACCGAATGCCCGCGCTATCCCCACACCGATCTAGTACAGGGGTTGCCTGCAGGTATCCGTCTGGCTCGGCGGGTAGCTTCTATTTCTTTTTTTCTGACCTTCGAGCCTTCCTTTCGACTTCACAATTGTAAAAGAATGTTGCTGATTTAATAATCTTTAAACTTTCAGTACACCATTTTATTCTAAATAACATTACTCTAGTATTCTCAGTTCACTTCTGAACTAAATGTTTCGAGAAGATCCGAAATTTCCATTGTCGATTCGTACTAGTAACCCGTTTGTGTGATTGCGATTTATGAGTTACACCACAAGTTAATGCGGGTTTCTACTATAAACTTAGTACAACAGACGAGTACCTTAACTATACCAATATTTTTCAAAAATTCCCCCTTTTCATTATATCACCCCCTATAGTCGGGTTATCAACCGCCCGAATAGCTACGAGAACTACCTAGCTAGCCTTGGGGTTGAAGTAAACCCCGCAAATAGGATCCCCTAACGCTTCTCCAGGTTTTAGTGAACCGGGTAATTGGAATCTCCACCAAGGAGTGCAGTAGAGCTTCGGGGTTAGGTATAAGTTCCATTCATATAGCTAGCTGGTACTGCTGATATCTCGGTGAGTAATTAGTCTATTTATTGTAATTATTCTGGTTTTATGAGTATAGTTTACACATAAAATACAACCATGATATTACGATTCTTTACGCTCTTAGTAGCTGCCCTCGAGGGGGTCCAGGCTACATGCGGTATTGATAGACGTCAAGTAGTTCGATCTTTCAACCCTCACCGTAATGCTAGCTCAAATACCACACCGTTGCAAGTTGGCAATGGGAATTTCGCATTTGGAGTAGACGTTACGGGTCTACAAACGTTCAGTCCCTTCGCAACAATGTCGACATGGGGTTGGCATAACTTCAGTCTCCCAGATACACCTGGTCAGACATCAGTGAATGGTTGGTATATAAATCTCGTCATAGAATCCTAGACCTAATATGTTTCGCCTAGATTTCACCGGCTTAGATTGGTGGACACATGGTCGACTTGTTAATTATAACCAGCCAAACCCGGCGCAAAGCGAGATATCCAACTGGCTCATTCAAAACCCCCAACGAGTAAATTTGGCGACTATTGGCCTTTGGTTTGGTGAAGATGATATAGCCGAGGATGTGTTAGAAGACAAGTCCCAGAAGCTTGATCTTTGGACTGGCAAGATCTCGTCCTTTTTTACTTATAAAGGAGCCTCGGTCAAGGTTGAGACCTGGGCGGACTCCAGCTCGGATACAGTCGGCATTGCTATAGAATCGGAACTAATATCTACAGGATCTTTGGGTGTTTTCTTTGACTTCCCTTTTCCAACTCGGGATAAGTTTGGCGCACCTTTCGTTGGTGTCTTCAATGCTACAGACAAGCATGCTACGGTTCTTGAAAGTGGTGACAATAGAGCAACTATTCGACATGATATAGATGATACATCCTACTACACTTCCGCCGTGTGGGATGCGGATGCTGAGATATCGGGGCCGGTGAACGGAACTCACCGGTATACACTAAAGCCATCACAAGGACCGAACAGGATTGAGTTATCAGTCACTTTCTCTCCGACTTCGAACATAGACATACCATCCTTTAGCAGCACCGCCTCTTCATCTATAACATGGTGGGGATCATTCTGGCGATCTGGTGCATTTATTGATCTATCAGGTGTTAAGTCGCCCAATGCTACCGAGCTCCAACGAAGAACAATACTATCACAATATCTAACGGCCGTCAACTCTGCTTCCTCATATCCCCCACAAGGTGAGAGCCCTATTACTAAGACTACTATAAAGTTACTAATATATTCATAGAATCTGGTACGATCCATACACCTTTATATGTGAGCTTATGCTGATGATTTCAGGGTTGGTGAATAATGGGTGGTATGGCAAGTTTCATGTAAGTCCACAATTATTGACTAGCCAAGGCGAATTGAACGTTTTTTACTAATTCTTTCGTATAGCTTGAGATGATAGTATGGCATCTAGCTCACTTCGCCCGGTGGAATCACTTCCCACTCCTACGGCGCAGCGTTCCCAATACATATAGCCAGTACCTGGACTCATCAATAGAGCGAGCGAAACTCCAAGGCTACGACGGTGCTCGTTGGGGCAAGATGACCGATCCCACAGGAAGATCCGCTCCCGGCGAGATCAATTCCTTGCTTATCTGGCAACAACCTCATCCAATGTATTTCGCAGAGCTCGAATACCGATCTTATCCTACCAAAGACACTTTGAATTCATGGGATGAAATCCTCATCTCAAGCGCCGATTTCATGGCATCCTACGCCTTTTTCAACTCTTCAACAAAACACTACGACCTCGGCCCACCAATGTATCCCGCATCCGAGAACACAAGCCCCAATGCCACCATCAACCCCGCTTTCGAGCTCGCATACTGGCGTTTCGGCCTCGACATTGCTATCACCTGGAAACAGCGACAGAATCTCAGTATACCCCCAAAATGGGTCGAAGTCCGCAATAATCTAGCTCCGCTACCAACTGCTGATGATGCGTTTGCGATATACGAGGGTATACCGAATATGTGGCAGAACACCACGATACAAGACCATCCAGCTATGTCCGCCATCTTCGGTCTTCTTCCCCCGCCGAGTAGTGGGACGCCGCTTAATATGACGGTTGTTAGGAATACGGCGGATAAGATCCGTGATCTGTGGGATTTGGGGGATTGTTGGGGTTGGGATTTTCCGATGTTGGCTAGTAAGTTCAATCACCCGTGTTAAGATCGCTTTATAAGGAATAGTTGTGTACTAAGTGATATAGTGAACTCGTTACGCCTTGGGGATATCGACCAGGCAGTAACGTATCTTTTACACCCATTGTTCGAATTCGATGATGCTGGATATCCGGTTGGCGGATCGCGCGTGCCGACGCCTTATTTCCCGGGCTCGAGCTCGTTTCTCTTGGCTATGGCTATGATGGCTGGAGGGTGGGATGGTGAGCCTGGGACGCACTTCCCCGAGGGATGGGATGTTCGGGTCGAAGGATTTGTGCCGGGTTTATAGTAGCAGCCGATAGGTGTATGAGTTTGTATTTAGCAATAGCTGTGATATAAATACGCATTCTGATTAGACCACTATTTTGATGGCTATATCTTTATCAGTAGAGATGAAACTTGAAGCAGGTTTATATTCGCTCCATTTTAAATGGGTTAGGAGACTATAAGCGAGTTCTTAGTATTGGGAGGGCCTCATCACGAGGCTAGTGTATTCATCTCCTGAATTTAGGAGCATTGAGTTGGCGACCCTTGAGAGACAAATGCATGGAATATCCATTGTGCTTCGAAGTAGATCCGGCTACCAACATCAATGCTCGTATGGCGTTTGAACGCCAGCAGACTTCTCTAGTCCTCGAATTTACTAGTAAGGCTGAGGCTAATGGGGAGACATTTCACAATATTCTGTCCCTTAATCCATCGCAGGTATAACACCTCCCTCGTGTGGCATATTCTTTTGAACCCCCTCCGGAATAGCCCGTGACAGGTCCTTTGTTCTATCCTCTCTCCCCTAGAGTAGGATCTCTCCCAAGTTTTCGCCTTCAAACCCGAGTGTAGCAAGCTTCTTCAGCTTAGCCTTCTCCTTGGCTTTTTCAGCCGCTCTCCGTTCCTTCGCTAGCTTCTCTACCACGCTAAATTCGGCTTTCTCGAAGCCGGGAGGTGTCTCGTCGTCCTTGTCGAGGTCGATTTCGCCAAGAAGGAGCACGTTCTCGCCTCGAACTAGGAAGATGCCATGGGATTGGTCGGCATATAAACCCTTCGGCTGGGGATCTGAGGGGTCGGATGTGGTAGCATATATTCGTTCGATGGTGGACTGGAGGACTAGGTTCGCTAGAAAGATGCGTTAATAACAAAAAAGAAGAGAGGTAAGGGGAGGGCAAGACAAGACATACCGAATTGATCCCAACTTCGCAGTACACCAGTCAATTTTCTACCATCTCGTAGGCATACTAGAAGCTTTTCTATACCTAGTGATTAGCAAAGCGACTTAAAAAAGTACAGGCCACCTTCAATTGGCCGCATCATGAGGCTTACTATCGGTTAGGTCGAGTAATTGGGCAGCCGTGGTGAACATTTGCGGGGGAAGTTGCTGAGGCTGTGGAGGAGGGGCACCCCGTCCCAATCCCTGTGGCATAGGGCCACCGGCTGGTTGGGCAGGGCCGGGTTGGGGGGGCAGATCGTGTATCGAAAGGTTCTCCATCATATCATCTGTCTAATGTCGTCGTCGATGTTGGGACTATACCAATCCATAGAGAAGTGGGGGAGGACAATTAAAAAAGTTCGTATTGTAGCCGATGTTTGCGAGTTCCCTACTGTGGCGTGTATGTAAGGAAATTCGGCGTAGCGATACGTTGATATGTTTTTTTAATCATCCGCGGTTGACATGGATAGGTTTCTTTTTTATCGCAAACGAGATCGGTTGGTTATTTTCTATGGGGGTGACGTCGAGCCGCACATTTTTGAAGAAGCTTGCTGTGACTAACATTACCGCGCTAATGTGCTTATGTAAGCTTGCTGCCCAATAGCAGTACGTATGTACTCTACCAGTAGCACTCGCTAAGAAGGCATCGCTTCAACCACAATTGACAATCGATGGATTCGAGATGGGCAGTTTAACTCTACAACCAATGCATTGAGACCAGATTAAAAGGAATTAAACATCTTGCTATTCACCACGTCTTTAATTATAAATTGAGCTAGCACGGTGTATTTAATATTCTAGACACTAACTAAATGTGGAACTCAGATCGTATCGTATAATGAACTTCAGGGTCCAACTAAGAAACTAAAAATACCTATAATCAATTCAGTTACGGAGTAACTACCCCAGACAATATATCTATACCTGCCTCGCTTCTCTCTCGACACTACGAAACTCTCCTATGCGAGGAAGTAGCCAGTCAGAAGAAAGGCAATTGTCATCATTAGATCTGATAAGGAGGCAGTTGCGAAACTGTTCGCATTCGCGATGGAGCTTGGCAGGCGTTACCGGATCTGGGAAACTGGCCTAGGTTGGACAGGGATTCTCCTCTGTTCTTGCCGAAGATCCTTGCCCGCGCATGTGACGGTCGGGCGTACTGTTGGTACAACCCGAACCTCTGGACCTCTCTGGACCTCTCGCTGCACTCTGCTCCTTTTTTTGCGGGGACTCGTTTCTTCTTTTGGATGCAGCTTCGTGACCCGCGGAATCTGATGTCAACACATCTTCGGACTTCTCTCTAGAATTGGGTTAAAAACGAAAGAGAGGGATGATTTATTTAATTCTTTAGTTTCTTCCGTGTCTTATTCTTCTTTGTTAGATGTCCCAATATCTCCCCAATAATTCCAATTGAGTTGTGAAGAGACCCTTCGATTATTGATTGTAAGACACATCGACATCATGCCGGGCTCCTCACGAATGCCCATCAGCTTGCGCGAGACGTATAACAGCGTTAAGCGATCTCGGCCAGTCGTCAATCCTCAACAATTCCTTAATCTTGACCTGTAAGTGTCTCTGAGAAACATATATAACTCTCTTAATTCCTGTGGATGTGATGTTTCTTGATCTGTTACCCAGCAAATTAGATGGAGCAATTCAATGTCATCATTGAATATACAAAGTAACTAATTACCTGTTCCTATTTAGAGTCCGAAATATCGTCTTTTTCTTCTTTGTACTACGCATAGTCCGCCGAACGTTTTGGAAACTAAGAGGCCGAGGCATCATCGGAACCATCGTAGAAATATACCATGACGTACGACGCGTACTATACGGCTACTTCCTCCGAGCGCCGGGCGTTCGGACGAAGGTTCGGAAACAAATCAACGAGTCCTTAGCGAAAGTACAAGCGAAGATGATACCTGCCGAAGGTACGCGAAATTTAACCCTGCCGAAAGAGGGTTGGACCGATGATGCGTTACGGACGGAGCTCGAGACATTGGCAAACATGGACCACACTAGATGGGAAGACGGCTACGTATCGGGTGCGGTATACCATGGAGAAGAAGACCTGCTTAAGCTACAAACCGAAGCCTATGGCAAGTTCACCGTTGCGAACCCGATACATCCGGACGTCTTCCCTGGTGTGCGAAAAATGGAAGCCGAGGTTGTCGCCATGGTCCTCTCTCTGTTCCACGCCCCGCCGACCGCTGCTGGTGTCTGTACCAGTGGAGGTACCGAGAGTATTCTTATGGCGTGCTACAGCGCGCGGCAGAAGGCATATGTAGAGCGTGGTGTAACGGAACCGGAGATGTAAGTCACATACCCTGTCCGGCCTGCATCCAGGCTGCTAACCTGGCGATATTAGGATTCTCCCGGACACTGCACACACAGCCTTCCGAAAGGCCGGTGATTACTTCAAGATCAAGGTCCACCTAGTGCCTTGCCCCGCCCCAGCCTACCAAGTCGACATCCACCGAGTCTCTCGCCTCATTAACTCCAACACCATCCTCCTCGTCGGCTCCGCGCCCAACTTCCCCCATGGCATTATGGATGATATCTCTGCCCTCTCTAAGCTCGCCGTAAAGCGCCGTCTTCCACTACACGTCGATTGCTGTCTAGGCTCGTTCCTCGTCCCACTACTCGAGAAAGCCGGCTTCGAAACCGAACCTTTCGACTTCCGCCTCAAGGGTGTTACGTCTATCTCTTGCGACACACATAAGTATGGATTCGCCCCCAAGGGCAACTCCACAGTGCTCTACCGCAGTCAGGACTACCGCACATACCAATACTTCGTCTCGCCCGACTGGTCCGGCGGTGTCTACGCATCCCCCGGTATTGCTGGCTCCCGTCCCGGCGCCCTCATCGCCGGATGCTGGGCTAGCATGATGCGCGTTGGTGAGGCCGGATACATTGACGCATGTGTCAAGATCGTCGGTTGCGCGAAGAAGATCACAGAACACGTCGCTTCCTCCCCCGTCCTCAGCGCCGAACTCGACATTATCGGCCGTCCCTTAGTCTCTGTCGTCGCCTTCTCCGCGCGGAATCTAGATATCTACGACATCGCCGACGGCATGAATGCCAAGGGCTGGCATCTCAACGCCCTCCAAAATCCCCCCGCCATGCACGTCGCAGTAACACTTCCGATTACCAAGATCTGGGAACGTCTGGTGGCGGATCTAGAAGCCGTGATTGAAGCCGAGAGGGAGAAGGAACGTGTTCGTGCGGTGGAGGGTAAGGGGCCTAAGGGTAAGGCAACTGGTGATACCGCGGCGTTGTATGGTGTTGCGGGGAGCTTGCCAAATAAAGCCGTTGTCGTCGATCTTGCGACGGGATTCTTGGATTTGATGTATAAAGCGTAAGAACTCAGATCGAATTGGCGGAGTGGAGTGGATAAAATTGTTTCATATCAAGGTGTTATGCTAGTGCGATGTGTTTTAGGAGTTGTGCGAAAAAGGGGTTAGGAGGACTAAGGGGAGGGCGTCGGCAACCTTTTGCGGTGGGGTTGGTCGATTGCTCATTTTCTTAGGTACGCAACGCATGACTTGCAAAGCTACTAGGCATATAAGGTATAATAGTGTATGTTAGGGATGGATGGAAGATGGTAGGGACGTAGGTAGGTGTGGATGGGGTTTCGTCAGTCTTTTCGAAAAGATGGATTGTTGTACATATAGGTTATAAATAAGGCAAGGCGAGAAAGGGATGAAAAACACTAAGGTGCTTATTATTACAAAATCCGTAATGGGCGGCATCGCGTATATGTAAAATGTAAATAGCACGGGACTTAAAGGATATATATGTGGATGGTATAAAGTCTCCAATCAATGCTGTTAAGGTTATACATATGTACATATTAGAGAAACCTGTTGCGCAAATGAGGATGTTGTTCAATGCTTTGCTTTTTATACACCATGCCTTGAGAGAGATGCTGAGCATTCAATTCCTGCTCCCCGTTTCTCCCTTCCCTGGTTCCATCCTGCGCCGTTGAAAATCATATAGAACATGGAAACGAAAACGGACGGAAAGCGCCCAACTAAGGAGGAAAAAACAAGCCACCACAACCCATGAATCCCAATTGTTTTATCGTCCCATGACATGCCCTGGTTCGACGTGATCTCCTGTCTCATTTCTCTCTAACGAGCAAAATGACCCTATCCTAAAGACCTCGAATTCCTAGATAGGATCTATGTTATAATAAACATAATGTTCAAAGCTCGGCCCCTGCGTCTTCTACGCGAGCGAAGCGTCCACTTTCTTGGGTGATCATGGACTCGGCATCGCCGACTTGCTTCCGCTCCGAGACCTCGAAGTTCTTAAGTCGTTTCTGCATCATTCTCTTATGCGGCATCGTCAATCCTTGGGATGATGTCCAGTCCCTCATGACTGCTGATTGCTATTGAAGGGGCTCCGATGAGCTCGACAAGCGGTTTAGGTGTAAGTACACGTCTGTTCCATACCTATGTCCCAAGTTAGTATCATTATAATCTGCAATTGGGATGGGAAAGCCCGCTTACCCTTCCATGCTAATCAGCTTTAGATCGCCGCCGAAATAACGAGCATACAGTCTTGATATCGGAAGACCATAGCCGAAGCCCGCCATTGGTGCCTTGAAATCGCTTTTATCAAAATCAGGGTCAAGATTCGGGGTTCGGTCTACAGTTGTGTACATATATGTCCACACCAACGGGATGGCACTTCGCGGGATTCCACCGCCCTCGTCGCTAATCTTGATGGTGATGTCTTCCCTCCCCTCGGCAACAATTACTTTTGTCACTGGGAATTCCTGCTTGTCCTGGCCGTGCGTTTCGACGACGGCTCTTAGGGAATTTTTCAAGGTTTCGAACAACATATGCGACAAGTGGCCCGGTACATACATGAAGTTTAGATCAGGGTTGCAGACAAGTTGAATCTTGGGCGCTTCAAAAAGTCCATAATGGTCCTCGCAGACAAACCGAGCATTCTCGATAGCCTCTTGCGCTAGATCCCGGACGTTGGTCTTTGTACAGATAATACCAACATAAGTAGGGTCCCGGTGGTGACTTTGATCAGTTAAGGCGATGTGTTGTCCTATAAGCATACGGATACCTATCCGAGACATATAGAAACGGTCCAAGAAGGACTGGATATTGTTGTCGATTTGCATCCGTTGCCTCTTCCGCTTGTACTCTAGAATACCTTGGGCCATCGTCGTGACAACACCATCGTGCCTCCTCTTGATCTTGTGCAACGTTTGCGCGAATTTCGAGTTGTATGCTTGTAACTCCGGCGGCCAATCACCATTATCATCCACCATAGCGAAGTACCGTCTCATAGCCTGAAACTTTTTGCCGTTGCCTAAGCCTATTTGTGTCGGCGGCGCCGAGGCATATTGGCCTTCACGTATACTCGGGTTGGGAGTGGCCTCTGAGAGCATAGACCCTCGGCCATTATTGAATTTGCCTGGATTTAGGAGTCGATCTTTCACATCCCTTGATAGCTCGGGTCGTCCTAGATTGATGATCTCCTTTATCACATGTCAGATGACTCACACTAAGGGCGTAGCAAGGAAGTCGGGGAGCATACCTCGAACGACTGCGCGTACCAATCCTGAACCCTCCTAACCGACGGCATTTCACTTAGTCCATCTGGCAGGCTGGTGAGTTCCTGCACTCGATGCGCAAGACGAATTGGGAGCTCTTCGGCGAGGAATTGGGAGGCGCGAAATAGGGTTCCTAACCCGGAAGATCAATGAGTCAGCAACATGAAAAAAGGATTTAGATAGGAAGAAAGAAAGACAGGGGAAAAGGAAAATTCAACATACCTACTGATGGCCTCTCGCCGAATTGAACCATTTGCCTTAGACTTACTCCTGTAGCAGGGAAGTTGGAGTAATGGCGGATGGTGTCCATCAACCTCTCGGTTGCCTTCCACGACATGTTGGGCGAAATTCGTCTAACTAGCGGGGAGCTCGATAGGTGGGTAATTCAGTGCAACCTGAAGATGTGTATGATCTCAGGCACAAAGAAGAAATTCAGGCCATGGGACGCGAATTGGATATGCGGAAATGTGAAGTATGAGTAATAGCACGAGACCAGACCCAGACCAAATCAAAGGACCACCCCGCGGGAATTAAGATGACGTTCGACTAGGTACTCAATAGTTAGGGGACCTCTCCCGTAGCTAAAGTGCCGAGGCTCTAAAAGAACAAGTGCCTGATAACTCGGGTTTCCGTATCCGGCAACGCAACCTCGACGTCCAAGAGCGAGATAAGTATAATCTAAATATGCAGAAGTTAAGAATGGGAGAAACAGCAACGACAACGATGGCGACAACAACAAAAAGTAGTCATCTTTAGGATTTTCGGTAGCGGATTGAAGGATGACATTTGGGAAAGCCGAAAATCATAAGACAGTGGGAATAATGGGAGTGGGAGCGGGATTGGGGCGTTGAATAATTTGGAGAACAATCCCCGGTACGCACTAACAAAGTTTACAAAGCCGTCATTGGTTCATTTTATTATGGGGGCGCGGAGACATGGGAAAGTCGCACAGCTCCGCCAGCTGTTTCCCATTACAACTTTTTGAACTTTACCGAAACCATGCGAGTACAGCCGAGGAGGACTTGATCGTTGGCAGCTCTAGACCAATTTTTGGCGGCTGACAATAGAAACCTTAATATTGTTAAGTATCCCCCACACTATAAGCTATTATACTTAGCGTTGAGTAACCTGTAAGCCGGCATTAATAAGTAATAAACAAGAAGAAAACATCGCATAGTAGCAGAGCGGACTATTTTATTGAACGTGTAAGCGAACGGAGACGGGTACCTACCTCCTACTACAGATTTTGACACTCCTAAGCGTCTTATTACGTACTTAAGACAGTAAGGTGGGTTACCCCGCGAAATGTTTTATCGCCAGCTCCAAATGTTTAAAAGTACTTTGTGTCTAAAGTTCAAGTGTTGCATATGGTTTTAAGCTAAGGTATTCGCTTTGTGTCAAAATATACCGCAAAACTATATTACACTACCTAGGTATGTGCTTACATAATCTATATCCATGTGCGCGGGTGTTATCTCAGATCGCGCAACTTACACAAAACCTCAAATTTTAGAGGAGTTTGTGCAATTAATACTAGCACATGTGTATAAATGGATGCATTATCAACAGCTATGTACGAGCTATGGTTCCACGGAGACAAGCTCCTGCTCCAATGGTTGGTGCACGGATCCAATGTGCTACAGCATTATCATTGGAATGTCCTCCAATAAAAACCTATCCTAATCAGACATCTCTTCACAAACTCCCGTATCCACTAACCCCAGTCTTCATCCGAATCCGGAAATTCTTTAACCCAGCTAGAGGTCTAAATTGATACCGGAGCCGTTGCTACGTTGTTTATTTAGACCCTTTATGACGGATACAGAGTCGGATACAGAGCCGGACAGCTCCCCAAATAGGGCGGCGCCGCAAACGCCGCCCAGGAGTACTAAGGCGTTCCTCCAAACTTGGTCATCCTCGCATCAGGTTTCTACAACTCCTAAATCTTCACCACCAGCCTCGCCGTCGTTAAGTCTTCATTCGTTAGGAATGTCTCCATTTTCTTCAATACGCCGCCAATTCCCATCGCACTTTGCTAGGTCACCCTCATCTCTACACGAAACGGAGCGTTCTGAACAAGAGGATCTTGTACAAGATAGCAAAGATGTCCTCGTGCAGCGACTAAACGATCTGGCTGCCCAATTAATGCGCCAAGACTACCTTAAGGAGGAAAATGTCTACAGTCTTCATACCAAAGTGGACGAAATGGAGAGGGCCTTATCTACGAGGGAACATCCATCTAGGCGGACACTGCGGAGATCTAGGCCAACCAGCTTAGCACTCCCGAACAGCAGCAGCAGTGCACGAGACTCATTATGGGGGTCTCTCACACCGGGGCGGATTGTGCCTAGTATTTCGAATGTGCCATTGTCTAGTCAAAGATCTACATCGACACAGACGGATGAGAGCCTCGAGGGGGCCAGAATTGTCGCCGCCGAAGGAAGTAGGATATCACGAGCTCAGGCTGATCAAATTGTCGCAGAGGCGCAGAACCTAAGCAAAGAATTAGAGGGTGTTGTCTCCAGTTTGAAAGCTCGACAGGAAGAGTCAGATGCAAGATCACCCCCGACCCACCCCACCAGATTATTTTAGCTAACTCATGAGTAGCATATTCACGAAATGCTTATCATGCGGGCGGAACGCGCTGCGCAGAGAATCATCTATCTTGAAAAGCGGGTCAGGGAACTGTGAGTTTAGCCAGAAAAGCCCATCGGAACTGGATCCTATGCTGACAGCCTCGCAATAGCGAAAGCGAAAGGAATGAAGGTGAGATGGAGATGCTCAACCTACAGATCCAGCTAAAGGCGATTGAGGTTCAGTGCCTGAGCTACATTCCCAAGGATGCCGATGAGGAATTGCGAGAAAGCATTTCTGCGTGGAAGACCGAATGGTCCACTTTGAAGCGAAAGAGAGCGCGGAGAAAAGCTGGGACCGGCGAGGGCGAAGATCCTGGAATACAAGGAACCCCAACCCGGCAGCCGAGAAACATGGCTTCCCCAGGCTGACTGAATATTTTTGCTTTTGTATCTGTACATGGTCGCCCACGTTTGGTAGGTATGTACCTTGGGCGGTCTGATGAACTTTTGATTCGGTTGTGTTACCTACCTAGAAGGGCAGCCCAAAGCGTTGATCATACGCATGTCTCGTCAGCTAGTTTGCCTAGCCGAAGTTCAGCAGTATGAAAAACTCGGCAAGGCACACCGACAAACCAGCAACGACAAATGAACCTTTTTGTATTTGGGTAGGACTGTGCTCATTTGCTATTACATCCGTCAGCTTAAGTCGCACAAAATGGGCTTACAACCAGTTACATGGATAAGGTACCGCCTACAAGCTCGGTGGGAGCAGGCGAAAGTCGCGATATTATTACCTATAAATCTAATCACTAATCATATCCTTCGCCTAGCCCGCCCTGCTCTGATGCTACGTATACCACATGATCAGTCACATCTCCGAGTCGGCGGTTCTGTATAGGAATATGCAGTGTGGCCCATAGAAAAAAAACATGGCAAATACCGGGAAAATCACCCGTTGATACCCCTCTCGAAATTCCAATTGGGCCATCGATCTCTTTTTTGTGGTGAAGTTACTTGAGTGCTTACTACATATTTATAGGGCTATACAGTAGAGTGATAAGTACCTATAGGTACTAACACTCACTATTGACTGCTGAAAGTAACAAAGTCTGGTAGAAAAAAGGTTGGGTCAGATTACGTCATAGGGCAACATTTGGAGGTCTTGGCCAATTATGCCTCCAGGATTCCTGCTTCGCTCTGGCCTTTCCACTTGCATCGGGGAGAAGGACGAATATGTAAGTACCTAAGTACATAGGTACGTACCGGTTGCAGTTGCTCATATTACCTGTGCTTACATGTGTACCCATGTGTACCGATTACCTATCGCAGAACCAAGATGCGAGGAGAAAGGAAGTAACAGTTGGGGCAGCCGCAAGGCTTCAGTGCAACGACCCCTATATTTTTATTGTTTAACGTGTGACGGCGCAGCTACCTTAACCTTCTAGACCTACCCGTAGACCTAACCCATCTCTACCCACCGAGCTTACATTATACCTACCAATTACAACCATATCTCACATACAACTTATAACAACCAGCCCTATACTAATTCCAAAGTCACCTCCATATTCGCCAATCCACTTGACCAAAATACATCTTAGCTTGTTTTTTGACACATGGCTCGGTTCGTTTGATGGCTGAGACTGAAGTACTTTCTTATTATGCATGAAGCCTCATTCGGAATAGTCATAGTCATCCCCGGCCGTATTGTCCGTATCAGCCATCTCGCACACATTCAATCGAAATCTATAACCATGTACATAATATGTGGTAACACAATCTCATATCTTTTGGTACGCGTCCCGTCCAGGGTAGCTTTGAAGGATTCGAATCCATCCCATTTAATATATTTAAAAATTCAAGTTCCGAAACAGCTTCCAAATTCCATCTCGTTAGCCAGCAATGGTCATTGGGTGTCTGCTGTTAGCCATCGTATGGAACATCAAATCATTGTTCTAGGATTCTCTACGTCACTTCCTCCTCATTATTTCCCCGGACTGGCCTAGCCGCTAAGCTGTGATGGATAGCAGCGCCAGCAAGGAATCCCTTGGCGACGGGATAATCACTGACCACTCACCCGCCATTGGTGTACTTCGTGGATACTATCCTCTTGTCAGCATAGACTACAAACTACCCCAGTTGATACGAATAGGATCATTATACAGCACTACAACATGACGTCGTTACATCCCGGGGGAATCCTTTGGGCACTCTCCATCCAACGAGGCTCGAGGTATACTGAAGTATTGTCAGTGTACTTGTTGTGCTACATGAGATCCCGTCCGCTCATGTATGCTTCTCACGCGATGATCGACAGGCGTTTTTACTAGGTAAGCACAGCCTGCTGAGGAGAGCCCTGTCTCCTCATATAGGAGTATCGTTGCGCGTGCCGGCGAGGTGGCTGTCTCGGTTATTCGGGGGGTTTTTCTTAGTATTGCCCAATCGATCGATATAATAAGCCCTCCCCCCATAATCAAGCCACCCATTGTTTTGTTTTGTCTGTGTTTCTCCTCCGCTTTCTCCCCACACGGCTTATCGTGGCATAGATCCCAGAGTAGAGGGTTCTTATATCCGAGGGACGATCAATCGAGTACCAACAATACCCGATAACAAAGCTTCGTAGCCTAGTGGCTAAAACGACTATGGCTTCCAACCCTCAAGACCCTCCGACCGGAGGCGAGAAGACCGAAAAGGTTGAAAAGATCGAGAACCCAAAGGAGTCCGACAACTCTGATGTGTCTCGCGCCGAAATTGAGAATCGGCTCAGTAAAGACAACGCTCTGACCGAAGAACAAAAACAACGGTTTGAAGCTTCGGCCAAGCTCGAGAATCCTCTCGGTGGTCTCACCCCAGAACAATTAGGCCAGCGAGGCGAGGAGTTTTGCGCAAAACATGGAATCACTGGCGAAGATGACATTCGCGCTTTTCGGTTAGGCGCTCAGATCGCCGGTAATTTGAACAAGTATGATGCTGTCGATGGTCTTACTGCTCGTGAAAGAGAAGTACTAGACAGAGAGATTACACACAAATGGTCAAACCCGACAATGCTTTACGCCGTTATCGTCATCTGTTCGCTCTGTGCTGCTGTCCAAGTAAGTTGTTTATTTTCATCGTAGTTTTATCTCAATTTCAAATGAATTTCATTTGCGACAAGTGTTCCGGTATAACTGATACTAATTGTTGGCGTCAAGGGAATGGACGAAACCGTCGTCAACGGAGCACAGTCATTCTACAAGGTGGAGTTTGGCATTGACGATCCTAACTCTCAGAGAGGTGAGCTGTAAACACCATGATACTACGCGCCGTACATATCGAACTAATCATTGTGCAAACAGATTCATGGCTTTTGGGCTTAGTTAACTGTAAATATATTCCCGTTGCCTGTTTCCGAAAAAAAGCTAATGAACATCTAGCTGCACCCTACATTGGCTGCGCAGTCGCTGGTTGCTGGCTCACTGAACCGATGAACAAGTTATTCGGTCGTCGCGGTACTGTTTTCGTCGCTTGCATAATATCGGCTTTGGCTTGCTTCTGGCAAGCTTTTACGAACACTTGGTGGCATATGTTCATCGCGCGTTTTGCTCTCGGTTTTGGTATTGGTCCTAAGTCTGCTACAACTCGTAAGTTACCATAATATTCTGAATGGTAACCTCAACGCTAATTGTTTGTAGCCATCTTCGCTGCTGAATGCTCACCACCTAAGTTAAGAGGCGCCTTGGTGATGCAATGGCAAATGTGGACAGCATTCGGTATCATGGTTGGATACGTGATGGACTTGGCCTTCTTCAATGTCCCTGATTTATCCGGTATCATAGGCCTGCGATGGCGTTTGATGATGGGTTCTGCTTTGATTCCCGCTGTCCTCGTCTGCTGCATGGTGTACTTCACTCCTGAGGTTAGCAAAGCACGTTTTCTTATTAACTTCTTGAAGTCGCTAACAAACGATAGTCGCCCCGTTGGTACCTTACCAAAAACAGGTACACTGATGCCTACAAGGCCATTAGCCAACTTCGATTCGAAAAGGTCCAAGCCGCTCGTGATTTGTTTTACATGGATACCCTCCTCCAGGCCGAGAAAGAGACTATGCACATAGGCCAGAGCAGGATTAAGGAGTTCCTCACCATCCGCCGAAACCGCAACGCCATGATCGCTTCAGAGATTGTCATGTTCATGCAACAATTCTGTGGTGTCAATGCGATCGCATACTACTCGACTGAAATCTTCCTAGACGGTGGTTTCTCAATTCAAAACTCGCTCGTAGCGTCGCTTGGATTTGGTATTGTCAACTTCTTGTTCGCTATACCCGCGTTATACACAATTGATACGTTCGGTCGGCGAAATCTACTCCTTACCACTTTCCCAGTAAGCCTTTTCCTTTGGCCGAAAGATTGTTATGGTTACTGATATGTTAATGCAGCTGATGTCGATCTTCCTGTTCTTCACCGGCTTCAGTTTCTGGATTCCAAAAGATACTACTGCTCACATTGCTTGTATTGCGTTGGGTATCTATCTCTATGGCATGGTTTATTCGCCTGGTGAAGGGGTAAGAACACCTAGAGTAGTCCTCAGTCGAATTATCTTCGGTTCTAACTCCGTGCTTCTTTTAGCCCGTTCCATTTACGTACAGTGCCGAAGCGTACCCGCTATACATTCGTCCGATTGGAATGTCGCTCGCGACGGCCACCCTATGGCTTTTCAATGCAGTGATCTCCCTTACGTGGCCCGCGTTGGTACAAGCATGGACTGCTCAAGGTGCCTTCTCGTGGTATGCGGCGTGGAACATCGCTGGATTCTTCCTTGTGCTCTTCTTCCTTCCCGAAACCAAGGAGAAAACGCTAGAGGAACTCGACGCCGTATTCGATGTCCCACTGCGCAGCCTCATAAAATACGGCGCAGATCAATTCGTCTGGTTCTTCGCCCACTATATCCTTCGTCGCGACATCCCGGCACCCAAGCCCCCCACTGCGTTGTCGACGGTCGAATACTCCGAACACCAGTTCTCTGAGGAGAAGCACCACGATGCGACCGCTCGCGTCTAGGTGTCCCGCATACACGTTACCCGGAACATAATTATACACATTTATCCGCTTATTTATACATGTAGACCATGGGGACTACAGCAATGAATGCAATTCAACGCATTTGTTGGCTTGTCAACTGGTGCTAAAAGGGAATTTGGTAGATTGGATAACCTACACTTCTTCATAATTCGCTCCTTGAGGGGATGTCTCTCGCTTTTATTATTTATGGATACCCATTTTGAAAAAACTATATATTTCGTCACAAAAAGACTTAATCTGTTCGCAGCTTCCCACTGCTTACTAAATCAATTGACCGATTTCTCTTCAATATCAATATGAACTTACGTGTGGTATAAGATCAGACGAGCTATACTATAAATTATGTGTCAAGACTATCGAACTTCTAGTGTACCTATATTCACGTTTAGTTAGGCGAGTAGCAAGTGTAGGATACTCCTCTAAGTTGATGATACCCGTCTATTCAGAGCTAGATGAGAGTAAATAACTAAAGAAAGCCTGGTTCAGTCTAATCAGGAGGCTAGTTCGTACTCGTACACTCAACGAAAGACTTTTTAAAAACCTAAACCTCTCTATACCCTTTTCATTTCTCTGCAAATTCTCTGGTCTCTTTTCATCACATTCTCAATATTCTAGTTCATTATTGCTTTTACCCCCTTTTTAGAAATCCTCTTGCCTAGTGGCCTGAACGGTGACGGTAGTGATGACCACTACTGGAGCTTCCCGTCCTGTGATGGGAGCTGTGGTGATGAGGAGACGAAGGCTGGGACTTCAAAACTTCTTCCCACGTCGGTCCCCTATCTTTGTGACTGTGACTGCTACTGTGGCTGTTACTCCGAGTATGAGTATGAGTATGGCCGTGGCTATGGTGTTTCTTTTCACCCGTGTTCATGGCTACGATAGCTCTTCTTGTACTACCGAAACTATCCTGTCGTGAATGTGAGTGCGAGTCGCGCCGGTGGTGCTCGGTATTGGTAGCAGAAGGTAAGGAGGTTGTGGACGAGACTAAGGTCATGGTAGTCGTATTCGGCGTGGGTGCTTTACTAAGCGCGGCCCCACTGCTACTCCTAATAGTGGAGGATGTAGGCGTCGTTGGTGTCGGTGGACCTAGTTCGGTCCGGGATCCGCTGCCGTGGTTGTGGGTCGGGCTAGTGTCTACTATTGCGTTCCTACGTTCTCGTTCTACCGGGGCGTACCCCGTTGATCGGTGGTAGCTCGTGGGCGATGTGTTACTGCTGACATCTGGGGCCGAGGCGCGGTATCCACGAATTACAGGCGGGCTTTGCGCACGGCGGTAGGTTTTGGTGCTCGTGTTTGCGAGGGTATGGGGGTATATAGCAGTTCCGCCGGATGTAGTTGTGGGGTAAGGCCGATTAACTGTATTGCTAAGAGATGCAGTCGAAGTCTTAAGGGTACTGTTCAGGGGACCGGCTTTTGAAGCTCGCGGCGAAGCGAGAGTTCGGTCGGATTCATCTCCGGAGTCTTCGTACCGGGAACGTTCCCGGTAGCTATCACGGTCATGGTCATCGTCGTCGATTAGAGGAACGACATGGCCGCCTTTCCTCACGAAGCGCTGAATCCGAGGGGCCCTCTCGGAACTAGCCGCCCCTGACGCAGGTGGCGGAGGCGGGGGCATAATTGCTAGTGGAGACTTCGGACGGGATGTTTCTAAAAGTCCAAGATCGTATGCTAGGTCCTCCAAAGCTGCTTCCAAGATTTTTCTTGACTTGGGGTCGTGTCTGACGGGGAATTGGCTGCGGATGAGCTGCCTTGGAAGTTTCTCGAATAATTGTCCTTCGTTATTTGCTGAAGGAACATCAGCCATAATTTGAGCATCGCACACGATCCAATCTAGACGGCGGAACTCTTCGTCCGGATGGGCTAGGATACACAGAGTGAAATACTGGGCGAAGCCAGTCGGCGTCAACGCTGGAACACGCGGCCGAGAGTAGGCGTCGGGCTGTATTAGATGGTACTGGCAATCGAGATCGCTGAAGAAGTCGGCAAGGCGATCGTAGAAGTCTTTGGCTCTAGAATTGAAAATTTCTATAGCACACGAGGTGGTTAGCCGGGCTGACAGTATCACATATGACAGGCAAGGAAGTAAGAGGTAAAAAGGGAGTACACTGAATCACTCACCTAAAAAGGGGTACAACTCCGAATCTAAACCATATCTCGAATACAGTAACACGAGTTTCTCCGGCGTCACGACGAGATTACTGCTCTCAGGCGCGAAGTCCTCGATCTGCGGCCACACAATTCATTAGCTTTGGCATATACACCTACAACGCCTTTCAAGAGTGACATACGATATACCTCGCGACGCCCCTGAGAAATTGTCCGCTCCGGGCGGTAGCATAACCGGCCTCATCGAAGAGGACTCCCCACTCCCGCACGGGCGCCCCATTGCTGCTAGACTGTCTAGAGACTGTGGGCCGCTTCACGATGCCGCGAGGAGGTCCACGGTCAGTGAAACGAACTGACGGCTTTGACGGATCCGCTGCGACGGTACTCGCCGAGCTCAAAGGGGATCTGGGGAATGTAGCACTAGCAGGGCTTTCGAGAGATGACGAGGTCGCTGAGCCCGAATTGTTTGGCGATAGATGCCCCTGAGACTCAGTGAGGGAGTATCTTTTGTTTGCTTCGACTACCTATTGTTAAATCATGTAATAGGGTGATTAGGGGTAAAAGAGTTGATTTTACACTCATCTCTACGAGCCTCATCAGCAGAGGTGGCGAAAGCTTCGTTAGTGCTCGACCTTGTCCGATGGTGCGAAGTCGGCGTTAGCGCATCCAAATCCTGTCGACTAGCTGGCACCGATGAAGAGCCAACATTTTTCTTGGAATAAGTATATTCCTCTAGCTCAGATCGACAATCATCTTCTTCAGTACGTCTAGCGTCAGCTTCACGTATACCCTGGGTTTCCCGGTCGCCAAGCTGGTGTCTCGGATAGTCGACCCTATCGTGCGACGAGGGTCCTGCGGTCATCGTAGGCTATTACTCTAGGTCAAGAAATTTCAGTAGTTCTTGAAAATAGAGAACTAAAAACCCCCCTAACTTGGAGACTTTCAGAAAAACCAACCAACTTATATCAACCAGAACAACGGACAGGAATAGACACTTGTCTCCGGAGGTATCGCAGATGCGAGTTGCCTTACCCACTATCCACCACGCACCCCATTCCATCCACTCACTTTCAACCCCCAAGCGGGTGGTCACAGGTAGGAGATTCTCGTTCTTGGCAGAGGCCGGGCGATGGAGTAACATCTCGTATGGGGATCATCCCTGCTTTTTAGGCATCGAGGCTCGGGACGAAGCTACGTACAACATATGATCGGTGTCACGCTCTCGGGAAGCTATAGAGCGATGATGCCTTGCTGGGACCGTTCTCTTCATCGGTCGCGGCGATCAGCGAAGGCTCATGAGTGGGGGTATAATGAGAGACATGAAAAACCTCGGTAGCCTGCTTTCTTCGGTCAGATTCGATCAAAATGATTCAACACCATGTCGTCACTAGATGAACAATATCGTCACACTGTTGCAAATCATAGGAAACCGAATTTTCCTTAGTTTATTAAAAACACAGGGATAACTATTAGCCGTAGGGGCTTAACTATCGGGTGACATATCGAGAGTAGAGAGTATCTCGGCTGCTACTAATGTCGTGGCCGATATGTTCACAGAATATAAGCCACAGAACATGAAAGAAAAAACTGCCGGCACTAATGGAATTGACCACCTCATAAGAACCGTGCGACGTGGCTCGAGCACACCTTGTGATCAAGATCATGACACCTAAATAGGTGTAGAAATACTATCTCAATCCGAGTTCCCATGACGGCGAGCTTCGTGTGAAAGCGAAACCCGTTGATACGAGGTGAGAACAGAGGTAATCAGAGACGCAACGAGAAAAAACAGCTAAGAAAGACCAGTCGGAAAGATGTAGCCCTATCTAGAGCGTAATAGGCGGGATATGATGCAGCTTCAACCCTAAGCCTTAGGTGATGACCGCCAACCACTCTAATCCGAGTCCGAGTCCGAAACATCCGAGTCTGGGCTGTTCAGACGCCTTGTCGTAGGAGCAGGGTTGCTGTTGCCCGGTGGTCGGGCCGCATACTCCGGAGCTATGTTGAATACTCTCCGGTTGTCCTATAGAAACTATTAGCTCCTCCCACCAAGAGAAAGTTGTATTGGAAGACCTTACCATTTTTGGGAAACGCGCATCGCCTTTCGCATCCTTCTCTTCTCTCGCAATGGCATACTGCAGACTCTTCTGGCTGGGTCCTTTGGGAGTTCTCGGAGTAGCAATATTAACTGCTCTATCCAACCGACTACTTATCGGACCGCCTCGATTGGGGCGGTAGGACGCGACGAGGTTGTTGTAAGCCAAGCTCGTCGTAGAAATAGCCTCGGTAGGGACCTAAATCATATTAGAGGGAACAATCTACGGACTATCGGGGGCACTCTTACTCTATCATCAATACTAGTGGTGGGATATGCAACGTCATAGCGAGAGACATCACGAGTCATTCCGATGGCATGGTTGAGCACCAAACCGATATCCTCATCGTCGTTGTCGTCCGCGTCCACATCAGCCCAAGGGTGGTTTTCACTCAAGCTCAAAGCCTCGAATTCCATTTCCGTGGACTGCATCTCCGCGGACTCTAGTTCGTCAGATCGCATTTCCATGGACTGCATCTCCAAGGATTGCATCTCCATAGTAGAAGAGGCCAAATGAGAATCCGGCACCTGGACCTCGTCTAGATCAAGGTCGTCTGCGAGGCTAGGGGGGAGGTTCTGGAGGCTTGTGGTCTGGACTTCGATATCTTGGGAGGCTATCGTCTCTCCCGGGGGCGCATCGGGGATTTCATTGCCAGCGAAAGTTGTCTTCCAAGTGGTGCACTCTTTGCACCACTATCATGAACAATACGTTAGCGAAGAGTTAATATCTCGTTGGGATATTTAAACTTACAGCATCGCGGTCATTTCTCTGAGCCTTGCTAAACGCATCTATTCCCTTCCATAAATCACAGGGGCCATTGCACTTGCGCTCTCGTGCCTTCGGGCCACCCGAGTTGTGATCTTTACACACCAGTCTAACGCTCTCCGGCGTGACGCCATCGTTGGGACTTTTCTTCTGCTTCTGCCAGATCTCAAGCTGCTTCCGCGAAAACTTGGTGGGCGGGTGCCACTGGCCGTCAACCGCGCACTTGAACCTATTTGACAACTTAGTAGGATATAGACGAGGGAAAACATCAATCACTCACGCATGCGGAATGGCATTGGGCGGGCTAGTTTCACGTCAGTATATCATCAAATTATATTAATGTACAACGAAGACTTACCGCTGACCGAAGGGAGCCATCCTGCGTAGCGGGACGACAGACGTACTACGAATCTAAAGCGACTTATGGTAGTTCTTGATCCCCTCTATTGTCGGCGATCCCTTTGATGAAGTCGTAGATTAAACTGTCGATCCGAATCGATAAGGTGTTGGAGAAAAATCGTCAAGGCTGTTGACTTCTCGGTGGACTATTAGGCGTTGTAGTAGTGTAGAAAGAAACACGGCAGAGAAGAGGATGTCTTAGATGTGCATAAAAGAATAGGATGCTCAGGTGCGTCTAGTGGCAGGTTAGGTGATGCGAATGAGACTAGTTCAGAACAAAAGGAAGTAGAGAATATTTTTCTGCGGTGGAATGTTTAGAAAAATGGGTGGGCGCGAGCTTTGCAGAGAGAATAGAAGTAAAGTGAAACCTGCCCAATTTCCAGGGAAGCTAGGATGGGTGAAAACTATACTTTGGCGTGTGATGAAAGCAAATAGATTCGGAGGAAGGAGCAGGAGAAGACCCACTCATAGCGGGATAACGTGAGGAAACTGGTCCTTGCCAGTTTGAAGAAGGGACAACAGTAGGAAGGAAGTACGGGTTGCAGCTAAGGTTGTCGAGGTAGCTTTTTATCATACCTTTTTTTCTGCAGCAGGATGATTTGGAAATAATATGTACGCACCTAGAAGCCCTATTGCTTTAGAGAGATAGGCCGGTTATTGCTATTGAAATGAAATGTCGAGGATTCTGAGGGAATAAATTTTGAATCCGGGAGTATTCAATGGAACTCGGTAAACTTGGGTAGATGGGATCTCGGGTTATGGAAAGATTGGATGAAAAGTAAAATAACCCACCTGATTTCCTTAATGATTATTAAAGTTATATTAATGGAGTACACTGTTAACTAATCTATAAGGTAGCTACGACCTAGATAGCCGTGGAGAGATTGATCAATCCCAGGATTCGCATGTTTGTTGTAGGCACCTACCTTCCCAAGCTTGCTTTTTCACGTCTGATGAGCAAGTACTCGAAAACATTTTGTACCTTATAAATCAGATAGTCGCCTACATCGGAGTACGGAGGCCTACAAACAGTTTTTCGACTTAGAAATTAGAATATAACCAAACATGTTGATTATATTTATCGGATAGGGGTAACGATAGGGGTAACAATAGGGGGGATCATCGTCGCTTACATAATACTAGAAGCTTACCTAGGTATGTAATATCACCAGCGAACAGTTCGTGTAACACATTTGAATTCAATTGATTGATTTCCAGGTATTGCAATTCTCCATTCTACATGACTTAAAGATATTCGCACATCGCGACCGGCCTTGTCAGTATACTAAACTTATGAAAAGGTTATCTAAGAAGCCTTGCGCCAACCTTGAAAGACGCCGTCCAACTAGCTGAGACATATTATCTCGGGCTGAGATTCATTAAATTTATAGTCTTCGGATGCCTCGAAATACGCCGGAGATACTAATACTCCGACGAGCTTGAGATATATCCGCACCTACTGAGGTCAGTGGCGCTTCAAATTAGTACCCCTCACCGAAATTGTTCAGGTCCCTGACACCGAAACCGATTTCTTGCTGAGGTACCGCATTGGTCCGGTCTTCCTCATCCAGCCCGGGCGGCATAACTATGATGTGTACCGTATGTGACGAAGGTGCCTGCCCTTGCTAGCGGGCTCTGTATGGCTATAGTACCTTCTTGGTTTGTGCTTCTTGGACATCCACGGTCACTGTAGCGCAGGCCGTTTTCTATACGGCTAATCCCAGTTATGTCTTCGAAGTTCCCTGTCTATCTGGAATATGGTGGTTTTTATAATTAACCTATAGGAAATGGAGGCCTTGGATTTTATGGCCGGTATGATATTATACGGAAATATTCACGTTGTTTGATTTAATTTGATAACTGGGCGAAACGCTAAAAAGAAATGGCCACTCCTAAACATGACAACTAAACGAACCTGCTGAAACCGTATATATAAAACTCATCGATCTCAGTCCATGAATACCTACGTTGGAATACGAGCAGCCTCCATACTCGGTCCGCCAGCATACGACGCATTACTTCTACCCGACATCACAGTCCCCTCATCGCCCCAGCGATCTCTATGCTCGACCTGGCGCGAAGAAGGTTTCGACACGGCGGGTTCTTCGCTGATTTGATCTTGCTGAGGGTTCACAGTTTCGTACTCGAGGGCCTTGATGAAGATATAGAAACCAGATGCGACCAACGAACCGAGGACGGGGCCAACCCAATAAATCCAGTGATAATGGGGAAATTTACCCATAACGACGTTGGGTCCGAATGAACGTGTTGGGTTTACACTTCCGCCAGTGTAATAAACACCCCTATTCAGAAGATATGTTAGTTTCGTCGTCTCTTGTTAGGTGAAGGAAGACTACGGGTATACTGGTGGAGTAAGAGGAGACATACATCAACTCGGCAATGAACAATGACAACCCGATACCGACGGGTGCGATAAACGTTGCGCGATGCTTCTCAGCCGCCAGCATGAATATCGTGAAGACCAATTGGGCCGTGAGAAACATCTCAATGAACAGACCCTGCACGACCGAAGTCCCGCCGCCCAGACTCGTGCCCACGTTCAGTGGACCAGGTGTAAGACCCCATACCACAGCTGAAGCCGCGATACCACCAAGGATCTGGCTCAATATTACCAGTGGACCCCGAATATAATCCACGGCGCCAACCAGCATCATGCCCAGGGTCACGGCTGGATTAAACAAGCCACCACTAATACGAAAGAAGACCCAAGCATTGACGGCGAGACTCATGCCGAAACACAGTGAGATAAACAGCAAGCGCGCTGGATCGGCCGGAGTATCGCCCGGTAAGTTCGTGTTTACGGCATTCGTACCTCCAAATGCGAATAGGAGAAACATGAAGGTGCCCGCGAACTCGCTCATGGTCGCGATAATATGGTTCTTAATCGGCAGGGGGAGGATATCGAGAAGCTTCAAACGGTTGGACTTCTCCGAGTGATTATCGATATCCTGCGGATGCTCCCAAGGCCGCCGGATATGCGTGTTGAAGTCGGTGTTCTCCATCGTATGTGTCTGATTAAGGTACGTACGACGTTACCTAGCCTACGGAGTAAGGTATCCAAGGATGAGGTCAAGGTTAGTAGCCGCTCTTGAGTTGCTTCATGCCCTGGAAGACATAACCTGTCTCCCTTTGAATCTATTGGAGAAACGAATGTGTCAAGGAACAATGAGGCTCTTATAATGAATATTTTGACCTAATTGGATCCCAGGACTGATGCTTCCTCTAGGGCGGCACCAGTCCTCTACAGTACGTGTCATGGCTTACTTTGACTATTGACTATACCAAGGTTATGTCGACAAAAGTCTTATTCAACGAGAGGCCGTCGAAAATCTTCAATTGGATCTGTAGGTGTGCCATTGGTGTTTACCCCCTAGTCGTAAGTAACCGAGCGGTTGGATACTACATTTAGTTTCCGCCCGGTTCCTGAATCAGCAATATTGGGTAGCTGGTTGCAATTGGATGCGAGAAATCACGCAGTATATCAATTGACAACGCCCGACAATAATACTTAACAGTCTCATCATCAATAGATGCCTGACTAATCTTGCGATTCGATAACGCAATGATGATTGACTGGTCTGGGAATATTCACGGCGGCAATCGAGAACCCCGAGTTATCACCAGCTATTAGCTTAGCGCGGAGTGCGACTCGAGGGTAGCCTCGTCATTAGGTTGGATCATGAATCGCATAGGGGTCCGCCTATGACATCAACCCCGACACGTTTTCCAAGCCCATCTACCGTAGATCTCATGACAATGGTGTGCAAAGTCTTCCGAGTAAACCGGGGAACAGGCTAATTAATCGGTGTGTTTCCGCGCTCGCCAACAAAATTCACCCCTTTAAGTTGGAGGGAGGTATGTTGGTACCTAGGTAAATAGACGTCATGACTTCCAGGCAATCGGGTGTAAGAATTTGGGCGGGAGCGGCCCGTATTCCACAAATACCTATTCAGCTGAATCTTAGAGGGGTTTCGGAGGGTTCGCTACGAAGCCACGGTAGCACTGCTTCATGCCACTTGACCGGCCTACAAATTAGAAGTCTTACAAGTCCAATAGTCTCATGTGGCGGTTAGGAACTGAAAACCGAGGGGAGAAGAAAAGGAAGTTCGATAATGTGTCATCCGTTAGAGACCCTGAGGTTCTGGCTGGATTAGTTAGGAGTAAAAAAATTAAAAATTAAAAAGCATAGCATGGCTTGGCTACATAACGAAGGATCGAACTGATGAGATAAAAAAAAGTACCCCACGAGGTAATAGATCGACTGTCAAGGATGATAAAACGCAAGCTCCACGGTCCAACTTGAAGCCCCCCTGGATCAAGAACGAACCCGAGCTTCTAGAAGATGGTGCCGAAGCCTGGTTAGTCTGCGAACCTGCCTTTGGGGTCCGGGGCTTTCATGCGCTTCACAACTGTGTTTCGAATTGCAAAAGGGCACGGGAGCGACGCTTCGAATACCTACAGTAATATGCAATAAGCATTTGCGATATTAAACAAGCATTTTAATATTGGCATAGTATTCCCCACCTTACCGATACATTTTATATAATGTGGTGGTTTCTGAATTCATATGCGACATGAGTTGGGAGACCGGCCTGGGAGGCACCTCTGACTACGTAGATGGTGTATACGCATCACGATCGGTTGTTTATGCCATTATCTTGCTTTTGTTGATTGTATACGTTATTGCCGGCATTCTGAACGAATCATGACTGGATCTAGAACAACATATTTACCACCCTTTTATCGGAAAAGATAATCTGTTGCGGAGAAACAACATCAACAACGCATGGATGGTAAGGATGTTATGGATGGTGACAATATGCCTAATAGGTAAAGGTAAAGGTAAAGGGTCTGGTGAAAGTTGCCCGACCTGTCCTGCCTGCCTGCCTTCTGATTGTCGAAACTGCCAACGCGTGAGAAATAAACTCTACTTTGGTACGCGTTTCCTGAGAAGCACACTCTAATGGCAAAAGCGGCAATTCTAGTCCTAGGTACCCCGATACAGAATATCTGCATACAATTATGTGCATGGCATATGGGGTCTGATGGAGGTGATAGAGGTAACCAGTACCTGATCATCATGCGCTCCAATTCAGGGGTTCTTCCCAAAAGGGTATAGACCTATTTCGCACGGCAGTATCCATTTATGCGAGTTTAAGGTATTTCTCAAACCTTGTCGTGCTTGTGCGGACTTAGGGTCCGTGGTACATCGTCTATGTACATTAGGCTGGCTGACTGGATATTTCATGTCAAGGCGCACTTGCCATGCACGGCATCCTTTTGGTCGATCGATAAGGGGTTTGAGATATTTCGATGCCCCGTGCTGTCGTGTCAGACTTCCGACCGCTGCTAGAAATGTGTAGGAATTAAAGTTTTGTACGTGCTTTTTTCGTCTGTACTTTTCAATACTGACAGGAGGTCCCCACATCGTTATGGCGATTCCAACGGGCGGTGCCTGCCTCACCCGCGGTCTGTCCCTTGCGCCAGACTTTGCCTGTAAAGGCTTAGGTTGATTGGGTCGCTTTCATCCAATATGCGCCACGTCGCTTGGTGGCAGGAACGATTCCATTGGCAGTTCGAAATGGGCAGTAGTCCCTTGCGCATCATGCATCACTCTTAACCAGAATGGGGTCAAAGTTACCTTCTCGACCTTCTCGACCTTCTCGGCCTCCCCTTTTTGGCCGTAGGTCTCGATAGGGTCTGCACTTACGCACATACGTTCTCTGTATGTAGACGAATATCGACGCCTTACGCATCAATCGTTCAACTCTTTAAAGACGGTGTGACCAATTCATTCTTTTTTTGAAGTGATTAAGACTTAAATCAGCCAGCCTCCTTCTTTTCAAATATCTCCGCATCGGGTCGGATTGAACCCAACTAGAAGCAATGGGCGCTCTGTGTGCCCGTCGCGCGTCTCCCGCCTCCTTTTCCCAAGACCGCGGCTACGCAGGTACGATCTTGATTACCTAAAACCACTCCTCGCGAGTTTGTCGTACGAGTCACGCAACGAAAATACTACCCTGTCGTTCCGACACAATCCTTTCCTTTTTTTAATTATTTATTTTTCTTCTTCCCACCTGCGTACTGCAAAGTGGTTGGTTGGTTGGTAAGACCGTCTTACACATCCTACTTGAGGCTTGAGGAGAAGGAATACTGTCTTACTCTGAAATAGCCACAGGCTTAGAAATGGCGCAGCAGAATTAGGAACTGGACCTCAGCAAGTAGAGCGAGTCATATTGCGTATGAAAGTACGATAGCGAGTATGACGAAACAGGCTGGTGTCCTTGTCCACACCTATTGGTTGGGAACCATAGGCTAGGTACTTGTCGGTACCTATCGACCCTACACCGTGCTTTATTTTCCAGTGTACTTCTGACAGGGCCCGGTCAACCCACCAAAATACTATTCGTCGAATAGAGGTATGGTCATGGGTACGCGATAGCCCATGCTGTTTACTACTGGGTTATCGAACTGGCAAAACGGGTGCTCTGTGCTGAGTTGGCATTGACTAAAACAGGATGAGATCCTAACCCACGCGTCTTTTATTTTCCCAACTGGGTGGGTGATGTTCCTCTCTTGTATCTTTCGTATACCTATATCTATGTCATCATGATACGTCTTAATAGGGTAGGTAGTGGCACAAAGTAAATCATTCTCATCTAAGCTGTATTGTTTGCATGCTTATCTTATGTTAGTTTTACTAGGTTAATTTTTTTTTTCTCTCTCTTTCATCCTCCAAAAAAGATGACATGCGTACGAAAGTAAATGAGAAGCGAGATTTCTTCACGTGGGATTTCTACTATTAGCTTGCTGGAGTGCATACGCAGCAATACAAGATCATTCCAAGTAGGGGAAAGGGAAGGGGCTGGGGTGATGTAGATTTCGCCTTATTGCACATTATCAATCACGTACACAGTGTGTATTGGCTCTATTCCCTTATTTTTTAACACTTAGTACCGAAACGCTTTACCATGTACGGGTTCCATTCCAGGGTGATTTTCCATTAGCATTCTCTGCGAAGCCAGCGACTTGATGGGGGCGGAAACGTTACCGATTACCCTAAAACTACATAGTAAGAGTGGACCGAAGACGCACTATGTACAACGGCGTATCCGGGTAGTGCTTTTATTCAATTTGCTAACCACCACCTATCTCGCTCTCAACATGAACCTCATGGCATATAGGTACAATGATGGTTCTCTCTAAGAATGCTGCTATGAGAAGAAGGTACATCTGGGGTATTTCTTATTTTAAGATGATCGAAAAGGGAAAATAAGATCATAGCTAATTAAACTAAAAAAAGGGGAATCCACCCAAGCTGTAACTCACTAAAATTTTTTTCCCTTTTCTATTTCGCACCCCTGGCTTTTGCCCTGAGCTAGACGCAAATTGCTTAGATTGGCTCCTGATTTTCTGAGCGACCCGACATCTGCTCATGGAGGACTAGCGAAATTGGCGTCGTTTATGCTTCCCGGGGAACTTTCTTCATGCTCAACGTGCTAACGGTACCGGTCGAAGTACCAATGGATCAATGTGCTGAGCTAACAGTACCCCAAGGTCCCTGGGTCCGTTTCTAGCTTTGCCTTAGTTACAGTACAGTAACGTTTAGCCCTAGTGCAGGAAAAGGACCTGTCAAACACCTCTGAAATCACTTCATTCAATCAATCAATCCATCAATTCGTCCATTCATTCGATTCCAATCCAATCCCATCCCATCCGACCGTTCAATTCAACCCGTGCCTCTTTTTTCGCTCTTACCTTATTCTCTCTTACACACTCTCTCTAACCCTTCCGCTTTTTCTCGCTCTCCATTTTTTTCCCTCTCCTCTTCACAATCTTTTCATTATTTTTTGATGATCTGACTTTCGCTCATATTCCACGGCGGGATAAGGAATCGATCAGTATTGCGCGACGACACAAAGCTGGACGAATAGTTTCTCAACTATCATATTTCCCTAGTCCTCTTTGTACCGTTGATTCCTCACCTGTTCACCGTTATTAGGTCTCCCTGGTTCGTTACCTGAAATTACAGCGGTTTCTTGGTCCACATCGCAGTACCAACGGTAATCGCAGCAATCGGCGCAGAGAACATTTACATACTGTCCAAGGAAGAACAAACACCACCGGAAGAAAAACAGAATAGATTTTTAATAATAAACCTACAACCGTCAGAAATCTCACGTTCCTTATCACATTTTATTTATTTAATTCAACAAATAAACGACAATCGTCAATCCGTCACTCCCTTGAATCCGACACGGGGACCTCTAATAGGCTAGCAAGGAGGGTGTGTGCAGTATTTCCAGAAGCTCTCTCTCCTTACTCCATCCATCAGCTTGGACCATAGGCCGACCCGCACCCCGACATACTGGTTCCCATCACCCCTTGTTCCTTTTAATTATTCAAGTTACCGTATTAATCCAATCTCTTCCTGCTCATTTCCTCTCTTACCCCCCTCCTACATTTATCCCATTCTTTTCGTCCTAGTCAGATCGTGTTGTGCCTTTACAACTTCTCGTCGACGACTACGCCTATCGCCGTTCGGTATTAAACACTCCTGACATCCTCCGATCTATCAACCGTACTGTCCGTCTCGACGATCTCGACCGAACTGAATGAACCGATACGTCAGTGTAGCTCTTCAATAGAGCTATCTAGAGGATACGAAGCTGTATATGAGAAGGCGAACGCCTCTCTATCAGTAGGGCTTAGCTTGGGGTAAATAAGGACGGATTATTGATACCTCTAAGGTGCATATTGTTGCAATGGTTAACATGACGGCCACACACGATTCCCACCGAGGGTCTTCGATTCCTCAAGCTTCGGCCGGCATGGCCCTCGAGGATCGATTCGAGGTTTTGAAGGAAATAGGAGATGGAAGCTTCGGCAGCGTAGCTCTAGCGAGAGTGAGGACTGCCGGTGCCAGTGTGGCTCGCCGAGGCACGGTGGTATGTACTGATAAATTGTTTGATGTATAAGGCGTGTTACTAACTAGTTTTCTAGATTGCCATCAAGACTATGAAGAAAACTTTCGAGTCCTTCACACCATGTCTCGAGCTTCGGGAAGTAGTTTTCTTAAGAACGCTACCGCCCCACAGCCATTTGGTTCCCGCTCTTGATATCTTCTTGGATCCTTTCACAAAGAAGCTCCATATCTGTATGGAGTACATGGAAGGAAACTTGTACCAACTTATGAAAGCTCGGGATCACAAGTGCCTCGACAATGGAAGCGTCAAGAGTATTTTGTTTCAGATTATGCAAGGTCTGGAACACATTCACGCTCACCACTTTTTTCATCGGGACATCAAACCCGAAAACATTCTCGTCACGACATCAGGGCATCAAGATTCTGTTAACTCATTTAGGCGATACTCTGCGCTAATGACACCCCCCTCCACACCTCCACAATACACCGTGAAGATAGCAGATTTCGGCCTGGCTCGAGAGACGCATTCTAAACTCCCATACACCACTTACGTGTCGACTAGATGGTACCGTGCACCAGAGGTATTGCTACGAGCCGGCGAATACTCTGCACCGGTGGATATTTGGGCCATTGGAGCTATGGCGGTTGAAATTGCGACACTTAAGCCACTCTTCCCTGGAGGCAACGAGGTGGATCAGGTTTGGAGGGTCTGTGAGATTATGGGTAGCCCTGGGAACTGGTACAATAAGTCGGGGGCTCGAGTAGGCGGGGGAGACTGGAGGGAAGGAACACGATTAGCCGGGAAACTCGGCTTCTCTTTCCCAAAGATGGCGCCGCACTCCATGGACACGATACTCCAGTCGCCTCAGTGGCCTGCGTCTCTCAGTCAATTTGTGACTTGGTGTTTGATGTGGGATCCAAAGAACCGACCAACGTCGACGCAGGCTTTGGCCCACGAGTACTTCGCCGACGCGGTTGATCCGTTAAGGCCCAAGTCATCAGCCTCCAGGATCTTAGGTCGCAAGCAATCCGATGTATCACGTGGAAAAGACAGCAGCTCGACCACCCCCCTCTCGTCGAAGCCTTCTTGGTTCAGAAAATCGTTGATTGGCCGAAACGAAAATACCGAGAGCGCAGCCCCTCCAGTTAGTGTGAAGGATATAGTGGCGGCACCTCGTCCCTCGCCCATTCACTCGCCGGAAGTAAATGAAGCGGCGGCGGCAGCGGCCAAATCCAGACCGGCTGCTGGTAAACGAGCAACGTGGACTAATGGTCCGTCAAATGTTGCTCCCATGCCAATTCTACCTACAATCCGGCCTATCTCACCTTTATCAGATGCAGTCACCGCCCAAGCGTCAAATCGCGGCCAATCCTATAATCAAGCTGCGATCGAGGAAAAGACCGCCAAAAAGATTGGTCGACAATTGTCCGTAGCATCAAGTACCAACAACTACGCTGAGATGCATAGACAACAGGCCGAGCGAGCCCTAAATGGAAACAGTGGACTCGCCTCGCCCCCGAGTGGACACAAAGAGAGCTTCTTTTCTCACCTTCGCAAGCGAGCGAGAAGATTTTCTGGTCGACATCAGACTCCTGTTTCGCCCGCATATGAGGATATAGAGGCTCAGGCAGGCTGTGGACCTTGGGCTAGTAACCGGTCCTCAATGGTGATTGACCAGCAGCATACTCCATCGTCAAAGGTGGACACCTACGAGTCACTAGACCGAACATTACGGGATCCCCATAACGCTGAACCAAGCACTCCTGCACCACCTATTCACATGGCAGCATCAAGTGGCAACTTAAAACGACACCATTCGTTACCCCATCAACAGCCTAGATCTGTCGACAATCTTATTGGAGCCGCTCGTACTACTGGCCCTATTTCTAGTAGAACAAGGAGGGCACAAGCAGCTCATGGTGTCCAAGGTGATGCGTTAGATGAGGAAGACGAGTTGTTAGACGAAGTCCTCCACTCTACCCACCGAGCAATGAAACGACTCGAGAAGGATGGCAAGTCAAATCTCCGACAATCGGCTAGTAACCTTGGGTTGTCAAATCCCTACCCGACGCCATCGCCGTCGGCCAGTGGGAATGTCGTCCTCTTCGGGGATGGACACGAACCTCTAGCTCCTAAGCCATTAGACTTGCACAAAAACACGGGAAGAGACAGCCAGTACAAGTGGCCGACTCCCCCGTACGAGGAGAGCGAATGGGCATCTTCGGCGGCTGCGAGCATCTGGGCTGCTAGCAACAGGATTTAAAATAGTTTCAATGGCGGCGGTTGTATCACTTGTTCCTCATGGCACGGTGTTGGGAGTTGATTTTTGGGAGGTTTTGTGGAGTCTACGGCATTTTATCTTGCAGCACTCTTTTTCCAGCATAGTTCGCGATCTTGGCTCGATTTCAGTACATGGATCTGGAGCCCACCACTTCGACATTTGACACTTCGATTCTGCGATGTCCTGATCTCAAATCTCAAATACCCCAACAGCTGGTTTGCGGCTTAGGCCGGCTGATTTCGCGTTTTCCGGCCTTCTTACCTTCGAGAATACCCACTATAGATTTGCTTTGCAAGGTTTTAAAAGGGCTCGGACCCAACACGAGATGATTTCCTTTGTTAGATGTGGTTGGCCCGAGGCACGTTGACTTTATTTTGCATGCGATGGTTGAAAAAGGAAGATAATTCTAGTATTGCGTAGTCGTCGCGAGGGGATCGATGCGCCTAGTATCCGTGAAGGAGGGGGAGCTATTCAGCGCAGCAATTGTACAAAGTTACAAAAAAAGATATTTGCATACATTCGGTTGGTATTTTTAGGTGGATGCTCGACCCGGCAGGATTCCAGTTCAAACAATATTATCTCTAGAGGCTTGCCACCTCAATAGTTTGTCATATATGGTGTTACAACATGGAGGAATGGGTATATATATACGCGGCAATATTTATACCACATGGGCATCGCGTAGCCCGTAATCGGTTCGCACCTCAACATACTCCTCTTTTCGGGTTCGTGAAACATTGAAATATGATGATAATGTCTTGAATTGAATGGTCTGTTATGTACGACTTACGTTGCTAGGCATAAGCAAAAGCAAACTACCTTACTCGGCTTCATGACGTGACTTCATCACATACATCTTAATCCATGGATAAAGTATGCATCTAGGCACCTAAATAACAAAATCCAACGTGAAACCTGTAGGCGGGAGCCGGCTTAGCGGGTGAGCGGGTCCACTAGATTCACTCGAGGTAGAGTCTCTCGAGTCAGCCCCAGGTACCTTAACCTTAGCAGCTTAGCTACATTTTCCCCTTCTGAATACTACATATGCACTTGTCCAGCTTTGGTTCAGGCAGCAGAATAAAATCGATCGACGGTGTCCTTCTCGTATTTTATTCATCCTGCCTCTCTCTTCAGGATATGTTTTTAAATCTTGATTTAGTAGACCATTCAGCAGATAAGAGAAAAAGGACATAATCGAATTTATTTCGATATTTTCTTATTTGTTGTGTTGTTAACCTCGAGTTGACATATACTGGTACAAAGCCAATTTGACTTATGTAATAGTCTCGAAGTGGACTTAAATTCCGAGTAGTTCATGTTTGGTCGGTTATACGACGAGATACAGCGAGTTACAGCCAGATACAGAAGGATACAGAGATACAACACACCCCGCAAGTGCATTACCGGGGCATTTGAAGCGGCTGTGCGACTGCGACTTCAACTGCGACACGGCGCCTTCAAGTCTGTCTAGCCTACCTGCCTTGATATTTACCTACCTTCTCACTTTTTTTTTTATTCCTCATATTTATTTTTTTTTTGTGTTGCCCGACCTTTTTTATATGAAGGCTTTCGCTCTTTTGTTGCTCTAAAAGTCTTGGCTTGAACGCTATCTTGTATTACTGCGCATCGTGTCCGTGCTTACACCCTCTCTTTTTTTACTGGAGGTAGTGTGTATACTATACACACTCCGGACCATACAACGTCCAAGACTAGAGACAACTCGTTGATGATATATCTGAGTGGGGATTTTAACACCGGACAGTTCGAAAAGAGGCAGCATCATGAGCCTCAATCTGCCAATTCGATCGTCCACGAGTCTGAGGAATCAGGCTAGTAGGAATTACTTCACCAACTATACCCCGCCGTCTTCAACGGAAGCTGTCAATGGCCCCGTACGAGAGCCCGCTCGGGAGCTCTTGACCGTCAATGACCGCCTTATCGTCGGAATTGACTTTGGCACCACGTTTTCCGGGTGAGTTTAGCTCCTCGCCGTCTTCATTTGAATTTTTTACAATTTAATTATGAGCTGTCATCATACTATTTATTCCATCCTATTCCCTCAGGGGCATTTATTACCGATCGAATATCTCATCTGCCCAATTTATACACATAATAATATTTTCTTAACCATCCGACACTCTAGTACGCTAACGAGGATGTAGAGTAGCAGCAGTATATACTTCGACGCCAGACGATGTTGAGATCATTAAGACATGGCCCGGTGGGAACGGCATCACATCGGACAAAGTCCCTACTGAGATATTATACGACCTATCACCCAATGCGCCTTCGGGTACACCACCGAACGTAAAATGGGGTTTCCAATTCAAGCCCGAGGAGTCGCGGTTACGATGTATCAAGCTCTTCCTCGACCGGTCTCAGAAACTGCCCTTTTATGTCAGCCCGCAGGAGACTGCCACCCAACTAAAGAAATACAACAAAACCGTGGTCGACGCGGTTAGCGACTACCTCACTGAGATCTACAAACACACTATGAGCACCCTAACCCGGCGGTATGGCGAATCGTTTATGGCATCGACCAATGTGGACTTTGTACTCACATGTCCGGCGGTATGGTCAGATGCTGCGAAGAACACGACACTACAAGCTGCTGAGCGAGCTGGTATGGGCGCCCAGGCGGACATCCAGATGGTCAGCGAACCTGAGGCCGCTGCTGTTTATACTCTCAAGGCCATTCAGCCGAATCATCTCAACGTGGGAGACAACTTCATCGTATGCGATGCGGGCGGTGGAACAGTAGAGTTAGCCCCTCCCATGACCCCTTCCGCCCGCAAATCCAATGACTAACAATTTCACTTCGCAGTTTAATTGCATATAAAATCATGTCACTAAAACCCCTAAAGGTGGAAGAGTCAGCTGTTGGTACGGGTGGTCTATGCGGAAGTGCCTTCCTAAATTACAGATTCGAAGAACACGTCCGAAGCCGGCTCGGCCACAGTCGGTTCGAGGAGATGAAGACGAAAAAAGCTAAAACTTGGCAGATGGGTCTTCGATATTTCGAGGAGTTCGTCAAGAGGAATTTCAATGAAGATGAATATTCAGAGGTCAACGTCCCGTAAGTACTGCCCACTAACCTCTCGATCCAGCCCAATGCCACCGAACTTAACCCGCTCATGGCCCATAGCTTCCCGGGGCTTCCCGACGATGAAGAGGCGCGACTCGACTCCGGTTTCCTCGTCATGACAGCTGAAGAGGTCAAGGGCATTTTCGAGCCTGTCGTCAAGGAGGTCTGTGATCTTGTCCAAGGCCAGGTAGACGGTCTTCGTGCCAAAGGAGGCATTGTATCGGGGATCATTTTGGTCGGTGGTTTCGGCCAAAGTGATTACCTATACCGACGATTAAAGGGGCACTTTACGAGTGCTGCCCCACCGCCATATACGGAACGACCCACACATGCGAATACGGCCGCCGCATTTGACGGCAACGGTAATATCGAAGTTATGCAGCCCGTCTACGCATGGACGGCAGTGGTCCGTGGTGCCGTACTTCGGGGTCTCGAAGGTAATATGGTCATTAGCAGAAAAGCACGTATGCACTACGGAACATCTTACGCAACAGTATACGACGAGGAGAAACATAGTGTTAGTGAGAGGTATTGGAGCCCGTTGTGGGAGAGGTGGATGGTTAGTGATCGAATGCAGTGGCATATAGCCAAGGTGAGTTATCCGACTTTTGGTGATACAGTGCCTCTTCCGGCCCACACCTACCCGCCACCCACACAACCAACCCCGTTTACAATATTTGATCTTAAGCTATCTATGCCATCTATTTTTGCCATCATACTCACATATACTAGGGCGAAGCTATATCCCCCTTGACTCCCATAGCCTTCCACTATACACGCAACTTCCGCCCAGGTCAATCCCTCGTCGTCACAGACGATCTAATCGCATGCGAGGCGGATACCCCGCCCGCCGCGTACTCGAAGCAGGAGCTTGCGCATGTGTGTACCTTAACAACGGACCTGAGTGCTGTACCGCGGAGTCTATTTACTCGACTTACGACAACTAGGGGTGTCGAATTCGATAATTTGGATTTTACGCTGGAGATGACGGTCGATTCGGCGGGGCTCGGGTTCGAGTTGAAGGTCGATGGGGTTAGGTATGGTAGGGTGGAGGCTGAGTTTCATTAAGGGGAAGAATACCCTAGCCTATTGGCGGTGCGAGAGCATAGCGAGTAATGCTGGATGGATAAAATTCTTGGATGAGCCGAAGTTATTACATTATTAGCGATATCGAAATCTGGGGATGGGGCGCATCTTATTGGGCATGGCTGTTTTGTGTTGAGCATGGATGCCGTATAGTATAGGTATCTAGGTATATCTATGCCATTGGATCAGCAAGAACATGAGAATTCATCATTCGCTGTAACGTTCAGTTTGGGTGTCTTTTGGTCGGTGTCATGGTAGCGAGTCGGGATTGGTCCTTAGTAGGAAAGGCTCTTGGGGAACGGTGGTGAGTCCCACGGTCGGTAGGACATGTTCGTTATCTCGCGTAGTGGGAGGCCTTGTGAGAGAAAAGGGAAGGAAAGTACGAGGTAGGGTGAGCGAAGCCGGGGAAAAGGACTATAAAGGTCTAGGACAAGCGGTGGAGCAATGTAGGACAATATTGGCCTGCATAACCCGGGGCCACCCCACGAACCTATTCGCCCGGCCGTCGGGGTCTTTGCTGTTATCACTGTGGATATAACATGCGTATAGATGTAAGTTGGGGATCTTATTCGTCCATGTTCCGTGCCCCCAAGTTGCGTACATATATTAGTCCGGGGGCGGCAAAGTTCCTCCCTTTCTTCCTTTCTGGAACTAGGGTGTTGCAGGTACGGATGTAGGTACGGATATGTACCCTTTGCGGTTACAATTTTATCTATAGAATCAGGAAGGAAGAATAGAAGAGGGGGTTGGTAAGTGGTGGTGGTGTTGTTATGTGTTGCGTTAGGCAACCGCTGCTGTCAGCAGGCCCAGGACAAGGCGACCGGTTGCCTCGTTTTTTGGTCCAGTCAGCATTGGCGTATTGGCGCAACTCCGTCCCGGACAGCCGGCCGGCTACGGCTTACTCCGTATTCATTATTTGGGTAGATCTACGGCTTACACCCGATGAATTGGTAAATGGAAGGGCGTGGAGTGGTGATCGTTGTAGATTTGAGAGGTTATGGTATGTAGGCTGGCTGGGTTGGGGTTGGAGTTGTGGGAAGTGGGAAGTGGGATGTTTTCGCACGGATATAAATGTTGCATATCGTCGGTGTACTTAAATAACAAATACCCTCGTCGTTTGATCGTCTAACTATTTTCTCTTTAATTATGAAGTATTTATTTCTATTTCATTCCCCGCCGAGATACCGTCGTCTGGACAAGCAACTAACCATCTAGTCCAATCCACCAAGCCCACAACTAAGTCAAAAGGGGTCACAGTACGTCGGTTAGACGAACACTACACAAAAACGAGACAACAAAGTGGAAACCGCATATTCTTACGTACGAATTTAAAGAGATCTAGATCTAAACTTCGTATCGAGAATGACAATCCCTTACCATTCCATTGGGACCGGACAGGACTCCGCCGCACGACTGTGTCACATGTGAATGTTTACCCACCTAGGTAGACATCTATCTATCTCAAGGCGAGGCTGGTTAGTCATAATATCCATAATGGGAATCAGATAAGGGGCCGATCTTTTGGATCACCATATTAACCGGGCGTCTAGATTGAAACATATAACACCAAAGAAAATAAATGTGTGTAGGGAAGTAAGCCGGTGGTTGGTTAGGAAAATTCCACGAGGCGGTCAATAGCGAGGCGAAGCCGTTGCATCGCCACCACCACGATCAAATGCGAGATACGCATGAACAGTCACCATTTTGGGGGCAAAATTGCGGTGAGAAGAGGAGAAATTCGTTATGATCATTAAGTAGGAGATAACTTGAAGTCCAAAACGGCAATTTTCCAATGTCCCTTCGTTTGCGCCCCAGTTTTGGAAAGGCCCATTATTAAATGACATTCTGCTTAAGTAGGTACCTGGTATCATCTCATGAACGTCATGTTCTCATTCGTTACTTCGTTCCTTCGATCATCCATTCATACGCCTACCATACTACCAATTTGTTGTCTCAGATCCTGCTGACGCTATCGAATATTCATGACGTCGTTATGTAAAGAAACGATGGGGATGTTGTCTCATTTGGGTATCTCATTGCCTGCACCGGTATGCAGTGGCCCGCCCGCCCGCGGCTCCTCATAGTGACCGACTCGCATATATATTAGTCGGAGATCCCCAGATAGATGCATAACACCCCAGACAACCCCGGGAGAAGAAGCGAGGCCACCGACACACCAATTGGTCGACAGCCCCCAGTTCCCCCCTGCATGCCCTGCGTCGCATCTGCGACACAAACATACCCGGCCTAGCAACCCCCAAAGGGGGGAAGGGGATCATAAGGCTGAAAAAGCAGAAGCAGTTCTGCCTTACCAATATCCCCCATACATCTGCAGCGGAGGCATATATTTCCGACCTTGCATATAATGCATATATCAACGTAGATGTATGAGCGGAGAGCCCCTTTTCTTCTTGAGTGGGGCAATACTATCTGGGTATGTGAATCAAAAAATAAGAATCATAAATGTGACAATAAATAACAAGAAAATAGTGATATAAAGATAGTAAGCCGTGCTGGGTCGAGACCGGCGTCGGGACTGTTCCTTTAACGAATTCGGTATGTTGCCCATCGGATATCGGATTGTCGGCTGATGATCCGTTGCGGCGATGGTTCGCGACCCATTTGTGGGTATCCCGCCGCATTTATGGCAACATTTTTTCGTTGCTCTCATTTATTGCTGGACGACGACGAACCTTGACGTCTTACCTTTTTCTTTATTCTTTCTGTCTTTGCCACTTCTCTTCCTACTTCGCTCCTCCTTGGTGTGGTCTATCAGCACCCTGTTGGACTTCTCTGTTCTCTTCAACTCCTCCGGCGACACAAAGGTGCGCGGCCGGATGTGTTTCAATTGACTATGGCCATATGGCAGTTCATTATATTTCATAACCATACGATATGTTTCCTCCGGTATAAGGTTTTGGTCGTGCAAGTGTTCGTACATACAAAAGTCGGGACGGATGTTGCAGATTCTCTCCCCGTCCAAAAAATGTTCTCGAATATGCATCATCCTATTCCAGAAATTGGTGTACGTATCGCCATTCAGTTCATTCGCCGTTGAGTCGAAGGTATAATCATCACAGAATAAGCAAATAGCCCTGATGGGAAGTTGATTACTGAGATGGTCCGTGATGATGTGGTTGATCCAATTCTCGACATCGCTGGCATGGAAACTAAGTTGGCAGTGCATTCCGACGAATTCGCACGGCAACCACCCGGCCGGTGGGTCAGCAGGCGGGTGATCGACGTCTTCTTCATCAGCGTTGTGATATACGGAGGTCGCGTCTGAACAGCCACTATCCACCGTTTCTGTGACCGAGTGTGCAGAGCCGAAGGTATAATTGCTACCTTCGGTCGTGTAGGAACAGTTATCATCGGCCCAGGTCATATTGTCTGATGGATAGGTTGATGCGATGGAATGAGAATGGCAAGCGTCGACGATGCGGACACGAAATAGCAGACAGAATTACTGCTGTAGCCAGAGCGTACAGAAGCAAGTGTCGGCCCCGGAATGCCGTGACAGGGGCAGAACGCCAACGCTAATGCGGTGACGTATCAGGTGCTGCAGAAACAAAGTCCGATGGAGTTTTATACGAGATCGACGCCAAAGTGATCTCGGTACAGGCTATGAAGCTGTCGATATACGTCTCGATTATTCGATGGAATGCGTAGTTTGGTTATGAAGAAAGATGTTGAGCAGAAACCGGCTGTCAATGTTTGGTTTTCATCCGAATGCACGGCGACACAACATCCCTTTAGAAGAAGGATGAATACCTAAGGTTGCAGGTAATCTGACACAGTCCGACCCAGTCCGCTGCATGTACCGACTCGCAACCTGGCGGTGGACCAACGTGGAATGATTGGTGAAAAAAAAAAAAAGGGGAAGAAGGAATGTGATGAAAAGACGGATCGGAAATTATGAATACGAGTATCTCCTTTTCTTAACCGGAAAATTGGGAGGGTTGTTGGAAAAGAAGACGGGATCTCGAAAAAAAGGAAGATGAGGGGTTCTGCTGGGGGGTTGTCATTCTCTTGAAATAGCTGTCTGACGAGTTAGCCAGAGAGCTTTCGATGTTTACTACAGGGGTGCCAGGGCCTATTATGTCCACGACACAATTAAATCGATTTATTCTTTTTTTTCGACAACCACACCCCAGGTGTTGGCACCCACCATCATAATTTTTCGAGTGTGTACCCAACCCTCAACACCGGATGCATGATTACTTCCCATTTTCCACCCTATCCATGTCCGTAGTGGGAAATGCTGCTGCAGCCATGTCATATACGCATGTGGTTTTCATTATTCGGATAGCAGTGATACCACTCGCCTAACATGGATCATTCTTAGGTCACAGCTTTCCGACGATAGATCCGAAGATCGGCACTCCTCGCGGAAGCAATGTGAAAGGGAGTTGATGACCGTCACCTCCTTTCTTCCGGGCTTGTTACGGTTTTAGCCCACTCAGAGATGCCATATCGGAAGTGGTGGGTACCCAGGTAATCAACCGATGACTAGATGGACCACGGAGAACTCCCGTACCAATCACCCTCACCCTGGCATTCCAGAAGTGGGTTATCGTGGGGGATAGGAGTCATATATACCGGATTAACTTGTTATGGACGCGGAAAGCGGCGTACAGCTCTTGTCGCGATCTGATCTGATTGTTGACGGTTGCCTTCTTGTCTCCTCGTTGGTGGAATACAAACCGCTCTATCTCGATCCTAGACAACCAACTCAGATCTAGTAGGCAGCACATCTACCCATATCCAGGACATACCTGTAGGGCTGGAGATATCGGCTGATGATTTTTCGCCGACCATCTCCCGACCGAAATTATTTAGTGTCTATGCGATAGCTGGCTTGGCTTTTCTTTTTTCTTTTTCGGGTAGGATAATCAACATTCAACTTTAGATCCACTAAGAACCTTTGTCTATGCTGGTTCGTCAGTGTTCTCGTTGCAGGGAACATCTGCCTGCAGTTTGCTGTTATGACTGCATCATTATTAGGCATGGCTAGGGCCGATGCATGGATTAGCTGCTCCTAATGCAAGCCACGGGTCCTAGCTAATGTTACGCGCCTACTTTAAGACATTATGTACCGGCGCTGAAGAGTCATCTATCCCTAGATGTCTTATGTTGATACCTTTGGCAAATTGGTTGATTGGGTTCCATAGAAGCTAGAGTGCCAAGGTGTCTTAATCATGAAACTAATAATATGCCTGAAAAGCGGGAAAGTGTTCCGTGTCATACGGATGCCGATCTGGTGGTCAGACGGGAATGCCACAGAGTATGGTCCGTACAGCTCGCTCTTTGCGATACCGGTAAAGGTTATAGAAGCCGAGTTGCTGCTTTTTCATATGCTTTTCTCTCTCTCTCTTTTTTTTTTTTTCGTTTGGCTTTCTTATGTGAGAAGAATCGTCATGAGGTCTATAGAATTAGATCTGGATCAGGTTGCGAAATAATTCGTACATGGACTGGCTACGGGATGGTAGGTATTCAATGGCTAATGCATGAGTCAAGCTATCGCACACTGCATATAACCAATAGTTAGTCGAGTATGTTCAATCCCGGTCGTAGCGACTGTGGGAGTATTTGGTTACCACCAAAGGAGGGGGGACCGGGAGCGAAATTCGACCGCAGAGCCTCAATTTTCCCCACAGCTCCCTACTCCCCAATCTCTTTGATCCTTTTTGTTGGTCCTTTACCCCCCAATCCCCCATCTCCGCAGTTCGAACGTGTCGCGCTGATTGAGGTCGATGGTGAGCCGATAAATTATTAGGCGGCTCTGCTGGACCTATTGGGTGCTTTCTTTACCATCCCGTATCTGTTGTGCGCGTCTTGGATCCCGATATCAAACTAGGTTGTATGGATAGAGATGGGACGCCACAACCCAAGATATCAGTATCCAGACTACTCGGGGTTAACCTGATCAAAATGTTTAAGTCACCGCCTTTTTGTTCCAGGCCGGGTCTTAGTGGTTTCGCTCCAAGTGAGGTACGTAATTTGTTTCATTCGGGTGCGCAAAGTACCCTGGCTTTTGCCACCACGTTCTTGAATTGAGGATGGTTTCCATTTTCATCCCCGGTTTTTATGACCCCTGGGAATGTTACGCAGCATATCTCGCGCCCTGTCAAGCTCTCCTCGTCCTCGGCTCCGATGTCCTCCATAGTCGCCTTCTCAAACAAAATTTGTTGGTGGGGGAGTATCTTAGGCATGTGGACTTTAAAGGTAGCCTTCTGAACGACCAATAAGCGTGCTAGCTCAACCGAGTTATGCACCAGCGCGCGAAGTGCATGATCCCGCGCATCTGTCGCGTTGGCATCTGTGATCGAATCGAGAATGTGATTGATCTTCGAGATGACGGATTCGGTTACCAATGCTGTTTCTTCCTGTAATCGTGGAGTGGCCTCCTTTCGAAGCATTGTGAGTGTCATCGCACGCCATTGGTTAACTGATTCGACCGAACCTACGAGGGTGTAAGTCACATGTGTTGTATAAAAAGTAAGTTTGATGTTACTTACTTAGGGACGCGAAGTATTTCTCAATCTGGGCCAATTGATCAGCTTGATCTTTGGGGAGACCAACAAAGTAGGCGTTGAAGATGGTCTCCACCAAGATGCTGGATACCGCACTCTGCAGAAGATGCACCTTGGCTGACGCTGCGAGCTGCTCGTACATGGGAACAAGTTCGCCAAGGTCGTGTAGTACTGCTTCATCGACGTGCGTAAAATCTACAGCACTATTAGTCTATCGGATTGGAGCTGCATGTGTGACCGATCTATCGTACCAAGTTTCGCTCGCCTAAAATGCACAATGACCCAATTCTGCAAGCCGTTGCCTAGCTTTGTCATGGAATCTCCGAATTCTTCATCACTCGTTTGATCACCTTTAGTCGTACTGGTGCTGACCCATTGCTTGAGTCCGGCAATATGACCCTTCAAAGATCGTATTTCATCGTCTCGCTCCTTAAGTTGCCTTCGTAGAACTTCCCATCCTTCACGCAGCTCGGCTCGTTCAGCTTCCCTCACGTCAACTTCGGCACGTAGTAATCGGAGCTCCGTATCGATCCGTGAAAGCTGTTGATTTAAGCTTGTGTGTTTAGCCTGCCAGAAACTAGCTGTCTCGCCCTCTTTTTGAGAGAGCCTATCTAATTCCCGAGTAAATTCAGCTTCCATGACTGTAAGTTCTAGTTTCAGTTCAGCGATTTTGTCATCTTTCTCCTTAAGTAAGACGCTCTCTTTTTCTTTAGTCACTAGCATCGCACCGTTGTCTTTGCTGCCCGAACTAATGGTATCATGAGTGCTAGTGTTATCCTGGCTAGGCGAAGAAGACGTAGAAGCTGTACGAGTAAGTTGTACGCGAGGAGGAGGAGATATTATACTGCTGCTTCGCGATGAGGCTGAAGAGCGTATTGCATGGGAATTCCCCCGCCGTTTCTCTGGGGCGCTCATCGTGCCAAGAATGGAGCTGCGCACAGGTCATTTACAGGAAGCAATCCTTGGAAATGGCAGTTGAAGGTGGACAACATTATCCTGGTGCCTATCTAGGCACCTAAATTTCGCATGTTTAGGCAAGTGCTCGTATGGAAGAAGTCCACGACGGCATATACGTAAGTTGTTATTACGGGAAGGATTTAATGATGAGGCTGGCGCAGCACTGAGCCTGAGCTGCGGACGGTATCAGTGGATTGCCTGGCGGGTTAAATTCGGATGTACTTCTATAAGTACAGTCATTTCAAGGGCCCAGTCAGCTCAATCAGGTCCAGTCCTAGGTGTCATTCCACTGTTCCTTCTCCCTAGAATAAACTTTTCTTTCCCTGTGTTACCTTCCAAGGTTTTGGAAAGATCGCTACAAAACATACCAATAGCACCTACCTAGTAGGCATTCAGATGTGCTAACGCAGGTAAGCACGTCGCATTATCACAATTGGAACTTAACAAGCAATGGCAATTTCTCTTTAGGTTATGTCGATTTCCGCTTCGACCTCGTACGCTTCATCGCCATCCTCTTGCTTCTTTGCGCCCATTCTGCAGATCGCGATTTTCTCCACCGGCACATCTTCCATCCACACGAAGTCGTCGTAGCGATCCAATATTCCCCGCGCGTCGATTGTCAGCTTTTCATGCCTCTTACCGCCCTTGCCGTTGCGATTCCGCCCTTTGACGTATATTGTGTTTAAAATAGTGGCGTGTAATAATAAAGGTCGATTTTCTTCATCCATTAGTCCCGCCTCTTGGAAAGTCGAGCGCAAGTTCTCGCAGAAGCGCCGTAGGGTGCCTTCAGCGTCAATTGGTGGGGCATAGAGAACTGATGCTTTTGACGCCGCTGGCTGCATCGAGTGTAGGCCTCTCAGCGTTACGGACAATAAAGGGGGTGGCGGGCCGGATGTCTCTTTTGCCGGATCGCCCAATCCTCGAGCTGAATTTATAGTAACTTCTGTGGCTTCAGCTGCCTTGATGTTGGCTAATATTTTCCTGGGAACTAGTGTTTTCAAGAGTGCCACCGCCTTCTCTAGACCTTCATCTTTCGGGAAACTCATGACACCGATCGTTAGATGGAGTGTACCGAGTGGTCGGATGGCTTGCTCGGGTATGGCAAAGCTGTCGGGGCTAGTCACATCTGCACTAAAAGCGGATAGATTCGATGAGAGTTGGTGGCGGGATGTCCCAGTAACAAGCGGTAGACATAAGAAATGTGTGGGCGATGGTCGTGGCGGCATATTGAGTGAATTTCAGTAGTAAATTAGTAACTAGGTAGATTGAATAGGGATGTCTCGCTGAAAATAGTACCTTATGTTGGGTTGGTCAGATAGTTGTGGTAAATTTAGGCGTTGACAGGTATACAATCCCGCTAAAAATTTCTTGGTGCCTACCACGCAGGTACCTAGGTAAGTAATTTAGATGTTTATCAAGTAACACAATAAACTAAGGATTATTTCTAAGCAGTGAACATGACAATTTCTACTTTGAAATAAAAGAGTGGAACGTATAGGCTACATGCAGATGTCTCGGCTAAGGCAGCAGTAAGTAATGGGGACTTTCGGCAAGCAGATTTAGGTAACCCGATACAGATAAATGAAGATATAATTGTTGCGAATATCTCGAATTTGGAAGCCTAGAATTCGGATTGAACGGCTCGAATTCGGTCCACGTGCAGTGTTGAAACCGTTAATTAACCAGGAGCAACCATGATTGGTCTCTGTATTCTGCGTAATTCAGAGCACAAACTTTTCGCTTCACATTAGAGTTTCCCATGCCCAAAAAATTCGAGTCTAGGATCAACCTGATACTTTACTGCAGCGCTAGAATCGTAATTGTAAGTTACTTTCCAGATCTGCAAACGGGAAAGCTGCATTAGCTATACACGGAGAAACAGGGACCGATAGCTCTGCGTCACAAGGCGAAAGACCATGAAAGGTATGACGTAGCAAAATACGTCAAGATACGCCGCCATCAGACATCGAAAATCCAAATCTGCATGTTGGGCTTATTTGGTACACCGACAGCCCGGTTGCAATCTATAAGCAGGCTATGCCCACGAACCCTCAAGAATAAGCAAGTTGGTGGTGGAGGATGAAATAGGTGTATTATGGAGCGTATTTGTGTGTCCGATCGTGAGAAGCCTTTTGATCGCTTCATTAAACTAGACTAGATGATCGTGACCCTATATCGTGCTCCGCTCTGTGTGCATTAACCATCTGCTTCCAATAGAACCGTCATAGAAAATAAAACTGTTCTCTACCTGTTGATCGAGGTTGTCAAGTACGAGAGGACAGGCGTGGGGTATAATTTTCAAGTCAACTGATGCATAGGTAAATTTATCGGCTGCCTTCCCTTCTCCTCTGGGAACCCCGAGCAGCCCTCGTTTCTCATGATGCTCGAAGGCCTTCGGCAATGGTCGCACCCAGAGAAGGGGGTCCATGCAATGGCCGTGGTCGCGAAGGTAGGCTGTATGATACAACTCCGAACTCAAACTCGCAAAATTTCGACCTACGCTCGCCGGCTAGGTAGAGTTGAAAAAGTTCTTGAGCGTCTGCTCCACGTCGGCGTATTCCGCCTTTACCGTCTTGAGAGTTTCCGTGATTCGATTAAGGCAGAGGGTCTCATCTTTCTCTGGGCTACCGTCGAGATTTTCTTTCTTGCCGTATCGCTGGATCTTCTCGCAACTGTCTTTCACCTTAGTCAAACCAAGAGTCGCAGAAGATCCTTTCAAGAAATGGCCAAGTCGGTATAGCTCATCAAGGTTTTGAGATTCTCTATATGAGATCTAATTAGCTTCGGTGATCTCTCGAGGGCGTAGAAACCCAAAGGCTGAAGTTTTTAGAAGATAGCAGAGGCAGCTTGGAGTTATGAGGGTAGGCGATTGGTTCTTGCAAGACTTACAGGGCAGTGTCCATTTTTTCAAAGGTCTCCTCAGCCTGCTCAAAGAAACCAAATACGATAGATTTACTAAATTCACGGTCGTCCTCACTATCGTCCATCTCTAGAATTTGACTAAAAGTTAAGATATCGATCGCATCCCCCAGATCGGGTAAGTTGCCAGTGTCATGACCGTCATCGTTCTATGGCAGGCAAATTGCGCCTGTTAGCAATTTTGCCTAGCAATGCTATGATTTTCCAGCGTCGAATTCTCATTCATACCTGGTCGTTAGCAGCCATGATGCCGCGCGCTGCGTAATGTAAGGAGTGATCCTGAAAGAGAACGCCTGGCGGAGGAAGTTGACGTTGGTCTTGACGAAAGGGCTCCTTCAGGACGAGCCGAACTTCACGGATCGCAAAAAGTAGCGGGCGAAATTGGGTAAATATGTCCAGGAAGGAAAGGTCGTGTGGGTGGTTTGAAAAAACCGCGGCGACTTTAACCACTCTAGTGTGTTGATCGAGGAGTTCTTAGGTGGGGTCTATTATCGGTAGGAAGAGCGGCGGTTGCTGCTGTGGTGCTCTTGGTGCCTTTGGTGCTGGTGATGGCTAATCGCAAAGCAACGAATGATGGGAAAGAAATTTGGGGCAAGTAGGTACAGGTACCAGGTTCTGTCGCACAGTGTATGCACTTGATTTGTTTGATTATTCGCTCGTCGGCACCTATGCCGAAACAATACCACTATTATGTACACTGGAATAATCGAGTCTGAGGGTTATGTAGTTACTTGGGTCTCTTACACAATAGGGATGCATTGGAGAGGAGCAAGGTGTCTGGCTGAAAAGAGGTACCACTACCTTCCTGACTACCCGTACATGCAGCAGATTGATGCGAAATGGAAAGATCGATTGTTCTGGACAGTAAGCACCTAACGTTACAAAACGTTGTGCGTCGGATGTTGTTGGGCTGTTTCAATGCGAAAAGGTCAATTGATTACGGTTTTTAGCGTGCCTTAAGGGTTTTCCGTCAGGGTCTTTTTTAGGGAACAACGTCACTGGATGCGGGACCGTGCAATTAAGTTTTAACTAATTCCAGCCATACGTCAGGTAACTTACTTATCTAAGCTTAGATCTATATACACCTAGCCGTATAATAGCCGTATAATACATGTACATATGTATACCTGTCATATATAATTTCAACATTTTAAAGTTACATAGAAAAACGGCAGGCAATCACGCAGGTCGTCATTGACTATGTGAATAAAGGAAAGAGGAAGATACCCAACTTTGTCTGATCAATTCTTCATTGAAAAGCATCCACATCTGAACGTTACTTCCTAACGTACCAAAGTATATAAATGTGCAGTTTAATAATATGTATTAGTAGTATAGGTGGGGTACCTAATTTTTACTAATAACCCAACCATCCGTTTCTTGGCTCAGACTATCATTGAATCCAGTCTATCCAGGGCTATGACCATAACTACTGTACAACTAAAGAAATCGAGTATACATACTAGACCACAAGACGAGCGCTACGCCTTATCCGCGATACCTGCACCGGCTGACCGGTGCCAACAGATATCACATTTTCCCTATTCTACACAGCTACTGTACATAAAACTTCACTTACCTAACATACCGGGAATGACAAAAGGCGATTGCTACACTCGCCTTCAAATACTTGATAGCATACTTCTTCATTACGACTTGCATAGCTTGCATAGTCTTATTTCTATGAACCATGGGTATCCCCACCTCGTGTTCGACCGATTCGATTCTTATCGTGAAGCCGGATTTCCACCATCACCACCACCACTACTACCAGCAATACAATCTAGTATAATCAAGCGAGAGAGGGTTGCGGGAAAACGGGATGCCTCACCAATCTACATACCCGCTGCCCACCATTCGGTATGATAAACGGCGCTGGAAGCTTCTATGATCGACGTTGACGCATCCCTTTTACAATATTGCATACCGCCCCGGTCTGCTTGCGTCTTTAGGGAAACATTGGACCCTGGGAGTGCATCGTAGCTGCGTCCCGCCAAGCTAATCCTACCAGCTTATGGTGTTACTATTCCGGTCTTGTGCCACTCACCAAATCCAAGCAGTTGGCGAGATTTATATATGACGGAACCAGACCTACGCCATTAGAACGGTAGTCCCGAACACAACATCGAGCTACATCACGCAGCTCACTAGCCACGCAGTGCAGCTTTGTAAAGGTTGCAACTTTAAATGCCACCGAATTGGTTACGTTTGACCTTAGGACCCGCGACCACGCATCTCTCAAGATATTCCGTTCAAGGAAATTTGAGGCAATAAGTCAGAATCCTTCTACCTCTCTCTCTTTTCTTTCATTCTTGTCTTCGGGCTAATGGAGAAGCTCACGAAGAAATGAATGGGGGTTGCGTGGTGGTCGCGACCACTCAGATACGAGAGCGCTCAGCGGACCATGGCTGAAGTTAGGTGGAAGGGGGACACATGGTTCATCCGTCATACGGCGATGCGAGGTCCTCTATAAATGGGTGACCAGACTAGAAGACAACGCGGGATGGCTTTTTCTCATCTCATGATTACGCCAAACCATATTTTGATTAATTGGCTACAACATTGGACAAAGCGGACCCCAAGCGTTGTACTTCTGTGCGATACCTATTTACACACGTAAGGTAGGTAAGTACCTATGTACGTATGTATATATGTACTATGTAGGTATGTTTTCTTTCTTGTGTGCCATCCCTCCGTTACCAATATGGTTGGTTAGGCATCGTGAACCCCTCCGTAACAATTTACGCCCCCTGCACCGAGGGGTTGGTCACGTTAAACTCTAGAAGCTTTTCCGGGACTCCACATACATCTGATATTGATGTGGGGGCTTTTAATCGGGAAAACGTCATACTTCCAGACCCTGGATTCCCGTGTGACGTGCCACGAGGATACACAGTGCCGCGCGCACCCCCCATTTAATTTCACCTACATTAGTACAGATGTACCTATGTACGCCTACCTTCTACATCCACTACCTAATATCCACTATATCCACTATATCCATCTTCAGTACTTCCATGCAGCAAGCGTATACACCACATACAGACGTACCCATTCTTCTACAAGACCCGTTCAACAAAGAACGCTTGACAATGGATCTCGACTCTTAAGAGAGACCGGATGCGGACAGGGGCAGATCGAACCAACACGTACATACATGTACATGCATACATGCGTAGCGGCATGCTACATTATATTCGTCACAAGCATGTGTGCTTGATGGCCCCGAAGGGCAAGTGGTTCGCGGTTAATGGATTTTAATGGTTTGGCCAAAAGTCCATAAAAGGCAATTAGGATGTGGTCCTTATTTGTTCCAGCGACTCTCTCGGTTATTAGCTTCCCGAAGCCCACCTGAAGATATTCGCAAATGCCCCAGGCGCCCCTCCACTAACAAATAGTATAGCGTACATATAGCAAGCCTGCAAGCATAGCAACAATTCCTACCTCCTACCTAACTGGGTACTTAACGGCCGACCACACCACTAACAACCAACTACTAGGTAAAGTTCTCACAAGCTTCAAGTTTTAGATCCAAGCTGACTGACAGATCTCCGTGAATGACTTGAAACGTTCTTTATCAAAAAATACCTCGCTAATGGCGTGACATCCTAGTGGATATGAGAACGAAATCTTTTTTGATATCGATTTAATTCACCGCATTAGCTCTTACAATCAACTCGGACTACTACGGCGACAATCTTCACGCTCCGGGGCCGGTTTTCGTCTTCAGGGATACAAAAAAGTATTACTGCCCACCACTAAAAGCCACCACCAGCATTAGCGCCTGGATTCGAATTAAGATATCGCCTGATTTGGTCTATCTAGATATCTAGCGTGCTTTGTTTTTATAGTGGCGAGATAAATAAAACGCCTGATATCGGGGCCAGGAGAAACCGTAAGTGCTTGTTTCTTTTTTCTTCCCTTACACTATCGATGACTTGTCTTATTTCCAGAGGCCTCGCCCTCGAACTATGTGTGTGCCGGACTGCAGATATTCTGTGAAGTAAGAAAAATCCTGTTTTGGCCCTGCCTTAAGCCAGCCAGCTGAGCGAGACTCGCTGCGGGTTGGCTTGACCTCCATCTCCGTTGCGTTTTCCCCGCACTAGACCACGGCCTGTGGTACAAATGGTCAAGTCCAGTGATATACGTGTTAGGGGCGGTGCGCCATGGCATTGGTAGGGAGGTAGGTAAGCAGTAAGCAGAGCGACGTAAATGTGCATATACGTTGGGTATCTAGATGCTTTGACTTTGATAATTTATCTAAATAATAGCTTATAGATTAAGGGGTTGCTAACAAATAGAAAAGAAAAAATCGGCATTTTCATAAATTTCTAGCCCAATAATTAGACAGAGAAGCCGATCTTCTATTATTAGTAGCTAGAGTATCAATATCTTCTCCGCGAGATTTATGCACGTCCATTTTTCTGGCAGCCGAAAGGGGACGGTTCCCTCCGTAATAGAATGCATTCCTTTTTCTCAGCACCGCTGCAGTGTGACTCTCAAACGTGAGAAACGACTGTCGATATTACATGTCGTGCCCACTTATAACTATGACGTGCAGCAGGAAATGCGATAGTACCCTAGTATCTCGTGTTCCGAGGCGAAGCATAACATGGGACACATTGTCTTAGATCTTTAGAGCAACACTCTAGACGCCACAGTCAGCAACCATGCTGCGTCCTGCCACCCGCCTTCGTCTGGTTTCGGGGGCGGAATTCGTTCCTCCGGTACCTTCGTGATGCCTTCAAAATCCACTGTGCTCGCACTTCGCGGAAAGTGACTTTCTTCAGTTTCTCCGTCTGACACTTCGCCCTCGGCATTGTCCGATTCTTCTTCGTTTTCCTCAACGGAAAAGAGTGACCACATCCAAGAGCCTACGCCGCTGTTCTTTCTACTAACTAATTTCCGGACGGCGGCCTCGTCCAATTTGCTCGTATCTATTTCGAAACATTCGAGCTTTTCATCTAGGCCCACGAAATCTGGACCTGGTACGGAGTCTTCTGGGGAAACATCCTGGCTGAAATATCCTTCATGCGCGTGGCGCTCCACAGGCGTTCTTAAACGAGCCCGACTTCCAGCTCTGCTCTGCGATCGGCTGCCAAAACGACTGCCTGGCGAAAGAACATCGTCTTCTGGACTTGCCACGCTGCCTCTACGGCTACTCCGTCTACTCGCCAATTCCCTCTCCCTAGCTAATTCTCTTTCATATGCTTCCTCATCGACGTCTCGCATGCCAGTCAAGCTAGTCGAACTCGCTCTCGAGACTAACCAAGCCTGCCCTTTAGACTCGCGAGTCTCAGAACTAATCAAAGCACCCGCGCGTAGGACCCAATCGCTATCACTTCGTTCTCGTTCTTTCGCACTGGCCGGTTCGCGATGGCGGGATAGAGGTGACAATGCTTCTATTCCTGCTCGTCGCGCATTAGACACAGCTAGGTGAGTTGTAGATTTACTCTTCGGTAGCTTCGTATCTAAATTCAAGGGATCGCGCATTGAGGAATGACGGCGGGTGGGGGAATTGGCTCGGGTTCGAGATGGGGATTGGAGGAGTCGGGGCGTTGTAGGCGCCGATTTGCCCTGGAGGTAGGAGACATTGTGTTGGAAAGCTGACGCGCCGAATTCGGGGAGGTCGTCGGGATCGGTCAGTGGCAATTTGGATGTGAGGGGTGCGAGGGAGAGGTGCTGGAGGTTTGTTGAAGATCGGTTTTTTCGTCGGGCTTGATTGGCGTGTTGCTTGTATGCGACGTCCATTGTTTGTATGGGAGGTTGGTATTTTGATGATGCTATTCAGACACTATGCTCAACAACTTTTAGATTGCAGCAAGACAAATTCGAGGCAAAACGTAAATGATGACTTAAATGGTCAATTCAATTGGAGTATGTACAATTAGTAGCAGATCAAGAAAACGAAGTCGGTTAAAGTTGAAAACTAGAAGCTGGGCTGGCCACACTACGAATTTGATACCCAGGAATTGGACAGTGACTTGCAGATCTGTTGGTAGGGATTCGGCAAAAGCTTAGAGAAGCTTTGGCCATTCAGCATTAATAGCAGGGTTTTTAGTGATACCTTCCGAGGTCCGCCGACCCGCCGCCGAGGTTTTCTAAACCTGGGAAGTTTAAGAAGCAAAAGCACGGACCCAACTTTAAACGGATTAGGGAGCAAACTAAATATACAGTACGAATAACGTTCATAAAAGTTTGATCGCACGGACTTATAGTCATCGTCATTACACAACTCAGTCAATATCAAAATCTCGTCGCCGAAGCCGTATTGATATATCAAGCTTCCTACTTAAAAATTTATGGTCGGCCTCATTATACCGGGCCAGGCATTTCAAAATGCGCAACCTTCGCAATATTCGATACAATGCCTGGAAATCATCAACCGACTTAAACGAAGAGGCCATTACATCGACGTGCTGGGACCCCGCCAAAGATGAAGTTCTATGTACTTTCGGCCCAAGTGAACAAGATGGGCGCATTCGTCTTGTGAGGATTATAGAACATGTTAGGGCCTCCTCTATAGACATGTGAGTTTTTATAATTTATATGAAATTTTTGAGATTTATTTTACTTATTATTCACATTTGTAGTGAATGCCAGGATGTTGCGTCATGGGATGCACCAAGCCCAAATCCAGATCTAGCCGTGGACAGGATTATAAACTCGCATCACTTTAGTGATACTCTCACAACATGCCTAGTACTCGAAGGTGGCGACATTGTTGTCGTCCAAGAATCCGAGGGCATAAATCCCCAAGATGGAGTCCATATTGAAATTATGGGTTCTATAGACGAGGGCATTACAGCTGCAAGCTGGTCCCCTGACGAAGAGCTACTAGCTATCACCACCAAGGCGAATACGGCAGTCTTCATGAGTCGCGGTTTTGACGGTATAACCGACATGACCATGACTGCCGACGATCTCAAGGAATCCAAGCATGTTTCTGTCGGCTGGGGTAAAAAGGAGACACAATTCCAAGGCAGGGGCGCTAAAGCTCTACGAGATCCTACTATACCTGAAAAAGTAGACCAAGGAGTGCTTAGCCCCAACGACGATGGAAGTACAATAATTAGTTGGAGAGGCGACGGCGCCTTCGTCGCAATTAACTCCATCGAATCAGGTATCCGTCGAGTTATTCGAGTGTATTCTCGAGACGGAGTGCTTGATAGCGTAAGTGAACCAGTTGATGGCATGGGGAGCGCATTGACTTGGCGACCAGTCGGAAATTTAATGGCGGGTACACAACGCCTTGAGGACCGCGTAGATGTCATTTTCTTCGAAAGAAACGGTCTGAGACATGGCCAGTTCTCTCTGAGAGCCCCTGAAAATAGGTCTCTCGTGGATGATAGGATACGACTAGAGTGGAACTCAGACTCTACAGTCCTCGCCGTAACTCTTAATGATCGAATCCAATTATGGGCTATGGGTAATTACCACTGGTACCTAAAACAAGAAATTTTTACACATCGACAACCGCTTCACCTTACTTGGCATCCTGAAAAATCGCTACGCTTCACATCAGCCATTTCAGGTATGTTAGAGTGTATATGATTATAATCTCGGCGCTAAGATTATTACAGGGAAACTACTACTTGCAGATTATATCTTCGAAGTGACTCGAGGATCGCTCACACCACCATATGATCATGGTGCCGTTGCCGTTATTGATGGCAAGACCCTTAAACTCACCCCTTTTCGAACCGCCAATGTCCCCCCACCAATGGCATTGTTCGAAATTCAAACATCATCGCCGATTATTGACGTAGCTTTCTCGCCAGCAAACACATTTATGGTGGTTCTCCATCAACTTGGTATAGATGCGTACCAATGGAACGTCAAGGGACAGCGTTCCATAACTCCGTCCCTAGTAGGCAATGTGACGTTCTCCAAGGATATCCCAGAGGGTGAACATGTTGCCCTGCAAATTGCCGTTACTGAGAACAGTGTTGTTCATTGCCTAGGGTTTGAGAAGGGACCTTCAATCCAGTCTCACCAATTCGATCAAGCTACCGGAGAATTCTCATCCAATCCGAGCATATACGCTGGTTCAATGTTTGGCTTCGCACGCTTAACCCAAGCAGGCTCTAGTGATGTCCTGCTTCAGGATTGCCTAGGCAGGCTTCATGGTGTTGTGAACCAACAGGATGAATTATACTCAATAAGTCTCCCATCTCAACTTCCATGGTGCGAAGTTATTGATCTAGCCGGCAACGTTATCGCCGTTGGATTATCTAGGAATGGTCACTTATATGCCAATTCTCGTCTCCTACTCAAGAATTGCACATCTTTCTTGGTCACACCGGCTCATCTTATCGTCACAACTACTAATCATCTAATTAAGTTCATCCATTTAGTTGATGTCGATAGTAAGTCCCATAGATGCTGTCAAATTTTCTGATAATTAACTTGTTTTATAGATCTTGAGGTGCCCCCGGATGACCCCGAGAAAGATGAGAGATGTCGAAACATTGAGAGGGGTGCACGGCTGGTGACCGCAATGCCTACAAATATGAGCTTAATACTCCAGATGCCTCGAGGGAATCTCGAGACAATATACCCCCGGGCCATGGTTGTAGCGGGTATAAGGCAACTTATTGATGCCAAGGACTACGGAAAAGCATATTCGTATTGCCGGACTCAACGTGTGGATATGAATATCCTCTACGATCATAGACCGCAGCAATTCCTCACAAATGTTGGCCTTTTCCTCGATCAGCTAAATGATGTCTCGTACATTGATCTTTTCCTCTCTTCTTTACGGTATGTCTTCATATTTAAACAATTAATGCGTGGTTGATCTAACAAAATACAGCGATGAGGATGTTACACAGACAATGTACAGAGACACCAAAGGTATAAGGAATCAAGAATCGCCAGAGAATACTTCTGGGGATGCTACTGTTGGTGTTGATAGTTCTTCGAAAGTAAACACGATTTGCGACGCAGTGCTTTCGCATCTGCAGTCACGCAAAACTAAGGACCACAATACTTTACAGAACATTATCACCGCAAATGTGTGCAAAGCGCCACCAGCATATGAGGATGGACTGCTAGTTGTTGCCGCCTTACTACAGGAGGATGAACAACTTGCTGAGAAGGCTGTTGAACATATTTGCTTCCTCGCAGATGTCAACACTTTATACGATGAAGCCTTGGGTCTCTATCACTTAGACCTGGCGTTGCTAGTGGCACAGCAATCGCAAAGGGATCCCCGAGAATATCTTCCATTTGTACAAAACCTACACCAACTCCCTGGACTAAGGCGTAAATTTGTGATCGATGACCATCTTGGTCGACATGCGAAAGCCTTGGCTCACCTTCAGTCACTTCAAGCCCATAAGGAAGCCCAAGACTTTACAGTCAAGCATGCTCTCTTCGCCACAGCCTTGAAACTCTATCGTTACGACCAACCTAACCTCACTACACTTACTGGTCTTTATGCAACATACCTTGAATCCAAGTCGAAATACCGAGAAGCAGGACTTACCCACGAATCTCTCCACGACTATGCAGCAGCAACCAGATGCTACCGCGCAGCCGGCGCCTCCTGCTGGCGCGAATGCCTCTTCACAGCCCAACAACACGACCCACCCTTATCCCCCGACGCACTTACCGACCTAGCCACCACTCTCGCCGAAGCTCTCTACGAAGCCAAGGACTACGCATCCGCAGCCACAGTCCACGCGGACCACCTAAACTCCCTCGAAAACGCCATCCCCTGTCTCTGCAAAGGCTACCTATTCGCCGACGCCATGCGTCTAGCATCCCAGCGCAAGCGTCCAGACCTGCTAACTTCATCCGTGGACCCCGGTCTAGCAGACGCCTTAGGAAGCAGCACCGAATTCTTCGCAGACTGCAAAGCCCAGCTCCGCGCCCAAGTCCCGCGTATCCTCGAACTACGCCGCAAAGCCGCGGAAGACCCACTAGGCTTCTACGAGGGAGAGCGTGGAGGTGGGGGGGATATACCGGATGATGTATCAGTTGCCGCGAGCTCGCGGATTAGTACTGGTGCTAGTTTATTCACGCGGTATACGGGGAAGGGGGGTGGGAGTGTAGGGACCGTCGGAACGGGCGTTAGTCGTGCGACGAGCAAGAATCGCAAGCGTGAGGAGAAGAAACGCGCGCGTGGCCGGAAGGGAACTGTTTATGAGGAGGAGTATCTTGTTAATAGTGTGCGCCGCCTCGTCGAAAGAGTCGAGAGTACCAGGCCCGATACTGAGAGACTGGTTTTTGGACTTACAAGAAGGGGTATGCATGAACGGGCGAGAGCGTTAGAGGTTTTGGCTGCGGAGGTCGTGGACGCGTATAAGGTGGCGATTAGAGAGGTTTTTCCTGCTGCTGCGGCGGCGGAGAAGGAGAGGAGAGCTGGGGAGGAAGCGGATGAGGAGGATTGGAGACCTATGGGTGCGGATGCGGTGCTTTATGAGAACCTAGAAGCTGCGTGGCGGAAGCAGGAACCCCCTATTATAAAGGGGTTTGAGAGGTTGTCGTTGCTTGGTTCGTAGACCGTTAGGTGGAAAAAGTACAAAGGGTAGGTAGGGTTAGATAAAATTAGGGGATTGCATGCAATGAATGGATGGATTTAAGTCAATGATGAGTGCAAGATTGGTTGGTTCTGAGCCTGTGTTCCTGAATGCGGTATATACATTTATGTTACAGGTTTAAACGGCGTTTTGGTTTTTATTTTACAACTAATCTTCTCTCACGAAGATGGCGGTGGAGGTGTTTCCTCAGTTGTCGTCTCTGGAGGTGGAGGAGGCACAGCTATCTCACTAGACGTTGTCGGAGCACTACTACTGCTAGGGGCCTCAGGTAGAGCGACACCCGCATTCCTCGTCCTCTCCAAATTCTTCGCCATAACCTCGCCGATCTTCTCCAGCATCTCTTGCGTCAGACGCGGCTTACCCTTCTTCTTCTTATTCTCCCGCTCGGCACGGTGGAGTTCTTGTAACGGTGTACGCATGCTATTCATCAACTTCTGCCTATCCTTCTTAGCCTGCTCCTCAGCCTCGAGGCGTTCGATGTACTCGGGGTCGTGTCTCGTACGGAAACGACTGTATTTGTTACGCAGTTCGTCGAGGACGGATTCGGGCATTGGTGGGTGGAGTAGCGTAGGCGTAAATGTGCGTTCTTCGACATCTATACGCAGGGTATCCGAGGCGTAGTCTTTTAATTCTTCCTCGGCCTCTTTGGGCCACGGGATCGATACGTTGAGACCAGGAACGACACGCGACCATTGCTTCTTGCCGGTTACTCGGTCGTGGATGAAGTCGGCGTGGACTAGTTGGTTGATGATGACGTCTCGCGTGACGCCGGTCTGGGTATCTTTGATCGGGTGCACGAGTCGGATCGCGGAGATGGGGATGGGCAGTTCGGTGTTCAGGGCTGGGGCGTCTGTTTGGCCGCGGATCTCTTGTTGCAGTCGGATGTTGGCCTAGAAATTGTCGGTTGAAGTTAGCTCCCTTTCCTATAAACCGAATTACAGGGACCAAATATAAAATGGGCGAGTAAGGATAGACCTACCTTATTTAACCCATTCACTTGAACCTCAGCCTTCTCCTCATTGATCCGCCCAATCTGGCCGATGCGTCCTTCATCCGGACCTTCCATCAACACAACCCGATCACCGACGGCGAGGTTGAGGTTGTAAGCACCGCCGGCCCAGGCACAACGGCGATTGCGCATGGCGAGGGAGACACGGCGGTATCCGGTACCGTAGCGGGCCTCATGAACAACGGCGCCCTCGCTTTCGGCCCATTCGCCGACGTCCTTCCTAGGTGCTAGCGGGCCTAGGTTCCAATTGTCTCTTATAGAATTCTTCGCAGCAACGAGTTCAGAGCGTACCATCTGCATCTGTGATTTGTGGTCGTTCAATGACTCTTTCTTCTCTTTCTTGAAGATCCTGAGATCTTTCGCCTTCTGCCGCTTGGCAGCTACCCGCTCGGCGGTGGCCACGCGGCGAAGGATTTTCTGCATTTTCCCTTTTTTCCTCCCCCTTCTCTTCGATTCGGTGGTGAAAAGGCAATGTCGAGTTGGCTAGGTGGTATATACAGGAGGACTGTCACCGTCTCTTGGTCCCTCACCGCGCGTGGGTAGGCCTCTATAATTTGTTCAGTGCCAAAATTTTGGAGGCTTTAGAGTCAATTGGTTGAAAGTCAATGCAATGATCTGATTGGTCTAATCTTGTATTACTTAAGCTAGAGATAAGATCCCGGAAAATCCAACCTCCGATTGACCCACTGCGCCGGAGCGAACATGGGTAGAGGTATGTACTTAGGTATACTTGTACCTAGGTATACCCCCTAAAATGCCAAGACACCTATTGTAAAAGATGTCGGTCTATCTTGCAGATTTCACGTTGCAGTTAGAGCTTGAGCTTGAGCTTCTTATCGACATGAAATAACGATATATTCAACACCCGAGCTTCCTATTCAATTTCGTGTCCTTATATCAATTGGACAAGTCTTAGCCACGGTACTATATCATTCACCGGAAGATGTTCCGATCTGTTGAGTGGCATCTTTGTAGCTATATCACATTATGACACATTATGACACATTATGTATTGAGCATTGTTTTTGTTTTTTTATTACTCTGGGCGCAGATCTTATTGAGGCTCATCAAAATGGGACTTCATGACGTGGATGAATACTCTATCGTATCCCTTCTGAGTTTGTCGGTAACTTTGATGTTATAGGTCTAATTCAGTGATATCTGTATAGATAAGTCGGAGTCTCGTCGGATTTCAAGGTTTCGGCCGGTAATGCAATCTATCTGAGCGGGTTGAGACGCGGAGATGGGACTAAACGTTCCGTGAAGAAAAAACGAATAGTCGATCTAAATTCGATAACGACCCATTCAATAAGCTAATGATGAAAACGATATACCTAAAATTTTAAGTACGTTTCATCGACGTGTAGACTTAAGTTGATGTGCTGCCTTAGAGCTTTAGGAAGTATTATCGATATGAAGCCGCGGTTTAGCTTAGTAGTAGCCTGTAGCTTACCTAGCTTGCTCATACGGTATTAAGAATGGATGCGTTATTCGAGTCAATCCATCGTCACAAGCAAGCCGAGCCACAGGGACTAATGAGTCTTGTAGCCTCGGTCTAACCACTTTTGTAAGAAAATGGCCTCCCAGTGCCGTGTTGGTAATAAAACTCAGGCGAACCAACGAAATGGAAAGGAATTAAAAAAAAAAAAAAAGGAGATCAAATCCAGCACGGAGTTTGGCAGTCGTATGAAACGCAAGTCACAACGGCTTATACGCGTATGCCGAACCCCCCACAACTCGTATCAACGGAGGTGGCAGAGATTGAACCAGACAAAACAAACATTGCGCGATAGGGGAGACTGAGCCGGAATGACATGACACTGAGCCACACTTGTTCAGCTGATGAGCCCGGATCAGCGCATGGCTACTGCGGTACCAGTCGGTGAGAGAAGAAGACGGCGCACACAAGAGAGAGGAAAAGAAAAAAAAGGCTCCTTGAAGATCTCCTGGTTCGGTAGGCGAATTGACTCAAACATGCCTAAACCTAGCTTGGTCTTGCTTGGATCTCTTTGCTGGGACTTTGCCAGGACATGATCTACCGGCACCTTGTTCCGCATCGAAGTTGAAATCTATGCAGTGACACACTTAAGTAGTGTACGCATTCATTAGCATTAGTATACCAGACTACATAATATGTTAGCATGTATCGGATTCTTTTCAGACTTTAATATCGACAAGTTTCTAAGTCAGCACCCGTTTCAACTCATAAGCATGAGATGATTCCACGTTTATGAGATATGACTATGAGAAGAAAAGTCATGACCTGTATGTTTTTACTGTGTGTGATGTTCATGGATATGCTGTTTTTTTCTTCGCTACCACATTCCCGATTTTCACCAGCCTGCTTCAATATTGTATAAAGAGTCATCTTCATACTATGCATACGTATACCAGGAAATAGTATAGGCATAGGTATAGGTACTTACTTACATGAGTAATCTATGTAGGACACCTCATAATGTGCATGTGTAAAAAGGAAAAAGAAAGCTGAATATCTTCAATAAAGATATGTCGACACAGCACATGAGACCCACTTAACAATGAATACTCTTCACGCATTGGTCGTAGGTATAAGATGGCTGATGTTGTATTTCGTAGGTCTACATATCTTGCATATGTAGGTATCTTCAGGTGATGTTATTATGAACGGCTTTTGTAGGTAGAACTGGTAGAACTAGCGGACCAGGTAGATACGTGTAGGGGTAGTTTGGTACTGGGGAAACTTGGTGTGTGTTTGGTGGGTTGCCTCCTCGATTTCCGAGGCGCAAGGGCCAAGGGTAAACCACTAAAATGTGAATGTGAAGGTAAAGTAAAAAAGTACTTGTAACCTCCAGTGCGAAAGCATAGGAATATGGAAAAAGGCGGGTACGGGTAACAATGAATCTCATAGGGTTAGTACTGGTGTTAGGTACCTAGATAGATTTCAGGACTCATAGGTTAATCATAACAATTTACGTTGTTCGGGTCGTTAGGTCGCCCGGTCGCTAGGACGAACCACTAGAACTACCTACAATTCCTAAATGCACATGTGTTGACCCACTAAACCCTTGCCCCCTTTAGTTCTTTTAGCTCTACTGTTCCTACCAGGCCCTACCCAGGTACTTATGTAGGTACGTACCTCTTAGCCGTATCATACCCGGGTTGTATGGTTGTCTTGTGCCTGTCCCTTATTTGGAGGGTGACCCGCCCGCTGCCTGGCGCTTTCTTGTTGCTTTCAATGGATGGGATGCTGCTACCTGGCTAACAGTTTATGTACCTGTAGTTGTAGTACTTGCAGTATTTGTAGTGCGTGCCTGCCTGTCCTGCCTTATCCTCTCTTATCCTACCTCCAGGGCTAGTACTTATCCATTACTTCTTACCTCCCTAACTCCCTAACCCATTCTAACCCTTCTAACCTTGCTGGTGCTACCGCTGTCAATTGAGCAACGACCTTCCAACCTTTCCTCCTTCTCACATTCTCCGTCTCTAATCTCCTCCATCTTCTTTCATCATCCAAACCACCAAAGGGACAACTCATTCCATAACTAAATCAAGAGGAATCTCCCATCAAGCCTTTTGTCCTCGTTTTCTTTTTCTTTTTCTTGCATATTCGCTGAATACCCCCGAGCAAAAAGGCCTTCTTTTTCTCTGCCCCTAAATTTTCTTCGCCCTCTTCTCCAACCATGGCTGAGATCCGCCGAAAGCTGGTCATCGTCGGTGACGGTGCCTGTGGTAAAACCTGCTTGTTAATGTATGTCGCCAACACGACCACCACCCTCAAAACAACACAATTCTGCAACCTATGCTAATTCGTATCACAGCGTCTTCTCCAAGGGAACTTTCCCTGAGGTAAGAGACTTCATTGCCTCGTCATCATCCATTCCTTTTTTTCAACACTCCCTTCTCCAAAGACCCGCCCGCGTCATATCGAAACAAAGAGACACCGGTCCAATCAATTTACACCTATCGAGCTGCCGCCTCATCGCCCATTGATACCATCAAGACCATCTATCGCGATCCGTCATACAATATTTGATGCATAATTCCATCTTGCTGACAAAATCCCCTTTTTTAATTATAGGTCTACGTCCCCACTGTCTTCGAGAACTATGTCGCCGATGTCGAGGTTGATGGCAAGCACGTCGAATTAGCCTTATGGGATACGGCAGGTCAGGAAGACTACGACCGTCTCCGACCTTTGTCTTACCCTGACTCCCACGTCATCCTAATCTGCTTCGCTGTCGACTCCCCCGATTCTCTCGACAACGTTCAGGAGAAGGTCGGTAACTCCTTTTCCTCCATGTCGATAATAAACTGCTGACACGTGCTCTATTAATAGTGGATTTCCGAAGTTCTTCACTTCTGCCAAGGCCTTCCCATTATTCTCGTTGGTTGCAAGAAGGATTTGCGCTACGATCCCAAGACCATTGAGGAGCTACGTAAGACTAGTCAGAAGCCGGTTTCTCCTGAAGAGGTAAGTTATTCTCACTTCAGCCTTGATGCATATAAATTGTGCATATCGACATGCATGCTCCTTATCTATAGCCTCGACCCTCGTGTTTATTTATGACCGCTAACATTCTTTTCCGTAGGGAGAGGATATTCGTAAGAAGATCGGTGCCTATAAGTACCTCGAATGCTCGGCGAAGACAAATGAAGGTGTGAGAGAGGTTTTCGAGCACGCTACTCGCGCTGCTCTCCTCTCACGCAACCGACAGAAGAAGCACTCTAAGTGCTTAGTCCTTTAAGAGCTTTACAATACCTTTACGAATACCTTCGACATGTCGTCGTAATCCATCGTCGTCCTACTGGGTTCATTTCGCGGACGAGATACATAGATGACAAAGGGTTTTGGACGGACTGGAAGGGTTGGACCGCCTCTGCGTCATAGTCTCGGCTGGAGTTTGATTCGTCTCCTCGTAACTTGCTGCTTCGGCCGGCGTGCAACTCAGGTCAGCTTTCACGTGTCTCCCATACTACAAACGGGGAGTGTATTTGGCGACAGGGCAGCGGGTACCATGGTACTTTGAATTGCTACGGATCGGGGAGAGAGGGGATAGGCAAATATTGCTGCCGTTAGAGAGATGTGTGTGGTGTGTGTGCGTGGTATGTGTGTCAAGATTGGCGAGACAACCCCAGAGAATACGGCTATATCATAAATCTTTCTCCTTTTTTACTGCTCTTGATAATTCCCACGTCAGGCCAAACCGGGGGGATGGACATTTGTTGCGCAAGGGGGCTACTCTTTCTACCTGTCTTTTTTCCCAATCATACTCCTTACTAATCCTCAGCCCCGTCTGGTTTCTTTCTTGCCTCTTATGACTATCTCGTGCTGTAGACCCCTTATCCCGTGAAAAGATTATGTAGCCCTGCTAATAGTGGGAAGCCCTCAAGTTTCGGGGGCTTTGGACGGCTGACTTCGGCCAAGTGGCTTAATGGCAATGGTAAGATTGTAGTTCTGACGTTGTAGCCGCATGTAAGGGGTCATGTGAGTTGGTTCGTACATATAGTCAGCGATTCAGGGGCCATGTTTCAAAATGGTTGTGCTTCATTCCTTTTACTAATATGTATGGTGAAGCTCACTCTATGCATATTAAGACCCGTATCAGACCACTGAAACGACTCACATTCTACGTCACTATCATAATTAAGAAAAAGGGGGTATGGTTTACTGGTGCCGTAGAGGCAAAGGCCATTTGTTGTAGTTGTACTCTCTAGAAACTAGAAACACACTCCTCTCGTTCATCTCGTTTCGGTTGATACATTAGAAAGACACCGTTAGAAAGAAAACCGTCTCCTCGTGATCCGATACAGTCCCCCTCCTCTCCCACCTATTCACCCTCATCCCAGATAATACACCCCGTCCCCGTTGCCGCCGTGTCCCCATGCCGGATATGGTAGTGAGAGAAAAACGAATGGTCTAGTAGGAATGACTGTTTGGTTCGGTTTCTTGTCATTGTTGTTGTTTAAGAAATAGTATGGAACGGAATGGAATGGAATGGGTTGGATTGGTGGAGGGCTGGGCCCTCGCCTGGTTTGCTGCTCACGCTGGTTCCCCCATGGTTTGGGGTTGGGTGTCGTGGCGCTGGTGGTTGTGGTTTAGACGGGGCAGGTCTGGTGAGATGTTAGCTTGGGTTTGATATAAGTTATGAGTGAGACATGGGAATAAAGGTGAATGTGTAAGTTGGTATACTCTCCATATGAGCCATATGGGATGAAATCATGAGAGGAAAGTTGGGTGAGATGCGTGATTGGTTTTTCATAGATAATCAAAGAGTCGAAACTTACAGCACCGCAGGAACCGCACTTCTTGACGTCGCCGTCGAAGCTGGTTCCGCACTTGGGGCAAGACGAGTTATGCATTTTGAGTGGTGGTTAGGTGGTTTGGTGATGTAAAAGATAGAATGTTTGCTGTTAGTTCCTGTTGGTCATCCGAGTCAGTTCTAACTAATAAGCACTAGGGTAAATGGAGTGACAAATCACGCCAAACTAGTTTCATTCGCTTTCCCCTCTCTTGTCAATATGTTTTCTTACTTCCGCTAATAGGAAGGTAGATAGATATATCAGAGGTATATATGTGTGTGTTAAGATAGGGTATAGGGTCTATGTGGGTGGATAGGTGATAATATGTATGACGGATGGGGTTCACAAAGTTTGTCCCGAGATATGTATGTAGTTTGTGTGTTTGTTTATCTCGAAGTACATGAAATATGTAAAAAGAGGGAATAGTAACGGGAGTTGTCACATAGCACGAAAGGAGGAGGAGGAATAGTAGTGGTTGAAGAACTTACCAGTTGGCAAGATCGGAGAGTTTCGATCGATGGGATTGGCAGTGCAAGATGGATAGAGAGATCTTTGGGATTCAAGTTCTGTGGTGTGATGGAAGGATTAATGTGTTGCTTAAATACTTTTAAGGCAGAAGAGAACAAGATGAACCTGGACAGGTATTATTCTCGAAAGGGGCCTCTCTCGTCGTTCGTTGGACCTTTTTATAAAGTGGCAAGCGGGGTTCGGTGCAATCGGAAGGAAGACAGACCAGACAGTGACCAGGAGCTATCAGATGTAAAGTATGTATGTGTCGATGTATGTATGTAAGTGTGCATGAGAGGAATAAGATAGGTATGGATAGGTATGTAAGTGTGCGTGCGTGGTGGTGTGTTGGTGTGTTGTATGACTCTTTTCTCTCTCTTTTTCTCTTTTGATCTTCGTGAGCCAACCCCATTTCTCCATCATTCTTGTTTTATTAATGGCTTTCTCTCGGTTCATCTTTTTTCTCTTCTGTACGTTATGTACCATCCCGCTTCTTCTGCTTCTACCCACCTTACCTACCTACCCCTACCTTATCCTTACCTATCCATCCATATCTATCTGCCTAGCTACATACAATAAAACGTGCGCGTTTCCACGCCTCTCCGTCGTACCCGTTGTCTGCCTTGTCGTCTACCTTGCCTCACTCTACCCTACACGCATAGCATCGCATATACCACACATCAACTTACGTACATACAATACATACATAGCTTACATGACGATTAGATACCCTGCTCGAAACTTGTCTGGGGACCGTCACTAGCCAAGTCCTGGTCCCGCTCTGGCGTGGGATCCTGCCTAATGGGGAGCGGCATCTATAGGTCAGCTGCCGATCCACGGATTACTAGAGTTGGGGTAGCGTGCGTGGAAAGGAAGGACAACGGAGATCGATCTGCTGCTTTTCTGTGGTAACGGGAAATCCGCCTCTCGGTCTCCTACGTATCGTGTAAGTAAATTCCGTGTGTACATACATATATGCATATCTATATATGTATGGCGTTTAAGTATTGATATGTACGGTAATGTGCCACGGCAAGACGGTAAGAAGCTGTAGGACTGCCTGAAACTAGGTAGGGGTAATTAGGAAACTAGGACTGAGAAAAAAAGAGGAGTCTACGGCTAATAGGACTTCTGGATGACCTAGATGGAGGTTGGTTTGTGGTGGTGATGTACCTGATGGTGTGCGTCGTCTCGCGCGTGTGGCGTTTTTGCAGTTGTGCAATTTGCGCCATGTGTCTATATTGTATGTATGTGTATGTGTGTGCTCTTTGTTCCGAGAAGCTTGCTTAACTCTTACCTACATATCTAGGCGCATATATAAGTATATATGTATCGTGTAGTATGTAGTGTAGTCTATACTGTATAGTGAGTTGTGTGTGCTGGCGTGGGTGGAATGGGAATGGATGGGGAATGGAAAATGGCTGAATGGGGTCAGGGCCACCATCAATCAAATCAAATCAACAATAACAACCCCCATCTTAAAGTGGTGCTTTGCATCGGCCCATCCAGACACAGTCTCACTATCTAATCAATCGTGCATGTGCTCGTCCACCTGTAAGTGGCCTAGAAAGGTCAACTGCAAAGTGCCGCCAAACCGACCAAACATATCCTCCCGCGATAAGCGATACAACGCACCCATGGCTTGGCCGCGCATGTGTGGATAGCCGCAGACAGGCGGATCCCGACCGTCTGGATGCATCCTCAAATCAGAAGAGGCCTTTCATCTCGGAAACGCTGCCTGCAGCTTCGCCATGCGGCCATCGACCTGGTGGCGTTGCCCGATCGCTCAGATGTCCTAGGTTACTCCCCGCCTCGTTTTCTCTTCATACGACTGTGGGCATCATAAACAATACACGTACACGGACACGGCTGTCATGCAGTATGCAATATGCAGTTTGCCTCTATTTTACTCTAAGAGCCCTTTCGCATTACGTGACGGGTGATATACAAGTACATAGCCAAGTAAGTCTATTATATCTCTAGACGCATTGAGACGGCTCGCCCCCGCCTGTAAGAATGGATATAAGTCAGCGTTCAGGCAACGGAGATGATGGAAAGACGGGTAGCCACGTCGCGCGACGTGTGAGAAGAACGAACCTTTGATCACCTTGCCTACAGCTTGGAACATGCTAATAACCATAACCGCACATCCAAACGCCACGATGCCCATAGCGACGTATGTTCTCCACGATCGAGAGCTTAGTTTGATATAACACAGCGGCGGCAGAATATACGCCAACGCGCAGGCACTCGTCGCCCCCACGAGCTCGAAAACCACACCGAGATCACACGTCACCAAGCTCAACGTCATGGCCGACACGACCAATGCAGAGCTGAAGATCAGGTGGAGGTTCATATTAAACGGCTCGTTAGGGAACCAATAATTAAGCATGACTTCCCGACATACGAACGCCTCCAGCGGTAACGTTGTAAGCATGTTCAGTCCGAAGCAGAGCCGCGCGAAAGTAACCATCGTATTGTCGGCGGGGAAGTTGTTGAGTACGTTTCCGAGCGTCTTATCTCCGAATGTAAGAAAACCCGCGAGGGCCATGGTCATGCATGCCAGCATGGAGACGCCTGTAGAATAATGCGTCACTTTTGCGAAACGGTCTATCGTGGGTGTTTTTAGAGAACCGTAAATTAGAAGAGAGTTATGTTGACAGACGAATGCTGGCTCTGGTTAACTTCACATTTTCATATCCTCGGAGTTATGACAACATAGACTCACCAAAGGAAATAACACCGACGGCCTGAAAAATGCCATCGTTAATTGTAAGTAATTGTAAAGAAAAAGAGCCGCGGTTTTCCGCTGGCGTAAGAGCACCTTGAACGACGACCGTAATCAGGATAATGATCATGCTGATCAGAGCAAGTGTGCTTGCTTTTGCGAGCTATCTTGGACTTTAGCCTATAAATCGGATAGCCGTTTGGCCGGAATGGACTTACTTTCGCAATATCCCTATATAATGTTAAAGGATAACTTATTCCAAGAATGAAAAGAATAATGGCCGCCCTGCGATCGCCTAGGATCCATAATACAGGTGTACTACCCAACCCAGGAAAGATGGTATGTAAAACCTGAGGTATCGAATCGCCCACGATGATGCCGAATGCGACCATGCCGCCAAACGCGAAAGCCCATTGCGCAATGCTTATAGCAATCAATCCTGTTTTGCCAAAGCAATGTTCGACTGTCCCTTGGAAGCTGCTCGCGCCGCTGAGTTTGCTGTTGATAACTATAAGCCGGATGGTCCAGTCGACGACAATGGTCAATACGATGAGTAATATGATGCCTGCTAATAGACCCGCGTCCTTGAATGCGTAAGGTTGACCGATGATACCGGCTCCAATGATACTGTTGGCCATATTCATAAACGCCGAACGTAGACCCGACTTGGGCCGAGTACGTTCCCGTTCAGCCCATTCGTGTACATCATTGTCGAGACTATTTGCTAGCGTTACGGACGGTGCTTCGATATCGGTTAAGAGAGGGTGTCGCGGTGTGGAATCGTCGCCGATAGGACTGTCTGGTTCGGCAACATCGAAGTAATCGGAGGGCTCGGTAGAGTAATCGTGGCCATTCGCTGGCGGTGGAATGTTTGTAGGTACTAAATCGAAACGTACTCGATTAGGGGTTTTCGGAGTATGCGGAGGTCGAATAGAACTGTGATGATCTTCGTCTGAACCATCGGCCTTAGTGTCGCCTGGATGTACTATTATGCCATCTTCATCGTCGTCTTCATCGGAGGTATTGCCAGCAAGCAAACCGTGTTGTTCTTCATCAGAGGGAGCTGTGGTGGAGCTGGTGTTTCGAGGTTGCTCTCTACTAGAGGAGCTATGAGTCGTGGCCTTGGCCATTGTGTCGTCACGGCGGCATCCTTGCTAGGGACGAACTTGTCGATTCCGTCCTCAGCAACGGCCTGTTATATGGATGTTAACAGAAATATAGAATTGCTGATTGTATTTGTATTAAGTCAGCCTTTTGAGCCGAGCCTCGAGGCAGTGTCAATGGGAAAGATTTAGGTACAAAGGTACTTGATACCAATAACAATTTCCCTTTCCTTATCATCATGTGATAGAAGGTACGTACCTCAACCTCTATATGCTAATGCAGGGGTGTATAGTTGGTTCCGGCTGGGACCCTGCTCGTCATAAGTTTTAATGGGTCCTACCTTCCCAAACCTCTTCATGAAGATCGGTCCGATGCTGCAACTTAAAATGTTATTAGCTTCTCCTTTTTTGACTTATCCATTATTTTGGCGATGGACTCATTTCTAGTTACAACTAAAGGAAACAAAACTAAATGTTGGTAGCTCATAGAATTGAATATATCATTCTTTATTACATAATCCTACATACAATGCCCAACAGACGTACGTACGTGTGCGCCCATCATAGGCTTCTCTGCTAACCATTTTCATTCCTCTCAACCCTGGGTATCATTCGTGTATATTTCTCCCTGCGCCATTATGTAGCGCTACCTTCTCTCCCTCTTTACAGCGACGAGCTAAGCCTCTGCTGTATATCCAAGAAACAAGCGGTACCTCCATATTTGGAGATAGGTGACGTGTACTGCTACGAGGCAGTATCTTCTGCTGGTGATAAAGCAGTTCATAATGTGTACATGTATATATATGGAGTAGGATGATTAATATTAAAACATCCCATATTAAACAGTCATGGCGATAATTAGGAGGGCACCTAGTACGGAGGCATATAGACCCTTTCCTTGCAATTTCTCGCCAGACGATTCTGTAGTGGGCGTCGGTGTCGTATCGGCTGCCGAACTACCTGAACTTGTAGGACTTGCGTTAGGCATGAGGCCAATGCCGGTACTACCCGAAGAACTCGTTGGGGTGGATGATTCGATAGTCGTTGTTGAACCATCGGGGGATATTGACGTTACAGATGGGCTTGTCGTGCTGCCACTTGAAGCTGCTCTAGCAGCGAATCCTGCAAATAGTTAGCTTCCGTAGAAATGGCTTGGAAGATATGCAACTATAATTCTTGACTTACCGATCCGTTTTTGATCTACGTCGAATACGCTGTAGACATTCTTCAAAAACATGTCTCCGAGCAACCAAGCACCGGACACGAACTCCATGCCGTACACATTCCCAAAGCAGACACCATCGCCATTCGGTGCAGATGTGAAGTCCTTCGACGAAGCAGTGTAAGTCTGGCCCGAAAAGGAGAAAGAGACTGTAGCATTGCTGTCGCATGGAACGCTCCAAGTCTGACCATTATCGGTAGTCTTGGAGTCAGGCACTAGCTTATATAAAGCCTGAACATCATCCGGAGGGCCGAAAACGAAAGTCGTTCCGGTGTCGATGTAAGCAAGTCGACCTTTAACTCCGGCCGAGTTGTCGTCATACAGCACGTCGTCCATCGGAATAGCCCAACTGTCTCCGGACTGAATGGGGGTGTATGAAATGTCGCCCTTGAATTTGGCCTTGTTTGGCCCACCAAAAGCTATTTCCCCATCGTTCGTACCATCACTATTCCTAGCCAGCGCAATCCCGAACACGTTAGAGTCGATTAGTTTAGCTTCTTTGACATAGCTAAGCCATGTGCCATTGGTCATCGATAATCCTAGGATGCCCTCGAAGGGGAATTGGGCAAACTGGTCGGAAGTAACGTTGGCGACTCCAAAAGGCATAGTAACTTCAAGCCCCGCAATGGATATAGTGTCAGATACAAGGTGTCCACTAACCTCTCCCGAGCCATACTCGACAGAGTAGTCGTTCCCAGTATCATGGTACGATTTGGAATCGTTCGGACCAAATGTGTTATGCTTCGTGCAAGCGCTGGATGTGCAACCCGAACCCATGACCCATGTTGTACTAGCTCCCGTGTCAACAAGCATGTACAACGACTTGCCCTCGGAACCAAAGTTGGCTTCTAGGAAGTACGAGTAGTCCGTTCCATCTTGATCAACTCCTACAGCGTTGCTGGCCGAGGGTTTGGCTGCAGTTACTACTTTGTAGTCGTTGTCTCGGTTGAGGAGGGCCGGATCTTCGGATGTAGATCGAGTCGGCGCTCTGTATCCATATTTGGTGGTTAGACTTTGAATTGCCCTGGAGACTTTGTCTGTAAGACTCTCTTTAGACTGCGAATCGAAGATTATATGTCAGTAAACCTCCAATGCCACGTCACAAGGGATACCACATACACTAGGCTTCCCTTGAACCAATTTAAACGTAACAAACCCAAGTTGGGGGTTTTGTTTGCTGGGTGCCGATCCGTCCGGGGAGCCTCGCTTTTCTAAACCGTCGTGACTAGGAAGACGCTGGAAGAAAGCATGAATACCGGTTACCCATAGTAAGAGCTGGAGAGTTATTAAGGCCCGATGCATATTGAGATTCTGCAGCGCCGTTTAACGCAAGCTTCTCCCCCAGCTTCGAAATACCCGACGTCTCGGATCCCGCCGCCAGGATTGGCTACTATGGTTAGATGATAGCAAACTAAACCTGCATATACATCTGAGAATCCGTCACCATGCAGTCGGTTTCGAACAAAGAAGTCGAACTTTGTTTGAATATGAGAAGGCGAGTTGTTTACAAAGTCAATTGGGTGCGTTAAGGTGGTTTTTAGACCGGTCAAAGCACAGCCCAAGAGTACCAGACTCTACGGTCTGGATATTATGGTATTAAAGATTAAGAGAGCGTCATTGGTGGGCCGGAGAGTAAAAGAAAGACGAAGGGACCAAGTTGGAAAAAGAACAACCAAAAATCAGAAATACGAGGTCGTCATCGACAGGACGAATACAAGGAACGTAGGGTCTCGCGGGAGTATTCGATACAGTCGATCTGAATTCCAAGACAAAGTGCGCCGCCTGGGAGAAACACGTTTCGAGAAACAAGACAGACAAGAAATTCCAATCAGGCCGCCCCGTTCTATTTCAAGGAACAAGATAAAGCAAAACGACTGTGGTGTATTATGTGGCGCTGTAAGACGACGACATACAGTATATACCACCTGCAACAAATTAGAAGGAAAAAAGGTATCGGGATCGGGGACGGGATGGAATGGGATAGGATAGGGTAGGATGTGGAGAAATGTGTGAGGATAGAGTCTAAGTAGTCTGGTAGTGTAAGTAATTATGTGGAGGTCGGTAGAGATGGAGAGAAGCGATGATGGACATAGGCATGAGCATGGGCATGGGCATTTGACCGGTTCTCCCTAAGCCCCTGCAGCCACTGGGAGTTCCAATATGTCCAGCATGCCCAGCATCATGTATCTCCTGATGGTTAGGGCTTTCCTCTATAAGGATAGCGTCTAAAGTGCGGGATGGATCTTAACTTTGGTACGTTACTTGTCGGCTATCCGACGGCCGAAAGTTGTCGATACATATGTATCTTCCATGGCATCCATGGATTCTTCTGTCTTGTTAGCTTCCAAGGTTTGTTAGTCCCGTGTCTCCCGCAGAAAAATGATCAATCGCAGCTCCTAATGAGAATGAACTGCTAAGAACGCTAAGAACGCTAAGAACTATTCTATGGGTACCCCCGGTACAGCAGTAGGGGTATGCAGAGATAGCGTTATAAGTGGATTCCCGGCTTTTAATCTACTTAGAGGTAACCTAGGATATCTGTTCCATTGATGCGATATCTGAGTATCTATGATGTACTGTTTTATTATAGTGATCTACTTGGGAAATTGGGTCTCGTCCTAAGAGTTAGCTGATTGGTCCGTCTATACTAAAGCATTCAGTTTGCGGCGTAACATTCGTGTTAACCGTATTTTCTATGCACCTCTCTAAGCCTCTTTAGATAATTTAGATAATCCCAAGCTATTATTATCAATTGATATTTTCAATGTTGGGGGTGTTGGAACTTCAATGGGCGCCATTGCGTATTGCATTTTGTGAGAACTGACTGGTGACGAACACCCAGCCTCGGCGATACGCAAGGGATCTCCATACAGTATGTATGTGCGTATGTAAAGTAGCAGATTCAACTGGCAAGGATTCCAGCTCAGTGGCCAGGAGATGGCCCCAGATAAGGTGGAGTTAGAACGGATGGGGTATTGATGGACAGCCAAGAAAACTGGTTCTGGAGATCCTTGATTCAAGAAATCATATCTGTGGGGCGTGCCCTTGCCAGCCCGATATGCGAATCTCATATTGCCGCCAATAGTCATTTAGGAGAGATAGTCGAAGATACCGCTCGGAGTACCCAATTGAGGTTGTTACTATGTAAGCAGGGCTGGACTGAGAATTCTTCGACGAGGTAAATCAGCAGTATTATGAGTTATATATGTCGAAATAGACGTCGAGTCTGAAATATTCTGTCATCAAGATGAGACTAGTTTAAGTCGGTACGAGGCAACCGAACCAATGGCAAACTACATGAACGGGAGAGGCCGGTTCAACAGACGGCAAAGCTTGGCACTATTAGTACTATCCATACATACTTCGTCACCCCACCTGCATCAGCTGTGCGCTTGAAAATCCCCGTGGGCTCCAGTGTTTTCCCTAGCCCCTTAGAATTGACGGTTGAGAACCGCAGTTGTGAACCGGAGGGTTTTTCGGTAAAGTGTACAGGAGGATCTCAATACTGTTAAGTGCCAAGGAGTCTCAGAATACTGGAGTTAACTGGTTCAGCGCCCAAAAAGTAAGGTAGCGGAATAATAATAGTAGGGGGCCTCTTTAGGCCATCTACTACTACGTAGTAAGGCCGGGCCCCCTGCGTTAGCTCAACATGAAAGGATTAGGCCTATCAGCATCGTTGTAAGTCCATCCCCCAAGCCACGTTTTAACCGTTGGGCACTTGCTATGATAGTATTTTCCCTTAGCCGCTATCCGGAAGGTTATGTGCAGCCGATGAGCCGCAACCCGGACTTGATCGCGGATCGTTAATCGCTGATTGTAAGGAGGGGGACCCGAAGGCGCAAAAATGGAGACGAAAAAAGCCAAATGATGTAAAGTCCGGACGGGCTGTTTCAACCTCTTGATTGCGTATTCCGAGGTTGGTAATTGCCTGGTTACAGGTAATTAGTAACACTAATACTGAGGGTCTCCCCTAGAGACTGGCTGGCTTATATACCTAGGTAGCTTGTACTGCTGCTAAATCGACCTCATTTTATTCGGCCACGTTAGACTCCGATGAAAGGCGGTATTTTTCACACCAACGCCGCGCACCCTCCAGTGTTCTCCACTGGCTACTGTCTTCCGGTGTTATGGAAACAAGTTTCTCGTTTATGGCTAAAAATGACTCAAATTGTTGGTCGCCAATGAGCCCTGTTACCGCGATGCTGCGCAGAAACACCCAGACGGACTCATTCGTCCAACGTAGCGAGTCCGAAATATGAAGTACTTCGGCAACGATTGAGGAGCAAAGCTTGGTGCGATTTTCTTTATTTTCGATCTTGCATATGGCATGAACCAGAAAACTCCAGCAAGAGATATCAGTATGATTTTTCAAACAAAAGTCTTTGACGTCAATAGCAACAGGCTCGGCGAATGTTGGATGACGATCTAATAAGAAGCGAGCATGATGCCAGGCAGTATAATTGCGAGGATGTCGAGTCCCCGCCACCATCACAATGTTTTTGATATCATGTTGCGGGTCTACAAACACGTCGTGGGCCACAAATAAATGTAGTAGCCAGCGACGATGGGACCAAAGGACAGGAGATTTAGTATGGCGATGCAGCCTCGATGTGAGCAAGCTATCCACAAATTGTTTCTCTCGTCTCAATATCGACTCGTGAGGGCCATTCCCTTCTAACGTCGATATAAGCAACCGCTTCCTGGTATTGGCAGCAGTCAGATGTTCAGGGTCCATGAGGAGCAGTACAGCTGTTGCATGTCCAATCTTGCTGTCATTTATGGATCCGCTGTTTTGGTAACCCTTTAGCTTTTGACGGGCAACGAAGAATGCCTGAGCCAATCTCAGCTTAGGAATTGCTACAGCTGTGCCATCCCTGAGATAGTTGACACCTGGCTGTAGAGGATGACTCTTCCCAAGGAATTCAATCTCCAGTAATTCATTTTCTGGTTGGTCCGTCAGAAGTGTTGAGATGTCCTCGTAGATTCTGTTTAGGTCATCGGCTTTCAGGTGAGCTAGAATGTCTTTATCGAGGGAGCGGGTCATTGCACGTGTCGGTCATGGATTTGCTTGAATATGGTCGCAAGGTGTTGCATATTCTACGAAGTTAGGTATGTGGCATTACATAAATATGTAAGTCATAAACTTAGTCTTCTGGTGGTATCTTGATGGAAGGTGTAGCTGAGCTTGCAGGTGCCCTATGATGATTGGATAGTGGGGTTTAATCAATTAAACAAATTATTTCACCTAAATGCATATTATGCCCTGACAACGCATAGGCCTAAGCCTCATCTGGGTTTAAGGTCGCATATCAGATTGGCCACGAATTTAGAGCTCCTACCTTGATCCCGTGGCCAAACTTATTCGCTGTGACGTACCGTCAGAGCTGTTTTCTTCCTTAAACACTCTCAACAGAACGCAGTATCGGCGACATGATGCTGTCCCTACTGCTCCTAGTTTTCCTCGTCGAGCTCGGCGCTCACCTTGTAAACACTGTCGGCGCCGCGACAATAAATAACATAGTAAGACCACATCTCTAGTAAAACCTACGTAACGTCATACTAATCGTTGACTGTCTTGCAGCTCTGGAACCTGTACCTAGCCATTCCGACACAGACCTCGAAGCAAGTAGCAGAACAAAAAAAGCTACAGAAAGAATACCTCACTATCCGCCGTGACCTGAATGCTACTAGCAGCCAGGACCAGTTTGCGAAGTGGGCCAAGCTCCGACGACAACATGACAAGTTGCAAGATCAGCTAGAGAAGAATAGTACGTTTTTTACTTCAAAATACATGCGATGGGAAGTAGGAGCAAGAGTTAACAGATGCGCGCAATAAGAATCTTCCTACGAAGCCTCGAAATCGAAATTCGATAGCACCGTCAATATTCTACGCTGGTTGACCACGACAGGATTGAAGTTTCTTCTGCCTTTCTGGTATGCGAAGCAGCCTATGTTCTGGCTACCACAAGGATGGTTCCCGTACTACGCCGAATGGATTCTATCCTTCCCACGAGCTCCCATCGGTAGTGTTAGCATCGCATCATGGCAAACGGCCTGTACCGGTGTAGTTATGTTGATGAGCGATATGATCACGGCGATTCTAGGGTTATTATTGGGCGCAAAGATCGCACAAAAACAACCGGCTGGGGCTGCTGCTACTGGGGAGAAAAGAAAGGAAACACCAAATTCGCAACAACTCAGGAACAAGAAAGATTCATGATTAATCATAATGAGATATAGAGGATACGTATGGATTATCGGGTTGTCAACTGACAATAAGGTATGAAGTATGTCTCTCATCTAATTTGACGCAGAGTTTTTCATCGCGAAATGCTAGGAACTCTGTAACACGATTGAGATGACTCTTGGCAGAGTACTTGGGCTCGCTCTAGGCAACATATTGACTCTAGCGACCATTGAGAAGAGAGATCGCCAAAGCTTCGAAAGTGCCATCAACATATTGTGGTTTGGTCCTCTTGACATACCTTGTCATCAATCCCTACTGCTGTTCTAGCTAGATTTTGCGACTCTATGAGACACCATGGCCTCTCTTGTGAGTTCGTCTCTATAGCTAGAATAATGAATGGCATGCAATGAACTTTGTACTTCATCCATCACACATTTAGAGGTTTTTTTTGATATGCGTGTTCTGAAGAATTCTGAATTATTATTTGTAGGGAAAGAAGTAAATTATTTTTTCCACCACCGATTTTTAAGAGGAACGGGGAAAAGAGAGTGGATCTAGATTTGAAACTTTGAACCAATCAAAGAGCTTTCAACGCACTGTCCTTGCTCCATATCGAATCCCTGCTCAAGGCCACTGTCACATTTGAATGTACAAGTATAAGTACTTATCTACATCATAGCACTTACGGAAGAACAAACTTGTCAATTTTGAAGGATACGTATGTACCATCCAGTCAAGTTGACCTTTGTGACTGGAACAAATAGAAATACCATATATCTACCTACCGATCATTACCTAGAAATTTGGCCGCATGTGGACTACACATCTAGCAGATTAACGACACGATGGCGATTCCTTGGGGGACGTAAGTGCCACCTTACCCTTCCCTTACCTTGAAGAACACAGACGGCTAACATCGAATACCTAGTATCAAGTCCCTCCTCATATTCTTCGGCCCTATCCTCCTCCCCAAAGCCATAAGCTACTACCGATCCCTTCGCGATGGGCCCCGCGTTGCTGGTATATCCATCCAACCTCTCCCGCATGACGCCCGTCGAGGCATCGCCGTCCTCGTCACAAGCGCCCTAACATTCTTCTCCCTCACCCTCCTCTTTACCCCCGAAAATGTATTCAAACGAACACAATCCCGCCTCCAAATCCCAACCGACGTACTCTTCAACCGCCTAGCCTCACTGCGCCCCAACAACGTCCTAACAGCAACCGACGACGCCCTACGCGCGCGCTTCGTAAACCTCGAGTCTCGGCTCCTATACCTACAATTCGGGCTGGACGCCCTATCCCAATGTCCATTCTGCAACGCCGAAGATCCACGGTCCTATTTCTACTACGCACTACCCGCGCTATTAGCACCGCATTTAATAAACCTAGTCCTCGCCTCCCTCGCGACCTCCGGCCTAATAGCAGGTCAAACCCACGGCCCGATATGGCGCACCACAGCCGCCGTGAGCAGCGGGTTAATCGCTGCGTTGGATTTATATTTAACAAACTCATATAACCACCAAACCAACGCACGTGCCACGCGGCTCGGCGAGTTAGACATGTTTTTCTGGGACGCGCGAACATATCGGTATCTAGCCCTGACCTTGCTCAACGCCCTCCTAGCCACGCTTCTCTACCTCTCGAGTACGAACCGCGCTTTCGTAACCCCGCCTAACCCCGCAACCCGTGTCGACGCCGTAACCCGGCAACTGCAAGGCACGAAGAGTCGTCTCAACGCAGTGGGTATAGTAAAGAACGCTACGACGAGGGATGAGGAGCTTCGCGCGCGCACTGCGGCGTACTGGACGCATGAGGGCCGGTTGATGCGCGAGGTTATGGAGGAGCGCGATGTGGTTGAGGGGGTTAATGATGCGTTGCAGAATCGTATTAATATCCAGGATATCACGCGTGATGCTGATGCGTATGTGTTGAATGTATTACCCCGGGTAGATCCCGCGGGGGCGCCAGAGACGATGGTGGGGTGAATGGTGGGATGGGATGGGGTTGGAGAGGATTGCTAGTATTTAGATAGAAATAGATGGCCAGAATCATATTTAATTAGATTCATATGTGAAGATGCTAGCTGGGGTGAAGTGAAATAGATCATGTATACGTGAATGTAATACTATAAGATATGCCAGTCTCTAAGTTTATCGGTTGATTCTAAGAGACATGGTTCAGCTACATCGAAGCACGACTCATTCTAAAGAAAGCAGACATAGTAGTATATGAAGGCATAACTAACGGGTGCTTGTTCAATATTATCCAAATGCGACCGTTTGAATGGCCTTCCTTGTCCTTCCTTCCCTCCTACCGACGACTTGGATATAAAGTCGTTTCCCCCCCCCCATACCCTACCGGTAACCGACAAACACCATGAGATGATTTATGCTTTGCGTCTCTTTATCACAATTGGTTATACTCGAAACAGAAATGAGTGCATTGCAATGTAATGCAGTTACATGGGTAGATCTAGATGAAGTCTTCACTACCTGAATTAATTAATTAGGTGTTCCTTTTGTTGTGCCTGCCGTACTCGACATGCTGCCCTTTCTTGATCCTCCTACCTGTGATGCTTCCTCTACACTCCTTTCTAAAAATCCGGCCCATAAATCCGCAAGAGATTCCTTGCTAGCCGATGATGAAGGTTCTGCAAAGAAATCCGCATTCAGAGACGGTGTGCTGGGTGTTCTATGGAATGGTGAACTCGGCAGCCGGAGACTGTTGTTGGATGTTCCCGGTCGAGCCAACCCGGCCTGCTCTCGCTGTTCGTCCGTCCAATTGAGAAGCCCGGCAATGATCTGGAGGATCTGGAATTTCTTGGGGTCGGATCGGTCAAGGGCGAGAAATTGAAGGAAGTGATTTGTAACAATTTGCCTATGGTAAGTTAGTAAATAAGCATATGACGTGCTATACGGGATGGAACATACCTATCGATACTATCCTCAGGCTTAGTTTTCTTGAGGTACCGCAGGGCTTTTGTTAAATGATCGTTGAGAACGATAGCTTCATGTCTTAATTTTCCAATAAGGAGATTCTTCTCTTTTACCTCTTTCTCGAAAGGCGCCGTCCGTTCCAACTCTTTTTGCAATGAGCCCTTAACCTTCTCCGCTTCAGTGGCTCTTGAATCTGCTTCTTGGACAAGCTTCTTGAGCGCCTGGAGCTGTTCTTCGGATGTCTCGACCATCTCTCGCAATTCCTTCTTGCGCGCCTCTTGGATCTCCTGTAGCGCTCTCTGAAGACTGTCGACAGCTTGCGATTGACTGTCTCGTTCTGTGGCGACTCGTTCGTAACTCTCTCTTAGTGTGCAAAGTTGTTCCTCGAGGGCAGCTGCTTTCTCAGTAAGGGATTCACGGATTGAACGTTCTTCCATTGCCAAGACTTCCCAATCGCCCATGGCGTCCTTAGCCGCCTCTGCTTCCTCTCTCAAATGTTGGATTTGCCGGGTCATATCCTCTTTCTCCTTTAGTGAGTTGTGCTGCGAGAGATTGTTGCGGCTCCGCAAGCTAGATAATTCCCTGGTGGCATCTTGTAATTCGACCTTTAACTTTTCCACTTCATCTTCGTATGTTTGTGCACCCCTTTGAAGCTCCTCGTTCTGGCCTTCTAATTCTTCGATACGTTGGTTCGCTTCTTCTAATTCTTCCTTTCCTCTTGCTAACCTGTTACCAACGTTTTCTTTAATCTTTTCGACTCTTTCCACGAGTGTTTGATATTGCTCCTCGACTTGTTCTTTTGCTGCTTCGGATTCCTCTAATTCTGATTTGAGTTGGGTCGTTTCTTGTGTATGTGTTTCTTGTATTGATTCGAGTTGCTTGCGTAGCTGCTCTACTTCTGTTTTTAGAGCTTCTCGCTCTTGTGTTATAGCTTCTAACCTAGCGCTTGTATCTGTGGAGTCGGTCGTTTCCTTTGTGCTCGGTTCTTGGACAGGGTGTCCATTCGTCGTTGGCGATGTGGTATGGCCGTTCGGGGGATCTTTTGGTGCACTCTGCAAATTAGTGAGCTTTATGTTGTGGGATACGTGGTTGGAATTAGTTGTATTCACCTCTGCTACGGTGGCATCTGGCTCGTCGGATTCGTTACCGTCCTCGTCAGGTCGCTCTCCATCCTGATTTGTTCCTAAGGCCTTAGCCCCGTCCTCTACCGGTTTTGACTTTGCGTTGTTCTTTTTCTTCTTATTATTCTTTTTCTTGGTAGCTGAAAAGCAGCGTGTTAGTTGATAGGGTCAATCTGCAAGACAATGACAAGAATGTTTAGCGACTAACGAGTATTTAACTGTTGCTGAGAAGGTTCGGTCGGACTCATTATGAAATCATTCGGGAGGCTTCAAAGCTTGAATTGGTGGCATCGATCGTGAGAGGTGGTTTTTTAAGAAAGTTGATTGAGAAATGATGCGCCGTTCTTGTTGCAGGACTGGAAATCACAATCCACAATCCGCTATCCGCTATCCACACGTAAGCCGTTGTGGTTTAATGAATTCCTATGTTGTACCTGTAGTACCTGTACATCTGCATATGTTATTTAAAGTAACGAATCAGATCGCCGTAGATTGATTGAATAAGGTACATATGTCCCCACACTGTAGGGTAAGTCCAGCGCTGTTACCTCTATCTGCGGCGGGGCCTATCCGCGAGCCTCTTGCCCTGCAGCTTCAAAAAACATACATCGGATGAAACTTTGCTCAAGGATTAAATCAATTTTAGATTCGACGTAACTGCCTAAGAAGTATATATAAGAAATTAAATAGACTTATTGCTCTCAGAATAGCAACATCTAATTAATAATGATTAAAAAGTTGTCATGAGTTCCGAACGAGATCTTGTACATATTCAAGTGGTAGATACGAGCTAGTTTCTAGCCTGTCTTCCATTGCAACACTCTGGGCATACCACCTTCAGAGTCTAGACCTTTTACACAAGATAAAACGGACCATCCATCCTCGTATCAGTCTAAACTTATCACATACGAGGTTAACTGTATAGATATCAAGATAGCCAAGAATTTCTAGTTTTATATCAGTTTGTTGGAGCTTTTGCTTGCATGGAAGGAATCTTTATAAACGTACTTAGGTACCCAACTACAGTGCCCCGCCAATGAAACTCACGGGCCAATCAGCTCATCCAATCATGTGATTGGTCAATAAATCATGGTAAAAGAAATCTAAAAATTCAAGCTTTCGCGATCTTTTTTTCTGCTCTACACATATTTTTCCATCTTCACTGGATCTTTTCAAAATCGAAGCTACCTAGGCTAATTTATGAAGCTTAAATGGTTGGTTCATTCATCCGGTTGAAGTAGAATGACAATTGCCCTTTATAATCCCATTGTCTGCTTGAATTATTCTACGAGTACAACGGGTTCGCTATGTGCAGACATAACGAATATTTACGTGAACTAATGCCTAGTAGAAGCAGGAAATAGTGGGCTTAAGCTAGCATCACTAACATTGCGCACGATTCATAAACTCGACGATCAAGTTAGGGGCCTCTTTGAATAGAGGAAGTATCGTCAATTGATTATAAACCATTAAAGAAACGCCTGAAACCCATTATGCAGCCGCCTTCTTCGCCTTTGATTTCCTCCCCTTTTTAGTGGTCTTGGTAGTATCTTGTTTGCTTGCCTTGGTAGGTACCTCGACGGCTGACTCCTTCGCTTCTTCTTCAGCTGCGGGGGCTTCGGGTGCCGCTTCAATAGCTTTCGGCGTCTCTTCAGCATACTCGAGCGCGGGAGCGTCTCTTGTCACTTCGTCAACAGACTTGATCTGGGGTGCTTCGAATTCGTACCCCATATCCGCCAATTTCTTTGCTCGTTCGTTGCGCTTCTTCTCTTCCTTCGTGATCTTCTGCGTCCACGTAGATTCCGACAACGGCTTCTTCAATTGATTACCAGCCATCTTGTTCCACGGCACCTTCTTGAAGCGTTTGTTCGAGCCCTTCCAGAGATCCTCGTGGACTTGCGACTTAGGAACAATCTTCACTTTCAGTACCCGACCAAATAGTAGATAGTTATCCATCGTCTTCGCGACGATCTCTGCCACTGGCGCCTCGGCGAACTCGATAAATGCGAAGTGTTTGCTCGCTCCTGTCTTCTTGTTCCTCGACATTCGCAATTTCTCAATTTTACCAAATTGGGAAAAGTAAGAGCGCATCTCGTGCTCGTAGAAACCGTCTATAATTGTCAGTGTTGGGGTTTATTTCCGGAGTGGGATTGGGTTGACTCACGAGGTAGGCGGCCGACGTAGACAACGCCACGCTCGTCATCTTCCGATTTGGAAGACTTCAATAGCTTCTTGGATGTTTGCGGGATTTCGCCTACATCCTGCCCTTCCTGAAATATGACATCGGCATCTACTACAGCCTCATCCTCATCGTCGCTGTCAATGATCTTTGCTAGAGCTTGAGCGTTGTCCTGCTCGTCATTGGGTGGTTGCGCATCTTCATCTTCCCCATTCGCTTCTTCCTCAACCTTCTCGCTCACTTTCTTGGATCGTGCGCTTTTGGTGGGCCTCGTCTCTGTCGATCGGTCGGCTTTCGCCTTTTTGGATCGGGTGTCGTCTTTTGTCGGCTTAGATTTCTTAGCTGCGACTGGGCTCGCATCCTCGGCCGCTATTGTAGCTATATTAGTTGGGAGATTAGAACAATGGCGCTGGTTATATCATACCTTTTCGCTTGGAAGCTGGAGCATCGACCTTGGCTTTTGAAGCAGGCTTCGCAGCCGGTATGGTAGCTTCTGTAATGATTGTTAATGCATGAAAACTCGGAATAAATATCGAATGCAGCATAATCTTACCCTTTGGTTTCCTTTTCCTAAGTTCTGGAGCCATTTTCAAGGTATTTTCTGATGTGTAATTAATGTGTGTTCCTTATTCCTTAACAACCTGGTCCAGATCAAGAACTTTTTTTTTTTCTTTTGCGCTGGGGATTCTGCCGTTCAGATTTTGGCGGTGAGAAAAGATAAACCCCACTAGTAGACACCCTCCCCAGGCTATAAATTGTGGGTACATTACCGCTAAAACCCAGCTTCGTCCAGTGCATACAAACGCTGAAGAACATTGAACTTCGGCATATTCAACGCGACTCAATATTCTAATTCTCACACCACGAAACTTAATTCCACGCCGCTTTCATTCTAGAAGCACGAGGCCCTATGCGATCCAGGTACTTAAGATTTCGATCCAGAACATAGGAGATTGTCTCTCTAAGGCGGATTGGAGGGGCTGGTCATGAACTAAGGACGTAACTACTGAAATCACAGCTGGCTAAGGTAGAGGTTGCCTACTACGATTAACCCGCCTGTGTACAGCTCAATATCCAAACTTTGCGATATTTTACCGACTACAACGACCACAAAAAGGATCCGAATAATTACCTGCCAATATGGGGCCCCCTTCTAAGGAACCTTTAACTCACAATGAGATTTGGGATGATTCAGCTCTCGTGGATTCATGGAACGATGCGCTAAGAGAATACGAGGTACGACCCTAACTATTAAGCCTCGATTCCCCAAATCTAAGAGTGGTCAACGCTCAATACTGACATTGTTTAGAAATACCACAGCATTCACAGGAACGGAGGTAATGTGGAAGATCTTCTGAAATCCAACCAGTGAGTTTACACATACCCTTCCCCAGCCCACTTCGTGTAGCTCCAGCCTCGTGGCCCATGTATATATATATATATATATATATATGCTTACACGAAGATCATTTAAGGACGTCTTCGGACGCCAAGAATGGGACTGAAGAAGGCCGCAATAGCCGTAGCCCTCGTCCTCCCAAAACAGAATCCGAAATGAGAGGAGATGCTGATGTAAGTAATAATCCCGACTCTCTGCCAAAGCTTTACCCTTGAGGTAAATCCCGGAAGATCAAGAAAGCTTGGCACAGATCTCCCAAGATTCTAACGAAACACAGAATGGAAGACAAGAGGACGGAACGTCAACTTCCCAGCATAGCCATCCGCTTGGTGGAGGTCCCGGTCCTGAAGGGCTGCTAGGTTCAGGTGAGTTTCCAGCCCAGCCCCAGTCCCAGTCCCGTCAAGGGTCAGAAGAGAGTTGTCTTATTCTATGGATTTGAGTGAGTTGCGGGAAGCGGTTTGCTAATAGCTATCATAGTGCGCGATGAGGGGCTCAAGAGACTACTGATGTCTTGGTACTACGCAGGTTACTACACCGGCTTCTACGAAGGCCAACGAGCTTCTCCCCAACAACGAAATTCGGAATCATGATAAAGATGAAATGAAGGAATTTAGAGTTATCGCAAGTCCATCCTAAATCTAACCGAAAACGTGATGGGATTCTTGATGGGATCGACTTGACAGGCAAGGATCTGTAACGTCAGATGTTACAAGCCATTGTGACAATGACAACGTCTCCCAGCTTACTCTGCTAGTGTGCGACGGGACGTGCGTCAGTTTCCAGCTTTTAGGAAGAGTACAGCAGAAAGCTGCCAATTACAAAATATCAATTAAAGATGCAAGGCGAAAAAAGCAAGTCAAGGCTACCTTTACGCATGAAGATCATGAACTGATTTCTTTCACGTTTTAGGTTGTGATTACCAGCCCAGCAGCCTAGCCATGGCAGATATGTTTCTACTACGTCGAGAGGAAACAAAGTTTACAATCCCATTAACGCCTCCTTATTCCGATGACTTTTGTAGGTGAAGATGATCTCAAGCCAAGAATTCGACCTTGGCAATAATATTGTACCACAAAACTCATCATATACGAGGTAGTAGTCAAACTAATGAGTGCATACTAACTTGTAATCTAAAAGCGCGTATCTCTTTATTCTGCATTTTACATAGTACCTAGTGGCTTCAACTTGATAAGAATATATGGCGAAGTCCAGACCCAAATCAGATATCACCGAGAGGCCGCCGGCGTCAACTTAGAAACTCACTTAATACCAATATATAGCAGCTGGAAGAGCCGGAAAGATACCTCAGGATGAGACTAATCGAGAAGCAGCACATGGTGCGGAGGACTAAGAAAGTCAGGGGTGCCCTTTCAACTAAAAGACATGCAATTCGCAAGTCTAGTTCAGATTAGGTCAGGCTTGAAGATTTCTCTAACTTTTGGGTAAGGGTCGAGACTGGGGAGTGGAGACTACGATTAAGTTGACCCTTAACGCAGGAACAGAAATCTCATCCGTCCTAGGAGTTCAGATGGTAGCGACAAGGATCCCGCAACGGTAATTCTACTTTGCAGAAACATGCACGTTTCTTGCCAAGCACCTCTCCCTATATACACATGTAGTAATCATTAAAAGGTTACTTACATAGGTATGTGTTAGTTATTAAAGGATGGCGAAGAAGAGTAACTCCGGCTCCGGAATACCTAACATTGATAAAACATGGTTCTCTTTTGAAAATTCGGTATAGGTGCCAAGCACACTGATCGCAATTCGTATGTACCTTGAAGGGGTTCCATTGACAGCGCTTAGTCTAACTAAAGAGGCTCTAGGCGTATAGTAATAAGTGGTATTTTATAGGTGGGTTAGTTAACAAAACTCAATTGGGGGCAATAGCTCTTTTAATTCTTAATAGGATATGATCATTTAGACTTCACCTTGATCATATTAAGTATGTACATCACAACTCTTTTTCATTAACTCTTACTATACATATCTATAAATGACAATATTCAGACTTTTTCCCTTTTACTACAGTAACATCGAAAAGGAATTGACGTCTGCACAATAACCATTGATGTAGAAGTATCATGGGGGTTTTGAGCTATGACCGCATCCCCCTGGTCTATAAGACGTTTAAGCGAAGGGTCAAAACACCACCCGAGACAATTCTGTCACATCGACCTCCTACCCCAAGCCCATGCAAAAATCTTTGAGCCGCCCAACCCGTGCTACCCAAGAATTCGCCCTATTCCTCACTCGACTATGTACCCCGTCGTGATGAAGAATTAAGTGGCATACTTCCGGTTTACCGTCCGTCTCCAGTCATGGAATCGGCTACCCTTGACCCCGGTAGGAATCCCCAGCTGCGTCCTGCACGGAAGATTTCCCAGTCCTGTTTCGAGAGCAACTCCTGGTCAAGGAGCGTAATATCCTTTCAGGGTTCGCCTCTAGGCCTAACCGGCGGCGGGTTCATAGATCGCCATGGGCTCGATTTAAGTGACGAGGTCCCCCTTCTGGGGCCGAACGTGGGTTGTTTCTCTTTCTCACTCCCTTCTTCAGACGACTTGTCCTGTGTATACGCTCTTTTTCCTTCATTCTCTCCCGGTGCCTTCGTGTGCTGTACGTCTTCGTTCTCTTAATTACGAGCAGGCCCTCGCCTTTTTGAAAAGCTTCTATATTGCCAGGTTCCGTTACGGTCATTCAGGAATACCTTTAACGACTCTTTCCACGGTAAAGAGGATATCAATCTTACGTTTAATTCCCCAATTAAAACCAAAAAATCGCAATCATGAAGTACGCTGCAGCGCTCTCGCTAGCCGTTGCGCCTCTGGCCATCGCTAAGGCAGTTCACAATGTCTACCCGCAACACAAGAGAACTAGCCACCTGCAAAAGGGTGAAGGTGCTATTGAAGGTATTGGTGGCAGCATCGGTCAATTAGTACAAGGAGTTTCGCTCGGAAGCGCCACGCAAGTTATCGTGATCTGGGCGAACCCTGGTAACAACGCTGCGACGACAACATTGCACGAGCAGACCACGGTAACGCAGACCGTCACTGAAGGTGCTGCTGCCGCAACTAGCGCTGCCGCAGGGGCCGCAGCCACTCACACAGTCACCGTCGGTGGTGCCGCTGGTCTAGTCTTCACCCCCGACCAAATAACAGCCAACGTTGGTGACATGGTCATCTTCGAATTCATGAGCGCCAACCACACCGCTACTCAATCCACTTTCGGTACACCCTGCAAGATCATGGAGGGCGGTATGGACTCCGGTTTCCAGCCGAACCCCAACAACACCGTCAGCCCCCCTCCCAAGGTTGCCATGCAAGTCATGACCACCGACCCCCTATGTAAGTCAATAAAATTTAAACCCTACTTGTCTACATCCCAACTAACAGATAACAGGGTTCTACTGCCGTCAAATGGGTCACTGTGGAAAGGGTATGACCTTCTCCATCAACCCCACTGCTGAGAAGACCCAGGCTATGTTCCAAGCCATGGCTATCCAACAGAACGGCCAAGGAGCCGGCAGCGCCATCACTGGTAACGCTACTGAGACCAGTGCTTCGTCTGCCGTTGCTGCTGCGCCCGCCGCCACATCCGGCATCAACATGGGAAGCGGTTCCGTCGAGAACGGTGCTTGTGTCTGCGCTGTCACTTGCGCCTCTGGCAGCTTCCCGGCCGTGGCAGCCCAGGGCATCGGCGCCTTCGGTGGCATTGCAGGTTTGTGATAGGCCTCGTGTATTATAGAATATCAAACACAATCTAACCTGTAGATAGGAGCTCTTCCCGCAAGCATGATGGAGGCCATCTAAGTTAATTCTCAGAGGAAAGCGGCGTCCGGTTGGGAATCATGAAAGGTTGTGATACCAGGGATATCGTATAATTGTGCAGCTGCTATTGCAGTTCGCGAAGAAAACGAGATGTTCCGAAATTTTCTTGGGGGGTTTAAACACCTGAATGACTTGTAGACTTTTTTTTTTTTTATTACCTGGCATAGGAGGTTTTTTTTATACATATGACTGGATCGTATATTATAGGTGCACTTAATAGGTCATCAATGAAGTAAAATACCATTTGTCGTCTGCAATACTGAATCGTGATGTTTGTCTTGTTAACATGACTACGGTATAGGATCTATCGCTTGGATAAGAGAATAGATGATACGCTACACGGCTGTTATCGGAGAAAGTCACGCTTCAGATCAATAATGATTGTATTCGTCAAGGGACGAAAGTGGGAAAGAAAGTCTAGACGCCATCACACGCCTAAAACTAGTATGTCCTGCCGAAGAAATATCGTCCTACTTCGTCATATCGTGAAAAGCATCCTTCCCGCCTTATCTATGGTGTATGAAAAAAAAAACTCCCTTTTCGCCATGCTCAAGTCACCACGGTTACTTTCCACCGGAAGCCTTCTTCGCATCGGCTAGAATAGAAGATCAGTAATCGACAAACTTCCAATATTAACATTGTCCTTACCAGCGGCTTGCTTCTTGCGCATCATCTCGGCGACGGCCTCCTTGTCGCGCTGCATCTCGGAACCGCTCTTGCTGCTCTTCGATTTCTGTAGAAAATATGATTAGTCTATCGTTACTCTCCTCCGAGCAACCCGACGGCATCGGCATCCTTATATTTGGGCATTATGGTTTGTGTCGGATTCCATATTAAGATCATCCATCTCTTAAAACATATTCCTTTGTTCCCGACATCATGACAGTATATAGTAATAGATATTGACCGGCCGATCGGAAGGGACTGCGAGGGCTCGGAAGTATATGGGTAGAGGAATGTAAGCAGGCGGAAGAACTCACCTGTGCAGCTTGCTGCTTGAGGTTCTTCTCACGCGCCTTTTCACGCTGGTTACCGCGGGCCATTTTTGCTGAGGATGTGGAGAGATAGAAGTAATCTGGGTAAGGATGGCGAAATCGGCGCTTAATAAAACGTGGATGGAAGACTCGTTTGTCTTGTCTCGGTGGTCTGGTAAGGATAGGTTGAGGGACGAAGATCAGAGGAATTTAAGGCTAGGTTTATGAATGCTAACCGCCAGTTGCTTAAAATAAAGAAACGGTGTCGGAAGCGCAGAAGTTTAGGGGAGTGGGTTCCCACTTAGAGCCGCGCTGGTAGCCTGTCAGTTGGTCGGTGCGGGCGGCCTTACCTGTCGCATTAATCCTCTATGGTACCTGCAATAGTGCGATGGTTGCGCTAGAGAATAGGCGCAAAGTTTTGACCGCGTGACTCCTGAGCCAATCATATCCATTTATCTCACAGTCACCTTCTGGATCATTCTTTACTCATTAGAATGAATCGGCGGTAGAACCCCCCAGCTTGTCAGATTCTCCACGCCGCCCACGATGCAAGCGGTCGTTCGCACATCGCCGATTCAATCAAATCCAAAATTCCCTAAGATAAAACGAAATCAATCTATGAAAACTACCTTCGATTCAATTTAATTTTCTCAATTATCAGCGGATTCAATAGATGAACAATATCAATGTCTGAACTTATGTACCTACAAAAACCCATAAGTACGAATGGCCTTCAAGTGATGTACTGAAAATATCCGGGACGATTTTTGGATGGCCTTCAAAGAAGCCAAGAATTCCACAACGCCTTGAAGCGAATACAATCGTCAAAGGATTCTTCGACCATGAACAGCTCAGCAACGCCGGACGCAATGATTGAATTTGCCTTTCGACCTGCTTGATTAAGACGCAATTTAAAGATATCTATCCCAGGTGTTTCCGTACCATTTAAACAGATCTTGGTGGAGTTGGGCCAATAGAAACGATGTTAACATGAAACAAAGTCTGTTCATTCACAGCCAATGAAACCTTTGCAACAACCCAATTCTCTATATGCATTCGCTCAACGAGAGACAGGATATTCCCAAATTATTGGATGGGATGGTGTACCGCTGCAGGTCGATCTCACGCTTCCCCTAGTTGCCGGTTTCCTAAGATGATAGTACGTGGATCGTTCAGAGTTGTGATTCGTGTCGATTCGCCAAGGGAGATGCTGGTCTAAACTGACAAAGGAAGGGATTCATCCACTCTATGCATCGTGGAGTATGCAAGAAATAGTATTCAGATCAATTTCCACCTTAACTCCTTGCTGCTTGTAATCCATACCCTTGAGAATCGAACTTAACCGGCTCCTACCTGGTTCACGCGTGCGCGTCTACCAATAGCTTCAACCGCTAGACACTCCCTGACGGAACACCTCGGGCTTCAATAGAGCATGATAGCACTTAAGCCCAACTAAATTCATTGGTCAGAGCAATCTTCCCTGACGCGAAACATGGAACAAGCGCCCCGATGAATTGTTACATTCTATGACTTTGTAATTGTCCGTAAATTCATTGTGCGGTCCTTGAAACCCTTCTTTGAGTAAAGCTTCTTTTTCTTCCACCATATTAAAAGATCGTGAGCTGCTGGTCCACACATTCTCTCCTTGTTCACGATTTTTACACCATAAGGATTTTATTGTCCTCGACGGACGTACATAATACCAATATTTTCATATTCATCCATTGTTTGTATTGTTATAAATCTTCACGCCACAAGGTCGACAATTTACGTTCCCTCTTACCTTTTCCTTGGTTTTTTTCCTTCAACTTCTTTTCTCGGCCACACAACTTACCACCACATTCATTCGACCGAAAATTCTCAGATCTGCCAGCCAGATCCCGTCGTACCAAAGAAAGAAAATTCGCATTCGTAGCAACTGCTGGCAGTTTCAACAGTTGGTCTCCCATTTTTTTAATATACGAACGATGCTTCCAAAACATCGTAACGCTAACGCTTACACACCTAGAGACACAAAACTAGGTATCGCCAGGGCATTAAATATGTTGGGCGTCAAGTCTCAATCCGGCTTCCAAGGCTCCGCCTTCATTATCCTCCAGGTTATCCGTTGTTGCAATATCGCCGTCCTACTGGCCATTATTTTCGTCTCCGGGGTTATGATGTACTTCGCCAAGATGCCCAACGGCTTCCAGTTCTTCAACGACGTCTCCCTTGCCTTTGTGATCGGCATCTCCGGCCTCCTACTCTGGACGGAACTACCGATTGAATTCGGCAAAGAAATGATCGGACGTAACTGGCCAGTCATCAGCGAAGCGCGTGGTTTCACCTGGCTCGGTATTTCGATGATTCTCATGGGCTCCCATCACCTCGGCGCACTCAGCAATGATACTTATAACAACAAGGACGTCCCCTTCCAGGTCTGGCAGGCTATCTTAGGAACCGGCATCATCTCCATCGCCTTCGGTGTTACCAACATCATCTCCTCTCTCATTTTCAGCAACAAGAAGGACGGTGTTCACGCTCGCGAGGTCCGCAACAAAGGCGCAACCACCCAAGATGTCATCTTCCATGAGGAGTACGAAAGCTACCGAAGCAACTCTATCCGCAAGGAAAAGCCTAAGACTAGGAGCTTCTTCTTCGGCAAGGGCGACGCCAAGCCTAAGATTAGCCATCCGATTGCTGTCCACGATATCGAGCACGGACACGGTGACGAACTCCCGATGGTCGATGATCGCAGCAGTCCTATCATCCCCGACGTCAAGCGCCCTCCGACTGCGCTACACCCTGCCTACAACGCCGGATCGAGATCAAGCCGATACAGCGAGGCGAGCCATCTTGATCGCTTTGACAATAGGATATAGTCAATTAGCACAAGAGGGTTGGCCAAAAATAATTGTAGCATTACGACATGGTGTTCATGAAGGAAAGGAAAGGCGTTTAGGCATTATTTTGATTTCGGATATACCCTGATTCTGGTCCACGGACCTTTGGTCTGGCTTCTTACATACCATAGCGTTCATTAGCATCCCATCATAATTAGGAAAGTGATAATAATATTATTGAAAGTTCATCGAATTCTTTAATTTGTTTTCCATGACAGCGTGATACGTATGGCCCGTATTTAATTCCTGCTAAATTGTGATTGAAAAAAAAAAACGATGATCAGGTGAAAAATGATGCATCTGTATTTGTGACTAGAGACAGGTACCTACTGTACCTAGGCAGGTATCTTATCACCACATGGCTTAAGCCACCAAAGTTGTGAAGCCTTAGTTGGTAGGCGCACGTGACTGGTTAAGTGACACAAATGTACACTATGTGGGTCTCTAGGCGGCGTGTAACTTCCCGAAGTACTTCCTTGTACCTAACTTTATCCATTGTCCGACTTCCTGGATTTCATCGGCCAAAGCTTCCGTTTAACAATCAACTTTCTCTCGCGACCTTCTACAACTTTATTTCCATCTACAACAACAACAACAACAAAAATCCCTTTCTCCTTCCCTTCTTTTCAATAACAGTTCTTTGCTTCTTGCGCGACCAAACGCTGATATTTCTTGCGACGATTTTTCTCGACAACCCTTTCAATACTTCGCCTCTGAAGGCCTTCATAGGATTTCAGCTTTGATCCACACTCGGTTTCCTCTGCTCCGACGCGACGACCTCAATCGCCTCTCGACGCGCCTCATCGACAGTCCCATTCATCAAATTGACCGGTTATACAGAAAATTCAGTAGTACTTGGAAGCGTAAGAGAGAACACGCGGATTGGGCCTAGGGCCTTTCGGCGTAGTGGGGTTCTAGTGAAGGCAATGCTTGAGCACTCTTGATCTCTTCAATACCTACTGCCAGACAGGCTCAAGGCCGTGCTCTAGCAATTTGGTAGAGTCCGGTCAGAGAGTCAATCATCCAATATTAAATTCTCGTACCTTTTGTATTGGTGAGAAGATTGCATAAGGGGCGTTTGCCTTTGTGACATACACTTTCAGTACTGTGCACGCGCCAGAGGAAAGCGGCAAAATTACAGCTGCTGACTCTTCTCTACACGTTGCAAATTACTTCTCATTAGCCCCCTCTTTCATCAAATCAATTCCCTTGTGTTCGCGCCCATTTAGCAACCATGTCCAACGAATCCGAGTCGGAGGCGGTAGCCTCGGCCTTCAGAGAAGCAGTGGAGGATCTTCATGGGTTTGCTAGGAATGAAATTAATACCTTAACTATAATCGCAAGAGAGAATACCGAACATGCACACGCAATCTCTGGAGCTCTTCAAGAGCACATAAAACGAGTAGGTTAAAATTCTTCTTTGCCGACTACGTGATAGTCAGATTTCCTTTTGTCTAGTCCGCGTGTCGATCTGTTGCTGGTTGAAAAGTGAACCCATAGAGCCCGTACTAATATACTCCTTTTAGGTTGTACCTCCTAAAAAACTGGCTTCTCTATACCTCCTCGATTCCATCGTCAAGAATGTAGGAACTCCCTACACCCTCTACTTCGGTAGAAAGCTGTACCAGACCTTCATGGAGGCTTATGCCTCGGTCGATATGGGAACCCGACGGAAGATGGACGAGATGCTGAGGACATGGAAGGAGCCTGTTCCGGGATCTCTCGATACCAGGCCGGTATTCCCCCCGGACGTTACGCGTCCCATTGAGAACGCTCTCATCAAAGCAAGAACATCGACATTACAAGCACAACGCGAGCATGCTCGAGGCCAACAACAATTACTTGGCCGTGGAAGGCCGTCGAGCCAGGGAGTGCCTTTCCGCGATACCCCGACGCCTCCAAGTGCTCACTTACCTCCTCAGGCCAACGGTTATCATTCTCAGACTCCCACGCCGACTACAAACGGCTCATCCTATAGCAACCCAGCCCAGTCAATGCCAGCTAGCTACCCGATGCATTTAGTAAGTATATAATTTTATCTTTATTAGAATTATCACTAATATCCTGTTTAGAGCCAGCAACTTCCGTCTAGATCTACGCCACAACCTATGCCAACAACAATGGCCTTTCAACCCCCCCAATTAGGAGGTTATGGCGCACCGCAGGCTGGAATCAGCACAGATGCTTTAAAAGATGACATCCAAAAACTAATTGCGGCCTCCCAGGCCCAGTCCGCACACAATCCGCATGATCCTAGTATACAGACAAGGCTGAAGGCGTTGGTGGATTTACAAAACATACTTCAGACCCAGAACCTGCCACAGGATCAGTTAGTGCTTGTTAAGAATCGAATTGCTGATCTTGCCGTGACTATAAGAGCACCCCCTGCCCAAAATTCTACCCCTATACCCACATCACAACCTGTAGCAGTAGCCCCTCCGCCGGCACCAGCTCCGGCTCCAGCTCCAGCCTCGAAGATTTCTCTAGACTCCTTGCTTGGTGCCGGTGCGTTAGCTGCTATAATGGCACGGAATTCTACCACACCAAAGGCATCTACACCCTATCCTCCTCCCGCAGCAGCTCCTGTTCCTACACCCCCACCTCAACGAGTTGAGCCTCAAAAGCCGGCCGTGACACAACCAGTACCAACCCCCGCATCAGATCCTTTAGCACTTATGAATATGCTAAGGCAAGCCGGTTTACTTCCGGCCACAACACCGGCTAGTAGTTCAGCAGCAATTCCTCCTAAGCCTACACCTTCACTACCTTTTCCTATGCCTTTTAACATTCCGAGTGCACTTATGGGCAACCAACCCCCTCGTCCTCCCACTCTTGAAGCTCTGACGAGTGATATTATCCTGAGGCCTGCGTCTCTAAAACAGTACGTCTCTTTGATATAGTTACATTTAAATTCGTACTAACGGGCTTGTAGATTCCGCCCTCATCTCTTACCTTTACTTTTCGACGCACTTGGACCTCAATGCACGCAATGTGGACGGCGGTTCCCTAAGGATGAGGAGGGTAAGAAGAAAAAGACTGCGCACATGGATTGGCATTTCCGGGTGAACCAGCGCATTGCCGATGCTGAGAAGCGAGGTCAACACCGGAGTTGGTTGGTTGACGAAGTTGTGAGTATTCCTAGTAAATCTGATTATATTTGAAGAGTACATATACTAACATGAGTAGGACTGGATCAAAACCCGGGAAACTGTCGACACGGATCATATCGCTCCATCTAGCGATTCGAACGCAGCCTCGGGCGGCTCAGCACCCAAAGCGCCACAACTACAATACATTCCCGTTCCCGATGATCCCGAGTCGGCAAATAGTATCTGCAGTATTTGCCAAGAGAAGTTTGAGATGAGATGGTTAGATGACGCCCAGGAGTTCGTCTGGCCGGACGCCATGAGAGTCGGCGAGAAGATATATCACGCTAGTTGTTACAAGGAGGCATTTAAGGACGGTGGAAACACACCGCCGATTTACACGAGAGGTACACCCGAGCCGACTACAGGAAAGCGAAAGGCCGAGGTGAGTTTTCGCATTCCTATCTACTTGTACTTATTATGGAAATTCCGTTACTAATACATCACAAGCAGGATGAACTGACCTCTGCGCAACGAAGCAAGATGAAGGTGGAGAGTACATAGGATGCACACTCTAGTTCTCCGGTCTGTTCCAGCTTTGGACGAACTGGTCCTATCCGCTCACCGTGTACCATTAAGGCTAGCCTCGACAGCCCGGTACGCGCGGGACGTTACGAGCCGATGTACTCGAGTCCCCTGAGAAACTCCTTCAGAGAGTGAGAGGGAGCGAACCGACTACACAGACGCCTGAAGCGTTATTGTTTTTGTCTAGGTGCCGTGTAACTCCACTCGGCATATTGCGTTAAACCATTGGCTATGGCTGCATAGAGCAGCAACAGTAAACGGCCAATGAGATACCTGCCTAGGTACTTGGGTACTTAGATGACTTGTCTCCTAGGAGAGGTTGGGGAGGGTGGGAGGAGACATCCAGCGATTGGCAGAGGTACTTGCATTAAAGAAATATAAATATTGATTAAAATGATTCTGTGGCTTTTGCTAAGTGATCGTCATCTCAGGACTTTTATTTCCATGTTTTGTTAGTATGACATGCTGTTAGGAGTGGGTCACCGTATGGATATCGTAGAAATTACTGCTTCGAATATCTCGCCTTTAATTAGATGCCGAGATCACAACCGTTGCATCTTTTTAATGTTCGACATAATTGAGACAAACTAAATATAACTTGGGAACTCAGAAACTATGCTAGGCAAGCTTATCAGCATTGGCGGGCCGCGTGTCAGGGCGGCGATCCGGTTTTTGTGCTACCAAGGACTCGGTCCCGAGATCGTCAGCCATCTTTCAGCCACATGTCTCTAAAGGGACGGTTACTGTCTCGGCCGAGCTGGGATCCTTGCGTCTGTGCCGTCCTTACATATGCGTGCCGTGGTAGAGATGTACGTGCGTGGGTGCCCCTTCGATCCTCTGCAGCGGCAAATTTGCCGCTCGTTCTCGGGAATTGGAATTGGGATTTGCTGCTGAACTTCTTTGGAATGCAGCGTGAATCCGACGTGCCTTATGGATGATTGGATCGACAAATGAATTTATGTGCTGCGCCGTCTGGCATCTTCGGCGCATTTGTCAGTTGAGACCGATGCTGAGGTTTGGTTTCTGTGTAGTTAATGCTTGGCATTTCGTATTTTTGAGGGTTGGCATCTTAAAGCACTGCACTTTTATCTTGATCTTATCAATTCGGAACTCCGAAGGGGATGCTCAACGCCACGATATGACGCTATCCCGATGGTACGCGTCATAAGCCGCAACACGCAGCCGGCGTTTGAAGGAACATCTAGATGGTGGATTTACGCCTCTCGGGAATAACCGATAATACTGCTATAGAAAATAAGGTCTTCTATAACCAGGAGATTGGGGAATGCGGAAATAGGAAAACAATTATCTCCAGTTTTCCGAGAGGCACGGCACTCTGCTATAGGCAAATGGGTGGAGACGCCTGCGTGGATGGTGTCATCAAGGAAGCGGCAACGTGGAAAATGAATCGTTGGAAGAGCTAAGAAAACCGAGTATTTGGCCTAGGACGTTTGATGATAGGTCAATGGCGACTTTTATACGTATGTCTTGAATTTTAACCTCGTATTGGTATAAGATAGCTTTTTGCCTGTCGTCAATCAAGCTTATGCTAGCTTAGGTAGGTAGTTGATCACACAATTCTTAGGTATATGAGAGACATATAGCTTAAGTTACGATGAATACTGTCCAACCTATACGCCACTCTGTAAATACCTACTTATATACTCTGAGATGGGTTGGAGTATATAAAGGGTACTCTCTTTACCATTGGATTTAAGTATCTCATCAGATGAGATCCACACCCCCCCCTTAACCATTTCTACTTCATACCAACACTGCCTATTGCAATCCTATGTAGTCATTGCGTGTGAGTAAGTGGACGTTTCATATAATTACTTACCTACTAGGTATCTTATCCTACTCCATGCTAATTATGGAAGCTTTATTTACTTTATTATCTACTAGTTACGCGTCACATCCTTCTTCTATCTTGTTCTCATAAATGATAGGTTACTTGGCTAGGGGGTTGACCGCAAAGTGGTGATTATGCATAAATATACCTGCTTTTCGGTGGGCTTCATCGGGATTTGTAGGCTCAAATCGAAACTTCTAGAAGCCCGATATTACCTTCTACTTAAGTTATAGAACCGAAATAATCTCGAGTTGGACAATTATAACAATGTCAAGCCAAGAAAAAGACAAAAAAGGTCTGTCATATCTATCCATCTCGCCGACGATTTATACTAATTCAACTTCAGCGTGTTACAACTGTATAATGCGGCACATTGCCTGTGATAAAACTGGCGTTCGTTGCAATAGATGTGCCAAGGGGAATTTAGAATGTCCTAGTTATGGTATAAGATATCGATTCGCAAATGAAGAGACAAAACCACAACCGGCTTCGTTCCCGGGTGTAAAGCATATTAGGTCAAGGCGCCGAAAAAGAAGCTATAAGTGGATTAAATATTGGACGGAATTGGCAACGCCAGAACCACAAATGTCGCCGGCATCGTCGACAGTGAGCCACTCACCGTCACCGTCCAGCAATTCTTTACCCTCGCCAAGCTCGCTACCAGGTATAATATCAGACATAGACCCTAGAACACGCCTGTGTTTTCTACATTGTAATTATATCCGCCCCTTTTCTAGCAAGCTATGAAATGCTGATGATGAAAGTTGCTGAAAATGTTGCTCCCTTTTTGGTAATGTTCGATGGCAAGACGAATGGTTACCGACACCATATATTACCTATGGCCTATAGCGAGCCTCTCGTTGAGAAAGCTGTCTGCGTTGTGTCAGCTTCTCACATTTCGGCAAAACAACGACGTCTTTGTAACCCCGCCGAGATTATAAGGGGTGGCCTGATCCGGAGGTTGTTTGAAACTTCAAGGTCGGAACCTGATTTGAGCGAGACTACTTGGGCAACGCTTGTTCTGCTAGTTGCGTCAGATATAATCAGTGGTCGCGATGATGTTTTAGTTATATATGAACTCCTGACTACATTCATAAAAGCCCGAGGACCCCTTGAGGAACCCATGTCCCCATTACAGAGATTTTTACATTTCCAGTCCTCCATGTGAGTGTACACCCAATATGTCTTACATCTAATCAATTGTGACATCTACATTCTGACCGACTTTACGCGTAATAGTCTAGGCTTCTTTATACAACCTTTCTCACATTTAGAGTCTCATTATAACAACCACAGCCCAATACCAATACTTGAAGATTATTATCGATATGACCCCTGTTTGCATAGGATCAACTCACATTACGAATGCACCGATTACGAAACATGGTTTCCCATCTACGAAGAACTTTTTCGCCTGGCGGGTGAAATTTGCGTGGCAAGAGAGGGGTCGGCGGTTTTACCAACTACTTTGGTCGATCATATACGGGACTGTGTTACGCAAATTAAACTTGCCTCTGAGAACATTGAGGAGAACACCCCAGGGTTCCATGCGATTGTCTGGCCTGTCTTTGTGGCCGCAGCAGAGAGTTTCTCGGACAGTAATCGCCGGTATTTCACCACAGTATTAAAACAGTTATGGGAAAGAACTAGCCATGTGAACATACTACGCGGACTCGAGGTTCTCCCCGATATATGGGCTCAGAGGGGCAAGAGGAGTTGGATTTCTATGATTTTAGACTATAAGGGGCTTGTTATATGTTGAGTACCTGGGTAATTATATCTTTTCTATTCGCATTGAACTACTTCCTCGGTTTCTAGATTAATGTCTTTTTGCTCAGCCACACCCCCTGCGCCATTTTTCTCGGGTTTTTCCATGTCATCTTTGAGTCCATATCGCGTATCCAATTCCTGTCTCAATGGTATATCTCGCTCTAATAAAACCAGCAGAGTCGCAAGACCAGCGAAAGCTATACCTATCAAGAACACTCGTTTTAGCCCTTCTCGATACACGGCACGAACTTCTGCCTGTACAGATGGAGAAAAGCTTGTTACAAAAGCGGCGGATGCTTGCTGATATGCGCCACCACCAGATAGTAACCGACGCGCGTCACTGTCGGATATGGTATTCAAAATCTGATCAATACGATTGTTAAAGATAGCGGCTGGGATAGCAACACCTCAAATGCTTCCGAATGCGCGGACGAAGCTCCATGCAGCAGTGGCAGCAGCCTGGTCAATCTCGGCCACGGGTGCTTGAAAAGCAGGCAATAGAGTATCAATGACAATACCAATACCGAGAGCGCCGATAGACTGGAAAACAGCCCACACAGCTATAGATGTATTCTCATCCATTGTTGAAAGCAATCCCATACCAAGCGTTGTGATTGCGAAGCCCGCGAAATGCAGGGGCGTAAACTTTCCCCAAATACTGAGCGCGATGGCAGCAACAGCAGCGCCAGACACTCCGAAAAGGGACATTGGTAGTAGGGAGTAACCGGTACGGAATGGCGTATATAGAGCCGCGGCCTGGAAATAGACAGGGAGAAAATATAAAAACCAGAAGTACATTGTTGAATTTAAAAAGGTGTTGATGATGACGATCACAGATGTACGATGCGCAAACAGATGCACCGGCATCACTGGTTCGACCGGCAGGCCGCTGATCTCGAAGGCTATGAATAGTAATAGACCGAGAAAGCCGAGAAACAAGGGCACTAACGTATGCCATGACGACCACGCATAGACGGTTCCGGCATATGTAAGCGAGTAAAGAATCGCTACCGTGCCTGCCATAAGTATGCCATTACCTATAAAGTCAATACGCTTGATTTTCTGAATGAGAGACGTCTCCTGGTCATATTCGACGTAAAGGAACAGGAACATTATTAGAAGCGATACTCCGCCAACCGGCAGGTTGATCCAAAAGACCCAGCGCCATGTCGTCGTATTAACTATAGCACCGCCGATTGTAGGGCCGGTTGAGATTCCGAGTGAAAAAATGGCAAGAACCACGGCCGTATATTTCCCTCGTTCGCGTAGTGGGACCAAGTCCGAAACTATAACGTCTAGTAGTAGAAAGAAGTGTAAGCTATTCAGCAGGTTGCTTGTAAGGTTTCACACAGGGGACGCCACTTACTATTCATTAAGACGATCCCTCCAGATCCTATACCTTGCACGGCCCGGCCCGCGATTAACATGCCCCCAGTCCTTGCTCGGCCACATATGCCGCTGCCAAGGGTGAATGTGGCTACGATAGCAATATAAATCCATCGTCGACCAAAAATGTCGCATAGCTGACCGAAGAGAGGTTGAAATGCGGCACTACGCTGTTTGTTAGTTTCCAGATTCCCTAGGTAGCTCACTTAACGAATAATAACAAACCTGCAGATTAAAAAAGCGTTTGTTATCCATACGAAATCTTCCCGTAGTTGAAGGTCCGTTAAAATTACGGGTGCCGAAGTTATGACCACGGTGTGCTCCAATGCAGCTAGAAGGGCCGTGACGCCGAGACCAATAATAACAATCCAGAAGCGAAATCCGCGTTTCAAGTCTTGAGGGACACCGTCAATAGGCCTGGATGTACTGCCTGTTCTTTCCGTTGATAATGCATCCGCCATCTTGTCCGTTTGAACTAGTTTGAATTTCCGACCTAAGCGGAAAATCGCGTATCCTCTACCTATGAGGCAAGTGGCCTATTTGTTTGATATGCGTTATCGTAAATCGCACCTCTTATTTCACCAGATATCCATTACTGTTACACGAGGATTAGTGCCAAGACTATGTTAGTTGTGATGTGTATTGAGTTGGTGGTTTGGATAACTTATATAAAACTCATTGTAGGACTATAAGGTCATGAGTTATGCAAGCGTACCAACATGAGGTTGGTAAGGAGAGACAGGTGTGAGTAAGTCGGTGGGGTCTCGTTCTAAGGGATGGCTTTAGGACCCAAGAGAATTATTAGATAAATATTGTTCTAAGATCTACCAAAACTTTGCCAGAAGTAATTACCTAGGTATGTAGTATTTATTATCTTGTTATAAATCTATTCGGAACCTAGAAACTACCGCCCGGACCGCTCCCTTAATACGAGTGGTTTGATTGACATGTTGGCCGAAAGAATATCTAGGTTACTAGGATACCTTTTTCTCACCGCACATCTGTGGCGTCAGAATTCCAAAGTTACCCCTTAACGTGATAGGCCCGGTTGATACATTAGCCGAAGATCTCTAGATACGTTACGACACGGTAGTATTTCCGATAGACGGCCATCACCAACACACATAGAACTTCAAAATAATGGGTTTGTTAGAGGTCTTATCAACACTGAACAGTATGTGAAGTACCAACACAGTTCTTGCCAAACTCATGTCCAAGAAATGAGGCTACAGATAGGTATATTATACTGTCAAAAAGGCAACATATACTGAGTAGCTCTTCATATAGGGGGTCAAGAACATATACGACGAGCAAATTATAACAAGATTAGAGTTATTCAAGCTTTTAATCAGCCCCATTTTGACATTGTACCGGGGTACAAGTATAACACCATCTTTGTTACTGGCCTAGGCCAGAAATTTTTGCTTAACCCGTCCTGTACCGGTGTAAGAATCTCACTCGTACTTCTGGCCGATGCCATATAGCATGTACCCAGAAGTCCTTGTCGAATGTCTTGTCTTGTCCACGGATCATTTCAAGGTCAAAGGTCCACAGCATCTTGGCAAGGAACAGCCTGATTTGACTCCATGCAATCTCTCTGCCTGTGCATAATCTAGGACCGATAGAAAAGGGCAAGTAACACTTTAAATCATCTTTAGAGAATTTGGTATCGTACCTAGGATGATCCGGCGGAAGCCAACGTTCCGGGTGGAAATTCAACGGGTCATGGAAATAGCGCGGATTGCGACAGATGTTGAAGTTGCTAACTTGGCATATAACCTGCAAAGTGTACGTATTAGAAATAGGGGTAGTAGATTAGGTGCCGGACAGTCAGCACAGGGGACTTACTCCTTTTGGGACGTAAACACTCGCGACAGTGGCACCGGGGCTTCTTCGTGGCATGCCCGAGATAGTCGTCACATGTGTACGTAGTGTTTCATGAATCACGGCGTTTAAATACTTCACATGAATTAATGTGTCAGGGGTGATGTCGTTGTAATCCCGGAAGGTATCTCTAATTTCCTCCACAAGTGCTGTATAAGCGTCCGGGGTCTTCAACAGAAAGAAGACAGCGCTGAAGAGTACAATTTGAACAGGGTCAAATCCAGCAAGGAAGAGTTGCATGGTAACTTGTTCTAGGTGAATTTTCTCTTTCTTTGTCGTAGGTGCAGGGACATCGAGTGGTAGCATGTAGTCGACAAAATCGGGATGTACCGTATCTCCTCGTTTATCTATGCGCTTTTGAACCTCCTGGCTGTTCATTTTGAAGAATGTTGGTAGGGTTCGAAGTACCTTTGGCGGAACGAACAAAATCGAAAGTGGACTAAGAAGCGGAAATCTCTTGGAAACTTGCATGACCGTCCCCAAGAAACTGGTGCCTAGTAACGTCTCGAGAAACTCGGTATACTTTCCTATTCATAGACCTTTAGTATAGGTACCTAGGTAGTCACGGGGTTGCCAGAGTGAAGCTTATCAAAGCAGACTTACCATCTCTCATTTGATGTAGTTCGCGACTATACGTCAGGTCTGCTGACATATCTGCAGCAAACCAGTTCGTCCACTATATGCTAAGTCAGTATTGACATATGATCTCACGGCGTATCTCAAGGTGATGGGAGTACAATACTTCGTAGAGATCAATTCCGTCAGTTGTGTCACCAAGTTCCCTCATCTTGTCAACAAATAAGTCAATATACATCTGCACAGTAGGCTCCTTGGCCTTGATAGCTTTGCTACTAAAGGCCGGGAAGACCTTCCTTGCTACATCACGACGTTTGACTGGATCAGTTTCCCAAGTGAGTCCCAAATCGCCCGTCCCGAAGTCCATGAGGTCAGTCTTCACCGAGGTTTCTTGGCCTTTAACCACTGAATTATATATGTCTAGGAGGATATGTTAACTTTACCCTTTACTAGATTAGCGATTGGATGATGCTTACCCTGCACTGCCCGTGGCGTCGAAAATACTATTCGAGGGTAATCTACTTAGTTCTGGTAATAGACTTGCTTAGGAAGCGCTCTTACCTATCTCATTAGGGGCAACGCGAACCACATCACCTAGAGTCACATGTTAGCGCGCTATTATACTTGACATAAGTTCACGCATTAGCATACCGTACTACTTTGCGAGCTGCTCCACTGCCCAAGGATATCTTCCTCTCAACCTAACTCATTAGACAATTGCTCAGACTGAAGTGGGATCTACTAACCAATTATAGGCAAAGAACGCGTTTGAGATCACTGCTAACTTAGGACCTGGGAATTTAGAAGCTGGATGGAAGTATAGCAGATAGATGCTGCGAGATATAGCGTAGCTGAAGGGCTAGACATCGTCAGTAAGGGTCTACAGTGAAAAGGGGGTTAGGAGGCAAGTCTCGCGACCATACAACGGCTATTGCTAGTAGAATCCATTGGAACGCCGTCAAGTTGGACAGATATGGTAGAAACAAACTGCTAGCAGTAGTCATGATGAACTCGCGATTTACTAGTATGTTAATATAAATGGTGCGACGATTCTAGGTTAACACATATGTGGGTGAGGAGATGGTGGACGATACAGATGATACATAATATAAATGGGGGACTGACGGGACATATGGTAAAATAGGGATTGGGTTGTAAATTCCATTATCATCGTCACCATTGGACAAAGCAAAACAAAATGTTGGTGGCCCAAAAGTGATAAGCGGTTGCTATTTCGAGTTCAACCTTTGTACCGCCTCAATACTTGTATGTTGGTTGGTACATCCAACGTCGATGTAAGGGATGGCGTATGGGGGCTATTAGGTTATCTGCTCGTATTAATGTAAGGAATATATGAAAGAAACATAAAGGTGTAAGCTGTTTTAATGTTAGTTCCTCTAACATAGCGGCCAATTATACAATTCGATCATTGAATCCCATATAATGGGCCCTACAGCAAACCCAAGGGCGAATAGACACATTTCATATTGGCAGCTATTTGTATGAGTTTTTTCGTCTCCAGAGACCCAATTGATGAAATTAGGGTATTCTTCCATGCCCAATCCGAGGTATACGTGATCGGCAGATTCTTGCGTCATGTAGGTTTACAACAGGATTAATGCAAGATAAGAGCTCTGATGCCTTTATGCGCAAACTCGTTCTTGTACATTGCGAGAACTAGATGATGCATTTAGCCAGTGCAATCCCGCGATGCGGCGCTATAAACACAGTCGAAGCTGTAATATACGGGAACCTGTGACGTGGCGTTCATAACATTCAACCAACAGTTCTTTTGTGCGATGGCATGTCGAACTAGGGATTGCCCTTTCTGATTCAGAAGAGATGATATCATGTTAGCCCTGGGTTGCACTTAGATTGGAGGGATTTGAAAATCGTGTGAGGGATAAGTAAAAAACAAAATACTTGCTATATTTCAACCGGTTAGCCTTGGTAATGGGTGTCTCATATGATTGTTTTTTGGGCCTTTCATATACCATACTGCTGCTATACATTCACGGCATCAACCCCTGCCATATTAGAATCATAAGCCGCATCAACAGTAAAATAGCCCTGCGGAAAATGCCGTTGGTTCGGGGCAAAGATCCATCCGAAAGAAACGACATTTTCTCCGGCTAGAAGGCACTTGCTGTGATACTATTCCGAAGTATTGCGAAGTACACTTAAGTTCTTAACTCCGGTGGCTTCGGATATAGGCTTTAGGTAAGAAGGGTTAGTAGGCGTTAGGGACTTCATGTACAGTCTTTGGCTGTGACTACCTAGGTATCGGCAAACACACCCAAGAATAACGAAACTTTCGCCTATATTCATTATATTTCGTCTAAGTCCGGGTACTGGTAGCTTACTATGAAGGCTAGGTACATAATCGTGCTCTTTGCCCTCGTCGGCGTTATCCCGAAATAACTTTGCACGATCTCAGCGAAACCTTAAAGTAGCCAATCAGGTTTGAGGTACAATGCTCAATTAGGAAAGTAATGGATACAACCTTATGTAGAATTGAGTGGAGCTAGGTAGGAATAGGAGAAGAATTAAATAATGTGGATGGGGAGCACTGATTTCTCTTAAATCTGTTTGCATTGCTTCTTTAGGACCTTGGTGATGGAGGGGTTGAGCTGCTCGTGTGAAGATGTGGCTCTCCAAACCCAGGTGATCCGAGCGTCAGGGCGAATCAGAGCAGCTTTAACTCCGTCCCATTGCTGACCAAAAGATTTAATATCATCGCTCGGCCCGAAGTATTTGATGTTAGAAGCCCAGGGGTTGGTGACTTCACGGAGAATTCCTTCGAGTTTGTCATCCATCACGACCAGGAGAAAAGTATCAACAGACATTGCAGCGTGGAGAGGATCAAACCTGCCTTGAACTTCAAGGTGGGTCACCCTCGAGCCTATCAATGAGTCCTGCTCATCCCCTTCCTGGGGAAATGGATCGCCAAAGCCAGTGATACGTCTCACCAACAATTTGTTTATGTTAGGGTGAGCGATGAGTTCGTATACAATATCGGCTAGGGCCGCTCGTTGTGGATTGTCCGGTGTGTACAGGGCTGTCTGAGCCAATGTACTCTTAATGACAGCTTGTAATGCGAGTCTCCGCTCTGTATTGTAGCTGTCTAGAAGCTCCTCTGCATGAACTCCGGTGATTCTTCCCTGAATAACGGCGACAAGTTTCCAGGCTAGATTGGCCGCATCCTGTAAACCTGTCGTGATACCCTGACCTCCCGCGGGGAAGAACTGATGAGCAGCATCCCCGACAACAAAGATGCGCCCGCTGCGAAAGTTCGTCGCCAATCGAGTAGTATTTGAAAATCGAGAGGTCCAAAGTGGGGAATGCATACCGTAATCTTTCCCCGAAGTCTCGATGGCGAATGATTTGGCATCCTCAATCGTCGGTGGCGCACTTGGCGGCACACCCATAGTGCTCAAATTCACCCCGGTAGTTCTGTAATAGTCCTTGTATCCGAGTGGCTGGATTAAGAACGATCCTGATTTGTTGTTTATCGATATCGGATGAGGAGGGGGGTCCGTAACGAGGACATCTGCAAGCCAACCCCAGATAGTTCCCTCTGTGCCAGGGAATTCGATATTTGCCAATTTCCGGATTGTGCTTTTTGTTCCGTCGCATCCCACAAGCCACGGAGCAGTGAAATCGGATTTGGACCCATCTCTAATTTCGACATTGAGAGTAACGCCGTCGGAGTTTTGGACCAGCCCGACTACTGTATGCCCGAACAAGAACTTAACTCCCTTCTGCTCACAGACGTCGATCAAGAGTTGTTCTGTCACAGCCTGTGGAATCATCAACGAGTGAGGATGCTTGGTACCTAGAGATTCTCGCGACATCTGTAGTCTAGTCGGGGAAGAACCAAAGTGGACCGAACGGATAGGTACACCGGCGTCAATGAAACGCTGGGCGATACCGCGAGTCGCGAAAGCCTCGAGACAACCGGCAGCCATTGCCGCTGCTCGGGAACGAATGTCTCGCGTTGTGTTTCTTTCAATAACCGTGACGTTAAGTCCGGCGGCCCGGAGCTCTAATGCCAGCCAAAGACCGGTCGGGCCAGCACCAACAATGAGAACATCGGACATCGCGACAAATTTTAGGTAAAACGCGCAACTAATTGCTTCTAGTAAAATTTGATTGAATTCAATCTATGTATTTTGATCAATTATCCTTATTCTACTTAATTTTCTATTCAATTTATATTATTGCGACAGGCCGATTGTCTTCGTATTCTTCGCCGGTATTCTCTTCATAAGCTGAATTGACCGATTGTGAGAGAGCCGAGAAGTCCATTATATTGTATTTTCCGACTTTGAGTGTCATCCATTCGAATGATTGACACATTTTTGAGTTAGGCGTCTCCTATGCACCCTGTCATCTTTTTCAGGAGTTTAGACGATCCTTTCCGTTAATTCATTCGTAAATGCCGATGCGGACGGAGATATAGGACCTTTCGGGCTTCTCGGGCCTCTCGGCCCACTCGGTGTTTTGAGCGTTGTACCACTATTCAAATACGGGCAATTAACCCTGGTTTTGTCAACTATTTACTACCCTGTATCCTAAGCATCTTCATTTAGTCCCCATGCATTTATCAGCATTACGCCTACGAGCATGAGCAACAGACCTTCTCGTCTCTCATCGCCAAGACACAGGCCGCGCCCGCGGTCTTGTATGGAATGCTACCGACGAAAATTGAGATGCGATCGAACCCAGGCCTGTTCAAACTGCACTGTCGCAGATGTTGAATGCGTATATACCGATGAACCGATTCGTCGAGACCGTAAATCGAAACATCGGAATGAAGAGCTAGTGGATCGGATAGCTGCACTCGAACGTTTAGTCTACCAACTTTTGGCCCAAAACTCGCTACGGGAATACAGGGAAGAGTCGCAAGAACCACCCAGGGAGGGTGAATCGTCCGCCACTCAACAACCACCAGGTCACCTGTTAGCAGACAACCACGGAAAGACTCGTCTCTTGACCGATACGTTTTGGGGACGACCTTCAAAAGAGGTATGTCATCTCCCTCATTAGACATACATATTGTTAAAGCGATCGCAGACTGCTGAATGAAGACTTTCGGGAACAGCTCGGAAGCCTTAACGGCAGTCTAGGGGGGAATTCGGTTCACTACCTCACCTCTCCATTCTCAGGGAGTTTATCTTACGAAAATTTCTTATTTCCACAAGCAGCACCTCAAATACATATAGCAATTGCGAAACCTGATCTAAGCCAGATCCGTCAGCTATGGGGGATATACGTTCAAAACATTGACCCTATTATTAAAGTTCTCCATAAACCCAGCATCGATCGATACCTGAATGATATATCACTAGGTAGAGATATGTTTAATCCTGAGACACGGGCCCTGATGTTAGCGATTTGCTATGCCGCAGTATCTTCTATGCCATCCTCCCAAGCTAGGATTGAACTTGGTTGCGACTGTGAAAATCTCACTGCTTCCTTCAGAATAGCCGTGGAGAAGGCATTATCGGATGCCCACTTACTTCAGACACATGACCTACGAGTTGTGCAAGCATTTTCTATATTCCTGGTAAGCTTCTTAGATAATATACACCTGGTACTGAAATGAGTTGCGGGTGCTTACCAGCCCTCATCTAGACGTGTCTACCTAGAAAAGAAACCCGTAGCATAGGGATACTATCTTCCATCGCGGTCCGAGTGTCCAGAGCAATGGGGCTACATCGGGATGGATCGCTATTTAAGTTGTCGCCATTCGAAACGGAGATGCGACGTCGCCTTTGGTGGCACCTATGTCTGCTAGAATGGCGTGCCGCGGAAGATGCGGGCTTGGAAACAACTATAACACCCTCAAGCTTCGATACGAGGTTCCCACTAAACATCAACGATAACGAAATGGATACAACATCCTTGAGCCTCCGCGATCGTCACGGACATACTGAAATGACATTCTCCCTGGTCAGATACGAAGCATGGCCACTTGCTGCTTCGTGGAGAAGTAGAAATATGCTTTGCCCTTGCCAAAGACCAGTGGGGAGCGCAGAGAAAGAAGAAGCCCTAGAGAAATTGTTAAGCCGCTTAGAGGATACGTATTTACAATATTGCCGACCAATCTCTACGCCGATAACCCGGATCCTGTTAATGATGGTACCACAAATGATCGCGAAGATGCGTCTCCTTGCTTCGTATCCGGTGTATCACCGTGACGACCCCCAGGGGACGACATTAACGCCTGGGGAAAGGGACGCCCTGTTCCGATCCGCAATTGACCTCATAGAATTGGATCAGCTGATTGAGGCTGATGGCGAACTAAGGGGTTGGCGCTGGTTCTTTGCTAACACCCATATTCCGTGGCATGCTATGTCGTTCGCCCTATCCGAGCTATGTATTCGTGTGGAGGGAGAGATAGAAAACACTGCGTGGAATGTGATCGAACGGGTTTTCCCTTCTGTGCCCCTTGGGCTCGGTAGGCCGGATGACAGTGTGTGGGAGCCGTTGCAGGGGTTAAAGCAAAAGGCTTTGAGTGCTCGATACTCCATCACGTCGCAATTATCGGTTCTCTTCCCAAATGAACTTAGTAACTCTCTGTTCGATGAATTGTCGGGAGACTAGGTGGATGACCCTTAGGTCTTGGTTGTCATATCCACTTAACGATCTCCACCATATTCGACGCAGAGAACGTTCCCCTGGATGTAACAAGCCGAATAAAATCACTGATTATCCTAACGCCAAGTTATACGCACAAAATGTCCTATAGACCATGTACCCATCATATGTCCATCCTAGCGCCAAGACCCAAGTCTTATGTTAATGATAGTATAAGCCAAACATTAGAAATACATAGTTAGGGAAGTCAAGCAGATCATACATCATAACCTTTCGGTTTTATTCGTTACATTATGTCTTTTACTCAAACTGCCTTGTTCACATTGACTTGGATATCAGTGCGTACGTAGATATCGTCCGATGTTGGTGGAATCACTATATTTCCCGGGTCGACATAAGTTATCTTAGGTAGGTATGCTGGCGAATGTCCGCGCTCGATCTGGTTGTTGCTAGCTCCCATTTGTTCTTGTTGTTGATGTCGGATGTAGCTGGAGGTGATATCTTGCCTGCTGCTTTTCGAAGATGGATTTCCCGTAATATCGACGCTGGTAAGGGGGATACCGTCATCCTGAGTAGTATCCACCCTTGAGGCATCAATAGTTGTCGGCATAGTCCATATGTGATTCAAGCTAACGACGCGCTTGAAGCCGCGAGAGCTCTGTTTCCCGGAGCCTTGGTCTGCATTCCTCTGATAGACATAACTCTTATCCCTCGAATTGCCCCTATATATCCTCAGTAACTGCGGTGCGATTACGGGGACACACGCGCAGACTACCGCTGTAGTCTCTTCTGCGGCGGTGAGGATTAAGTATACAGCGACGCCGTCTATCGATGATGATTAAAAAATGCACTAGGTTGCCCACCAATGACACACAAGGGATGAGAAACTTACAACTAGGATCGTTCTTGTCGTCCGTGTCGAGTAAAAGAGCCAATATACGAGCTAGCTCAAGTAGGGCAGCAACCAAACCAATGCCGAAGACGGCCATTAGACCACGTTTCTTAGATTTGTCGAGCCTTAATTTGGAGATTGCCCAAATTGGTAGCAGCAGGAGTCCGACATCCGAGATCAAACTAAAAATTGTCGGTAACGATACATGGAGTACGCTTGTAGCATCACATTGGCCATCCAAGCCCCCGGGAACCGGTTTTTTGTACCGAGCGTAATACTGGAGGAAATACCACTGCACTGGTTTGCACTGGAATAGGTAGAAGGCCGTACCGCCGAAGAACCAGAGGACAATATAGACGAAATTGGCCCACCAGAATATCCGTAGTCTCGGGTCGTTTACTAAAAATACCCGCTTGTAGAAGAAAAGTAGCGTCATTTTGATGGCGAGGAAGAAGCTACACATCAAAACCATAGTAATCCAGACATGCTGTTCTCATACTATGCGGTTAGCCCCGATGAAGAAATGGTTATATAAGATATAAATCTGGGTGACATACCCTAAAAGTCTTGGATACGTTCGATGGGTAGTCTGGGTCCCGGTGGTTGACGACTTCGATATGAAGACCAAGCCCATAGTGTGTTGCTACCATGAGATTCGCTATAATGACATTCACAAGGATCTAGTTACTCTAGATGTCAGACGACGGGCAATCTCTGGGAAATTCCTTGTGAAGGATGTGAGGACTAACCCCGGTCAGCACGATTAAGAAATCCTCCCATATGACCCTCGAGCGGTTTGCTACAGATCTCCATGTTCCCCACAGTCTTCCCGCGATGGCCACATCGTTGATAACGAGGAAAGAGATCAAACAACCCCAAAGCGCAGGTTGCCTACTCTCGTTAAGATGGGCCTCTTCGTAAGGAGTGAGTGTCGGTTGGGACATTATTCAGCAATTTGCGCGTCGTTTGGCTCTTAGTTGGTTTGGTATGTTATCCATGAGAAGAGATTATGATATCTGGGGAAGCGGAGACTGGTAATACTATCCGGATTTCCCGATGTTCTATTAAAAAGGATACCCAGCCCCCAAGAAGCTTCACAATGAGATGTAGGTAGCATTCCAAGATGTTTGCTCGATATCAATCAAATTGTCCCGTTGTGTAATAAATAGCATGACCTCTTGAAGTAGGTGCCACAGCTCAGTTAAGACATGGAGGGAAGTTCATAAAACCCTTTAAGGGCTCAGGTACTATGTAGGTAGGTATGCCATGGCCACCATAGAGCTTGATCCACGAATGAGAGAAGAGAATAGGGTAGCAGGAAAGGATCAACATGAACGAGTTGCAGATTTGGTGTTGTGTAACGTAGGCATGTCTCTTACTTTTTTGCACCGATACAGGTGATTTTCCGAGTCGTCCCACCACCCATAAATTCACAGCCGCTTCGGTTCCTCCGAAACAACGTTATAAAATTGGTCACCGTCGGACGATATAACAAGCTGAAGTTCCGTTCCATCGATTTTAAGATTTCACTCATCGACTTGGCGATACGACTCCATAATGCTTTCGAATGGGCGTTCCCCGTGTACATAATTTTTAACCATCTAGGATATATCGACTGAAGTAGGTAGATCATCCGGCGGCTGTTGATGGCCTCGAACACGACTATTTCCTCGAAAGCATCGAGAAAGGAGGCCGAGTCAATGAGTGATCAGCGGAGAGAGCATGTCTACGTATCTTGGTATCTATTAATAGGCTTCCGCTCGTAGGAATACTAGGTCTAGGAGGGCTGTGAGCTAAATGATGGTTAGATTAATTAATGCTGGAGATATAATATAACAAGGATACCCCATACCCGTCCACATACTGTAACAATGGTTAACCTCGCCGTCAACTACCGTTTCGGAACTTACCGTCGGGGGAAATTCGTATCTACTTAGGTACATATCGAGCTAGGTATGTAGGTAGGCGTCGGAGCTGAAAATGTGAAATACAACACAACCCTCGGTCCAAGACCGGTGGCATCAAACGGTTACAATGGATTTCAGCCTTCAATGAAACAGAACGACCGGAAGCAAGGCAGGCAGAGGAATAAGAAAAATTAATGGGATGGTAGTACATATTCGCCCAACAAAGACTCATTACCGAGGCATGTGTGAGTTATAAGCAGGCTGTTCGCTTTTCCGGCTTGATGCAGACGAGCTGGCGTAATATTTAGTTGTTTGTCCAATCATGTAGTCCGAGAGCTCGGATATATCGGAGAAGATGAGTGTCTGCTGATATTATTGGATGAGAATGTGAATCAAGGGAGGGCATCCGAGACCTCCTTGTGTACCCAACAATGTGGTATATCAAAGACATGTAGAATTTAGAATTTAGAAATATGACAGCCCTGGAGGAATGGTTTAGACGTAGAATGATGAGTTGTGATTGGCTATAAAGTCTAGGGTGGTTGTATAGGATAGAGTTTAGTCTTCTAGGACCCTGTAAAATACAGCAGTACTTCAATCATGTATGTACTTGATTGAAAACCAACACGTACCTTCCTTCGTCCTTCGTACGCACATGGTAGAAAAGTGATCGGCACGCATTGGCGGAATTGGCAGGACCCATGGATCTCTTGTACTACCATCCATAAAATTAACAAAGGGAATTTATTAATGAGTTGCCAGGTGGCCTAGGTCAACTTGCTCAACTGATCAACTTAATTCCTTGCGACGTCGGCGCCGCACACTTCGGAATATCTGGTATTAGTATTTTCTTTTCTTTCATTCTATACTCTTTTAAATCCATTATTATTCTTTTCTTCTCTACTTCCACTTTGGTTCATTTCCTCAATTTCCGTATCACCAAAAGTGTTTCAGGGACGTGCATAACACCCTTAAGGATTGGAGAGTTCGAGTCCCGCGTCTTTCCTCTTAATTCCGTTTCGCCTATCGAGCTTAACATACGGATACGGATATACAGCCATGTCCACTGAGAAAAACACCTCCAATTTGGAGGCGGGCGAAACTGCGGTTGCACGGTCCGAGGCCGACAGTAATCCCCAGGATGCCAGCCTTACGAGTTACACCCCCGAGCAAGAGGCTCGCGTGGTGAGCAAGCTGGACTGGAACCTAATGACCCTATTCTTTGTTCTATGTGAGTAACAGTGTTTCGTACCCTCTACCGAACAAAAAAATAAAAGAAAAGGTGCTGACCCGATCCCTGCGACGCCAAGACATGTTGGCGTACCTTGATCGCGGTAACATTGGAAACGCCAAAATTGCTGGTATGGACAAAGACCTTAACCTGGTCGGCAACAAATACCAGTGGCTCATTAACATCTTCTACATTACTTACATCATCTTTGAATTTGGTGTGCTACTATGGAAGATCATCCCTCCTCACATTATGGGCGCTGTTGTTGTGTTCGGCTGGTAGGTTACAAATCACCCGCCTGCCCGTTATCCGTCACCTTCCGGTCTCTGACTAAGCGTCACATAGGGGCTTGATCGCTATGGTCCAAGCCGGCACCCACAACTGGGGTGGTATGATGGCTCTAAGATTCCTTCTTGGTGCCTTCGAAGCTTGCTATGGGTAGGTAATAGTTATTATAGTGAAACTATTACTATATGTAACTTCTGCGCGTAACTTTTGCTGACGCGAACCCCTCTCTAGACCCGGTATTATTTACCTCCTGTCATTCTTCTATCTTCGACATGAGATCGGTTTCCGCTGCGGTATCTTCGCGTCCGCCGCTCCGTTGGCTTCGACCTTCGCGGGTGCTCTAGCCTATGGTATCACTAGCGGTCACTCACATTTGGCCAACTGGCGCCTTCTTTTCCTCGTCGAGGGAATCCCTACCGTCCTCATGTCCGTCATTGCCTTCTTTTTCATCCCCGACTCCGCCGAGAAGGCTAGGTTCTTGACGTACGAGGAGAAGGAGATTGTCCGTTCTCGAGCGATGCGTCAGGTCGGTACCAACGCCGCTGCGAGAATTGGGGGAATCAAACTCAAGGATGCAATCGCTATTTTCATCGATCCCGTGGCATGGCTATGTGGGCTTCTGTATTTCTGTGGCAACGTTACTTACTCTAGTTTGCCCGTTTTCCTCCCTACTATCCTCGAGGATATGGGATACACCGCCATCGACGCTCAAGGCTTATCCGCCCCTCCGTCTTTTGCGGCTTTCCTGTTCGCCCTGATCACTACCTGGATCGCGGATAAGACTCAACAGCGATGCTTCGTTATTTTCGTTACCTCAGTCGTGGGAGGAGTCGGTTACATCATCCTTGCCACTGTTGACACGGTCGGTGTTCGTTACTTCGCGACATTCTTAGCTTCCGCGGGAGTCTTCTCCACCATCCCGAACATCCTCGGTTTGACATTGAGTAAGTATCTTCCCCTGCACTACTAGGCCCATTCTAGCCATCGCGCATATACTAATTGATAATCTTCTTAGACAACCAGGGCAGTGACACCCGTCGGGGTATGGGTATCGTTCTCATCAACCTCATCGGTCAATGCGGACCCTTCCTTGGAACGAACGTCTTCCCCACCAAATCAGCACCCCGCTACGTCGAAGGAATGATCGTATGCTCTGCCTTCATGTTTTTTGCCGCCGTCCTCGCAATTGTCCAGCGTCTACTCCTTATGTGGTTAAACTCCCGACTTGACCGCAAGTACGGAAAAGACTTAGAGACGAAGGATGTGGTTGCTCAGGAAAACTTCAGCCCCACTTTCAGATACGTACTTTAAAGCATTGCAATATGATGGCAAGAGGTTGAAAAGGCAGGATTAGGATTTCGTTCAGGCCGATAATGGATAGAGGTCAAGGTTATACCCTTTTATTTTTCAATTTCCCTTCGCGAGCCCCGGGTTTTGGTAGGGATGAGTCAGGCGAGGTGGAAGCCTGTAAATGAGTCTTCCGGCCAGGATAGATAAAAATGGTCGTAGTAATGAAACACGAGTGTATTCGGAAGTTCAAGAGGACCATTTCGTCGTCTTGGAGTGAATCGCGTCTAACCCGCTAGGCCGCTGCCGAATCTTCACGTACCAGACAGCCATACACCCTGTCCAGTTCTTGTCACTGAATAATATCATGAACCACATAAAATAGTTAGCTCACCTGAGATTTCAACGTCCATGCCACATAGCATAGCGCCTTATGGTACTGCTATTCTCGAACCTCTGCGCTGGTAGTCCGCGAATGACTACCGCCGGATAACTCAGTGACGATGACGTTTCCGTCGCGCGTGTAATCAATGTTGATCCCATGCATATGGTCTGAGACTATCTCAAACTCTAGTAGAGGCTTAGACACCTCTACTCAGCCCTACTAGAAGCAAACAAGGCCTCACTAATAAAACAATCGGATTCCGCGGCTGAGACATGTCAGTCACAATATCCCTTGAAATGCCGATACCGGTCAGTACTAATTCGATCCGACGTACGGAGGCTGCGTCCCAATGCCATGTATTGGGGACATGGTACGGTACCGAGGCTAATGCCCGATGATGTTTCGGATATTATCGTGGCTGGCGCTGAATCGGCCAATTGGGAATTAAGTAAGGGATAGTATAAATAGCTTGAAGGTGAGTATTGGCCGTATACTTCGAAGATCTTGGTCCATATACTGATACTTCTCCCTCGTATAATATTTTGGGGGCCAGTGATCACTATACCCTAGATCAGTTGCTTCAGAAGTTCACGATCCATCAACTCAAGAAGTCGGGTCCGCTTAGGTGTTCGACAACGTCCTTAGTATTATATGCTATTCTATGCTTACCGAGACAAGAACCCTTCCGCAGCTCTAAGCCAAGATCGCGGGCGAGTTATTTACCCCCAGTGTTCAGGGGGCTCTTCGGGTCGTATACGTCAGTGGTGATCAGCTCGGGGTATTTAACATCACCCTGCTTCAAAGCTTCCTCCATAACCTCCATAATAACGATGCTCTCAGACCATGGTAGAGTAGCGCTCTCTTTCTTGCCATCGCGAAGACATCGGGCGCATTCGTCTGCTTCCCAGAACATACCATGACCCCAATTTCGTTCCGGATCCTTCGGTATCGGGCAATCCACAACCTCGACTTTGCCACCTCCATCTTTCTTAATGATCTTGTACTGCAGAGGACTGAAGGCGGGGCCCATAACTTGGATTTCTCCTAGAGGACCTTGGATCTTGATTGCGGGGCCTCCGCTGTTGTGCCCGTCGGTGTTGGTGGCGATCCGTAGGGCGGTCATCGCTATTCCCATACTCCTGTGCTTGGGGAACTGGAGGATGATGTTGGTCATCTCATCAGCCCCAGTTGAGTACTTGTTAATAGCAGCGACGGTTCGCGGTGGTTCCTTCTCCGCCTCTGGTTGCAGGTGGTATAGAAATTGGAAGAGCCATGTCAGTGAGTAGATACCCAGATCCAGCAATGCGCCTCCGGCCAAGTCCGGGTTCACCATTCGGTTATCGTCGGGCCAGGTAAGAGTACCATTCGGGCCATCGTTGCCGAATGAATTGTCGGCTTTGATTTTGTATGTTAACATCCCCTCCGTGTAATTCATTTATCCCTTAATGAAATGCGAAAACTCACCAATGACTCGATATACAGGGCCGATAGCACCGGATTGCACTAGCTCGCGGATCTTTATGCTAAGGGGGAAATATCGCGTCCATACTGCTTCCATCAAGAAGAGGTTCTTGGCCTTGGCGGTCTCAACAAGTTTTCGCGCTTGAACAGCATTGACGGTGAAAGCCTTCTCACATAGAACATTCTTGCCAGCTTCCAAAGCAAGCATAGTGTTCTGAAAGTGGTGGCTGTGTGGGGTTGCGACATAGACGATATCAACATCCGGATCGTTCACCAACTCGGTGTAGGAACCGTATGCCCTTACGCCGTCTGGAGCATTGACTTTTTGGAGAAATGACGTCGCGCTATCCTTGGAAGATGAGGATGCCACTGCAACCAGCTTGTGGGCGACATCATGAACATCGCGGATTGCGGGATTAGTGAGAAGGTCCTTAGTGAAAGCTAACAGGATGAAATGTTAGTTATATATGAATCCAGTCGAGTAATTGCCCTTGGTGACTTGACTAACTCTGAGCGATGCCGCCCGTGGCCATAATACCCCACTTGAGGGTGTAGGGTTGAGAAGCCATATTGGTTATTCTAATAGGATAAGAAGCTTAGGGTCAAGGCGATGGGAACAAAAAAAAATATACTAAGAGACGAGATTACAAGAAACCATAAACCTTATGAGCATTAAAGTTAAGAAAGAATATTATAAATACACCACGGCTCTTTCCCACCTTTGGCTATTGTGAAGGTGGGGTAAGAGGCGCCACATACTCTAGATTGGTGGGTGTTCGTCAAAGGTTATCGCTATCCCCTCATATACTATCTCAAATATACTGAGATGCCCACTGTATTTTACCGAGGGATTAGGTGCACCTTCCGATTAAGAAATCGTTATTCTGGTCGCTAGAAACCCTATTAAAATATAAGCAACTACGGACGTACGCCGGCTGTCCGTACATTGTAAAGCAGGAAGTAGGTTACCCATTTGCTTTTTATCGGTGCACAACCTTCCGATTATTATGCAAACGGATTGCCCGCGGTTTCACGACCGTCAGCGAAAGAGGACGTCATAAGCTCGTTTCCCTAAACACCCCGCGTTTGAAACTTCGGGCGTTCATAAAGCCGAAATGACTAGGAGTAGCAATGTATCTAGTTCAGCAAGCTGAGAATTACATACCTCTGCTTCAATTTTTGGTATCTAATAATTTCGGGTCGTCAAAGGGCGTCAATAAAAATATAATTTTACAATTACAAGAATCCGATGGAGTGATGGTATAGACCGTAGACTATATCAAATGACGTATGCGAGCTAAACACCAAGGGCTGAATCCCCTCACAATGATTTCATCCTTAGTCTTCGTAGATTATCACCTAATCACGGATGCCTGTACGACGAACTTAAATTTAATATTGCGACGATATAGCGTAAATAATATCTCTGCATTCTTTCAATCATCACCTTCAATTCATTCGACTCTTGCTCCTACCGAGGGCCCATTATTCCCAGAAGAAATACAGATTTATTGATTGTGGTGGATAGTAAAATCCATTTTGCGACTGAAAGGTTATGCCAGCAACAGCCCATATTCTACGGCCATTTTACTCCAAAGTCTCTTCCTTCGCGCCCATTCAACCGGTTCACGTAAATTGCTGTAGACCATTTCCAAATTCCGGGCATTCCCGATATATTCTTTTCCCATCAAATCGCCAGATTCTTAGTTTCAGATCGTATACAATGGATGCGAAACCGGCGCCGATGCCAAAGTTGATATATGGGACAGCTTGGAAGAAAGATGCAACAGCTGACTTGGTATTCTTGGCCTTGAAATCTGGATTCCGTGGTATCGATACAGCAGCCCAGCCTCGACATTATAAAGAGCACCTAGTCGGAGCCGGTATTAAACTCGCGATTTCATCAGGCATCATAAAGCGGAATGACTTATATGTGTGTTGTTTCTTATTAACTAGGAATCTTCAAGTACGAAAAACGTACTAATGATCTTTATAGCTTCAAACAAAGTTCACTTCGATAGGGGGCCAAGATCCAAATGATCTACCGTACGACCCCAGTGCGCCATTAGAAGAACAAGTACATTCTTCAATAGCCTCATCGCTAGAGAATTTCCGGTACTCGGGCTCGGAAGACCCATACATCGATAGTTTGGTTCTACACTCACCACTTCGTACCCTACCAGACACGATACAAATCTGGAAGACACTTGAGACATACGTTCCGCATAAAATCAGGCAACTAGGGATTTCAAATACACCGTTACAGGTCCTCGACTATCTATGTAAAAGTCCTGATATCGGCGTCCGTCCAGCATGCGTACAGAATCGTTTCTACCCAGCAACAGGTTGGGAAGTAGATCTACGGGCGTATTGCCGAGGTGCAGGTATCGTATTTCAGAGTTTTTGGACACTGTCGGGGAATCCGCAGTTACTCGGAAGTATGCCTGTGCGGAAACTAGCTACTAGCGCAAATGTTGAACTTCCGGTTGCATTGTATGCGCTCGTGCTGGGTCTTGAAGGTACTGTGGTTCTAGACGGAACTACCAATGAGGCACATATGAAAGGTGACTTAGAAGGGATTGGAATTGTAAACAGATATGCTGAGAGTGGAGGCCAGCCAATTTGGTCAGATTGCCTGAATGAATTTAAAGGGATAATCGGAGAAAATGAGTAAGCGGAATCTGGAGGTCAGTTTACTACCTAGGTAGGCCGAGAAGATAAATAGGAAAAGGAAGAAAAGGAAGAACAAGAGGAAGATGAAAGAGAAGATGAAGAAGATGAAGAAGATGAGAAAAATAACAAGCTTATTTTTGATTAATAATGTATATATCCCTTGGAACACCTTAGGTAGGTACCTTATATTCATAGCATACCTAGGTAGTAGATGATTTTTAAGGAAATAGGAATACATTGCCTTTCCATCTTCTCCCTCATACACTCTTCTTTCCCCTACAATAAAAAGTCGTAGTGATACTACCTACCTGGTAACTTGGTGTGAATTACAAGTCCCTTCACAGGTGGGTTACTATGAATGGTACACAGGCCACCACATACCGGCTACTCACGGACCTTTGACAAGGTCCACACTAGTTCGAGCCAGTAGTAGCACGGCCCACACTCCCATCTCGGCTAAATTCCCCTTAAATTGGTAATATAAGACTTAATTTGATTCGCACCTTCAACAATACCGGAACCATCACCACACCACATTCCAATTGTGGCTTATCCTCCGTGGCGCAACTGGTTAGCGCGTCTGACTGTTAATTTGCAAAGAATTGCAATCAGGAGGTTGACAGTTCAAGCCTGTCCGGGGGAGATTGATATCTCACGATGAATTTTTGATGTTCTCATTCCCCCCTAATCTGGGAATAAAGCTAAGCTTATTTTTAAGATTAGGTACTCTCTCATATTTTTTAGGGCATTCTTCCAGGAGGTATGCCACTGATTGTTTCTTTCCATCAAACTTAGCTGATTTGACGAAAGCTATACAATTGTATTACTATACCGTATTCTTCACACCTTGGTCAACTTCACTACCATCACCTTCTTTGATGAGGATATCACCTTTTCCATTAAAATCTCTATTTAAATTTGTTATATCTTTCATAGGTTGCATGGTCTATGGCTAGAAATTGGCTGCGTGGTGGTTTGCGACAGAAACCAGAGCATGCAAATGCAACCCACCTATCCTCTTCTTTTAAACTAGATTTTCTCGATCATTCCTTAATATTCCGGCCTCTAAAGCTAGCGCTGGGAACAGCCAGAACTGTCGGGCTTCCAATTTTGCTGTTCGGTGTATGTTTCGCCGTACTGATCTTGAAAGCGGGTGCTAGAAACGAGTGCTGGTATTTTGAGGTAATTTAATTAATTCGTTTAGGTACTACGGTGTCTAGGAACCTTTTCTACCTCACGCCATATACCATTCTTCCTGGTTCAGGTTGGCCATTGTTTCAATGCTATTTCTAATGAGTCCTCATGAGAATTCATATTCACAACACACAAGTCAATGTATATTCCATCTACCGAGGATTTAAAGACAGCTGCTAATGAACTCGATGGTTTGACACCATCTACGAGAAGTTCTCCCTGGCAGCTTGGCCAATTACCTGCCCTCCTAGGTAGGTACTTGGCTCCCCTATGTTTATAATGATAAAGCTACATAAATCATGATACTCTTTAAAAAAAAGTTTGTATCGGGGTTCTTCCCACCATCTGGGACGAACCCCCCTTGTTCCCGCAAATCGACAAGTACTTCTACCAGTATCACCAACATCACCACGATATCAAGAGTACATGGCCCCACCATGTACATTTACGCCTGATCTTTAGATACAATATTAAAAACCGAAACGAGGTAATTTATATGCATGTCTCGGCAACCCACGAGGTTGGTTTTCGATCTTACTGCGAGACACAAGTTTCACCCTTCCCATTTGCCCTCCTCTTACAACCCGGCGCTATTTCCCTTAGTATCGGGGGATTTTTCTTGTTTTAATCTAGAAAGGAAATATAAGAAAAGCTGAGCTGCAAGATCTAAGACATGCAGACGCCGAGGGATCGGCTCGAACCGGTTTGGTTCCTACTATGTACTCGGGCAAGGACCCGCTTGACAAGCTGACCACCGAACAATGCTGACAATTGACAATGCCATGTGTTCCCCACTTTCTCGGTGGGTTCCCATGAGAGGTTTGATTTCTTAGTGAAGTATTTTACGTACATGAAAATTTATGAGTGTCACACAAAGTTCATTTTTACTTCTTATCTGATTTCTATCCACTCCACTTCTTGATCTTTTTTACTTTTTTCCCCCTGCCCCCCATGCTGATGGGTTGTACGAATCATATTTTAGCCGCATACCTAGGTACCCAAAACCTAAGGTACGTTAGACACGCCCATAAATGCATAAGGTTTGGCTAGTCACACAGCAAGGGACTACCCAGCACGGTACTTTCGGATACTTAATCCTGTCCATGTACAATACATCCATTCATCTTATTGTATCTCAGAAGGTATTCTATACAATATATCTACTCAATCACCCTACATCATCAAAGTTTTGGCCGACCGGGCATCGTTGAACACCCCCACTCTTCTCCCCCGCCTAAGTGAGACAAGCTTACCGGGTTACTGGAACCTTTACCCTCGCTACCTTATCCCAACGACTTACAGGGCTTGCCTGTATAACGCCCCCGGTGCGCTACCTACCACATGTAAGAAGGTTAATACCTAACCTAATTGTACCCACGTACATACCTTTTTTTTTCTTCATGCCTGAGGCCCCCTTGTTCATTTATCACATCTACATCACATATCAAGGATTCACCTAGTAGTAATGTACCTTACATACATTATTCATATTTGAATCTACAAATGCTTGTCTCAGTCTCTATTCCGTCTTATACATGTTATCTCTCTTATCCTTACATCTTCACATATCTATTTGCACATTCATATCTACATAACATACACGTATGATGTGTACTATCACCAAAGCCACTACGTAATCTAAACGTACCCTAACGTATCCCTGCCTTGTTCTGCAGATCCAGCCAGCAGCAAACCCAACCAAGTACACTAAACCTATCCGCGTCATGCAACAGCAGCAGCACGAGCAAGAGCAAGCGCCAAAGCCAAACCTGGGCTGTGCAGAGCATGGTGGGATGCAACTGCGGTTAGGCCCCAACGATAATAACGAGAGGGGTGATCCCGCACGAACTAGCGTGGGTGAATCTGCTATTCCTTCTGCTGCTGCTGCTCCTACTGCCGCCGGCAACGCACCCAGAGAGGCGGTGACGCTGACATCACGAGGAGCTGAGGTCCACCGCCCCCAACAAGAACAACGAGGGAAACATGACCTGCTACAGGGTGTTACTCAGGCTACTGCTAGGCTAAGTACCTCCATCAGTTCGCATGGCGCGGCTATAGGACAAGGTGACCTTAGACCTAGCTCTAGCCACCCCTCTAGCGCTACTGCTGCAACCGCCGAAAATTACGAACAGCAGCACGTGCACAGCGTGTATGAGTCGATCGCTTCGCATTTCTCATCTACCCGCTACAAACCCTGGCCCCTGGTTACCTCCTTTCTGGCGTCTATCCCGCCGGGTTCTGTTGGTCTTGACGTTGGTTGTGGCAATGGGAAGTACCTCGGTGTTAACCCCGACCTATTCATCCTCGGCTCGGACCGTAGCGCAAACTTGGCCCAACTCGCCCGCGAACTCAAAGTAGCTTCGGGGGCGACTCAAAGTGATAGAAGTAGCGCAGATGTGGTAGGTGTTGCTGACGGTCTCGACTTGCCATTTGGAGGCGGGGGAAAACGGGTTGATTTCGCCATATGCATTGCTGTCATCCATCACTTCTCAACACGGGACCGGCGCATTGAGGGCGTCCGGGCCCTGCTCGATTGTGTTCAGCCGCGAACTGGGAAAGTCCTGGTGTACGCCTGGGCCCTCGAACAGGGAACTAGCCGCCGAGGTTGGGATGAAGGGACTGCGGACCAAGATCAGCTAGTGCCGTGGGTCTTGAAAACCAATAAGCCCAAAAAGTCGAAGAAGGAGGAGACTAATAACAAAGAGAATAGTGGTGACGGTGAAGAGACAAGAAAAGCTGAAACAGGGGTCGCAGAGGCCACCTATCAACGATATTATCACTTGTATAGGAAAGGAGAGCTAGAAGAGGATGTCGTGACTGCCGGCGGTGAAGTTTTAAGCAGCGGGTACGAAAAGGATAATTGGTGGGCAATAGCAAGCCCTAAAGAGGAGACAAAAGACACAACTTCAGAATCTATAATATCGCGATAGCAATATTATTTCAACGACAACCACATCAAATTCCATATCCAAAGAACCTAGACCGCTTGTGAACAAGATTTGCTTTGCATGTATTCAAAAACGAGAAGTACTAAATCACTATTTAATAGCCTGTTGGACCATCCACATCTAGTCCTCTATCTATCATGGTATGGCCAACGGCTCTCCTAAAACCTCCAACGTGGGTACCTAAGATAAATGCCATAAAATGTAACAAAACCCCTAATACAGAACAAGACAAGACAAAATCAAAATAGAAAAAATAAAAATAAACACAAGCTTCCCATCGACTGATGTCATACATTAAAAAAAAACCTCGCACTGCAAGACTCCCTGCTGCCGTGCCCCAGAACCCTACCCTCTCTCCCCGGTATCCTGACCTTTTCCACACATTCCTATTTCCATTCCCGGCACCTCCATTGCCCGCAAGTAAGCGAGGGTGATAAACAACGACAGAGATAATAGTAGTAGGGGAAGGTGAAAATGTGTACATGAGGATATGGAAAGACCTAAAAAGCAAAATAAAAACAAAATAAAGAGGTAATAAAGATAAAGTGATAAGGGAAAACCACTTTTCTGCTCGTCCATTGCGCCGCCCCATGCTTTCGATCGAATAGAAGGGGGGAAAAGACACAATCAAGAATGGGACAAAATAATAAAAAAGATTTCCACTGGGAGCCCAAGAAAGGGGGGTGAGGACGAAGTCGGCTAGGCTGCCTGCGCCCCCTATCTTATCCATCGCCGTCGAGCATTTTTCTCGCTTTCTTTCTTCCCTTCCGAGTTTGTAGTATGTATTTTTCTCTTCCCATTTGTTTTTCCCGTTTTTCTTCCTTTCCCCTGTCGTCAATACATGATTTCCTGTTGATAAATAGTATGCCCGATTTCTTCGAAAATGCTCACTCCGGTTCCGATGCAACGCTGTTTGTTCCCATTTGTTGTTTTGTATTTTTGTTGTGGTTTGTATTCCCGGACGTAGGTACGTGTACTGCCATACGTTTCTTCGTAGTCGTAGTCGAAAAGAAGGTAGATATTAATCAAAGCGTAGTAGATAAAGTAGCGACCAAAGTTTCGGTGGGATAACTCGGGTATTAAGACAAGAGTTCCCGAATACTGTTTGAATTAGTTTGTGTTCTGATTTCTTTGGTAACTTTGTTTCGAGGGTGGCTCTCGTACCGTGAATAGATTGTTTCGTAAGGGCACGACAACATATTTATGCTCTTCGCCTGCTCATCCCAGGAGAGAAACTGCTGACCTCTGGGCTCCTACGCCGTTTCGACATTGTTGATTCTAAGGGTGGGTACCCCATCGGAATCATATAAGGACCTGGACTTGCTGTAGTGCCTGGAGCAGGGCTCACGTTCGGAGGCGGTAAAGAATATGCCGGCGTACTATATGGGCTTGCACCCGTTGTCAACTCTGCAACTCCTGGTAGCATCCCTGGTCGCGTTGGCTGATTCTTGAGAGGGGCTAGAGGCATTCCATGGGGAGCATGATACCCATAATTGTCGGTAATAGGTTTAGGATAGAGGGAAAGGTTAGGCACGGCCTCCCTTCGTGATGCGAGCGGCCCGTTTAATGACGACGTCCCTCCGCGACCATACCCTCTTGGAGTTGTCGCATCGCGAGAAATATTCCCCTGTGAGTGGGAATGGGCATGTCGAGGAGATGTTCTAGTACCATTTTGCGACCCCTCTGCCTCTGTTTTCAGCGGAAATGTCTTTGTTACCCCAGCACGAGCTGCCATGTCTGTTTCGCCCAGCTTCCAGTGCATGGATTCCGCTGCTTTCCATGGTATCTCCATCTCCTCTCCAACCCTAGCCCACATGTCTCCTTTAAATCTGTTTTTTGTTGTCGTTAGCTCCATTGCTAGACCCTTGGAGCACTTGCTCTACGCGAGAGTTTTATTTGGCGTCGATGGCCCATCTTAGGTGTTACTTACCTCTCGTAGAGCCTCGCGAGTTTATTTTTCTTTTCCTCGTCCCAGTCGATCTTCTTCTCAAGGTAATTCTGGTAGTGCAGTCGACAACTTATAGGGCTCCTTCCTGGCAACCTTCTGGAAATGTCATCCCATTTCATACCACTTCCTCGGAGTTGCACGATTAAGGCGTCTTCTTCTTTAGACCATTTGGTCTGTTTCTTGGCAGGCGATTCCGACGAGTGAGGCCCCATGCTGCGTTTTGCGGCTACTCCCCCTAGTATTGATGGACCTGGTCTTCCCAAACAGGGAGCAGTGTACGACGGTGAACCGCTGGCTGGTACCGACGTGATGGCCGTAGTAGTTATGGAGGGGGGTACAGATGCGGATCGTGTATGGCGAGGGGAGGTTGCGGAGGACTCATTTGAGTCTTCAGCCTTAAGGAGAGACGAGATATCCACGTTGGCGGTTAAGGTGGCCTAGAGAGCCTTGAGCAGGCTATTTATCATGGGGGCGCTTAGTTGGCGCCTGGGATCCTCGCGGGTGTTAGAGACGTGGTGGTAATCGTTTTTTCTACCACAGTTGGCGCCGCCCGGCAGTCCACCAAGATATCCTAAATGCGTTTCGTCTCTGTTTGTTTTGTTTGAAAAGAAAAGACAAAAATAATCCTAAAGTTGCCTAGATTTTGTGTACTCTAGGACCGGTAAAGAGGATAACAACAATTCGGTGCCAACTCTTCAGGGGTGAATGAATGGGGTTCGGAGACTTCCTAGTGCAAAATAGAATAACTAAATAAATATCGAGATAAAAGGGGTTCTTCAGGTACGTGTTAGAAGTGAAAGGGAGAGAACGTTCAAGGAATCCAGAATTCTAGATCAGTAAAGCGTGATAGTACTTTGTGATTTATTACATATGATTGGATGTTCCCCAGTACTTTCCCAGCCAATAAATGTGATAATCTGAAATATTTGGATGAGGCGGCGCCAGACGGGTAAGTACAGTACTCCAGTCAAATTAAGTATATGTCAAGGGTTTTCGATAGTTCAAGGTACTTTATCGTGACATTATTCATCTATGTCCCATGGAGTGTTGATATAGTGGCGATGGGGGTACTATAGGTCCACGTCGGGGATGCGTAGTGTAAATTAATATCGGAGAAAAAAACAAGAAAAGAAACACTAAAAGAGAAATATCTACAGGAAGCTGGCGGACTGGAGGCTTTCTGGTCGATGGAGCATATGGTGGTCAGTGGGAGAGTCGGTAGCAAGGGTCTAGGTAGGTAACCCAAGCTCGAATAGACAACCAGGGGTGGGGGTGGGAGAGGGTTTATGGTGTGTCGAAATAAAGAGGAGTGTGGAGACGATAGACACCAGGTTTCTACGTTTATAGGCAGGCAATAGGCAAGTTGTGCGAGGTATAATAGAGCCCAGCAGTTCGTGGGAGAAGAGTTGGGTAACACTTCACCGACTATGCCAGCACAGAATACATACTTCTATCTGTCGCCCCCCATCTTAAGGGGGCCTCCTCCTCTTTCAAAAGGAGGGGAGGAGTCAGGCTAGCAAGTGACAGATTTTTAAGGTAATACATCTTTAGAATCGAGAAGGCTCTTAGAGAAGCACGCATTGTGGATATCCATCTATCCCCAGAGAAGAAGATTGGGATTCTAAGTTGAACAAACGGCTTGTTGGGCCATGCGAGATATTGACCGGGGCTGATGGCATGGCCACGAAATCATGCATGAGCAGAAGAACAATTCACCACTTCCAATGTATTTTTGGTTAGTACGCTAGGGGTAGCTTGCTGAGTCGGCGGATTAATGACGCAAATGGGGAGTGACGAACTGAAGAAAGTATACAAACGAACGAGGTGTTCGAGAGGCTCCCCCCGGGACGTCTAGGATTGGAGCAGCACACACCCTGGATTTCCTGGCAAAAAGCGTTGCCGGCAACGAGTTCAAGGAGTTCCCGCGCTGGAAGCTCTAACACGATAGGTCAGCCGGGGTGGATTGCAACATGCGCTTTGGGTCTTTGCGCGGTGCCAGAATAACCCAGGCGTAACAGACAACCCTCGTTTCCAAAAGGGCCATCAAGTTGCCGTCCTAATGCCGTTCCGAGGCTTCGAAGGAACTTGAGAGGACCCCTTGACGATCCGTTGCAGGGCAGCTCAATAAGGCTTGGATGAGATCGATTCGGAGAAGGACCCGTCCCTGGCCAACGATACTACATAGAGACCAAAATTCCAGAAGCCCTAGTGAACAAGATCGGGTGGCGGGTGGCGGCCTGTAGGCTATGAAACTGAGCACTGCGTACCTTTAAGTGGAGAATCATGAAACCAGACGGACTGCCATACGTACATTACTTGCCCTAGCTACCTGTCCTTACCTATGTATGTTACTGCTACCCTCGGTACCTTAGGGCAGTTCAGGCATATACATGTATGTAGCTATTGCTGATGTGCATGTGCGGATACAACCTTGGGACCTTGGGTCTACCTGGATGGCTTGTGAGGGTCACTGGCGAGGAAAGGTTCTTCTCATGTAGATATGTAGATACGCACTAGCACCGGCTAAGCGGGAGAGGAGGAAAAAAAAAAAAAAAAAAGAAAAGAAAACAAGGTAGGGTTTCGTCCGGGAGAGCAGGGTATGCTAGTCTAGCATGTATAACAGGTAGTTTATACATCTGTAGTTCATTGCGTATTCGAGAACATGGATTATAGGTTTGGCAAGTCTGGGGTGTAGTGTGTAGTGGTGTTGTCAGTTCAGATCGGAGAACGCCAACCGTAGAAGCGAAGGGAACGGTTTGGTCTACTTGCGTGGGTGGTGCGGTTGTGTGCGTGTATGTGAGAGCGAGCAAAGCGTTATGTGGTATCAAGTGGTATGTAAGTCCAGTGGGTGGTGGGCGTTGAAGTTGCCCGGACGGGACAAAATATGCCACCTACACAGCTACAATACCTAACCTACAGGGCTACCTTACAAGGTATACGATGGATACAACAGGATCCATAAGGTACATACGATTACCCACTCTTTAACGGCACCAACCCTCAACCCTAGCCCAAAATGACAAAGGCCCCTTGTCCCTCGAACACGGGATATGGGGCTCTCTCTTCTCTTCAACGCACGTTGCAGAGTAAAAGCCCAACGTCTGTGCGGCCCTTTCTCACGCTTTGATGAACATGAACTTATCACATCGGCTCCAGTTCGTCTCATACATATTATCATGGGCACATCATACATCGCCTGTAATAAGATATGGGCCGTTGTGTTTCTTACCTACTGCTTGCATTTGCCATTTTACAAGGTATGTCCAAGTCGTCATAGGCACAAAGATAAATCAATCAAATAACCAGTGTTTCCGGGTCTCCGGGAATAGCGATCTCTGGGGACCCGATGAACTGGCGGTCAGCAGACCAGCATGCATACGGGTAGGAGGTAGGTATCATACGTATCTTGCGTATACATTCTCATAGGTTAAGCAACTATTTAGACCAACCTGTCCCCTCTCTCGAGGCGGGAAGTGAAGGAGTAGGACATACGTATAGCGGTAGTAGTAGCGGGAGTAATAAGTACAGGGATATTTTTTAGCCCTCTCTCTTTTTCTTCCTTTCCTTTTTTTTCTCATTCTTTTTTGGTTGACTAACATATTTTATTTTCCTTCCCCCCTCATAACCCTTGCCATACACACACGTCAGTGACAGGGAGGTTAGGAGCCGGTACCGAACTTCAGCCTTCATCGTCTGTTTTAATGGCGTGCATGGGAATTAACTGCCATGAACCATGATCTACTTTGCCTGCACCGCATCACAATAATTAGGAAAAGTTGGTTTGGGCCCATTCTCGTACATGTACATGATGCTTCATGCTTGTCAAAGTCTTACACGTACACCACCCAAGAACTAATTTTTTTTCTTGCGCTGTTTGTTTCCATGTCGATTTCTGATAGGGCAGACCCCTGTCAGTTCCTCAGCATTTTTATGGATAGAAAAGGGACGAAGAAACGAACTGGTATCTTGGGCTGAGGGGGGTTTGCTGGGATATGTAGACGATGGATCGCGTGCGCTACACGGGAATTCAGGGACCAAGAAACCATTTGGTAAGTTGGGTAGACAGACAGGGGACAATAGGACCAAAGACATGTATGTACCTACTTGCTTACTTACATACCTACATAGGGAAGTATGCATGATACATACAATCATATAATGGTATTGTATGTACCGCATCTTTCCAAGTGCATACGGACAGAGACATGCATACATACACATATGCGAGTGTTATGGCATGGTAGCTAGCGCAATCTACTCTGCTGCAACTACTACAACTGGCAACAATATCGTGTTACATACCGTTCTCTCTTATGAATGAGGCGACAACTCTATCGCATATTTGCACTTTTGGTGTGCCGTTTTGTACTTGCGCCAGATTGGTTAGAAAAGCGATAGAGCGTGGGGTGGATGGTGTGGAAGAAGGAATTTCGTTGGCCATTTACCGTTTGACTGTTGCTGCCCGAAGGAAAGCAACGAAGCGGAGCGAAGCGCATCTATGGCGCTCTTCTTTTTGCTTCTCCGTCTGTCAATCAATTAACAAGAAGCGCACTATAGCCCTTACTAGGGTTTAGGGTAGATACATGATCATATTAGTTTCCTACTAATCGTAATGATGGACCGAATAGAGAAGGAAAAGAAATACATCCCCAGAAGAACAAGAAAAGCAATACACCCGTATTCAGCGACAATGCTTGAAATATGATATGATATAATATCATATGGCTGTTGGTCGGTTCGTGAACCCAGGCTAGGTCGATGTAAGGCGTACATGGATGTGGCCGTGCTACTAAACGGACTGACGTGCAACACCTGTTCGAGGTCAAGTGAGGCGAGACTCACGCATGTATGTATTGTCTACTTTTCCGGCCTAGCCTTGGATCGAACCAGAAATCCGGTGGGCCAGTCAATCTCCAGACCATATCGTTGGGCTCAATCAGCCCCCAACTCTCAGCCACCAATTTTGTCAGAAAATCCCATTAGGAAACCTCAGAATTCATCGTGACCTACGTAAGCTGCATTAATAATACCAAGTTTAAGGTACCTTCAGCCTGCTTCTGCCCATTTCCCTGGACAGTTGTGCTGGCCTTGCATCAATGGCTTGGTTTGATTGTTTTCCTCGACACACACCACCCCATCGATATCCATATAGCCGCAGCGCCGTGGCTTCGTCTCATATGCTCGGTAATTACTATCTCCGTAGCTCAAAAGACTCATAGAAAAACGTCAGATACCTACCTAATAGCTTGGGCACAACGGGTCTGAGTATAATGACTTATGTGGCGGATATAACAGACACCTTAGTACTGCCTGACAACTCGAGCTCAGCCTCGGTGACAACGCTAACATTTCACTCTGTGAAGCTGATACCGAAATAATATTATGACACGTCGAACCAAAATAATACACCTCTCCCGCGTTGTTGGGTCGGGATTTGACAGCGGGTCGATTGACCGCTTGGAGATGGGGAAGCGGTGAACAGTACCATAGAGTCTCGGATGGTACGGACGGGAACAACGCATATTTGCCTCCGTGATGAGACCACGCCGATTCATGTTAGATATACCACCTACCCAAGGTACTGTGAAGTGTTGGTGTGTCTATGAAGCGATCGCAGCTCCAGGCATCCCTCGAGATGCTAGTATGGGAGGAAGATTTGAGTGTCATTCCCATTTAAGGCTACAATATAAGCGAAAAGGGAAGAAAACTCTGGGTGGATAAGACGTTAGGTGGTAGTCCAAGCTCGGGTGGCGCAGCGGAACCGAGATGTGACTTGTCAGCTAGCACTTTTTCTGTGATAACCAAGATTTCGAGGACACCAGAAAGCTTTTGTTTGCTCGGGGCGCTACCTAGGTATGGGTTTTGGAGCAACTGGATCCCGGCACCGGGTCTTTCCCCGCGACGCTCCTAGCCCATAGAGGGCTGAACGTGGGCGCCTCGCGTTAGGGCAGACTGATAGGTCTTTTTTGGGGATCGCCGGTCGGCTGCCGCAACTATCGAAGCATCGTAAGCAATTGAATCATACGTGAGGGACGTATAGGTGATAATGATGCTGAAATGGCGTGGTTATGTCTCTAGGTTTCCTAGACGCGGCAATCTCGTGCCTGATGGTACGAAGAGTCGATGAAGCCAGACGCCTCGATTCCGCTGAAAAGAACCAGAAAGATCTGTCGTGGTACCCGATGGGTTAGATCTTCAGGTACGCAGATAATGATGCAAACGGCGGTATCCAAATCGTTGGTCCCCAATTCAGATTTGGCTCGTCCTACGTGACAAGCGATTGGATCTCGTGACTTAGCCAGATGGGACACGGACGTCAGCGGCCAAGTAGGATCAATTGGCATTGGTTTTCCGCACGCATTTCGCACGATGTTTCGGTCTACCGGTAAGCGATTGCTAACAATGCGGGCGTAAGTTACCATGCATTACGTGGGAGGATGTATCTATGTAGTATGTAAGCATGTAATGTTGTAAGGGCTACTTATGTAGCTCTCTACATATTATATGTGTGTGTATGTGGGATGAATCAGGCAGGTGTGCATGTCGATGCCATTTTAAAACTTCACGATGTGGGATGGAAGGGAGAAAGGGAAAGAAGATGGAAGAAAAAAAAAATTAAGATGCATCCTACCCCATCTGCCCATCGACCCCCCATCGACCTTACCTTCAGCAAGCTTTAGGTACCTTAGGTAGGTGGTATGGACCCATAGGATGGATCCCCTCGTTGGGGTGTTCCTGAAGAAAAGAAAAAAGGTCAGAGTTCATACGAGAGTGTACCTAAAATCCCTACATACATATGTACCTATGCATTTTTGGAGTATGAATAATACGCAACTTTGTACAGTACGCCCAATGCAAGGTGACAGTTCACACGCTTCAGGGCTGATTCTTACCGGTTCCAGGTTAATGTACCTATCGCACTGTCGCACCTACCTAACCGCGATCCTATTGTGGCTTGCAGATTGCAAAACTGTGGCGGCTTATCTAGCTGCAGTTGCCGTTGCTACCAGGGACCCTTGTTACTTTCCTTTGCAGTGCAACCTACCTAATATTTATGCATATATCGAGCAAGGATTAATCTAAATATGCACTTAAAATGTGCAACTTTTTTCAAGCCACCCACACGGATTCCGTGAACTTCTCCAACCACATGCTCAAGGCTACATACATACTTACATACATCTCCATCCTCACAAACGACTACCTACTTACATGCCTACATATCTATGTCGCTGCACATAATATAATTTAGTGCGATTAGTCCAAATTCGCCATCTCGCATACACACATTTCGCTCATTTGTCCAATATCCTCGTATTCCTGGTCCATTCCGATCCTTGGCCGTTACAGTACCTGTGCGGCCCGAGCATTGCTTGTGCTTTCTGCGGCCAGGGGTGAAATCTGACCCTACCGAGCTGGTGTGGAGATAAACGAGCGAACTCCTACTAAGCAGCTTAGATCGGGGAGCCTCACTCCTACCCAAGGTCGCGTTCCCTATCGTTCGTAACCAGGAAAGGACTCCGGCAGTCCCATCGAAGATCACCGATCGTCGGCCTTCATACGCCTTTCAGTGTTATCATCTCGTCTAAGCTTTTGCCACAGCCCAGGCGAGCAATGGCGGATATTCCGTTGCATGTCATCTCCGAGAATTCGGCCTCTGAGAGACGAGTCACCCCATCATGGTCGATCACCCAGCTGAAAAGGAAACTTGAGCCCGTTACCGGCATCCCACCGTCATCTCAACGTATTAGCCTTAAGACGACATCTAAGGAAACCATAGCCGTCGAGGCCGCAGATGAAGACACCACGATTCTGTCTAGCTTCCCCCTATCTGCTTATGCAGAACTGCATGTGAGTACCGCTCCACCTCATAGATACTTCATATGCCAGCCATCGGCCCAATCACTTTCGCGGAAGTACTTCGTATAGAGAATACGTGTCATCCCATTAGATGGTGCAAATTTGCTCACATGCACATATTTTCACAATAATACGCGAGACATGATGGACCACTAATGACAATACGAAGATCATTGATACTCGGCCTGCTGGCTCTAAGCTGAATCTCAATGATACATCGGGCGTGGAGAAGTATGTCATGCCCCCGGACGAGTACGAGAAGAAATCAGACTCGGTCTTGGCTTGGAAGAAGGCTGAGAAGTTAGGCCGCTTCAACCCGGACGCCCCCAGCTTGGAGAAGGCCAAGGTTGACGCCTTCGAGGCCGAAATTAGGGGTCGAGGCATAGAGGTGGGTAAAAGGTGCAGAGTTGGTGGCGACGATTCTCGGAGAGGTGAGATCAAGTACGTCGGCGAAGTCAAGGAGATCCCCGGCTCTTTAGGGGCTTGGGTTGGAGTCCACCTTGACGAGCCAGTTGGAAAAAATGATGGTAGCATTGGAGGCACTAGGTACTGGGGCACCGAATCGGCACTTAAGCATGGTGTCTTCGTCAGACCAGAAAGGGTCGAAGTAGGTGAATGGCCAGTGCTCAATGACTTGGAAGATATGGAAGAAATATGATCTAACGTCAATTTCTTTACATCTCTAATATGTGGCATTTGTAACCGGTGTCTAATCATTTGGAACGCGTTAATGCATCAAACTATTTACCAAAATTCATGAGATCAATCTCTAGATCCTTCTTAGATTACTTCTATGCCCTGATAGATTTAGGGGTGTCAGGATATAATCCTCAATGTACCTAAACAACATAGTGAGTATCTATTCAAATTGCGAATCATCCAAAAATGTCGTCATATTTATACTAGTATTTGTATTCTATTGAGCTGAGTGAAGTGTACAGGGAGTTTTCGATGTTCTACAGCATGCTCAAAATCAAATAAATAGTCGGAAATTCGATGCTCTAAATCATAGCTGCATCAAAGACAACCAAATTTCTACTCCCCTCAATCAAGAATAAGACCAAACTAACATCATAAAGAAGATTCCCAGTACCTACCTACCTATTAGAGCATTAGAGCATATCGGCGCTTCCCCGAACGCATTAATTGTCTTACCGCCGCCGTGTTATCAATGTGCAGCTTCCAGTAGCACACGATGGTACTCACGTCGCAAATCTTGATCTGATGTGTTTTTAGGAGTTTTAAATACGATAAGACCCCGATCTCAGAGGCAATCCATGTAGTACTTCCCGGGAGATAAGTTTAGCATCTGACACAGAGTAGATCTAGGGGCATAGGTAGATCGTACACTGCATATTCGGCAATGAAGATCGTGCTTTCGTCCCACAACATTTCCAAGAATACCGAGAAGCCACAATACTACATCATACATGATGCCGTACTCACGATCTCCGAGAATGAACAGGAGTTCTTGGTAATACAATAGTTCTGAAAGGGTGATGTCGTGTAGTATGCCAACGAAACAGGTACGGTGACACGAGAGGTAATAATAGGAAATTGTCTGTTACACAATTAGCGAGGGAATAACTTCCAAGGTGAGTCTTCTAAGATTAGCAAACTGTTCAGCTCGATTTCAATCTATATTCTTCTCGAAAAACTAACAGGGCACACAAATAATCAATAAACTTGCCCTTTCATTCCTCTTTTTACCCTTCTCGTGGTGGATGTATGAATCCTGAAGTAAGACAAGTAACACTTAACATTTTTCCTACTTCTGAATACAAAGTAGTCAAACAAACTAAGGCAACATGTTTCCGTCCCACTCGACACCAGAGAGCGGTGTAAGTGATCACGACAAGTCCTATACTAATGAGCTGGTAGACAAGGTCTTAGACGCGGTGGTGGAGGTTTAAGATGTACTCCAGGTAAGTTAGTTATCCAATAGGAATTAATCGCATTGAATTATAATGTAGTATTAAGGTTTGGGCATGGGGACCGTGCTCTTATCCGTAACGATTGTTATGAATCAGATCTGGTTCTAAGAGACTAGGGCTATAATGCGTTTGAGATTTATACACGTGCTACTTACGACACTTACTAATTTTCTTCAAGGACGAAAAAAGTCCCCGTCAGCTTTAAAATAGGATAGTTTGCAAACTAGACTCTTGCGTATGTTAAAGGGAAGAGATATTTCGTGGGGAATATAATATAACCGAATATAGTCCTATGAAACTATTAAGTGCGTTGATAGTATAGTGGAACTACTAGAAAGAGAAACTTGCATCGAAGCGAACCAACGATCTTTGATTCTCCTCATGTTGACTCCAGATTAGGTAATAAGATATAGAATGAGTTTATATAGCGGGTCGCGACCGGTAGGTGAGTTGCCGTATTTAGACATCGAGATTCCAATTGGATAATTCAAAGCGCAGCATGACTTATAGCAAGGTTCATGTTTGCATACCTAGGTAGTGATTGCGCGTAATTGTAGTAATTGTCTAAGTACAGTAATTCAACCATTCATGACTTCAAATTCCAAAACATACCTATACGTACCTAATGTACATATCATACGGTAGATGGCTGTGCGCCGGAGAATCTACTATTCGAGATGCCAAGCCAACTCTGCTTTAAAGGAAAGAAGACGCTAAAACGATGCCCGTCTCGGAATTATATGTTGCGTACAGAAAATCAAGCAACGTGATAATATCGCCATAATTGACGGCTTCATTCTTTTATTTGCCACTGGCCAACGCAATGACCAGATTTACGTTGTGTTCCGAGGTAGCCAAGTTGCGCACTGAATACATTTTCAGAAATTGTGCAACTTGAATTGTAGAGATGAAAGAAAGATGTATGTCGGCATATACTTGTATAAAACCAGGATCCTTGCGGGCTTTTTCTTAGTAAGTTTAGACTGGGCCGCAGACCCGATCTTGGCATTTCAATGCCGTACCCAAATACATGCGAACTGTGTAGGAAGCGAAGGTGCAATTGGAGGTACACGCGTACCTAATCTACAATCGGACAATCGACCCTTCCCTTCCCTACCCATTCCTTTCCCCACATCCCACCCGCTACGTACGCTTTACAGGCTTTACAGGCTTTAACAACTAAAGTCAAACCATCAAACACGCACTCCACATTCACACCACACACCACATACCACATACATACGTACATCTAACTTCCTTCTTCTCTTCTTACTCGTCCCCTCGTTCCCATGCGGCGTCGCCCAACACATCCGATCCGAACCTACCGCCCCAGCGCTCCCATTCGCAAGCCTCCCTCTTCCTCTTCCGGATCTACAACCACACAGCCTCTACCGCCAATCGCTTGTTGCCGATCAGGAAAATAAAGAAACGCCGCCAAGCGCCAAAGAACTTCCTCGGCTTTATGTCTTACTCCCGCGAGGAGAGTCGGTGTTGACATGCGACACCAGCCCTTTGCCTATGAGTGGCGCGCTAGGTAGGGCTATCTTCATACAAGGATCGGCCCACCTATCTGATTGATTTCTGCTGCCCTCTTCCGCGATTCTTGCTTTCCGACCATTCCTTTCCTTTCTGCCTCGGGGTAGTATTCCACAACGGCTGGCCCATCGTGTGAAAGCCAACCAAAGAGCCCGGCATGGCGACGTCGACCGTCGCTAGAGCCACCAACATGGCTTACCTCATCCTAGGTCTTACCTCCGTCCTTTCCGTCGTATCCGCCGACAAAGCCACCACGAGTACATTAAATGATCTCCCCGACAATCTGAACCAATTTGCTATGGAACTTTCTATAGGTCCTGTCTCCGGTCCTGTAGAAGTTGGATATAAGGTTGCACCTTTAACAGGACCAGCGGGGTTGAACCAGACCAACCCGACCGCGTTGGACGTACGGGTTCCTTTGATCCTTTCCTTTTATTGCGGGTTGACTAAAATGCATAACAGGCCATCAAAGTACAAGGGAACATAGTCGTCGTCGACCAGACCAATTATAACCAACAAAACGTCAAAGATAGCATTGCTTATTTAACTTGCGACTCGAGCGCTGCCGACAATACCTACCTTAGCCCCAACGACGTATTGAACTCGGTTATGACCAGACAACCAAAGGCGATATTACTGTACAGCATTGACGGGACCTGCTGCTCTCTGGAAGGGACAGATTTATCATTCAACTCTATTTGGACTATGACCAACTCGGAAGAGGCATCGGCAACTAAGAACATGACTTCGGATCCATCAACGGTCATGAGTGGCACAATACAAGGGTCGGGGAATGATGCCGACGATAACTCCGACGGGGGCCAGTCTCAGGGCGGGAATAACTCAGCGGTGGCGATGAGCATATTGTATAGCATCACTGGTCTGATTACTTTACTTTTCCTCATCATCATTGCGACCGGGGCAATCCGAGCACACCGTCATCCCGAAAGATATGGACCTAGAGCCAGTTATGGCGGAAGGCCAAGGCAAAGCCGCGCGAAAGGCCTCGCACGGGCTGTTCTAGAAACGCTCCCTATCATAAAGTTTGGCGACCCTCAACCCGCAAAGCCGGATCCAGAAAATGAACTGGAGAGCATCGCAGGAGACCGGCAGCAGCACTCGGCATCCCCCGCACAACGGGAGGTAACCGCGACCGACGTGGAACAGGCCGGTTCGTCCCCGGATGCGGCGGCAAGAGCGACCAATGCTACCTCCGAAGTTGCTGCTGCTGCTGCGTCAGGTGATGCTAAGGTCAACGGCGGACAAACGGAGGAAGATCACCTCGGTTGTTCTATTTGTACCGAAGACTTCAGTGTGGGCCAAGACGTCAGAGTTCTCCCCTGTGACCACAAATTCCACCCACAATGCATCGACCCGTGGCTAGTCAATGTGTCTGGTACCTGTCCATTATGGTAAGTCATTAAAGTTGATATCTATTAAAATATTTGAAACTAATGGTGCAACTAGCCGGCTAGATCTCCGCCCCCAGGAAGGGGAACAAAACGAAACCGACGAGGGCACTGATTCAACAACCCCACATGATGCAGGCGGCGATAACACCATTGATAACCATCTAGTCCCTCCATCCGAAGGTGCAGGAGATGGGAATCAAGGACGGCGGATATCGCGGCTTTTGGACTGGAACAGATTACGCCACGCTTCTGTTGACGAACGTATCCAAGCTCTCCGACAATATCGGCAGTCACAAGGAACTTCATCGGGCAATGCTTCAACCGAGGATCAAAACCATCACACCAAACTATCAGATCGGTTACGAGAAAAGTTCCATATCAGGACGAGAGCCCATCCACCGAATGATTCCCCTTCCACGAGCAATTAGACATTTCGTCAGTTTCCTCTAATACTTTACCGGGGTTTTCTTAACATGGTTTCCGTTTAAGGGTAGGGCGTCAATGATGAGTTTAAGTGACGAGTGATGTGATGAGTAGTTCCGATGAAGCGATGATGGTGGGGTGGGCGGGATGAGTGTGTTATACCACAAATAGAACGGCGTTGAATCTTATCAGGAAGGATAGGATAGGGTGTCATGGCACAGAGGGTTCGCATTGATCGGCGTTCTTAGGAGGGCGAGGTTATCTAATTCTACAGCCAACGTAAATACTTTAGGCTGCACTGGCGTTAGGCAGGAAAGATGGCGGCGAGTTCTAATTAATCGAATTGGCGTGGCGGGTAGTGGTACCATTCATTGGTATACAACATACTTATGTCTTTGAAAATGACCTCGGGAATAGAGGCGTCTATCTGACTACTTGGTAGCAGTCTAATAGAAAGGGTTTGAATTCCTCGAAGGCTTGTGGCCAAGTCTCGATGTTGTTGATATTACTAGTTGCTTGACTCCATAAAGGTAAGTGTCGTCTACGGTTGTTAGTCTTAAGCTCATCAGATGAAGCATCTCCCTCCATTCCTACTTCTAAAAGCCCAGCATACATAGTTCATATGGACCTTTTCCCTTTCGAGAGGAGGTTGAGTCTAATGTGAGTGAATAGCGGCGATGAGTTGAGACGGACGAGCGTAACCGATCGAAAAAACCTAAAAGCGCTTCAATGTTGAATTTTGGTCGAATTCTATCTCATCTTATCCTAGGGACGAAAGCTTACCTCCGTTTTAGGCCGGTCGTGCGAATTGTGAAGCGACGCTTTGACATCTTCGTGCTTGTCATGTTCATGACACAAATCCAAGTCGATCGTGGGTATTACGCCCATTCGCAATGATATATACATCAAAGCATCTCATATCGCCAATAATAAGTATCTGAAGTTGCTATAGCTTCTTGCTGCCCCTATTGATGTCGGCTTGGGAGGAGATAGCCCTAATAACCTCCCAAAAGTGTCATAGCAGACCTCGGACGGTCATCCGAAGTCACATTTGCCGATGGGAACAAGAGCAAATAATCCGATCTTAGATACACAATAACCTTGCGGCACATTTAGAGCTGATCGTGTAAACCCTAACTAGATCGAGTCGGTGCGGCTTACGGCTTGCTTTACCATCTAGCTAGGCCTTTACCTTCTAGTCTTATGTCTTCCGTTCTTTCTAGATTCTAAATCTTCTACGTAATTGATCTGATAATGAAAGGACAGGAAGTACTCTGAATATGGCTTCACTTTTATCCCATCGAGAAAATGGGGTCCTGTCATCAGCTCCGCCTGCGGAACCCCTCTCCGGCACGGTCATCAGTGTGATACTCGCATTCAGCGCTTTATCCATAATATCATGTTTCCTAAGTTCGTGATTCATATACATGAATATTAAAATAGGGCGACTAACGTTGTCAACAGCGCAAAGGTCAATAGCGGTTAAATCATGGAGACGCTTATCTCTTATTGCCATACGTATGTCTAGCCATCTAGAGAACCATCCTGCAGTCGAAATATCTGTATACCAACCTTAGGTCGCTAACGAAGAATGTTATGACGCCAGTGGTTTCCACGATCTATATCGACTCATGGATATTCGTGTTCGCCTCAGGCATCATCGACTATGGAATAGGCGTGGATACGAATCTAGAAGCCTGTTCAGCCGCTATACTTATATGCTTGTTCTTCTATGTTACTACCAAAGTTCGTATATCCATACTCTCTCCATCTCCACCATATTGACGAAGCTTTAGATTGTGAGTATCACAGCCACCTCACGGAAGAATGAACCAAGCTCACATCATTGGAACAGCTGATATATATCTTCCTCGTCGAGAAAGCAGTAAGCGACTCTCCTTCATACCAACAGAGACCACGAACTCACCACATGGATACAGTTTATCATTCAGGGCAGCACGAAGCGGCGATTTGAATCCAGGTTGTACTTATTCAACTCCTTCGGTATACTAAGTAAGTTTATACACCAAGTCAACTGTCCAATACTAGTATTCTAACCTACTAGTAGCTTTATATGCGATCGTGTGTACCTTGGCATTTGTTTAGTAAGTCGAAAGGAAAAATCCCCGCTACGTACAGTTATTACTGTCCTTGACTCTGACAACCAGTTAATAGTCGCATCGCTCGAATGGATAATGGACAATGTATCATTGGGATAGAGAGATCGGCCATGATCCCCCTCATAACGTTCGATGCCGCTGTAAACGTATGGTGGCGCCTATCTACTCTGCTTTCCGATATGCGGCTAATATGGTGAAATAGGTGTACCTCACGATCTTATTCTTGAACCCCTTACGAAGTTAGATACTCCTTCCATCTTATCTTTGAGAATTATTAAAGCTATGCTAACCACATCTCGAACTACCCATATTTAGGTGTCTACTCGCTAAAAGCTCGCTCCCGTGCATCCATTAATACTCCGAAATTGCGTGCTGCAACCATTCGGACTTTTGTTGGCGCCCTATGTACAACCACTTCAAGCATAGTGTAAGTACCATCTCTCCACAGCAATGTCAGGCAGAAAAGAATAGACGCTAAATTAACATTCACTTCAAGGAACCTTACAGTTCTCATGGTTCTCGACGGCGAGCCCGGATGGGTATGCCTTACATGTTGTAATGCGGATAGTAAGTGCTCATTCCCCTCCTCTTGCCTCAAACCAACCTAACAGCCCAGTTCTCTTTTCCGCGCTAGTAATCCAATGGATAACATCCCACGACAGCACCGGCGCTCACGATTCATCTCCCCCCTCTGATAAGGTCCAATCCTACCAACCAACCAATACGCTTCCCCCCCCACCAGCTCCTCCTCGCCCACCACGACGCGGTCGCGGGCAGAAAAAGCTCAACATCTCGCTCCCGCTAAAGACGACCAGTACGTCGCAATACGAGCACATATTCGGAGACATCGAGGCAGAAGCCGACATCACAAGTGCCAGCAGCGCATTTACCTCGCTCAAAAAGTCTGGGACCGCGACCCCCAGATTCGACTACGACATCTGCGGAAACGAAGGCGACGACGAACGCCCCAACGACAACAGTATACTCCAAGAACAAGAACAAGCGAACGAGGTAAACGAGCAGAGCGATACCACAAACGCCACAACCCTCAACGACAAACCCAACAACCGTACCCCCGACCCCTCAACCCGCACCCTAACAAGCCCACCAAGCACGCATCTAAGCCCATCCCCCCTCCCACACTCCCACCCACAACCCCCATCTCAAACCCAAACCCAACCATCAACCCCAACCACCAAACCCCATCCATCACCCGCCTCCGCCGCCGTAGCAGCCGACCTAGAACGACTACGCCGATACCGCGGGCGCCTGCAACAGCAACACCAACGCGCCAACCCAACCTCCAAAGCCGCCTCACCCTCTCTTTCCACAAAACCAGCAACAGGCCCCACAGGCGCGCTCATTAAACCCCCTCTCCTAGCCCCGGATACATCCGCCATGACACGTAAAAGCAGTGCACGGGACCCCGGGCACGCGTATCGCATTAGCCCACTCGTCTTCGAGGGGGGAAGCTCAGATTCGCGGTGGCTTGATCTCGTGGATGTGGAAGTGGAAGTGGGGAAAGGAGGGAAGGGTGGTGATCTTGGGGCGGGTGGTTGGATTTAATTGAAATGAAATATGGCTGGCTGGAAGGTTGGTGAAAATTAGAAAAAGTAAAAAGAAGAAAATTGAACGGAAAGAAGGTGATTTGGTATAGTAGTTTGCGACAAGAGGGAATGATATAGGGCAAGAATAAGTAATGTTTAATGGAGAGCATGTTCATCTAGAAGAGAATTAACCTGGGTTTTTGTTAGTAATAGTAGCAATTTTCCTTAAGTCACAAAACCTCACGAATGCATTGAAAAAAGACCAAGTATTTAGCATAAGCAAAGCTATATTGCTATTCCATTTCGTGTATCTCCGTATTTCCATGAATCGCCTCGATTGTAGGATGTCCCTCCCTGTGTAAAAACAGACTAGATGCTGGCGGGCATGACCCAAGACGACCAGATATCCAGTGGCTCGATGACATCGTGCCAAACAAATATGTACAAAGAAGTTTAGTGCCGAATTTTTGTAATCCTCGCGATGCATATCCCCTTTACCCCCCTTAAAAATCCGTTAAAAAATGTTGTCAAAGAATCGAAGTAATGCCACCAGAATCAGCGGTCATCTTAGGCGGTCCCGGCAAAGATCTTGCCGTAAGAGCTCAACTCGGTAGGCGAGTTCATGAGGCTGCCTTGGCTCAGCATGAAGTAGGAGTACTTCTCAACGAAGCTGTACTCATCACTGTCCAATTTCTGAGTGATGGCGCTCATGAATGCATCTACGTCGCCACCGCCGTTAGCGGCGAACTCAGTGATCCATACATTCTTGTTGTTGCAAGCCTCGTGGACCTTGGTAACGTGGTCTAAGAATTGCTCCGCACCTGCGTTACCGCCAGGGCCGTACCAATGAGCGACACAGAAGTCAATTTGACATTTACCGTCGCAGGCGTCCAAGAACTGCTTAAGCCAGTCGATACCTTGGCCCGCGTTCTCGCTGCTAGAAATGGCAGGAGAACCAATTCTCACCTTACCAGCGTACTTGCCGAAGAATTCTTGGTGACCGGCAGCAGCCTGCGCAGGCGATAGGTTAGATTGGGCGGCAATATCAGGCTCGTTGAAGCTGAGGAAAGCGTCGGATCCGCTAGAGATAGCAGCCTCTGCCTTGGAATCCCAGTTGGACGAATAATCCGACACGGAGGACCAAAGCATAGGATAATAGGCGACGTCAGCCTTAAGACCACCAGAATCAGAACCCCAGTTGTATGCCCACGAGAGCTTGGCTCCCAGGTTCAGGGCATCGGTGACAAGACTGGCATCATTGTACGCAGCACCTCGCTTGCCGGTGCTAGAAGTGGATGAGGTAACAGTAGTGGCCGACGAGGCTGCCGCAGCAGATGTCGACGTGGCGACAGCCGAGGATTGGGCCTGGGTTGTGGGGTAGAGTACATTGGGGACCGCCTCAGAAGAAGAGGAGCTGGCAATGGACTCAACAACAGGCACAGAGGGGACCTTGACCGAAGCGATCAGGGTTGTGGGAGTCGATGTAGGATAGGTGGGCTCAGCCGCCGGAACAGTGGTAGAGACGACAACAACAGATGAAGAAGACGATGAGCTAGTCGAGGTAGACGACGAGCTGACTGGAGCGGCGGGATACTCGGAGCTGTCTCCTTTGCCCTTACCCTTAAAGTCGATCGAGGAGGTAGCAGGAAGTGCTGCTTCGGTCGGTCCCTCTTCGCCTGCAGTGACAGTAACGGTCACGTAGTCAGTGATGACGACGGTGTCAGTCTCAGCATAAACAATGCCCCTCTTAGGGTGCATATGACGGTGGAGAGAAGCGGCGGCCACCTCCTGGACTGAGGCGGCAGCGCAAAGCGCTACGATGCTGAGCTTGGAATACATCTTGGATAATCCCTAGAGGTTTGGGGGTAGATGTTAAATGTCTTTCTTATTCGGAGTACTCGTTGTGGTGATGAATTCGTTCGTGTATATCAGTTGGTGTTGTACGATTTCCGTTGAAGGAATGTCGAGGGGCCAGCAGTCCAATCAAAGGAGAGAAAAGACGGATCGATAAATAGATCGGTCAAATATAAAATGAATGAAAATGTCAAAGGGACGTTGTGCGCTCCGCGTAGAGTGATAAGGCGGGAAGCAGGTAGCGCAGTCTATCAAAGACGCAGAAGGAGTGATGCGAGTTTGATGAGTATCTTGAATTGCACCCTTGGACGAGGTGAATTTGGTAGCGGTTGGTTTACTGCGTGTGACGTTGGACGGGGGGGATAAACAGCACACACGGTGTTGACTGTTCTTTTATATCGAAACCAACCACAAAGAATGAGTGAGAAAGGCTATGAATGGGTCGAAGCTGGCGACCTTGGAGGTGGAAACGTAAGCACTCAGTACTTGAAATGAATGTGTGGGGAAAGGAAGGAGATTTGATATCTCTTAGTGAGGAATAAGAGAAAGGATATCAAATGTGAAGGAGAAGAAAGGAAGAGAAGGGTCAGTTATGAAAGAAAGATTTTATTTACACCAGTGTTTTATGTTGCTGACCTGGGGGGGAAGGAACCAGTTAGCCAGTGAGAGACGAGAGAAGGTGGTGAATTGAGTTGAAAGATGCATATGTACCTAGGTACCTCTTTCTCTAATGCAGGTCCAGCAAGTCTGTCCAGCAATCGGGACGATGTGGGGCATTTGGGTGTGGTGGGGCATCAGGATCCAGGGGGAAGAGAACCAGGGGTGTCCCTTCCGCCTTACTAGTGGTCTTGATGGCTAGACCGATAGGCTCGTCTAGCTTCTTGGGCAGCCGCCGACCGTCGTTTCTGAGCGGCTTCTCTAGCAGCTGCAGGGTATTATTTAGGGTCGGGTTTGGATGCCAAGACTGGAAGTAACCGGTCCTGCGCACGGAAGATCTGACACCTCCAGAATCAGTTCGATTTAGCGCAAATCGATTTGCTAGAACACAATACTTAGGTACTTTACCCACCTGAATACATACATATTAATCCACTGCACCGTATTGTTTTTTATTGTTTTTTATTGTTTTTACTGAGTTAGGTACTTACCCGCCTGTCAGCTCGAATGTTCAGATGAAAAGCTGACCTGACCCGCCAATTCCTATTGGCTTCTTTTCAATATCCTATTGATCGGTACATGGGTACGTACACGTGTTGTACAATACGAACGGCGTATGTAGGAGGCTTGAGCACATTAGGTAGTGATTATGCAAAATAAATAGTGTGTGTGTACCACAAGAATAAACCTGTTTTCTCTTCTCATGTGCATATCCTCTGCATATCTGCGTCACTATTCTTTCACTGTACTCCTATTATTCGCGCATCAGGTGCTCACATATTAAGAATGTTTGACAAAGCCACTAAATCACCAAATAGGTGTTCATTATTTTATTCCCATTGTGTTTAACTTTTTATATGCTCACTTACATGAGCTTTATGAAAAACGTAGCGTATTGGTCACCAATCATGAGACGATACTACCTAAAATCTCGTCGCTCTTTCTGTATGGTCTAGATAGTGCCAGGTCAGACGTTTTCTTACGTAGCCCATGCAGGTACCGCTATCGGAACTGCAGGAACAAGGCGTAAGTAGACCGCTCAACACGAAGGAAACCATAAGCTAACGTAGCTAGAAGCAACTAAAGATGGGAGGGATCTCAGGGGATGTTACAGGTTTGCATAATTGTATAGGTGAAGTATCTATCTATTTGTATATACTATAATTTACCCCAATCGCTACTTAAATCTACATCGCACAATGCTGCCCATAAGCATCCCCCCTTTCCAACTTCTCAGCTTCTCAATTCGTTTTTTCTCTCACTTGAGACGTAACAAAGAAGGGGATGATGTCGCAAATACATTATAATTCCATTCGAATATCACTTCAGTTGAAGTATTTGTCACAATCGTTGCCGCCAATGCTTTAGTACAGAATACATGTCATTTAGTAATTTACCAATGATCAGAAACTAGGAAAATCGCACGACGGACGCGCCCGTCAATACTATGCCGCGCGCTGAAATTCAGGTGGCGGTCGCAACTACACACAGAAAAATATTGCTTTCTGGTCCTGATTCGATTCGAATTGATAATTGATCCACGTGTGGGCCGTGGGTGGTTGGTCCAAGTTGATTCATGGCAAGTCCAGACCCAGACCAGATGGGTTGCGTGCTTCTCGTCAATTGCGCTGACGCCTTACTTCTCTTCCTGGTCTAGCGTCTTACGTGGACACGTAGTGTACCAACAGGCTGGGGATCGACACGGCCCCTTGCCCAAATTGACAGGACCGAAGTTGAGAAAGCCTTTCTTCGAGGATGACGTGGTGCTTGTATGACAGGCTCGGCTCTCACTGAAGAACACCACATAGCGAAATTACTTCCAAGATAATTCCACCGACAAATGAGTTGTTACACCAGGGTAGCGTTACAATATCTATATGTCCCGACGGGCGACGAAATTGAGGAACATTGAAGATATTATCGTGTGGCTTCAGGGTTCCCATGTCAGTACCTTCAAAGCCCCTTGTCATATTGTAACGGCACATCAAAGCTTAACTCTTCCTTTCTCTGCTTTTTTACCAGCCGCTAAGTCGGACGATCCTAAAGATCAGCGACGCCTCGCCAATCGAATAATTCGATCCATTGTAACGTCTGACCTTGTTCTATAATTGGTCACTGGACAAAAGCGAATTCCCCCTTTTGAAGATTTGCTTTGTGAGAAGTTAATCGTTTCTTCCATCAACCAGACAAAGCTTACTCGTCGAAAAGGAGACCAATTGCATCATGTCAAGGTAGGAAGCTTACCCAGTCTTACTGCTTCCAATCCCTCGGTGCGCACAGGCGGGAGATCCAGAATAGGTAAACCACGTCGATATCCAGCTCCTCCAAGCATCAAGGTTAATTCTCCCACATGTTTATTTCAGAGATTGCCTAATCTAGTAATAATATTCTACGATATTGCTCCTTTTTATGTCCAGTAGATGCTTACGATATAGTGACATACCTAGGTAGTGACACAGAATTTAGAGTGAAGACTACCAATGAAATTAGCCCCCTGTGTTGATCCGTCGGGAATCTACATGAACGCCGTTTGCCAACGTTCTTGTCTTGGTCTTCGAGTCTTGAATAAAGTACCTAGGTAATGTGTAGGCTGAGCGATCGACGCCGACGCACTGGGTCGCAGAATCTATTTCAAGCTGCTGTCTCGGAAGCACCCAACCGCATCATCGGAGGTTCAACATCGTATATGAGTTGGAGGGGATCAAAGTCCATTATTTCTATCATTTCTTCTCCTATTCTTACCCAAGCGATACAGCAAACCCAGACCATAACAATCTACTAGAAGTGAAACATGAGTTTTCACGTATATGGTCTTCTCATGCAAATACAAGCATTGAGTTGTGCTCTGCATGGTTTTCGTGATATACACAGCATGTTTGCTGGTGTTTTTAATACAAGACGAAACCACAGTTTCTACCCAATGACCACGACAGTCATACGCACCGTCCATGGCATCCCGAGGCGGCATTATACCTAGGTACCGTCTCCCCAATATTATTTATCTCCGTTTCTTCCGTCATCTACTGATCTAAGAACCGGCCCCGCGCAACCTCCAGGATTGCGGATCTGTCAGGTCCCGTCGGCCCTACCGTCGATCTCAACCCGCTAAATTCTTGTAGTGCCCATAGATTCTCTAGCTGATACAATACTGAGTAAAGGGATATTATGTAAGTGTATTCGGACCTGATAGACACCCAGTTAGTCTTCTATCATATCATATCATATCTATCATGTACTGATTTTAAAACACCCACGCGAGCTGGCGACAACCCTAGAACTCGGTATGTGAGAAGTGTCGATTAGGTCAATGATCATGTCTTTCAACTCGTTTTAGTACAAGGAAAGCTGCCAATCAATGATTTCACATATATTTTAATACCATACTGCTATTCCAATTCATTAACAAATACTCGATATCGATCCTCTGGCCAATTAAGTATGCTATGACTATATCATTATAAAATCTTAGAGCCTTGTTCGTTACACAATAAACCCAAGGTAATACTATTACTCGTGTTCAAGGTTTCCCTTCCCCTTTTAGCTTACAGACCTTCTAAGCATCATGCCATATCCAATTTCTTTTCGGTATTAAAATATTAAGTTCATTATCGAAGGGATTTCATTGTTACAAAATAGATATATGAATTAGCAGAGTCTCAGGGAATATTTATTTATAAATATTCAGGTAAGATGCAAGGAAAATGACCAAATTTAAGCCTTCCTACTTAATATGAGATTCCTATCAGATCCCAAGCTTCAGTTTTTCATTCGACGATACTCAACCTAACCCTCCCTTTTCTACCATTTAGGTCGTATTGAAACTTCCAAATAAGGAACGATTTGAAGGATTTAATGTTGACTTCAGGATAGAATATTGAGTCTATAAGGTGAGGTGCCTTAACGTAGGATGCTGTTGTAATTCTTATTCTAGGATGATGGAAGACGGGTGGCTTAGCGGGTCAAATGATGAAAAGGGCGCCCAATACAGATGATCTAGCTTCGGTAGATAATTACTCCTATCGGCAGAGAGTACTACGAGACTGAATAGCGAATTATACTGCCGGCGTGATTAGGATTGAAGAAGGGATGGTGGGTCGTAATGATACTCGCGTGTCATTTAGCTACGACTGAGACCCTCATTGTATATGAATTGAAAGAGTTATACCAGTGATATTATAGTATATTGACGGTCGTGAAGTCATTTAGATTCCCTCGATATTTTGCTTTTCATCTCCTCGGAGGTCCGAATTTTGATACCGAAGCATAGCCCCCTTTCCTTCTCCACATAGCTAATCGTGTGCTTTAACTATACGTCTTGGCTTCTACTACGTTCCAAGAGGCTATGCAGCAGCGGACCAAACTTTTAGTTATCATTCAATCCAAGATTCCGAATTCGCGAGAAATAGTCGAAGATCGCATGTATACCGTTTAGGCGGAAGGGCTAAAGAGGATACCATTATGTCACCTAGCCAAGAAAATATCGCACTTGATGACCGAATTTCGCAACTATAACAGACGGGGAAAAGGCATCCCAAATTTTCAGTTGTGTTTGTAGGTGGTTGTCACCACAACTGACAAATTGCAGAGAATTTATTATCACTTTTTCGAAAAATCGACATATTGTCTCACAATTGTACTTTTGTCGATATCCCGGTAGTAATATACTGAAAAGACTCTCCGGTCTGACTCATTGCATGTAGATAAAAACCTATTTAGGTAATCAACAGACAAATGCAACCCTAATGAATGCTACAATCAAGTGCTAGAGTTATAGCTAAGAAGTGACGGACATCAGCCCAGTCGTGAATACTGACCAATTAGAAATTGCCATTTTGATCCCTAGTCGAGTCCTAGACAGGACGGTGACAGGCATCGCCACGATCAGACCAGCATATGATTGGCCCGGATGAGTAAAGCTGAGGCTTGCCCACCTATACTGGGCAGATCGACATTTCGACTCGTCTTGGCGCTAATGGCATTCCTTTCAACGTTCAGCCTCAAGGGTTCAATGCTTCTTCAAGGGGCGATTCCTTTGTTCCGTCGAACTTTCTTCGAACTTCAACTCATCCAATGGATACTGAATCGATAGACGATCTAGAAATATCGGAGTAATGGTTGGAGATGGAGCCGTCCAACTTTACCCAACCCATGATCCTTCCGCTCATGAACTTGAATGGTGGCGACGATTTCAATTACGCGAGATTCCTCGATGATGATATTGGCTACCTCGCTAGCAATGAATCGTCTACCTCTCTTCAGGCATTGAATAATGAATTCGGTGCGTCGAGTGCCTCGCCTCCGGCAAGTGCGCCCGCCAAGGCTGTCTTGAATCAGAAACAGAGATTGGAGCGGCGGGGTCATACCAAGAGTCGACGCGGTTGTTATAACTGCAAGAGACGTCGGATTAAGGTATTCTCACTTATACCCAGGCAGCGATAGGAGGCCAATTGCTGATACGGGAGTGACAGTGCCAAGAAAACCGGCCAGCATGTGGACACTGCGTGAAGACGGGATTGAAATGTGAATATCCAGCAGTTCCACAGGTCGTGCATCAAGTATGAACTCCATAGTGCCGTTGATCTCTCTTGAAGGAACGGCTACTAACAGGAGAAAAGCCGCAAAACCAAGTTCCTCTCTTCAGTCTGCAGGACATGCGATTCTTCCAGCATTTCCTGTTCGTTTGCTTTCCAAACCATCCGATAGGAAACGAGGCTATCTGGACGCATGAAGTCCCGTGTCTATCACAAAATGTATGCATCGCGCTGAAATCGGGCACATGAAGTGGGTAGAACTGATGATTCTTCATTGATAGTACGATTATCTCATGCACGCCATCCTAGGACTTGCGGCATCCGATCTTATGTTACAAGATCCCAGTTTGGTCACATTCGCCATGATGCATAGGCTGAAGGCCATCAAAGCGATTAAGAAGAGGCTCAACGAGGCCCACAAGTCGAACAATCCCGAAGAAGGAAACGCCATCGGTACGTGCCTCATTCTAGAGCTTCTTTTGTTGAGCAATTTAGAATCCCCTCCTAGGCTTAAAGCACAATACAACCCTTGGCTATTAGAATGAAACTTACTCACCTCTCTAGTGGCAACATGCTTCGCCCTAACCTTCCAATCCGTAATCCTAGACGACGGGATGGCAGAGTACATGACATTCTGCCGGGGCATCGTGCTCGTAGCCGCGCGAACATGCGCCATGCACCGGGACCGGTTCCTCTTCAGCAACATGGGCAACAACGAGCCAGCCTCGCTTTTACGCCCATTCCTCGAGAACATGCCCCCGGTAAACTCTGAATGGGTCGACATGGCCATAGCCTCCATCCGCGCCATCGAGCCATTAGTCCTACTATGCCGGGAAGACTCGGAGTCAACCTCCACCTCTAACTCCTGCGAAGAAAGGAGCGAGGGCATGGGAGTAGAGGAAGAATTAAGGAGGGGCACCGGAAGCGGAAGTGCAAGCGGAAGCACAAGTGGAGAAACCACCGGCACCGTAGTCGAAGCCGAATACTACCGATTCCTCATCGACATGGCCGAGGCCCTCTACGAGCCGAATCCATACCACGCCTACGAACTCCTATGCGCGCACTACGGATGGTGGATCCAACTTCCACACTCACGCTTCCGGCGCCTCGTAGACCCAACCAGCCAAACCGCAACCCTACTCGCCACGCACTGGATCGCATTGAAGCAAATCATGTGGCGTGTAACATCCGCCGAGCACCGCTTACGTGCTCAAGAACCGCGCGACATACCAGTAGTCAAACCCAAAAAGGACGGCGATGGTAGTAACAAGGACACGCACGGCAACGAAAAAGACGAAGACGGCGACATCTTAGTAGACCCGGGCATGGCGCGGTGGCTCAAGTATCTCAATCGCCAAGTCGACGCCGAGCACCGGCGCTACAACGACTGGCCGGTGTGGGTACAGCAACAACTCGATCGGGACATTAGGTACTTCGGAAAGACGAGGGTTTAACCTGACCGGTCTGAAAGCCACATAGACAACCGATACGTCTACCTGCATGAAGAGGGGAAGTAGAAAGAAAGAAACGGAGGGAGCTAGGGAAGTAAATTGCGTTATCGTACGCACGGATGACCATCCTATTGGTGGAGGAACGCCACGGCGGCGCTTTGCTTTTTTGGCTTTTGGTTTGGTTTGGTTTGATTGCTTTTCGCCATTGATACCACCACCGTCACTTAGACACAAATACACACCAAGGTCTATACCTAGAGGTACCTACATACGTGGGCTAATGTGCACAGTCTGGACCGGGTACTAGCACAGATAAAAACGAGGCTCTGAGAATATTTGCTTACGATTACACCGAGATAAGCACAGAGAAGTGTCTCGAAGAGAGACCTACATAGCTATCTCAACAATCAGATATCTCCAAGACAAACTCTTATCCCCGAGAATTTCCTGCAGAAGTGCTCATATCGTATGTTGGGAGCTTACTACTTTCCTTCTGAGACAAGCGTCCACATAAGAAAAATAAGAAGAAAATGAAAAACTTGGAAGTATTTTCTCATTTTCGGGCCGCGTCATGCGTGATGGCGCAGCCACCCATCTCGCTTACAAAACGCACTTCTGAAGTAGTAGGTAGGTACCTAGGTAGATAAGTCACGTCCCCTTATCGTCTAGCCTAAGTCACGGACATCGTGCATTCGTAGTCCTCGATGCCTAGATACTTACGTATGCTAGGTACCTACCTTGGTGGACATCTAGCCTTTTCGTATCCGTACTCTTGCTAGGATAGAAATTGCGAAAGGAGAATGTGAAAGAAACCAAGAGTCAATAAAGATATCCCGTGCCAAGCATCGTATGCATCTCTAGGTAGACAGCTAAGCTACGTATATCCGAATCCAAAACCACTGAGGTAATAATGTTAATTCCCTGGTCACAGTGCTAATTAACCCATTATAACGTACTACAACGGCAGTAACAAAATCAGTGTCTAGGTAACAAGGAAGGTGATCGTGCCAGTAATATAGGATGACTTATATAAACTATAGTATTAAATCATACGATAGCAACACAAGATCTTTAGAATTATAGGTTATAATTTGCTGGACTGTAATTCCAGCTACCCATTCTAATTATTCGAGCTGTCGAAGGACGTTACCTTCCCGACCAAATCGTCCTATGAATTGGTCCCCCTAATTCAACGGCAGATAATAACACTCGGGGGGGGGCCTCTCCCTCATACCCCTTCATGAAGAAAAATCAAACAAATCTAAACGCCTTGCTCTAACATTTTGTGGACTCGATTATTTCGAGTCTCTTATTCTGTTTCTGCACTATCCCGCTTTCATGTTGGCCGGTCCGATAAAACGTGTTGACCGTCCAACTCCATCTAATACAAAATATTTACACACGAATGAGCTCATAAACCTCAAAAGCTTCGCTCTTAGAATTGAGTATAATCCGAATACAACTCATATAACGAATGAAGCTAGAAAGTCATTAAATAGTTCCCACAATATTGGGGAGAAACCTCTGGGCAACCCCTCGCACATTGTCAGAGAATGTATTGTAGGTTTCGATTGATACAGAGGCACAAGTCGTCAGCGAAGGAGCAACACTAACCAACATAGCGCCAAGGATGAACATTAGAATTGGAATCTACTAGTAATTAGTCTCATTGCCATAATTAGAAGGATCGTAAATTGCTTACCCAGACAAACCACAGCATCTTGTCACTGCTGCCGGTCTTGAGCCTCTGAGCATGGGCTCGCTGTAGGTGTTCTTGTTGCTCCTTGGTGATGTTGTGCTTGCGCCCAATTTCAAGAAGCGCGGGCACTTCTTGCGATTGCGATGTAGATGCTTCCGCGGATGTAGGAGTTTCCGTCGTGGGTTGGTCAAAAAGAGTAGCACATTTTTTATCCGCTTCGAACTCAACTGCTGCGGTGGCTGCTGAGGTTTGTTTTACTTCGAAGCTCTTATCCAAGCTCTTCTCTGGGAAGATGCTGTCGTAGGCTGGGGGAGGCGAGTCCTTAGCACCGAAGAAGGGGAATTCCCATCGTTTACTACTGCCATCCTGCGGAGACTGTCCGTCCTCTGATCCAGGACGTGGACTTCGGATGTTCGGCACGAGAGAACTAATACGCTGCACAACAGGAGTTGCGTATAAGTAGGCTTGGTAATCCGGAAGTACGGGGATCGGCGGCAGGGCTGGCATTTGCATGTGAGGCATCTGAAGCGGTGGTAGATTTTGGAAATGCATTGCCATGGAATTCTGCCATTGCTGGAGGTGCGCCGCAAAGTGGTCTCGAATAGCTGACATCGGCGATGTAGGTGTAGCATCTTCATCCTCTAAGTGACGAGGCGGGATATTCTTAGGATAATGAGTAGGCGGGAATGGTTGTCTCATATGCAACCAATTACTCCTATCATCGTCATTGCTCCTCCTTCCAGACCAATCACCGTCACTGTCGCTGCTCTCCGCTGCTGAGCTTGAACCGGATCTCGAACGGCCAGACGTGAACTTCTCGCGGCGTCCCGGGGTCATTAAGGGCGTATCCCAAAGAGATTTGAGGGAGCTAGCACTGTTAGCCCTGCTGTGGAGAGACCCGTTACTTCGAGATCTGGAATGGTTCTCGATCTTCCGGAGGACTCGAAGAACGTCGCTAGATTGAGCAACATCGGCGGAAGTAAGACCCGAGAGACTGCGCATAGTCGGGTCGGCCCCTTTCATAATGAGACGTCGGACGATCTCTGGGTGGTTATTCATCGCCGCCAGATGCAGCGGCGTGAAACCACCCCTGTCACGCACGCCCACGTTAGCACCACGGGACAGGAGACCAGCAACAAAGCGTGCGAAACCGAGAGCACAGGCTAAGTGAAGCATAGTCTGGCCGCTCGCCCTCTTGAGATTGATCTTAGCTTCATTGATGCTATCATCAAGATCGATCAGCTCCAAAATACGAAGGAGACCCATCTCTACGGACTCCGAAAGATCCTGCTCGAGGCTGCTAAAGTTAGCATTGGGCGTCTGGCCTCCAGAAGTTGATGGACCCCAAGAGCCACTATTGTTGCCAGGCCCGTAGATGATGTTTCTAGCAATGTCCGCGACATCTGTCATTTTGCCACCAAGCTTATTTCCCAGAACGGTGAGAGCTGTACGTATCAGACGATGTTCGTCGTCATCGACATATCTAAATAACGGTTGCTGGTTGCCGGTGAATAGGTGATGCTGGGGGACCACACCGGGCTGTCTGATCGACACTGGGACTACACCCGCGCTTGGAGACGGCGGGAGTAGGCAGACCAACGATGTCTCACCCCAGTATGTCGTCGTAGCTGCCCTTTGCTCACCAAACATCACTTCAAGGCCGCCGTTTGTGAAACCGCTACCAAGAATTGTTACTTCGACACCGCCTGATTTTGGCCCTTCTCCAGGAATGATCTTGTAGATCATCGGCTGTGATCTACCCACATTCATAGCTGTAGGTGCATTGTACATGTTTTGGCCTACTGGAGGTTGCGGCATGCTTCGAATGTCATTTCCCATGCGATTCGGGCTAGGAGCTCGGCTAGGGTGAGTCGACGTTGGTGCTGAGAACATCGGAGGCACTGACATGCTGTCGAGGCTCAAGTTCCTGGTTCCTGATGGGAACATAAATTCAGCACCACCACTGTTTGGGGTAGGTGGACCTGTTGGAAATTGTTGCCCCATACCGTTGAGGTTTGGTTGTCCATGAAATATGGGATCCGTAGCTGTTGGAAAAGCTGCCATGTTTGGTGAGAACGGCGAAGTGGCGGCTGAAGTAGCGGCGGATTCGTTCTGCGCTCCCGGAATCGATGGCGGTGATTGGTGTGTCTCGAGTCTTGTCATCTCAAGACCGCTGGGTAGTTTCATAGATCCACTTGCTTTCCTTTTCTTTGACATAGGACCAGACGGGCTCATAGGGGAGCCCTGCCTGGATAAATTACGGGGTGCTGAGATGTTTGTTACAGGTTGGGGGTTCTGGGGGGGAAACGCCAGAGGCCCATTTTGAGCCATGCTCTGGAGGTCAGAAGATGACTGTGAGTGAAACATCATCGGAGCTTCGGCCGATTTGACATCGTTGATGCTCTGCATCGGCGAAGCTCCCAAGGCTGGAACAGAAGTTTGGGCCGTCGAGGTGGTGGGAATGTGTGTTTTGTGATCATCTGTAATCATTATTGATGATGAAATTTGTTGAGCAACAAGATTGCCTTGGTAGTCTTTTATGGTGAAGATAACGCGGAATCCCATTTTCTCGCCGTGGTGACGACAGTAGCAAGCAATACGCATTGGCGCATCTACTTGCACAGTACCATCAGGGACCACGGGATCACGTAACCCAGCTCCAGTAGGATCAAGCATATGAGGAGTGACTGACTGCCAGTCCTTCACTTCTTGGGTGTTAAAAACGATGACCCGCTGGTGCTCGTATCGATTCCATAATTCCTCCTCTTCTGGCTTTTTATGCTTCTTGCGGCCGGCACGTTTGCGTTCACGAGTTATACAACCGTTACATATCCGGACTTCGCCTCCTTCCTGCACCATTTGCTCTTCATCCGTACCGGCATCCTCCTGTCGGTTCGGATTTAGAAAGTCATATTGAGCTGTAGCGGCTCGCTGAAATGCACGTATACGCTTCGTCCGATCCTCCATAGCACTACTGCAGACTAGCATAGTGGAAAGCTCCAGAGTATCAGGTGACCGCATCGCTGGAGGTTTCGCAAGTAATTTAGGTTTTGATATTGTGTGTGTCGGTAAGTGAATCTTCTTAACGCCGGGTGGTAGGTTGTGCAGGGTTAATTTGATAGGAATTTGTGTCTCAACTCGAGATTTGAGCGGCGTGGGATGAACCACTAGCCTCGGTGGGGCACCTTGAGCCAAGCTCACTCGCGGCGAGAAAGACTGGAAGCCGTGCGGTATGTTTATCGAATCTTGTCTAATTTTTGTGACTGGTCCGTTGACTGGCAGACCCCCCATTGCTGGCCATGCCTGCGCCATGTTCATTTTTGGTATACCGCCATTAAGATGGTTGGCAATGTTCTCCGGGGAAGGTGAGTTTTTGAACACCACTGCCGGGGAAGCTTCTTGGCTTACGACTATATTCGACATCGGTGAGGTTTCTCTCGAGCCGCTCGTCTTGAGGCCGTTCATGGAGCTTGTTAAAGAATGTTGCTACACGCTAGTTAGTTTGAATGATATTATAAATCAGCAAAAGCACGAACCGATTGTGCCTTATGGTGGCCCTTTATCCTCTTTGCAACATGGCCCTGCGATCCAGGATTTATTGGTACAGACGATTCTCGTGTGACGCCGTTTGTGGGGGGGCTAGGACTGCTCGAAGCACTATCGAAATCGAAAACAGTAGACATGTCTATGTTTGATGGGTCCAGAGTTTCAAACATGAAATTCGTATCGTGTTGTTTATGTTCATTATCGACAGTCCAAGTTGGAAATGCCTCATCCGTCATCATCGCATCCGCTGAAGATACACTAGTCTTTCCAGTAGAATTGCCGCTCATTCGGGATGAATCTGAGGATGAGGAGCCACGGTGGGATGGAAGCGAAGCATATCCTGGTGCTGTTCTGTTCAAATTGGGATCTGTCGGTGGGCTAATACCCGGTGGAAATGGCTTAGATTCCCCATACATCGACCCGTCGAGTAACCCGCCGCCCGCGAAATTAAAAAGTGAAGTATTTGTAGCATGGTTGACATCGTCGCCATCATAGAGATCATATTCGTTCGTAACTGGGAAAGGAGGCATTACCGAGTCGTTAGGGAACGGGTTCGTCCCCGTGAATGGGGGTGACCCAGAAGTCGGCATGACCTAATACACTATTCTTCGATACGTCAAAGACGCAAAATCGTCCAAAAATCGTTAAAAGGGTAAGAAAGTGTTACCCGAATCAATTCCCACCGACCCAAAAATTATTCCGGATCGAGTCCGATGCTATCGTCGTCTATAATATCTGAAGGTTGGGGAGTGATTATAATGCGAGGTAACCGTTCGTGAAGGCCCTATCCAGCGAGTCCAACAAGGTAATGTAAGAAAACGTTATAGGGGGGGTTACAGCAACATATTGATCCAACCCAATACAACTTAATTGAAAGCGAATTTACGAGTGGGAGGATATTCGGACTCGAAATCCACCTAAAATCCACCTTCAACACCTATTAAATTTACAATGCAGTGCAAAGGATAAAAAACGACCAAAACTCGATGCGTGATTGAAGACTCGTATGGTGTGGCGACCGTGGTTCGGAATATGTGTGCCGAGAAACGCGGGTGGTTCTTTTATAACAAATATCGGTGAAAAGTTGCGGTAAGTTTTGACAGTAACAGTTGTTTGCTGGAAATTCAGTCTACAAGTAATTTGTATTACCCCGTTATCGGAATTTTCGATTACCGTTCTGACAGGTCCAATTGGGTAGTAGGACGTGGTTGTCGTGAGAGCGATCGAAAAAAGAAAAAACGAGGGAATAGCAAGAAATCGTCAAGTGTTTTTTCGAATGGAAGGAAAGAGAAGGAGGAGGGGGGTTTGTCGTCGGTCAAGGGAGTAAAAAAAGTGACTAGAATAATTAGATAGATTGTAATGTAGTATGTCAGGTAGGGTAACGGTTGTAAGGTGGTAGGTAGTAGGTCTCCAGCCCAGGTTATGGAGGTATGGGAAAGGGACAAAATGGATGGAAGAACCCTTGAGCGACAAGCAAAGTGGAGTTGAAAAAGGTGGTCAGGCAGGTCAAGGTGGGAAAACAAGCGCAAGAATAAGTTCTAGTACGCTAGCATTAGCAGTGAACTAAGTGGGCTAAGTGGACTAAGTACTAAGCCTAAGATTTTTGTGGTAACTTTCCAGCCTATCCCTGCCACCCGGCAAAACCGGGGGTTCTCCCATCTTTATACGGAGAGAGCTACCAAGTGACCTCAGTTGTTAGAGCGGAAGGATGGACAGGATGTAATTCCCACTAAAAATTGTTAGTGTTCTAGCAGTACCTTCCAGAACATCAGTATTCGTAGTGGTTTCTTTACAAGGTTAGCCACCGCTTCGCCATTCTATTCACTCTATTTAGTTATTTAGTAGTAATCTCGCTTAATACCCAGATGTTAGTGCAGCATCGGTGTACCTAAGCTACTGGGTAAACATAATCAAAATACCTACCAAATACATGACAACAAGAGCATACTTTCTTTCGTTTTAGAAATCTACATACATACGCATTGCGCATCGACGAGGCTACTGGAGTTTAAACCTTGTTCATATCTGACCGGGGAGAGACTAGACGATGACCTCAACCGTGAACTTGTGTCTCGTGCTCCAGTCCCGCCCGCACTGTTTCATATCCTTAAAACACTAGGCTACCTAGGTAACTACCCAAATAAACCCAGCTACCCCAGATAATGATCTCGAAATACATCCCTACATTGCAGACATGTACGCAAATATCTAAATAGCGTAAGATGTCGCTCGGCAGTGGCTTCGCTGAAGATCTTCTGGCAGCTTTAAATCCTCTCGAGTCTCGCGCCGGTGATCGGGAAACACCCATCATCAAATCAATATTGTTGTCATCAGTGCTGACCACCATATACATTCATTTCTCCAGTTTATCAGATACGATATACGTTTTTGTCAAGAGGAGTTTATCAGCGAGATAAACCAAACTCTAACAGCTTATTGCCCTATCTACAAGTAATAAACTCATATAACGGTCTTAGGTTATACTTTAGAGTTAATTGATTTTAACTATTTCCGCCGTTGAATTCAATTTAATCAGTTAATTCGTAAGTGCAGTTACCTATTATTTCCAGGCCAACCCACCAACACGAAGAAAACAAAGCGCAACTCCGCGCACTACACAACACTAATACTAATACTGATATAATATTAAACACCAACAGCAACGGCAACGACTACAACTACGACAACAACAGCAATATCTAACGATCTAACAATACACATCAAAGCTTAGTCGAAATAAACTCCCCTTTACTGTATCAGATCCACAAGTTCAATGTCTTGTTCCTATTCCTGCGTCGGGTCTAACTAAATTCTGACTGGTTCCTAGATCAGTTTTACTACGTGTAACTTACTCGGGGTTCTGTGCATATCTTGGTGGAGAGGCACATATTATATTCTCATGATGTGATAGGTCTTTACTACCGTGTCGCTATGATATACGGTCCCGCGTGGCCAATGTTATGCATTTCTTCTAGTCTACCCACCTACCTACCTATCTACGTCGCCTGCTTAGCTGTGGGAGGTCATAGCTCTCTTCTCACGGGCCCCAGGCACGCCATCGTCAAAGTAAGCCGTTCTCGCTGCTGCTTGCTGTTACTGAAAAGAAAAAAAGTAAAAAAATACGTGTCTCTGCTTTTTGCCAACCGCACAAAACATTACCTATCGAACCGCATCCACATTGCGTGACCCCCAAGGTAGGTAGCTTTTTTTTTTTCCCCGTTGATCTCTCGCCCTACGGGTATCATGGAGGGTTGCACCGGTATTAAGCACCTTCTATGTCGTGGCTAGAGCGACTCCGGGATTGATTGTACAGATAGGTAAATAGAAACAGGCAGTAGTTATCTCGAGTTACCTTGAAACTTCCGCTCAATGGAGGACTTGATCTACATAAGATATCTATTTATTTGTCTGCATCATACATCTCTTACGTATACCTTGTGACCTCCGTCCACGTTCGCTGGCCCTGAGCCACCGGAGTATCCGACACTCCTAAGCCAAGACATTTAGATTTTTTAAAATACACCCATGAATATCTACTACGTATAAGAAAATGCAAGTCGGTACCATTCTAAACTAACGGAGATGTCGGTTATTTAGATAATGCAAGGTCTACTGATGTATTCTGGCCGGAACTTTTATTTAGGCAATGTAACTCCATACCACCCTACCGATGCACGAACCAACTGTCGAGTTGGGTGCCTCAATCTAGTTGACGTGATCAACATAGTGACCAATATGTCTCTAACTGACTTACTGGTGTAAGTAAGTGTGTGTAACCGCTATCCGAATGGCTCGGATGGAAAGACGCGGGGGTGTTCGTGGAACTAGATATAATATAATGTCATACTCCGCTCAAAAAGCCGGTCTGGCAGCCAATAATTAGGGCTGAAGGATGAACTACTCCAGAAACCCCGTGTAGATCAAGGGTTCCATTGCTGCTGACAAGGCTAGGGCAAACCACAGCCACGGTCCCCAATTGTACGACAGAAAGGTAGCTTCTGATAGAGGGGAGCTTGTTGGTTGACAGCACCCATCTAATTAATGCGAGCAGTTTAACTTGAGTAAGCCGGTGTCTAGATTACTGTAACTGTCACGCTCGGATGTCCGTCCGATGTGGCAGTTGACATCACCGAAGTCCGAAACACACAAATGAAAGATAAGAAATCTGCATTTGTAATGGACCCTGAAATTTGTGTCAAAATGTTACCTAAAAGGGTGTAAATGATTGTATCGTCTAACTAACAGTAAAACTAATAGATTGGATGATATAACAAAGATGGAAGCTCATAAAAGTATCTCTAGTAAGGTGGTAGTTAGAAAGAAAAGAAAAAAAATTGGGTTGCCCACCCTCAAAAATTGACCATCTGTCTGGATGTCACCCTCCATATGATTTTCGTTGCAGGAAGTGCGCGGCCCGGCCAATGACCACTACTACCTTCTAGGCGTCGATATTTCACCACGCCCACGCCTCGATTGATTACGTGCTAGGGCGACGAATTTCAACGACATTGCGTTGTCAGAAGTGACAAATCACTCATGACTTGACCGTAGTATCCTTCTCAGGATCTCGAGGCTCCTTGCTAGCCGACGATGCTTCATCAGGAAAGCGAATTGTGCGGCTGGGTTGGGTTGGTGATGGTGTGCTTCCAAGCGAGCCCGGGCCTGCCTCTGTATCTGGGGATCTGGAGTTAGCATCGACCTTATCTCGGGCCTCGATTATTTCATTAGCAGTCGACAATTGTACTGTAGGTGGCCTAGTGGGAGGTCCCACAGGGGGTCCGGTAACCGCCGTGTTCTCTTTAATGATAGAACCGCCGATTCTATACATGGGTCGTGCTGATACAGAACGAGATTCGGTGGGCGTATCGAGCGCCGTTCTACTCCTAGAGCGGCTTCGCGACCTCAATCGACTATTTATCTGAAAGGGTATTATATCCTCAGGCGAGGACAAGGTCCTTGAAATGGTACGGGGTAGGTAAACACCAAATTTGCCCAAGGGGATACTAAGTCCATGGACAACCTTCGAAGCGATAAGTATGAGTATCATGTCACCATTTCCAACGATACGAGGCAAAACTTACAACGCTACAAATTACCATAAACCACACAAGAACTAGCACGCCTTCCCGGAGGTTAGCAACATCCCACCTTGCCGCATTTCCTTCATCCGGGTTCAACAAGGTTACGAATTCTAGTGTTATGTATAGGTAGAAGATTGCCGAACAGCCAATTGGCCCGAAGAAGCCCATGAAAACGGCTTGCCGCCAACCATCGATCTGTGGAATTTTCTTGTAGAACACCAAGATGAGGGGAAGACGCCTGAATAGCAAAATCAAGATCCCTAGGGGGATCAATCGGTAGATCGGAATAACGCTATTGGAGACAAAACTATGCCACTGTAACAAATACAAGTTAGCTGCTGTATGGAGAAAATATCTGGAAAACTTTGAAGCCCATAGCTTGCTCCACGAACAGCTCTAGGAGAAACAAAGAATGACGTAGGATCAACAATAGAGATAACAATTGCTTATGAATAGCCGAATGATAATACGTACCGGACACACAGCGCCGTACCACATGAATATAGCTACGTTAAGAAGCATATCGATAGTCGGTTGAAGTGAACTAGAGCGCCGATATATGATTAGTGGACGTGTTACGTTATAATTCAAAAACAATTTAAAAGCGTGCGTACTGAATCACGGTTAGCGGGTAAGGTTTATGGTATCCAGGAACACATCAGAACTACGAACCTCATCGAGCGTTCGTAGACGAAACCAATCATCCCAAGTGAAGACGTTTCCAGCGACGAAGCACGCTAAGATATCATCACTGCCAATCATACCGCATGTGCCGGTGATGAAGAGGGCGAGCGAAAACGCGAAGACGAGAAAGCTTTCACGATCCACGAATTTACGTTCTTCGCAAAAATGAAGCAATTCTTTAGCGACCCAGCCTACAGCCGCGCCGTATATGACACTGAGGATGATAGTGTATCCCCATGTCTCGCCAAACCATAAACCCATAGCAAGGCCAGCGCCACCTTTCTCATTAACGCCACCATCACCAATGTATTTGATAAGGTATAATGCGAAATATAAAAAGGGGTAGCCGAGCCCGTCGTTGGCACCGGATTCTGCAATAATGATTTTCTGAAGATCCTTGGGAACGTTGTGATCAGCGAACCTCCCTTTCACGATCACGTTGGACAACACCGGGTCAGTTGGCGTGACGCAAGCGCCAATGACAAGCGCATGAAGGAAAGGTAGATTTGGTACCAGCCCCCAGACGAGTAGACTAGTTATCATCCACATCGCTGTCATTATCGGCCCTAGAAGTAAGGCTAAAGGCTTCCATTCTTCAAGTAAGTAGCGGCTTGGAAGCTGAACCCCAGCGAGTACGAGCTGGACCCCAAGAACCAGACGGGTGAAGTACAGTGTCTGTAACAAAATTTAGCGTCAAAGCCTTGAGCTATAGGTGCCACTGTGAACAGACAAGTCGAAATGTGCTTTCCATCAGGTCGAATTTCCATGGCGCGGAGGTTCACTGGGGACTGCTTACAATCGCGTTTAGGTTTTCTTCCGAACCTGCATACTCGAGTGGACGTACAAAATTGGCAGCGTGGGGGGAGAATGTAAGGCCAGACATGAGCGATATGACTACAGAACCATCAGCCTTACGGACTGCCCATGTAGGTGATATCGTAAAACAGCTATACTTACGAGCCTCGGAGAGGTAGAAATTCTCTTTTAGCAGATAGGATACTAAACCGAAGACCGAAATCCACCCTCCCAACACGCTAACGACAATGTTGAAGTTAGTTAAAGCAAGAGTCGGCATTGTTGTTGAGTACCTATCTTAGAGATAGGGTTTCGAATAGGTATCAAGTAACGCCAGAATCGTCCTTGCTGCAACGCAAGGCAGGTAAGCAATGATATGCCACTAGCGAACTGAGTGTTATTGAATCATTTGGTTCTAATGAGGCTGTAGTGAACGTCGGCAGGCCCGCCACTTTGATTTCTATCTATGAAGGCGAGCGAGTATTGACACAGAAGTGTAACCAAACACCGTAGTACCAAGCGGGCAGCAAGGTGCTTGGGTCTCTAGAATTAATAAGGTGTATGTCGTAATGCCTTATTTGTGCCGTTTTTAAATCTTTCAATGGGCGCGATAGTCAGGAGAAAAAGCACGAAGCTAATACTTTCGTCAATGACGAAGCACTATCATAGGCTCAGCAACCACCTTGGTTAATAAATAGTATGTAGGTAGTGTAGGTAGGAAGGATGATGGATCTGCGATGGACGCAAGGAAAAAAAAAGAAAGATATGACGAATGGGGAAAGAATATTGATACTCCACTTCAAATGTTGTTAAAGATCGGAGCAATCGCCTTGACCGACCGACGCCGCCTTCTTATAATATAACCAAACAAAGGAAAGAGCGTCGGCTTCCAGATGCATAAGAGAAGCCACTAGGTTACACTAATGAGACTATAAAGTCTCAGCATATTTAGCATATCTACTCTAAACTACCCAACCGCGTTAGAATCGCAGCTACGGCAATTGCTAAGTATGATTACGCCTTACCTTATAGTAGCTCCGACATTCCTGCGCGCATATATACATCTGTATATTCAACCACTTATTCTTAATTGTTCTAGGTCTTGAAATCGGATACCATACTTATGAAAATTTCAGCTGCGTCTATCGTGGCCTAATGTTGCACACCGTAATTCACAAAATTGGGCATCAAAATCTAATCACTTGGCGGTCTCCTCATTCGAGCGATCACTCACTATCATGCAAATAGGTAGTAGAAAAGTCGTGATAGAGTATGATTATATGTGTCGAGGCTGCAGCTGTTACGACGCCACCGGCTCGATAATATATGCTTCGCCCTGTGATAGGTATTATCTGCGTCAAATTCCATACATGTGAGGGAGAATCGAACCGAGAAGAACGTAGACGATGGCCCCGAAAATGGTATCATTCGGTACTGCCCGGCATGAACGTCGTAAACTTATCATGGCATATTCCATGGCCAATATCTAGCATGGAACACATTATCTCATTAGAGCGGAAGTTTAGATCTTTCGCTTCGCGCCTTGAACGGCAAGCTCGTCGGCTGCCACATTTCCGACATCTGTGGAGTGGCCTTTTACCCATTGGAAGTATGTTTTCGTCCCTGCCTCGTCCCTCTCTTCGATCTTGGCTCGGATGGCTTCGACGAGGTCCCTATTCTTCACGGGTCCGTCTTTGGTCTTCCAACCGTTCTTTTGCCAATTCACATACCATTCTGTCGCACAGCTGATTGAGTATTTGCTGTCCGAGAAGATGCGTATTTTTTGTTGGAGGGGCACGATTTCTAAGGCTCGAAGAACAGCGGTCAGTTCGGCTCGTTGATTTGTTTGTACGTCACCCTCAAGGTGCTCCGAGACATTCCTATATCGGTCTGTTAGTAGGGTATCTTCCGAATTTAATTTCATGTCAGTAAATTACCTTTCGTCACCCGGACCAAACCAGACTCCGACTCCGGCGACAGCACCCGCGCGGCCATTAGAAAGGCTGCTTCCGTCTGTATAAACATGCTGAACGCCTGGCTCATCTTGAGTGGTAGCGGTAGTATTAGCATCTGTATCGGCGCCCGTGGACTTTTTTGTTCTCTTCGTAGGAGGCTCGATTCCTTCATTCTTCAGTGCTGCTATAGCTTCTTCGTTTCCATGTCTTCGGATAAACTCTACTGCATCTTCGCGTGTGTCGAACTTTTTATACTTCGGTCCCTTCCAACCCTTGATAGCAAGTGATGCTGTGTCCCAGTCGGTGTAAACTCCGGGTTCTCTGCCGATGGCTACTGCATAGTACCTCTCCGCACCCGGGGCCGCAGCCGATGTTTTTTTGCCAGCAACAAATGCTTCTGCATCCTCCCTACTCGGGAAAGACTTGTCTATCAAAAAGTATTTGTTAGCCCCTAGGTGATGCGTAGCAGATACTTAGCTCACCTACATGAGGCACCTCTGAATCCCGCAGTCTGTTCCTGGCATTCCGCCCAAGTCAAATATACTCCCGGTTTAACTCCTGCTCTTACAGCATAATATTTCTGAGCGTCGGGGTCCATCTTTCGTTTCTTGCTCGTTTTGGCTGGAGCTGTTGTCTTGGCAGGCTGCGAAGCAGTCTTCGACGGCGGGTTTTTCTTGGGTGCGTTCGGCGGCATTTTGAGAAATGGGGATGCGATCTTTTTCAAGGCTGATGCAATTTCACTCGTCCATAGCAATATGCATGACCTGCAGGATCCCGTCCTCTGAGAAACCGGTGGTACTTGTTCGAAACACGCGGCTTTGTTGTCGATGATGCAGGAACTGCAGGTAACCGTGGGCGCAAAGGTGCGTGAGAAGCGGTGTCGGAGAAGTCAAAGGAGTGTCATTTTCATTGAAGACTGGACAATTAAGACCGCCTAGGGAGGTCAAAGATACTTTCCGTTCCCGTCAGTAACCTTCCCTCCTTTTTTTTTTTTGGCGACGTGAACAAAATGCACCAAGGTTAGGCGGATTGGTTAGGCAAATAGTGGATGTATGTAGGTAGGTCTTTAGGGGAGAGGGGAATCCTCCAGGGCTATCAAAGCTTCCTTAGTCGCTACGATACATCGGACTGGGTGCACGTATGACAGGGATGCTAAGCCAAAGATGGAATACTGCACTAATCTATGCATAGGCGGAAGTGGGTTTTCTACGAGTGATAAGATAAGGGATTGGTAGATAAGTGGGTTTTAACTAGGGGGGCGTGTATATTTTATGTATCATGTGGGGTCCGGAACTCCACGACGCATCGGAACCACCCTTTCGGGGCAGCTACAACACCTGTACATACACATAAGGTAAGGAAGTTGTGCTGTGTATTGATCATGCCATCACAGTTATTCTTTGTAATACATGTATATATTAACTGCAGTATTTGTTTTTTGTTGTGCCTTTTTTTTTCTTGCTCTTACCTGTGATACAACTTTCACTCGTCCTGGGTATATCATGCATGCATCACCGTAAAGCCTCAACCCAAAAATATACAATGAGCAACCTTAGCTTTCCTTTCCTTCTTTTCCTCTCTGCTTTTTTTCTACCTCCATTCCTTTCCCTGTTCCTGTTCCTTTTCTCGTGACCAAGCAGGTATGCTGGGTCGTCGTAACGCCTTAAATCAACCTAGGCAATATAGGAACGAGAATAAAACAAATGCCATAGCCTAGCTGCGGTACCTTCTTTTCCCGTCCTCGTGTAATGTTAAACCCCATCAGTAATGCCAAATTGTGGCAGGAGGACTACCTAACTCCTCTGCTTGCCTCAAAACCAAACTTGTGAGTTCATCGTTACCGAAAAATGCTTACGCATGTAGGTGCGCGTCGACCACCAACGTCTCAATGTTGTCGGACTCCCACTCCCATCCCAGCAGAGTCCAATTCAACTCTTTGCGCCAGTGAAGTCCGAGTCCCTGGCCTCCACCGCACAAGCCAGTCTGACAAGTTCCCGAGGTTGCGCACGCATCATGACTTCGATCCTCGGAACACATGCCGCCCGTCAATGGCATACGTTGGCGGAAGACAATTCGTCCCATGCGTGAATGCAAGATAGCCATAGCGCACATGATACATGGCTCGTGAGTCATGTATAGTTCTAATTCGTGGCACAAGTAGCCATCAGGACAAGGGTGATCGGCGTTAAATACAATCTGCTCATCGTCGAGGAGGGGTTTGTCCTGGAATGCCTCGAACTCCATAACTCGTGGTTCAGATTTAGGCCTCTCTTCAGCCCTAACTAACTTCTGGGCCACCATACTGATTGCTCGGAGTGCTGCGTGGGCCATAGGGTTACCAGTATGTCCGGTCCTTTCTTGCTGGTGCCAGCGAGCATCAGCTGCGAGAGCGACAATCTGGGTTGTCTCTCTCGGTTCAGGTTCAGGTCCTGGCTGAGCATCACCCTGATTCTCGGCGTTTGAGACATCCAACTGGTTGGTGTCACCAGTGACGTCACCTGCAGCAGGAGCCTCCACGGCGTTGCCGGCATCAACCGCGGTACCTTCATTGTTGGAATCAGATTCAGCAGGACCTTGGTTGGGGCCTTGGTTCGCTGGGGTGGCCCTCACAGGATCGGGCCTTCCAGGAATAGTCCGCTTAACGATGATGGCACCAATGGGCTCTCCCAGGCCAGATATCTCTGCCTTTTTGGCAACTTCGTGTGCCAGTGTCATCCATATTCGGACGTCGCGGGACACATTGGTCTCAGATCGAGATATAGTGCTTGGGTGAGGACCGAGTGGGTTGTTCTTGCGATAAACAGTTTGCCAAAACTGCTGAGACCACATGTTGGCTTGGATCTGCGAGGTGGGAGCCATCAGGGGAACTGGGACCGTCGTCACGAAGATGTCATCCCTAATGTCATCAATGGCGCTAAGACCGTTCACTAGTTCTTCGTACGGCATCCTATCCACAGGACCAAGCACAATATAGAGCCAGTTGGATTTGCCGAGGTGGACTTGTCGACCGTTTCCTTCATTCATGAATTGTGATTTGAGATGGGGTGGTAAGTCGCAGGGTTTTACGCATCGGCGCAGGTGAGGGAGGTTATTAGCTGCATCATCACCGGCAAGAGCTCGCGCGACACTGTAACAATCCGCATTAGCTTGTGTTAGGATGCTCTCGGGAAAATATATCTTACTTCACAACGTCATTAGTAGATTTGTTAGGTGCTCGTGTAACATATGCCAGGCCAAGACAAAGGTTGTCACGCAGCTCTAGAATGGTCTTTAGAGGTACTAGGGTTCCTAAACCTATATGCTGCGGGAGGAGTTCTCGGGAGACAGGGTCGAGCGAGTCGACAGCTTCTTGCAAGGGATCGTTCATAGCGGCTACGTCGAGAAAGACACGGGCGTTGTATACGGTCGGGTATCGACTTGACGAGAGTGAAACTGTGAGGCGGACCTGCTGTTCGATCTAGAGCCTCGGTGTGGGAGATAGTATGGAAGTCAAAAAAGGTGATGGTTGAAAGCGTGTTGGCGACGAGAAGTAACCAGTAACCGCACACCAAGATCCAAGAATGTATAGGTTGACGGGGTTCAGATTAAATGAGAGACTTGATCCAATCCTATGTCAGGGCTCGGGCTCCCAGCATTGTGCTCAAAAGTCAGTAAATGCATAGATGGGTGAAGGTGTAATGGATGCACCCTCAGAGAACACGAGAAAGGACGGATTTGTTGTTTTTGAGGTCAGGGAAGGGAGACGTCGTGTAGTTCTTAGATGGGTCGAAGAGCGCGACTCGTGTTTGTTTCGTCGTAGCAGCTGTGTGTGTCGTGTGCTGTAGACTGGATGGGAAAGGTTGATCTTAGCTTGCGGTCGTGGTGGGAAAAAAAAATATGAATTTTTGAGATAAATCATAAGCTTTGGGAAGCGCTGATCAACCTTAGTTACCGTGCACCTCATGCGGAGGAAATTCTCCACAGGAACGATGGTGGAGTTTATCGATAAAGCCCTTTAACCTGGGAGCGCCTGAACCTTACTGCCTGCTAGGTATCGTACTAAATCCATACAGGTACGATTTTAGCACATTTATTCACATAAATCAAGTACCTACCAGCATATATCAGAGGTACCCAAGCAATTTTGCATAGCATTCCAAGTATAATACTGTACTGTAAGAATTAGGTATCTAATGTATTTGTAGTATGCGCCATTGGTTAATAGTTTAATGCATAAATGTCACCACCATTCGTAATGGTTGGAATTATAGCCCGCCTTTGAGGCCTTGCTATGACGTAGGTACATCTCAGCTACAGCAAACTTCGAATAACATAAATGTGCTTAGGCATATTTATGAATTTTTTCGAATGCCTTAGAAGCCTTAGAATATAATGTGCTTTAATAGTTATTTTTTTTTTCTCTTTGTTTACATGTGTACCAAGAAAAACCCAACCCCATGGCATTGGATTTGAACGATCTGAAAGTGCCAAAAATAGCGTGAGATGAGTACATGTGGAAAAAATAAAATAAAATAAAATAAAAACTCGGGGTCAATGCGATTTTGGCATCTGACGTAAAAAAAGATACGGATGGATCCATCCCTAGCAATAAGCTAAAATGATAAAGTTCATAGCCTTATGCTAAACGATGGTTATAGCTATTGACAATACATCCAAAGCTTGAAATCTTTGGGACACTATCTGATTCGCTAGAGTTACTTTTTATCTTATGCACATGCCCCCTGTCCGCATTTGCTTAGGTAGGTGCTTCCAAGTTATAGGTATATATGCGTATATAATTCCTATCGCCGAGGCGAGGGGTGATCGTGGGGCTTTTCCAACTTCTGCACATAAGTCAATACCCCCACCGCAAACCCGCGAAAGGCTGCGCGATATGAAAGAGTAAGAGGAATGAGGTGCGTAAAGGGGCCGGCCTTATCTCCTCCTAATTCCCCACGAATGCTGCGCTCTTGATCTACCACGTGGGCTCGTAATCCTCTGAAGTGACGCTTCTTGAGGTATTTATTGGAAGACATCCAAGGTGTACTACCTACCTACTTAATAGCTCAGATTTTATATTAACGACGGAGCCGAGCCAAAGAGCCACCCGCAGCACTACTTGGTCACCATCACTTCCCCAGGTTTACGTTGCATTATACAGTCAATCTCGCGTCTTGGGGTATGAGTGCGATAGATTGGAGACGAAATTTCTTACCCATGTGATCAAACTGTAAGAGCGATCCAGTGTAGCAGCTCTCGATTTCTACGTAGCTATTATTCACGTGAGTTTGCGCCAAAGTTGCATACAAGGGATGTTGCTAAGCAGATTTTCAATGACTATTGGATCTTACAATCGCTTGGTACCCAGTATATGTGCTGATCTCAGATCCCAAGGGTCTGATGACAAGTGCCCCTTGGGGTAGTGCTGGGGTACTCATCTTCAGCCCCGGAGAAAATGGTTGGGCATGAAGTTACTTAGATAGTGTATATCCGGTAACGCTCTTATATCATCGAGTCCAAAAAAAGAAGCCATCGCCAAGGCGGATCTCCGGTAAATCTCTCATACTACGTAGAAGGATGAGCCTAGGCCGTCGCACTGCGTAAGCCACGCCCATACACAAGCGTCCCGTTACGGCGCGGAGAAACAAATGGTAAATTCTCAAGATAACATGGGAATTAAGATATTGGGGACAAGTAAGAAAAAAAAAGAAAAAGTATTTCCAAGTCCGGAGTTACAATTAAGTGAATGTACCAAGGGGGGGACCAGTACAGCACAAATCCGAGATCCGACGAGTAAATTACCTAGTATATGCCTACCAGCTCCGGCTACTTTCGCTCCTCTCAACATTCTTCACAACTTGATAGAGCGTAATCTTCATTGCGCGATAATTACGTTGCAGGAGTTCAGACACCACCTGGGTTGTCAAGTCAGCGAATCAGTTGTGGTAGCACTTACATGGCGTACATCCTGAGACCTTCTCCGGTCGGAATACTCATAAATCCAATGATAGATAGGTAATTTTAGGCGGGTGTAATTGCTGTACATAGTAATAACATTTCTTCTTTCTCATTACCTTTTGACTAGTATTGAAGGTGGAGGGGTTACCAATGCGCTGTTTGTTGACGGTTGCCTACCTATCTAAGAACCAGGTTTGTATAGGAGGGAGGGAGAGAGGGCACTTAGACACAAGATAGGACAAGAGTTGATATTAATTTTTCTATACAATCCTACCGTCCCTCCCTTCCCTGGACTTTCCAAAGTTAACTCTCCGTAACCAGACGACTTCCCCAAGTGCCTGACTACCTATTTAGTCTAGCCTTGTCCTTTAGTTTGAACGTTATTCTTCGGGTGTTTAAAGTCTACCTATATTAAGTTTTGGTTGCTTAAGAAACAGTAATTTGTCACTGTTACATTTAACATTTTGCATCTTACAAGACCAATTCAGGTCGTCTTTAAAAAAACAAGGGCGACCACCACTAGACTAGGAAGCAGAAACACCCGAGCTTGCAGAAACAAAACGCGAAGGCGCTGATCTGGCTAAGAAGCTGAGCCTCTGGGCATATTTGTCTCAGAGTGAAAGACAATTCAATAATTCTTCTTGGGCTTTACCAGCACGTCTTGGCTTCATATCGAAGAAGGATTGCCAAGGACCAAGGTTCGAAAACTGGGCCAACTGTTGGGTGTCCTCCGCCCCATAGCCGACAAAACACTGAGCCTTCTCTTACACACCTAATACATAAGATATTACGGTGATTTACAAGGGGGGCCAAGCACCCAGGTGTTAACGTCAGGGACGCCGCAACCGCAATCGCAACCACAGGCGCTAGGAGCGGGTTAGAAAACGACATCATAAAAGTCCACCGACAGCCCACTTCGCGCCCACGTCAATCACTGATGTTTGGCCCACTGTAAGAGGAGAGAGGTACCCGTGGACCACTATTTCTTCTTAATCACTTGCCCTCTGGTAGGAAAAGGTGATATCAGAAAACAAAAGTCTGGAGAAGACGGCAAACAAGAACGACATCATTCATAATTGGTCTCATATTATTCCCATTTATTTTATTTCTACTTCTCCTTCTCTTTTTCGATCAATCTTGCATTAATTCTTCATCATCACCCTCGTCATCATTATCAAATTATTCTTTTTCTTCTCTTTGCATATTCGCACGCAAGCCTTACCTTACGCATTTACACTTACACTTACACAACCGCAACGTCCACTGTACAACCTGCAGTCCGTATCGGACCGTTCGGGATCGACATTGAGACGACAACTGAGAGTGACCCTTGTGTTGTCCTTATCGGATCTTTTCTTTTGGTTCTTAGCGAGTCAAACACGTTGGTTATACGGCTTCCAACTGTTTGCACCGTTAGTGCCGTGGGAGAACCGACAAGACGGAAAGGACGGTCTGAAGCTCTTGTCAATTGGCAAGCCTCGAAGCTTCTTTGGGTGGTGCAGCTAGGTTACTGCTGCACGATTACATTATCTTACCTTCTAGACTCGTCCGATTCGCCGGTTTCGCTACAATAGGTGGTTGCTCTACTGCAGGTTCCTACCCTAGCTTGCTACCTTCAGGGCTCTCTTTCCATATTGGACGGCAACCATATCTCTTGGTATTGCATTGTCCGTACTAGCGGTCTGCGCTAAAAAAACCTTAAACCAGCTAAGGTTAGGAGGACCCTTAAAAAATAGTCCGGAAGCAAGACACCGCGGACGATGACTCCTCGTCTGCACGTAAAGGGAGCAGGGCCTCTCGAGGTTCTTGCGCCGGTTGAGTGTCACAACAATTCTACTGTGTACCAATATTCTTCTAGCTCTACCACACAGGGTAAGTCCATCTATCTTGAACTGAAAGAACCACATTAAACCTTCTAGTGTGATTTCTTTTATTCTTTCCTTTTTTTTGCCCTCCGAAGATATTTTCTTTTTTTCCTAAGCAAACCCACTACCGATCCTCGATTTGATTTTTTAACTTTTGCTTTCACTTTTTCCTACATACGCCTTTATACACATACCTACTTCATCATCGATCGTGCTTTACATACTATAGTACTTTCCAACAACCTATTGCGACAATTTCCCATCCCCCCCCTCCCACTTCGCACCTGCACCTGCCTGCACCTTAATTCTACATTCCTTGTTACTGCATAAAATTGCACCCACTTTGCACGTTCCCTCTCGTCTCGGCGCCCCGATAATCGGTTGCATTTACTAAATTCAATTCCTTTTTTTCTCCCTCTTTAGATCGCAAACCTTCCAACCGAAGACAATCGCAATCACAGCAGTCGTCGCTAGCAAAAGCGGCGATGAACAACCAACGTCGGTTTTCCACCTCAAATTCTCCTCCTCGATCTATCCCGACGCCTCCAGAACACACAACCACAACCGAGTCCGATTCTCGTACCACCAGCTCCGACGCTACTCTGGCCACTACCGGTACCACCTCTCATGATGGCACGTCAGCATCACCACCCACACCCGTGTCCTTAAATGGCGACAGTACTGGCGTCTCCCATCAAAGCACTCCGAGCCAGAAGGGCCTTGCGCCACCTACGCTCAACAACCTACCACATGTTAGTCTCGGTCCAGTCGCGCATCCCTCTGCGCATCCCTCATATCTAGATAGTGCGCTCAGGGCCATAAACGAAGGGTCTGGTGGAGCTGCCGTCCGCGATTTTCCTGCGCCTTGGTCTAACGATTCTCCATATACGAAGAGTTATTCTTCTACTGCATCAACTTCCCCGCGATTGTGAGTCCTTGAATATGCCAATCTTAATTGGTTGATACTGACTTGTTGGGATAGTCCTCCGGTACGACAGAACTCGGGATCTCAGACCCCTCGTGTGCGACCTCATGCTACGACACTTAGTATCCCGGGGATGACCCGATCGCTCATCTCTCCTGATGGAAAAATTGCCGACAGAGATGTAGCTGCCAAACTAGTCATCATCATGGTTGGCCTCCCGGCCAGGGGCAAATCGTACATCACGAAGAAGCTTCGAAGATATCTTTCTTGGCAACAACACAACACCAGGATATTCAACGTTGGAAACCGAAGACGTGTTGCGGTCGTGAACTCTCCAACCAAGCATCGCAAAGAGAGCTCCATGGATATGCCAGCACAGGGGACTACTATCCTGGTGAACGGCGCTCAACCGCCTACTCCCGACTCTCCGGTTCAGAAGAAATCATCGGATCAGGACAATTCCAGTCCGCAGGCTATGGACCAATCCGCTAAATTCTTCGACCCCAATAATGAACAAGCCTCGAAGTTAAGGGAGGAAATTGCCATCGATACTCTGGACGAATTGTTGGACTACCTGCTCAACGGCGGAGGCTCGGTTGGCATTCTCGATGCCACGAATAGCACCATCCATCGCCGACAGAAGCTTTTCGACCACATTAAAGCCAGAGAACCCAAGCTTGGTATCCTATTCATCGAGAGCGTCTGCCAGAACCCCACCCTCCTCGAAGCGAATATGCGCTTGAAACTCTCTGGGCCTGATTACAAGGACAAAGATCCTATCAAGTCATTGGCGGATTTTAAGGAACGTGTGAAGGCTTACGAAAGTGCGTATGTGCCTCTTGGTGACTACGAGGAGGATCACGAAATGCAATATATCAAGGTAAGAAAGCATAATCATATTACCGCCTTATCGCACACTAACAATGATAGCAGATGATCGATGTTGGAAAGAAGCTCACTCACTATGGGCTTGGAGGGTTCCTCAGCAGTGGCATTGCCCATTACTTGTCATCTTTCAACTTATCGCCACGACAGATTTGGCTCACTCGCCACGGTCAATCCCTAGATAATGAGAAGGGTAAGATCGGTGGCAACTCTGAGCTCACTGATCGTGGCCACTTCTACAGCTTGTCACTGTACAAATTTATTACGCAGAAGCGAAAGGAGTGGTTAGTAGAGCAGAAGGATAAGGTTGCGCAATCGTCATTTCCTCCTGTACCTGGCGATCAATCGCCTCCTTACCCAGACTTGAATCGCGAGCTCGACGAGAAGAACTTCTGCATCTGGACCTCGATGTTAACACGCAGTATTCAAACTGCCCAGCACTTCGAGGCAGATGAAGATTACGATGTCAAGAACTGGGAGATGCTCAATGAACTTAATGCTGGTAGATTCGAAGGTATGACATATGAGGAGATTGCTCGTGATCATAAGGATGAGTATACCAAACGTCAAACCGACAAGCTCCAGTACGTCTATCCTGGCGTTGGTGGCGAAGGCTATCTCCAAGTCATCAGCCGCCTTCGAGACATGGTACGTGAGATGGAGCGAATAAAGGACCATGTCCTAATCATTGGACATCGTTCCATCTGCCGCGTCCTGATGGCGTATTTCATGGACCTCACCAGAGACGACATCGCGGATTTGGATATGCCACTGGGCATGTTGTACGCTATTGAACCCAAGCCTTACGGTATTGAGTTCCATGCGTACAAGTACAACGAAAGGAAGGGATCGTTTGACGAGGTCCCAGGCTACAAACCCGCAAAGACGGTCGACCGCCATGCCTAAGGGCCTAACATCGAAACCATTTATTCCATATACACACACCACACCTACATTGTATTATATTTAGTCATCATTCAGGCGAATATGGTAATGATACCATGAGACACGGCGGGCATTTTGTCTTCGAGGCAACCATTTGATTTTCCCTTGTTTTTTTTCCTTACAGGGACCGGTTTGCATGCTTTAGGAGTTTAGGGGAATGGTAAACGGAACACAAGTCACGGATTCATGGGGATTCTACAGCCGTGGTGAAGGCGCCTCGTGGGGCACAACGGCTTTTCACTGCTCCTTGCCATTTTTTCAATAAAACGCAGCTTTATGAACTGCACAGGTGGAGGATACCTAGCGGTGTGACATGGACTCAGGAATCGGCGTAACACCAGATAGATCCTCATGGTAGCTAGAGGTCTACAAATTCATTAATATAGTGAAACTACTCAATAAAGAGCCTCCTAAATGCGTCTTCGGTTATGCCTTGTCCTAGTGCTACTGTGATTGTGACGTATATGGGAATGAGCAAATTGACTTACTGGTAGCAGCATGAGCAATCGGAGTCGGTCCAAAGAATCTACTGACGCGTCAAGAGTGCGCGAGCATGATTGAGCAAAAAACATCACGTCCTAGGATGATTGCTAAAGAGCCAGGGATCTACTCACACTCCAGGAGTGCGTTAAGCCTTGACCCGACATTCAGGTCTGACATCAATGCTGTGGTATGACAAAGGTCATTCCACTCGTAAACATCATGATATCAGCTCATAAACATTATCTACACTGCCACAACACGAACACAATTTCGCACTGATGAAATTACAATTAATGCCCAACGCAAGGCGAACACAGAGTGATGTAAATATGGTATGTTATATTTCTGATCTAAACTGATCGGTTTCATTCCGTTATCATAAGCCCTCCTTAAACCGTGCCTCGAACGTAAAAAACCGTAGCGACCCTTATCCTATTATAATTACAAGCGGGAATCCCATTCCACGCGTCGATTGAATTTCGTACCAAAAAAAGGAGGTTAGGCTACCTAAAAAGCCAGTCCGGGAAGTAATAGCAAAGCAAAGATACTATACCAAGTAGCTGATGCCAATTCTCCCTTCATACGCCTGTCGCCTTAGAAACAAAAGCAGGTTCTGATATGGATATTTCCTTGCCGGTAGGTATAATTCGTATGCGAAAAAAGGTATATCTTTTCAATCCCCTTCTCAAAGATTCTCCAGCCTCTGGTTAATGGCAGTAGATATGAGAAATAGGGGAGGAAAAAGAGGAAGTCGTAAGTTCATAAAACAGTTTCCCTTCGTAATCATGAGAGCATTTCATCATGAGAAGAGCGTAGAAATGAAAGCAAATTGGTATCCATCCGTCCGCATCCATCCGGAATAGAAAAGAGAATAGAAACAAAAACGCCATGCTTTTTTTTCTTCGGTTTCTTGTCTTACTCGTGCCGGTCGTTACCATGACAGAATGAAATCAGAAAGTCGTCAACTGTTGCTATCGCCACTACTGTCGTCGTTTCTTCTCCATATCTGTCGCCCGTCCGGTCGCCAAAAGAGGAACTACCCCTATAGCGCCTCTCCAAAATGTCCTTCCGCTGCCTGGGCGTTCTCGTTCTGATCATCATATACGTAGATGTTTTCGTTATAGCGGCGTTTCTGACGAGGCTGGATGCGTGGTTTGTGGTAGTGGTACTGATCCGGGATTCGCGGAACCGAGGGGATACCACGATTAGCGTCGGGTACAACACTGAGGGGTGTAACTTCCCTCGAACGTGCCGGAGCCGGGTCAGAGGGGCCCGTAGTTGCCGTTGCATCTTGATGAATACCATCCATAGATCCACGCTCGCTATCCATCTCCCACGGATCTAACCCTCCTCCTCCTGATGCGGATCGCGATCGTAGAGATGCCGACTTGCCACGCTTACGCAGTTTACCGCCTTCACCTACTCGACTACTAGTCGAAAATGTTCGGCGAGACGGCAACTGCTGGTGCTCTTGGTTCTGATTTGGAAATTCCGGGCGGCGGCGACGACGCTCAGGTCGCCTTGTACTGACCTCAGGTGCGGGAGCAGGTGGGGATGGCGAGCGCATGCGCACAGCCCTTTCCTTAAGGTAGACTGTACCACCAACAGAGGTCGAGGGCGGGAGGCCCACAACGCCATCTGCAATCTGGGAATCCCGATTCGAAGAGGGCATCTTACGTAGTTTCTTCGCCACTCTCTTAAGTGGCTGGGCGAAAGAAGACGACGTAGATGCTCCAGGTGCTGTTGCTTCAACATTTGCACTTGCATCTTCAGTATCCGTTCGGTTGCGCTTGCGGCCTCGGAGAGATCCAAAGCGAGCCTCGCGAGAAATCTTATCGTTCGTCACAGGCATTAGTACAGGCATTTCTTCCGCCTCTGGCTCCGACTCCGACTTTTCGACTTTTCGTACTCGGTGGCCTGCCTTAGTTGGACTCAGTGGCGAATTGGGGCCCGAGGTAGCGGCGTCCATAGATGATACGCGCGGCGGGGGCTGAGGCGAGCAAGGCGCAGAGCCTGGGATTGAAGGCATAGGCGGGGGCATTGGAGGTGCAGCACGACGATCGTTACTGTGGCCTGCCGGTCCAGCATGGCGTGTTGATTGTATAGCGTGGGATTGGAAGAAGCCCGTTGCCATCAATTCGTTGTACGATTGTAGAACATCCTCTCGAGACGGGCGAATAGCACCGGGACCGGTACCATTAACACCCAAATTAGATAATTGCGGGAGGTTGTACATCTCAGAGTGGGATTTAGCAGCTCGAAGATGATCAGATCGAGGAGACAACGGTGGTTCCTGCAGGCTACTATGCTTCTTAGAGACGTCTTGCTTTCCACCACCATTGCTACGAGAAGAAAGGTTCCACCCCAATGCGTCACGGACACGATTGAAGAAGCTAGTCGATTTCCTATGGGTGATAATATGGTCTTGCGGATTTCCAGTCTGCTGTGTTACGATACTCTCAGAGAATGGGCGCTCTCGGCGTTTGCCGCGGGTCTCTTGTGGCTGCTGCGAGGTATATGGGTAGTCCTTGTAGAATTGCTTCTCGAAAGCCTTCAATTGCTCCGGACCGAGAAACTGCGGCGGCGGTGTAGCGCTGACTCGGTCGTTCATTGATCCCTCAACGAATCGTGAGGTTGGAGGTCGAGAACCGCCGTTCTCGGTTGGAGGCCTACTTGATGTATCAGAGGCCATAATAGCGGCGGCTATATCAATAGCTTTGAAGAGGTAATCTTGCGAATTCGAGGAATCATTAGGAAATGTGTTATGTTGTGAGGGGGGAAAAAAAGGTGAAGCTGGGAAAGTTAGGCAAGGCAATTTGTTTACTTCGAATGAAACTTGACCAATGCAACGTTTGCACCTTCCACCCCAGTCGGTAATTGCGGTGGGTCGGGGGGGCAACGGCGTTGTGCGTACCTACATAAAACCTACCTAGGTACATAAATAATGCAAGTTAGGGTAAATTACCCGCAAACCATTTGGTGCTAGATTGCAATGGACTAACCCAATTAAGTAGTTATTTTAGACACTTAATTTCATTTGCAACTCTCATCAACTTTCGATACTCACAGCTATCTACCTACGGAGATGTCCAAGTGATGAGGAATGACTTCCATCGAGGAAATTGATACCGTAGTAATTGTACTACCTACCTAGCTGGAGATAAATGTCCTTTGGGTAGACTCAAATTCGTATCACAATATCCCGAGATGTATGAAAAAAAAACCTATAGGCTTTGTTCATCGTATATATACAAAGGCAAATCGCCGTGCTCACTGTATCCTTTAAACTAACACATGAAAATTCAGAAGCTGGATCCTAGACGGACAGCCTAGTAGCGGCATTACTATCGCCAATAAACAAACACCTGCATGCTTCCAACCACAACTACAACGTCTTCGGCGAGCCGCCCCCCCCCTTTCTGTTTGGTCCCGTCATACCACCTTTCTTTGTGCCTCGACGTTAAACCTAGCGACCATTGTCATTATCTAGCAACCTTCGGGTTATTGAATCCCATACGGCCGCCAATAGTAGGATTCCATCAGCGTCGGATCCGCGGGCATCCCGATAGTAGGGGGCCCAATATGCTGAAAGGATGTATACAACGTAAAGGAGTGGGTGGGTAAAACCATCCTAGACAAATGAAATAGAAAATGATAGTGACGAAGTGTATCCCCACAATATGTACAAAAGGGGGCCTTATATTAAACATTGACGCCGTCGAACGCGCAACGCCCCTGCGAAACTTGATAATTGTCATTCGTAACATCCGTTAATATGCTCGAACCATTATGCAAGAGAATCGGGGAACACAGCTGTTCGTTCTGTGCCATCGGCTCTTCGGTAGTAAGGAACTCCGGGGTAGTCTATTGAGGGACGGTCGCCGTTGACAACACGTCCTTGCTGGTTGCTACTCGTCAGCTCGTCGATAGAGCGTTTGGTAGATCGGGGTTCAGGTTGAAGGTACGGCGGTCTATGAAGTGATGTTATCGAGCCAGAACGATCAGCGTAGTGGCTGGGCGACATCTTCGGGCTTATTATGGAAGGAAGGGAAGGCATAGGTCCAATGGAGGAAGCCGTGGGTGGTCTAGGGGAAACTCTCGCCAGGGGATACGGCGCAGGCGGGTGAGCGGAAATAGTAGAATAGCTCGCAGACGATCGTCGTCTAAGCTCTGCGTCGCTGGCAGCGGAGTCGTAATGCGGGTAGCCCGGTGGTGCATAGCCGGGCGATGGAGGTGGCGGCGGAAAGTTATTGCTCGGAGGGAAGATAGGAGCTGCAGGTGATACTGGTGTCGATTGGCCAGATGGAGGCGCAGGTCCATAGGGTTGAGCGAATCCAGCGTTGCCTCCATGTCCGAAGTTAAGCATGGTTGACGGAGCCTGGCCGTTCTGGTATAACGGAGGCGGAGGTGGTCCATATTCGGCATTCGAAGGACGTCTCGGGTGATCCGGGCCAACATATGAAGTTCGGTCCATGCTCGAATTGCTAAGGGATCGAGCGCGATATGCTTCCGGAGTTTGAGTCCTGTTCCTACGCCTAGCATACTCTTCCTCCGCATTGTTGTCGTACTCGCTAGGAGCAGAAGCCTTAGTGTCGCGTCGTCTCATACGTACATCACGTCGAATACGAACACGGCAACCCTGCTCAGCAACCGTACGGCTAAGAGAAGTGCTCTCAGTCAATCCCGGGAACTTCTTGGCACTATAGACAATAAAATCGGTTGATCGAAGGTCCATCCTATGGTTGGCATTTCCCGCTCTCAATTCCGACATGCCATCTTCATGGTCCTGAGGTGGTGCATCACGATCCTGATCTTGCTCCTCCTTAATCAACTCGTAAAGGCTGAAAACCAAACGATAGCGTCCTTCATGACGAACCGAAAGATCCGGGAACAGGAAATATCCAGCCGGGTCGGGTCGATCCAGGTAACAGCATCCAGATACAGGAAATCCAGTAAGGACGGGAGGCGAAGTAGCTGCTGGGGTTTGTACTCTCCCGTGAGCCATAGGGCGCGCATGCTCAAGCGAGGCGTAACAGAAAAAGTCGACATTATAATCAAACGTAATATCTCGAGCACCTTCAAAATGCTCTCCTTCGAAAACTCTCAGAATGACAACAGGCGGTGGGTCAACTGGTCGACGGTCGGCAGATGCTATTACTTGGTTAGTCATAAACTGAAACTCGGTACCTGTTAGAAAAACGTGGCCTATGGATTATTATCCGTACATTTGGGACCAGAACCACACGCTCTCGCACGCTCAGGCTGCTGCAGAACTTCTAATTGGTACCAGAGGTGTCTACCACCCTTGGTAATGCGGTGCTCGCGCGTATACATCTTGCTTTCGGTCTGGGCGACCATGGCATTCGCCATATTGGACTCGGGCTAAATCATAATCTAATATTAGTATTATTGAATCATAGTATGCGATGCGTCGTCGTCGAATAATGCGTCCAGATTATCAAAAGACCAATCGCATGGTTTCGCGTCGAGACAGAGTCGCATTCATAAATCAATAATTGTTAAGTTCAGTTAACACTGCGACGTACCTGAATTGGAAGCATCGCAAATAATATACTCTATTCGAGGGAACAGGTTTTTAGTAAAGAATGTATCCTTTAAACCCCAAATCCTACCGGTAATCCAACCGTTCCAGACAATCGGACCGTCAGACGAGGAAAAATTGAAACCAGGTAAATGGGATTAGGTTTAAGTTGTCGGCGGGCATGAATGATAGAAACTGGTTGGCGAAAATAGGAAAAAAGAGGAATCCGTCAAATTGGGTCGAGGGCGAAGTTTGTTTTGAAGAGAACCCGAAGCACTGGCTTCTAGCGCGAGGCAGGTTGTTCGATGGTCCAGGCGGTCGGTCGATACGATGACGGTGTCCTTCGTTTCCCGGTACGCTGGGCTCGGTTCCAGTTCTCTTTTTTTTCTTTTCTTTGTTGTCTTGATTCGTGGCTTAGGCCGGGGAAATCGACGACTCAGTTTCGACGGACTGAACTTATCTCGACCCAGCCGACGACAAAGGCCCACAGACTGAAAAGACAGGCGGGTTGGCGGAGTTTGTCGTCAGAATGATCGGTAGGGACGAAGTTTGATGTGTGTGAGGGAAAAGGAAAGAAATGAACCGGTCCGACGCCAGAGAAGGGGGAGAGAAGGCCAGTGGAGGACGCTGAGTGGGCTAGACTGGGGAGCGTGGGAACCAGTAAGAGGGTAGAAAGGCTTGGTTAGTTGGTTAGTTGGTCAAAGTCGGTGGACTCCAGTGGTCTCTGGGCAGACGGCTGGTCCTTGCTGGTGGATTTTTGGCTTGACTTGGTTGATTTGCTTAGTGAACGCTGGTGAGATTTGGCAGATTGGGGCCATAGCACCCAGTGCAAGGGAGATGGGATTGGCCCGAGCAAATCAACCGGGGTGGTACGGGGTGGCAGGTGGAGATGATTGCATCGGGTTCCCTACCTGTGGGTCGGGTACCACCAATCAAACGGGGTACTGTACCCATTAGGCTCCACCTGTGTGGATAAAGTAGCCCCCATTCCTCCCTTGGTTTTTTAGTTTCTCCCTGTATAGGAAGTCATGCTCACTGTAGCTTCGCTGTAGCTCACAGTATATGCACGGTGCCAAGACACGCAGGGACAGGGGTGTGAGGAAGTTTTCGACCAAGCAGATTGTATAAGAATGGAAGGTCCTCCACCCAATTTCAACCCGGCCAGAAATCCCCGAATGGGCTTATTCTATGACAATCACGTCGCTCCCGTCTCCCTGGACCGGAGACGGTACAGTGACATTACTGCCGTACTGTATAAAGTTCTGCTTCTACATCCATGCAGGACCGTGGCTCTGCAGCTGTACATATGTAATGTATAGGTTGGGTGGAGTTTGGGCAGCGTAGCAAGCCAATTAGCGGTCATTCCAGGAGCCAGGATTTTTGTCTTCGTCTAAAATTTTCTGAACGGTTCGCGTTTTAAAAGAAAGAGATGCTTCTGGTGGCGCCAAAACGGATCCGTTTCCCCCAATTCCGCCGCTGCGGGAGGAACCGACATTGCAGTTAGCGGAGTACATTTTAAAGTACAGTACGTACTTCATTTCCTGGAGACATTCGAGACAATTCATCATTTGATCTTTTAGGTAATTCATAATTACGGATACCAATATCAAATCTATAAATCTATTTACAACCATATTCAAATCAAAGTAAAAGAAAGAAGTCATCTTCGCGTGGAGAATTCCCGAAAATGCATAATTACTTACAAGGTAACATTCGATGAGACACAGTTTGCTTTTCCTCCTCATCCTCCCAACCAAACTTGTGCCGCTTCCCCGTAATGTTTGTGCATAGTGTCGTGTCTGCATAAGGAGATTAAATCAGTGGGAATCATTAATAACAAGCCGTCTGCGTCTTACCGAGCAAACATATCCATTTACATAAGATAATGTATAATCATTTGACTATATGGTATATGAGTATACCTCCATTCCATTCCGCCGTCGCTGGTTTTTTAATAGCCGGCCTACCTACATATATATTGTATCCTATTATGTAGAAATGAATACCTTTTTCTATAGACAGTGAATATTTCAGCTGAAGCACGAAGGTCACTTTAACATAAGCCAGGGTCTCTAAATATGGAACTCAGCTAACAAGTACCTAGGTACCTTTCTAATAAACGGATTTCATACCGATCTCCGAATGTCTACATTCCGTATTCCAATCCTCTTCCAATTCCGAATAGTAGTACCTGAAATATCTATGTAAGGGTTCTAATCCAGTAGTTTGATAAAAAAAAAAAAAAAAAAAAAAAATAAGTTCTGTTATAAGAGTGCCATCTTTGCTTCAGGAATTACAGTGTTGTACTTTCGGAACCTCTACCGATAGGATCACCATTTTCCCTAAATGGAAAATGCTCTTAGATATGATGGCCCCCTGGTGAAAGCAAAATCCGGTTCAAACTAACAGAAAACTAAGCCTCCTTCCATGTACCCAGGTAATATTCAATTAGGTCCATCAGTACTGTACGTAATCAATCACATTCGTAATACTGGTACATACCTAGGTAACTAGTATCTCCCAAAACCAAAAATCAAATATTCTAGACTTTATCTAGAATGTCCATCGTCATTTATATGGTGCGGAATTGAAAGCCCCGCCCTTTGACAGTTCTACCATGGTATATGTTTCTGTAGAACTTGTCCCGCTGTCCCGATGATCAGGGACCAATATGTAATTGTCTTTGTATGATTTAATACGTTGATCGACCCGAGTTTTACCACGCAGCTAAAAAGTTAAGCTTTCATCGGGCTTTGGAACCGAGTCTCAGCTGCGCTTGAAGAAATGCTTAAAGAACTGGTGCAGAAGTGGTGTTTTGCCAAGCTCTTTCTTGGCATCATTGACATTAACATTGACTGACAGACTTGACAAACGGCAACCTAGAAACAAAAAAGTTATGCTCTACATGGTGAACTCATCTGATGTCAAGATGAGACGACATGTCGCCTCGTGGCCGGCATCTCGCTAAGGCTAACTTTGAGGTTGGCTGTTAAATAAGTTCAATGCTTTGAGGTACATACATAATTAGACATGTATGTGTATATCATGTACCTACGAAGGTGGGCTAGAGAAGAAAGTTCATGAGTCGGCTAGTCGATTCTTGTTGGTCCAGTTCGTCCTACCTGCAAATTTAGTTTTAATCAAAGTAGTCTAACATGGTGATAGGTCATATCGAGATCATTACGTCGTGCAAGTACGGCCGAAAACCCTGTCGGCCCTTTCCTCTGGGAACAAGTACATCGTTCATGTACATGGGTAGCAACTGCACTATGCAGTTACATACCTAATGTACTGTACACTCTGACTCGAACACTAATACACTAATATCTGTGAAACCACCATTCAATTCTCTTATCTAAGCAACCTTCTCCCTTACATACACTATACGCTACGAACCCGGGCTAGCGGTACCCTACACATACTATCTATTCGTCGGGCTACCGCTCATCAGCAAAGTCGAGATGATCAACCACCTGCCAAACGACGCGAAGCCACAGACAACCAATTATGTCTTATATGGAAAAATAACCTTCCGCGTGTTTGTCTCAAATTGCCACGCTTAAGCAACTAGGTTATGGGGGAAGCGTATACTTCACGACGCTGTAGTCCACGTGTATACATATGTATGTCTCGAATGATCATTTCCACATCCCTGCATCCCACACGAGGTTGGCCGGTGAGCCATGAAATGTCTCTCACGTATGTGTTTGCCCTATTAGCGTGGCCGCTTGGCGCCGCCTTCTGTCATTCATGACCGAATGTCGTTAGCAGGGCAGAGGAGGCTAGCGGAATGATCCAGAGCCATGGCTTGAAGTATACGAGTCACTTGAAGATCATTTGGCGGCAAATATACACAAAGAACCTTATTTGCACACTTCTGAGGCCTCGACAGATCCGAGCAATAGTCTCGCCATTCGCGACCGAGTCGCAAAAACAAAGATCAATGGGCTAAGCCGATCCTCAAAGTACCAAGTATTCTATCATTCAACACATCTCCGGCACCTCATTCTCATAGCGGCTTAGCCTCGTCCCCCCCCCCTTAGTGAGGTTTTATGAGCCAACCCGGATACCTACCTAAGGTAGCAACCTCAAGGAGCATATAGACGAATCAATGAGAAGCAATAACGCCATTGTCAGCTATGACTCTTCTCAAACTCTTGCCTACAGCGGAATATGACAGCAGAAGTCCGGTAGTTACACCTGAAGGCGTAAAAAACAGGACGTACAACTTAGAGTGCATCTCGATTTCAATACAATACCAATTGAACTCCGAGTCGTCTAAGACTTGCATCGGCTACCCACTCACATTGAAATGTACAGTTAAGAAGCAACCTCCCCAAATGAGCAATATGATTGACTATCCTCCTATCTGTAGTGTAGCCTCGTTCGCTTCTACCTGCAGCGAGAACTCCCAGTATGACTTACAGGTCCCGAAGGCAAGACTCCGATGGCTATTTGGTCCAGAGAAGCCACGGCATGGTTTTCACGGCATTGTCGCATGGTCGATCCGTAAATCATCTATTATGATTCATACTCCATTACCTAGGTAGATGTTTGGTTCTTTTCAGTATCGGTGTCAACAACGGTATTCCTCTGCCAAGTGGTTCCTGCTTGATATACGAGATGCAGCAGCCCTAGTTACACCAGATCGCTTCCAGAGTACTCAGGTAGACTGAGATAAGGAACCCCATCACTAAACGTTACTTGGACGGTGACCCAAAGGGAACATAAAGTCCAATAAAGATATTACCACCCCAATAATCCACATTGTTGACTCGGGTATGAAAGATGATTCATCTTCAGAATCGCCTAGATGTTGAAAACCGCATGGTTATCTGCATATCATATTGCACGACATCCTCAGTAGCCGAGACCAGTTCGTAGCACTGGCTTGGCGGTCGACTTGTATGCTGGATTTTGATAATGGCGAATAAGATCGACCAGCTCGGTCAAGGTCATCGGGAACAATACAATCGTCTCAGGATGCATCAAATTGAGGATAAGTTTAGCCGCTTCAATTGATTTGCCTCTGATTATAGAAGTCATCAGCGCCCAGTACACCTAAATACCACCCGCCTTAGCTACAAACCTTATGTTCGATATGGTAATAACTTGTATAATCATATTTAACATATTACCTAAGTATTTTGGCAGATATTAATTATCACCATCATTCTTGAGGCAGGAAAATACCATCAAATAGAACCGCCCATTACACTCCCATCTTCATCAACCCACCAACCCCTATATACCTTCGCTTCTTGACCCTCCTTCCTCCTATCTTCTGTGCCCCTATATCCTCTCTCATCTCCCACCGGTCCGTTTCCCATCCTCGGAAATCCCCTCCACCCCTTCCAATCTCTCTGCCTTTGCCACTGCCGCCTCCTCCTCCTGTTATTCCTCGACCGTGTGCTTAGTTGTTGTGGCCATTCAAACACAGGTTCAAGCCATCTCTCCCTAAGTAGTGAGGATGTCGATGACGAATTCCTTAATGTCCCCCTGCGGCCACCGTTGCTGTGCTTTCTCGGCCCGAGGATGTGTTGCCAGCAGTGCGCGAAGACGCATACTAGGATAACAAGTACTTGAGCAATCTTGAGTTAGCAAACATCTATTTGATTACAACAAATAATCCCGAAGAAAACCCAAATTTACGGAATAATAGAAGGGTGGTAGTACACTTACAGACGACACAAATAACCGCCACCACCATGGCCGTGATGAATGCTTTGGGGAAATTGTCTGGCACGGTTTCATCTTCTTCTGGGTCCTGCGCTTCAGACAACCTTGTAAAAAGGAGAAGACTGGAATATATAGCGAGTAGTAGGGACCCCATTATCGCAACATAGTAGATGTAATGCACCGCCCCTGATAATGGTGAAGATAGGTGTAGGATGGGAGCGCTTGTCTAATAACTGCGAATACTTATGACAATTACCCGAATATGTTCTTCCATATAAATAGGACATCTCTTCAGCTAAAATCCACTGGCACCAACTATCGAAGTTATTGGATAGATTTCGTTTCTTTCTCGTCACAATTTCCCAGCATCTTCCCATTGTAGCCGGATACGAGACGGCAAACAGGTTATTATTAAACTTAATCGAGTAATTGAACATATAATTTGGAGTTTAAGTTCATCCAAACTAGACACCTGCATGTCGCCTTCGAATTAAGATTTATCTTCGCTTCTTAATATTGCTTTTAAAGCGCTTTGGCTTTGCTCAGGCGCTTCGCACCTCAAATTTTCTGACGATAGTTATGACATTACTTAACATCAAAGCACACCTGATCATACTGGGCATAACATCTCATCAATAAATTCCATTCTTGGACATCCCAACACAGAACCTTTACAATATATGTCGGGTCGCGGGTTGCGCTGTAAATCTCAACATTCTAGATGGTATCCAAAAGGTTGGTCCACCCTATTCCTATAACTATTCCTGACAATAAAATGAAGATGCATATCCAAATTTTGGATACATCTCAATATAAACTACATCGCTTAGATATATCGCCTATAAAATAAAAGACACCAAAAAGAAATACAAAACACAAAACTAAAATCATGACAAGACGGGGATTCGAACCCCGGACCCTTTCGGGAGTAGGTTTTTCTCTTTGAAAGAGATAAGAGATGAAATATCCTCTTGAATCTACCGCCTTAGACCTCTCGGCCATCTTGTCTTTAGAATGATTGAAAATAATGTTCATTAAACTAAATGATATAGGTTCATATAGAAGTTAGTTCAGATGGAGGAAGGAAATATGATGGTTAAGAAAAAAGGTGCGATCCATGGATGTGAATTTGATATATGATAATTAAAATCGGAGGGCCCACATATGCTAAGAGATAGTATAACCCTAATTGGCCGAGGACGGAGCTACATTATGCTGTAGTCAAGACCATCATTTTATGCAGGATATAGTAGCAATTAAGAGCATAGAATTTCAACAAAGCGGGGTTAGCTCAGCTGGGAGAGCGTCAGACTGAAGTCCACTTCAATCATCGAGGTAATCGGTATCTGAAGGCCGTGCGTTCGATCCGCACACACCGCAGCAATTTTTCTTTTGCTTGAGATTCAAGTCTTTTCTTGTTTTCCCTTTTGTTTCTCCGGATCATGTGGTGTTGGAAATATTCTCTCCATTGGGATGAACGTCCACTCAGTATCGACCTCGAAATCTTGCGATGATTGTGCCTTGAAGCGAAGGGAGGTTTATTACCACTTTTTGTTCTTTGAATCAGAAGAATTCCACCCCACAATGTTAAACGACATTTTATATCGAGATCAAGATATCTTTGTGGTCTCATCTCAATCGCGGAAGACGTAAATTCTTATTATTTCTCATTTTGCATAAAACAGCAAAGGGGTATTTTATTCAGCTCATTTCGACTACTTCCATTAAGTATTATTAGGGTAAACCGTCCTTCCTCTCCATGACGCTTATTACTACTTCGAAGGGTATAATGGCTTCCTCCTTTCCATCTTCTATAGCGAGCGAGGGGTATATATAATAATATCGCGACCATCCAAGATCCCAATTATTAATATCATTATTACGTTTCGTGACGATCATGATCATCACATCATAAAGAGTGACAGGCCCAGCCTACCATGCTTGACAACCGATCTAGGTTGGGCAACGGTGTGTATCCGAAAAAGGATTGTGCGACTCGCGAGAGTGACCTGCAAGAGACGTTCAACGCGAGGCGAAGTCGCACGGCTTTATACAGATATTCTAATTATCTATGCGGCCTGTTCACCGACGACGGGCTGAGCCGGAGCAGTAGCAGTCTTCTCGGGGAATTCACCGGCTTGCGGGACACGGCCATATCGAGTGAAGGCGATGTTCAACTTTCCGTAGTCCCATCTTTGAGAGAGGACGAGGAAGGCGAAAGAGACAGCCGGAACTAGCAGGACATCGAGAATACCAAAGAAGATGTAACCCGGAGTTACACCAATGCGGTTACCACCGTCGGAAAGACCCCATGCGATGGGGTATAGGAGCCAGAGAAGGTTGATCCAACCCGCCAACAAGGTGTCTACAATATCAGAGTCAGCAATTACCGTCATTGAGGTCCCGAGCCTGGAAAGGGGAACAAGGGAATATATCGGATATACGTACGGTCTCGGGCAACGTCGAAGCGTCGAGCGGCAGTCGAGCCGGTAAAGAAGGTGCTGAAGGCAAGGAGGACCCAAGCGATCGTACCGAAGGCGTAGAAACCCCACTTGTAGTTGGATGTCGTGAAGGCAGAGACGAGGTAAGAAATGACCCTACACCAATTAGCTCTATTCAGGGCGGCGAGAAGCAGCTTTAATCATGGGAATACTTACCAAGTCCACGACAAAGCAACATTGTACAGGATAGTAGCCCAGGAGACACCGCTTAGTAGGCCTAGAGCAATAGCGACAACGGGGAAGCTGACAACCCAATTGACGTACTCAGCCCAGAAGATTTGTCGAGTCCATCCGTCGACAGGCTTGTAGTTGGCCACCGGGATCGATTCGTAGGCCAGGTCAGAAGCAATGGCAAAGTAGGTGATGGAACCGACGAGGAGAGCAATGGTGAAGAGATAGTGGAAGATCTTCTCACCGGCTCGAGCGACGAAACTGCTAGCGAAGAAGACGATAAAAGAGACAACATAGATAGCCGTCACCGCCCATAACCAGTCACTACCGTGTACACTTAGCTCCTCACTCCCACTCGGGGGGTTGATATTGAGAGCATCGTTCCCACGGTATAATAGGATAGCCATTGCGATTATTTGTTTGTATGTTGATATTTACTAGGCAAGCCTATGAGGTTCGAAATTAGGAGGTTCACTTTCAAAGTGAGGAAGAAAGGAGAAAATCTGATATAGCCTTTGGATCACGGTGGTTGCGGTGATTCGCTGGATAGCTGATGATGAGCGAGTAGGGGAATGATCGGGGACGAGGCTCATAATATAATGACAAGAACCCCCCTGGCGAGAGCATCGAAGATCTAATGTGGTAGAGTTACACTATCGCAAAGCTCGGAGACCGATTATTGGTAATGACTCAATAGCCAAGGTATGAAGCGACAGTGACTAAACCCGAGATCCGCACGAAGGTATCCCGCTTGAATGATCATATGATCCAGCTATAACTCAGATTTGTATAGAATCTTCCATAGATCCCGGTAGGGGGCGCGCGACGGATCGCGACGGATCATAGTGATGCGTTTGTGGCATGGGATAGGATACATTGTTACCCACTGAGAATTCTATTCAGACCCAGGACACGGAAGGCGACGGAACGACGCGGAGTCAGACGACCTTCAGAGAGATGCAACAAAGTGTCTTTGTAACACATGGTACTTGAGCCAGTATGGTCGACGATCCCTCAGCCCTAATGTGGGGAAGCTACGGGACTCAACTATTATCGTAAGAACGTGGCAGCTTACAACCGGCCTGAGCCGGGGCTGATGTCTGTATTGGTAATTAATGCCCGATATGAAGTCTCATGAATCCAGTCCGTAACCCCAACTCTTAGTGAGGCAGAAGAAAGACCTCGGAAAGAGCTAGGATATCTTACAAATGAGATTGGAAACTTGAGGAAGAGGATTGTTGATTAGGAGGGCGCAACTATCGCCCGGGTATGGTCAGCAAATGCAAGGGAATGATCGGTAATGGTGACCAAAAGCCAACAGCACTAGACGATATTAGCGAGGTGTAGCAATGGCCATAACCCATCTACGGGGGATGGCGACATTGATGGAGGGATTCACGGCAGCATCGGATGAGCTAACACCAGATGCAGCCATCGAAAACGGTGATAGGTCTCCACCGAATACTCGACCATGTTCGTTCTAAAAAAGGCAATGGATGGACCCAATGGAGCTAGCATCGTGAAAGCATTGCCGGAGCTTGCAGGGGGAGCTTCGAGGTCCGACGAAGGCCGGTAGGCCGATAGACGGCTAGGCATATGTACAGTGGCGTCGAGTTGACGTGACGTGACGTGATTATAACCAAGGATTTCGAATTATTCAACGACAAACTGCTCATTTATATTGCCTACCCAGCTTTGTGTAGGATCTGACGTTGTTGTAGTTGTATGTGGTTGTAGGTAAATGATAGAGAGGTTGAGAGAGAGACACTGTCTCATCTTCATCTTCGTTAGCAATATCATCCCTTAGATTTCGTCTTGCTAGATTTAGTCCTGGTCTGGTCCATCTAGGCTCATCATTACTCTGAATGTCTAGACGTAGGTCGAAGGAGGGGTGGACTGGGGAATGAGATGTTTGGACCATTGAGAGCCTCAAATCGCCTGCAGCTCTCGCAGCTCCCCCGGCTTTTACGGAATGGATCCAATGATCCAATGGACCACGCATCGAGAGATACGACGCTATGCCTGTCTTAGATGGCGATCGACGGGTTTTTGGGTGTCATGCCACCATGCGAGGCTTTTTTTCTTCTTCTCTTTCGTTGTTTTTCGGTCCCTTCGAATTGAATAGAAATGGTTTATACCCGGAAGAAAGTGGTAGAATGACAAGTTTTTGGTTTGAACTTTCTTTTGATCTCATGCCACTTAAAAAGTCATTACATTATTTTTAGGCGGCGACTGCCGAACATTCCGGAGTTTCTAGACCAAGCGCCTTCCATCATATCATACCTCTATCTTATTAAGTGAAAGTCTAAATGTGATAATCAATTTCTCCATCACATCTAAAATTCTTTAATGCATAATGATATACTTACGATATTAAGCAACTGCTTAATAGATGGGTAACGATATGCAAAATATCTGCAATAATCCATACAATTATCATATAACAACTCTAGGAACCGAGGCCAACCGCTACTATGCTTGTATGCAACCGACCCAGACGATCGCCCATCAATTCGCTATTCGTTAATAACAATAAATATTAACCTATAATGATCTTCCCAAGGTCTCTCCCCCCTGGGCAACTCGATCCTTAGATGCATCGTTCTCCTCGCTCCCAATTGGTAAAAAGTTGCCTCGTACTTTACGCATGTGGCATTAAAACGATCTCCCACTCGCGGAGACGAAAATGCACAATGCGGTATGCTGAATCATGCTCACTTCAACCCGCTACAACACATTCTAGCTAGGCAAATAATAGCAAACCAATTCCCTCGTGTCACCCACGCCATTGGTTTACCGTCGCAACCCTTAGGTAACAGACTCATTTACTTTCTCCGCCCGGCCCTCTAGGACAACCTCCAGCGTAGCATTCGTCGCCTGTCGTACGCCCCAAACTCCGCGCGCGGATCAGCGGTGTGTCCTTCTCAACGGCAAAAAAGGTCCTCCCTGACTCGAGTGCTGCTAGTTGGAATTTTAGGTAGGTTCGCTTTCACAGGACCGACGCCAAAGAAGCGCAAACCGGCGGTTTTTGCTAGGCGCCGTAGTTATCGTATCGGGCTACAAATCAATATCCACAGCCAAATGGATGGAAACCTAGGTAATATCACATATAGCCAAGACAAGCCGAAGAATTGTGTATAATATCAATGTAGTCCCATAATTTTAAAGGGGGTATGTAATTGTGCATCCCTGGAACGCCCACGCGCCAGTTATGCCTATGCCTACATCTACAGCCTACCCGATACAAGCATCCTAAAGCATCCTCATACTCTCAATCGAGTCCCCTGGCCCTTCCGCTCGTAATAGTATAAACTGTACAAGTCTTCGCTGTATTATTCCTTCTCGAGGGGCTTCTTTCGTTGTGTCCGTTGAGGACACCGATTAATAGTTATTCGGCTTCATCTGCCACAGGGCTGATTTAGCCCGTTCCCGTACGTCAAGCTCGTCGTCGCCCTCCTTCAGTGCTTCGAGTTTTGACAAGAAACCCAATTTCTTAAGCTCTTGGGCTCTTTGAGTACATCCAGGACCATCACTGGCATTATCTTGCCATGTCAAATTATTGATCAGGTGGCACAAAGCAACCCGAACCTCCCTGTCCTGATTATTAAAAAGCCTTGCTAAGTGCTCAAGTAATTTTGTCTGGGATACCACTAGCTGCCGGTGGCGAGGGATGCTAGCGGCGATATGAACCAAGATGTAGATGACGGATTCGATAATTTTAGTCTGCGGTGGAAGTATTCGCGTTTCGCTACCCGGAATACCTCGTTGACTAAACGGATGGAGAACCTTAACCTGTAGTTTAGTGTCGAGGATATCGAACAACCTGTCTTGCCCTATGGTGTTGAACAAGAAATCGATCATCTCGGTTGTATCGTTCGGCGAATCGGCATTGGTACTCGAGTGAGCCCCACCGATCAAGTTCCGGATGAAGCCTAAACCCTGCTCCTGGATAGCTAGATCGTCATGTCTTGCTTTGCGGACCGGGTTTAGCTCCGCTTCCCGTAGAGTTTCCAGTCGTGCTTCTGCTAGCCGCAATATCCGCACATCCGAATAGGTCCGACTCGTAGGCGATTTATAGAAAGAGGCCGGAAGCCAAGGACGATACTGATCATCAGCAAAGCCCATATCTACATCTTCGTCCATATCATCTAGTGTATCTTGAACGGTACCCCTGCCGCTCCTTGTCTTTGCTGAGAAAAGCGCCGCATCTTCGGTATCGTCGCAGATCAACCGGACTAGCCATCCAGACTCGAGCTCTTCAACAGACCTCCTCTTTAGGTCAATATCTGCTGCGTGGACTAAATGTTTAAGTGCCCACAGGGCATTCAATCGCAACGATGCATTGTGCGAATGAGCATGCTCACATAACGCTCTCAGAATTCCGGCATCGATCAAGGACTAATGTTTGAATTAGCATAGTTCCAACCAGTATTTTGGCGTTTGAGTTACTTACCTCTCTCATAGGGCTAAAATCCATAACCAGATTGCAGATTGACGCGGCTGCTGCCACTTGGACCTCGACTTCAGGATGGCGAAGAAGTTGAAGTATCGGCGTGGATACTGAGTGATCAACTAGTGCTGTCCGGAGAATATTGACAGACCGAGACAACATCCGGACCACGTAGCAAGCTGCCAGAGAAACCGGCACTGGATTGTTGGGCGATGGGGTAACGGATTCAACAATATAGTGGACAACGTCTTGATTGACAATTGCTGTGCGATATTCGTCTTTGAAGGTTGCTAACGCCCCGATGGCCCTCAGCGTGCTTTCTCTAACATTGATTCGATGCACTAAATATTGATGTTGGCCTGCCTCTCCTAGCCGACATTCTGGAGGAAGCTCCCTTGCCGAATCTTGGGTTTTGCCGTGTATAGACCATGACCATGACTTTGCAAGTGGAGGTGGTGTATCATAGGTTTCCTTTAGCAGCTTGCACATAATCTTTACTGCGTTGCAGTCAAAGGCCGCTTTCTGTAGCAATTCGCTATCCGTAATAAGGTAAGCTAATATGATGGGCGCCTCTTCAATGAGATTGAGCATAGAGATGGTGTTTCGGTTGCAGTTGTTGTAGTCGATATCCTTCAATTTAGTGTCAATATCATTAAGCAAGCTCAAGAGGACGGGTATGACAAGCAATCCTATGTTTGCTTCCCTCGTCTTATAAGTAAAACCGGCTTTAAATAGAGAGGTTAAGATAGAAGTAGCCATGAGCATCTCGCTCCCTTTCCGAGTTCTAATTAAGTTGATTAGCCAGGGTATCAGAGGGCTTTCTGCTTCTTCGCCATCGGCATCGTTGTTAGAAGCTGAGGGTCCCTCGGATGGACTTCTGGAAGTGGTGCTATTCTGATACTTTGACGCCGACCGCCCGTTGCGAACCTGATTGTCTCGTGATGTGCCAGAGCTCGCCGTAGTTGCGTGGCTTGTAATCTGGAGGAGCGTATAAGGGAGAAGTAAATTCATAGGCTCGAAATCTAAATGTTTCGTTGGTCGTAGCCCAGGTAATTCCATGGGCCCAAAGGGTGATCTTGAAGACGTATTGGGATCAATTTCCGCGACGGGAAATACGGCGAGAATCGAAGGCGAGTAAAGTAATTTACATGTCCTGTAAGATGAGTCGCCTATGATGGCCGCGATCGCACCCAGAACCCCGTCTAAGCTACCAGCGGCGGTTGCAGGTGGTGGTATATACTCGTGAAGACCTTCATGCCGGGCGATCTTCTCCGCCCTCGGTAAGACTTGGCCTTCAGAAACCACAAATCCAGCCAACTTTGTAGCAAGGGAATCGAGGATACCACGAGTAACTAATGCTGACTGATGGCGGTCATCATGGCAAAGGTCTTTGATTAGATAGGTAATTATGGATGTTTGAGCTTCGTTGTCGGGGTTTGGTGGCTGTTGGGAGAGAATATGGTGGAGAGAGTCTAGAGGGCCATCGGTAAACAGCACGTCGGCTAAAGAACTCGAGCTAATCGGCGAGGACGATGGAGCATATGTCGTGGCTGCTGCGATATCTCGTACTACCCGAAGAGCAGCGAGAACGATGGGAGGATGTTCGTTTCGGAGACATGAGTTGCTGAGGACAGCCGGTAACGCACCGGCGGCGTGTAACGGAGGTAGGAATACAGGGCCAGCTATAAGATATATTGTGTAAGCTTATATCATAGTCAAATTGCGATATATAACAGTCGGGCGGGAAAACAAGTAGTACGTACCATTTGCGAAGCTAGCAAGAAGTTGTAAAGCTTGTAGCTTTGCATTGTCTTCATCTGGTAATGTCAGGAAAGGTTGCCGTCTATCTTTTCCATCTGTCTCGAGCGCATCGGGTGCTATGATCCTAACAATAGCTCGAAGGACACCGTGCTGAACCCAATCTTCTTTCTTCTGAATATGGCCGATCACCTCGTTTTTTAAGAAGCCCAAAGCGGCGATTTGTTCTGGCGCGCTTGAATTGAGCTTAGCCAGCACTGACTGAGGATCTAGAGCCATCATCGACGGCCAATATCTCCTGGTCGAGATTCTATTGATACAAAGGTAAAGCAAAAGAGAATCCGGCGCGCAATCTTTGATGATTGATTAAGTACAGAATTACAGAATGCGGAAATTGTCGATAACAGCGTTGTCGCGACGGTTGTACGTGCATGGATGGTACGGAACACTAAATTATTACGCTAAACTGATTGGTCCCTGATTGGTCCAAGTATGGGGATATTTTAATGGCTGCTCCTTCTTGTACATCCAAGAATGTATATTTCTTTGTGCTAATGTACGTACCCCGCAGTGAGCACCGTGGAGTTCAACGTATTTGATTGGATGAATTGGAACCAAGCTCAAAGTGTGGCTTGTACACCAGATCTGAGTTTCAATGGAGCCGTATCACAGCCACCGTGGCACAGCAGAAAAATTGATTCAATGTTCTAGGTGCCTAACTCGGCACGGGCTATCTTCCGCAGACCCGGTAAATCGGCAGCAGCCCGGGAGTCTGGAAACAGCCTTAAAAACTAAGAGTTAAAAAATTATCAAATATTTTGCTCTTTTTCAAGGTCAACCCCGGTCATTAGATGACGAAATCTATTGAAGACGTCATTGGTAGAACTCATTTTTAAGTAAGATGGATTTCAGTATGGAGATTTTGAAGCACATCCCGAGGTATATCATACTAACTTGTTTTGCTTTTTTGTCATTTTTGATAGAAGGCATCATAATTGATATCTATTTTCTGTATATACTAATCCACATTTGGTAGTTTGACATTGTTGATATGGAAGAGATAGGATGACTTTGCTACTATTTAAAGTGAGAAGTGTTGGTTTTTATAGGCGCAATCTGTTTCCAACTTTCATAACTTGACAACTCAAAGTCCATCCATCGTTTCGAAAAGGGTATACGTTTAACAAATTCTGACTCTCCTAACGCACTTTGGAGAGAAGATTCCGTTCTCGTGATAGAGTCGAGATTCGCCAAGAGACTAAGCTGACGAGACTAGAATAATAGGGCACCGAGAGGAACGGGCACTTTTTTTTCACTTTGCTCATCTTGGATTGGTACGAACTTCCCATGTGCCCCTCCCCCTCAGGATTTTCAACCAGGTACGTTAGCAGGTTAAGTACCTAGCGCAAAGCAGGTAGCATAGCCTAGCAAATAGAAACCCCTCATTCTCCTTCTAATCTTGAACGCACATATATCCTATACCTTATCTGAATAGGTGCCTAGGTGCGTGTAGGTATATGTATGTACTTATTAAAAAAAAGTACATGCAGAAGAAAATATCCTTGACCGCATAAAAGAAGCGTTAATAAAAAAAATAAAAAAATAGAAAAATCTAAGTCGGTAAGTAGACATGTCTTATATATCTTCAAACCACATCCCGTTCTTATCTACCGTACTTCTAAGTAAGTAAAGTCAGTAGTTAACCCATAATGGGCTACTTCCCGGCCCAGAGCGTAGTCGGACAAAGTTAAGTCGGGCCTAGAGAAGGTTAGGTAATAAGAAAATGGGTATGGATGTCAAGAACGTTCAAGTTAGTTCCAAGGTTAGGTATTTAGGTAGGAATGGTACGAGGTAAGAACCTGAAGAACCTGGATGGAGTGGGTCCCCACATGGACGTTCTTGCCGCGCAGCACTCCAGCGGTTTTTCGAAATTTGCCTTCTCCGTTTCTTCTCTGGTGCGGTTCCATAGGCCGTACATAGGCCGTAGTCCATAAGTCTAATTGTCTCCAGGGCTATCTCTTATGGTGCGTTCTCGGCGTCCATTCAAATCCTCAATTTGCTTCCCTCAATCATGAGCTCCAGAACTTGTCCCACCACCGCCTTTCCTTTTCTCAAAAAGCCGAATTTCCGTCAGTCAGCCTTTGACGGCCCGCCAATTAATCGTTCTTCTCTCGTATAGGCGTATAGGTAAATCCGTCGGTATACCTATTGTACAGTACACGCAAGGCATTTTTATTTGACGAGACCGCCGTTCCTATGAATGCATACATCTGGTGCGGCCCAATTTGCGACGACTTTCTGCGACTACTGCGACTACTGCGACCTCTGCGAATTCTTTGATCCACGCGGCTGAGACAAAGACATTATGACGATTTGGGAACCATGTTAACTTCGCCTTCAACAATTCCAGTGACAGCCAGCGCATCACCGAGGACTTTCCACTATGCAACATCTCGCTCTCCACTTCAATCGCCCAAGATAACGGTGCCGCTCCCACGCCGCCAATCTAGACATTCTTTATCGCGCTCCTCGCCCGCTGCATCTTTACGGTCACCATCTCTCTCCAAACCGAAACAATATGTTGGAGTTGATGCCGCTACGCAATACTCACCGATGGAGCCCTTCGATCCCATGGTCCCTTTGCGATCCGCACAGGTATCAGGTCCGAGGATATCGGGCTCCATAGCCGCAACGGCAGCAACAACTGCAGATCAACCTATACCACAACTTATCTCTACAGAAAATCCTCCCGTACCGAACCCATCCCCTAATAGAACCACGAAACCCCCTCAATCCCTCACACTCTCCCCTAATAAGAGGCGCAAATCGCAAGATCCTATCCGACCCCACCCATCCTCGGTAGTGGCATCAAGCCAACCGAGCTCTCCAAAACGACCAAAACCCAATGAATGCCCTCCCAAAGTATTGCCTCTGAGATATGAGTTATGCGAGGTGGAGGATATGGTGACTTTAATCGCCAATATGCTTGGGGAGCTGATCGAGACAAATGACTCGCTAGCCATGAAAAGTGGTCACCTCACAAGGTTTCATTCAAGGTACGATTAAGCAATTTTCGTGGCGAGCTGATGATATTAATTAGATACATAGGACAGCACCAGGTATATCAGTTTTGGACTATCTACAACGACTTGCGAAACACGCTACGTTGACACCGCCTCTTCTCTTATCTATGGTGTCCTACATCGATCGCTTATGCGAGTACTACCCCGATTTCACGATCAACACCCTAACCGTACACCGATTTCTGATTACAGCTGCAACAGTAGCTGGAAAGGGCTTGTCAGATTCATTTTGGAACAATTCGTTCTATGCGCGTGTAGGGGGTGTTAAAGTAGCAGAATTAAAGCTGCTAGAGCTTGAGTTTCTAACTCGAGTGGATTGGAGAATAGTTCCCAATCCAGAAGTATTAGTGGCTTATTATAAGGGCCTGGTTGCGCGTTGCAGTGGATACGTTTTGGAAGGGGAACAAGAAGCTTCCTCATCTAGTGACGGGGACGAAATCGACGAGAGTGACGATTTATAAAGTATGAAAGTGCTGAAATATGTGTGCAGGAAGATAATGAGGCCCCGATGGCTTATGTGAGCAGAGGATATACTCAAGAAGCTACGCACATAAAGACTATTTTTGATCTTTGATCTAGGAGTTATTGAGGGGAATCGGTTGCATTTGGCGCTTAGTGTAGGGTGATAGTACTAGGTCATTGCGGCTAGTTGGTTATAAGAGACATAACGGTGTCGTCGATGTCAAAGGGAGTCCAGGACATACCCAACCACGCTACAATGTTCATAGAGAATTTTAAAGCCTTAAAAGATAACAAAATTCCTGGCTCCAATAGTATAGGCCTCGTCGTTATGACCGTAACGCTAACAACCGAATTTTGATATAGAATACCTTTCAAAAGAATTACCACATTTTACATAAATAGCATATTTATTTGAGTATAGTGTAAATGCTCTATATATAGTGTGTTGAGGCTCAATTAACGTTGATTATTATGGTAGTAGAAGGTTACGTAGTAGGTAGTGGCATGCTGACAGCGCATGGTCCCAGAAAAACCGGGGAATCAACGGCCAATAATTACAAACTTCCTACTAACAACGAACAACGAAACCTACCTACATTACATAACCTTTCTATCGACCTATACCTCTAGAATATAATCATAATCCCATTCGCTAATACGAAATCACCGAAACGCTGCCCATGAAGTTCTCCTCGATAATATCAGGCCTCACGGCTTTGGCACTAGCGAGCTTAGCCAGCGCCGCCGACCGAACGGCTGCCATATACATTCAGCCTGTTTCTTCCTCATCTACTACCCCAGCGCCTCTCGCCGAAATACGCTACAATTGCGCGGCCTCTGCGTCCGATGCCGAGATTATATCCTACGAAGCGCCCGAGCTACCAGATGAAGCTACGTTAGTGCGCGTCGGGGCCTACGATCCGTCTACTAAGCGATGGCAGTCCTCGACTTCCGTGGCGTCTGTGAATAATTTCGGAAAGGGGTACTCGCCGACGATAGTCTTGTCCGTGGATAGAAATGGCGATGTAGTTGCTGCGGCGCTGAAGGGGATTCGGATTGATGCGGGACAGACGAGGGATTTTGGACCCCAGGTTTTGGTGCGTGTTGATAAGCCGGGAGCGCAGCCTGAGTTGAATAAGCCGGTTGTTCTGTCGCCTGAGGGGAAGACTGTTGAGCCGGAGGAGAAGACGTTCTTCCAGAAGTATGTATACCTATGCCTATCCACAGGATATGTTGGGGTTAGATTTTCTAACAATTTGTTGCAGGTACTGGTGGTTGATAGGTATCGTTGTTATGATGACTATGGCCGGTGGAGGAGGCGACCAAGGCAAATAAGCATAGAGTATACAACATCATGCCGTGTTCGATTAAGAGTACATTGGATCTGATATATTCCGGTAATGTGTTCTCACTTTGTAGTGATTGGTCTTTTGAAGTCATCTGCCTATCTAACATAACATCCTAATCATGTTCAATCGACTCCATTAACGAAGGTCGTCTCGAGATGTGAACTACATTTGGATACATTGACTACAAACATATTACTCAATATACTACTTCTGAGGTTAATGGCACAGTAAAATCGAAGAATTGATTATCTGCTGTTAATGGAAGGTATCTCTATGTTGGAAGCAATCCCCAAATATGATTTCATGGCATATGATTGTGTTTAGCAAGCTCGCAGCTGCCAAGTTCAATGTTGCTCACAAGTTGCTCTTACCACTATTAAAAATGTACAGTAGGTACAAGTTATCAGATACTGTAGCATCAAACGGCAACCACGAGCCCAGATTCAGCTTGCCCACCCCTTCTAAAGGCGGTCAGCCAATAGCCCCGAGAGCGCCATCCCCAAATTGCGTTAGTGTGCCTTCTAATCCTGGAGTAGGTAAAGCAGGTAACTCTGGAGACCGCAGCTGCAGTTTGAAACCAACCAATAAACACGGCAGCACAGTTGAACCTAGTTGAGAAGTACAGGCAGGTAGGTACACACCTTGGTACACATGTTTTTCAAGCACGCCGTACTTTTTTTTTTTCTACCACACACCACCACACCTTTTCCAACTTTCTGTTTAACCAATTGCGCTACAACTTACGATTGCTCTTTCGCCATTGATCAATCGCACGCAAATCTTCTTTTTCTCTCTGTAACTCTACCAGAAACCCACTACTCTCTACAAATCGCGATCACACCAAGTCATCATGGCCAGTGAGAACAGCGCTACCGTCCCTCAAGACGCTTCCGCCACCAAGGGCGTCGACGAGCCCGTCAAGGGAAAGGGTAAGGGGGCTGCGACTGAGGACCCCGTCGACACCACTATGGATGAGGACGACGATGATGATGACGATGAGGAAGAGGTAAGCTTTCCCTTCACTATTTACGCTCACTTATGCATTTGAACACTCTAGCTAACTATTTAATAGGCTGAAGGCGGTAAGCTACCCCCCATAACCAGCGATATTCTATTTTGCGAAAGCGACCACTAACACAACTCGACACAGGTGATGAGGACGCTGACGACAACATGGACGAGATCGATCTCAACAACATTGTTCAGGGCGGTCGACGAACTCGAGGTCGCGTCATCGACTGGGCCAAGGCTGCGCAGGACAACCCTGCCGAAGATGACGATGATGAAGATGAGGACGACTACGAGCCCGCCGGCGGCGAGGACGATGGAGACAAGATGGAGGAGGACTAGAAATATCCACGCCCCCTTCTCTCCCCTTCGCGTGCCCTCTAGTTGGATACCGAAGACTCCAACTGGATCTGAACGGGGTTGTCTCTATCCACCAATCGGACCAGCATCGTTACTACTTCTCCTGGTTTTCGGCAGTCCCGCTATTACGACCATCATATCATCATGTTTTTCTATTGCTTTGCGGCACTAGATCTTAGAAACACACGTTGTTCTCTTTTCCGGACATCGGATACGAAAAAAAGGAGTCTACGGACGGAGGAAACGCATAGCTATAACTTAGGTCTACTTCGGACTGATGTGTCTGACGTTTAGCTCAGATCACGGATGTATTCATCAATAAAAGTAAATGAACACACTAATACCATTCACTGCCTTCGTAAAAGTAACAATGTAATTGTAATTCGTTAAAAGTCCGATCTTGGTGATTATGTTTTATTTCATTTTGGAGTCGGCTTTCCCCTCAAAAGACTACGATAGCTCGTAAATAAACTCCGCAGAGTCTAAGTGTCCTCGGCATATGATGAATCAAACAATAATCTTCGTCTACCTATTATTCGACTTTTACCTCGTCACTACTTTTCTATATATCACATTTAATATCAGATATCATAACAACCGATCACATCGCATTCATTCGTTGACGTAAATTCGCATTCCCATACAACATATATAGAATTTGCTTTCTACAAATTCCCACTACTCAAACCAAATAAGCAAATCCAACGGTCGACTTGCCATTTATATTTCTTTTCGCGAAAAATCGACGATCACCCCAATAACCCACATGTACCTACATACCCCGAAGGCAAGTAATGTAGCTATTCACCGATACTCTCAGTTCCCCGACCAATCAAACCCATCACCTACGCCCTAAACAAGCAAGAAGCAAGCAATTGGATGATTTAGTTACCATTCCCAAGGTTTGATCAACGGGTATTTGCTTATTGGTTCTTGCTCCTAATACCAAGTAGGCAGGATTGGCGTAGCGGATGCGACTATAAATAAAAGCAAGAGAGCAAAGGTATTTACAATGGTTTAAGCATGACACCAAAACACCAGAAAGATAGTTATAGTATGGGATATGTATTTACTCATTTACCAGAGCCGAATATATACTATCAAACTCTCTAGGTATATATAATAAGGCTTTTAATTCAAGCCGTACCGTCTAGCTTTTGTCCATCTCTCGAGATGCGAATCCATTCAAACGCCGTGCTTCATGCTTCGTATGCAGCCAATGCTAATCCGAAAAACCAATGCTTATCATTCAACAATAAAGGGTATCATCCAACGCTCGCACATGCCATCACTGAACAAATAAAATAATATTTCAGTCGTCTTTTTTTTTCTGCTTCCCTTCTTTTTTCGGAGGCGCAGCTTATAACCTCGCTTTGGTATGCTGCTCGATCCCGAGGGATGTACTTCCGTTTCCGAATCCCTCGCTTAGGATCGTCCTACCCCACCAGAATGTGGATTCGTTCCGCACCCGCAGAGTCAGATTGCCGATTTGTGCGGCGACACCTGGGTTTTGACGTCCGCGCATACCCATGCGCTCATCATTACCTTGGCCGAATAACGTCACCTTGCCCAAGCTGTTCGCTTCTTTTACGCCGATCATAGTTGTGCTCGTGTTGAAGGGGCTGACAAACTTTGGCCATGAGATGGTAGTTGTGTTGGTGGTAACGCCAGGGCCTGGATTAGGATCACCAGTAACGACAAATCGACTCCAGAAGCCCGTCATCGCATCTGCCATAGCAACTATGCCTGGATATTTTCCGATAACGTCCATGTCATGCGTAACTATGGGTGCTTCGTCGCCGTGATCCGCGCCGCCATGACTATTCGACCGAGCAGCATAATGATAAGCGTAGACGGGGCTGGCATCCTTTGCGGTCGAGGCTAGATGTGCTGTTTGAAGTACCGGGCAGATATACGCGTAATGCGCATAGACATCATCTAACCTCCAGAACTGCGTACCGAAGCCAGCGGGTGGTTTAGTGACGTATAGTTTTTGTCCGACAGTGGTGTCGGGATCGGGATACATGGTATTTAGTGTATCCAAATCTGTCTTGTTGAGAGCAGGAATGAGGCCGGACATTAGGTTGCGCATTGCCGATGAATTGCTCTCCTTCGACGGTACGAACACTGCACCCTCATTCGTGTTAAAACCCGTTAGGATCGGGATACGTAAAACATTCCCTTTCTCCCAGGATTGACTTGGTAGGTCCGGTATTATTCCTCCGGAGCCGTCAATTACAGGCTGGAAAGCCCAACGCAGAGATGGGTTCCAACGTCTCCACACATAATTAGATGCAGTAACGACCGTGTCCAAGGGGAGGGCGCGGAGCCCATCAAAGAGCTTATCCCCAGAGGTACCATTCAATCCGCACTTCTCCAGGAATTGTGAGAGTTGCTGTTCATGTAGCGGATGAGTAGGTACGAAAGTAGCACGAGCTGTAGATCCACCGGATTCGAGGATCGCTTTTTGAAACGGTACAGGCGCCGAGGTTAACTTATTTGCCGGCGAATACGATATTAGGTGATGTCCAACCTTGAATCACTGTTAGTTATTCTCTCCTGTGACTTCGAATTTCTATCAAGATAATCACTTACCGAGTGAGCACCAGCGCTTAGGCCCATTATCGTAACGTTGTTGGCATCTCCACCAAAGTCGGCAGCGTTATTCTGTACCCATTGGAAAAGCGCCTGTTGGTCCTTTAATCCCAGATTTAATAGGCCTGCCTCTGCGGCTGATGCGCCTGGTAGGAAACCCAAAGCTCCGACACGATAGTTGAAGCTCATTCCAATTAACGGCGTCTCCGACCACGCGACAAAACTCAACATATTTCTCTCGGCACCACTGCCACTGTTAAAACCACCGCCGTGGATGTAAATGACTATGGGCATCTTCTTGCTATCAACACCGAGCTTTGCCATCTCGGCGGCAGCGGCGTCTGGGTCGTCGCTGAAATGAGGTCTAAATATGTTGACGTTTAGACAATCCTCGCCTTGGTTCTTCCCACCTCCATTTTGAGGGCAGACGTGGCCATAGCTCACAGCGCGCTGAACATTGTTACGGTCTACCGTACCATTTAGCGGCTGTGGAGGTCTGAAACGGTTTTGGCCAGCTGTGGACTGCGCATATGGTATGCCGCGATAAGCCTCAACGGCACGGGCGTATTTCGAGCTTTTCTGTACCACTTCGCCTAAATATGTCCCTTGATTTAACTGCAAGGGAGATGATTTCTGTCGCATCATTAGCTTGTTGCACGACTGAAAGTGGTGATAGGTAACTGAAGTTATTCATGCAATGATTGGAGATTGGGGATGCCAAGCTCGGGTAGGGAGGGAAGATCTCCCAGCCAAGAGAAACAATTGCTCGGCAGGGACACGATTTGACAACCGCACGCGATACGCCAAGCAAACTGCTTATGTATGACTTAATACAGCAAATAACATTTCTTTTTTACATACCTTTAAAATTTCGTGTATATGACCACTCGTTTCTAACCATATCAAAACTCCGAGAAGTACGGCGGCAACGACGAATGAAAATACAATAAGAGCTTGGCGCGTTCGGCTCTTTCGGATTTTAATGGCTTCGGTTTCTAGCCATAGTCGGATCTTGGAGGCCTTCTTCGTCCCCTCTGGTGTTAATGACTTGGTGCTCTTGGTGCTATCGCCGTCCTCTATCGAAGATTGGTCCATGACGGCTCGTCCATGGGGAGAGTCGTGGTTGTCTTGGGAGTGAGAAGAAGAATTCGAGGGATCTATGTTAATAATAAAAGCATTCTCTTTGGGGTCCTTCATTTGTCGGTGATTGTAATTACTAAGGCGATTGGATTGTTAGAGAGGCTCGACCCTCTGCAGTACCTACCAGAGGTGCTGTGCCGTACGCTGAACTGTAGATGCTACCGGATTCGAAAGAGGCGGAGCATAACGTGCAGGGAGGGTGCTGCCCGTCTTTTATCCAGGGGCAGAAAAGCTTAGCGAATTTAATAATAGTATTAAATTGGTACGTATCGCTGTAAGTCCTGTAAATCGTGTAGCCCTATGAGCGCTTGGCCAACACAATGAGGTTTGTTGGTTCTGGTTTGTTGGAAATAAAAGGTGGATTGTGGTCGTGAAAGGCGGGTAAGTGAATGGGTAATGACAAGGAAAGGAACAAGAAGGAATTCGGAGATCTACATATGTATGTGAATGTATGTAAATGTATGAATCATATCGGTCAACCTTCCAGCATTATGTATCAAATGTGCATGCCAGGTACGGCACAATTACCTAGTCAGAGGGGTACATAAGTGTAAGCTGCCAAACAAACTATACGTGTACAGTGTACTATGTATGTATTATGTACGTGTCCGTGAGCAATTTAGAATTGAATTTGGTCTCGGATTTTGAGCGGCAGTGGGGAGTAGGCAGTAGGCAGGCAATAAGACGTGGTGGTTCTTTCGTTTCTCCCGGTATGACTTCGCAAAGTCTGGGCCTGCCTGGGCTACGACAAGGGTAAGAAACAAAGGTGCAGCAACTTCCCACACTTTCCAACTTTAGTCCGAGGGGGTATACAAATTATGTTATTATCAATACCTCTTGTGCCTGCATGTCTAGCCTTGTAATGCATGTACTCCGAAGGTACACGGAAGCTAAGGAGTTTAGAAAAAACCGATAGTTCTTTCGCATCATCCCACAATCGGCCATCAAACCGAATAAGCCTTTACTAATACCATGGCATCATTGTCCAGAGTTGCTCTTGCAGAATATAGGACCATTGAGCCGATTCCTTTCTTGGTTGAATTCTACAATTAGCTCAACCACGTGCTTCGTATTTCTATTTCATTATTCCCGGATAAACTAAACTTACATCAACAAAGCTGAAAAAATTGCGCCAAACAATTATTTAGTGTGGTATGACAAAACAATATATCCTGGCGGCCAAGTAGGACGAACACATCTCCTAGGTGCTTGCGGGCATACCGCACCTATACGCATACGAATGTACCGAGCGTACCGACGTAGGAGATAAAAAAAAAAAAAAAAAAACAGGTGTTGCACAGCACATCTCGAGCCAATCACTGAAATGCGTCACTATCGCTCTGTCAAATGTCAAAAATCGCATACGCATGAAATTGACGCTGCCAATGCTGGGCACCCCACGAATTATATCATTGTCGATCAGACGAAGAGCTTCAGTTAATTTTCAGGTGTTAGGTGAGATCAATTGAACTTGACGCAATTCCTTTAGGTCCTTTCTAACATGCTACTAATCCTGTCGATCCAAGTCGCGCTTTGGCCCCCACTGTCTTAATCACTTGGCACAAATTGCTTCCGTGATCCTGGGCGGTTCTAGATCACAGACCATCTTGAAGAAATGGTTGGTTGCCAAGCGAAATCAAGCTTCTGGATCTAACCAACGGGAACCTCTCCTGCGCCTCCAACACCAGATTTTGGACCCTTGCAGATTGCTACGTTATACGGGGTCCTGAGCTCCAATCGTCAATTGAATTCCCAAGACAGCTGAAGAATCACATAACCGCACAGCTGCCTAAATTGGAGTTAGGTCCTAGGGCAGAAGATATCGGAACTTCCTCGCCGCCACTCCAAATTTTCGATATTCGCTGAGTGGCTGTGATATCCTTGTCTGGCTTACCGTCCACAAGGACTATATCAGCCCTCAGTCCCGGCGAAATTCTACCTCTGTCTCGGAGATTGAAGTGTTGCGCAGCTGAGGACGTAGCCGCTCTCAAAGCCTCGATAGGTGTTAGCCCGGCTCGTACCATCAATTCTAGTTCGTGATGAAGGGACTTTCCAGCCACGACCGTAAAGATGCCGCTGTTGTTCGTGTCGGTACCCGCAGCGATAGGTACGCCCGCATTCCGCATCGCTGCCACGCTATCTAGCGCATTTTGGAAGTCGGTTTTGCGCCTGAATGATGGCAGGATCCAACTAAGTCCCCACAGGACCCAGCTATTGGCCATGCCTTCCATCATCGATAGCGTTGGCACCGCGACCGTCTTTTGGCTAGTCATCTGGCTAACCACATTATTGTCAAGGGCTCGATCCATAGGCACGTGGGTTAGGATATCGAAGCCCGCTCGCAAACCACGTTCAAATGCGGCGTAGTGCGCTGTGTGAGCGACCGTCATCTTCCCGTGCTTCTTCGCCTCCACTTGAATCTTGTCTAATACAGCTTGCTCGTGGCCTGGGTGATCTGCAACGATCTTGATATAATCGACTCCTTCGTCGACCCGGTTTTGTACGAATTTCGCAGCTTCATCGGTGTCATGGACTGCGTATTCCGGGCCAAAACCACCAAGTTTGAATAACCGACCATGTCTAGAATTTTCCTGATTTTCAACATCGTGGATTAGTAACTTTTACACTCTGGCGGCGTAGGAGGAGGCATGACAGATAGCTTCAAGAGCTACACCACATGAGAATACTCAACCATCAGCTCTCTGAAATGACGCAATCTTGCCACTTACCTCATACGCAGGAAGACTCGAGCTCAACCACGTTGTTGGTCCTAGGACCGATGCGGCTCGGAGCTTATGATATTTATCTATCGGCATGCATCTGAAAAATAAAGGATCATTAGTACTTCCTGGTTATCGAACTTACAAACAAACTCACGCCATATCGCAGACGGTCGTGACCCCGAAGGATGCACATTCAGCCAGTTGGGCTTCGTCGCGGATGTGCACATGGCAGTCGATGAGCCCGGGAAGCAGTGTGCAGCCGGTGCCGTCGATAACAACAACCGCAGACGGATCCGCATCATCGGCTAACTCATTCTCACCGATATCCGATCCATCGATAACCACGGTCTTAGGCCCGACGACAGCCTGGCCGTCAAAGACGCGAACATGCTTGATAATGGTTAATTTTCCCATTTTGAAAATATTCTAACAGAAAGCTAACTGTGTATGAGATAAACGTATTAGTAAGTGCAATTGACTATAATCTGTGTACCTAAGAAGGCACTATGGTGATCTCGAGAATGCGAACCAAGAACACCGCTACATTCTTCAGACCCACAATCTCCAGCGCAATAATAGGATGTATATAGACTCACTTCAAGGTAGCTGGGTAGGCTTCATATATGTATAAACTGGCGACGAATGAATTAGTCTGTAGATAAAGTGTGACGTACTATCTTACGAAATCCTTGTCGTTGGGCTATGTATATATTTCAGCTCGAGGTTTAGGAATGTGCATGATTCATGTTTCCCGTCCCGTTTACGGGACTGCCCGCTTCGGACGGTCGGATGATCATTTAATATACCTTCCGTATCCTCAACTAAATATTGGGTTATACCCCATACACGGAAATTACATAACGTCGTCGCTTTATAACTTGATATAAAATTGCAGGTTGCAGTGGGATTCTATCGAATTAGTATCATGATTGTGGGGATGCTTACGGCAAGTCGGCGCCGCTGACGCCGATTCTAGATACCTCGGCATCTAGATCTACTTGATATATCGACAGGGGAATTATCTCAGCTATTTATTTCTGAAACTTAGCTTCGGGGACTGACTCATTTACTCCTCTGATAGGGACGACATGGTTAATACATGTACATGGTGATTTTTCAACTCGGGGTCGAGCCAAAACAACCAAACAACTCGAGTCCACGATTCTGATTAGAAATTATGCATTTGATACTCAATTAATGCAGTAACACCAATAATACAGGCCAAGTGAGGCCAACGTGAAGTCAGCAAAATGACTATACCTATACCATAACAATGCCCCAAGAACCCAACACAAAACAATACAATACAATACAACAACCAGACCGTTAGCAGGTCGGCAAACGCCAGAACTCTGTGCTTTTAAAACTCCCCGATGCAGTATGCAGATACACACAATAATACACCCCAGCCTTTCCTATAGTTTATCCTAAGAGCTCCATTGTGCTCAGTGACTCCCATATTCGGCGATCCGTACTATATTCATGTCGAAGTCATGACATCTCGCAGGGAAGCGATGGTCATCCTCTTCCTAGCTTGTTTTGCTGCCCACTCGCGGCTTTTCTGTCGTGATCGTTCAGCAGCCTCTTCTCGTGCAAGCTTAGCCAATGCTTCTCGCTCTCGTTTTTCGCGTTCTCGTTCACTAGTCCACGAGTTATCTCGTTTGTATATCTCCTGGCCGCGAAGCCTCTGATGTTGCACATCTTCTGTGGACACCGAACTACGTTGTCCGTTGAGGCTGCCCACGGTGGAGCTTGAAGAAGTGCCACGACTTGGTTGTGTACCCGCTGGTTCGGGGTGGAGTCCTCGGCCTCGTGATTGTTGTGATTGGTTGTTCGTTTTTGAAAGGGGAGAGCGTGAAGTAGGATCCATAATTGAAGGTGAACCCTTATTCCAATTAGGTGATACCTGGTGGGTGGAGTTCTCTACCAAGGGTCCTTTATTTTGACGGGCTCGGCTCGCAACAGTTTCGCGAGGGAATGTACTGGGCGCAGCACCGGAGCGAATAGGTCTCGCCTTGAATTCTCGCCTCTTGCGCTCTTCTTCCTCTTGTGCTTTTAGTTGTGCTTCGCGTTCCTCGCGCTTGCGACGAGAAATAGCTTCCCCTGGTAGTTCGAAGTTGGGCCGTGTTGGGGCTTTAGCTGATTTGGCGCGTCGAAGGCTCGATACAGTCGGCTTTATCGCCTGCTCTGGATTGAATTGCGTCGAGGCGCGGGCTTCGCGTTTCTCTTTTAGCTTCCGAGCTACTTCATCCCCAGGTAACTCGAAAGTCGGGATAGTAGGTTTTTTCGCTGACTTGGGAGGTTGCTTTGGTGGCAATAGACTCGATATACTCCTTATGGTTGACTTCTTTGGCGGGGCCTGAGCCGCAGGCTTGTCTTCAATTTTTATCTTTGGAGAATCGAGGAAAATCATAGATGCTGCCTTGCGAACAGTACGTCGGGGCTCGCTAGTTGACTTGATTCTAACAGAAGCGGAACCGCTCCTTCCTAATGTAGTTCGCTTGGACTGTGGTGTTATGGATCTCGCGGTATCAGCAGTCTTCACGGATAATGATTGCATTCGAGGCCTTCTTTCCGAGCCCGGGTCTTCCGGGGAAACAATTCGTCTGATGTGAGCTGCCTCATCAAATGCCTCTAGCTGTTCTTCAAGTTCGTCAAGCGCTTCCACAGAATCCTCGATTCTAGCAATAGGTATCACGGGCGACCGAGCATTGACTATATCTATGTGCTTTTCCTTGTCTCCGGCTGGACTGGTAGGCAATGATGAAGTTAGCCGGGGCCCATCCACTTGTAGTGCCTCGGGCTCTTTCGCCGGCGCGACGTGATTATGATTAGGCTCCGCAAGAGCCATCTTTTCTTTACTTTTAGAGTCTTCGCTCTCCTTTGCTCGTAATTCTTCGCCTGGTGCTAGGGGAGATATGAGAATCGTAAAGCGCGGAGGCGTTATGGTTTCGTCCGAATCCTCGCACTCGGTGGTCTCTTCTTGGATTGGCAAAAGATTGAAGCCGAAATGAACCTCTATATGGCTGGGTGTAGGTTTGGGTTCCGAGTTGGGAGCTTCGACGCGTACTCTTGTAGAAAGTATTCCTTGGAAATAACCGTCGCGATGTTTCGCGATTTGTTCCTCCACCGGTGGGATGCCCTTGCGCGCGATTTCAACTAGAGGATGATCCGGAAATAGTTTTTCTAGTAGGATGAATATATTAGTATGGCTAAATAGGACGCGATTCTATGTTTGCGAATACACACCTGTAATTGGAAGATCGAGATGGCGCTGTGTTTCGTTTGAATCAATAGTAGTAGCAACAGAACTTGATGGGCGCTTTGGATCGTATTCTGGAACAGTCTCGAGAACCTCGAAGGTGTTGGCTGAAATTGCAGGTCTTGTTAAGCGACGTCGACCTTGATTCTTCGGGTTATCATTCCAATTGTTACGAGATTCCGCGTCTATTCGAAGATCCCTCAAACTAGTTGTGAGTGAGTCAATTGTCTCATTAGAAGCCGCACTTAGTGGACTTGATTGGCGATTCTGCACCTGAAGGACAGAGAGTTCACCCAAAGATGTATCGTTCAGCTCGAGGCTGTTGTGCGAAGAATGATCATCATCGCCGCTATTACTCGAATCACAGGGGATCTCGAAGGGTAGTCTTCGAGATGGAATGGCAGCCATCCTTTCAGGGCTTCGATTGGATACAATTGGTCAATTGACCAATGATTGGAGGTCTGAGAGTGAAGCAACAAGGGGTGCACGGCTCAGGGGTCCAGCATGAAGCAAGGGTTTGATGAGAGTCCCAATCTAATACCTAGCAGCCCCGGACTAGCGACCACGAGCAGCTTGAGCACGGGGATTCCGACGAGCGAGAATACTGTCTATCAAAGTGGAGGTGGGGAATAACCCCTGCAAGAAAGCAAAAGAATTATTGAAACTCCTTTCCAACTTAGTGATAGATGGGATTGAATTTTTATGCTTGGTGATGATTGATGTTGTAGAAGAAATGAAAAAGCTTCTTCTAGAAAATTGGACGGTGGATATTGTTCAAGGTCAAATGCATACAGCGTGATAGTTCTTGCCATCGGAGTCGAGGGATTAAATGTTTGTCGGAAGGCTCGTCGCATACCTACATATGTAGGTAGTACGTGCTGTACATTTACGTACAAGTATTGATTTCCCTCGGATGTAGCTACCCTACGTCAGATCTTTTTTCCTATGGTAACGGCTTAGTAAGGGACGCGATCTTGACGCGATAGGTTCGCGAACTTTCCCCCACTTTGTTCTATCGGGGCGCCCCTGCCAGAACGGTAATCAAGGCATCGTCACTGATATCAATGTACTAAATGTACGACGCCCCCTCACATCTATGAAAATCTGTATGCGGGTATAAAATACTTAGGTATACATATAGTATAACTGTGAAGTAGGTGCGCCACCGTATCGGAGTTCGGGGATTCCCATCGGAGTTGGCCATAACTGCGCAGGGCGCAAGCAAGGGGCCAAATTTGGATGTAGGCTGATGGATGGTATGAGTAAGATTGTCCCAAGCGCATATACTCAAGAGAGGGACGATGAATTATGTTCACCCTCGAGAACTGCTTCCGTTTGAGCCTGCAATGCAGGTGCATGTTCCGTTGGTATACGGACTAGGGTTTGTGGTAGAGGGACAGATGTGTCCTCTTCGGCTTTGACTGTGGTGTCATCTGTATTTCGTGGCGTCGGGATTTTGGCTGCGGAGATGATCAGTACTGCATATTCCTATCGATCGATAAGTTGGATGAGATGCACGCAGACCTGAAGCCATATTGATTGCTCGAAGCACATTATGCCAATTGCCCACCACCGTCGCAATTGCTATTATATTCAAATTAGTCAAGAGTCTAATTTCTTATGAAAGTGCTCCCACCTTCCGTTCCGTCTGATAGAGTAGCAAGCTTCTGTTCTAAAGCTTCCATTTGGCCCGCTACGGCTGCACTGAGATCTCGCAATTCCTTGAGATTCTCAAGTTCTGCTTTTTTCTCGTTGACACGGGCCTGAAGCGTTGAGGATTGACCCGTTGATTGGCCAAGGTTACCGGAAGTAGAGCCTTGGCGCAGGTGGTTAGGCAACGTGCGCGACGAAAATGCCATTGTACTCTTGTCGGGAGAATAGTTTGTGAGGTCGAAGAGTTATGCTTCGATAGAGGATAGGTTAATTCGTATAGGACCTGGGATATCCTTGGTGATTAAACCAAGTGGGGAACTATGCATTCACTACCTAGGTATATATGAACTTTTGAAGTCCCGAGGCTGGCAACAAATAGGTGAGTAATCCAACACACTTGTGAGAGTATGATTGTCTGGATTATCCTATGCGATTTCATGAAAAGGATCATACCACAACTTTTGCAAACAGATATACCCGAGTAAGTACATTTGCATGATGCTAAATTGCATGTATTAAAGTTCAATATTCGTTTAAATGTGGATGCGCAATTACTTAACTTAATATTTTAGTGTGACGTCGAGAACATGTGGTTGCTAGTGTAACCCAATATGGAGCCCCTGTCCCAAATTGATGGTCATAGCTTGGAACTATACCTTCTTCGGAAGTTTGTTGATATCTATTCTCTGTGGAGACCAGCTCCCTTGCCAACTCATCTTGCCGACCAAAACTTTTTTGAATTTCTTCACCGCATCACACAAACAGCTCCTATCGTCGCGTGCGCTATTACTTTCGAACGAATAGGATTGCTACTCACTCGCTCCTAATAGGACCCATTTACATGATTATCGGCCTTCCAGATTGCTGCTACAATACTTATAATCTTGGAATTTCGCCCACCTCATGAATTCTGACCATGGCACGACTCAACGAGCCAATGGTGTCAACAGATAGCATAGAAACGCGTATGTTCCCAGCTGTTCTCGACAACTATGAACCACACCAACTAACTTATCTATATGATAGTACGGCGAAAATTCCTACGCCAGAATCGAGATATCGCCCGAGTTAATTCAACCCAATCGCTCAAAATACGCACTCTAGAGAATGAGTGTGTCCGCCTATTATCCGAAAACCTCGACCTTCGAGGACAAATACTACGACTACAAACAGAGTTGGAAGACAACAAGGCACAGAAAATTGCCGACCATGCTCTGGAGATTAAGGAGAAAATGGAAGCGCAACTAGCAGAATGGGGAAGTATGCTTGCGAGTTTGGGGCACGAGCCCATACGTAAGAGCCGATCGCCAAGAGAGGCAAAAAGGGCAAAACATAGATCGAGTATTGGTCGCATCAGTATGTCTGAATGGAAGAGGAGAGACACAGTGAGCTCAATGAAGGACCTCGAAGCTGCCGCTCTTCAGGAAGGCAGATTAGCGCCAATCTGGGAGAACAAAACATGCCCCCGCGAGACACTTAGGTAAGGCGCGCTTATCGAAATATGTGGGCATCATATACTAACAAAGTATCTAGTCGAGAGGAGATCATTGCGCTACGTTCCGTAGTGGACGACAATGACGATTCTCCGGATCTTGGACCTCCACCTGTATCACGTTTTGTCGATGAAGATCCCGTGAAGATTGATTTACCCACTAGAACTAATCCATCTAAGTCGGATTGGTCGTCGCTAGAAGATACGTCGTCTGAGCCTGCGAGCAAGAAAGAACCGCCAATAGTACCCAAGATGGATAGAAAGATAGATGATGCTGTCAACGATGTCACCTCAACAAAGGTCGAGCCGAAAGAAGCGAAGGCGGCCGCGGTCCCGGATCCCCAGCCTACTACCCAAGTTGCTAAGGCCAACTTGAAGAGGAAGCTAAGAGAAGAAGATGAGAAAGAGAATGCGGTGGTGTCTAAACCGGCAGCACAGACTGTTGCATCGGAAAAAGAACCGGAGAAGCCCACCCACGCCAGGGCCCGTCCTGGTAGCAGGATGCTCAAGCTTTCTGCGAACAGAAAAGACCCTCGGGATCAGCCATCCGACCCGCTTAATAAGAGAAGGCCGTTGGGTGCGAAGAACTCGAATGAATGTATCAAGTCACCGAAAAAGACGACGAAGCCTCCTGTTGACGAGGAGATCGCGAAAGAGGATATAAAAGCAAAGAAGGACCCTACCCCGGTTGTCGAAGTGCCTGTTCCAGAACCTTCACAGCCTGTAGTGGTTACAGACGTTGAAATCGAGACAGAAACACTGTCTGCGGAGCCCAACTTGGCTATACCTAATACACCAGAACCCACACCAAGAGAAGAGGCCAGGGATACGCCGCCCCCTACCGATATCTCATCTAGAGAGACATCGCGGGGTAGTCGTAGAGCTAGAGCTGCTGTCAGCTACGCTGAGCCCAACCTGCGGGATAAGATGCGACGGCCTACTAAGCAGTTGCTCGATGCCGTATCGGGTGAGGGAAAGCATATTCGACGAGCTAGTCACTCGAAGAAAGACGAGTTTCCCTCCTCAGGTCCCTCCTCAGGCCCCTCTTCCATAGTCAGCTCGGAAGGGAAAACGCAATGGAAGGAGATTCCCTCGATCAACAATGCATTGAAGTCAACTTCGGATGTCACGGCTAGTCCCCTAGCCCGAAAAGGCTTAAGAGCAACACTTTCCTCTAACGAGTTACCCACAAGCGTGGTAATGGAAAGGAAGAACCGAAATTCAACAATCAATGTTTCCACATCGAGCGATCCCGAATCTTCAGCCCCATCGTCTTCCGACGGAAACAACCCTACTAAGTCTAGTTCTCGATCAATAAACCGCCGCTTGGATGAGATCGCCGCACGAGAGGCTGAAGTAGCAAAGATATTCGACGACGAACAGGACGTCTACGAGTTCACCAGCCCGTCGTCCAAGAACGGTTCGAAGCAGAAGAACGCGATAGCACCAGAAGAGCCAGCCAAGAAGAATCACGGCAAAGTAACCCGACGCTCCAGGGTCAGACGATTATCATCAATACTCCACGAAGATCAAGACCATGGCTCCGAAGAGCTGAAAGGACCACGATTTACCGGATCTTCTAGACGGGCGACGGTCGCAGCATCTAAAGAATCGAAGCCAGAAGTAGAAAACCAAGGACCCGATAGCTCGCTAGAAGGAGACAGTTTGAGCAGCAACTCCTCCGCAGAGATAAACGGCTCCGCCCAAGATCGAAATGCATCCAGACGGAGGAGCATGATGTTATGAGAAAAGAGATTCCTTTCACTATGATAATGATTCATTCGCACAGGTCGTTTATGGAGTTTTTCTGAAGAAAAAAAATTGTATATGGATTCAAGTAATCACGAGGTTGAGTTGGCTATCAAGAGCCCCCCTTTTCAATAGTTCATTTTTCAAGGCGTCTGGTTTGGGATACATACATACCATACCCCCTTCCTCGGTGTATCCAGGATACGATTAAAGTTCTTTCATTCGTTGCATTGAAGATTGTATCATTAGGTAGTCAGGGCTAGAAGGAAGCCTGCTTCTACCCGTTGTGGGAGTGAAATACAACTATCTGATTAATCAGCGGACGCTTGGTAAACTCGGTGATCTAGATGTTCCCTCTTTCTAAAGATTAGGATGATCCTCCTGTAGGCTCTACAGGTTTTGTGTATGTCACCTTCTCCACGGCGACGTTTTCTACCCCGTTTTCGTCTTTTCTTAGTTGGTAGACGTATAGTGTAAGTGATATTCCTTGGACCTGTGTTTGGTGTTGGTAAGCGGTTAGAGGAACATTAAATCCTCCGTTTCAAACTCGTCCCCTCTCCCATAAATAACATCCGCGATAGAGAGAAAACTTACATCCATCAAGCAAAAACTGGGCACCATATCCTCTCCTTCATTAGTCCATCCCGTGGTATAAGCACCGGTAGCGCTACCCGGGTTCACAAAGAATTTGTCCATATACTCGAAAGCATCGAATCGGTGAGTACCGCCCCAGCATAGAACATCGACATCCAGTTTGTTGGCCTCGGCGAGCAGAAGATCGGGTTCGGTGGATACTAAGGTGAAGCCTTCGACGAAACCGATGCGCAAAGAACCGTGTGTTACGACTTGCGATAATGGTAATGATGTCGCTTCTACGTCAAACCGTCCCTTGACGATCTTAAGGTCCGGGGCGACAGATCGGAGATACTCGTAGGTGTGCTTGTCCGTTAAGTTGCCTAGGCATAGCGTCTGTCCAATTTTACCCGGTGAAAGGAGCTTCTTGAACTATTGGAAAGGTAGGAGTCAGCGGCGACGTAGAAATGTGGATGAGGTGAGATGTGTTGGTCATGTATCGTACCTTTTGTGGTATGTCGAGAGCGCGATCGGGAATGTGGAGATCCCCGATTACGAGTATAAGGAAGGCCATTGTGTATAGGTCGATGGATGGTCGGTGTTTTCCAGCGTAGAGAAGCGCCTGTTGGCTCGAATAAGAAAACTGCGTTTAGTTAATCGTAAGGGGATCGGTTCGTATAAGTCGGTAGCACCGTTTCGATATGGGTGAAGAATTGCGGTGAGGATGGTATGTTTAGATGTTCGCCACTTAGTTCGTAGATAGCCTTGATGATTTAGTAGGTTCAAGCCGCATGAGATGCATACGTATCCGCATAACAACGAATCGTAGACATGGATGTGAATGTATCTTAAAGTATTGAAGCTATCCCCACGGGTCTGCGAGGCTGACGTTTAATTGTTAGAGACCCATAGAAGGCAACTACCTAGCTTTTGCAAAGCCCCGCAATTTTAAGCTCTTAGTATACACCAGGTACGTACCCCCTCCACAGCTCGTCTCGTCATCTGTGGAACACCTGCAGCAAATGATCAGCGAGTACCTGCCGTAGGTTGGTACCTAGGCTACCAGATGGACACCTATTAAATCAGTACTTTTTATATCAAAGGTTTCAACTATAGCAGTACTCATCGTTATAGAGAAGATCCTTAATACATATAAATCTACATGATTAAAATTGGTCTAAATGTAATCAATCTATTAGTCTCGGGTTAATGTAATGCGGCCGAAGACGGAGGCTATTTAATCAAGTTAAACTTGAAATACCCGATCTCTATGGTTAAGATAGAATAGCGGTGGCTTACTATGTGCTATACCTAGAGCGATAAGGTCCCCTAGCCAATATTTGTATGTAATGTGTACGGGTAACTGCAGGTAAGTACTTGTTAGTGGGGGGAAGGGACGGGGGACACTTAGTCTCACCATCTCACCGCGAGAAATTAGGGCGTTCATAAATTCTAGTAGAATCTCCGACGTCCCTTCCCTTCTCATTCCTTATAAACTCTGTTTACTAAGGAAATAATATACCATTATATCAAATTTGGGATTAAATAAGGTTATTTATCCAACAATTGTTTAAGTTAGACTATCCTAGGGACCACAATTCTTTACCTGTCAAATCCCTTAGGTCAAAGTTACGCGACTCAAACTAACTCTTCGGGCTTACACTACACCCTTCATTCCTAAGTAGGGGAAGGGAGTGACCTATCAAAAGAGCTGGCTTACTCAACAGTACTACGGAGGCTTGCCGGAGCGGTGGTCGGCGAAATGCCCCACCGTCTACTCAAGACAGCGACCACCTCCAACCCCGCAGCCCGCGTAGCCATAATATCACAACACCTACAGGGCGGCAATCCCAATTACCCCAGAATTATTTCTGTTCCTCCAAATCAAGTCCGTAGTAATTTTTCAACATCATCCGCCAGCATGTCGTCCCAACCGGTACACCCGACGCTCCTCATCCCCGGCCCAATCGAATTCGACGATGCCGTCTTGCAGTCCATGAGCCACTACAGGTCTGTACAAACACTTACATATTCGATATGCGTCTAGAGCAAGGCCCTTTCTGACTTATGATAAATAGCGAATCCCATGTCGGTCCAGGTTTCGTCGCTACTTTTGGAGAGGCCTTGTCGATGCTACGTAAGCTCTTCCAAACAACCTCGCCCACTTCGCAACCATTCGTTATCTCTGGATCGGGTACGCTTGGCTGGGACTTAGTAGCTGCGAATCTTGTCGAGGCTGGCGAAAAAGTCCTAGTTCTCAGTTCTGGTTACTTCAGTGATGGCTTCGCCGACTGCCTCAGAGTTTACGGCGCCAATGTCGACCTCCTTAAGGCTCCTGTCGGTAGCCGCCCACAATTACCCGAAATCGAGCAGGCATTGAAGAGCAAGAAGTACAAGGCGATCACAGTAACACATGTCGATACATCGACAGGCGTATTAAGCGAACTCCAGAAGTTATCCGAGACCGTGCAGAGGGTTTCACCTGATACGTTGCTCATCGTGGATGGTGTATGCAGTGTGGCCAGTGAAGAGATCGACTTCGATGCTTGGAAACTTGATGGTGTGATAACAGCGAGTCAGAAGGCCATTGGTTGCCCCGCAGGTTTATCGATATCTATGTTCAGCGGCAAGGCCATAGACGCCTTCAAGGCGAGAAAGAGTCCACCAGCGTCCTATTTTGCTTCCATGAAGAACTGGACACCTAGTACGTTATAATCCTCCAAAGCAAGGTAGTATATACGCAGGATGCTGACCCGAGGCAGTAATGCAAAACTATGAAGCAAAGAAGCCATCATACTTTGCGACTCCGTCACCACAGCTCATCCACGCCCTACACACAGCGTTAAGTCAGATCCTCACCAAGCCACTCTCTGAGAGGTTTGCTAGGCACCGAGAGGTATCAGACAAGATTAAGAACGTTGTAACGGAATTAGGGTTGAAGCAAGTCGCCTCCAATCCGGAAGATCAAGCCCATGGCATGACGGCGGTCTACCTGCCGGAGAACGTCAAGGCTACTGATCTGCTTCCCAAGCTTGCGAACAGCGGTGTTGTCTTTGCCGGCGGCATCCACAAGGAAATCGCGCCTAAATACGTGCGATTCGGACACATGGGTGTTAGCGTGGTATGTGTTAAACTCGATATCTAGCGATAATATGAGGTCATGAAAGCTAATTGGAGTAGACCGATCCTGCAAGAACCGATATCGACAAAGCGATAGCTGCACTGAAAAGCGGGTTGGCTGAGTGCGGATATCAGAAGGCCTAAGACCTCAATACTGATAAGGATCCCGTGTGCGAACGAGTGTTAGCAAGTACATGCGAGAAGACAATAGTTATTTCTCGCAGTAACCAATTTCGGAAAAATCATTGGTCAGCTGGGAAAAGGAGATGGTGTTGTCTGCCCAAATTTGAGATGGGCAACAAAGGAAAAAAAGGTAGTGTAACCATCCACAACAAAAGAGGGAATAGACTAGAGGTTCCAAAGCGCGGAAAACGAAAAATATATCCTCTTCTTAGACCCGTTCATTGTATGCAGATCTGCTCCATTCATTCGGATGACACGACTTTGTTTTAACCACGTCGCATTCGACCACCTATTACCATTAGTCTTCACCTGACTAGCCACATAGGAGTAATACCTAGGTAGTGATGTGGCATTGGCGATGAGAAACTCGCCCTTCCTAAATCCCCATAGCTTCAGCCCAATTGCCATGCACAAATTAATATATGATATAGGGCGGCAGAGGACATCCGGCTTTTTCCGTGCCCAAAGATCAAAAGTGAGGGGAATGACAATGTTTATGAATCATCTGCCGCTTCGAACATATTCATCTTTCTCCAGAAATAAGTAGATGATAGTCGTAGATACAGTGAGTTGGAAATGTTTAGCAGATAAAATTCCGGGAGAACGGAAGAGATATGTACATATATCGAATACCCACTGGTACCACTGAGCCGGAATGATGGGTCCTGGGTACGTGGTACGAAAAGCGAGTACAATAGAACCTTAGTCCCCTAAAATAAATTGCAAGCCAGTCAAAATTATTCCTTCTACAGCTCACGTTACACATACCAAGGAAAGAAACACCAGTACAAACAGACTGGGTACCGAAAGTAGGCACCTAAGGTGACGTCCTTACCAAATGCGGGAGTGCATAATTTATAATCTGAACATAAAAAAAAAGAATTTTAGCTTTTTAGCCCGAATCAGCGGTGAGCTTTAGTGGGTAAGTGACCTATCAAATCCCCTTCGAGTCGGGCAACTTCGAAAACGCCCATGATAACATTATTGTGTTGTCGTTCTGCATTGGTTTGTCAACTTTCAAGACATTATTTAAATACTTGCAACAACACGAACCATTTCCACTATTACTTATTTTTATGTAGGTACTTTGAGACCGCATTCTACATATGATAAAGCAAGTATCCTACGAATCAACATCATAGGTTAGTAATATTCATCTTCGTTTTATTTGTATTTTTTCTTGTCGTGTAAGACAATTCCCGTTTATAAGACAACAAACAGCCCGCATGGCATTTGACCAAACCTCGGCGCGGCACGATACCCTAAAAATTAGAGGGGCAGATCGAGTTAGGTTGGTCGCCTAGGTACTTGCCTTGCGTACAGGTATATGTACCTCTCAGATGGTTATCTCGGAAACATCGAAAGCCTTGCGTCGACATCCAATGACATAATCGGAGTTTTTCGTTTATGATTGGCTCCCGCCGTATTTGACGCTGCTAACGACGAGTTTCAGCCGCTACCGCGCTACATACATATGTGCTGGCGGCTTCCAGTTTGTACCCACAGCTAAGCCTACGGTAGTGAATACCTTAGGATTAGGTTCAGAGGTATCACTGCAGCACAGGTACGTATCCAATGCTTAGCTGTGGCCCCAGCTCCAAATACCCCCCCAACCCCACCTACCTTCTGTGCAAAGTAGCCGCTATCATCTCACAGACCCGTCACTTGCTGCTTCCTCTTTGAATTTGGTGATACCTTTTTTTCACAATTCCAGCCGCCGAGCAGCAATCCCTTTTCCCACCAACCAGCCTCACCTATTTCTGCCTAAGGACTGCTTTTCTACTCGCAGAACCGCAACACCACCAATCTTTTCATAACTTCATACCCACGAGCCGTAGCTGAATAAAATCAAAAATTTAACATTTCAACTGACGTTCGCCCGACGCACAATTAGAGCGAGTCTCTGTGGATTTCTAGGCGCGCAGCCTACTCATCATCTCCCCCCCGCCACCCCGTTCGAGATGGCGCCCAGCATCCCCGACCTGGATCTAATGATCCAGTCCTTCTACGAAGGTCGCGGTGAACAGGTGAGCTTATCGTGCTTGTGTTTTAACTCTCACAAATGCGTCTACGCGCCATATGAATAGCTAAAGCTGCTAACACTTGCCTCTTCCCCGCCTCCAGCAAAAAGCTGCTGAAACCGCGTTAAACCAAGTAAGTGATGCGCCATCCACCTTTCCCACAAACCTGCGCTGCTGCTAACATGTGTGGTGTGTAGTTTAAAGAAGATCCCGATGCATGGTTACTCGTCGATAAGATCCTCTCCGAGTCCCAACACCCGCAGACAAAGTGTACGCCAGATTATACCACCACATATAAGGCAGAGCAGAAGGCTGACAGGTTTTAGATCTTGGTCTCCAGATACTGGACAACGTTATTATGACAAGATGGAAGGTCTTGCCCCGAGACCAGTGTCTGGGTTCGTCCATCCCGCCCTCCAGGTACCATTATCATAAATCCTTACAGCTAACCTTGATTAGGTATTCGCAACTTCGTTGTGAACTTTATCATCCAGGCATCTAGCACAGAGGAGTCGCTTCGAGGCCAACGAACTCTCTTAAACAAACTCAACCTCGTTCTAGTCTCCATTCTGAAGCAAGAATGGCCTCACAACTGGCCTACGTTCATTAACGAAATCATCTCGGCCTGCCGATCCAACCTATCCATCTGCGAGAACAACATGATCATTCTCCGCCTTCTTTCTGAAGAAGTTTTCGACTACTCGGCCGAGCAGATGACCTCAGCCAAAACGAGAAACCTCAAGACTACTATGTGCAATGAGTTCTCGCAGATTTTCCAGCTGTGCCAGGAGATCCTTTCCTCGGCGAACCAAACAAGTCTAGTAAAAGCTACTCTAGAGACATTACTACGATTCTGCAACTGGATCCCGCTAGGATACATCTTCGAGACCCCGCTTATCGAAACGCTGCGTACACGATTCCTCGAAGTTCCAGAATTCCGCAATGTTACTCTTCAGGTGTTGACTGAGATTGGTGGCTTAGTGACGGGGAGTCCAGGACAACCAAATGCATATAGTGAGCAGTTGGTAAAGATGTTCGTTGACGTCCTCACGACTATCGCTGGCATCATTCCCTTAGAGCTGGACTTGAAGAGCACATACCCTCAAAGCAACTCTAAAGATCAGGAATTCCTCCAGATATTAGCACTTTTCCTCTGCAACTTCTTCGGTCAACATGTCGATGTAAGTTAATTCGTTGTTCATAACATTCCCATGGTCAACTTTGCTAATATTAGTCCAGCTCGTCGAGAACCTCCCGAACAGAGACTTCCTCACGCATGGTCACTTTTACCTAATCCGAATTTCTCAAATCGAGGACCGCGAGATCTTCAAGATTTGCCTAGACTACTGGCTCAAGTTGGTACAGGAGCTGTACGAGGAGATGCAAACTGCTCCTTTGCAGGACATGAACCCCCTTATGATGGGTGGTGGATCGGCCAGCGGAGCAGTAAACCCAGGCCTGCTGGCCAACTTCCCGCTACGAATGCACAAGTATAAGGAAGTCTTATCCAACCTTCGAGTAGTCATGATCGAAAAAATGGTGCGACCCGAAGAGGTACTTATTGTCGAGAACGACGAAGGTGAGATTGTGCGCGAGTTTGTCAAGGAGAGCGACACAGTACAACTCTACAAGACCATCCGCGAATGTCTTGTCTACTTAACACATCTTGACGTCGTTGATACCGAGACTATCATGACTGAAAAGCTCCAAAAGCAGGTAGACGGTACTGAGTGGTCATGGCATAACTGCAACGTTCTATGCTGGGCTATCGGCTCGATTTCACTCGCGATGAATGAGGAGACCGAAAAACGTTTCCTCGTTACCGTCATTAAGGATCTACTTGGACTCACGGAAATGAAGCGTGGGAAAGACAACAAAGCCGTCGTAGCCAGCAATATCATGTACATCGTTGGACAGTACCCTCGCTTCTTAAAGGCTCACTGGAAATTCCTTAAGACGGTTGTTAACAAGCTATTTGAGTTCATGCATGAATCTCACGAAGGTTAGTAAATCATCTCTGGGTGAGGATCAACAAGCAGCTAACCTCATTACAGGCGTTCAGGATATGGCGTGTGATACTTTCATCAAGATTGCAAGGCAGTGTCGACGACATTTTGTCGCCCTACAACCTAGTGAGAACGAGCCTTTCATTGAAGAGATTATCAGGAACCTCCAGCGCATAACGTGCGACCTCACGCCGCAGCAGGTGCATACCTTCTACGAGGCTTGTGGATACATGGTTGCCGCGCAGGGTAACAAACATCAGCAAGAACGATTACTTGCCGAACTCATGAACGCTCCCAATGCTGCTTGGGACGAAATTATCCGCGCAGCTACTCAGGATCCCCAGATATTACAAGACTCCGACACGATCAAGATTATCGGAAATATTATGAAGACGAACGTATCAGCTTGCTCCTCCATTGGCCCCTACTTCGGCCCACAGATTGGCAGAATATACCTGGATATGCTCCAGATGTACCGTGCTACCAGCCAATTGATCTCGGAGGCCGTCGCTCGTGATGGTAGGTTTATAAGTACAGCTTTTATTCATGTAAGCTAACATATTACAACAGGCGAACTTGCTCCACGCATGCCTAAAGTCCGAGGATTGAGGACTATCAAGAAGGAAATCCTGAAGTTGATCGAGAGTTACGTCGATAAGGCCGAAGACCTCCAAGCGATCCGCCAGCAAATGGTTCCCCAGCTCCTCGATTCGGTGTTGGTGGACTACAACCGCAATGTCCCGGGCGCCCGAGACGCGGAGGTCCTCAAGGCCATGTCCACTATTATCACAAGACTTACTGTAAGCAATCTAGAGTGGGGCCCGATTGTTAAATGTTGCTAATCGAGTATAGGGCCTCATGGAAGATCAAGTACCGATCATCATGCAGAACGTTTTCGAATGCACTCTTGAGATGATTAACAAAGACTTCTCGGATTTCCCAGAGCATCGAGTCGAATTTTTTAACTTGCTCAGAGCCATCAACCTACACTGTTTCCCTGCTCTCCTTAAGCTTGATAATCGCCAGTTCAAGTTCGTTATCGACGCTTGCATGTGGGCTAGCAAGCACGACAATCGTGATGTTGAAAGTGCTGGACTTAACATGTGCCTGGAGCTTGTCACGAACATCGCCGAGAAAACCGACGTGCAAACATCCAACGCTTTCTTCCAGCAGTTCTTCATCGGCATCTTACAAGATGTGTTCTTCGTTCTGACCGATCCCGACCACAAGGCCGGGTTCAAGACGCAATCCTTACTGTTGATGCGAATGTTCTACTTTGCTCTCCCCGCCGATGGATCCACGCCAAAGATCCAAGGACCTGTCTACACGGACCAAGCACCAGCCGGTACGAGCAATAAGGATTTCCTCGCCGAGTTCGTTGGTGGTCTTCTACGTAATGCTTTCCCCAACCTTCAAATGTAAGTGTCCTTATATAATGATGCTCCACCACTATAGAAACTAATAAACCGTATAGTGCGCAGATCGGTGCATTTATTGAATGCCTTTTCACTTTGAACACCACGTATGAGAAGTTCCGACTCCAAGTACGAGACTTCTTGATCTCCCTCAAGGAGTTCGCTGGAGATAATGCGGACCTATACGTGGTGGAGAAGGAGCAAGAAGCTCGCGACAAGCTCACTGCCGACCACGAGAGACGAGCGAAGGTTGGAGGCTTATTAAAGCCGTCGGAAATCGAGGTAGAGGATGACGAACTGTGACTGCGTCAAGAGTTCAGGAATGAATTCGCTCCCCGGCACAACTCGAGCACAAACGATCCATCCAAGCAGGCTTCGGTTGATCCTCTTGATGGATGGGACATTTATGGGCTTTGAAAGCTCCTCCGCGGTACTCGAACGGGACTGATGAGACCTTGACCTTTTACCTTTTTGTCGAATCTCTTCGAGTGCCTATTCTCTATTTTCCTGTACGTGATACCAAGATAGAACTGCATGGCTAGGCGATTTCAACCGTTTCTGGACGATTACATCGCTTATATGGCCCATAAAGCTACTCAGCTCAGTTGCATTTTTTTCTTGTCCCGAAGTCTGAACCCGGTAAAGACATAATAGGCGGATATAAGAGAACGAAGTCTTGTGCCATCATGACAAGCGCAGCAGAGGTGGACCAAAAAAAGGGGACAATAATGGGAAAGAGGAGAGAAATGATGAAATGCATATATCCGGTTTTATTGGAATGACCAAATTCTCGAGGGCGGAAGGAAGGGGAAGAGGTGCAGTTCGCTAGGAAAAGGACGGAAGGGAGGGTAGGCAGTCTTGTGCCGATACGAAGGCCAGAAAAAAAGAAAAAGAAAAGAAAAGTTAGGGAGATAAACCATCGTTCAGTTTTTTATATGCAGGACGTGAATCTCTTGTTTTTTTCTTGTTGCTCAGCTAGTCGATTCGATAATGGAGGGTCTGCTCTTTAGCTATGAACCCTCGCCAACGACCACACTAACGTAATTCTATAATCGCAGGATTTTTCATACTGTTGTTGGTGTTGGTGGTGTGATGTGCGATGCATGGGCTTGTTTGCTGTGATGTGGTTTCTTGTGTGTTGCCTATGATGTGTATTTACTTGCTTAGTGAATGCTCGATGATCTACGTAGGAGATATCGTCATCATTATGTTGGACTAAGTGGCAGGATAAGTTTGATGTAGACTGTTACGTGTTCTAATACACAATTAACGACGTCCTACGCTGAGCTCTAGGATGATGACCTTTTTTCAAGACTTAGCATGTAGTTGACCACCCTCTACCGGCGCAGGATGCCATTGATAGAGAGTATACAGAATTTCCCTTCTATCCACCTTCTTCCAGCCGCTCATTAGCCCGTGTAATGGTTAGGATTCCTGGGGTATGCCCCTGAGCATGGTGCTGGAAGATATAGAACCAAGTTGAATACAATGAGACAATCCTTCCTCACTTAGAAATATTCCCTTCGCGAGAACTACATCCTACAAATTCAATAAACGTGTCTATTTATTCACTGTCAATTACAACCCATCTCCTTTTGAAGATAGGCACTTAATACAAGGGCAAGCGGAAAGTCTCGGACACGAAAGACGGAGTATGGACAGTTCGAACTGCCGACGAATTTCCAAATAGGGTAGGTATTCGGCATGGTACCGGCGAAAGGAAAGGGATTCTTATCTATTTCGCCCGTCTTGATCCCGGCCGATTCCGGAAAGACAAAGGCGGGGCTCGGACTATGGCCCATATCTATCCATAGCATGACATAGGTAAGTCTAAGTTGATTCCTGATTACTTTTAATCATTTGATCCGACCGGTGGCTTTTCTGGAGCGTCGTTCCTAGATCTTATTTAAACTTGATCATCGTAAAATCGATCCATGTAGAGAAGTCTTGCCACTCACATGTTATTGGTGACAGATCGCTGCGTACGGATAGGTTGATTTTCTTACACGACGCCCTTCATGCGGGGGAATTCTTGGTCTCCTCCTACTACTCCACCTCGGACCGGGAGCTTATCATTAGCAAGTCGTTAGATATAACTGCTACCTTTTCTACCATATAAGATACACTAGACACTGCGCTGTATGATACGGGGTTAGTGTTACGCCTAGTGCTATACATATTCAACATTTCAAAACGAGAAATCAGCAAATACTTCGTACATACCAAGGAAACAATGGCTCCTTCAGCAATCGCGGAGACAATCCCGAGCATTCTAAGCCTCAAAGGCCAAGAGAAGCTGGCAGACGCCGTAGAGGTTAAGGAAAAGACTCCCCTAGAAGCCATCTCGCATGGCATTGTGATGGAGGGAATTCCTACATTCCCTACCTATACGGAGCATAGGCGACACATCCTTATACACATGTCCGCCATCTTCCGCTTCTTCGCTCGCTCCGGCTTCACCGAGGGGCAGTCCGGGTTAGTTGATAGTCCTTTAACTGCCTGTCGCTAGACTCATCCGTTCTCTTGTCCATGAAGACTCGTATTGCTAACGTCACCACGTCATCCAGGCATATTTCAGTCCGGGACCCGGAATTCCCCGGCGTCATGTGGATGAATCCACTCGGCCGTCATTTCGGCATGCTCACGGCGGGCGATATGATCTGCCTGGAGATCGCCACGGGTAAGATCGTGGGCGGGAACACATCCCAGCCAGCCAACGCCGCAGGTTATTTGATCCACTCCGCCGTACACAAGCGTCGACCCCATGACATACACGCCATGTAAGTTTAACTCCTTTTCTCATCGACCATCACGACACGTATCATCCATCCCTCTGCCTTTGAGCAATATCCTTTTCCGTACCCTAGGCGCATGGAAATGAAGATAGGAGAAAGGAATTGTGTTCGGTGGGCCAAAGATGCAAAATGTCAGACGCGAGGGATCGCGCGCATCCCGCAAAAACCCAGGACCCACGATATTCCTAATAAGAGAGCATATTCCAAAAAGGGGATGGGACAGTTTTTTTTTTTTACTAACCAACAACCATCTTGAAAAAAATAGATGCCACGCCCACTCTAACGCTGGTCGAGCATGGAGTGCATTTGCGCGTCCCCTTGAGATGCTAAACCAAGGTAAGGCAAAGATACGAACCAACCAATCCACCACCATACCTACCTACCTTACTCATTTTCTTCAATTACCTTATACCTACATGCCTACATTTTCGATACCCCCGAATACCCCACAACGCATCCCACTGTCTGTTCCATCGTCGTTGTTATTATTTCGGGCGAAGGGGTATCCGTTCTTACTTCGGAGCTGCTCCGGAAGGAATCGTTCCCCGGTCGATCTCCCTCCCTCCCCATACCCTCCCCTTTCCCACACACCGCGAACCGAATCGGGCGATCACACCGAAGACCCCGGGCTTTTAACTGCCACTTCAACTACCTATCTAGCATTAAACCTCGCATCACTGACGTACCACTTTATCTCAATATAGATGTATGCAACTTCCACAACGCACACGCAGTCTACGCGCGATACGGGGGCATAGTCTTCGCAGCCGAAGAAGGCGAGTCCATCGCCTCCGCCCTAGGTCCCCATAACAAAGGCGTGATCCTCATGAACCACGGTCTACTAACCGTAGGTTCCACCGTCGACGAAGCGGGTTTCATGTTCGGGCTCCTAGACCGAGCTTGCGCCATGCAACTCCAAGTCGAAGCCGCAGCCGCGAACGGTATCCCGAAGCAGATTATCAGCGACGAGGAAGCCGCGTATAACTTCAAGATGGCTAGTGAGAAACACGCGCTGTACCGCGAGGCACAGCCCGATGTCGAGTTTGAGATGGAGATGGCTGGTGGGGAGCATGTGCTTGCTAGGGGGTTTGAGAGTCTAAGGGTTGTAGCGGCGTAGATAGATCGATGGCTAGACTAGGTCGGGGGTCGTATGTAGCAAGCAAGCAAGCATGGTTCGTGGGCATGGTGGCGCCATAGTAATGCCGTGTTGTGCCGTTATGCCGAGCCAAAGTTACAAGTTACTGCAGAAAATAAAGAAACTATCGATCCTTCGATCTGAATCTTGATCTGGGGGTCCGGTCTCGATTTCGAAAAAGGGGAAATGGGGGAAAAGAAACAGAAACAGAAAAAAATCGAAATGAAAAAAAAAGTGGCATGATTATACGCGGGGGCGCTGTGGCGCTGTCTGTGATATATCATTTTTTGAAGTTTCTATCGTATGTCCGTCTACTCTATTCTACTACTACAGTACTATGGAGTGCATGTATTCCCATCTATACTAGGTAGTGAGTCGTACGCGCCAGTGATAGGCGCGCGAGACGAAGTGATAATTTACCGTCTAGAGGGTAGCAAATTGAAAAACAGGTTCGGCTAAGACCGTGATTTCATGTAACCCTCCTTTCTGGCCGTTTATGGGGTATTCGATATAATAAAGTGTGGGAACCGTGGGAGGAGAAACATTTGGGGGGAAAAGGTAACCTTCGGAATGTTACTGTAGAGACAGGATTTGTTGGTCAATCAGTCTGGAATTACATATATAGTGTAGTAGTGGAGGCAACGGGGTGATGAAGAAAGTGATGCAAAACAGATGAAATTTTTCCTTCATTGGCTTCTCTACCGAGGCGTTCGAGCCATAAAAGGCATAGCGTTGGGACGGGGAGATGACGGGAGTATCCCGCAACATGTCAGGGACGGGCCGTAATTTTTTGCGTAGGGGGCTCGAACAAGGGTTCCCCCTTCACCCTTCACGATGCAAGCATCGGATCGCCCGATGAGGATCGAAAAGGCAAGTCATGACTCGCTGTAAAATGGTGATCACACAGGCTTCGGCCGGTCAAGCAAGCTAACACTATCAAGACATACATACATTGCCTACCGTGCCGTGTCTGCGTGTATACGTTAACCTCCTTCCTCTCTCAGGCCGAGATGATAAAATAGTCCCGGTTGCAGATCAAGTCATTTTGGGGGCCATTGATCTAACGCCGAGGTTTCACAACGATAACGAACCGAGCCAGGCTCACCGAGAATAAAGAATGGGCACTGCCTCGGTACGACCTGTTTTTACAGATATTGCGTAAATACGACGTCGATAGATAGGCGGCTGCAGCGTCGGGCATGCAAGCTGTTTCGTTCGCGAACCCCCGAAATAAAATAAAAAATCTGCAATCTTGCCTCCTGCGTCTGCGTCTCTGCGTTGCGATCCCGGATTGCTCAACCAAAGATGAGGTCCCATGCAACCAAACCATTCGGGCGAGATCCGCGCCCAGATCAATACCACCAAATAACCTCAAACGTACCCGGTCAGAATCACCGGCACGTAATGTATGTAAATAGAGTCTCCTTCAACTTTAGGCGCTAACCTCAGACTGCGAAAATCTCTTCAGCGTGTAATCTCTCGTATTGAGGCGCGGTTTCTGTAGCATTTACTCTTTTTAGAAGTAAGCACACTATCTGATTGCGTGCAGGATTTTCTGATGAGATCAAGGGTGTGGGCGCTTGGCAGATCGACGACCTTTCCTATGTAGGCATTGCATCGGTATTGCGCATACTTAACATAACCTCATAGGTACAGTACCTAGAACTACTAGGGGTGTTCCCCCAACTCTCCGCCGGTCCCCGGCCGTCCGCAGCTTGACCGGTTGACTACATAGGGAGTTGGTGGCTGCTTTGATTTATGATGAAAATGTTGTGTGACATTGACTGATAGTCTAGTCCGTCTGGACGCCTTCGGACGATCCTGCAGCTGCAGCACATACCATACTTCGGCTCGACGCAGCGCAGGGCACATGGCGACCTTAGCGATATCTCCATGTCTCAACTAATAGCACATTAGCCCTGTGAGATAACTAGGCGATCAGCCGTTGGCCTAGTCGTATAACCACATATGCCGGGCATGCTAATAGGTGTGGCTGCAGTCATCTTGTCCTATTCCCTGTTTAGTGTAGTCTAGTAGGGCTGCCTGGGCAAGGGGTGCGGCTCCAGACAATAACCTTAATGAATACACATCTTGAGAATGCTATGGTTCAGTGATTTTCTGGCTGCTTGGTCTAGACGTCAATGTTCAGGGGCCAGAACTCGTCAACCCTTCAACGATGCATGGATGTCCATAACGACACTCGGGTGTCGGGTTTTTGAGAATCACGGGAAGCCTGGAATGCGAAAGAAAAAATTTGCGTACAGGCGTCCCGAGAGAGGTTTCAGCAATACATGGGCTAGTTTTGGTGTAATTAACGGCATTAAACCATGCTTTGATGCAAAATTTCTGCACAATTTAGAGCTACCGAAGAAGTTGGAACGAAAATAGATAGATGATGCCTACCTTATGGATCATTCCGATGTATATTCAAGCTCGGAATTCCTACAGCCAACTTCAATTTCGAGGCTGCTAGGAATATCCACAAGTACGAAACCAGGCAGCAGAGACCTTGCCTAATGACTCCCCGCTAACTAGTAGTATCCTTCTACCTGGAACGCGGTAGAAAATTTTCTTGTCTATAGATGAATGAGTCACTTGCTGTAGGACTGCAATTTCCGTTCCTCACCGTAGCTAGCTCAAGGAAGCCCAAGTAGCGAAAATTTTCGTTTGGAAATGCGTCAGTGACACTATGGGCATTCCAAGGAAGAAATTGGTTATGTTGAGAGCGCAGCCGTGGAATGACGGGGCGTAAGACAGGGCGAACGAGCTTCTGGAAATTTCCCTATCCGCGTGAGACCCAGCTTTAAGGCTCACTAACAAACAAGGGATGACTCATCCTTCTGGTGGATCCAGGCGGAGCTGAGAAGAGGGTCCTTCATATTCCTCTCACTCTCTCATGTTCTTTTTCTGAACGGCTGATGTGAGTAGAATATTCATGGTTTTTAATCCGTACCTTGGAATGTAGTGTATTATGCCAGCTTCCCTATCACCTCATCACCGGTACACTAGTACACAAGTATGATGGTGGCACAAGGGTAACCTTGACGGAGAATTTATCACGATTTGAGACTGTTTGCGTGGAACGACTGGGAAGCCATCCGATTGAGTCTTTTCTTTCTCCTCTTACCTAGGAGGCTAAAAGGGCTATGTAATACTCTCACACGGCAACGGCTGCAACCTGAAGTTGGGCCCTGGTGCCTGGTTCACCATTGAATAATGCCTCAATCGGTCGACTCGGATGTCTGTATGGGGAACACAAGTAAGACACTTGTTCACGCTATCGGGACCTTCCGCCGTGAGGAAAATCTCAGGAACGCACGCAATAAGATCGTGGAGTGCTGAACTACGCCCTCTGACGTTGTCCCGACGCAGTAGATGAAACAAAAATCCCCGCTATAAGGATCCGTAGAAAGAAGACAGGCGAATAGGATAGGCAGGCGAAAGACATAACCGGCTTATTTCAGAAGTCAGTCGAAGGAGGACCCGCATTCCTTTGGTGTCAGCCAGTTGGAGAATGGCTTAAACGTGGCATAACATGAACCCTTAGAAACGTGCCTTGATCGAGATAGTGCCAAGTTCTATGGTGGATAATTGGATAGGGGAACCTTGAGTGATTCAGCCCGTCAGCGAGCGAGAGCCGTGGGATGGAGCCCGGTCTCGGTGGGTTCTGGAGGTCCGGACAGGTCCATGGGCTGACACGTCGTCGAAGTGGATTGGTCCGGCGGGAGCATTGACGGCTTTCTGCCCTCCTAAGACTCGGCAGTCTAGGACGAGAAACAGTAGCGGGTTCTCCTATTGCTATTGTGGGAACGCCCCGCAAGCCTAGTACAGACCCCCATTGGGTATGCACATTTGAAGTCGGACGGGCCACGGGAGGAAAGCCGGGACGGGGAAAGGAAGTAGGTAGGGAAGTGGAAGGAAGGCTAGAGAAACAAGATCTCACGAGCCCATCCATCATCCACCATCCACCATCCACGTCCTGTTATCCACATTCACAATTCTCAAACAGGTAACCGGATGTGTACCAAGATTGAGCCTGGAATTTTTAGGGGTCCCAAGCGAGCAGAACTTGGAATGACCGGAGGGATGCATTATGCAACGTTGGGGCCGTTGTCCTTGTCCCTCAATGCCGTGCCATTAAATTGATTTGAGTGATCGATTGATCGAATTTTTATTCTCTCATAAGCAGTGGCCATTGTCTTGGATAGCACGGCAGAAGAGAATTGAGTGGATTGGATGGATTGATGGAATGTTTCCAGGTATTGTAACACCATCGGCGCTAACGGCACTTAAGAGAATGACGTTTCAGGGACATGGTTGGTAGTTGTAATTGTAGCTGTATTAGGTTATTAGGTTCAAATGTTATTAGTCGTGCTAGTGTATAGTTGTACGGAATTAGACTAATCTATAGAGGGAGAAGAAATATTCCGAGAAGGTTATGTTATGGATACATGTACATAGCCCTTGCTCTTTGTCTCTTGCTTTATTATTAGCGAAAGCCTCATAATACCTTACGTGGAACGTACTTACCTATTGTAAACACATACATGAACGTACATACATAACATCAATAGTACTGATTCATAGTGGATTAGGTATAAATATACATATAGCCTATTGGCATAATGCAAAATGAAATAAAATAAAATACCTTGTAAGTCAGCATGAAGACGGTGAAACTTGATGTTTGGAAACAACTTGCTCTTCTTCGACTAGGATTGGACATCACAATTGTCCGGGTACCTTGTGGAATGATAGGCGGAATGTAGTGCCGTAACCAATGAAAGGGACGAGAAGGTACCACTTCTATCGAATTGGGTAGGTGAGTACACGTAGGCAGATAATGGAGCACTCAATCTATTAATTTGGGGATAGATGTACCCAAGTATCCTAGCAAGTTACAACAATAGGAGTAAAAAAGACTCACGATGATGACTTACTGTACGTACAGTACGTGATTGTATTATCGTTCCTTGGTACGATAACAATATCCCGCCTTGTTTTTCATCCCACGTAAGAATTTTTTTTTTCTTCTTCGACTCGTACTATATCTGCCTGGTTCATATATTGATGAGATGTCTTGTGGGGGTCACCCTTCTCATCTCGGCACATAGTCCGTAGACAAAGTTGGTAACGAGGTGTGTTAACGAAGGAATCAGGAAAACTTGGGAAATATACTCGTCCCTCTTCTCGACTTCCCAATTAATTATTTGATCAACACGCACTGCATAGTGTTTATGGTTGTTCCCGTAAGCCGAGGGTGAAACAAACAGCAGGTAGTAAGTAAGGAAGCAGCTTAAAGATGCATAAACTACATGTGTCAACCAATTGCCAGACTGTATTAAATGTCGTGTTGGCGGGTGAAGATTAATATTCGTACGAAAAGACTCTAGCTTCTGCTGCACAGCTCCTAAGCTCCTAACACCGACGTCATATCAATAATAATACTGTACCTAATTCCTAATTCATAGACAGATAGTATCCATAGTAGACAGGTATCCATCAATTATGTATAATTCACCCTCATGAGCCGCTCTGTATAATTCTCTGGGCGTAATCCCCCGCCTTAGCCGCAAGAGAACTTCGGATTGCATCCTGCACGGCTTATACATATTAATAACATTACTGTTCCGTAAATTTGCTGTTAATATAGGAATTGATTACCTGGGGTCGATTGTACAATCTTACCGGACTAAGCATGGATTTGATCAATGCTGTGTGTGTTATGGAAAAGGACTTTTTCCTTCTTGCTAGGTAATAGGTTGGTTACTTGGCTGCTTGGTTGGTTGGTTGACTTACTCCGTGGGTTGCTACCTATGATCGAGGCTGAGATTGAAGAAAAAATTTTCAAATTCCCCCCAGACCTGAAACATGCCATCATACTTTCGTACCGCATTGAAAAAAATAAAATAGAAAGAAGCGAGGTCGAATAGGGACACGCCCGTAAGTTAGTCGCCCGGCATAGGAAAGACAACTTTGCAAGACAGTCCGATTCTGCATAGGATACAGTACAGTATACAGTCCGAGGTAGGCTGGCTTGTCTTGTCATCAGTAGATTACTCGGTCTGGAACGTCTGTGGCATTTTCAATCTTTCGATTTTTTGTCATCGTGCGACCGGAAAATGAACAAAACATCCCAACAAAAAAATTTGCACGGTTTTCAGCCTGCTTTGGAGATATTGTAACTGTTCGCCTCGCCTCATCTTCGCTTACATCGATGGGAACATAAGGGACCAAGCACAATATTACCTAACAATGGATATGACCATTGAACGATCAAATTACCATAAACAAACCCGGAAAGGTGTTGTCTAGCCAAGTACTAGGTATTGTGCGCATATGTATGCCGGGTGCTGCGGTGTCTCTCTTCCTTAGTTGTTTTTACGAGACACGGAAAAAGTCTTCCAAGATTTCTGTAATCCACTTATCTTGGAAGTTGCTGCGTCTCGGCTGAGTTTTAGTAATATGTAAAAACAGGTTTATGACGTTTTAACGAATAAGCCTGTGTCTAAATTTATACATTTTATGTAATTAGGTAGCATGCCCAGGCTTATTCAGCTGCACGGCTCCTTACCTAGGAACTTTTATGTAGGGATTTAGGAACCAAACCCCTTGCATAACTAAGAAATCCGTTCCTGAGATTGACTTTTAACTCGTCCAAAGCTTGAGCATAAACACAGATAAGGTTTTCTCCGCCATAGGTATCATTTTGAAGTTAGCATGAAGTATAATAACCAGGTAAGGGAAAGCTACGTGTAAGTAACTGGTTAAGTATATTATGTATGCAATTGGCCTCTATAAAGCACATCGTAGATACATTTATGTATGCACCTGTAGCTCTAGAATTTTATATGAGCAGGATTAAGTTGACGCCAACCGGCAGATGCTCATTGGATCGATTGTCCGCCCGGCGTCTCGCGCGGGAAAAAAAGAGTTTCGTTGACGCAACTCGGGAAATGGTACAATTGGTCCCAACGCTGAGCCACCGAGTTACATTGACCAGAACGAGAGCCTCTTGCTGCTTTTCTTCAGTGTTTTCCCCCGTGCCTCGATCATACATATGGTAGTAGTTCAGTGTACGTGTAATTGACCATATACAAACTTTCAACTACGTCCAACGGCTTCACTTTGTATAAATGTGCTCAACAGTCGATGCTCGATGCTCGATGTTCGATGCTCGATCCGATCTGATCTCGGTCCAAGACCCCTAGCCTAACGTTCGAAATCCTCTCGTGCGACCTGAAGAAGCCTGCTGCGAATAGGCTCCTTTCGTTAGTATTGATACGGCATGGCCCTGGATATCTGTGCATGTAGCGAATGTAACTATCTCTTGAATCCGCTTTCGGCCTCTCCATCAAGTACTCATACAGTAGATCCTCCTTCTGTGGCTGATAGGGGGTTTCTAATAATCTCGTATGAAATCCTCGTACCATTTTTCTCTGGGCAATACACCCTTAAGAGGAGACACGGCATAATCATATAGTAGGAGATAGGCAAGTGGTTGTATGTAGTTACGTACTTGCATTTGCATATCTCTACTACACAGCTATGTAAAACTACATACTTAGGTAAAGAATCGACTCTCAATACGAACACCCCCTAATAAGTTGAGCGTTTCCATACGTCCTAGGGGGGCCAATGTTGATCATAGCGTTGTCCTATGAGGAGAGGCCATCCCTAATACAGAGGAATGAAGTCGAATCAAATCCCCACGTAAGATGATTTTTTAGTATTACACGTTTTACCTATGACCAACATACTATGTAGGCTAGTCTACTCTAGCTAAATTTTATAATTAATGTATAATTTTTTTTTATCTCCTGACGCGCCGTTGATGTACTAAAGAGGTAGTTTAATGCAATTCATAACGAAAAGAGTATTAAGCGCTTCCGCTACCCCGTCACTAAGGGACTAAGTGCTGAGCTTGGCGATCAGCTGTTGCATCTTTTCAGCGCCGATGCGATTTGAGCCTGACGATCAACGTCTGAGCATATCTGGGGAAAAAATGGTGAAATTTTCTAAAACTCTGGCACATCTCAAATAGGATCCACCGAACACCTCAACCTCAATCTTCGTAACATTTGTGCATCCACATCCTGAATAACTAAAATAATGATCCACTTAGAGCAAGAAAAAAAAACATAATCAATTGACTATTGCAACCTGCTATTTTGGACTGACCTCTCCACAGAATAGGAGGGAAACTCCCGTCTGGGGATACGATCCAAGATTCCCTCATCAGGAAGGTCAATAGATGAAAGTCTCCGAATACCAGGGACTCTAAGTTAAAATCATCTCAAGCTGATCACCGATAATATGCAATTCAAATGAAAGAGGATCGCTTTTCGTATGAGGGGCTTGAACTGTTTTTTCAATTCTTCTTGTGAATGAAGCCTCCCTATGGGATCATGCATCAATGGTGCAATGCCGCAAGGGAGAGGCAACCTAAGCTAGTCCTAGATGCCTAACATGTATCAAGTCCCATCAATCCACGCTGTACGCGGATGAGCCCGTGTTTCTGGGTTAATTCCCATCTCACGGCTCCTTTACCAACTGTTCTAACGCCTTCGTCCATAAGGAGGGATGACTCCCAAAACATACGTCTGAGCCAGTACAATTCTCTAACTGACGTGCTCTGTAAAGTCCCTGTGCCCAATAAACCCCGATCCTGGCAGCGATGTGCCCCATGCAAATAGAAAATCAAGTGATATCTCAATATTGTATCGTAGTACAACAGTGTCCGTGCCTATACCGGTAGCCCCCAATCGTACGCCCGCGGCTAGAAGGAAGTCGACAATAGAATCCCGAAATGACCCAAACTTTTTTATGATGCTGTGCTCCGAAAGATGCTCTTGTACAACAAAGTAACATAGTGACAAATGAGGTAGTAGTAGAAGTGTGTGGTGGTAGTGGTGGTAATTCATGCGTAGTCGTTCTGATCAAAGAGAAAATAAAATAGAAAAGAAGGAATGAGTCGTGTAATAGTTGCGTTGAATCGATTGATACGTATTTAATTGGTATAACAAGTGGAGTGCTGATCGTTCATGAAAAGTAGAAACGACGTCCGTTCGCTTGGCCTATCGCTTAGTAGGATCGTCGTCGTTGTTGTTGGAGGCGGGCGTGCTCGAACGAGCTGGCGTAGTCCCTCAATTGCTTCTTAGCCTTATCAGAAAGTTGCGTGCCTTCGCTGCCTGCGGAAGAGGTGCTTCGGAGGGAGCAGAGGCTGCTGTGGGAGCTCGACGGTGTGAGTACCCGGGTCGAGTTGGAAGAGGACGAGGACGATTCTGAACGTTGGGACAGGTACGATTGCGGTAGAGGTGTTGAGCCATATGGTTGAGCATTGCTGAAGTCGTAGGCGGGAGGCAGGTAGAACTTGGATTGTTGCCTCGAGGTAGGCCAGTATGAGCATGGAGCAGCAACGCCTGGGGTACCGGCTGGTGTGCTCGTTGTGGACGAGGTCTTCTCGAAATCAGATAGCCTGCATGATTCAGAGCAGTAGGTAGCGCCGTCTGTTTGTCTGTCGCAGGCAAGGCAGAATTCGGGTTCCCAAGATAGATCGGCAGACATGGTAACTGTGGGTGTATGTGTTGTATGTGGTATACGATTGTATGTGACGACCAGTTGGTCTAGTTCGATCGAGGACGATTCGTTGTTGTAAGAGTGAAAAGGCGAAAGGCGATAGCAAGAGAAGCCTGCTCAAGTTTGTCTTAAATTTTACACAAGACTATTGAACATATCCAAGGCGGAGAGGTCGAGGTGAAGCTAGCTGGGTGGGTTGTTCACGACGAAGTGGTGACAAGAGAAGTGAGGTGCCGTCTCGGAGGTATATATTGTTACAAGTCAGTCGAAGATTGTATCATGTTCTGCTGTAGTGTTGCAATGGAGCACGCAATAGCAGAGCAAGAATAGTCAAAAAGGTTGAATGAGAGTTGTTGTCGAAGATTACAGTAGCTAGCAAGAGGCTCGATGGAAATAGTTTGGAGGAGACGATGTTCATTTGTATGAATCCAGCTTACACAGCCAGAGCCAGGATGAAGGTACTTTGGTACAAAAGTTGGGAATGGTGCATCGAAATGGTCAGTCACATCAGCGAGCGTTTCGATCAGCAAAGACAAAAGGGATCCACAATTAGACAGACAAGAAGAACAAGGGCATTAGCTCGGTGGAGCCATTTTGCAACTCTACACTACTACAGTCCACCCACCCCTACCACCCCTACCTTCAGTCTAGCGGGCCCCTGTCCTTGCAGAAATTCGCATACGGGCTAGGCCGTGTTAGAGTTAGCGCTAAACCTGCTGCTGATCACGACTGGAGGGTTCGACAGCCAGGTACCAAGGTACCGTGCAAGGGCCTCCTCTGACGATTTCCCCTACTACGCACTATAGTAGAAAATTTTCTGCTGCTGCTTGGGTGTGTAGGGAGAGATTTCAGGGGGGCGAGCATTAGAATTATGGGCGACAGAGAGCACTGATAGAGAGAGGGTGTGGTGGGGAGGGGCGTGTGATCTTTTTTTCTACTTCTCCATTTTATTTTTTTTTATACAATACACCCCCTTTCCTTTTCAAGGGACCCCTCTCTCAGTCTCCCTCCCCACCAGCCTACCTATTCCGCCCATTACTCTGTACCTAGGTACCTATGTACTCTCTCACATTGCTCATTACACCCTCAATTTGTGACCCTGATGGCTCCGTAACTGATCATTCATTATTAGCAGATGTCTGGCGAGTTCCGAATTATGGATGAATATGTAGGGCACTCTATAGAAGGCAAATGAACATATCCTTGATATCCCTAGATATCCATGAAATATACATTTTTATTACATTTTACATACTGGGTACCTAGGTATTCAATGGGCCAGATAGGCAAATGCTCGAAATGCCTTGCCTATCAAACCAGTTCAACCTAATCCTTCCTTTTTGCCTTCTGCCTTGCTGCCTTACAAGAAGAAAAAAAAAATTCTCATCGTGGGCTAATATCTCTATCTATAGGTAGATAAAATAGATTAACCAAAGTGCGTTAAGCGATTTGTTAGGAAATATATTTACGATGGGCTCGAATAGGAGCATTTTCGACAACTATGGCTACGCGTACTCTCTATCTAAGGTGCCACCCACGCATGCTATTCTTTTTGCTGGCATGATTTGCAGCAAGTATGCAACATAACCTGTAGTCGAAACTCGTCTTCTCATTCGCTGCTCGGGCATATATTGAAGTTATGTTTAGTCTAGTTCAATGCCCATGCACTGGTTGGTATTATTCTTATTCTCTGGTTGGCGAACAATTACTTCATCTTATTTTGGCATATTGCGGCCTATCACTACCCGTTTTCTGCGACTTGCATAGGAACCTCGCTCTTGGACTATTATACAGCAAAACACTACCAAGGTAGGATATAATATACCCAATACTTACATACATACGTAGGTGGTAGTAGTAATAGATAATCCAAACCAGACAAGCCGCGAGACGGAGACGGAGTCAGAGATGGAGTGGAACCCGTGGGGGCGTTTCTCAACACCTTTACCCACGGTTGCCACATCGCGAATGTACGATCGTCAATTAATTAGCGACTGCGTAATGGCCGACCGGAATTACTCAATGGTAACAACAGAAGAAGAAAAAATTGCGCTTCCTTCGTAGGTGGCAGCCTCCATCGGCGGGTTTCTGGTTGGGCGACCCAGACAGGCAGATAGATTTGCACAGATAGGCTGACAACTTTAACAGGCTCAGACGCTGAGACGCCTAAATCGCAAGGACGAGGTATACGTAAGGGTATGTAGGCCCTCTACATAAGATGTGGATGTACAGTATATGCGAGGATGGTTGCACGATGACTATCATTTCATCAAGCCTACGCGTTGCGCAACTAGGCAAAAGAGAACCTAAGGGACGATGGGATGATAGGAAGATGGAAAGATGGAATGGAATAGGAAAAAAAAAGTGGATTGCATCGAATTTTACAAGTATCTTCAAGATGCAGGGCGACGACGTTGCAATCCAAGCGTAAAAAGAGAAAGAAGCAGAATCTACATAGGTACCGAAGTACAAGAGAAAGAGAGGGAGAAGAAAAAAAAGGTTGCTATTTCCCAGTCAATTCGTGTTTTGCGGGGAAACAGCCAACCTTCGCACGATAATCAAACCATAATGATATTCAGTGTTGCACAAAGTACTTTGGTAGTGCGACGGGAAAAGCCACAGGAAAATCTAAAATGTTGAATCCACAACTTTAAGTGGCCACACAGGATATACCTCCCTCCTACTATACATAGCATACTATACATCTGCGAGCTATAGTACATATATATGTATATTGTCGACGTATGAGATAACATCAAAGCATGGTATGAGATGGGCCGCATTATTGTGAGATGGTGGTCGAAGCCTACCATACCATACCTACATAAACCATACAACCATACATACGCACTTATACAATTACATACATTACGACCGACCACCTGAACCCGCCCACATTGTCTCTGCAGGTCTTGCATATGTTCTGCGGACGACTCCTTCATCCTACCCATCTCATTGGTTCGTATATACTTCCAGACAGGATGGCAATTTATGAAAACCGCCTAAGGTGCCATCGAAATTACCACCTCTCGAGCCATATTCCAATCATCTTCCTCTACTCCCCACGAAGCCACTGCTATACTTGTTGACCTGTGTGGCTACCCCCCCTTTTGGTCCTTACCATTTCCTGCCAGCATTATTGTGGTGGTTCATGGGAAATGCCGCTCATGGATGATACCTACAGCAGAGACACACGAGTGTGTATCCTATCTTCGCCCGGTACCTTTATCGACACCCGCGATTCCCTAAGACTCGTTAAAGAAAAAAAAAAGTAAGTGAAAATCAGATAACAAGCATGGGAAAAAAAGGAACGAAGAAAAGAAAGCCATTATTCGTAAACAGAATCGCGGCTTCTGACATCATCGTACTCATTCCCAAGACCTTTACTACTACTACAGCAACACTAGTTCTACTAAGAGCGGGAAAACCCCCAGGATAAGGTCATTTCATTTCATGGATGTCGCCAACCACATCCACTACGGCCGGTACCTTACATCGGCCGACCAATCTACCAGTCATTTTCCGACCCATCCGATGAATCACGGGGAAAGACTGTAATGGGGGGACCCCTTCGTTATCATCACCATCACGGGTTGCCCAAACAAGACTCGAATGCTCAGTTAGCCTTCGCCCACCTGCTAGTAGTCCAATTAGGACAGCAGCTGACACCTCCATACTTCCCATATTTCTATACTCCCCCCCATGCTCTACACTATTAGTAGGATGCTGGTAGCAACGAGCTGCACCATGCTCATGTCGTCAGCCCTTCGTACTGTACCATTTTCCTTTAGCCCTCGAGGTCTACTCTATTTGCAATATCGCTGCTGAAATACTACCTACGGACACCTCGGGGTTACGGTAGATCTTTCAGGTGGCAGCATAGTCTCTTGAAGGAATGATCTAGCGTTTGCCGAGTCTCATCCTTGGGCGTGGACTAGACCGAATTGGAGGAACCAGCAAGAAAAGAACAAAAGCGAAGACGAAGACGACGACTATGTACTGACGAACTAAACTTTTTTTTATCTTACGCTATCTATTCACAGCTTAGAGCCTCGCCTCGCAAGATGCCTATCACGCAGATCCAAAACGCCAGCCTTCTCGGTCTTTCCTCTTCGCCATGTCAATCCGAGACCAAGTGGTCCGAATGAGGACAAGAGGGTTGGAGTTGAGTTTGACTGGCTTGACTGGCAGTAACCGCAGTGGTCTAGGATGGTCGATCTACATCTAGTACGCAAAAAGTTGTTCTTGTGGCAGCCAAGAAACATGACGCTAGGCCCAAACCGATTCGACCTGCGTCGAAAGGCGGGGGAATCTCCTGCAGGTTCTCGTAGTAACATCAAGCAATTTGGTCCAAATGGTTCCAATAGACAGCCACCCTTCAGTCGTTAGCTGTCGGTTTGGAAGCTGCAGAAATGGGTGTGTGGACGAGCCACACCATCCCCTCCAGGGCTCTTCTTTTTTTCCTTGCCGACTCTGGGATCGCCACTTGATAGCGTACCAGACCTGCCCTGCTTTAATGCCATTTGCCTTTGGACGAGACTAGAGTCTGCATACTTCGGCGCACCCAGTAGAAGGGGGCCATTGATGTTATCGACGGAATTCAACAGGCCAATCTTGGGCCTTTTCATTTACTCAGGACCCTGAAATCTGCAGGTCTGCCATGTTAGTCTCCCCTTATAAAGCACGCTAGATCTCCACTCGGCCGACAAATACCAAGCTTTTCTAGGGACCGCATAATCATTAGGATATAGGACCAGGCTGGCGAGCACTATGAAAATACAACCTCGTCTGGCGCTATTGGGACCTTGTCGATCTAGCGTAGCGGGCGACAATACTAGTGTAGGAAAAGCGCTGGGCATATCGTCTCATCTAAACAATCCTCAACGACTATTTCGTGCTACCCCGTACATATTCCGCACTTAAAACACTATTCGACGTCTAAGGGGTGTGCCGATATCACGACCGACAACCGTAGCTTGCGGCATCTTGATTTTCAACGAACCTGGGGAGCGCTAGAACTAAGGGACCACAATAAGGTCATCGTGGGTAAGAAAGTCGGAATCCTCAAGAAACGTGGTCCCTAGCGCGGCCATTCATAGGGACAACATTCTACTGGTAGGATTTCTATGGCAATTGGCAATTCCTAACAATAAACCCGCATGAGACGACGTTTCCGCTAAATGTCGCGAGATATCGTCATGGGCAGGTAATTTGTTCCAATCTACTCAATCTACATGTGCGCGACCCTGCGCAGCAGGGCACTCTAATGATACTATATAAATGTTTATTGTCACCTTATGAGCAGATAGCTGCATCGCCGACGCAACAACAGCAACACGGGTTACTCGAACAAGTACACACACATCCCTCCGGCTGTCTCGTCACTTTCCCGTGCCGTCGCCGTGTTCACCCTAGCTTTCGGCGGGTAAAATCGTAAAGATCAAGCAGGACTCGAAAGGAGGGTCCGCGTGGGATGTGTTTGTCTTGCATCCGGGTGCCTATCTCTCTGATATGAAAAGGCATGCGTCCAGAGCATGCGGAATATCTGAAACTACTGAAGAGTAGGTGGGTACATAATAGATAGGATAGATGGATAGAATGGAGACACGAGTGTGGGTGGAGCGTCTGCTCGCGATATGGTCACATTAAGAGTATCCATCTAGATCTGTATTTATCTCGGCAGGCAGTGCACGCTAGACGGACAAGAGCAAAGTCCCCATTCATAACCGCTCTACGAACGACGGTCGTCATTCAGTCTATTTGCGCTATTCCTTTCAGGTATGCCAAGCTCGGACTCAGAGGGGAATTTTGCTTGGATGTGTACTTTTTTAAGCGATTACGACCTTTTTGGTCCCTGATTAATGATCGTCAGGCATTCTCTGAACGTATTTGGCCCTAGGTCTACCAAGGTGAGGCAAGTGTGTAAGTAGTAAATAAGCCCTAATTGTGCCAATGTCAATCAAGACTGTAGGCTATCGTTATCAAACGCCCAGCTCATTGCGCAATATGAAAAACCATACGATGTATGCAGTTGGGCGCAGCTTTAGTTTATTAGCTACTCAATCTGCTGGGACCTAGCTCCCTTTTTCTCCTACCTCACTGCAGGATGCTCGGCGGTTGGCTAGGGTCACATTCAATGCACATGTGCAGAAGCAGGCCCCGTTCTATCTGGTAGGTAACCCGTGGAGCTAGGTCATTTGCAAATAGAAAGGGTGGGCTTGCGGGCTTGCTTGTCTTGGATGCTGACACAGCAGTGTAGCACGCGGCTGACTGCGACGCTGTTACTGTTGTTGTAGGGACAGGGAAGCAGGGAGACAAGAGACTAAAGACACGAAAGGAGTGTGGCTTGCGAAGCTGTGGGTATCGTCCAATCTATTCCGAATATTCACCGTGATCCCCCAATCTCTCCATTTCATTGCATCTTTGCATCTTTTTTACATCTGCATGCCCAGGGCCCAGGGGGGTTAGGTGGGGAAGAAAAGAAGGGGTTCGGAAGATACCTATTACCTATCACATCTCTCGTACATGACTTATGTATGCGAACTCCCTCGCGACCAGAGAAATGCCAACGACGCCCCGAAAGGTACCTAAGTTGGTAACTGACATGGCGTCGAGACAGATCGAGCCGAAACGGGTCCGGAAGTGAGGTGAGCCAGGAACATGAAGCAAACCCTCTCTCGGCCCATAGCTCAATGTAGAAAATGTCAACATTATGAGCCGGCATCTTCCTAGTTTTCTTAGTCCTATCTATCTATTTTTCCTGACCCCCACGCGCAAGTTTCGTCATATTCCATAGGCCTTTGGATACCTTGGACTCGACGTTGTTGTGATTTTTTACTAATGCGCCCAATAAACCCGACCCAATCCGGTTGTTCAGCTGTGTCAGTCTCCTCTTATACAATTTCATACCGAGACTACCCTCCACCCTTGTGAAGAAGAATGCGGAGCCTTATCGCCCATTGATTGGCTTACCTTCCCCCAACTTATAATATGTCACATTTCCATTTTCGTAAGCGAGATGCCATGTTCGGTGAACTCGGCAGAAAAGAACGTGTGCATGAACAAGTGGATTTCCTATAGGGTACCCAATAAACAGCGAGAATAGCATCATAGCCAAGAAGCTATGGTCATTCGGATCCTGAGTGCTGGGAAATTGTGCGATGGTGAGGCCCTTAACCTCTTTTGGAGGTGTGCAAAGAGAAGGACGCCCGTCTGCCTCCGAGATTCCTAGCTGCGAACGTCGTGTAATGAAACGATCCTAGACCAACGGGTTATTATCTTTTCCTTTGCTTAGTGAGACCCTTCGCGCGAAGTCCCAGCATAACGGTCCTTCGGCACGTCTCGATATCCGAGCCTAAGGGAGGCATAAGTCGAAGGGACGGGACGCGATGAGCCAGCGAGTGCACGGCTTTAGCGGACCTTGATGGGTCTGTTACACGGCAAAGAAAAAGACGTTATCCCCATAGGGATAATGACCCAAGGTGTACAATATAGGATATCCTTACCTATCTCCATATTGGATATTAAGCGATCCTCGTCGCGCTAGCCTTAGATCAGGGACAGCGTACAGTCCAAGCGTTGTTAGGGCCTAACATTAGGGACTTTCGACAATCTTGTTGATCGTCATCAGTGCCACGGGGTTCATATTTTAGCCTCTCAATTGTCTTTCTTAAGATTGGAGCTGATAGTATCGCTTTCTCGAAAACAGACTAGAGGCAAATCAAACCGAGCCAACCCATCCTTGCGATAGGTTACGACGAGCATACTGTGTGTTATTGTGTTATATTATCAGCATTCCCCAAACACCAACCAGCGTCGGATTATAGGTCACAGGGCTGGGATCTGTCAATCTAAGTCGTTAATATCCGATAGCTTCACCGCAAGAAAGGAAAAAGCTGCGGCTCTTATTGAGCTGAGGGTGTGGTCGTCCCATCATCATCCTCACGTAAGAAGCTCTCGATTGGGAACGGAGGGACGAAAAACGTGGTCGCCGAGTCTATAGTTCGTATCAGCTTTCGGGAATCTGGCTTCCCAACCTGCTGGATCTTACTATTATTTTCTAGTGGTCATCAGCGATAGTTTTCAGCGCACATCCACCAATCTTTACCAACCCCTAGGGTCCTAGAGCCCGAAACCGATACCGATCATGGCCTAGTAATAGCCTGCCAGGGCTGAGTCTGAACTTGAGATTGGAGTTGTTGTTAGTGCTTGTTAGCGCATGGCAGATCGATTGGTTATGGGCGGAATTCGTCCGCATCTAATCAATACCAAGCCAAGCCAGGCTAGAATGAACTTTTTTCACC